CTCTTTTATATCTTTAATTAAAATAGAAATAGTTTCTAACTTTATAATCTTATTTTTTATCTATTACTAGATCTTCTTAATTAGATTTAAATTAGGAGAAGAGAAAGGCTAATTAAATCTATATAATTTATATAACTTTTAGGATAGCTTTATTATATTCTTATAAATCTTTACTTTATCTTTTATAAATAAAAACTTCTTCTTTTATTCTATTATTAGAAAGTTAAACCAAGAAAAAATAATAGGATTAAGAACTTAGTTTAAGTAGGCTATATTATAAATTCCCTTCTTCCCTGGCTTCTTTACTAAGAAAATAAGTAAGGATTTCTAATTCTAGTTAATTACTTCCCAAACTATTATACTTATTTTACTACTCCTATATAAAGATTATATATAATCTGGGTAATTCTTTTTATTCGGCCAATATATAACCCAAATTCTCTCTCTCTAGTAAGGCCTATAATCTCTCTAATTTGGCTATAGCTTTTCTCTTACTAGTAAAGTAAGTAAATAGATATTCGAACGGGAGTTCCCTAGTTCTTATTAGGTTAGTAACTCTTAAGAATAGATAGAAAGAGGATATTTGAGATTTTAGAGTCTGAGTCTGAGTCTTCTATTATTATATAATAATTAAAGAAGAAAAATAGTAGTTTATAGGAAAAGAAGCAGTGAGGTATGGGTTTTGGTAAGGGGTAGTCACGTGTTCGCTTAAGTATATAATAAGCAATACCGTATACTCTTACTTTCCCGGTTTCTAGAGAATATTTTAGAGAAGAATAAAAATAAAGTTATTATTATTATTTCTAAAGTAATAAATATTATAGATTTATAAGTATTTTATTTTATTATTTTTATTATATTTAATTTCTGGATAAATATCTAGTTTATTACTAGAATATTCTTATTAATAAAGAAATAAATCTATAGGATATTTTCCGAGAATTAAAAGAGCTTAAAGATATTTCTATATAAGTTATATATAATTAGTTATATTAAATTCAGTTATAGTTCCTAAAATATAAGAATAAAATACTTATAGTTTCTTTTATTTCTAAAGAAAGAGGCTATAACTATATTCTTTAAATAGTAAATATTATATTAGAATATTAAGATCTGAAAATATAAACTTATTTAGAGATCTTGATTAAATAATTATTTTTAGTTACTAGAAGGCTCTTATAAAAGAGCTCGTTTTCTAAATTAGATTTCTTAGAACTAATAATACTAGATAGAATAATATTCTTAATATTCTCGAGAGTATTAATATAGTAATTATTTTATATAAAGGCCTTAGTCTCTATAGCTTCTCTTATTTTATAAAGGAATTTTTTAATAAATCTAGAAAGAAAAAAAAGAAGCTTTTTATATTAATATTTTTTATTAATTATAGTAGTTATAATATTCTAAAGAGCCTTATAAAAGTATTTATATATATATAGCTTATTACAAATTAATAAATAAGTTTTCTTATAAATATTTTATTTATTCTTTTTCGAGAATCTTAATTAGTTTATTTTATTTATTTTATAGAAATTAGCTAGAAATAAAAGCTTAATTTCTTTAAAAAAAAAAGAAATTAGAAAGATATTACTATTTTTACTATAATAATAAATAATAGGATTCTTAATTCTTATTACTTTCTTGGCTATATACTAAATAAGATTAGGTTAGCTTTTATAGCCGGTTTCTTAATACTTGATTTGGGCTTTATAGCTAGGAGAATTAGTCTTAATATAGCTTTTAAATTAAAGTTACTTATAAATATTATACTTTTTATTATTATATTTATAATTTTAGCTATTAATACCTCCGGGTTAGTATTCTTATATAATTAGCCTAGTTTAGGCTTTATTTACTATAATACTAGTATATTAGTAAAGCTAGCTATTTCTTTTATAAATAAAATAATAGTAGTAATAATAAGAGATCTTTTTTAATATAAAAAAATAAACTAAATTAATCCAGCTATTTCTATAAGAATTAGATATAAGAAATAAATAAACTTTATTACTAGCTTTAATTTTTAGAAAATAAACTAAAAGTATAATATAGCTATTCTAGCTATTTTATATTAGGCTTCTTTTTTCTTTTTTTTAGAATAGTTCTTATTCTTTATTATATATTTTCCTTTATATATTATATACTTTATTTATTTAAGAATTAAATATTCTATTATTTTATATCTAGTACTAATATATTTCTTATAGATTTAATTAGGTAAGAGATATTAGTTTCTTATATATTTATATTTATAATAATAAAAGTATTATTTCTTATAGTTTATTTTATTGAATTAAATATAGTTTAGAATCTTATTATCTTAAACTATTAATTTCTGAATTACTAAATTAATATATTCGGAGTTTTTAATTCTAATAATTATAGATAATTTCTTTTTAAACTTTATTATTATTAATAGCTAGCTTATATAAATAACTTTTATATTCGAAATATTAGTAGTATTTATTATAATTAATTAATTTTTTTATTATTAATATTCTCTAATATATTAAGATATATATTCTAAATATAAATATTATTAATAATAAATTTAAAGATTAATATAATAACCTTTCTTAATTTATTAAATAGTAGTTTCTAGTCTTTTATATATTATTATAATATATATATTTTTTAGGAAATAGTTATTATAATAGTAATATTATTATTTTTAAGCTATAAGACTATAAGATATATAATTTTATTTATCTCTGGATTTCCTAATTAGATTAATATAATATTAATATATTAGATAAGATATAAGGCCTATAAATAAAGCTTAAAAGAGATTTTATAATCTATAAGCTTAAATATAATTATTTGTTTAGCTTTAGTAATAAGATTAATATTCCTAAAAAAGCTAGTTATATTTAAGATAATAGTAATATTAGTATTTAAGCTATATATAAAACTAGATAAGAAGAATACCTATAATAGAGATATAAATATAGTACTTATAACTTGAGTCTAATTTATAGCTCGTTTATAACTAGTAATTATAAAGAAGAAAGAGATAAATAAGAAAATATATATATTTATAATATTTTTAATAATAATAATATTATAATTTCCAGATATCTAATATTTAAGATATCTAGCTAAATATTAGATATTTCCTAAATATATATAATATAGCTATTTTATTAGAGAAATATATTTGAAATATATTAGAGATATTTAGAAAGCTAAGCTTTTTTAGAACTAGTATATTATAGGATATATATATTTCTTTATAGCTTCTTATATTCTAGTTTTCTTTTTCTTAGCTTTAAATTATTTTTATAAGAGGCTTTTTATTTTACTTTTTAAACTCTAAATATTATATTTATAATAACTAAAATTAGTAATAAATAAATATTATTAAAATTAGAAATACTAATTAATAACTAGATTTATAATAACTAGATATTAAATAGTTTTACTAGATTATTTATTAAAATCTTATAAAGAAATAAGGATTTTAAGTTTATATAAAAGTATTTATAATATTTTTATTAAAAAATAAAGATATTTTTAATTAATTAGAATATATATATTTATTTTAATATTTATTAAATATTAGAAAATTATAATTTTACTTTTCTAATATATTTTATATTTAATAAGAAACTAGTTTTTACTAATTAGCTAAATAAAATTTATAAATTCTTAATAAAGTTTTTATTTTAGGAAAGCTATTTTTATATCTAGAACTAGACTTTTCCTAATTTATTAATATTATATTTCTTATTAGATAATATATAAAAATTAGTATTTTTATTATTTATTTCTAAATTATTATTTATTTCTAAATTATTAGCTTTTTCTAAATTATTAGCTTTTTCTAAATAATTTTCTTTAATAAATATAATTTTATTAGTATTAGAATAAATCTTATTTATATATTTAGGCTTTTTATAAATATAATAATAGAAACTTTTAGATTAGTCTAATTTTTTTAAATTTCTAATAAATTATTTCTTTTAGTTATAAAAATACTATTTATTATAATTAATTTACTAGATATAAAATTATTAATTTCTTGAATTCTAGTAAGCTTTTTGGTTTAGAATAATATTTAATAATAAATAGTTTCTATTAGTTATTTCTTCTAAAATTACTAGTTCTTAATTAAAAAAAAGGTTATTTTCTTATTTTATATATTATTTAATAAGACTTCTAAATATATTAAACTTTTTATTATATAAGCTTTTAAATAATTCGAGATTTATTTTATTTATTTTATTATTATATTAATTATTTAATAACTTTTCTAGTTTATTTACTTTCTAGTATTTTATTTCTTTACTTTTATTATAAGCTTATTAGAGAATTTTAAAGATTTATTTAATTATTAAAATTTATTTAACTAATCTAGATTTTAATTAATTATAAATAAAATAAAGTTCTTAATTCTAATAAATTATAATTAATTACTATAAACTAAAAGAAAAAGAAAACCTTAATATTAATTCCTATATAATTCTTTTAATAAATATTTATTTATTTAGATATTTATGTCACGAGTATAAGATCTAGGGCCTGGAAGGCGTGGTTAGACTGTCTCTATTTCGACGATTCAAAGCTAAAGAGAGAAGAGGATCCTGAAGGAGCCTCGGATCTAAATAATCGCGAGCTATGCACGGGCTCACGTGCTAGCTTAAGCTCGGGGTCACGTGCAACGATCAGGTGACTACAGATGCCTCGCTCAGATGCCAGATGCCTCTCTAGCTCTAGTCTAACCCCTACTAGTACCGTATATCGTAACAACCGTAACAATTTAGATATTTAGATATTTATTTATTTAGATATTTATTTATTTAGATATTTATTTTATAGTTTCTTTTTATACTAGTTTTTTTCTTATATAAAATTAACTAGTAATTATTTTTAGCTTATTAACTTTCTTAATAAATTAATTAATATATAAGTAAAATCTTTAATAAAATTTTATTTATTTATTAGTTATAAAATAATATTTATTAATAAGATTATTATTGCAAAATAGCAAGGAACAGTGATTTGTATAAGTGGTTGTCTGATTAAAAGAAGCTCTAAAGGGAGCCTCTGGATCTAGCTAAATAAAAGGGGCCGCTGAGTAAGCGAAGCTAAGCTCCCTAGTACCCGTATATACGACACACCCCCCAGAGGCTTCTAATTCTATATACAAAGGAAATAGCTAGTAAAGTACTCCCACGAAGCACCCCTAGCCAAAAGGAGTGTATATATATGGTCTATCTCTCCTAATTGAGAGCTAAGAAACCGTTATTCCCTAACGCCTTATATTAAGCTAATAGAACCAAAAGGGGTAGGAAGCAGAGCGTCCCCAGACGTCTCCGGCAGTGCACTCAGTTCCCAAAAAAAAGCCTAGCTCCAGCTCCGGACGGCTCTGCAAGCCCAAAGCCAGGAAACCACATCGTACGCACCATTAACACTCAAAGTCCCCTGGTAACTTCCCTCCATTCTTCATCCAACCCTTCTTCTCAAGCTGCCTACTTAGCTTCTCGTATCCCTTTGCCAAGCGTTCTCGTACGGCCTTCAATTGCTCGTCCGTAGGCTGTAGATCAAGTTTCCTGGTACAGGAACCAGTAGTTGCAAGCTCTAGAATAGAGCAATTAACGGGCTTCCACGGGTGCTTTTCCGCTCTTGTTTCCTTACAAGGATACGAGTGGCCTTGCGAATCAGATCGTCCAGCGAGAGAAGCAAAGATCGCAAGTGAAGAGCGTTCGTTTTGCTGAATCAGGGCCTCAAAGATCCTTCCGTATTACTCGAGCATACGAACGGACTCTCCAAGCGCATTAGCCTCAATTACCAAAGCGAGTTGCTATACTCCCCAAATAGGTATAAACTTGGCTGCTACCACTTGAAGAAAGTCCTTGATTGCCAGGAATCCTTCGACTTCTGCAACTCGGTAGGTTTGAGCTCGTACAAGAGCTTGGTACCAATCATTAATCCAGGCTATAGGAGATTCTCTACCTATTCTGCCACGGTCCAGAATTCTGTTATAATCCTCCCTTACTTATTCCCGCATATTGTCCTCCGATGGCTGGAATTTCTCGCGAAGAGCTCATACGACATTCTGAAGAGAGAGCCTCTGCTGGGAAACGAGTAACTCAAGGTGTGGTACGAGCAGAGCAGGTTCTACCGTACGGCGTACCCAATCCCAGATATTCTGATACCGAGAGCTTTGCGTTAACCAATTCGATTACTTGATAGAGTACTCCTTGAGCCTGAACGAGTATTCCTCCTTGATATCGTCAAAACGAGCTGGACGTGGAGCTCTTAGTCGTGCTCCCTTCTCTGCTTCTGGCCTCCCATCCGCATCCCATATCGCCAATGAAGTGTTTCGCTCGATATTCGATTGCTCAATCATTTGATCGATCGTGAGAGGTGGGGGGGGGTCTGCAGAGAGCAGGTGAGGAGCTTCTGGAGTATCGGGATTAACGAGGTGCCATACGTTTCGAAAGGTGGAATTGATTTTAAGCTCTGCGTACCACGCAGGGAAGCTCCTGCGATTAGTAAGGCGTATATCAGAGACTGGTAGAGCTGCCATTCTAAAGAGAGGAATAAAGGATGAGAAAACCAGGTGAAACGTGTTCTTTTGGTGGTCACGACCGTGGTGAGAACAAACCGCAATTACTAGAACGCTTACTAATTGCTAATAGAGGTATGCAGCTAGTGCGCCGGGCTTATAACTATCGCAAAATAGCAAGGAATAGTGATTTGCATAAGTGGTTATCTGATTAAAAGAAGCTCTAAAGGGAGCCTCTGGATCTAGCTAAATAAAAGGGGCCGCTGAGTAAGCGAAGCTAAGCTCCCTAGTACCCGTATATACGACAATTATTTTATATAAGTAATTTCTATTAGGCTTTATTTATTTTTAAGGTATTTATACTAATTTTAAATTTTAAATTAATTAGCTATTTTTTAATATTTTCTTCTAAAATAATATTATAATAGCTTTTTTAATAATATAAGTTTATAATATTAAAATTCGGCTTTTCTATTTTATTATATTAGGGCCTTTTATTAAATATATTTATAATTATAATATTTAGTTTTAGGCTATTTATAATAGCTTTAAAAAAAATATTAATTATAGAAATAAATATTAAATAAATTCTTTTTATTTAATATTAGTAAATTATAACTAATTATTATTTTATTTAGTTTTAAATTAATAAATTAATAAATTAAAACTAATTTTTTTTTAAAATTAGTAAATTATAACTAATTCTTTTTATATTAGAAAAAGAAGAAAAAACTAATTCTTTTACTTTTATTAATATTAAGGAAATATTATTTATTTTAATTAAAAGCCAGATTCTGAAATTAATTAGATTATAAAAAATAAAATCTTTCTTTTTTTATATTAGTAAAAAACTAATTACTAAAAAAGAAATATTATTTATTTTAGTTAAAAGCCAGGCTCTGAAATTAGTTAGATTATAGAAAATATTATATTTCTAATTAAGCTTTCTAGTTCTTTATAATTCGAGAAAATTATTAAATATTAAAAATAATATTTTAGTTTTAGTTTTTAAAAATAAATATAAGTTTTTTACTAATAGTATTATATTATTTTTATAGGCTAAGTTAAATAAATTTAGTATTATATAATAGCGGAATTAATATAATAATTAAAGACTAAAAGTTTAAAGATTCTTATATATTAGAAAATACTAAGCTATAAAATAAAATAAGAAAAATGCCTTAATTTTTAGTATTATTTTATTTAAATAATTCTGGCTTAGCTTTATTATATATTTATTTCTAATATTTTATTCTTATACTAGCTATTATAAACTTTAAAGAAATATTAATAAATTATAATTTTATTTAGCTTTAAATTAATTAATTAAATCTATATTTTATTTTAAATTAATAAACTATAATTAATTATTTTTATTAAAAAAAAGCAAGTTTTTTTACTTTTATTTTTATTTTTATTAATTTTTAATTAAAAATAAAAATTCGAAAATTATAAAATTATAAAATTCTTTTTTTATATTAATAAAAAACTAATTATTTATTTTAATTAAAAATTATAAAAAAAATTATATTTTTAATTAAAATTTATAATTTTAAAAAATTAAAAAATTAAAATTTTATTATTATTATTAATAATATTATATATTATAAACTAATAATTTAATTAATTAAATAAAATTCTCTAAAAAGAAAAAATTAAAAAAATTAAAAAAAAATTAAAAAAAAGCAAAATTATATTTTTTAAAAAATATTATATAATAAGAATTCTAATTTTTATTATATAATTTAATAAAGGCTTTTAGCTAAATATATAAATCGGGATTTAATTTATTATATTATATTACTTTTATAAATTAAATTAAATAAGTTTAATATTATATAATAATTAAAAGTTTAAAATTTTATAAATTTTATATATTAAAAATATTAAATTAAAAAGTAAAAAAAAAGAAATACCTTAATTTTTTAATATTATTTTATTTAAGTATTTTAATTTGGTTTTATTTTATATTTATATTTAATTTTTAATTTTAATAAATTATATTATTATATTAGATTTAAATTTATTAAATATATAAGTAAAGTCTAATTAATTTCTTATAAAATAAAAGATAAATAAAGTTTACTTTATATATATGTTTATATAAGCTAGTTGGCCTTGCACGTGGTTATGTGCATGTGACATGTCACATGATTATATTCAATAGTTTCTTGCACCATGTGCTACGAGTATTCGAGCTCTTTACTTAAGAATATCCCTTTCACGTCTGGGTGACCCAAGAAGTTGTCAGTGCTCGGGAAGTTGAGGTTTATCGCGGAATCGATTCTATAAGTTGGCCAGACTTAGTGGCTGTTCCAGAAATGATTGCAACCGATCGCTTTCAAAGTCTGATTGAAGCTGATCCCCGCCAACCTAATATGTATCCGATACAAAGCTTTGCCTTCTGGCGCTCCCAAATGCTACGGTTTCCAAAATGCTTGAACTATTATATACCAAGCACACCAGCGACCCCATCTACCGCATATATGGAATCATTGGACCCACGAGAGCAAGAAACAACGAAGGACTTCAGATCGATTACTCTAAGTCCGTTCGCCAGCTGGTTTTGGATGTCTGCGAATAAATTATATCAACGTCATAGAAGCTAGGCATCATCTATGCTCATTCTAGAGTGCCCTTGACTTTCACGTCAAACGACGAATTTTCTTTCTAGCATGAGGCTTTCTATCGACAGAATCATGGAACACAGGATTGAAACAGAGATGACTCACTGGAAAGATATGAAAGAGGCTGTAAAAACCTTCTATCGCTGGCATAGATTGTTGAGGAAATAGTTGAAAGATGCTCGGAGTCAATGGGAAAGGTCCATTCGCACTCCGTGGACTGAGGTGGAGAAGGAGGAGTCTGTAACATCTGAAAGAATGCACGCAGCGGAAGAAATCAAGTGGTATGTAGGAAGGTGTGTCTGGGAGAATTTGACGATCTGCAGTGTAGCGCGAATCCGGAAATTGTAACTTGGCCTTGAAAATCGGCCTTGTCGATGGAATTGTAAATTATGTGTGTCGCTACTTGTTCTTTATATCAGAACACAAAACCTTTGGGGTTTGGACCAGATATGTTGCAAAATGGCGACCTAACATGTGTTTTGGTTGCAAATATCCACTAATACTCAGCCGTACTACTACTTCGTTGGGCCATCATATATTTCGAAGGATACATGTGGGACAGAGGAGCCAGAGAATTGGAACAGTCGTTCTATGCTGTACAGTATTTGAGTTACACTGAATTCCATCAATTTCTCTGAAGATGGTGAAGAGGACAATCGCCTCCTGCTTCATGCAAAGAGACTTGTGCACTCTCGAGCCTTGTCCCGTGCCTTCATGCATCTGCCACCAGCTTATCCTGTAGTAGAAACAAGTAGAACGGACACGCATAAAATAGTTAACACATGAGTTGATATAGCATGAGAGGCAGATAAATTATGAGCTGGCTATCCCGCCTGTGAAGACAGGGTTGGAGCAAAGGGCTGAGTTGATGGGTGGGGATGTGTGTGAGGCAGGAAATAGTGAAGCAATTCTATAATGCTCCTAAATCCCTGAAGGTAGATGTATTAAAGCCGCGGAATCCGACAGTGAACGCCTGGAGTGCATGTCATGATTCTACTATACAGGTGGAGACACAAGATAGCCACCAAGTTGCAAAGGCTGTCTAACTCCTTGGTGGCATGAGGATAACGGACTATTTACCATCTACAACAACATACGTCGGGGGTCCTCGATGTACTCCTTGACCTTCACCAAAAACTGCACAGCCTCCCTGCCATCAAGAAGGCGATGGTCATACGTCAGAGCAAGATACATCATAGGGCGTATCACAATCTGACCGTTGACAACAACTGGTTTGTCCTTGATAGCATGCAGCCCGAGAACGGCAGTCTGAGGAAGGTTGATGATAGGAGTGCCCATCAAGGAACCGAAGACCCCGCCATTGCTGATGGTGAAAGTACCACCAGCCATGTCTTCAATCGTGAGCTTGCCATCTCGAGCCTAAGCACCAAGTTAGTATCCTTGTATATAACGTAAGAAATCTTGACACACCTTCTTGCCCAATTCTGCAATGGATTTCTCGATGCCGACAAGATCCATTGTTTCTGTGTTCCTGACCACGGGAGTTACTAAGCCCTTCTCCGTTGCGACCGCAACACTGATGTCCACGTAATCTCTATACACAATGGTATCGCCACCATTTGGTCCTTCAATGGAGGCGTTGACAGCTGGGATATCTCTCATGGCAAGTACGGAGGCACGTGAAAAGGCACTCATAAACCCGAGCTTCACCCCAGTCCTCTTCAGCACATCATCTTTGTAGAGCTTTCGAAACTCCATAAGGGACGACATATCGACCTCGTTGAATGTTGTCAGAGAGGCAGCAGTGTTTTGTGATTGCTTTAGTCTCTCCGCAATTCGGAGGCGCATGCGGTTCATCTTGACCTGCACAGAGGATCAGCAAACTGGATTTGAAGCCAAGCATCGAACTTACACGGCGCTCTTCACGGCTTCCAAAGGTAGGGGCGGATGTGCTTGGCTTTGAATCCGTCTTCTTAGGCTCAGATTGCTTTGGGGGCGGAGTCTCCCTCGTAGGCTCTGGTTTCTTCTCCTGCGACGGAGGTGGAGGCGTGGGTTCATCCTTTGGTGTTGACTCGCCTTTCTTCGAAGGCCCCGGATCCGAAGATGTAGATTGATCTTTGGAAGCGGGTTCCTTGGGTTCCGAATCTGTCTTCTCCTTCTCACTTCCTGAGGGAGCTCCTCCGAGCTCGAGACGCACCAAATCTTGCCCGACCGTAACAGTGTCCTCTTCATTCGCAAGGAATTCTTTGATAGTCCCTGCTTCAGGCGCATTGACTGCTACATCAATCTGGGAGAGTCAGCCGGCCAGCTCCTAGCAAATGGGGAGGCTGCAGAAGTACCTTGTCCGTCTCAATTGTTGCAATCTCTTCATCCTGTTCCACAAAATCTCCAATCTGCTTTGACCACTGTTTCAGAGTCCCTTCTGAGATCGATTCGGCCATTTCCGGCACCTTGACAATTTTGTCTGCAAAGCTGCGGAACTGCTGGGCAACAATGGGAAAAGGGTATCTCGGTCGCGGTGTTGGGCGCGTCCGCAAAAGGCGCGAGGCAACTAACAGCCTCTTCGACAGCATGCTGAACTCGAATAGGAGAAAAGAAGGGTATGAAGGGAGAATTGGGTGTTGAAAGAAAGTGAGAGAGCGAAAACAAGCTTCGGACAAGTATTCTTGAGCTATCCGAGATTCTCTGCAGCCTCACCTCAAGCGACAGCACTAGCGCCACTCTCTCCGACATCTCACGACCCGTCCCGAGGCGACAACGACCTCCAACCCTCCCAACACTCGAATTGAGGCAACAGACTAGCACCCAGAGCTATTTTATGTGCGAAGCAATTGGTTGAGTGTTGCAGCTGAGCAAAGAGCGTGGCTAGGCGCTCCTGCTCGACCGGAAAGATGTCTACCAAACAAGTAGTTTCGTGCGTATCCCAGGGCTTCCAATGAAGGAATGAACGCTGACCAAAGGCCTCCCTTAGTTCACTCTATCGACGTTCTTTGAAATTGGCACTGGATTGGTCTGTTCACCGATATCTATGGCGCGGGCAAGCAATGTACATCAGGTCATTGTTTGAGGCAAACAAGAATATCAAGGATCCACGACAACAGAGAGTAAGTGATACGGGGAGATAAGGGATCACGTCAACTAATTCTTCGGCTCCCAGGCGTTATTTCAAGAGGTAGAAGATTTGCTGGAGAAATGGAAGCATCCCGATCCGTACCATGCACCAACGGCACCAGGAGGTCAGTTTACTCTATATTGGAGTATTACTATGAACTATGACTGATCAGGATCTGCGATCCAGGGTCTAAATTTGAACGGAATCTCCCAGCACCAATCCTCGACCGTAAGTCATACCACAGCGCCCGTTTTGCCATTGTATATCTAACTGACGTACCCAGCTCCCCCCCACATCACAATGTAGATAGGCTACGCTGGGTTGAGCTGGGCTTGAAGGTCGTTTGGGGTCTGTACATATGGAGAATGGAGAAACGCAAGTTGACAATGCAAGAGTAGATATAATTGGCCCTGATTAGGTGTGGAGACCTGAAGTCTGCCAGCTGCTTGCCATGTTTTGAACAGAGTATCCCGCACAGGAAAGCTGCAATGCTCAATATCTATGCTATCAAGCGCCACGTCGTAGAACGTGAAATCCAGCTTCTGAGCGGATGACTCTCGCTCATTCTCAACGTGTAGATTCCTGCCTGCCATGGTTGGCCAATTTTGAACAAGTTGCCTCCTCTCCTCCTGACTTCTTGAACAACTTCCTCCCTTTCTTCTTGAAACGAGACCCAGAACATTTCAAGATGCTCTTGAATGGATGTCTGTTCTCACCAGAAATCCCGAACTACTTTCCATGCAAGTGACATCATAGATGACGAGATCACCAAAGGGCGGTGCACAAAAGGCGGAAGATTGTGGTTTTATCGGTTTCTCATAAGATTGATTTCAGAAGCAATCCTCATCCATTGCCATGGATTTTAATGTACAACCAGAACGCGGGAAAAAGCAGCCGTGAACCCAGACCCAGACGACACCCCATTATCATGAAAGCAAACCCTCGAGAAAAAACCAAGCCAGAAGAAAAAACCATCTACAGCTCTTGGCTGGCAGTCTTTCCACCCTTGGCCGTCTTCTTTGGGAGGAGGTCTGGAAATTGATTAGCACTGCTGTGAATTGGAATCACGGAAAGCTTACTCTGGTGAATGTTAGGCAGGACACCACCTTGCGCGATTGTGACGTGTCCGAGAAGCTTGTTCAGTTCCTCATCGTTGCGGATGGCGAGTTGGAGATGGCGAGGGATGATACGGGTCTTCTTGTTGTCGCGGGCAGCGTTACCGGCCAATTCGAGGATTTCGGCCGCAAGGTATTCAAGGACAGCTGCGAGATAGACGGGGGCACCTAAGAGACGCGTTAGCAAATGAAAACGCGCTGTGAAATCTGGGTCAACTTACCAGCACCAACACGTTGAGCGTAGTTACCCTTTCGGAGGAGACGGTGGACACGACCAACTGGGAATGCGAGACCAGCCTTGGATGATCGGCTATGAAATAGTTAGTAATGAGTTCCGAACAAGATTGAGAAGTGCTTGAAGCTGATGAACGAAGATGGAAAAAGGACGCGTCAAAAGGCATCCAAGATGCCGTGTAAACAAGAAGGGGAGGATGCGACTCACGATTGCGCGTTCTTGGAGCCACTAGCCTTTCCTCCGGATTTGCCTCCAGTCATTTTGATGGATTTGGATTTGTTTGGTGGGGAAAGATGAGGTTAGTGAGATGGATTGATTGATGGAGACGTGGTCGTCGTTGGTGTTGTAAGTTGGGCGATGTGGTTGGAGTTGAAGGAAAGATGGAGGAGTGCGAAGCAGCGAGACTTTATTCTGCCCGCGACAATTGGCGCTAGTGCTGGTGATCGCGAGTGAGAAAAATGGTGCTAACCTAATCGAGGTCCGCGCTCACAACAACACAAAACGGCGCACGGCGCACCTCAAATGCGACAGGCCAATAGAATCCATTGCTTCATCCACACCCCAAAATTTCGCGCCTGCACACCCGCATGCGCTCGTGCCCCCTAAACTCTCACTTCACTCCAATCTCCGACTCCGACTTCAATAGAAACATGTGCCCGTGCCATACAGTCCATCTCCACATCACTCAGAGGTTTCCTGAATTGTGAAGGTCTGGTTGCAGTATTCTACTCAGCCCAGGGAATTTGGAGGTCTCTAATTACACCTCTTCTCAATGGATCCCATCACTCAATCTCAGGACCGAGAAATAGAGAAATCAAACTTGGCAGTTGCGTCCAGAGACTGAACATGGTTCCGGAAATGGCAAGAATAAGGCAGGCTCTCCTTTCTTGATAAACAGGCTGGGAGCTTGAGCTTCTCCTTTCTCACTTCCTCTCAAATCCTTCAACTTATCAGCGCGAAGCCGAACGAGCGGATTGTGCCACCTACATCCTACAATTCCAGACATCATTTCCAAAGTCCTCCGGAAACTTCCAGTTCAGTCAGGCCACATCACTATCACAATGGCGGATAAGACGGCCAGGCAAGTACAGGAGGTAACCATATCGAGTAAGCCACCTCTTCTGACTTCGGGTAATGTTCCTGATAAATCTACAATACTTCGATAAAACACTCCAAAGAGGTGATGGAGAAGAGAGGTTGACTACTCGAGGACGATGTTGATACATTCAGTTTGCTCGGAGTGTTTTTACCTCGATCATCTTTCTCCGGTCAACGTTGATCATCTCACAACAACGAGTGGTCCAATTTACAATCGATTCGCGCTCTACTACTTCGCCGAGAAGCGTTGTCTGGTTGACCTCATGGACTACATAACGTGTTCCCTAATGTCAAACTACACGAAGTACAAGAGATTATAGAGCGTACAAGGAGGGGATTGAGGAGACGGTCCGGGTGCCAGAAGATAACGAGGATTCGTTCAGCTCCCGTATAAAATAATAAACGATCTACAAGTCGGACAATATTGACATTCTGGTTGTATAAGCAGCCAAATATCGTCGAACCAAAGTCCTTCTTTCACCATGGTGCCCACTGACCTCCCTAATAAGATAGAGGTGGCAAGGTCTGAGAAGTTGCATTTTCCTATTATATTTAGATTGTTAGAATTGTCTTGTGCCAAGTTACTTCGATTCTTCATTTGCCGCACAATACAGAAATGAGGAAGGTTGCGGGGCTGCGGATCCACTGCTGTAATCCCTGCACCTCTCTTCCCTGCTCGGCCAAACCCTGTATCAGCCGCTCCCGCGACAAATAATATTTTGAACTGGATTGGAGAACCCCGCAACTTTTCCAACATCTCGGCACTCTGCCCCAGAACAGAGTCCATGTCGAAGTATGGGCGCGGAGCAGTCTTCTGGGCGCGGTTCAAATGCCCAAGCCAGTGACGTTGTTAAGAGATGCTATTATGAAGTGCTGGGCGTGGAACGCTCTGCAACTGGTGATGAGTATGCAGCCAGTCCTTGAAGGCAACGGATTCACGGCTTATCTCTATCTGCAGGATAAAAAAGGCCTATAGGAGGAAAGCACTCGAGCTTCATCCTGACCGCAATTACGGAGATGTTGAGGCTGCCACTACAAAGTTCGCCGAAGTCCAGTCCGCCTACGAAGTTCTTTCAGATCCTCAAGAGAGAGCCTGGTATGACTCCCACCGCGACTCTATTCTACGGGGGGACAGCGGGCCAACAGAAGACCATTTCGAACACAACGTGCGACTCACCAGCTCTGCAGATATTGTGAGGTTGATCGGCAGATTCAACGCAAGTGCTCCTCTCACAGATGCGCCCAATGGATTTTATGGAATACTTCGAGAGACGTTTGCGCGACTTGCCAAGGAGGAGGAAGCAGCCTGCGATTGGGAAGGACTCGAGGTTACAGACTATCCGGATTTTGGGACGGCTGTTGAGGACTACGAAGAGGTCGTCAAGCCTTTTTACAGAGTCTGGATAAATTTTACCACGAAGAAAACCTTTTCATGGAAAGATGCCTATAGATCAGCAGACGCCCCGGACCGAGCAACGCGAAGACTTGTGGATAAGGAAAACAAGAGATTGCGGGATGAGGGGATTCGAGAGTTCAACGACGCCGTGCGGTCACTGGTTGCTTTTGTAAGAAAGAGAGATCCACGATATATTCCCAATTCCCAGTCCGAGGCAGATCGCCAAAGGCTCCTTCGAGAAGCTGCTGCTGCACAGGCGGCACGATCGAGAGCCGCCAATCAAGCCAAGCTAAAGGAGCACATAACACCTGCCTGGGCACAGACACAGCAGGCCGAGGATGATGGTCAGTTCTCTGAATCGGAGGAGTCGGAAGTAGAGCATATTGAATGCGTTGTCTGTGGCAAGACTTTCAAGAGCGAAAAGCAATATGAGACTCACGAGAAAAGTAAGAAGCACATCAAGGCAGTGCAACAGCTTCAGAGGGAGATGCGAAAGGAAAATGAGAGGTTAAACCTTGATAACTTATCCAGTGGCCAACTTAATAACACTGCCTCTCGGCCTGACAGTTTAGATAATAACCAGGAAGAAACCAAGAAGGACACGAAAGCACCCTCTTCTGACCACCTGCCGAATGGTGCTTCGGACGGTCAAGGCGAAGGTCACAGTGCTATGAATACTACTGCAGAAACAATCTCAGAACAGGAACATAAAGTTCAGGTTGAATCTGCTTCTGATAATTCTGATCCTCCCGATGTGGACGAATACGCATCCAGACAAGACATCGAGAGTCGACGCTTTAGCTCAATCTTCGGGAAACTTGCACAGGGAAGCCTCGATGATTCAACTGCAGCCACATCAGCCGCCAGTGATGGTGATGGCAGCCAAAAGCTTGGGAAAGCCAAATTGAAGCGTGCGAAGAAAAAGGCTAGGCAAGAACAAGAAGACCAAGAAAGCCAAGAGGCAAGAATATTTGTGTCTTTATTCAGGCCACCCTACTAATACTGAGCAGTTCAGATGTGCAGCTTGTAATGAGCCGTTCACTTCCAAGACAATGCTCTTCAGGCATATCAAAGAATTCGATCACGCTCAGCCTGTGGCCCAGGCCGCGAACGGCAGGAACAAAAAGCGGTAGCTTCTATGTCGCATGGGAAAGGGCTTGATCTTATTGGGATACCACAATTCATAGCGAGGCGTTAAGAGGGAGTTTGTGGGCTTAATTACTGCAGCTTAGATCATCAAAAGTACAGTGGCTGCGAATACAAGTCACTGCTCCAGAATGTCCTGCATTTGGATGTTCAAGAAGCAGCTTGTGTGGGCTTGAATCTAAAATGTGGCCCTTCCCCCATAATCTGCGCCTGTGAAGACCCCACACCATCCCTGACCGTCCGGGCCCGTCCCAAAATGGGCTATGCATTCAAAAGAGTATTGCCATCGTCATCCTCATCATCAAAAGTCTCAACCTCGTCGATTGCACCATCTCGCTCGGTGCCCAGGCCATGAAGTGCTGGGTCTTTATCTGCCACATGGATCACTGCCTTGCCTTGGACTTCTTGGGTGGCCCTTCGCCATTCCTTCCAGTCATTCTCGTCACGAATAAGGAAGGCAATCAGCATACTTGGATCCATTTCCTTCACGTGGATTCTCCGTAATCTTCGGGTGTGACAAGAATCAATGTCCTCTTGAGCATAATTGTCGAGGTTTTCCGGTAGTGGTAGAGCTGGCCGAGTCATGTGAGGGTCGAGGTAAAAGAAGTAGGGCCCTTGCACGCCAATGAAATAGTGTGAAGAAGAGGGTTGGCCGCTGGTAACGTTAACATCAAAGCTTTGACGCAGATATCATGAGCTTACCCAGCAATCCCTATGGACTGCGGCATTTGTAACGAAGCCTTTAACGCCTCCCAATAAACGGGAGTTATTTTGTCCAAGCCAAGGCGAGTCCCCACCAGTATAAGGGTAGGGTTGAAGGTAAACCCACCAGGCTTTGCTATATTCATGAAAGCATCTTCATACACATCCAAGCCATCACCAGTAATGTAAACCCGTAGGTCTGATCCTTCGTGATTTGTTAATGCTCTGATCCCAGTCAGCAAGTGCAAGAAAGGTTGCTAAGTCAATCTTACTGAATACAGCGAGCAGTGGCCGAAGGTCCAAACCACTCTCCGGGATACTTCCCGCAGGCTGTGGCGCCATGTTCAACGAACTTGTGTATTGAATAGGGTGCTTTCGAATTATCCGCAAACAAGGATATGATCTTTCGCTCTTCGGTATCTTGTGTGCCACGTCTCCAAGCTGGTCAAGTCAATACTCTAAGCGTCCAGGAGACAGAATTTCATCTTACCTCTACCCATTCGCAGCATGACCAGGGCGTTCGCTAGAAGGCTTTGTCCAGACCTGATCATACACCCCCACCCTGTATCTGAAGTAAAACCAGCTGGCTCAACAAGTTGGCTTCGAAATCGTACGGCAAGGGACATTGACGATAGTGCTTTCGGGTCCTGCGACTTAGGAATAATCGGGAAATTCGAACGGTAGGTAAGCCATATTCTGGCCTCGAAATCATCCAGGAAAGTCGAAGGCCAACCTCCATCCTCTCCATTTCCAGAATCGCCAGAAGTCAACTCAGAGTCAATACTGCTCGCAGTGCTATCTGGAGGCGTCACAGGATGGGCTGGCTGAGGTGCCGCCACACGGGGAGGCTTGGATTCTTGCGGAGGAGAGGTGGAAGAGGAGGTGCGCGGTTTTGGAGAGATCTTGTATTCTTTGCCTAAGCACCATATTGGAGAGTCTGAGGCTGTGTCGACTGATGGTTCGGGATCCCAAAAGTACTGTACGATCCGCTTGTATCGGTCAACTGTTGTCATCGTGGCTCCCTATGCTGCTCGAGCCTGGGCGTTGAGTGGCATCGACATTAATGGTTTGGATCGCGGGGAATGTGGAGCTCGAGCTTGTTTGGGGGATATGAAGCGGTTGCAGGAAAAGTCTTCGAAGAGGAGGGGGAGAAGGAGGGTTGAACAGGAGTTCGAGGGTTCTCTGAATGACCCCTCTGGCACTCGATCATTCACGCGTGAAGCTTACAGAGAGAGACAGCCAGGCTGCCGATGACCCAGTCACTAGGTTTCTCGCTTGAGGTGCTTGAGGTGGCGTATCAGCTCTATCCTGCTTCTGGGCAAGGCTGCACAACGCTTTTGGATTTGATGGCACATTAGAATACACGGTTTTCATGGAAGCAGGATGAGTTCTCGAATTCCATTTAGAATTCAGCACTGGGCTGCCTAACGAGTAACAGCCGCTTCCCAAGAAACTAAAGGATCACCACTGCTGGTGTAATTGATGATGGCATTCTGTTTGTTGTCGCCTTATCGGCGATAAGGCTGTTAGCGAGCTGTACCTGACGAGATTGTTTGGCCAAACATTGTACAAAGCAACTCACTGGCGTCGTCCTTCTCACGCTTGCGCAAGAGGAACCACCCCAAATCCATCGAACTACCTCTCCTCTTAGAGGAATGAATGTCCACCCATGATTTGACGATCTGAACGTTTGATCCAGTTAGGATGCCACGTACCAAGAAAGCAGCGCAGCGGGGCAACCACCACGGTAGATCTCGCGGTGGTCAATTTAATGGCACAGAATCGCCCAGGAGAGGACATGGTGGTAAGAGCCAGCATAAACATCTGGTGTGGTGATGATTGGAACTCAAAAGCTGACGCACTCGCAGGGTTCACATTGCAGGAGGAAGCTCGCAATACGGAGCGGCACCAATCTTTCTGGGATACGGATCGACGATTGAGGGACACAAGGGTGAACTTTGTCAGTGCCGGGACTCTTGAGTCAACGAAACCAAAGGACACAGAAACTGCTCTTGCGGAAATGACCCTGGATTCCGATACTACCCCCGATAATACGGACGAGGCCCAGACAGACGTCCATTTCTCGGCATCTTCAGCTGATGCTCAAAAAGCGTCAGATTCTAGGATTGATCAAGCTGATATCCAATGCTCTACTGAGAATAGGACATTCTCCGACTTCGTCGTTGACACTGAAGGCGGCGAACCTATTCACACTGACATTCCTCCCCCTCGCCTACGATCCGTCTCTCCAACCCCGTCTAATTCCAGCGAGGAGGTGATTTTGTTTCGTGGACGAGATCAGCACGGGAGAGGTCTTTCCAAGGCACCCCAAGCCACGAGATCGACAAGCACCATAGACGCGAAGATCAGGATCGTTGAAGATAGGATTCACGAGAGAGAGGAGCTGCTACAGGAAGTGCTTCGCCACAAAGAGTCTTCCATCCCGCCAGAGGTCTTAGCTGAAGCATCGTCGGCTGAAATGGATGGTCAGCGCTACAAGCAACGAGGCCATCCCAATCGACAGAACCGTGGCGCATCTAAGAAACAGACCGATGAGGACGCAATTCTTGCTGATTACATCGCGAATATGGATAATCAGGATGATGGAATACTCGGATCTTTTAATCAACATGAATTGGGTGGCTCAGCAGACGACACTTGGCGAGAAACCGGAGATTCTTCTGGAGATGCCCTGGCAACGACCAAACAGCCACAACAAGCTGGTTGGGAGCGCTCTGACATTTGTGATTTCGATGATTTGAGCACCTCGGATGGAGTAATGGGAGATGTGCTGGCCATACTATCCAAAAGAGATCGACAGACAGGCGTACAGTATCTCGTTGTGTGGGAAGATCAAACAGTTGATGACGCCAGATGGATTCCTGTCAATACATTGACCAGTCTCTCCGCCTTATCACACATCGAGAAGTTTGAGGCCGAGGAGAAACTTGTGGCTGAGTTTGAGGATAATGGTGACGATGACACAAGTGATTCTGATGACGAAGGTGTCGATGGTGTCGCTGATGAGGACGAGGACGAGGACGAGGAGGCTGATTTGGTCAAGAAGAAGATTGAGCTCATGAGCGATGAGCGAATTGCAAGACTCTTGGCCAAGCAAGAGGAGCTCGGAATGGGTTCTGTAGAGCTCATGTTATTTGACGAAGAGGCTGATGGAGAGGAGGGAGACGACTCGGAGTTCCCCAGAACTTCCTTCACACCTATAATGCTTCCGTCCAAGAGGAGACAACCAAGGGGTGTAGGGTCTCAGCGGGCACGAGGCGATTTCCCTCCTGCGAGTCTGTTAGCCGATGCCTATGACGGATTTGATGTGATGGATTTTGACCGACCAAGTCTGAAGAAGAAGCCCAAGGGTCGTAGAGGAAAGCTCGAGTTTGATCTCTCAGACTCGGAACTTGAAGCGTCAATGCAAATGGCTTGGGACAACGACCGAATCAAGAAGAAAGAAAGAAAGCAAGAACGGGAGGAACTGCGAGCACAAGGTCTACTTGGAAGCAAGAATGGCAAGCCCGACTTGAAGCAGAAGTACAAGGAGGGAATGGGAATTCATGTCGTCAAGGAGGAGATCAAGAAGTTCTTAATGGGCAACGATACCACGTGAGTTTCGTTATTTGTGAATGATTAGGTTTCTGACTAATTCTGATAGGCTCTCGTTACCTCCCATGGACAAAGCAGACCGCAAGGTTGTTCACGAGCTTGCAAATGCTTTCCACATGAAATCAAAGTCTGCTGGAACCGGCAACAATCGATTCCCCATCTTGATTCGAACAACGCGCACCTCGGTCTATGTGGAGCGTAACTTCAACGCCGTTGAAGAAAGACTGAGCCGTCGTTTCCTTCCCCGGATGGATGTTGGTGGTAGAAGATCTGGTGCTGGCGCCAAACGCGTGAAAGGAAGCGGTGGTTTCAACAACGCGTCAGTCAGCTATCGAGACGGTGATATTGTGGGTGCATCCGCACCAGAGCTGGGAGCTGAGAACAGAGGCCGGGCGATGCTTGAGAAGATGGGCTGGAGCTCAGGCACGGCTCTTGGTGCTCTCAACAACAAAGGCATTCTGCAGCCAGTCTCGCATGTTGTTAAGACCACGAAAGCCGGTTTGGGCTAATCGATTTGCAGCTTTTCGAGGGGTTCCTATGTCTGATTATTTTGCAATTAACGATCCCCCTACGAAGGTGTAGCAAGCTCCATAGAAATGAATGAGACATTGTTCCGGGTTGCGTAATTCTGCCCGCGTGTCAGACAACTGCATATCAAAAATCACAAGGCAATTGAAAGACGAGTTATTGATTTTTGATGTTCATTGAATTGTCCTCTTGAATTCCCTATTCTCAAGACTTATTGTACAGCCACGTACCCCGAAAGCAGACCGTGAAGACATTTGCCCCCAATAAAAGCAGACCATCCATAACGCATTAAAAGAGACCCGAAGATCCCGGAGCCACTCGAGCCTCATCAAGCTAGATGACCCAAAGCCAAAGCAAATCCGACACCTTATGAAAAACCCAAAAAGGAAAGCCTATTTCGTGGATGAAGAGTACTTTGTGACAGCCTTAGTACCTTCCGAAACAGCGTGCTTTGCGAGTTCACCAGGGAGAATGAGTCGGACACTGTGCGCATTGTCAGCAGGGGCTCGAACGAGCGGAGGTGAGAAACATACGAGGTTTGGATCTCTCGGGAAGAGATGGTGGACTTCTTGTTGTATGCGGCGAGCTTCGAGGCCTCGGTTGCGACACGCTCGAAAATGTCTGAAAACCGCGTCAGTAATCTGGAAATGGGTGCGCGGTGTAGATGGGGAATGCATACCATTGACGAAGGAGTTCAGGATCGACATAGCGCGGTTGGAGATACCAGTGTCGGGGTGGACTTGCTTGAGGACTGCAATTGAAGAGTTAGCAAAATGTTTGAAATGGAAGACGCGACTCGATGTTGATAGGTGAAGGTGAAGTGGATTAGAGGCCGTGTTGTGATGTTGTGGACGCGCCAAATGCTTGGAAAATGACGCGACTTCGAGGAAATGGATTCGTACCTTTGTAGATGTAGGAAGAGTAGGTCTCCTTGCGAGTCTTGGTTCGCTTCTTCTTGTCACCAGTCGCAGCGGTCTTCTTGCCGGCTTCCTTCTTCTCGGCGGGGGCCTTGGAGGCAGGTGCCTTGGAGGCGGGCTTCTTCTCTGCTGCGGCTTTGGGAGGCATTTTGAAGTGGTTGGAAGTTAATGGACGTGGAAGTCGTAAAAGGTGTTTGGATGAAGCTGATGAAGTTGGATGGATGCGTGGTTGGGCGTGGTTGGTGCTTGTGTTGATGGTGGGAGAAAGAAAGAAAAGGATTGAGGGCAGGAGTCGAAGTTAAGTACTCCAGACGATTTCACGCTAAAACCAGATCAACCACCTTTTAGCGTGACTTTTGACAAGCGAAGCAACAACAAAAATGGCGCTAGTTCGAATTCGCGAATGCACCGCAAGCACGGACTTTGTGCCGTAAGGCATCAGCTGGTGGTTTAAGGCAGAGTTAATTTACTAGGGCACACCGATGTTGTTGTGGGGAGGATTGATCCACGCACGCCCATGCTCATTCTCGTGACATTGTGGCACTTTCTCCATTTCTCCATCAACACCCTCGAACTCGCACTCAAGCCGAAAACCCAGCAAGACAGGTAGCGACACAACGGCAGCACCGCATTTCAATGCTCAAACGAAATCCCTTCTGTACCACAATCTTGTCATGCGCTAAAGATTTGCTTATTGGGAAGCCTCTTCACAACACGAGGATGGTAATAAATTTTGTTGTGGTTGGCTCTCTCATCTAATTAATCACCATCGTAGGTGCTGCACTGTTGCGGGTTTCTCGTTCCCCCAGTTCGCGTCTTGCTCTCTTGTCCCCATGGATCCTCTTTTCTTGTCTTATGGACCTGTTCAAGGCAAAGTTTGCATCGGCCTAGTAGGATCACTGCTGATATTGTGTGCTTAATAACAGAATGTCTGACAAGTCCTTTCCTTCCTCCCTCGTATTGTTGCTCAACCTCTCCCGCTGCAAAATGCGAACACCCAAATCCCGACCACGGCTGGGCAAATGGCACTGCTCTACCCTGCTTTGACGATGGCTGGGTGAGGTGAGATGCCTCAGTGGCTCTAATCGCTGTGGACGTCCTATCCATCTTGGTCGAATCAAACTGCCTCTGAGCAGAAATGTTTCAGCGGATCCCGGACTCGTTCATACAACGAGGTCGAGGCAGGGCACTTGGAACAGTCACATGCACAGAACCCCGTCGGACCCGAAAACCGACTATGGAGTCGCTTTGTCGCGAGTAGCGAGATCGAAACTGTGCGCGTTCATCGCTCGATCGCTTCGATACATCATCAGTGAACCCGGTGGAAGCTCCTTTTGCCCTTCAAGAGAACGTCGGTCGGCTCACGATAGACATGGAGGATTTGACGATGGACGTCCTTTCGTTGATGCGGTCGGATAGGTAGAAACAGTAGGTCCCCTGGAGTAGCCTGTCAAACGTATGGCTTCAGAAGAGCTGATTACGAATCTTCTTTATACTCTCTGTGGACCTCGGCCTACACGGGAACAGGCCCTCTTCAACCCTCTCGATAGCTTCGCGAGTACCAAAGCAAAGATATACGATGCCGCCGAAGAAGTCTGATCTCGAAGGAGCATGCTGTGTGGCGTGCTATCATGAATGCTTGCTCTCAGTTTCGCATGCCCGGCAGGTTTCTCTGCCTGGGCCGCAAGGGATCACCTATTTCTGTGGCACTCCAAGTCTCGAGTTCTGAAGCTTTACGTTCGATTCTACGGACACTCTCTTCTCCCTCAGATTTGATATCCTCAATCCGTTCTTCAAGTAGATCCTTGCTCTCATCGACTTCCCGTACATGTCGCTCGAGAACCGCTTCCTCGTTTGCTGCCGCATCCTTCAATTCCGTAACTTCCTTCTGCAAAGCTTCGTATTGTCGCACATCTTTAGACTTCTCGGCTTCTGCCGCCTGCTTCTTGTCGAAATCATCTTCTAATTTATATCGGGCATCCTCAAGTTCGCTCTCGTGTCGGAGCTTTGCAAGCTCTTCCTGCTTGTGATTGTCGATGGCGTATTTTGATTTCTTGACCTCAGCCTTTTGGTTCGTCCATCTCTCGATGTTTCTTTTCCCGGTCCTGGTCGGATTCGAAAGTAGACTCGTCTCTTACGAGGCCGCCTACAGGAATTCTTGTTTGAGTTGCGGCGCCGAATCTCTGGTCAATCCTTCAGCGCTAGAGGAAAAATCCATTCTTACCTGCACTCTCTTCTGCTGCCAATTGGACATCCGGAGACTCTTCGGTTTCCAGATCTGTGCCGCTTTTGCGGTTCGTGTATCGAGCCTCCAAAGCCTGTTTTGATGTCGGCGGTACTTCTTTCGATCAAACGACATGTTGCTTGAGTGCTTTGAACTTTCAAAGCCTCCACTGTTTGCGTCCATCCGAGGTCGCCTCTGCCTATCCGTTCAAGCAATTAGATTTTATCCTTGAGTTTTGACCCTACCGCTCCGCCTCTTCATGATTCTCCATTGAGTATACAAAGATTAAGGATCGGAGGCAATCCCCTGCTCCTCCTCTGAAATGCGAGAGAATATTGCACTTTAAGACTTGCTCCCAGCGCCAACGCATTCAATCCTGCGCCGCTCCTTTCCGTCGTTGTTATGGTCCCCTTCGATGCAACTTCCCAAAGAGAATTCGTGTGGAGGTGGCAGGTGCCCCCGAGCGTAAAGGCCCAGAATTCCTGCCACTTTTGTTTTGTCGCCAGCTAGGCTTTAATCTCCACCTTCAACCTGTCCATCCCAAGACGTCCTTCGCCGCGGTCCCCGCAGCCTCAAAAGTCGTAGTTCTCAGACTCGGAGAATCGCGGCAAGCTCCGATTTACTCAAGCATTGGCAACCCCTGCTACGTAAATCTGACGAGACCAGCTGCCTCCCCACATTAACCTCCTCCACCATACTTTCAACCCTGGAGCACAACTTTGCAACCCTCCCGACGATTTGCGTCAACATGCATCTCAAAAGCTCCTCTCAGGCTCGGCAGGAGCAGCGTTCTATGCCTCTTCGCGAGCTGTCTTGGCAAACAACGATACTATGATAGTCAGAAAGCGGGCCCTCCCGTAGATCGAAGACAACCTACGCTCGCACACTGAAGGGGCCTCTCTACTTCCATCGAGGAGCAAAGAAAGCACTGTTCCTTCCATCTCATGAATTACGCCACGCCTTCTCCCTTGCCCGGTTGACATACATCAAACTCAACAGCCACCAGCCGGCAGAGCCGTACCTACGTATGCGTACATTATCGCGCATCCGATAGGCCACTTCGTCCTCCCAACCATTGTCATCTGTTATGCCAGATGCCAGAAGACATCCACGTTAGATGCGATCGGCGATCGGCGCGCCGCCTTAAATCCTATCAGATGGGAGAAACAAGCAGTCAGCTTCGCAACATGGGGATTTATTGCTGTCAATAAAACCCCATTTCCTTGTACAGAAACCATGACCAGTCTCGCAATTTCCAAGTCGAACAGCTAGCTCTTCTCGTTGCCGTAGAGCCACCCAACCCCTGCCAGTTTGTCTCGAACAGATGTATTCCAGAGGGGCTCATCCCTTGATGGCGAAGGGTAGGCACACCCGCGGATTGCAGGACTGAGGATAATCTTGTCAGGCCAGAAATGGCTTGAATCTCAGATTCCTGCCTGGAGAACTTGCATCTGCCTATTCATGGCAGGAATTCCTTCAGATTCCGCCTTCGAACGCAGGCTGACCACTCACTCCGCCAATTTGGAACCATAGTAGACTTGTCTCGATTCGTTGGAGCAAGCGGAGTCACTGTCACCTCAATTGCAGCTGCCTGCTCAAACCTCTCCGACCATATGTTCCCACTACGATATCATGAGACTTCACCTCCTTAGAGGTGCATCGGCGAGATGGCGCCTCCGCGATTTGGCTTGTCTCAGACACTTGTTTAAGGTTGTAATTGGGCTAGAACCCCAATCCTCCGTTGTCATCTCTAGCAGGTCGTCCCCCTCACCGATCTTGTTTCCGTTGCAGAGCCTCTTAAAGATCTAGCATTTGAACATGGTCGGTGTGTGGGGTGTTTTGAGGTTGGAGTTCCCTACCTTCCCACCCTGGAAGTCAATGGTGACATGTTAACAACATTAGCATCAACATCACCGGCGCAAAACTCTTCTCCTGGTCAGAATTGCTACTTCCAGGGAACGGGTCGAGCACACTTCGCTAGCAACTGTCCCACTGCCAAGCTGCATCCTTTAAGCTAAGATTCTGTACTTATTGGAGCCTCCTTCACAATTTACAACCGCCCCGCTGTATCTGGATCATCGGCCGCCACACAACTACAAGCGGCTCGATATAGGATCCAATTGAAACACGACACCTTCACCGAGAAGCACCGCTTGAACGGATAGAATACACGACGGTGACTCTTCCTGGCACCTAAGACGGGACAAAAAGTTACAAATTCTTGCGAGGAGCGTATGACACGCCGCAGTAGGTTCATTACTGTGCTAGTCCACCTCTTCCGCACCCAGTGTGCAGTAAAAGGCACGTTGATATCGAACAACATCAAGTCATGTGTTGGCAAATTGTTCTGCTGTTCCCTTCAGCTTGTTCCTGCACCTCATTCCCATCATTTGATGATGCTCCTTCTCACCTGCTTAGTCGAAACTGGCCTTGCCTGCATTTGATCTTGGCAATCTAGAACACATTCAGCATCATGCCCAGTCCTCCACGAGCTCTTGTTGAAAAATCTGCCCACTATCAACAGTCACTGGGGCAGGAGCACATACCAAAAAGGCGGGCATATCGTTGGAAGTCATCATCTAGCTCCCTAGAACAGTAGTAATAGATTTAACAATATGATGCCTCATGGCGCTTGCGAGCGGCGGTAATATTTTGATATGATGCCACAACGCGCTCAAAGATGCGGTAAATTAATCGCCTCTCGTTTAGTCGGCTGAATGGAGCAAACTCACCGCTTGGGAAGCTTTTATGTGTTATTACGCCCTTGATCCCGCATAATGATTTGTTACGCCACTTGCGGTGGAACCGGGCCGTGTCTGGCACAAAACTGTCGTCCCACCAGAGCAACAATTCGTCCTTTCTTGGCTCATTTGACGGCGGTATCAAACCTGCAGTTGCGGCTGCGATTAATTGATCCAGGCTCGTGAGTGCCCGCAAACGGTACACCCCGTTGTATTTTCCATTGTGGAAGGCCAAAAATGGCGATTGTGCATGGGGGCTTCCGAGCGGTAGTTGGTCGTTGCACGCCAACTGGTGTATATTGAAAGTTTAGTATGCTAGCCACCAGCGCAGCCATCCCGCACCGCACCGGGTATGCCCGTAGCACTGCAGCCTCGGAGAACGAACCAGATATTTCTGGGGTGTCTGCCAACCACCGTCGCCCCTCGTGCAACTGCCACCAGATTGACGAACTGTCTTATTGCGTAGTCCGCATTGAGGATAGGCGCGCGCCCCTTCCGTCGCACTCTCCACGCCCAGCGTGGTGAGGCATCATATTGTCAAATTTTACCACCCTAGGTGAAGTGCGAGCGGATTGTGGAAGTGTTTGCATTCGGAGGTTTGCAGACAAGAGGAGGTTCGAATCCTTCACCCCAAAAAGAGTCCACCTTTACGTCGGTGTTGTGAGATAAGTAATTGCAGAAGTTCCTGTGATGAACCAACGGATTCAATAGTACCGGCACTCGTCACGCAGATGATTTGAGATTTCTGGGTATGGGCATGGGCTTGGGCATCAGAGACAAACGTTCTTGTGGCCAAGGGTGAGCGTGGCAACCCTCTCGCAAGTTGATATGTAGACGAACTCGTTACTTTTCCTGTTGTGGCTTCGTGTGCAACAGTAGTGGAATGCAGATCTCCAGTTTTCCCTTCATTAATCTCCTTGACGCCCTTTTGAATCCTATTAGCGCTTGATCTCCTGGCGCTCTACCACATTTTCGTGGCTCTCATTATCTAATCTTCTATTGCATTCTCTGTTTAGTCTTCTTCTCTGATTCAACAGCCTCCATCGATCTGTTAAATCGCCTTCATGCCTCGGCATAACCAATAGCTTTTATTTCTACAGATGACATTGATCCTCCTGGTATACGCGACCACTTCATCACCCTCTCCTTCGATGACTCCAGTGGTGTCTAAATCACTACCTTGGTGCCCTTGGTTGTAGCACCTTGGCTTGATACCACGTGTGCTACGTCGTTGCCCCCAATCTTTATTGCGTCTTCTACATAAGAGCCAACCCTACTTGGAGTCCTACTGCGGCACCTCTCAGTTGACGCTTTATGTGCTTCCCCTCTCTTTCTCACTCGAGGTCCTCTGCCTATTCGCCAAGTCCCTTTACTCTCTCGTATACGCCCCTTGAGAGCCGTCTTCTCGTTTGCTGACCCGTCTATCAGGCACTTAATCTCCTCCCGTAGTTCTCCACATAGTTGTAGAGTTCTCTACTCTTGGTGCCAATTCCTTGACACAGACGTCTTCAGCCTCCTATCTTGCATCTCTAGCCATCCTTTTGTGCTAGAGCTTAGAGCTCTCTCAGCACCGCCGATCTTCGGCGGAAGAACATCCTTGACCATATCAACCTTCTATCGTCCAATCTAAGCCCACCAACTTTTACCAAAGTCCAGATTGAAATTTTGAGCCCTTTGACAAGATACTGAAGTTTTTGGGTGTATTTGCTGGATCATCCACTGGCCGCCGCCTTTGAAGTCGGAAATTAAGGAGCAAGGCGGGAGGGGGGTTATTTCTTGATCTTTCAAGCATTTCTCCCAGGAATAACCTTCGAGCTCTCCCTAATTGTACTTTAGCCTTTGACTTATCCTCATGGTCTTTTTTCCTTTCCATCTTAGAGAGAATCTCCATATTCTTTCTTTCCGCAGATATCTTCCTCAACACTCTATTTCACAGTTTCTGGCTCCGCGGCCTGAACTCGTGGATTTGGGATGCTTCGGCCCAGGCTTTATTCTCGATCTTAACTATATTGTCTGTTTATTCTTCGCGTTTAGAGGCTCCGTATTGAGATAAGTCGGTTGGCATATCTTCTGCGAGTCTAAGATGCTTGACCTCGTGTTGCGCCGAGTTCTCACGGCGGTGCTTAAGTGTATTTGGAGGCCAGATAGTCTTTGTGATTATCGGAGGATCACCCAAGTCGACTGATTCCGCCTTCATACCTTTCGTCAACAGTCCTTGGGTCGTTTGTGTGTGGGCTTCCAAGTCAACAGCTCCTGCTTAGCATTTGGCGTGCGAGTTCGCCGGTTGAAATGCTGAGATGCAAAGCGAATGCACTCAACATGGCTAATGGTTGGGCACACTCCTGGAATACACTGAACGCATTTTACTCTTCTTGTGCCATCGAGTCGCCTGCTCAGCCCTTGCCCTTGTTTTTGCATGTCGTTCACTCATTCTCCTCCTCTTAATTACAGCACTGCTCCTCCTCGACCACGAACCCACGAACAACTTCAGGCGCTTTCTCCGGTCGATCTTCGAATCCAACAATCCTCTGCATTTGCTTAGCTTCCAACTATATTTTTGATGTTCTAATGGCACACTGAAAGGCCGGGGGTTGGGAAGGTTCTAGATATAGTATTTAGATCCTTCATTTTGTAAATCGGCTCTAAATTATGAATTTCGGTGTGTAGGTTGTCACTTCAACAGTACAGGCTCTGACCCCGTGTTGCATTCCGTCCATCCGGGGTATAGACTGCCAAGACGGCGTGCGAGCCTCGGAACATTAGTACTCGAGTTTTGAAATAAATAGCGTTCGCTCCTCGCGGGCTAGAGACCGGAGCCGTGCGAGCTCTTTCCTCATGCCCGAAACCTAATTGGGAAAATCATTGTACTGTAGCTTGAAAATCCCGTGACAGATCTGAGACCTGGACACTCAGAATAATATGAGGGGCTCAAAAGGTGAGAGCATTGAATGTTTAGGAATCTGAGGGGCTTTCGGACATTTCGAGTTAGGCGTACCATAAAGCGAGGGGCAATGCAAAAGTTCAGCTTTCCATCTGACTACCACATGGGTCCTGAATCATAGGTTAACGGTTCGGTTCTCTCATTTACACGAGCGAACGCAAGTTGTGAGATGGAGCACATTGAAAGGCTGATAGATGAGGAAAGGCAAACTCAACTCTTTCCACTTGTATGTCCTGGGGGGAAATACTAATATTTACTAACTCTGACCTCTCAAATTTGTCCCAATTGTGGTCCACCCCATGGGCTATATTCGTTCCCTCAAGGATCTCAAGGTCAGAGGAAGATTTCCAGCCAAACTCCCACCACACAACACTGCTGAAATTGTACTTCACTTAGAAATCGCCTCAAGAGTCTTGCATGGGGTCACAAATCTCGTACCGCCCCTCTTTTTATGGGGTGGGGGTTTCTCGCCGATTATTATGACTGCTGACAACAGGCTTGTTGAAGAAGTCGCTTTTAAACAAGTACCTCCCTTGGGGGTCCTGAATATGCTTCAGGGGAAGGCTGGTTATGGACTGAGGCACTTAATTTAAATTCTGAATTGCTTCATTTTGATGTTCGAACCATCCCTCGCATATGTCCCAGAAGTTTCAAAACACCTCACGAAATATTGAAAGCCATCTAATAATTTCGACCAACGCTCATTTGGATATTGAGGGGAATACATAATGGCCAGATTGTTCCAAGATAGACCATCAATAGTAGACTAATGCGGTGGTATAGCGAAGTTCACGGGAAGGGTTCGAAGTGGGCAAAGGAGAGGCACGCATTTTTGTCATCCTCAATCCATTGGGACACGTATCAAATTCAGAAAGAGACGGTGAGGACTTTCAATGTATAGTGCGACCATGCAGAAAACATCAGGATGAGAAAGTAGCTGAAATATTCAAGTTGACTTACGATAGTGGCAATTTTGAAAATGAGTTTTGCTTTTCTGTCCATGGGGATGGGGGTTCATTAGGCGCCGGGATTCTACCTAGTATCCCAAGCTTATCTTTAACGGGAGTGAATTTGGTCGTGAAGTACAAATACACTGCAACAGCTTTGCTATTTCAGCCAGGACAACCATTGCCTTCAGAACCGTCTCAAGGACTATCCAAGTCGATATCTCCAGAATGGATTGTTTTTCTTAGGTTTCGAACTCGGTACGCAAGGTTTGAACAGCCTCTATGTACTAGTTGGCTTCACTAGCTTGTGCATTTCCTCAGATTCCTTTGAGCTTCTACATGGCTGTCACTTTGAATGGGAAGATTGTGCTTCTAGTATCACTCAAATTTTGAGATGACCTCTAATTCAAAGATCGCACTTTAGTCAAGTCCTCGAGCGACTTACTGAGCCTTGCTTTGATTGACTTAATCCGTGACCTGTCACTAATGAGTGGAGAATTTCCCCATCAAGTAGGCCAAATGTTTAGCAACCAAGAACGCTCTGCACAGGAGATGATGCTTTATCACGTCCCTGGGCTGAAGACCTGGTCTGGTAAACAGCTCTTTTTGGGTGTGTATGTAACGTCTAAAAAGAGAAGAGAGCGGGGAGCTCGAGCTAAGTACAGGGTACCACGCTAGGGCCAGGTCATGTGACGCTGACGTCACAACATGCTTGGTCTTTGCTCAAGCATCGATGAAACCATATGCAAGATTGATGTATCCCTGGTGACCCAGCTTCCGGTTCACCAGTGGCCTGTTACAGGTCCTCAGGTCCTCCTCCCTTGCACCCTACTCAATACAGGCAACCGGCCGAATTCAGCAAGATCTTGATTCAGAGCTTTCCTATTATGCCTGGCCCCAGATCGACCGACACTTTTTAGGTATCTAGTCCGTGGAGACGCACTGACAAACTATCAAGAAACAGGAAAAAACTCCCGAAGAATAGCTTAGGGTTTCTTTGTAGAATGCCTAGGATGCATCAAATTCCCATGAAATTTCCGACAGATGGGAAAGTATAAATTTCTGCTCATTTGAGACACCCACTACCACTTTAAAATCGAGAAAAGGTTGGAAATGTAAATACCAACCCCCTGTTCAAAATCGGACTCTGATACTGGAAAATATAAAACATTACCAATTACAATACTGGGTATCTATGTGCCTAATGAATCCTTGGCTGGTTGAGGCCTTGCCCATAACCGAAACTATCCGGGCCCGGCTCACATAGTCTGGCACCCGCCACCATCCGAGGGATGCTTGTATGAAGGACCAAATTGCCTATTTTTGAATTAGCATCGCCTTCAAGGGTAAGATATTGAACTCAGATAGTGCTTACTCGATCCCTGCTGCAGTTTCTATCTCAATCCTCTTAGCCCTCACCTCCTTTGGAAAGCTTTTCTCGAGGAATTTTTCAAGACCTTTGTCCACATTATCTTAAGCTCTGGTCAGCCTGTTCTAAATTCCCAATCGCGGTATCCATCGGTCTCAAAATCTAACGAAAGGCAAACAGAGTACAACTTACCTTCGTCGGCTTGCAGAACCACGTCCTCTCGACAAAGTGGACAGAACTTTCTCCTCTGCTTCTGCATCTTGACAGCGCAATTACTGCAGAAAATGTGCTGGCACTTCATGCGTACAGGTCGCCATTGGACCTCCGAGCAGATGGGACACGAATAGTCGTCCAGTTGAGGCACAATTTGGGAGAGGTCGGTTGACATTTGGGCACAAACTGCTTTGGCCATAGTTTCAGACATTATTGGATCCGATGCAATGATCTTTGGGAATGTTCTCCCTACGCCAAGATGAGTTCTTTTGTCAAATTCTGCTCACCGGTCAGTAGAGTTCAATGGCATGCATTGAAAGTGAGACCATACTTTTCAAGATCTTGGTAATGGCTATCTTGTTGATTTCTTGGAACTTCAAGTTCTTCAACAAAGTTACATTTATAGCAATGAAGCGATCAAACGCCGGACGACTCGCCGGTAACTTGAAGAGATCTGTAAGACCCCTTCTGGTTACCTCGCTTTGAAACCATTGCAACTGTCGTGCCGCGGCCGCATGGCTCCGACTTCCATGGTCAATTTCGTGTGTGGAGAAGAACACACCGGCCTGGAGGTAGACATCGATTAACTCTCTCCACCGGTACATATCTGTCTTGCGGAACATCTTGCGTCTATGCATTTCAGGTTAGCATCTAGGCTATGAGTGGTTGTAAGGACTTCCATACTGCGTAACAGTAGTGACCGCAGTGGATAGCTCCGTGATTTCGTCCCCCAGAGTTTTCTGCTCCTCCGATTGTAGGGCATCTAGAGAGGTTACATCGTCCAAGAGGATGTCGAAAAATTCGGCGTCGAAGGTCAAGGGGATTTCCACTCGTTTCACTCGTGGTCTATAAGGAAGGGCCGGCTCAGACAGCTCATGGCTTGCTCTCCACGACCGTCAGCATTTCATTTTACGGCTCCGAAAACAAGATAGGTCAACCCACTTATCGCTTGATGCTTCATTGGACTGGGTTTCGATTTCGGGGCTCCCTGAAAGAGAGTCCCCAGGCGTCCCTTTACGAGCCAAAGTTTCGAGATATTTTTTAGTACCGGGGGTCAACGCTGCATCAACAGCGACGCCATCCTCGAACTGGACAAATAAAGTGAGCCGTGGAATGGGTCTCTCGGTTCCTGAACTGGAATTAGTTGTGTAAGTTCAGGGGGAGGGAGACACTTACCATCAAATCTGTATTGGAAGGCACTTCCCCTCCTTCCACTTGATGTCTCTCGATCAGATAGTGTTTTTAAGTGAGCAAGAGTTGCACTGTCAAGACCGAGGCCGTCGAGCTCAGCTCGAACCTGTCATGCATTAGACATTGGAAAAGAAGCCGCCCCGTGCGAAGGCCTGGGATATAAGATATGAATGTGTAGAAAATGGATCTTGTAGCGCCACCATGTCCCAGCCCAGTAACTGACACTGCGGAGGTGGGTATAGATAGTAATACTATACCCTGGCCCTCAAGGCTTTTGGATTTACCACGCTGAGATTACTAGGCCCTGGAACTTCTCGGACATTCATATCTCATACTCCATTCCCACGGGAATCGGGACAAATATGGTCTCACCTTCTTCAGGCACTTTTTGAGTTCACCATAGGGTACGGCATGCTGGACCCAACGGGCAGGAAAGCCCTCGTTTGCCAAGGCATCCCGGAACTCACGAGCAAACTTCATGCTGGGGTCATCTCATGTGCACGTGAGCAGTGCACTGAATCCGAAGCGATGGTTCAGAGCTGAAACCACAGCCACCAGGAGAGAGGAGCACGGCGGGGAGGTTGTAAGGTTGGCAACTTTCACAGCACGGGTAATGGGGGTTGTCGATTGGCGGATAGCTATGCTATGGGATTCAGAGGAATGCGCGTGTTTGCGCTGAACTAAACGCTCGCTTGGGCAATTGGTCGGGATGGGGTCGGTGTCGAAATCAGAGTCGGAAGTACTGGGGGGTCGATTTGCAGTGGCTGAGTGCGTGTGTGTGTGCGTGTGCTTGGCTGCCAGTCATGAGTTGCAGAGGTGGCCGAGCTGGGAATCTGGGGGACATGGGATAGTGGATATTTATGAGGTGAGGATGAGGCGAGGGGAGGCGAGGGGGAGGCGAGCCGTGAGGGTGAGGGTAGGGTGAAGTGAGGAGGAACCGTGCTTGGTTCCATTGTTTTTGCACCACACGTGACACCGCTGCACCGCTGCGCCCCGCCACCTGCACCCTCCCCGCCCACGTGCCTCCCCTCCCGTCCCCTGGGTACTCCGTACCCTTCCGTTCTCCGGCTCGCCGGTCCCTCGTGTGCCGGCTGACAGGCTGACAGGCGGGCCAATCACCCGGACAGGACGCCACACGACGCCACACCAGCCCAGAGTGGCTTCTTCTGTGGCTGGGCCGTTAGCGGAAAGCAAAGCGAACCACGGCCAGGGGCTGGGGGGGTACAGAGTTTCTCCACGAGCACGACCACGACCACGAGCGCATCCTCTGTGCAAGATTGAAGGGTAGAAATGCGTGAAAAGCCTCACGACCTTCCGTCGTGAACCAATCAATACCAGTACTCGAATGAACATGGCCGGCCTGATTTTTCAGCGCTCAGTCGCCATGGCGGAGTGTGAACTGAAAGCGTACCGTTGCTTGTGGGGGCCCGAAGGGGGCAGGGGGGAAGGGCCGCTCTTTGGATGCGACACAAGCCTCGCCTTGCAAGTGCAAAGTGCAAAGTGCTTTGCATCATCTGTTAATGACCAAACCAGCCCGGCTCTTGTCGCTGGTGGCGTTGAGGTTGACGGGACGGGAGCTTCCAAGGTGGGGGCACGTGTTATCGATAAGCGCATCATCGCGCTCCAGCTCGCCTCGTCTCGCCTCCCCCGTCACCCACTTCCGGGCCGACGATTCACAACCTCGACCCAGACGTCTCTGAATGCACCAAGCAGCAGAACACCCGCAAACCTCGACGCAATTCTACCCACGCCACTCCCAACCCCCTCAACCCCCCCTCCCCTACCAGCATGACGGCAGCAACCACCCCGGCTCGTCAGGAGCCTCCGTCCGCTTGGAGCGACCTCCCGGACGAAGTTCTGCAGCACATCCTCTTCTACGTTTCGCCGAGCGCCCTCCTCTTCAACGTGCAATGCGTATCGAAACGCTTCAGCAGACTTGCCAGCGAGCCTCTTCTTTGGCGGCACCATTGTCGAGTGCATTTTGAATACTGGGACTCGAAGCATCGTATCAAACAGAAATTTATGGGGAATGTGGGAGATGTTGATTGGAAGACCCTCTACAAGCATAGGAAGAACGTAGAATCCGAAACCGCAGCTATTCTGGACAGCACTATCGAGGGGCAGGTCAACCGAATACAAAAGTTTAAATTGATAGCCGACTTTGGATATGATGCCAAGGATACTCTACTGAAGCATTGCCGTACTTCTGAGACGGCCGAAGACGTCTTGGCTCGAAGGCAAGCCGTTGATTATCCATCGCGCTGGATTGTGGTCTAACGCACTTACAGATACTACGCCAATGCTGTTCTAGACCACGTCCATCGTTCTAAAGCATTGGCGGAATGGAAGAAGCTATTGAGAGGCGAACCCGTTTCCCTTGAGAGAGCTCTGGGATCCTTTGATCTATTTGTCTTACATGACCAACATGGAGATCTCCTCGAGGTAAGTGCTTGTGGCTGATGGTTAAGGAAGTTTGCAAATTGATACTACCCAGATATCGGAGATCTTCGATGACCTGGCTTCAGTTCTCCGCGCTGAACATCGTGACCTGGACCAACAGTCTACCCGTATAAAGGCTCTGACAGTGGCTAGGTTTTTACGACATCGCAATCTTACAGGACTTTCCACTGAGCTTGCTTACCGAGACCTGCAAAACACCTTTATTGGCATTGCATTACAGGATCAAGAACATCCTTCACTGCCCCTGATCTCTGTTGCCATATTCTGTGTTCTGGCACAACGAGTGGGCATTGATGCTCGCTGCTGTGGAATACCAAACCATGTTCATGCTATGGTATTCCCCCGAGACGACGAGACACTTGATGGTCGGCCGTTAGCATCTGGAGATCCTCAACCAGACCCGATGTATCTCGATCCGTATCGATCAGACGAGGAAGTGCCGATACACACCCTTAGAAGAATGTTATCGGAGTGGGGTCTTCAGCTAAGCCAACACGCTGAATACTTGGGGGATTCCAGTACAGCTAATGTCATCCTGCGGACCTCCAGAAATATCTTGGCAACTGTCCATGATTTCAGAGCGCACCACGGGAGCGCCGAAAACACCGGACACCCCACGATTCGACTTCATGCTAATCCATTTGCTGATCTTGACAATGCATTTTATGCAGCTCTGTGGGCGAACTATATATTTGGCAACCCTCTCCGGAGATCGGAGGGGACGACTCAGAGCCAATTTATTCCCCTGATATTGGAAAGATTCGAACGGCTTTACCCGATGGATGCTTCTCTGATTGAGCAGCACATTGTTCCGTCATACAATAATCCTACAAATGCTCAACATTGGGAACTTCGAGAAGCACTACGTGTCGTGCGCGCTGCAGACCAAACGCCGAAACAGCTTCGTTTACGCAACACACGAGCATCTCGAGAAGGAGTAAAGTACAAAGTGGGTCAAGTCTTCCGCCATCGACGATATGCCTACACAGCTGTCATCACTGGATGGGACATTGAGTGTGGTATGGATTCCGAATGGATCTCGATTAACCATGTCGATTCTCTCGCTAGGGGGAGACATCAAAGCTTCTACCATGCACTGTAAGTACTTAAGAAAAAGAAGCCCTTGTCTTCTTGCCCAGATAGGCTCCCGTTTCGAGGCCCCGATCACTGGATCGGGGCCGGCTTCACCCCTTCCTCATGTTTTAGAAAGATAAAATAGCTTACGGACAGAACATCTAGTGTCGAAGATACGAGTATTCGCTACGTCGCGGAGGAGAACATTGAAATCATCGAACCAGAATTTCCCATCTCTCTGATGAGTCTGGCTGGCCGATTCTTCAAGCGGTGGGATAAAGAAGAGAGGGTTTTTGTATCAAACATACGAGATGAGTACCCGGAAGATTAGGGGGGGACTTTAGATATGTTCGGGAGAGAGAGAAATTCAGGGATCAACACTTTGCGATTTTCGAGGATGACAATCTGCCACTAGCAAGATGTTTTTCATTACAGTGATGTTATCAGATACCAGAGTAACACTTACTTTCCCACGAAAGCGTTCCTGGTCTTAATCACCCCTCAGATCCATAATAATATCCCTCAGGACCCCGGCCTCAGCAAGTGCTTTAATTGCCACGTATACAACCGGCGCGTGATCTTGTTTTCTTGTGGCTGCCAAATCGTCTTCTTGGGCGAGAGATGCAACTTCTTGCGCATGTTCGCTTCGAAGAGCTTTTTGCTCCGAAACCAAATCTTTGTACAAGTTTAGAAGTCTTTCCGGGTCCGAGATTGCTTTCTCCGCTTTCTTTCTGGCCGACTCGGGAGGATTGGCGTTGTTGACCTGATCTACTGAAATATCGAAGGAGCCCGTCAACTCGTCCATTGACATTGAGAGATCTGATTGGGACTGCATGAACAGCTTCCAATCAGGGATGGCAGCCGCAAGAATCTTCTCAACATCCAAGATTAAATGGGCGTTCTCGGCAAGGCTCCCCTGAAGTGTGTGCAGGGGGCTTTTGCACAAGGACAAGAGATTATACTCAATGTCACCATCTTCGTATTGACCTATTCGTTGCATGATGTTGTCTCTAGCCAGTGAGACCCAATCCTCGCCGTGTTCGCCTTATTGAAGGTAAGAAAATTACTGCTAAAGGACGAGTGATCTTACCAAGATTGACTGGTTGTCTTTGCAGGCCATCAAGTCTCCAGACCGAGCCGTTGATGGGCACATACGCAACGAAATGGTATCCGGCTTCATCTTCGTCTTTCCTCCTCCTCCTCTTCTCCTTCTTCTTCTTGGATGCTTTCTTCGTGGCGATTTTCTTCTTGGGAGTCTTGTTGGCCTTGACCCATTTTTCGTAATCATTTTGGAGAGCTAGATCCGCATTCAGTACATCCATTTTTCTGTGAACAGTTAGAGAATTGTCACCCGGCATAACTGAAGCAGGGGTTCGCCGACCTCAAGAACGAGTTGTGAATATTCCGAATGAAATCACTATGGCTCAGAGCTTGACCGCGGTAAGGGGGCTTCAACAGCTTGGTTGATTCTTTGAAGGCAGTCAGAGCATCTCCTAGTTCAATTTCCGGGGTATTCATGACGATGTTTAGTAGAGAAACCGTAGCACAAGCATTACTCGTTGTCTGAGCAGCATTAGCAAGAACGCGTGTAAATTTGAGGGTCAGCACCAACCTGATTTGCGAACCAGACATGCTTTGGGCATTTGGGAGCATTCTCATCCTCATCTGCATCGTTATCTCGATACTTGAAGAGGAATATCAACCCATATACAGGCTTTCTTCAGAAATGGTCAGTGGTGGCCAGGTTGACTTAGCCGGGGGGTGCATACAGAAGGAAGAGCAATGAATCGTCATCGAGTCCAAAGATCTCCTGAATCTTGACATTTCTGACGCCATATGCTCGTAAAATGTAACTGAAAAGAGCCTGATATTGGCAATTAGTCCTTGAATGCCACAGTCATACAGGAGATTTCATTCGTGAAAGGCAAGAGTCACAAATACTTACTGGATCGGATTCCAGCTCAACCCAACCTTTCCAATTCTGACGCTCCTCTTCTGTCAAAGCCTTCATTGCCTCCTCAACCGGATCGGAAATAATCCCGTTGGAGACAGCACTCTTTCGCCGCCGGAGGCTTCTTGAAGGCACTGGACTCTCGTCTTTGGGCGACTGCGGTTCAGCCAGTGGAGTATCCTTGATAGATGCAACGGGCGTGCTGCGAGTTGATCTTTCTGGAGTCTCACTAACTCGTAGAGAGGTTGATCTGACTCTAGATGATCGTCGTCGCTCCCCCGAATTCAGGTCGGAGGGGAGAAGAATTGGGTCATCCATTTTGAGATATTGTTGATGCTGGATGGCGATATCAATCCATTTGAGGTTGTAGGATCACAGATAAATGGAATTTTGCGCGAGATACGCTCTGGACTATCTCAAAGCTGAGCTGGCGGTGACATAAACTTTGCACTGAGGCAGCGTCGTGGAGTGAATTCTCATCTGCACAAACAGGTAATGAACGGGAAATTCACGGCTGCTACAATAGAAAGTTTCAGCAGGAAAGTGCGAAATAGAGAGGCTTAGAGACATTATTTCAAGCCAAATGGCATCTTTTATGTAAGTCCAGACAAAGGAAGAATGCTTGTTTCTTTAAGTGAGTAGCCTGGAGTTAGGTCGGGTCGTCGTCTCTGACCCAGGCGATTCCGTTGCACGTGCAGCCGCATCCACTGCGGAAAAACGCGTCGCGAAATCAACAACACTCCCTCTTCTTGCCCGAGTTGCGACCTCCACCACCCAGCCCAAAATTCAAAGGTGCTGCCCTGATCCATCGAAAGCCTCCCTCCTCTGCACTGCCGCGAGTACAGAGTGTCCTGAGGGACCTCGATTAGCATGCCATGAACGGAACTCCTCGCATGCGGTCGTCGTACCCTTCGACTCCACGCAGCGCCCAGCAGAGCCCAAGCACGGCGCAAGATGGATCGAGAGTTATATCGCCTCTTCCGAATCTTCCAGATGGCTCCCCTGCTGCTGCGTCGTTCAGTTCTCCTGTCATACCGGTCAACCTCATCGATGCGCCGAGTCAGCGGATGTATACCTTCGCAGTGTATGGGCTACTCTTAGTATGGCGAATATACGATTGGTGGCAGCTTGTGGAAGACGGTACTACTTCCATTGGGCTCTTTTTAAAATGGAGCGCCCTTGATTCGATATTCTTGTTTGGGGTTCCATATTTGCGGATACCTTGGTTGGAATGGTCGGAGACGACATCTGTGGTGGCAGGCTGCTTACATGCTGCTCTGAACATTATGTTGATGTTTCGAATACCGGTGAGCTTCTAAAGGCAGATCAGCGGTCGTTGCGCTGACTCTTGTGTAGCTCCCCATTGAAGGATGGCTGCTATTCATGGCGAAAACCGTCTTCGACAGGGAGATGTCTATTTCTGAGAATAGCGTTCGACCGGCGAGCATTCTACATAACTCGTCCCTTATAATGGGAAAGCAGATTATTAACATTCTGCCCGAAGGGTACGGATTGCAGGACTACTTTCACCAAAAGATCTGCTAACTATGGCTTAGGTCCGTGACTATGAACCCAGACAGTCACCCCTTTTGCGTTGATGGTGTCCGTCCTGTGGTTCACATACCCCTCTATTTTAACCAGACGAAGCCGAAAGTGGTGGAGCTGTTGCGAATCGACTTTGACACAAATGCCAATGAGACTATTGTGCTTTCCCAGAAAGAAGTCAATAGTGCCCACAAGACTCCCGATGACAACCTTTTACTTATAAATTACGCGGCAAGGAAACCTGGTCTCTACCGGCTCCTCAGGGTTGTGGATAAAACCAAGTTGGAGGTTCAGAGGAGAATGTCCGACACGCTGATAGTAAATTGTCCGAAAGCAGCTGTCAAATCAACGGCTTCGGACAAGTGTCTTGGTGATCTCTCGGATCTAACCATGGAGATCGAAGGAACTCCACCACTGAAAGTTGTGTATAGTCGAACGGCCAACAGTGACCAGAGTGTCCATCACTTCCAGAGTATTCAGCCAGAGAACTTTGCCTCGCCTCTTCTGGGCTCTACTCGGGCAGGCACATTAGTTGTTGCGGGGAGCCAGGATGTTTCCTGGGCTCGAACGCATCGGATCACAGTACCTCTCAACGAGTCCATGATCCCTAGCGGCCATTGGTTGTACTCCATTGATGAAATTCATGATGCCACAGGAAATATTGCCAACTTTTCCACCGGAGCTGACGATGGAGAGCACAACTACCCCAAAGGCGCAAATCTTGAGCAAGCATTTACGGTTCACGAACGTCCTGTTGCTCGTCTTACGGGATGCGACTCTCGAAACCCTTTGATGGTAGCAAATGGCAAGAGTGTCCAGCTCCCAGTCCAATATGTGTCTCCTGGCCGGACTCCAGACGACACTTCTCACACTCTAATTTGGAAATTCTCTCCCCTGGACACATTGACGAAGAGTGGGGATCATGGAATGGAAGTGATTCTCGAAGAATACTCCGCAAAGACGGCGCACAACACTCCCGCTATACGCGAACCTGGTCTCTACACACTAACTGGAGTGAAGAGTAAGTTCTGCGATGGAGAGATCAAGGAGCCTGCATCCTGTCTACTTCTCAACCCCCCGGAGCCTCAGTTGTCCATCACAGCGGAGAACATAAACGATAAATGTGCTGGAAACTCGATTGGCCTGCTCGTTGATCTCGACCTCATAGGTACACCTCCTTTCACTGTGAGGTATGAGATCGCTACAAAGAGTGGATCGCACATGGAAAGCGTCAGAGTCCCTGGTTTACGGCATCAGTTAGAGCTTAAACCAAAGGATGCTGGACATTTCAAATATCGGTTCATCTCAATTGACGATGCGGTGTACAAAGGTCACCAACTCGGTGGGAAAGATCTTCTGTTGGAGCAAGACGTCAAGCCACCTGCATCGGCTCATCTCAGACGCCCCTCTGGCACTATCGACGCATGTATTGAAGAACCCGTTGAGATGAACGTTGAATTATCGGGAGAGAAACCTTTTACTCTTGAGTATGAGCTCGTTCATGATGGAAAGCGGAAGAAGACCAAGGAAACCGGTATCGAAACAGACGTCTTGAAGATCCAGACAGATCCGTTAGCCAAAGGTGGAGAATATTCACTGGCTCTCACAAGCATTCAGGACAAGACGGGTTGCAAGATATTCTTGAACAGCGAGGTCAAATTCACAGTCAGACGTCAGAGACCGAAAGTCTCCTTCGGACATCTCGAAGGCAAGCACAAGACAGTTGAGGTGGAAGGCCGACAAGTTGACCTGCCACTGCGCTTGACTGGCCGTTCTCCCTGGACTATCAGATATCGCAATATGAACGAATCTTCCAAAGTCATCCTGGAAAAGACTGCTAGATCCACCAACGACATCATCCGGGTCAACCAGCGTGGGACTTACGAAATCTTGGACGTTTCTGATGATCAATGCCCTGGAACTGCTGATCCTACGGCTTCAAAGTTCGAGGTGGATTGGTTCCCTAGACCTCAGATCAAACTTGCAGACACAGCTGTACTTATTCCTGAAGGCAAAAAGTTCAAAAAACGCGAGGTCTGTGAGGGTGATATTGATGCGGTTGAGGTTAATCTAATTGGTAAGAACTATGGTATTCTCTTCAACGAATTGGAGCTAACTTGCCAAAAGGAACTTCACCATATAATGTTAAGTACCAAGTTCGTCACAAGCCCGAGCATGGATCGAGCTCCATTCAAAACAAAGAATTCGAAGCCGCCCTGGGCCTGGCCACCATCTCGATGGAGACCAGCAAGGCCGGAACGTACGAGTACGAGTTCTCCGAGCTTTCCGATGGCTTGTACGATCACGAAGCCAAAAAGTTCACTCCCCTTGTACTTTCGCAGAAAGTCAATCGAAAGCCTTCAGCACACTTCGTCAAACCCGGACAATCGTACAAGTACTGCAAAGAAGAACTAGCTGGCGATGAAGTTATCCCCATCAAGCTAGGCGGTGTTCCTCCATTCAGCCTCGAAATCGACATCAAGCATCAAAGCAGTTCTCGACCGGAAACTGTCAAGGTTGCAAACATTGAAACAAATCATTACGACTTCCGGATACCCCACCGCGTTCTTTCTCTCGGTGTTCATCAAGTCAGCGTGAGAAAGGTCCGTGACTCCCATGGATGTCAGCAGAAGACTGAATATGGTGCGCCTCACGTTCAAGTCCAAGTCTATGACGTGCCCACCATTTACCCCTTGGATTCCCGTGCAGATTACTGTGTCGGGGAGCGAATTTCTTACACTCTGTCGGGAACGGCACCTTTCGAGATATTCTACACGTTTGAAGGTGTACAAAGGAAAGCCAAGTCCATCACGACGACTTTCAAGCGTATCGCGGAGAAGCCCGGAAACTTCACCATCACTGCCGTATCAGACAAAGCCAGTGAGTGCAAGGCTAGGACAAAAATTTCGAAGCTGGTGCATGAAATGCCAAGCGTTAAGATCAGCAAAGGGAAGCAGGTCGAAGTTGATATCCACGAGGGAGGACAGGCAGAAATTCTATTTGAATTCTGGGGCACTCCACCATTCGAATTCACCTACACCAGAAGCACCAATGCCCGGAAAGGGCAGAAGTCACAGGTTTTGGAGACGAGGCATGAAGTGTCGTATGAACATAGTAAGACGATCCAATCTTCCCAGGAAGGGACTTATGAGGTGGTTGCAATCAAAGATAAGTTTTGTTCATTCTCCACACAGAGAGGGGAGATGGAAAGCAGACAGAGATTGATTCAACTATGAAGATAAGGAATAGATGGCTGTTGGATTGTTTGACACCATAGCGCGGCGCTGGGCAGTGGTCTTGCGAATTTTCTTCTTGATGTTTATAAATACCAAAACCAAAAAACCTGGAATGAACTAAAGATACCCTATAAGATCTATTGTGTCTCTTGAGGCAAAACTATGCTTCGATGTCCTCCGCTTTAACCCCCAAGAAGCAGATCATACTTCCATGTCCATGCACTTGGCATTCTCATAACTCTTTCCTCTCGCATCATCTTGCCTCGCTCGTTCCAGTTCTTTCAAATAATCAATCTCAAACCTATATCTCTTTCCCTTATTCCAATTTAGACCCCAATTGATCTCTCCAGCATCGACCTTCACAGCCCTTAACACCTTCATACCATCCAGCACGTCTTTCTTCTGCTCCCAGGAATAGGTCTGAGGCGGTTCCTGCCAGCTGATCCTCAAGCTCTGCACATCCGCGCCACTCAGCCACTTCCCCACCTTCCTGATCCCCTTCTTGATCTCTGTGATCCGGGCATCGGCTTCAACCTCTCCTGGTTTCGTGGCTCGTTTTTCGGAGCCTAGATGGATGGAAAGACGCAGGTGTTTTATGGAGGAGGTGAGGGCTGATGAGAGAATGAGGTCGCTTCGCATTGTTTTGTGCGTCCAGAGCTTGTAGTTGATTGTTACGTGGACTATTTGCGTAGGGCAGCCGTAGAGGATGGGTAGGGCTTCCGAGCGGATCTGGTGGTTCAGAAGGAGGAGAGAAGGGACTATGGGTTGGGTGAGCAGGATGTGGGTTTGCAGTTGCCGTGGGTGCGGTCCTCGGATTGGGTTGCATGGAGGCGGGAGGAGGTGGGTGTAAATGAGCTCTCGGATTTCGAGGGGCAGACGGAGTAACGGGGGGAGGTCAGCAGGAAGAGCAGGGTCGGGGGGAGTGATGAGCGAGGGCAGCGCCGGTTGTAATGGGTAGGGGTTCCGAGCGTATTGCTGGAGAGAGAGGAAGTATTCACGGAGGGACTGCTTGGGCAGTGCCCACACTGCGTCTTCAGGAAGGAGGATGATGGACTCTATGCTCCGAGCAGGCTTGGATATAGGCAAGGACGTTGTTCGCGGGGACGTGCAGACCCGCTTGTTTGGAGGGGTCGAGGAAGCGGTTAGTCGTTTGGTGAGATTCTCAGATGTTGCCATGATCATGTGTGTGCAAGGACGGAGGAGAGCGACGGTGAGTTCGTCAGTGAAGCGTACAGAGAAGCAGTACGGGGCTGCGTTGGAGCAGGGTGCGTAAATAGAAACGTCTGAGACGTCGAAACGCTTCCAATGGCTGTGGAGATGGATGGGGGTGTGGTTGGGGTCGCTGCAGATCGCCTCGGCTATCTTGGCGGGCGCTGCACGCACGGGAGATCATCAGATAAGATAATTGATATTATGGGCACGGCGGGAAAACATCAAAAAGGACTGTCCTGTACATTGCTCGACTGGACCCATATGGCCGCCACTCAGAAGGACAGTGAAAGATCACAAAGCGAGATGCTGCGTTGTGGAATGCCCAAGAAGGGCTCTTCATTTTCATTCCTCCTCCACTCTTTAGGTTTTTTGACCTCCAAGCACTGAACAGGGAGCTAGTTATCCTTGCTCACCCCAAAACGTACCCCCCATTCCGTTGGAGTTGCAAGGGAATAATCGAGGCTGCCATCGCCCACAACTCCCGAATAGCCAGAGCAGCCGGCACGAAATTCTAAATCCTAAATCCAAGCTACACATTATACAACGTGAGCCCTGACCTTAACTCCATTTGCACTGCAGTTTGTCAATGTAAGGTTGTGCCGGACAACGGGGTCTGTTTCTAGATTCTCCATCTTGTCAAACCGCTGGAGTAGCCTTATTGTGACATAAGAGGCCTCGGTAATTGCGAACTGCTGTCCTATACATATTCTCGGGCCTCCGTTGAACTGCTCGAAGTTAGTCGATGGTGAGGGAGGGGATTTGAAAAATCCCGAGACTGTGGCACTCACGGGCAAAAATTCCCAGCCAACTCGTCTGCCATCCCACCGCTCAGGATTGAAGTCCTCTGCATCAGGTCCCCAGATATCCTTTCTATGATGCATCACATGAACCGAGTAATCGACGGCGGTATTCTTCGGGATGAAAATCGGAGACTTTCCGTCCATGCCACCTCCTCTGGGCAATACAGTATCCTTATTCGCAAATCGACTATTGATCGGGACAACCGGGTACAATCGCAATGCCTCATTATTGCAGTGCTGCAGATACTGGCAGCTCTTAATCTTTCCAAACGTGATCTCTGTTGGTTTGTCGTATGTTCCAAATTGGTCGATAATGATGTCCCGCAGCTTCCGATATCTCACTTCGTCCCGAGTTAAGCAGAAAAATAACCAACCCAAGAGAGACGCCGTAGTATCTCGACCGGCGAGGAGTATGTTTAGCAGTTGAGAGCGTAATTCAATCGGATCCTCTGAAGCATTGAAGTCAGTATTTTAATGGACAAGGGTGCACTGACAGAAATGTACATACGGGTCTCTGCTGCCAAAGCTTCCAAGAACACATATTTCTCTTTCTTTCCGTATTTGCCCATCTTCGATTCCCTTTCCCTAAGCTTGTTCGAAAGCGCAAGTCTGACGAAGTAATCGATAAACTCGTGACAGACTCTGCAGGACTCTTTGAAGCCCTTCGGCCACACAAGCCAATACCGCGAGGCGAACCTCGCTCTGGTGGCAAGAGCCATCTGCCCCCGATCGAATGCGGAAGCAAAATCTGAGGAGTGGAGGCTGTTGACACTCTTTTCATTCTGGTATCCTGGGAGAAGTTGTAATTGGGAGTCGACAGATTCCCCAAAGAGGAACTCAGTAGCGCTGTCGAGGGTCAATCTGAAGAAGAGTACTTGGAGGTCGACGCAATCCGTCCAATTATCACCCCCTATGGACAAATTCAATGCTCTCATCATGTTTTGAACGTGCCTCTCCTCCAGGTCCACTAGACGTTCTGGAATCAGCGTCCCTTCACAAGCAAGAGTCTAGGAAATCGAGCAGTTTCCTCACTTGTGTTGTACTCTGAAGATATTTGGAAAGTGGAATGCGTGCGGAGAGAACTACACTTACAGTCGCTGACTTGATCCCGTGCAAACTGTGGCCTCATCATTGCTCTAGAATGCTCCCATCCTGCTCCATCGGATGTAAATATACCGTTGCCAAGAAGTGGCCAGAAAGTTCCTCTGCGGTTTGGTCCCAGCTGACCACAAGGCAGTCAGCAAAGATTGCTCTGGAGGAGTTTTTGACAGTCACGCTGTCTAAGAAGACAACAGAACATCCCCACTAACGGTACTTACATCCCAATCACAGAAGTTTGTTGCGAGGATTGTCTGGATATTCTTCTCGTCTGCGGTGAAATAGTTCGTGCCTCCCAGAAGTGAGTATTTGTAAGTAATAGCGCCGTTGTCGACTGTTCTTTTTATGGTGTCGACTGGGAATTGCTTGGCCTTGTCGGCATTAATTGCGCGGAGGAGATTGTCTATGCCCAATGGGTATCGATTTATTTGGACTGGCGGCTCTTTGCATCCAAGTGTCCGAGCATTGGCTGCGTTTCGACGCGAGACGAGGAAACTGGAGACGAATAGGTAGATGATATACGCAGCCAATGCCACCAATGCTACCTCAATGGGAAGTTGCATTTCGAGCGCTGGAATGACCAATGCTTGAAGATTTTTAAGGAAGACGAAAGAAGAGAGAAGTTGAGAGAGTCTAAGGACTACGAGATGTGAGAAAGGGTTGGTTTAAATGGAGGATACAGGCACTGGCACTGGCACTTAACTGAAAATGAAAGTACTACGGGTACTACGGTACTACTACGTGCTCCGTACTTATACCCGAGGGTTTTGAGCTCTGCCAGACGGTGACATGTTGGACCGGCTGGCGAAACATGATTCGCGAGGTGTCACCGGTCCGAGCAGCGAGGGCCTTTCTACTCATACTATGCCTCCATTTTGGACGAGGGCAACGGAGATCGGCGCATCCTGTGGAGGGGAGAATGGAAGCCAAAGCGGGGATGATGTTCGAATAGCGCCGGCTCCGTGAAGGCGCAGGTTGTGGCGGCACGCCAACCTCGGCTGGTGCTTCCCCGCATGGAGCATTGGAGACTCGAACCAGACCCAAACCATGCCAGGCCGGATTTTGTCCAATTCTGTATGTTATTCTCATTGCTCTGACGATACTATTATATCCTGTACTTTCGTCTTGGTCTTGGGGCACAATAAACACCTTCAAACCACACCCGGATTGATTGATTGACTGACTATCTACTGCGCCTGATTGGACGGTCCCGAAGCGCCACGCCACTCCTGTATTGCGGGGTGCGGCCAAGCCATCAGGCCCAGCCACATCTCGACATCCACCGCCACCGCCACCGCCAGATCTGGTGACGCGATGCGCGACGCGAGAATAACGCGCGGCGCGTCTTCGTTTCCCGCGAGAGAGTTCCTAATCCTGATACAAAGTCCTGCATTGCCACACCTCCGCAACCCCCCCCCACGACCAACCGGCGGCTGCACCGCTTTGCCATAGCAGGACCATACCAATGTGGGTATGAAACATCATCAAACAATCACCATCACCCCCAGACAGAATCCAAATGCGTTGACGCCGTAATCAGACGATCTTCGTTTGCTCGCCGGAAGCGAAAAGGGGCTGTGCATCGGGCTTCACCCCGCCTCCATGAAAGCACTAACATATATATCTCAATCGGTGCATGCGTAGTCGTGGGAATAGATGAGAGCCGTTTATACGTCCGTAGAAATCATACAAAATGCAACGTAAACTTCGTAAACACAAGTCGTGTCGTGATCGCAGATCAAGGCAGAAGCTCACCTCCCAATTGACCACCCAATTGCATGCCGAGACCGGTACGCTTCGAAGTAGCTGGGCTGACAAGGGGCGGATTGAGGCCGTCAAAGTCGAGGTTTCTTCGGTTGGACATCGCCGGAGTCCTGGCGGTCCTTGGGGTCTTGGGCCAAGCATTCTGCCCCGGGCTCGGCGTGACATTAACATAATCCTCGAAGTTGAAGTTTGAGGAGGGTGTGTTGGGTCCACCGAAGATCGAGAGTAATCCAGCACCTCCTCCGGGGGTGTTCATCATGGATGAAGGCAAGGCCGGGTTCTTTGGGGGTGGGGTGGATGGAGGCGCCATGCGGTTCCGAGATGCAGGGTTGGCCGGAGATGGTGAGGTCGCAAGGAAGAGAAGTAAGTCTGCACCCTCCTCTCCTAGCTTGCCATTCTTGTCCTTGCTTCGACGGCCTCCGTTGCCTCGATTGCGAATTGGAGGAGGAGTGCGTGGGGGAGATGAGCGGATGTGGTTGAAGGAATGGACGGGGAGTGAGTTTTCTTCATCATCTGATAGAGCAGCAAAGTTGGTAGAATGGTCGTGGTTGGGCAAAGGAGACGCTCCAGAGTAGAACGAGATGCCCGGGCCGCTCGATGTCGTGAAGTGGGTTTGCTTCCGAGGTTTGATAGGGGACGACTTTGTTTGCTGTAGGTTGTTGAAGGGGATAGCTGATCTGCCAACGGTGTTCCGGAATGTAGTTGGAGAAGAGCGGTACTTCTTGCTCGAACTGGAGCCTGGGAGGTCAAAGGCATCACGATACGTGCGCTTTGGGTATCCGCTGCCGCTTCTGGTACCACTTCGGGGGCCAATCTGGTCGGAGAAGATTGCGGCTTCTTTGAGGGGGGAGCTCATGAGTTGGCGAGAAGCAGGGAACTGAAACTCCGAATTCGAAGCTGAGCTTGATGAGGAATCGGAAAGTATGTCCCCGCTGGAGAGGGGTCTCCTCAGCCTCAGCTCTTCCTCGACCTTCGGCTCGATTGCGGCAAGGGAGAGGTTCTCCCAGCCCCGAGTAGTCTTGTATTGTGCGAGAGCAAGGGTTGCCTTCAACTTTCTGCTAATCTAGGTTGATGGTGTCAGAGTGCTGATCGAGACCAGAGTCAAATAAGGGAGTGGCAGACCTTGCCCAGTTCAGCCCTCTTCAGAACAGCATCGGCCACCACCTCCGGCTGTTTCTTCTTCCAAGGCGAGGACATTCTCAAGGCGATTGCGCTCGCCGGGTGAATAGATGTGCGGAGCCTAGAAAAGGAGATCAGAATGGCAGGAGGAGGTCGATAGGCTTTGTCGGGCCAAGGTAAGGTCGGCGTCAAAGGTCTGTAACGAGGAAATTAGACCCTTCGAAGGATTGATTGGTCGATTGATTTTATTCAAGGGGGAGCGGGATTGTACGGAAGTAGGCGGAGTGTTTGCAAAGGAAAAGCAAGATTAAAGAGAAGGAGGTTGAAAGTGAGGGCAAGTTGAGCACGGCAGGATGGGAGGTTGGAGAAGAGCAGTCCATTCCTCGCTGGAAGGGTGGAAATCGCTTGGGGGAGCACTGGGCGGGAGACGCGAAGTTGGCGAAGTTGGCGAATTTGGGCCAGTCCGAAGCCAGGGAGAGCAGCAACGGGCAGGGGGAGATTTTGCGAGGGGCAGGCAACCAATGATTGGTCATATTTCACGTTTCTCTGGCCGTGCACGCCAGCATCATACAAGGCATGGGCAAAAGGCTGGCAAGGTGAGAGTGAGCTGGTGTGTTTGTGTCTGTGTCTGGGTCTGTGTCTGGGTCTGCGGAGGACAAGGCCCCAGCCCAGGACAGGTAAATTACAAGCTTGCGGTGTTGGGCTGGGTGGATTTGCAGCAGACAATGGGGAGTTTGTGTGTAGGTAAGATGCAGCCTCCTCTCGAGAAACGCCGTCCCACACATCCTGGAGCACGCAAAATGCCAGCATGCACGCAGCTGCACCACGGTCCACAGCGAGCTCGTAATCTACCGCTTCCCAGTAACAGCCGCACGGCTCAGGCAAGCATGCCCGTGCCGGGAGGGGGAATAACGGACGAGATAATGAATGGCTTGTTCGCTCTCACGGGCTACAGCTGATGAGAGCTCAATCGCTTGCTGGAATAGAGTCTGACCAGCTGGAGGAGCTTGGGGCTGTGCCCAGAAGCAAGAGCAGGCTGCGCTGTTTTGCTACAGTACAGTATGAAATGGAATGGATATATATCGAATGCCGCTTTCCCACCCACTTCGAAAGCCATCGTCTCCGGACCGTTGTTCGTTGTTCGTCGTTCGCCGTCTTCACGAATCACTGTACGTCACCGTGGTGAAGCAAGCATCCGTCACTGCCTTGCCTGTGCCATCCCCACGGCATTCCCACAACACTCCTACAGTCCATACGTACTTACTTTCCCATGCTCAGTCAGCTTCCTCACCAGCACAGAAGTCTTCTTCCTCAGCCTCCGCCTCCGCCTCCGCCTCTGCCTCCACATGCTCGCAGCGATCTCTCGAAGTGCAGGGCTCGTGTTAATACTGCACGTGGTGCAGATCTTGCTCTCTTCCCGGTATTTGATCAGTATTTGCCTGTGGCGCCACTTGCTCCCACGCAGTTCTCCCACGCAGTTCTCCCACAATCAGTTCGGGCACACCTGAACCTACACCTTCGAGCTTCCTGGTTGGCCCGCCGCACCACCTTTGCTGCCAAGAGATACGAAAAGCATTGGAGCCCACTTGCGTTCTCCACGTCCTCGAACTTGGCCAAAGCTGGCTTACTGCCGCTGCCAACCTGCACCTGCGCCTCGACTCTCTCTACCTTCGCCTTCCAGCAAGCCGCCGATGATTCCTGCTTCAATCACCAACAATTGGAGAACGAAAGTCAAATGTTGACTCTTCGCTCTCTTTACGTTCGTTCCTTTCGCCGTTGACCTTTGCTGTGGCTCGTCGCCGGATACGCTCGCTCTGCCTTGGAAGGCATCCCTGGCCTGGCATATCGACTTTTAACATTCCCGTTATCGAAATCAAGGCACGCCGTCATCGCCTAAATCAATCACCGGCCCACTCGCGGCCAGCTCTATCAACAGGCTTGAAGAGCATTCGATGCCCCACTGTTCAGAAGCTGGCATCATATTCGAAGCTTCCCATCGAGTACCTGGCGCAGAGCATCCGCTTCTTTGCTCTTCAATTGGAGAAGGACCAGAAGTCGCGGATAACATTGGTCAACAACTAGGAGCAGATGCGAAGGTTTTGCTGTCGTACCAGGTTTGAAGCTTCTCAAGGCTTAGTCCTGAATTGGAAATTCTGACAATTTGCGTAGATGAATAATGGCACCCTCCTTTTTCAAAGATATTCGGCGAAGGTCGAGAGCAAGCTTCAAAACCGACGGAAGCGCGGATTCAAGCAACGGAACCAATGGCTCTGCCGCCAACACACAATCCTCGTCGACTTTGAACTCAACCTATGGAGGAAATACCCCACCTACACTGGCAACCTCGAGCTCCTCCCCCAACCTCCAGATCCTTGCCAACAACCAACCCACATTACCGCCAGCTCGGCCTACGATTTCGACTTCCTCCAGCAACAGATACAGTGTGTCGGGAATGTCTGGTTTAGGCTCGCCATCACAGAAATCATCTATTCCACCATCGCCCTATGCACCACGAATACTATCTATCTCGGACAACACTTGGGTAGGCCAATCGCTCCTGAATATATGCTCTGACAGGTGAACATGCGCTGAGGAGAGACAGGTTTATCAAAAAGTTATTTCGATATACGGAGTAATTGCTGATCCTGCGTCACTGGCTCTGGAAGGGAATTTGACTGTGAGCCGACTTGATGACGGTTTTCCACCAACATTCTGGCCTGTGAGTAATTCCCATGATTATCCCCGCTCAATTGATGAACCATTCCGAGCGTGAGAAGGCTCTAAAGGAGGGGGACGTAGAAATTCCAGTAGGAGATATGGCGTAGTCGAAGGCTTGTAATAGTTGATTGAGACTGACCAAACAAGGTTTCGGAATCCCATTTCAAGGCCCTGATATTTCTCTTACCAGGCCCAAACAAACTTCGGTTCGATTTCTCCTCACCTAAGCTTGCAAACAGCAATACTTCAAATCCCATACACTCTTCATACCTCACTATTCACATGATGCCCCCGCTCGAGAGTCCACCTTTGCAGCTGGTCATTCTACTGGGTAAAGATTCGCCGGGCACGTTCGATGCCGTTCCTGCGAGGACTGAGAAGGAAGGGAATGGCCTTGAGACTGCAATTAGAAAGTTCAGAATGGCAGCCTATCTCTGGCAAGCCTTCACCGCTGAACAGATGTTCCGCAACAAGCTCGGAAGGAGAGTCTTTAGGATGGAAGAGGAATGGGTCACGGGTACTTCGAACTATCGAGATCGCGAGACAGGGACTATGCGGAGCGAGGCCAAAATCCACATCGTCCGGAGCTCCAAAACCGTCGCGGAGCTTCGTGACCCCGACCTTGCTCAACAAAACCCAACGGCTAAACGATCTGGCGATCTGTTTGGTATTGCCTCAGAAGCGGTTCGAGACTATTTCAAACCTCTTCCCGGCCAAAAGCAGTACGTGTCTGTGCTGCTATTGGATGCGCACTGGGATAATCAGACAAAGCTAATCACTGGGCATGCCGCCTTGGGCGGTGGCGGAGGCGAAATCCAACTTGCCATCTTTGGTTCCCAGGTAAGCAAATTTTGCATCTTCTCTGTCCTTGATCGTGTTAGAGGCGCTACCCAATTCAGACGCTTCCCTTGGAAGATACCTGCAACCAATGACAGATTTCCTCAGTAAGCCAAAACTGACTTCATGACTCTCCAGGCTCTACAGAGTTATCCATCCTCTATCGAGGAGATTGTTCCAGCATTCTCCGATTGTACGCCAACGGACACAAACTATGTCGCCAATGATTGTAACGAATCTGGCAGTAGTTGGGAAGCTGCAAATATTGGCATTGGCGCGCACCTGCACGAGACTGGCCATTTATTTGGTTGCCCCCACGAAGAAAGTGGAATAATGCTCCGGGACTATGTCACACTCAATCGGTCGTTTACCATTCGAGAACCATACTCAACGCGTACAAAGTCGAAAGGTGGCTTGGTGTTGCCAAAAGATGAGTGTGCCTGGCATCGTCTTGATGTGCTCCGATTTAAAGGGCATCCCTGCTTTACTTTGCCAACAGATCCACCCCGGAACAGCGATGAATCAGTCCAGGTTTGGCCGGTAGACAATGGCAATGTCATTGTCACTGCTCCTTCGGGCGTCGCCTACCTCGAGATCGTTCCGGGAGGCGACGACGTGTGCAAATATTGGCAAGAGTTCGGTGACGGAAATGGCAACGGTCCTATCCAAAAACAAATCATCTTGACGGAACAGGAATTGAGGAGTCGATTGTCCGACGACAAAAAGAAGCTGAAGCTGAAGCTGAGCATTAAATCGATCGCTGGTGGAAGCCATGAAGTTGAAGATTTTGGACTACTCTCGTCCAAAGCTTCAAGAGTGAAGCTTCCCAATGGCCAGCTCGCTTTCCGAAGTAGCAGATTGGGCCTCTCGAAAATGGATGGTTCCCGCCCTGAAGAAGTCATTTTCGACAGTGCAGTGCGGCAAACAAAATTGCTCACGCAAGTGCGAGTCTACCATGGATTTGCGTTTGATGGAATCGAATTCATCTACGAAGATTCGACCTCTCAGCTTTTTGGGAAGAGGGGAGGCGAACCGGGTGGAAGCGAGTTTAATCTGGGTACGCGCCTTGGCCCGAGACTTTGCGAGTTTTGCTGACTTTTCCTCTTAGATACCCGACGAGGTGAGGTCATTACTGGATTCTACGTCCGAAGCGGATTTTGGATTGATGGGATTGCCATCATGACCAGTCTGGGTAGGAAGTCGGCCGTGTTTGGGAATGCCAGTGGTGGTTCTGGGTGAGTTGCTAAACCACGAATTTTGAGCCGTCCTAACATTCCTAGAAATACTTTGATACCCCCGAGAGGATATAGCATTGCAGGCGTTACTGGATCATGTGCGGATTGGGTAGATGGATTTGGCATTCTTATTACTCGATGAACGCCCTGGTACTGGCTACGACGATAATGATTGAGGCATTCTGCATTTGAGCAGAGACACACGATATAAGAAGGGTAATTGTATAATGAGGCATTGGGCCAGTATAATTTGAGGAATGTGTGGCTCTTCCTGGGGTTAATCTGCTCGGTAAGGCGTTCACTCGGGGGCTTCAAATCTGCGCGGGGCGAGCACCAGTACATGCACCACGCAATTGGACCAGGAGTATATAAAAGATTCACGAGTCTCCCATTCAGGAGCAGTAATTGTTTAAATTCACGTATAGAACTTTGAGAGTAGCTCTGTGCTTGGAAGTCTGTGTGAACAGTAGGGCATTGGTGGATTCCTCCTTCAATTGTGTCAAAGAATGAACTGGCCCTCGATGCTTGACTTCCAGCACCAGCGTGCCTTAGAAACCAGGATAAGAGGATCACGTGGAACCCGAGCTCTCCCAGCGCATCTCCCCATGGGCGTTTGTCACAGCCAATGAGGAGGTCTCCACCGGGAGGACTTGCCGGACTTCGTGTGGCTGTGCAAGCTCTGCGCGACGTCACGGAAAGGCAAAAAGCAAGGACTGCTGGAACCCCAAGCTTCCCCCCCTCAACAACAACCCTTCCAAAGTTAAATCCCCTCCAAACCCCAGAGGCAGCCTTCACCCATTGCGAGCAGAACAACAGCATAATGTCCAAACGAACAAGCGCCAATGCCTCAAATGGCTCGGCGAAGGAGTTGACCGTCGGTGAGCCTGGTATGTACCTGTCGCAGGAGCTTCAGAGCGCCGTGTTTGACCTTTTGCAGCTATCGACAAGCAGAAGAAGCTGCTCACTGATGACAACACTCATTTCTCCATGATAAAAATGCTCCACCTAGCTGATCTTATTACGGAGTTGAATGGTACTTCACCCTATTCTATGCCCCCTCTATTTTCACAGACTAATGCACCCGTCCAGGCTTCTGCGGAGTTATGTCTATCTTCTCTTCTATGCGATACTGCCTTGGGCCTCCCTCTGCACATGCAAATCTCTGGGCGGCATTGGCATTCATGCCCTTTGGGTTATTCTTCGATTTCATGGATGGCAAGGTTGCACGATGGAGGAAGAAGAGCAGTTTGATGGGGCAGGAGCTTGATTCCTTGGCAGATCTGGTAAACTATATCCCCTGCGACACTTGGAAGTAATTCGACTAAAATATCAAATAGGTGTCTTTTGGTCTCTCGCCCGCCGCAGCAGCATTCGCCATTGGCCTTCGCACTCCAGCCGACCACTTCTTCCTCACGTTCTTTGTTCTTTGTGGCCTCACTCGCCTTGCACGCTTCAATATCACTGTTGCGAATGTACCCAAAGATGATACGGGAAAGAGCAAATATTTTGAAGGCACTCCAATCCCTACCTCGTTGTCGATTGCAGCGTTGATGGCATACTGGGTCAGCCAGGGTTGGATCCTGGAAGATATTCCCATGGGAACTTGGGCAACAGGGACCACCTTTGAGTTCCATCCTGTGGTCGGACTATTCGTTCTCAGTGGATGTTTGATGACAAGTAAGACGCTCCATGTTCCAAAGCCATAGCGATCATGACCATCAGTTACGATTATGGGGAAAAGCGGTGATTCCAAGGTGATAAATGCATGGGCGAAGGGAAAAGGAATGGGTTATGCGGGATTTTCCTTCTCTGATGATGTGATGCCTCTCTGTCCACGATTTTAGGCAGATGCGCAAGTGGGATGAAAGAAAGTCTCCCTTCAACTGCCTGGTGTCTTTTAATCTTGATGACTTGAAATTCGACAAAGCGCCAAGAAGTTTGAAATATCCGTTTCACAGGCCCATTCTCCAAGCAGAACAGCAAAGTAACCAGCTGGAAGAAGAGGGAAAGTTGCCGTGACGGCAGATCACGAAGAGCTTGAGGATGATTTACGTTCCTTAATATCCGCGAGAGTCTGCATCGAAGCCCGAGTTTACTTTGCAGGTGTTTCATGCGTTGGGGTCTCGAGTTTGATTTGATGTCTGTCCCTCGACCCCAAGCTTTCGCAAGGCATCTCCTCATCCATGTTCGACACCACTACTTCGAAGTCTTATACTTCAATTGAATCTCCCTTCCCACCTCTACTCTATTTCGTTCTACTTTGCAGCCACAAGCCACTACCTGAGCATAGCAGAAGTTACACGTTGAGAGACTAATCACCCCAGGGATAACCAATGCATCGCTTTAAGCATACCCCTCCCCCACAAATGAATCTCTCCTAAGTTTCAGAAGCCCAATGAGTATGCTGGAAGAGCATCTCGGATGGAGAAGTGTATAACACTATCCCAAACCACTTACACTTGAAGGTGTAGAGAAATTTTTGATCGAATGAATCAATTTAATTGTGATTAATTTGGCCTTTTTGAGTACGAAGCCGCCGCCGCTCGATTTCTTTCAAAAAGCCTTCCTCGGAGAGCCGCACGTTCGACATATTTGCTTTGAACTAAGGGGAAACGTTGACAGGGACAATAGATTTCTATCAAGCCTCAGCCTGTCTGAGATCGCATATATATTCTGAATACATATCACATGAAATGAGTTCATTGGACAAAGTAATATGTCAAATTGACCAATTGCAATTCTCATGCCTTCTGATTCAAGTCTCAATTTGTGTCGATCCACTGGCGGAACAATCGTCAGGAGCCTACTGGACATTGCAGAATCACCGTCGCCGATTATAGACGGAAGGTGGACATGGATTTTGCACTGATCAGGATAAAACCCCGAATCTGGCCCAAATTTTGATTCGATTTCCAGCAGCCAACCCCTGGCAACTTAAACACCTGATACGCAAGCCGAAAACGCCGAGATATCTACACAAGGAAGATGCAGCACTCCAGTTATAGGTGATCAACCACGTCCCCGTGTGAATCCACCCCTCGCACCGCCTCTTCCCCGCGGTGGGAAGCCAGTGCTTCCACCTCTCGAGAAGCCCCCACCACCACGGCCCCCTCTTCCGCCAGCACTGAAACCACCCCTGCCTCTGGGTGCTCCTCGTGAGCCTCCTCGTCCACCTCTCATGGGTCCGCCTCTACCCCCTCTCGCGCCTCCTGCTCGCTTTGGCTTTGGTGCTCCTGGAGGTGGCTTGGGTCTCGGTAAGAACTTTTCTAAAGGAAGTAACTTGTCGCCGCCAATGTAGAACTTGTCTCCTGCCTTAAATGAGGTTGCCTGGATACCTTCTGATGGCTTAACTGAGAAGAACACCTGATTAATCGGACCGAGGATTTCGTCGACCTTGCCAATGGCAGTCTAAAATGCATCAGTGCCGGTAGAAACTTGTACTGGAACTGGGGCTTTTCTCACCTTGTTTTGGAGGTAGATGGGAGCATTGAAGTATGGGATCTTCGTGTTGATCGACTCGCAGATGATTTCTCCTTCGCATGCGTGAAGGAAGGTCCCCATTTCTAGCAGCGCCTGTTAGTCTTTTGCATGACGTTTAAGGGAATGAAGAAAGTGCAAGGGAACAAGCAGCCCCATTATCTTTGCAAGAGAAATTGCCTAACGGGAAAGAAATCTTACCAAGAACATCGGCTGGAGGTCCGTTGTCTCTTTGCTGGAATCCACCTCGTCCTGCCCATCAATCAGTAATTGTTCTGCGGTGGGCTTTCACATTGCTGACCTCCACGAGTTCCAAATCCCCCGCCGCCTCTGCCTCCACCCCCTCCAAAATTTGCGCCGGTGCCGCGACCGCGTGGTGCTCCCCGGAATGACATTGTTGGTAGTTGTGATGTGACTGTTCGATTTTTCAGAAATCGCAGTGAAGCTCTTTGAAATTTCTCGGGCTAGTTTTGCGGTGCAAATTCCAACCAATCACCGGAGGCGAGGCCAACCCCTCGCTTGGGCACAGCTTAATGTGACACGAAGGAAGACTCACCAAAGACTCACACCGCGAATTAAAAAAAGCTGCTCGGGTGCTCGAGTCAGAGAAATTGAGCACAACAACAACGAGGACCACTTCCAGCCATGGAGAAAGCACACAAAGCAGTCGATGCCGTCGTCGATGGCGTAAAGAAAGTAGCCATTGGCAATGAAAAGAAGGCAAAGGCAAAGAAGGAAAAAGGAGGGGATGGCGGGGCAGAGGGGCCTCTTGGTAGGAGTTTCCGAACTCAATTCTACCACCATGCTAACAAGTTTGGCATCTAGAGATGAAGCCCGCCCCTCAATTCCTCGACACTCGTCTTAAATTATTCGAGAAATTGAAGGCGAAGTTCGACGCGGAAATTGCTGCGAAACCTCGAGAAGCCATCACTATCACTTTGGCAGATGGATCAGTCAAAGCCGGCACATCGTGGGAGACGACACCCGCGGATATTGCCAAGGGTATATCGAACAGTCTATTCAAGCGTACGGTTGTGGCGAAGCTGAATGGAGATCCCGGACAACTGTGGGACCTAGAGAGACCATTGGAGGCCAGTTGTAAGCTGGAGTTACTGTCTTTCGACGATGAGTTGGGCAAGAAGGTTTTCTGGCACTCGAGTGCGCACATACTTGGTGAAGCTTCTGAACGACGATTCGGGTGCAGCCTGTGCATTGGACCTCCAATTGAGAGTGGTTTCTACTACGAGATGGCTTTGCCAGAAGGAGCCCCTGTTCATGAATCGGATTGGAAGCCATTGGAGACATTGGTCAGTCAAATTGTGAAGGAAAAGCAACCCTTCGAACGTCTCGTTCTCTCAAAAGAAGACCTGCTTGAGATGTTCTCGTACAACAAGTACAAGCAACACATCATCAAAGACAAGATCAAGGACGGAGAGTTCACCACGGTTTACCGGAACGGACCTCTTATCGATCTCTGCCGTGGCCCTCATGTTCCGAATACTGGCAGAATCGAGTCATTTGCAATCATGAAAAACTCAGCATCGTATTTCTTGGGCGACAAGGACAACGACTCTCTTCAGCGAATCTATGGCGTGTCATTCCCCGACAAGAAGCAAATGACGGAGCACAAAAAGTTTTTGGAAGAAGCAGCAAAGCGAGACCACCGTAAAATTGGCAAGGACCAAGAGCTATTCTTCTTCCATGAACTGTCGCCTGGATCAGCGATGTGGTTACCCCACGGAATGCGAATATACAACACACTCATGCAATTCATCAAGGATGAGTACTGGAAGCGTGGCTTCAACGAGGTCCTCTCTCCAAACATGTATAATTCCACATTATGGAAGACGTCTGGTCATTGGGACTACTACAAGGACGACATGTTCACCTTTGCGGTTGACAAGGAGACATTCGCGCTGAAGCCAATGAATTGTCCAGGGCATTGTCTCATGTTCGATCACCGTGAGAGAAGCCACCGGGAGTTGCCTTGGCGAGTTGCAGACTTTGGTGTGCTCCATCGTAATGAAGCTTCTGGAGCGTTGTCAGGTCTTACGCGAGTCCGAAGATTTCAACAGGACGACGCCCATATCTTCTGCCGAGAAGACCAAATCAAGGACGAGATCACGGGTGCATTCGACTTCCTGAATAGAGTATATGGTCTATTTGGATTTACATTCAAGATGAAGCTCTCCACGAGACCAGATCCCTATATGGGCAAGCGAGAAGTGTGGGACATGGCAGAGGAAAAACTTCGTTCTGCATTGGATGAATTCATCCCCGGAGGTTGGGAACTTAACGAGGGCGATGGAGCTTTCTACGGACCGAAAATCGATATTACCATCATGGATGTTCTAAGACGGGAATGGCAGACGGCTACGATCCAATTGGACTTTCAGCTTCCTCAAAACTTTGGTCTTGAATACATGACGTCTGAAGTGGTCGTCAAGCTGAAAGAGGATGGAGAGAAAGTTGTGAAGCCGAAGGTTGAGGAGCCCAAGAAGGCCGTAGAGGTTGTGGGCCCAAATGTGAAGAAGGAGAGAGTCATCAAGCCCCTCACACCAGGCTGTGCACGTCCTGTCATGATCCATCGAGCCATTGCAGGCAGCATTGAGCGTTTCACGGGTATTTTGATAGAACACTACGGGGGCAAGTGGCCATTCTGGCTGAGTCCTCGACAAATTTTGGTGATCCCAGTTGGAGTTGGATTTTATGACTATGCAAAGGAGGTCCAGAGCATTTTCAAGGATCAGCGTATGTATGTTGATGTCGACCTCAGCGGCAACACTCTTCAAAAGAAGATCCGCACGGGGCAGTTGGCTCAATATAACTTCATTTTCGGTAAGCCATGTCAAGAATCTTATTATTTTCTGTGCTAAACATCTATGTAGTCGTCGGCGACCAAGAGATGAATGGAAGAGAAGTCAACGTTCGGAACCGTGATGATACTTCGAGCCAAGACCGTGGAAAGCCAGTGCCATTGCAGGAAGCTATCACGAAGCTCGTGGCACTTCGGGACGAGCGGAGATCAGATAATCCCTTTCCGGGAGATGCGAAGGTGGAGAAAGAGAAAGAAGCCAAAGCTAAGGCTTAGGTTGAGGGATTTTGCTTACGACCTGGGGGGGGGGTTGCTGGATGGGCAGAGCTGTGTTATTGTATGAGGTGACTTTTTTTTCTTTCTTCCAAAGTTGTGATGCAGTTAGATACTGTACCAAGACTTGCATGGAGAAGAAACGAGTTGCGTGGCGTAGTGGAGATGAATGAATGAATGAATAATGTTGATTTTTGACCAATGATGTTGGGCCATGCATCGCCTACCTGATTTTAGGGTCCTGGATCCTGGGTCCTCGGTCCACCCGTTGATTTGAGAGGAGGGGAGAGTGTGGGCGGTGGGTTGGAGTTGCGGGAGATCCGCAGGCTACTGAATGAAAGCGAATCAACAGCGGGCTGACGTAACAGCGCTCTCATTCCACGAGTATGGAGTGGCGTCGTCTCCAGAGCAGAAAATAGGCAGTGAAGTGCAGTGGAGATGAAGATGGTCAGAAGAGCGCGCCAAAAGGATGGATGGATTTGCGGATCGTGATCAGCTGGCCGCTTGTCCCCCAGATTGTCCTGGCCGCCTTGGTACAACAGTAGGCGGCGGCTCCATTCGCAAATCCAGTCTCCAGTCCTCAGCCTTCAGCCTTCGGTCTTCACTCCTGCTGGGAGTCTGGGCTGCATTTGTACTGCGCCGGGGCGGGCTCTGATCTGTCTGTTTCTGAGGGGCATCACGGTTGCATGGCCCGGATGGCCGGACAGGCACCGCAAGCAAGAGCAGTGGCCACCTGAAAGACTCAAGACTCAAGAGACGTTTGGAATCCGGAATAATATGCAGTTGTGAGCGTAAGCAGGCTATGTGCAGCAGCCAAAGCACCGACGGCAGCGCCTTGCCTCATCCGTGGCTGGGGTAGCGGGCGACGTCATCAAGAGCAACGCCAACCGAGACACGAGCTAAGTACACAACACTCCTCTCCCATTCCTGGCCCTTTCCATTGCCCTTCCCTTCGCATTGATCCTTGGCCACAGCCAGCTGCCTTCTCTTCACCGTTCCCAGAATATTCCTTCGAAGCCGCTCTGGCTTTGGCTGTCGCTGCTCGGACCAGCATTGTTCTTTGCCCCTGTGGTAGTCTCAGCATCAAGCACCGAAGATTGCTTCGTCTGATCAGAGAAGTCCAGACTTGAACCCCCAAACCCATAGCTGCGCCAATCGGCTCGGGCTCCGCCTCCGCCTGAGGTAAGGTCCTGCCCAAATGGCAATTGCTAAACTTCTTTCTCCATCATGGAGCTGTCTGTTAACGTGTTGAAACGAATCTAGTTCGAGGCCGACTTCCTAAGACACTACGTCAGACAAACACCACAATGGCGTCCCTTAATGCAAACTCCACCATCCCTCCTCCTTCCCTGCAATACCTCGAAAGAGGTTACGGAGCGAGCAGTACTCGATCGAATCTGCTGCCTGCCACTGCGGCAACAGATTTTGGATCCGGCTCAACACCAGGCAACCCCATAGACACATCACCGCTGGCACAATCCGCCGCACACAACGGTCGCTTTAACGAGGAGTGGGACGCAAGCCAGCGGGGCAGTTCGATCATCGACGGTCCAATGCAGCGGTCCAACTCTGTCATGTCGCAGGGCGACACCCTGATCCCGTCGAGGGGAGGAACTCTAAAGAAGAAGGCCTCCCTGCGAAGAACAGGCTCCTTGAAGAGAACCTCGAGTCGCCGAAGCTCGAGAGCTGGGAGTGTTCGAAGCCTGGTCCTCCAAGCTCCGGGAGACATAGATGAAATGCATAGTGCATTCTTCTCTCCCGTACCTACCAGCGGCAATCCGACGGAAATCCTAGCAAATAGATTCCAAGGTATTTAGTGTCCTATCGACCCAGTATAATACTGATACCTTGTCAATAGCTTGGCGCAAAGTCCTCAAGGATCTCATTACATATTTCCGAGAGATTCAAGCGAGCTATGATCATAGATCAAAGACCCTCTTAAAGATTTCAAATGTCATCAACAACACCTCTGCACCGCCCATATTCCTCCAATCCAGCGGCCTTGATGATGCTGTACAGGTTCTACGCACTTACCACAAGTCTTCCGTCATGGAGGCCAACAAGTCGAAAGAAATTGAGAATGATGTCATTCTGGCCCTTACTGGACTGCGAAGTGATCTAAATCAGAAGATCAAGGAGATCAAGAACCTCTCTGGTGATTTCAAGAACTCGGTGGAGAAGGAAATCGAGAATACGCGCAGAGCCGTGAATGATCTGCAAGAAGCATTGGGACAGTCTGATGTTGACACCGCCCAGATGACTGGAAAGAAGGACCCATATCTGCTTAAGCTTGCTGTGGATCGCCAAGTTGAGAAGCAGATCGACGAAGAGAACTATTTACACCAAGTAGGCGTGCTTACCTTTAGCCATAGAATTTTCACTAACTTTGAATAGGCGTATCTCAATCTCGAGGCCTCTGGGCGAGAACTTGAGGCTATCGTCGTTGGCGAAATCCAGAAATCTTACAATGCTTACGCTGGTATATTAAAGCGTGAAGCAGATGCGGCTTATTCTACCATGGAAGAGCTGCGTACTGGTCCTATTGCTATGCCAAAGGACCATGAATGGAATGCCTTCATTAAGAATGACGAGCACTTTGTGGATCCAGGTATACCTGTCCGAGAAGCTCAGAATATTCATTACCCAGGCAGGGATAATGAGCTTGCACAGGAGGTACGAGCGGGTCTCCTGGAACGGAAGAGCAAATATCTCAAGTCGTATACAGCTGGTTGGTAAGCTGTTACCTCCCACCTTAGCGCTTTCTTTCCCCGAACAGCGTGCAATATTAACAATCTGCAGGTATGTACTTTCGCCAACTCATCTCCATGAGTTCAAGTCTGCGGATAAGACCGGAGCTCCTATTATGTCTCTGTACCTGCCTGAACAAAAGCTGGGGTCTCATTCCAGCGAGGGCTCTTCTTCGAACAAATTCATGCTAAAAGGTCGTCAAACCGGATCTATGCACCGCGGCCATTCCTGGGTGTTCAGAGCCGAGTCATATGACACAATGTAGGTATCCCTTACTCATTCTGAACTATGTTTATTCTCTCAACAAATTGTAATAGGCTTTTGCTGATTTGCTCGTTGCTTAGGAGCGCTTGGGTAAGCTTACTCGTTCTCCCCACTCATCGAGTTGGAAATTGCAATGGGATCCCTAGTCTTAAAATAAAGCTAACCTACATGAAAAGTATGATGATATCAAGATATTGACATCGCAGTCCCCTCAAGACAGACAAAATTTTGTTCGCCAGCATGCTCGCAGTATCAGTGGAAACTCGCAGAAGGCTGGCTCGATAAGCTCTGATGGGATTATGGACGAAGAGGATGAGGAGCCATTTTCTGCTACCAACTCAGCTGTTGTGGCCCCGGGACCAAAGCCAGACGAGCCAAAACGTCCCCAGCCAGGTGGGCGATTTCCTTCTCAACTGTCCATCGACACGTTGTCACAAAGAGGCTTACAAGCTCCTCTCTCGCCATCTAGTGGAAGTTCCGGTTTCGGAGATGTCCAAGATCGCAATGTAGTTGCTGCTGCTAGCTCTTTGCCCGGTAGTGGAGTAGGAAACCATTATGGAGCCGATCCATCATCCCCTACACATGCTGCTTTGGTCAACCGACAAGCCGAGGAAGACGGCATCAATCCTTACACATCTCAACCAATACATAACGCCGCCCAGAATCACACTTCAAACGTACCAGCCGTTGGTGGTCTTGCTATCGCTGGGGTTGGAGCTGCTGCAGGAGTTGCAGGCTCAGAAGCATACCGCCATCACGAGGATGAAAAAGCTGCGGAAATGTACCGACAGGAACAAGAACAACAAGCGGCTCTCGAATCATCAGCTGTTGCTGCACCGGATACCTACGAGCACGAATCCGAACGAAAGGCAGCACATGAGGCCGTCATATTTGCAGCTCCAGATGTCCCTATCACATCTTCGAATTTCATATCTGGCGGACGTAGTCAAGGAGATGTCAGCAGTGTCGGCACTGATTTGACGAAGGGGGCGTTCCTGGAGCAGGCTCCAAACGGACCCAAAATCACAGCAAACCCGTCGGAGGCTGTGCTCAGACCTTTGACTGAGGACACCCGACCAAGTCTGGCTGCGGGGCAGAATCACCAAAGTGTGAAGAGCATCAGTCAATTGCACGTCCCAGGCGAGTTTCCAAGGACCAATACGGAGTCCGGAGAGGCAACAAGTGTCCTTCCAGCATAGATAGACCGTTTTTGGGGGGCAGTCGTACATAGCTGTAAAATAGTTCTAGGGTGGGTTGGGCTAGCGATTTTGGAAGACGGCCCGGAAGACGGAGTCCAAGGTATATAAGAATTGATGATATTTTACTTTCTTTTAAACGAATGGAATTAATAATACCGATACTATCTCCCATGCCCTCGATGCCCTCTTTGTTGATTTCGAGCTACTTTCACAAGATCACTACCAAAGCATAAGCATCATCTCTTCTGGTTGAAGTCCTCTTCGAAGATAGTTCAGACTGCAGTCCTGTCGAATCCTAGACCACGCTTGTCACAGTAGAATGAGGCAAACAAGTGAATTGGAAGACATTTATATAGTTCCTGGAAATGCTAAGTAGAAGCAGGCGGGTTTTGTTCTAGACAGACAGGTGTCGGGGTTTCAAGAATGTAAGACATGCGAAGAGGGTAGCTAAATCTCCAATAATATTCCTCTGTATTACAATCACAATTCTCAGCAAACATGCCCGTGGCTCCTGACACGGCACGATGTGAACCTCAACCCTAGGACTCCGGATCCGAAACGCCGTCGCTTCCAGGAATGCAACAGCAAAACCCTCCCTATCCAGACCTAAAAAACTCACAATTGGAGAGAAACGTCTCTATTCGGCTGCTTCACTCTCCAAATTCCCAGACGAGGGTGTCGACTTTAACCTCGTCCTCCTACGTGGAGGTGTTTTTGGAGGTAATTTCTTGATCCCGTTAACTTGAATGGACGGAGGTACTGGAGGCGGCGCGTGTCTTCTACTTCTAACTGGAGGTGGTGGCTTCTTTTTGACTTCTACCACCACCTCTGCCTCGGATTTAGGACTGTCTTCATCATGACCGTGCACATCATGCTCGAACTCTGTCTTCCTGCTTGGTGTTTGCACACCGGGTTTTTCCATCACGGCCGCCACGTTTACAACACTTATCGAGCTCGCCGTGTCTGTCGGCGAGAGGGAGATTCCCAAGAGCTTACGAGCAACTTCTCCCTCGCTGATATCTTCCTGTTGTAGCCAATCAATCTGTGAGACACGATTCACTAAACGGACCGTAGTCTCGTCCGCTGGTTCCCAATGTGCATTTGTCGAGCCTCCCAAGATGCTGAGGACCTTCACAATTTCATCTCGTTTGTAGTGTGGAGGTTGATGGAGCTGTGTGTGGGCTAGCAATGGGTAGAGGACCCGTAGATATGTGTGACGTAAGGATACTAATTCGTTGGGGAGATCAAGGAGGTTGCGAATTATGACATCGAGCAGGACACGCAAATCGTTGGTGTAGAAGTACTCATGCGTCGCTCGAGTTGTGAAGAGAAGATATAGCAGCTTGAGTATTAGGAGTTGGAGAGAGGTTTCGGTCTCGCGGTTGAGGAGGAGAATGATGTTCTCTCCGAACGTCATGTATGATGAGCCGTGCAAGGAGAGAAGTTTGATGACTCGGTTTGTCAAGCGGTGGAGCGTTGGATGAGCGTCCGTTGGTGAAGCTGTGGCTGCCACCATCCACTGCTCGTTGAGGACCAGCTGTGAAATGTTAGCTGGCCATCAGAACCTGAGGGAAAGCTCACGTTACCAAAACTCGAATGACTGGGTAATGATATGGATCATCAACATCGTCAGAAAGCTCCTCTATGATATTGAAGAGGCAAACTACAAAGTCATCATCCGCACAGCCAAGGTCCTCTGCCGAAATTCGCTGCACTCTTGACATCTCGTACAGCAGCTCCAATAGTAACCGGTGCAATCGGGCATCATCCCTCTTTCCCAGCTTGATCAGCTCTATCAACCTTGGAAAACAGCCCTCCTTATTCATCATCTCGAATGTAGGCTCGTTCTCCTTGCCATCGAACAGTAGGAAGCTGGCTATTACGTGTAGGCTCGCCGGTTCGTCCTCCTGCATCAAGCTATAGACAATCTGAATCCGCACATAGCCTTTATTTACCTCGAACAGCTCGCTCTGCAGGAGTTTCTGCGAGCATCGGGCGACATCGTACTCGGAGTGGAGGTACTCGTCTTTGAAATTGGTTGTGAAATGAAGATAGGTTCGCAGCGCATTATCGATCAATTGATGCGAGGGGCACTTTGCAGATACAATGTCGTCAAGCTCTGGAATTCAACAATCGTTAGCAGCCGCGGCACCTGCGGGGAGGGCTGCGGCGCAATTACCGTCCCAGAATTGCTGTTCGCTTTCAAGGGTGTACTCCAGCGTCTCCATCGTCAACCAATGGTGAGGATGCGCTCTGCTATCGAAGAAGCATAACGAAAAGAGAGTGCCGAGCAGCAGAGTAGGATGCTGGAGAGAGTTCGGGGCGATAGTGGGAGGTGTGCTCACTTGGTGGTTGGAAACCCTGTCATGTCGATTAGGTCAAGCAACCACGCCCGTTCCCAGTAGCGTCGGGCTCAGTTTCGGCTGTCTCATAAGGACAAGGCTGTGTGTGGCTGGGAAAGACGAGGCTACGAGGCTGGCCAAATTAAATTAACCAATAGAAGACTTACATCAGAGGAGCATCTTTTGAAAACTACAACAGGATTGATCTTGCAAGCTCTTGGCAGATATTCTTTCACTAGAACTACCTATTGCTAGTTTATAGCAAGGGACTGTCCTAAGGCTTGCATCTCGAAGTCAAATTCGCGGACATGCACTGAGATATTGGCCTCTAGACTGTTTTACACCTTGTTATCCACTCCGTTTACCAGGTTGAAACTGAATTCAAAAAGGCTCCGCCTTGCAAGTCCTAGAAACCAGTTCATAATGGTTCCCTCAGTTGTACCATGATCATGAGTCAAATCCACTTTGCTCGGAGGGGGAGGTTGGACTTGGCGGGAACAAGGATTGGGGGGTTTGCCGCCCTGAGCCCAACGAAGTTCGAAGTAAGGAGCCCCAGTAAAGGCCTTGCTACGATGTCTGCCTTGAAGGCCATGTGCAAAGTACTTGATCCACCCTTGCAGGGCTTTCTGATGGAAGAATGCGTGCAATACGGGCCTCACGAGCCATGCATAGTGAGTTTTCATTGCGTCACCAATCTGATACGTCTCCAATACAGTATTGTCATTGCGGAACTGCTTGAGGAAAGTCGGAGTATTGCCCGCGGTAAGGAACTCCTTGACTTCGTACTCTACTTCGGTGTACTAGCAGGTGTGATTTGGAAAGCCTGGATCATGGGTGTCTTATCGTAATGAACATCTTTCTTGCACTTCTCATCGAACCAATATTTATTGACAGCTAAGTATCTACCGCTTGGAGTTTGTAAGAAGGTGTCTCGCTCATCGTACCGCTCGGTATCGGTAGTCTATGAGGTTGGGGTGAGAGGAGCATCGCGCGGTTTCGTAGCTCGGTCCTGAAGTGCGAATGTTAGCAGAGTCTAGCGCAGAAGGAAAGGTGATTACCTTCCCAGGGCTTTCTAGGGCTATGAGCTAGGCCAGCTCCTCCTAAGCTTCATCCGCTCTTGTGGACGGTCTTGGAAGGTTTGCTTCAGGTATGGGATGACACTGAAGAGCGCGGATTTCGTCGAGGGATAGAAAGAGAAGCTTGACGTCGAGGTTGTCGTGTTCGCGTTTGGTATGGACAAACAGCGAGTAATCTCGCATTTGGTTAAGAGATATTGATAAGGGTATGCAGGCTTCACGTCGAGTTTGTCGTGGCAGCCAGCGAAAAGTGCAAATAATGATCAAGAAGCTTCTCTTCAGCCTCTATTCCTACTGTCCACACTGCCTGGAACATGTGCAACTTTTGTGCGAGTAATATACCCTTGCAATGAGTGTAACCTCGAGCAAGTCTTGCCCCCGGACACAAAGACACGACCAACGCACAATTCTAAGTACTTGGTACTTGAAATATTCACACGATACTGATTCTCGCAGTGTGAGGCTGGGCTGTTCGTGGAAAGAAAATGTTCACCACGGCGTCTAGTGACATAGCTCCTCTCAAGCTCTCCGCAAATTTGTATGGGGCCAGCCTGGCTGTGAGTTTTGCGCACTTGGTCTGTTCCTTGTTCATACCTTGTTAGACGAGAGCAGGCAAGTTTCTGGGTTCTTTTTCACTGAATTTCTCGAGTTTGTTGAGGGCTGTGTTCAAGCTGAGAGGAAATAGTGTGTTGGTCAGATATCATCAGTTCAATGGGCGTGAAACCCCAATCGCCACTATGCCCTTGTTTCGAAACCTGGTCTTGGAGCGCAATGCTTGGGTACAGGTAATTCTTAAGTTTAAGAAGTAACTTCATGGGTAGAAGGTATGGGTCTGGGGTGCTAATACGCTAAAGGCGAGCTCGCGAGTCAAAATTTCGTTTTCTTTCTCCACGAGCTCGAATGTACTTTATGGGCCATCCAAACCCCGATCTCAATGTGTGGTAGGGGTTTGGAAAGTGTTACCTTTCTTCTTCATGTTCTTAACATCTTCTCTCCTGTTACACACGCTTCAGGAATATAGTACTAAGTGACAGCCACTCGATTGGGAACCTTGACGGAGGCGTCCACTGAGGAGTCGTTCTGTCCACCTTGACAAGAGGCCCTGCCGGTCCGAGTCGATTTTGTGATGGTTCGCAGCCTTTTGTGGAATGCAGGTTGGGCCTAAAGCAGCGCAGGGCGCTTAGCAATTGAAGAGACCCCCGCACAGGCCATCAATCTACCAAAGCGGCACAAAAGTAGCTCGAGAGGCAGAGCCTCTTCAACATCCGCACTCTCCACAGCATATTAAATTTCTGACTGTGGGTGACCTTAAATTAAATCTTGCTGCATGGCCCTCAAGCACTCGCCGGGCGGGATCAACGGCCCGCGCTGCATTGACCTCTCTTTGGTATTAGCTGCCTTAGTTGGGCGACATCCGTATCTCGTGCTGAAGTCCCCTGCATAGGACATGCATGATGATGGGCCACATTTGAGCGGCCGATTGGGCATTGTTCCGCAGAGGGTGTGGGGGATTCAATCATCGAATTTGAGCTTGCAATCGTGATTTTGTTGATGGGGAGAAGTATTCGACCAGGGACGGGAGTAGTAATAGCACTGGATATCTTTTCGCAAAAGGCCCGTCATGCACGGTTTTCAAGATGAAGAAGTGCGATATTGACCTGCCGTTGCGATCTTGAACGCTCCTCCAAATGCCACTGGTGCTAGGATCATTCTTCGCAGTACGCCGCATCCCCCAAATGCGCCACCCGTGTAAGGTGATTGGGCGCGTCGAGGCTCCGATTCTTCAGCGTCGATCCATCTCAGAGGCTCCTCGGTGGGGCATGGCGGGTGACGCTGCGCTCGAAATCGAATAGGGACAGCAGGTTTCACGCCTCACATTCGAACGAGGTTGACAGCAGCACAGGGTTTCGTTCAGCTGCCGCATGCTGTCCACAAGGCGGGGATACTTCCTCGAGAGCCTGCAAATGGCGTCTGCAATGCTGAAGGCGGCGGGAGCATCATGCAAGGCGCGAGAACCTGAGGGAGATCGACCCATCTCTCAACGCTATTTACGCAAGCCCTAAGCCGCCCGGGGAACAATGACCGATCCCATCAAACTGTGACGGGAGTAGACTTAATTTGGGCGTAATAATTGGCTGGCTCGTTCCCAGCGAACGAGCCGGAGGTTGTCCAACCTGGCAAGCTGCAGTTCGTCGGGTGCGGTTTTCTCGAGGGCTCTGGCTCGCTGACGAGCAGCGCCTGCATTGGGAAGTCTGGAGAAGCAGCAAACTGAAGGGAAGCACAGAGCAATGCTTGGACTGGGACTGGAAATGCCGTGTTAATATGAGAGACAGAAGGCTGCAGTGCGGGTTGCAGGTGACGGATGTATGTATGTACTTACCAGGCGCGGTCTACTCGCGGGCCTCAGGGGGCGTCTCTGCCGGGTGGCTCTCACCACAGACGGATCATCATTCGATGGCCAAGGCCGGTCGCAGGCTGGCAGCCCAGCGGATGTGGTGTCCCCGGCATGTTCTGCAGCAGTGAGCGTGATCTAACGCCCGCGTTCGGCAGCACCTTGGAACGGGCAGGTCGTTAAGAGAGACGAGGCCGGGTAAACGTGAGATACGAAGAATAAGGGATCGACTTCGGGCCAGCAGTGGAGTGGTAGGAGAGTGGTGCAGTAGCTGGAGTGCGTGATGACCGGGGGCGAGCTTTTCTAGCTTTTTCCTGGAGCTTTTTGCTTTTTGCTTTTGGCGCTTTGCGCTTTGCGCTTTGTAAGGTTACGGTGGCCGGCAAGTGGCCAGCTTTGCGCCGCTTCTTCGGATGAGGACGAGACGCAAACTCAACCGCGTCTCCGAGCTCCCCTCCCTCCCCTCGCCTGCCCTCCCACTCCCACTCCCACCTGCTGCTGGCATTGCCTCGACCAACGCCTCTCTCTGTACAACCCATCCGCATTGTTCGGGCTAGGGTCGTTTTCGACATCCCATACAGTCGGGTCCGCGCTCCTCGTCCGCCGTCGCCCACGATTGGCCCCGTCCTCTCTGCTGGTCAATCCTTTCCAGCTTCTTGCAGCACCTCCCGCTCTCCACGAGCCCAAGGCAAGTCCCCCTCTGACTGACACCGACACGCAGTGCTGCACCTCCAGCTTGCTGCACCCTTGGGCAACAGTGCAGTGCAGTGCAGCGCAGACTCGCAGTGCTGGAGCCTGGAGAACGAATTGCTGACAGCGAGCTTCTGCTCATTGCAGGTCAAGCTCGCCCCCTTCCTCTCCAGAGACACGGCCTTACCCCCTCTCACCAGCCAGCAAATCTACACGACACGACCGGCCCACTAACCTCATCCTTGCCTCTGTCAGGATTTTCCAGCCGGCAGCTCTCGAAGCCTCATCAGTCACAAAGCTCGCTCACCTTTGTCCCATAGAATGTCCGGTGGTGAGTCCACCCTCTATCGCTCCTGCTCGGGTCATTCACTCTACATTCGATAAATTTCGTTTATCGTTTATCGTCCTTCGACGGGCAGCAACCTTTACTTCCTCTTCCCATATTATCATCTCCTCCACCCTTTCAGGATCTTTTGCAGTGCTAACACAGCCAACCACAATAGACGACTCCTACCGCCCGGGTGTAAGTCACAGACCTCCTCCTTCTCCCCAGTCTGCTCTCAAGCCGGGCGAGTTTGGGCCCGTAAGGCTGCAGACCCCATGCCCTCTATCCGCTCTCTTGACATGTGGCTTTCCTTCGCAAATAAGGTCCTTCCTGGCCTAGTTGCGGCAGCGAAGAGCTATTGCTTGCCTTGATGGCTGCGGGCTAATCCACGACCTTCACAACTACGCGCCTCAACGCATTTGCATTTTTATTTCCCTTCGCCTTTCCTGTTGACGCCTGCTTGATGATTGAAACAGAGACTTACGTATCGCAGAGGGAACGCAGCCCAAGACGTCGGTCCCGGTCTCCAAGATCAGCTCGTCGTCGAAGTTACAGCCCACGCTCGCGCAGCCGCAGCAGAGAGGACCGCCATCGAAGTGACAGAAGATCCAGAAGCCCAATCAGCGGCGGAATGTCTACAGGCGGAGGAGCCCCACACCGGTCGTTCGAGGAGAGAGCTCAAGCTAGAGAGCAAATGTTGTCGAGCCTCCGAGAGTCTTCGCAACAAGACCGTCGGTCAGTATTGCATGGCAAAACTCCCGCGTCCTTGTGCTCACTTACAAATTTCAAGGGTCTACGTTGGCAACCTTAGTTATGACGTCAAATGGCATCATCTCAAAGACTTTATGAGATCTGGTTAGTTTCCAAGCTGGGCTTTGGGGATGATGGCTGACAAGGCTTTGTCTCTTAGCTGGGGAGGTTTTATTTGCAGATGTGTTGTTGCTTCCGAATGGAATGTCGAAGGTGGGCGCCTATACGTAGCTGGCATTTTGAGTTTTTCTTTTCTGGTCTTTGAAGGAATGTTGGATTGACGGATGGGACGTTGTTCCGCGGGTTATGTAGGGATGCGGGTAAGTCGAAGAATATTTGCCTGGTCTACTCGAGCTCGAAGCTAACTTGGAGCAGCATTGTAGAATATGCCACGAGGGAGCAAGCTCAACAGGCCGTCAACACGCTCAGCAACCAAAACCTCATGGGAAGACTCGTTTATGTCCGTGAGGTATGTAGAACTTTAATCCACAGCAAACTCTACGGCAGTGCTGACTTTTCTATACAGGATCGTGAGGCAGAACCCCGATTTACTGGCCCACCGGCTGGTGGCCGAGGTGGTTACGAAGGTGGTGCCGGACGTGGCGGTTTCGCTGGTGGATTCGGAGGTGGCATGGGTGCCGGCGGTGGTGCTGGAGGAGGCCGCCAAATCTATGTCTCCAACGTTTGTCTCCTTCAATTTCCTCTGTAAGCTTGTGGTGGGCAGCTTGTTGACTTTGAATTCTAGCTTCCCTACACTGTAGGATGGCAGGATCTGAAGGATCTGTTCCGCCAAGCAGGTAAGTTCTATCTTAACTGCTAACATAGAGGCAGTAACATGGTATTAACGTTTTATTACAGCCCGCAACGGTGCCGTCATTCGTGCTGATGTTCACGTCGGACCCGATGGTCGTCCCAAAGGCTCTGGAATTGTTGCCTTCGAATCTCCTGACGATGCTCGTAATGCCATCCAGCAATTCAATGGCTACGACTGGCAAGGCCGCCCTCTCGAGGTACGTGAAGATCGCTTCGCTGGCTCTGGACCCGGATTCGGTCGAGGTGGTTTCGGCGCTCGTGGAGGATTTGGCGGAGGTTTCGGTGCTCGAGGCGGTGGATTCGGCCGTGGTGGATTCGGTGGTGGTTTTGGAGGTCGTGGTGGATTCGGAGGCAGCTATGGTGGCGCGGGTGGTTACGATGGTGGAGCTGGCGCTGTCTCTGCTGCTCCCAACCCCTTTACCGACTATGCCACTGCTGGTACTGAGAGAAGCGAGACCATCTACGTCCGCAACGTAAGTGTTCTCCATTCCAAATTGCCTTGAATACTGCGTTGACATATCAACAGCTTCCTTGGTCCACAAGCAACGAGGATCTCGTCGAGCTCTTCACCACCATCGGAAAGGTTGAGCAAGCCGAAATTCAGTACGAGCCAAATGGCAGATCTCGAGGCACTGGCGTTGTTCGCTTCGACACTGCTGAGAATGCGGAGACTGCTATCGAGAAATTCTCTGGTTACCAGTATGGAGGTCGCCCACTCGGTCTGAGCTTCGTCAAGTATCAAACTCCAGGCGGTGGCGGCGATGCTATGGAAACCGAGGCCACGAACTTGACCCAGGACCAGATCATGTAGAAGGTTCTCCTTGACGGACGATGCCAGTCCCTGGTATCAAGCGTCACATGGAGATCGCCTCCTGTCGCAACACAACACTCACTTCTGCAGCGGCCGCACTATTCACTTGCATGTACCACCTTTCTCCCAAACTTAACTGCGGATAGCATATCAGTCTACGACTGAGGGCGCATTCCTTGTTTCTTTCTTTTCCGAGATTGTTCTCCTCTAACTCCTTGACTTCGAGGATGCACATCAGGTCGTACGGAAATGGTGGATATGTGCTTCTCAACCAAAAAGTTTTCTTTTTCATAAAAATGGAGCTAGGCAATATGTTCTTATATGCAATTAGTAAGGGCAATGCGATGCTTTGGAACCAACCCCAGGTTCGGACAGTCCATTCAATTGTGCAACTTTACTGAGTATATCCCTGAGGTTACCCAAGATCTACACAAAAGTCCTTCAAGCTCGTGCATCACTTCGTTCCTTCCTTCGTATTCCTTCAGAAAGCTTTGCCAATGTTTATTCACCTGCTAAACAATCACAGGACTCGAATGTGATATCTCAAACACTGTCACTGTGAATGGTGATTCACAAGCTGACATGTACCATAATTCCGATTATTCACTCTACGAAGCTCTGTTTGGACACCCAAGTCATACGAATTCATTATACAATTTGCCCCCAAGTCTTTTCCTCTTCTGAATGTCCCACCAACAACCAGTAATCTCCTCCAACGACTCCGACATAACATCCTTTACCACATCTTCCATACTCAAAACATTCAATACACTCGCACGGAAGCTACAAATATCCTGACGTTGACTGCAACAAGTTCGAAGGGAATAAACTTGTGATGTGTCAAATTCTTCCTTTCACACTCCCCTGCTGCCGTCGAACATATGTCGAAGTTAGAAAGCTTCCAAGCTGTCCCGACGCATGGCCAGAATATAAATGCCCTGCCGAGCTTTGCATTCAAGTCCGTTATGAAGCTGAAGATCGAGATGTCGGAACATGCTGGAGATGCCAGGCGGAGATCGCAGGGGTTTTGGGTGAGGCAAGAGAGAAATTGAGGCCAGAGATCGACAGTGCGGTGATTGTGCATGGGCTTGATGAACTTGGGGTTTCTGGGAGGCGCAGAATGGCAGAAGAGGGCGGCACATGCTGGTATTGTGGAGTTAAGGCCGGTTGCCAGTACTGCGCACCCATCAAGGATGAGGTCGGGGCAGAGCAAGAGAAAACCGACGACCCTGGAAAGAAACGGCAACGGTGTGCTGGAGGAAAGAAGGACAAGGACAGGAACAAGAGGATCAAGGTCGAGCCGCGAGACAACAACCAGCCTCAAACGCCCGCGTTCTCATATCAAGATCCATCGCATCCGTCGCAGTGGCAGAACGTCTTTTCCACACCATACAGTGACATACCTTTCTCCGCAAGCTACGGATTTCCTCAGGCTAGCAATATGACTGGATTCGGCATACCATGGGGTCAGCCCCTCCTCCCGCAAGCGCTTGTAAATGGAACGACATCTTTAGACTGGGCCGTGGTGCAGAACGGGAATGACACTCAGATCGGATTTGGACAGGGCTCAAGTCAAGGCTATACCGACCCAACTTCAGGCCTTGAACAACAATCAGAGCCCCTTCCCAACTGTCCGCCATATCAATTCCAATATCCAGATCCAGCTCCTGATGTGAAGCCTACAGTTCAGCCAGAGGTAGGACCCACCCCCCTATTCTTTTGCAGGCGGTCGTAACAGATTTTAGATGAACTTCGAGAATCCGTCGCAGATGGGTGATGCTACACTAGCCCACCTGTTAGGCACTTACAGTACCCAGAGCTCCAGCGTTGGTCAGCAACTTTATCCGCCGGAATTCCCCTTCTCTGCTCAAAATGTTGATCAGGAAGCCGATAGAGAGCAACAATTTACTAAGGTTGAGCAACCTTTCCCCGACACCTAGAACATCTATCTTTACCCCCCGAGCTGGCGTCTTGGCTGTTGGTTGGACGTACGCTGTGGAGGCTCCGATGTGGTTCTTGTTTTGTTCAACTAGGAGTCGCGTCTGGTTTTATTTTTATTGCTCGATGGTTTTTGTGGTGTGTGGGATCATTTTGCAATCTTGGCATCGGGTGGAGCACAAGGAATATGCACTGGCTAGAGGTAGAGGCGCTGGCACTTTGATGTGTCCGATCCGGTCTGACCGAAGATGACGATAGAGCATTGAGGTTTGCAGTGACAAATAATACCTGATTTTGACGGCATGTATTTTTGGCTCGGTCTGCTACCTCCTGTGAATGCCCTGTTCCACCATGTAGTCTTGACATCGACATTTGGGAGCCTTTTGTGGCATTGTAGCCCTGCCTAGCATTTCTTGCCATGACCTCGAATACTCAGAGCCCCTCCACTAAGTCTTCTTGACTTCACCCCCCGTAACACCGCCACCCTGCTTCTTCTTTTTCGCTTTTAATTTCTCCTTTTGTTTGCTTCTGTCCCTCTTCTTCAGTCCCGACATACCCAGCTTGCAAACCTCCGCATATTTGGCAAAGAAACCATCTAAAGCATCTGCACCCACAACTGTCGATAGCTTGATCTTCTTATCTCTTTTTCCCTTCGATTTGCCATTTGTGGCTCGGATTAAGATCGGAAATGGTTTGGAAGGGTTCAGGTCTGGGAATGGTTGCTCTATTGTGGGTTCTGAGGCCTCGACGTCCGTGTCTTCGCCGTACGCCATTCCTAGCTATATCAGTTCGCTGCTGGTAAATATTGAGCAATGGGAATTACTCTTCTGAGTCAGATGGATGCTTCCATGATCCTTCTGTCGTGGCTCATCGAAGAGCTCTGAGAGACGGAGGAAGAACTGTTTGCTGTCAGTGAGAGTCTAAATGCCTGGCCACCAGCGAATACATACATCATCATTACTCAGATGTCCAGTAGACATGTCTACAGGAATAGCAGTGCGGTGAAATGGTGGGATGTCCTTTCGAGGTTGTTCGTGTGGGGTGAGGTTTTTGGTGGGGTCAATCGGCGATTCAAGGCTCCGACAATTTTTCTGGGGAACTTTCCTGTCTTTCAATTATACTCTTTCTCTGATGGCGCCCAAACAGAATGATCTGAAGCTCCCGAAGAAGCTGATTGAGCAGCTTGGTGGAGAGAGTAGGCCTTCTTTCTTTTAAGTAACTTAAACTTTGTAGCTAATTATATCAATAGATGTTCTTTCCGGAGATCGCAAATTACGTCCTCAAGGCGGCACGAGAAAAAAATTGCGTAAAGCAGCGCGAGTAGAGAAGAAGTCTTCACGGAACGGACCTCCTGAAACGAAGAGAAGAAAGGTCCAACATGTAGTCGAGTCTATCGGGAACCTGGAGGAACGAACTCACGACCCACCACCACCACCACGAGACCTTTCGAGAGAAGAGGCTGATCACCCTTCCAAGCCAAAATCGATCTTGAAACGGTCCAAGAAAATCGATCATCCACCAAGAGATAACAAGTCATCGCCTTCAATATTACCGCATACCAACGTTTCGAAGGCTGTCAAGGACAAATTGGCCGAGGACGACGAGGAGATTGCTGCTCTGGAGAAGAAGTTAGGCATTAGAGGGAAAAACTTGCCACAATCTTTCAAAGATGATGGACTCGACGAATTGCTGGAGGGCTTGGGTGGAGAGGAGGATACTGATGCTCAGCAAAAGAAGAAGAGGAAGTCAGAGGGCGATGAATGGCTAGAACAAAAACGAAGAAAGGCCCGAAAATTGGTTCAGTGCCAAGTGCCCAATATGGAAGACGAGGACGACGAAGGCAGCGATTCACTGGGGGAAACAGAAGACCCTGAGGACGGTGATGGTGCATCAGACATGTCATTGGATGGGCCACAATTCCCGGACGATATTTCGGAAGAGGATGAAAGCGAGCTGGGCAGTGGAGGAGATATCCTCGATGCAGACAACGACTTTGACGGGTTTGACTCTGATGGCAATGATGATGATGACAATATGGGCACCGCGGAGACTTCTACTCGGGTTCGGGAGAATCCTTATGTTGCACCTATTACTGGAGGTGATGCCTCGGTTCAGAAGTATATCCCACCATCCCTACGGAAAGCAGCATCGTCTGATTCGGAGGCATTAGTCCGCCTGCGACGACGAGCCCAGGGGCTGGTCAATAGGCTGACGGAAGCCAACTTGACTTCAATCCTTGGGGATATTGAAAAACTTTACCTTGACAATCCGCGGCAACACGTCACTTCCACTCTGGTTGATATATTATTGACATCTGTTTGCGAGCCTACGAGTTTACCTGATACACTCATCATTCTGCCCGCCGGGTTCATTGCAGCTATTTACAAAATTGTTGGCACGGACTTTGGAGCACAGGCCATGCAAAGGACTGTTGAGCTTTTTGATCAGCATTACGCGCATGCTACTAGTGCAGTCCAAGATGGTCCGGCAGCTGCTACGACTGACAGCAGTAAGGAGACTTCAAATCTCATCATGCTCCTCTCAGAAATGTACAACTTTCAAGTTGTCGGAAGCAATTTGATCTTTGATTACATACGACAGTTTCTGAGCAAGCTATCTGAGTTGAATGCGGAATTGTTACTGAAAGTAATCCGCACGTCTGGGCCCCAGCTACGGCAAGACGACCCGTCGTCATTGAAAGATATTGTTGCATTGCTACGACCTGCTGTGACAAGTATTGGTGAAGTAAACCTTTCGGTGCGAACAAAGTTTATGATCGAGACTATCAATGATCTAAAAAACAATCGAATGAAGATTGGAGGGGCTGCGTCGGTTGTCACATCAGAGCACACCATACGAATGAAGAAGATCCTTGGATCCTTAAACACACGAACCGTCAAAGCGAGCGAGCCTCTCCGGATGGGATTAAAAGATATTCAAGAATCCGGCAAGAAAGGAAAATGGTGGCTTGTTGGAGCTAGCTGGTCTGGGAATTCGGTGGAGAAGGACAATGGTCTTGGAGTTGCTGGGTCTACCAGCAAAACAGCTCTCACATTTGAAGATGCTAGCTCTTCCGATCTCGTCCAACTCGCTAGAGAGCAACGCATGAACACAGACATCCGAAGAGCGATTTTCGTTGCTATCATGTCTGCCACCGATTACCAAGACGCGTATTCACGGCTGATGAAACTCAAGCTGAAAAAGGTACAAGAATTCGAGATTCCGAAGGTCTTGATCCACTGCTCTAGTGCCGAGAAGATGTACAACCCCTATTACACTTTGATTTCTAAAAAGGTATGTGGAGACAGAAGACTTCGAACGGCATTCCAGTACTGCCTGTGGGACCTCTTCAAGAAAATGGGCGAATTGGACAACGACGATGATGGGGGAGAGGAGGATGAGGAAATCCTAGAAACGAGACAAATCGTCAACCTTGCCAAAATGTTCGGAACGCTCTTGGTCGAAGGTGGCTTGGGTCTTGGTGTTTTGAAGAACCTCAACTTAAGCTACCTTCAGCCAAAGACAAAGACTTTCATGGAGGTGTTATTCGTCACTGTTTTGCTGCAGTCACAGAGACAGTCTGAGTCAAAAAGGGATGAGCAGGCTGTTGTGAACATCTTTACCAAAGCTAAAAATACGCCTCAGCTGGTCATAGGCTTACAGTACTTTTTGCAGAAGATTGTGAGTAAGACAGATATTGCAGGTGACAAGGAGCAGAAAGCTACGGTGAAATGGGCTTGTGAGATAGCGGGAGATAGCCTTGAGGAGTAGGCTGCCATAGACACAGTCCAGGACTGAATACTAAAGAGCTGTGAAGGCATCGTTGCCACTCCTTAACACTGGTTCCTCCAACTGAAGTTGGACCAAGCAATTTTGGTATTCCATACCTAGCAAAACGCTCCAGAACCAATTTTCGTTTCTAAAAAAAACAAAAGCAGCAAAGCGGCATTGTCTATCCCTTCCCAACGCCTTCTCTGGCCGTCAATAAGCGACGGTCACGTGAATCAAGCCGATAGCTCCAGGGCATGCAATCAAGCCATCTCTCAGCAACCCCAAAAACTGCTCAAGCAATCCTCCGCCCTCACAAATCATGCTTCGAAGTTTAATAGTACCTCGGGCGGCCGCCAGGTCAGCTTTCAGGCAACAGCCATCGTGAGTTTGATCTCAATTGCTGAATGCCTTCGTATCCGCGAGCTGACAATAATTTTCCAAGCCTTCCTTCAGTTGTCGCCCCTTCAGCCATTGCGCTGTTGTCGAAGCGAAGCTATGCTACTGAAGCTGGTCAGTCGCACATGTGGATATTTGAACTAAGCTCAGGCTAATCAATAGCAGAACAGAGGGACCTGGTCATCATCGGAGGCGGTGTTGCTGGCTATGTCGCCGCCATCAAAGCTGGTCAAGAGGGCATGAAGGTATGGTCCCAACAACAACGACAACACTTGTTCATGTGTAACTAACATCTAGAATAGGTAACATGTATCGAGAAACGTGGCACACTTGGGGGAACCTGCTTGAACGTCGGCTGCATTCCTTCGAAAGCTCTCCTCAACAATTCACATCTCTACCACCAAATCCTGCACGATACGAAGGCGCGAGGTATCGAGGTTGGAGACGTAAAACTCAACTTGGCACAGATGATGAAGTCAAAAGATACCGCGGTTACGGGCCTGACAAAAGGAGTGGAGTTCTTATTCAAGAAGAACGGTGTTGAATACGTTAAGGGGACCGCATCGTTTGCTGGAGAACACGAAATCAAGGTGAACCTCACCGATGGGGGGGAGCAGACTATCGTGGGAAAAAACATCATCATTGCTACCGGCAGTGAAGCCACACCATTTCCCGGTCTCGAGATTGACGAAAAGAGAATCGTCACAAGTACAGGCGCTCTTGCTTTGGATAAAGTTCCCGAGAGCATGGTTGTGATAGGCGGTGGTATCATTGGTCTCGAAATGGGCTCTGTCTGGGCTCGGTTAGGCTCGAAAGTCACTGTCGTAGAATTCTTGGGTCAAATTGGTGGTCCGGGCATGGACGCTGAAATCTCAAAGGCCGCCCAAAAGATCCTAAAGAAGCAGGGTATCGATTTCAAGTTGAACACCAAAGTCATGGGAGGTGATGCTAGTGGCGACAAGATTAAGCTCCAAGTCGAGGCTGCCAAGGGGGGCAAGGAGGAGACAGTAGGCAAAATCATGGAAATTGCGACAATAAATGCTAATACGTTGTTACAGCTCGATGCAGATGTCGTCCTCGTTGCTATCGGTCGCAGACCATACACGGCCGGTCTTGGATTAGAAAACATCGGCCTCGAGACCGATGAGAAGGGAAGACTGGTCATTGACTCTGAATATAGGACAAAGATCCCACACATTCGAGTGGTCGGTGACTGCACATTTGGCCCAATGCTTGCTCACAAGGCCGAAGAGGAGGCTGTTGCTGTGGTCGAGTACATCAAGAAGGGGTACGGCCACGTCAACTATGGTGCCATTCCATCTGTCATGTATACGCACCCGGAGGTCGCATGGGTTGGCCAGAACGAGCAGGAGGTCAAGGCTTCAGGAGTGAAGTACAAGGTCGGCACATTCCCGTTCTCAGCCAATTCGAGAGCCAAGACAAATCTCGATACTGAAGGTTTGGTCAAAATTATCGCCGATGCCGAAACTGACAGAATCCTGGGCATTCACATCATTGGGCCTGGTGCGGGGGAGATGATTGCAGAAGGCACGCTGGCAATCGAGTATGGGGCTTCGTCTGAAGATATCGGAAGGACAAGTCATGCTCATCCAACTCTGTCAGAGGCGTTTAAAGAGGCGGCAATGGCAACGTACGGCAAAGCAATTCACTATTGAGCATAAGGCGTTTATATCCTTGTAAGATAGCCGCATAAAATTGAGAAGGTTGATAAATTTTCTTCTCAGACATCCGTTGTGGTGCGAAGGTTGATTTGAAGTCCCCTTTCAGGAGCAAGAACTGTAGGAATAACACTGAAGGATGGTGGTCAAAACAAGTTCAGGATGTTAAGAGGGTAACTTGGAAACCCAACGATATCGGCCACTCGTGGCCCACAACTTTATAATCGCACAACTACCTCATGGTATGGTACGGGCAAAGGTAAAGAAGATTGTGGGTTGTGGAGGTCAAAGTCACCGCGTTCCCACCACCCCCGGGCATGAGAAATATAAATGGTTCGGGTGTGTAAAGGTTTGCCGTGCAGCTCTAGGGGTTGGACACGACTATACGGTGACAATTTCTCTCTAGATGCCGGTAGGCGAGGTGGCATAACTGTCTTCTCCCACAGGCAGCAAAGTACCGAGTATGGAATTGTAAGGCAAACAGCTAACAAGGCTCGTTCTCATAAAGCACCTAAATACATGATAAAGTGGAAAATGTAAAAGGAAAGAAAATACATCAAGCAGCGAACTGTTCCGACCACTCCCAGTTCTCGGAATGGGATTTACCCCACCAAAGACGAACACACCTGCTACTCAATAGTTGTCATCTACTATTGAGCAATCTTTCTCTTTTGTAACTTCAAATGCCAAATCAAGTATCCTCAACTCTACGCCCTGGAAGCTGTTTAAAAACACAAATCGAATTGACGAAGCCTTGTTGAAACAACCGTTAAGGCAAGTACCATCTCAACTAGCAGTCCTGTATGGATTGGTTATCATTGCTTACAATTCTGGTGGAGTGAGGAAAAGAGAATGTACCTGTACTCCAGTGTAATTCGCTTGGCCGAGCCACCCTCCATTGACAATTTTGTTCAAACGAAGCCTGTTCACACTAGACAGTGGGTAGCTTCGTATCTGTTGGCACCTCTCCCCAAGGTGTGGTATTCAGTCGTATCAGTTTCTCAAATATCTTCCCCGTCCGGGCATTCCATGGCCACGCATTCCCGGGCCCCTGAAACCTCCAAACCCTCCAACTCTTCCCATGCCTTCCCCAAGACCTCCGATACCCCAGCGAGGATATAGAGCTCCTCGACCTCCTGAGAGACCAAGGTGACCGTCTCCGAAGGCGAAGCTCCGTCTAACCCCTCTAGAAATGCGAATTAGCTCATTGTCGAATGAAGGCCAAATGCGACCCCCTCTACATGAACGAAAATTAATCTTTTACCTTCCATAACCAGAATACAAGTAGTCATCAAATGGATAGGCATTACTGTAGGGGCAGTCGAGACAATCACAGCTATCTTGAACTAAATGCCCGATCTTGAGAAGTTGTTCGCACTGGCAGACATGGTGTTGGGTGTAAGGATGGTCGAAGCTGGTGGCACACCGGTCGAGTCCATGTATGTAGCGATTGTTGAAGGGACTTCCATGAAGGCCTCCCAATGGTCGATGAATGCCAGCTCTCGCAAGCAAGAGCTCGTCAAGGTAAGGAGACATTATGGGATGAGTAACAGGGAAGGAAGTTTCGTTGTGATAGATTGCTGTGTCTGGAGAAGGACTGAATGAGAGGTTGTAATGTTTTAGGAAAGGAAAGATTCACGAAATGAGCGGCATGTACCCAATTTATCGACACAAGATCCTGTCCACACCCGAAAACCGGCGAGATATTCCGTTAGAGATAAACAGGGCTTACGAAGGGCTCGATCAGCTATCCTACCAGAAAGAAAGGATTATTGAGGTGGTGCAAGAGTAGCACAGGGGGCAATTCCTTTGATGAGACTACCACGCGGAGCATTTTCCGTCTGCTTACCAAAATCTTGGAATGAAATTTTAAGACCACAATTACTGCAAAACGGACGCTACAGTATCACATGAATGGAATGAATGGCTATTGAAACAGCCCGATGGTGGAACAAGCTTGAAGCAAACAATCCTCACCGAAAGATGGTTTTCTGACACGGTGCGGTCAGAGCGACAAACTCTAGATCAGGAAAACATAGAATTCCCATTCTCCACGTGGCAAACAAACTTGCTTTACCGCTGGTATGGCAGCCGCGGCCGGAGATAGGTTCTCGTCGGTTGAACGGGGAGATATGGGGAGAGGATCCGTGAAACTGACAAGATCTACCACACATTCCAGCTCCCATGACCACTTCGAAGGTAGGATAATGCAGCTTATTTTCGAATGTATTTGCTACCTTCAGTGCACCGGAAGATGGCGGAACCGTCTCTTGAGATGGTTAAGGCAACAGAGCCCACATCTCGATCGTCGAGTCCGGAACGGCCCTTCTTTCGGGCCGGGCTTTTGGAAAGCGCTCGGGGTTTTTCTTCTCGCCGTACCACAAGAGAAATCTACTCTAAACTCGGGTGAAAGCCAAGTTCAAACAAGGGATACGAGAGCAAACAGTACTAAAATAGCAAAACTACTCCTTCGGGACCGAGCCCAGTCAGCGATGCTTGCGCCAGAAGATAATCCTTTAAGTGAGGCTGCTCAGAAGAACGTTTTACAAGTTCAAACATCTCCTCGGATCTCCGATTCCGCAACTTTGCAAATTAGCAACGACCAAACGATGGATGTGTGAAGATGTGAAGTGTGAGGCTATTCTCACGTGAGAGTTGTTCAGGGGCTCGAGGTCCTAACCGAGCCACTAAACTCAACCCAGAAAGCTCTCGCGGGGCAATGGTGCCGCCGATCGTCTCACAGATGGCTCGACCGCCTGGCTTTCTTCAAAAGCAGACCGAAACTTACAAAGTCATGACTTGTGACACCCGCGACCCTCCGCAACTGGCTATTGTTATCAATTGACTTCAGCTGACTCACAATGCCCCCAATGAAGGCTCCTGGCCGGACGGAAGCCGTGCTCTCTCGGCGACAGATCGAGGGTCTGATTGCCGATGGAAGATCCATTATAATTGTCGAGCAGAGGGTGCTGAAGGTCGACCCTTGGTTGAAATACCATCCTGGAGGCGCCAAAGCCATAATGCATATGGTTGGGAGAGATGCTACTGATGAAGTGAACGGGTAAGTACTCTCTAATCGAGGCTCTGCCTTACTTTCCACTGATCATCTGCCGCACAGATTCCACTCCCCCGAAGCAAAGAAACGTATGGAGAGATACCGAATTGGTCGAATAGAAGGGCGATGGGTGAACTTTGTGCCCCCCATACAAGGCGGCAAATTTAGGCCATACGTCAAGGGTCTTGTGGCTGTGGAAGAGGATGAAGATGCTGATCAGACACCCACGACTTCGGACATTTCGAGAACACCGTCCCCAATATTCGATGCCGAGGAACCAAATACTCGTCGACGCATTACTTCGAACAACGATCCTCTTGTTTCTTCCGCATCGTCAGTATCATCTGCGGCAGAGCAGGAAGATGGGGTGTCTTACTTAGATGCTCGGACCAAGGAGCAGATTTATCTGGACCTCGCCAAGTATCCCTCATTGGACTTGGATACACAAGACGAAGTTGTTCGAAAATACCGCCTTTTGGATCAGCGAATCCGAGCAGAAAGGCTTTACGATTGTAACTACTATGCGTACGCCATCGAGGCCTGCCGATACACATTTCTTGCTTGCATGATGCTTTTGTTTCTCCATTGGGGATGGTATGGTACGAGCGGCTTGTTTCTAGGTTGCCTTTGGCATCAGCTTGTCTTCACTGTGCATGATGCAGGTCACATGGGAATCACCCACAATTTCACGGTTGACACGGTGGTTGGAATCATCATCGCAGACTTCATAGGTGGATTATCAGTGGGGTGGTGGAAGCACAACCACAACGTTCATCACATTGTTACGAACTCTCCAGAACATGACCCGGACATTGAGCATTTACCATTTTTCGCCATCTCCCATAGGTTCCTCGAATCACTCACATCCTCCTTTTACGAACGAGTTATGGCCTTTGACAAATTTGCCAAGGCCATCATCCCTTACCAGGCATATCTGTATTACCCAATACTTACATTTGGACGATTTAATTTGTACTTCCTGTCATGGGAGTTCCTCATCAAGGGCACCGGTCCAAGGAAAGGACCTGCTGCGTGGCATCGATGGCTGGAGATTGCCGGCCAAGTTTTCTTCTGGTATTGGTTTGGATATGTCATCATGTACAAGGCGATCCCAAATGCCTCGGGCCGTTTGGCGTTTCTCATGGTCAGCCATATGGTCACGATGCCTCTTCACGCTCAAATAACCTTGTCTCATTTCTCCATGAGCACTGCAGAGCTCGGCCCACACGAATCGTTCCCTCAGAAGATGCTGCGAACAACGATGGATGTCGACTGTCCTCAGTGGCTCGACTTCTTCCATGGTGGCTTGCAGTTCCAAGCTATTCACCACCTATTCCCCAGAATGCCAAGACACAACCTTCGCCGGACTCAGAAGCTCGTGCAGGAGTTTTGCTCTGAAGTCGGGATACCGTATGCACTCTACGGTTTTGTGGACGGGAGTAAACAAGTCATCGGGAGGCTTGAAGAGGTCGGAAGGCAGGCGACAATCCTTGCCAAATGTCAGAGGACCATTGCTGAGAGAGGTGACCTACTCAATGGACACTGAGCCCGTACGGGTTGATATATGGTTCTACGTTGCTCGGAGTTTAAGAGGATATGTTTCAATTAGAGGTTTAAGATACTTCCCACTATAGAAGTGATACTTTCAGCTACGATAACTCAGCTTATTTCCATAGCCCACCTAGCTATCATATTCCCGAGGAAATCTTCACACAACAACATCAGTGGTCACTCTCTTCGCAAGTTACTATTGATGTGACCAAATGCTGCAGGTGTTGAATACTGGCATCCGTCGCGCTGATTCAGCCTTCGGCGAGATTTAAAAGATTCTAGGACCTTGCATCTCGCTAGCAACGGCAGAGCACGTGTGGAACTTTTAGTGGTGGGCTAGTTGGCCCCGATCTTCCGTCTTAGCTCTGATGCATCAGCCAAACTCCCTTGGAACAGCTTTCTTTTGTTGTTTGAACAACTCATTTTTCCAAATAACGATCAAGTCACACCCTCGGCCACTCAATCCGCAGTCAAAAAGAATCAATGGACGAACATCAGGCCACGGGTATCATGACAAATCTCCTAACAGCATTGCGGCAACGCGATACGATCCATAGGTAGGAAGTTATTGGCTTCACTTTCTTTTGGAGTGAGACCTGAACTTCTGAAGGCACACAATATAATGACAGCTTCAACAGGCCATTTCTTGTTTCTCTGTGTTCTGACTTATGGAATTTGATGTGGTGCAAACCTCGGTCCCGTACGTTAAACTCCACGTTCCAATGAGAGTGTCGTCGAGCAGCCACCAAGGGTTCGTCTGGAACCTGGTGGCGGGAGCATGGGCAACTACTTTTGAGACCTGGGGAATGCCGAGCTAAAGGTGCCGGCCCGATAGTGACCTCCATCCTCATCTGCCTGTAGGAACAAGACTTGTCGCCAGTGCACCACTCCACTGGTATCAAAAGCATATTCGGAATTTTAAGGGATCTTCCACTAGTTGGAATGAGCTTCAAGTACTCCCTACGCTCACTGCACCAGGATGTCATCAGGCCGGAAGGGTCGCTTCCTGCACCAAGAATCGAAACTGTGGTCCGCGCTTGCCGCTGCGGCTGATGGTTTCTTCCTGCCTTCTAAACCTGAAGAATAAAAGCAAATACTATCTGCGTACGGGAACGCACGTTATGTGACCCAGCTGAGAACAGTTCGAAGATGGGGATGGGCTGGGTATCCTTGCGTGAGATCCCGAAGGTAGTGCCAAGTTCACTCTCCGACGAAAAAAGCAAAAAGGGATCTCCGCCACGGCACAGACATTGGAAAAGTATATAAGCAGATAGAGCTCCCGTTGAAGGCTGGTGTCTGGTATACAAGACTCCTCATATTTGCAACCTGATTACTTCACAATCTCCTCGATCTCTCAGACGCCATTTGGCTTGCAACCAACCACTGAGCCATAGCATCTTGCGGACTACACCAATTGGGCTCCTTAAGTCAACACTTATTGCCCGTGATATCCCAACATGACAAGAGGCAAGCAGACTCCAAAATCCGCGGAGAGAATATGGAAGAGCAAGCCAGGAGTAAGTTCATCTTATCTCATGGCCCAGAGGGGGTGGAGCTGATCAAGAACACAGTCCCGTGAGGCGCACGCGGCTGCTAGAGCCGCCGAACGATACGCGGCGGGTGGAGGCCAAGCCAACGGAGGAAAGACCAATGACACACATAGTCACGGTGGAGGTGGAGCCTATGAATGCCAGAATCTGAATCGCTATGGGGCATACTGTACGATCTGGGAGCCCTGCGATGCTCATGCCGGCAACCTGAGGGCCGGAACTTAGATCTCAGGGATGAAGGACAGGGGGCTGCAGCTGGGATGGGAAAAGAGGCTGCCCCTTGTGGGAGTAACGAGGGGTTGGAATGTTCGATGGGGTCGTGCGTCCTTTCTGCAGTTCTTCATTTTCCTGGCGTATCGGGGAGAGGATGCGAGCGGGCAGGGTCATGGGCCCCTATATTACTTTTGGATCCTTCAAAAACAGGGCGGATGGGACCATGGCGCAGAGTTGAACTTCAGATTGTTTCAAGCAAGGTTTCTGATCAGGCTCTCCGCCAAAATAGATAGATAGATAAACAAACAAACAAACAAACAAATGAATAAATGCAAATCTCTAGAGTCGGGACTTGGTTGTCGTGAATCGAAGTGGCACAACGTTTGACAGCCCAGTTGCAGTCCCGGCCGTGAGGTCCGCTCCACAGCCACGGACAGGGGTGATGTTGAGCGGCAAAGGACATGAACATCGCTATCTCGATATCGGTGAGCTGACGTGCTGAAGGAATGAACGCCCGACGGCCAGGACTGAAAAAGCAACGAGAGCGAGTCAGGTCTCTTACGAGAGTGGAGGGATCACCATGATCAGCAGTGCTTACCTAACGCATCCCAAGAAGTGCTGGTCTCGAGCTGGTGTTGTTCTAACGTCTGAGGGACCGACGGAAGGCAAGCGAGGAGGACCCCGGGCCTGGGCCGGGGTCCAGTCTAAGCGGGATCCCGTGACTCGGAGCATCATCGTGCAGCCTCGACGTCGACGTCGTCCTCGACTTCATCCCGTGCAGCAATCCGCAGAGCCTCAACCTCCAAACGACACATAACGCTTAGCAAACCAAACCACCCACTGCTTTCTCGCCCCAGCATGGGGTCCCGCTCAACCGCCTCTTGCTCTCGCATTCACTCCACTCCATTCGCAGGCTTCCAATAAAGAGCTGCTGCAAGTTCAAATCCTCGGCCAGCAGCTGCCCGGCTTTTGAGCCTCACGTGCATGGCTCTTTCTCCATCCTGGCTATGACACCAGCAGCGCTGACGAGTTGCTGAACTTCCCCCCAACAATAAATAACAGCATTCTCCCATGCCATGTGATTGAGAGGCTGCAAGTTGCCATCATGGATCAGAGTATCCAACGCGCCTTGAACGACAAGCTGTATGATAGGCGGAAGGTTGGCGCTCTAGAGTATGAATCTATCCGGTGAGAGTCGGGTAAAGCTGACTGTGTACGCAGTCTTGAGCGTGTTATTCGAGATCTTGCTGCTGCCAAAGAATTTGACCGGATACAGAGGATTATACAGCAGTTGTGTAATGAGTATGCCTATGCCGTTCACCAGCCTCACGCTCGAAACGGCGGGCTCATCGGGCTGGCAGCCGCAGCCATTGCGCTAGGTCCTGTAAGATTTGGGCCAGTGCGGCAAAATGAGTTGTGCTGATGAGAGAAATAGGAATTGGCACGGTACTTGAACGAAATTGTTCCTCCCGTGCTGGCATGCTTCACAGACCAAGATGCTCGGGTTCGATATTACGCTTGCGAAAGTATGTATAACATCGCCAAAGTCGCCAAGGGCGAAGTTTTACCGTACTTCAACGATATCTTCGATGCATTATGCAAAGTGAGCATCTACACTGGACTTCTACCTTTCAATACTCTTATTCATGCTCATCCTCAAATAGCTCGGTGCAGATTCTGAGCTCTCCGTCAAGAACGGCGCCGAGCTCCTGGATCGTCTGATCAAAGACATTGTCTCTGAATCGGCTGCTACTTACGTCTCGATACTTCACAGCACGGAAGCACCACTTCTTGAAACCGACAAAGAGACGCCAGATGAATCGATCGATGCACCCACCGCATTCTCCCTTGTCCGTTTCCTACCGTTGTTGAAAGAACGAATCCACGTTATCAATCCGTTCACGCGAACTTTCCTTGTAGGTTGGATCACCCTACTTGACTCCATTCCGGATTTAGAACTCGTCTCGTACCTACCGGAATTCCTGGGTGGCTTGTTTAAATTCCTCAGCGACCCAAACCGAGATGTTCATGTTGCTACCCAAGGCGCACTTGAGAGATTCCTCAGTGAGATCAAGCGCATTTCACGAATCAAGAAAGGTATTGAGGAAAGCCGCAAGTCTCGAAGTGACGGCAAGCGGAAGCGCTCTGGATCCATGGACAGTGAAAACTCCGTGGCACCTGATGCAATTGGAGATGATGAATCAGGTACAGCAGATGACAAGGATGTCAGCAGTGATGATGATTGGGTCCCAGGACAAGATGTCCAGGTCAACCACAAGGATATTCTTGAAATATTGACAGCGAACTTGGACTCTCCGTTAGGTAAAGTTCTCTGCATTTGATTTGTGTGGTTCTGACTAACTTGCTACAGAGGAGGATAGTTTACTGGAATCACTTCGCTGGATTGTCGAATTCCTTGACATATGTCCGGAAGAGGTCTTGCCGTTTGCTCCAAAGATTCTGGCACACTTACTCCCAGCCATGGCTAGTGGCGTGGAGACTATTCGTCAAGCAGCTGCCCGAGTGAACACATCTTTAATGGATTATGTCGTCTCGCTGTCCGATGAGGGTGCCCCGTCAGAGAGTACCAGCGCTGGCCCTTCGAGAATTCCCACCTCAATCATGAAAGAAGCAGCCAACGAAAGAAGAGACTCATCCACGAACACTCGAGGCTCAATCTCAGGGTCGCGCGAGAATGATAGAAGGGAGTCAGAAGTGCAGACGCCACCTCCACCATACAAGACTCCCACTCCTTCTTCACCACCCCAGCCGCAGGTCGATCTTGACTACGCAGCGGCTGTAAATTCTTTGACACTACTTTTTTTGAATGACCACGAAGCCACAAGAGTCGCAGCCCTTACCTGGCTGCTTATGCTCCACAGGAAAGCTCCAAGAAAAGTGCTTGCTTTTAACGATGGGACTTTTCCTGCCCTTCTCAAAACGCTTTCCGATCCAGCGGAGGCAGTCGTCACTCGAGACCTCCAACTTCTATCTCAGATATCCAGGAATAGCGGAGATGATTACTTCACATCGTTTATGGAAAATCTGCTGCAATTATTCTCAACCGACCGAAAGCTTCTAGAGACTCGCGGCAACCTGATCATCCGCCAGCTATGTGTCAGTCTCAGTCCTGAGCGAATTTACCGCACACTAGCAGATTGCATTGAAAAAGAGGAAGACGTTGAATTTGCCAGTATTATGGTTCAAAATCTCAACAATAATCTTATCACGGCGCCCGAATTAGCTGAGCTCCGCAAACGACTGCGAAATCTAGAAACCAAGGTTGGGACCCTTTCCTGTAAAGGTGCTTAGCTAACAAATTATAGGACGGCCAAACGTTTTTCGTCGCTCTCTTCCGATCTTGGTGCTATAATGCTGTCGCAACCTTTTCCTTGTGTCTACTTGCCCAAGCATATGAGCAAGCGTATAACCTTCTTCAGATATTGTGAGTTTGATGAAATGTCATGTGAATCGTACTGATGTTAGAAGTGCGGAATTGGAAATGACGGTAAACATGCTCATTCAGATTGACAAGCTTGTCCAATTGCTCGAGTCTCCTGTCTTTACATGTAGGCTGTTGCCCAGCGCTTCACGACCTTTTGCTAACTCCTTCCAGATCTCCGACTCCAGCTTCTAGAACCCGAAAAATATCCTCATCTTTATAAGTGTCTTTATGGCCTTCTTATGCTGCTCCCTCAATCATCTGCGTTTGCAGCATTAAAGAACAGATTGAATAGTGTGAGCGCGATAGGCTACTTGCACATTGCACCCCGGGCGTACGTATCTCAATCTCGTAGCAACAGCACTGTTTCTACCTTTCAATTCCATCAGCGTCAGAAAAGCACCGAGACTCATGCGTCCTCATTTAGCACGCCCACCAATGCTGGTCCTGCAAGCTTTGACAGATCGAGTAGACTCAAAGGAAGAGACGAGGGCGGGATTCGGTGGAACGAGTTGCTCGAGAAGTTCAGAAGCGTTCAGGAACGAGCCAGGAGGGCACAGAGGCCAGGAGGGGATCTGGACGATACTTTTGGTATTGGAGATGGGAGAGGTGAAGGACTCGGCTCCAACGCATTCAAAGATTTGGCTCGACTACCAGGTCCTCCGATCCTGGTGAAAGATACCCCTGTGGCACCTGTTGGCACTCAACAAGCAGCCCACAAATCGAAATCAAGTCTGGGAAAATTTGGAAGACTAGGGGGGGCGGTGTCTGGTGCGCGGCCGAAGAGATAGACTTTAGAATGTGTGCATTTTATACTCGAGCGTGTACACGATTTAATGGACATAATTTTTCTTCATGATCTACCCCTCCTCGGCGTTTCCCTTTCCACAAGGCCTTCAAACAGACTGTCTCTCTGGCGTCTCAGATCCTGCAATTCGACCCTTACACCCTCGAGCTCAAGTCTCGCCAGATCTGTGTCTTGAGGTAGGCCATGATAGCTTTTGACCTGGACTTCAAGATCCTTCACAATCGAAAGCAGACTTTTGAATCTTTCCTCCTCTGCCTTGACATCCTGGATTGTGACCTTGCGGCTTCCCAGGCTGGCCGATAATGAAGTAGTGCGATCCCTGAGCTCCGGTAGTTTGGAAGCCAAGGCTTTGGTCTTTCGCTGGTAGTCTATTGTCTGCTTTGTCAGGTCTGGAGAAGGCTGATATGAATCACTTTGAAGATCCTTGATCAAGGAATTGATAGTGTCTAGCTCGTTGCTCAGGTGTTTCTCGAGAATAGAAACGCGTTCGCTCGCTTGTTCGACGCTGCAGGTTGTAACTTGTAGATCAATGATACTCCGTCCAAGTTTCTCAACATCTGGAATACCCTGATTCAATGTGACGCTCAGGTTGGAAAGTGCTTCGAGACTGGTGTTGCCTTCCCGCGTCATGCACTCTTCGATCGAGTCGAGTAATTGTGTATTTGGCTCTGCCTTCTCTTTTGCTTGCAAGTCCTGCAGGGCCTTAGCCTCTACGCGCGCTAATAGCTCTCGCTCTTCGTCCGCAGTCTCGTTCAGGGTGGTAAGGGCGAGGAGGGCTTTGAGGGTGTCGTTATTTCGTTCGAATGGCGGGGGTGTCTTCCCGTTGAATTTCGTAGAGAGCCAGTTGTCGATGTAGTTCCAGTCTTTTGCCGCTGCAAGCTGCTGACGGGCCACGGAGGGCGAGAAGATTGCGGAGGGGGAGAGATGGGCCATAGTTGTTGCGTGACGGCGATTACTGAGCAAGATTTCGTGGTGCTTTCGCGTTCATTCAGGTACCGCGCCCGCGCAAGGCTGAGCACTGACGCGCCGCTAAAATGACCCCTGCTCGCCCTCTTCCCTGCCATTCGTTCAAGCCAGATCGCGCCTGAAGAAGTATAAGGACATGTGGACTCCTCGCTCTCCCTCCCTTCTCAACCCACTGTCAATCAACATCCCGATATCTCCTGCACGACATCTCACGATGATTGTCAACTTATCGGTCCTGGCGTTCGCCGCAACAATTCTATCATCACACTCCCTCGTGCTTGCTCTCACGGCCTCCGATATCCCCTCGGACACGCCTATCTCCTCCCTCCTTGCGTCCGCCAACGCACATCTTGCGAAAGGCGAAACCAACAATGCCCTGACCTACTACGACGTCGCCATATCCCGCGACCCAAACAATTACCTTACATACTTCAAGCGCGGGGCTACCTATCTTTCCTTAGGTCGAACCGTTCAAGCCACCCATGACTTCGACAGAGTCCTCGCTATCAAGCCTGGCTTCGAGGGCGCACTGGTACAACGCGCGAAGATCAAGGCCAAGAACGGTGAATGGGATGCTGCGAAGAAGGACTTCATTACACATGGCAATTCCGAAGCAGATTTAGCAGAGCTCGAGGAAGCTAAAGGCGCAGCTACGTTAGCAACTGCTGCCGAGCAGAGTGGGAATTGGGAGGAATGTGTCACACAGTCTGGCGCTGCAATCATGGTTGCCAGCAAGCTACTATCTTTGCGGAAAACTCGAGCTCATTGCCGATTTGAGAAGGGCGAAGTCCAGGAAGGCATGAGCGACCTGAAGCATGTTTTGCAGATACAGTCTGGGGTCACGGAACCTCACATGCAGATCTCTGCTATTACATTCTTCGGACTGGCAGGTTTGGAGCATGGAATGGAACAAATGCGAAAGTGCTTGCATTCAGATCCGGAATCTAAGAAGTGTAAGAAGCTCCACCGTCGAGAGAAGGTGTTGAGCAAAGCATGGAACCAAGTCAACAAGCACCTTGAGAAAAATCAGTATTCGAGTGCGATCAAGGTGCTACTTCCGAGTGGGGACGATGTTGGCCTGGTTCAAGATATCAAAGATAATGTCCAAGAGCTGCGTGAATCCGGTACGATCCCAGAGCGTTCGCCAAATGACTTGGTTGCACGAGTGGTCGAAATGGTGTGCGAGTCGTATCATGAAGTAAGCCTACTTGAATTTTTCAGTGAAAACAGGTTATTGACAGCCATAGTTGAAAAATTACAAGAAAGCTATCCCCTACTGCGATGAAGCGCTCACCTACAATGAACACTCTCTTCACGGCCTACTTTCAAAAGCGGAACGTCACATGGAAGCAGAGAATTTCGACGCTGCTATTGCCTCTCTCAATGCTGCCAAGGAGCATCATCCAGGAGCAGCGCAAGTTAACCAATTGCTACAAAAGGCCCAAATTGAGCTCAGACGCAGTAAAACTAAGGATTATTACAAAGTCCTTGGCCTTCCTCGTGATGCCGATGAAGTTCAAATCAAGGGAGCTTATCGAAAAATGGTCAAATTGCACCACCCCGACAAGGCCCATAAATTGGGGATCAGCAAGGAAGATGCAGAGAAGAAGATGGCATCTGTCAACGAAGCCTATGAGGTGCTTAGTGACCCGGAATTAAAGGCAAGGTATGACCAGGGCGATGACCCTAATGACCACGAGCAACAGCGACAACATCCTTTCCATGGTTCACCATTCGGTCACCAAGGAGGACACGGTGGTCAGCAATTTCAGTTCAAGTTTCAAGGTGGATTTCCGTTTGGCTGAGCGGTTATCAGGAAGTGGAATTTGGTTTGGCGAAAGGAGTTGCGTTAATGGCGAACAACGGCAATGCATCAATGAAGAATCTGTGCATTGGATATATTTAGATATCCAGAACGAAAAATGGAAAACAAATTTGAATCAGAAAAACAATAACCTTTATTATCTTAGCAGTAATACGTCGGTTTTGGTTAAAACCCACATTCAGCAAGCAGTGGAGAGTACAAGATCTTAGCGTTGGCTGGCATTCCACGAGAGTAATTGGTCGGCTGAGGAGAAATCAAATCAGATACAGGAGGCACAGGATGAGCAGGGGCTCGTTGGTAATTTTGAGTGCTAGTGGCATATTTGTCCACTTGATGTTCTTGGTTTGGGAGTGAGATTACTCTGGATCTATTGCTGCCAACTCAACAGCATGGGCTTGATTCTCTGATCAAGCCTTTTAACTCCATCCATGAACGCCATCCATCCAGCCAACCATGCCATGCAAGTTCATAAAGCTTTTGACACAAAGGTAATCAAGCAGGTTGCTCATAAGCCCTCCGAATGACTCTCGAAAACTGCTCCATCTTCACATTTTCCCTGACAATCGTGCCCTTCGCCTCATTCTCCTTGTTTAATGGGACCTTAACAACATTTTCCTCAATCTCCCATCCGCAGACACCATTGACAAATTTATTGAAGGTCTCGCCTTGTAACCCCAGCCATGATTCTAAGACGGAACGGTCAATTCCTCGGACTGATTGAGAGATAGTAAGGGCGATGCGGATGCGGATTAATTCTTCGAAACCTGCGACGTCGGCAATGAGGTCCGCGTAGAGGTCGTCGCTATCGAGGGTGCTCCAGAAAGCAGCGTAGGAGGCCTGTGCGAGGAGGTTGTTGAGGACGTTGAGCTTTTGGACGGCTTCTGACAGAGGCGCGTCGCCGGCAGCTGGTAGAGCTGACGAGGTAGAGGCGGGTGTGAGGATGTGTGGCGGAAGGAGATGGAGGGCGAGCGAGAAGTCGGGTGAGGGGAATACAGTGAGGGATTTGACGAGGATGTTGGTTATGGTTTCGTCTTTGGTGAGATGGGGGTTAAACTGGTAGCTGCCGCAGCGCAATGACGATTAGTACGGCGTTTCTGCTGGAGGACGTAGTATACAGAGAGAAAAAGGAAGATGTCGTTCAGATAGAGCTAATAGAAACTTCAGGGGCTGGAGGGATTCATTCTCCATGCCTCAGGTAATAGGAAACGTTGAAAAAACGATCATCACTTGACATTTACTTGCGCCAGAACAGGAAAGTGTGTGGCCTACAGCTTCAGGAGAGCCAAATTGGCGTAACAATCATACGTCTTGCTCTCGCATTGTTCGGTCACGTAGTCTTGGAAGACTTGCGTGGTTTCTGGGTTGTATCGATCGAGGCCGTTCAGGATGGCGTCGATGTGTTCTGGCCGCTCAGGCGCGAAGTCGAACGGGACGCCCATTTTTCTTTCTCAAGTCCTAGTTTCCTCCCGCTGTCTTCTCCTTGCCTTGCGGAAAATCGGTGACCGTTGCGCGGACTGTTGCTGATGTCGATTTCGTCGAGAAAAGTTTCGAGATGCCGATTTCATTGAGGTCAGAGTGTCTGTGGCTTCAGTGCAGGATTTAAGCGAATGATCACGTGCGACGATAACCGAGTCCGACAGACCCCTTTTCAACGCATAGAGGAGGACGTAATTTCGATTTTCAATCGGATATTCGGACTGCCGATGCACTCTGAGAGACTCTGTGGAAAAACCTATGTTGTAGTTTTTCTGTATTTTATCTTAGTGGACTTAAATCTTTGAAGGGATACAAGAAGTTCTGTGTAATAATCTGCTCAATCTCTATTTGGACGTGATTCAGGTCTGTGTCAAGCAAAGACTTCGACCAGGAGTTTCATTTTGAAGGAGGTATTATTCGTCAACACGGTATCTCATCGATGCACTACAATCTCGGACACCATATCTCCTCCCAACCTTGCGATTTCTGCTAGGATTGCAGACTTGTCAAGTTGAATCACTCCCTCATTCTCCTCGCCCGCGACGCCTGCCGGCGTGGTTGAGTACGCCAAATTGACTTTCAGAGGTCGGGGAGCTACTGCTTGGGGATTCCACAAACCGGCAATGACTGAGCCGGGAAGTTCAACATGAAAAAAAACCACTGTGTTTGTGTAAACCTTCTTCAGCTCGTCAATGTACGAGTGGACTGGTTGATATCCTACAATATCCAAAGTTGCCTCTGAATGCATCTCAAGGTTCTTGTACTTAGGTTTTGATGCTTCTTTTTGCTGGTGGTTGCCAGCAAAGTGAGGGGACAGATGGATCACAAAGTCGTAGTCAGCTGTGGAAGCGACGAACAACGATCTTGGGTCCAGCTCCAAGTCCTTTTCTTTAACCAACTTGCATGCAGACCGAGCCAGTGATGTCATACGCGAAGCAACCAATTTTGAGGGTCCGTTATCAGTAAACGCCGTGCCGGTTTTATCATGATTGGAAGCGGCAAATAAGACCGTTCGATTCATGGCTGGATCGATTTTTCTCCAAGCCTCGAGTCGAGTGTTGATCGAGTCGACGTCTTTGCTTGTCATAGTCCCCGTGAAATCCACAATCAAGGGCTCCACGCGCCAATCCCATCTAGATATGAACAATAGCGTTCTCAAGAAACCGGTCATTGTAGATGATGGTGTACGCCAAGGATATGGCTGCATGAAAGTACGAGCCACCAAAAGCTCAATGACCTCGTCTCTGATATGTCCCGCCAGCATGTGTCGGTCGAACCACATCTTCATAAGGCGAATAGTCGGCGACAAAAGCGGGAACCGGGTGCAATGGGTAGCGATGGATTGTGTGTGCAGAGGCAGTTGTAGGAATGATCTCTTATACACTGATAACGCTGAGGCAGCGTCCTCCCGGACCCGATGGTCGGTAGATTTATCTTTAATCTGTCGCTCAAGCAGGATCTGCTCGCGATCGTTGTGAATTCGAAGTCTGAATGCGGCACCGGAGCCGTAGATCACATGCAGAAAGGCACAATTCTGGTGAGGTTTGTCTTCATTCTCCAGGCCAAGTCGTGTCGTGGTACTTTCATCAACTTCTTCTAGCAGACTGCCAATTTTGAGCAGAAATGCAATCTTTGTACGCTGAATTGCAACCACATCATCTGGCCACCTCCCCGATCCTTCGAATTGTATCAAGACATCGGCGGGATTTCTAAGCGGCTGACCTGAGCTGAATGAGGGTAGCTCGATGGACGAATATCTGAGCTGAGCACACACAGGCGAGAGATGCCTTAATTGCAAGGGAAGACCTTCGAGATCTCTTACTTGCTTCTCAAACGCACTGAAAGATTGTCTAAGAGTTTCGAAGGACTTTGTGCTAGGTCCAGAGCCAAGGAGAAGGCGCTCGAATCCCTCTCCAATAAATTTAAGGCTGCCGGCAACCTCAGGACCAAAGTGTCGTTTCACGAGATAGGTCGTGATACTCTGGAAGATGGAATAACTCGAGCCGGATGACCAGACCAAGCTCTCCAGGATGCTTCCATCTTTGAATCGACGCAACTCTGCCTTCTCCCCCCAGAACTTCTGGAACTTTGCGGCTTTTTTCTTCTCCTCTGCCGGTGGCCCGTGATCGACCAATCGATCAATATTCGCTGGGTCAAAACTCACGGAAACCATCAATGACGGCTGTACTGTGGATGGCGCAGCTGATTTGATTGACCACGAAGTCGTTTCTGGTCCTTTAATGTCAAAAATCTTAATTCTGTCCGTCAAGCCTTCTGCAAGAACTTCAGCAACACGAAGGCTAAATTCTGCGACACTTGACATGTGGTCGCAGGAAGGCGTCCTAATAGGTTGAGATGGGAGAGAAAGTTTGAATATGCAATCCCATCGTTGCAAGGGCCGGGATGTTCGGACGATGAATGTCGACTCGAATTGGTCAAATGTTGCGTCATTGAGCATACTCAAAGATGCTCTAGCTTCTTCTCGGAGGAGATGATATGACCAGGAGGTCATCTTATAAAGCAGATTCTGGCCACGATGGCCGTCGAAGAGCACTGGACCAGGAGGCCTAGAAGCAACATAGTCTATTGATTCGTAAGCGACCGGATTGGCTACTAGATCGTGCGCCGAGAGAAATTGCAGAACGGCTTTGAACATCTGATAGCTACTATACCCCGGTGAGAGGACACTATGGTCTTTAGCACCTCCGCCTTTGAGCAGTAATGCTGTCAAGGCGGCCCATTCGAAATGCCCAAAGCCTCCGGTGGAAATTTGGCTAGCAAACCCGCGTTGTCGAAGCCAACTTCTGCCAAGAATACACGCATCCTTGAATCCGTCTGATGACTTCAAGGCGGAATGAAGAAGCTTCAGATAAGATTCAAAATTGCAGTCTGATTGTATCGAGGCATTGTAGAACGGAGTGGGCACCTGAACTGCGCGTTCATGTTCAGCACTATCTTTTGGTCGTACGGAATTTTTGGTTGGATGCAGCTTGGATGCCGCAAAGATTCCTTGAGGGGCAGCAGGAATTATTTTGATAGCGTAATTTAGCACTGGCTTTGTTGCGTCTGCTAGATACATTTAGCAAAAAAAGTTCAACACTTCGCTGCGGGCCTCACCAGACTTGGGCTTCAAAATCAAAATTGGATGAAGCTCGTTTCCATGAAGAAACTCAAAAGCAAGACCAAATTCTTCTTGAACAGATTGCTGTAGCCCGGCAGTAATGCAAGCTAGGTAATAGGCTCTTTTATAGAAATATCGATAGTTCAGGTAGTCTTTCTCCTGAAAAATTGACGCCGGCATCACCACAAGCATATCTACAGACAAGGTGCTGTCTGACTTCACCATTGTCCTGAGAACGTAGCTACCAATGACATTTATGTTTGATGGTCTTGTATACGTCAACTTGTATGCAGCGTTCTTGTCAGGCTTTGGATCCGGAAAAGGGACAGCAATTTTGTGTGATTTGTGCAGCCACTCAGTGGCGTCTGAAATCTGTTCGGGCAAGCGTCAGCAAGAATATTTCGTGACATGATATCCATCAACTTACAGAGAGAGCATCGCGTTCTTCAATACCTTCAATCAAGCCCTTTAGTTTGTGCAAAGCCTCTGTTAATCCGCCGAACCGCTTCGCGTAGTTTGGCGCTACTTCACGCAATAACTCGTCAACTTGCAGTTTGAACAAGCTGGACTTGTAGATCCCTCCAGCATACAAAGCCGCATCATCGTCATCGTGAGTCCGCTTCGTGTGTCTCGGCCGGGGTGGTGCTGGAGCTTCTTCCGAGATGTTGGGAGTTGATTGCGGTTCATTGGCTTCTGACTCGCTGTCATCGAGAGATGTTGAAGTATGGTCCAGCTTGCGCCGCTTTGCTGATAACGGACTCATTGTCGAGCTTCATAAGATAATAGCATTGGCAAATGTCTTGACACCTCAAGGTTCTATGTCTTTTGCTTCCGGTGTGAACAATTTTTTATTTTGCGCTAAAATTTAAGCTTAAATTCACAATCGCCGACCCCCGACGCCCCTTGCCAGCGCCGATAATCGGTCATCACAAATTCTTGGGGTGAGAGTGGGACTTTATCTCAGCACAAATATCTTGAAAATCCCCAGACTTTGAGGGCCAATTGCATTTTCCTCGTCTACACATAAGAATGGCAATAATCGAGCTTGGGGAATCCATACCCGCTCTCACTCCTCATGTAAGTCTCATACCAAACGTGCTGGGGACTTGATGAAAACCTTGCGAGTCAGCCTAATTGTGTGTAGGCTTCAAGTGTATCCCTCCCAACATGGGGTGACAACATTGGCTATGAGAAGGGGCAAGCAAGAGTGATCAGTAAGATGACGACTGGATATCCACGGTATGAATTGGCAGTCTTGAGGCTCTGCTTGAGCACGCTGACCTGGTCTCGTGACTCAGCTTCTTCATTCACAAGGCCATTGTTGCTTTCGCCGAAGACGTGGTTCAGAAAATTGGAAAGCCAGGCTGCCAGGCTATGCTATTCCCATCTACCAGGACTGCCCGAAGCTGTGTAAACTTCATGCATTCAAGAGATCCGTCCATCACTGCTGGGCAGATTCAAATGATTGACCTGGTCCTCGACAAGCAGCGTGCAGACTCAGAGATGCTAAAGAAAGTATCTCCTTCTATCTCTGCCGTCATTTTCCCCACGCCTCTTTTCCCTCTTGCCAAGCAGTACTGGCAACATTCGGGCGACGGTGTTTCGAGCAGACGTGCGGAATTTTGCCACGGCCTTTTTCTGGACAGTCTATTGGTAGAGAAAACCGCCCTTCAACCAATATTGAATGGGTTACAGAAGGCTTGCAAAGGCCCAAGACGCTATCAGAGAGGTTCAATGGACAAAACGCCCTCCAAAATGAACAAAGATGGGCAAGAATCACCTGATATTAGCCATCAACCAGCGACCGTGCCGCTACAGGAAGCTCGCGAAAGCACACAGTTTCTGGAAGAACGCTTTGGCCGTAACCTTGACGTTTCGTTCGTTGATAATGCAAAATCAGCAATTCGTCGGCGCATCGCTGGATCCTTGATGGGAGAGGTTGATCTTTCAACAGCACCAAGTTCGAAGATGTCGTCAAATATGCGTGGGGTAGTCGAACTCTCTGAAGATGATGTATACCTCTATCCGTGCGGAATGAATTCTATATTCCATACACACAGGATGATGCTGGAGGCTAGAGGTTCATTGAAGAGTATTTCTTTCGGGTTTCCGTACGTTGATACCTTGAAGATACTGGAAAAATTCGGGCCTGGTTGCATTTTCTATGGGAACGGTTCGTCAGAAGATTTGGACGACCTTGAGAACCGTTTAAAGGAGGGCGAGAGGTTCCTCACCTTGATCTGCGAGTTTCCCGGTAATCCTATGCTTAAGTGCCCGGATCTTCAACGGATTCGAAAGATGGCCGACAAATACGACTTCAGTGTCATAGTTGACGAAACTATCGGCAATTTTATCAACGTTCACGTCCTCCCATACGCAGACGTGGTGGTTAGCAGTCTCACTAAAATTTTCTCAGGCGAGTGCAACGTTATGGGGGGAAGTGCTATATTCAATCCTCAAGGACGATACTATCAAGCGCTCAAAAAAGTTGCCGATGTTGAATTTGAAGATAACTATTGGGCCGAGGATGTTATATTCATGGAACGCAACAGCCGCCACTTTGTGTCGAGAATCAAGAGAATCAATGAGAATGCCGAGCTTATCTGCGACATTCTCCGGGGCCATCCTTTAGTCAAGGAAGTATTTTTTCCCAAGCATAATTCTTCGAAGGCCTGCTATGATGCTTGCCGAACACCCAATGGTGGATATGGAGGCTTGTTATCCTTTACCTTCTACACCACTGCTCAAGCCATAGCCTTCTTTGATCGAATAGAGACTGCGAAGGGGCCGAGTCTGGGCACGAATTTCACACTGGCCTCGCCATACGTTATTCTTGCGCATTTTCTTGAGTTGGACTGGGCGGCACAGTTTGGTGTCCCAGCTGATCTCATTCGTATCAGCGTTGGTCTGGAGGATGCGGAAGAGCTGAAATCTACATTTTCGGACGCGTTGAAAGCTGCGGAAGCTGTTTCTCTTGAGGACTCATGAAAGGTTGTGGGTGTGAGACGAGGTGTTGCGCATGCAAAGAAAAATTGGTAGAGGACTGCTTAGTGGCTCAGGGCTAAGCTGTGTGGTGGTATAAAGAGAAAAGCGAAGGATGAAAGATGATCACGGTGAAGTGTTGAACACGATCAGCTGGTTTGGTTTCCCATAAGACTGAGTTACGCCGCAAGAGCATGCTCACATCTACTAAACGGAAGTGATAAATTGGTCGACGAGTGAATTTGTGGGCATGAATATGACAAATGAAAAAGATTGAAGACGGGTTATGACCTGATTTTACCTTTCGACGGAGGAGTTCACCGTTGCCAGGCCGACCATTTAGCGGGGCCCACTGTCCCGCACACGTGATTGCGCTAAAACTGGTCGCGTCCTCACTCACGCGTAGCCCAACCAACGCCACGCTGTTCACCACCTTCGATTCGACATCCCAAGACCCGTGCCCGTCCCTCGACTTAAGAGCGCCAATATGGCACCGCAAAAACGAGCAAGGCACGATGAGGATGACGAAGTTATCGCCGTCGAAAGCGCGAGCTCGAGCCTGCGACCACAAGCCGTGAGATTCCCCTCCATGCTGACCACTCATTTTCTTGCGAGGGAAGAATACAGCTAACAGTATGGTGCAGCAAGGCAAAAGAGCACGGCTATCTGAGAACCCAGCTTCCTCCAAGTCGCGAAATGCGCGCCAGGTCAGCCCGTTGACTTCGTCGAGCAGCGAAGGTGAGGAAGACGACGAGGAACTTCCTGATGCTGAAGACGACCCCGTTCCACCACCAAGTACCCAATACGAGGCTCTTCGCGATGATGGTTTCAGACATCTTGATAAAGCCGAGTTGGATGACCAACGGGCCACTCAACAGTTTCTAGCACGAAGCCAGCGCATTGGGAATAATCATGCTGCGAACAATGCAATCATTGAGGACATTACTTGCATAAATTTCATGTGTCACGAGAGGCTTCACGTTAAGCTTGGACCACTCATCAATTTCGTTGTTGGTGAGAACGGAAGTGGCAAGAGCGCAGTGTTGACTGCACTGACCTTGTGTCTGGGTGGGAAGGCGGCCGCGACAAATCGAGGTGCAAGCCTCAAAAGCCTCATCAAAACAGGCTGTGATGCGGGTATGTTGATTGTCAGGTTGAAGAACCAAGGAAACGATGCATATCAATCGGATGTCTTTGGCAAATCCATCATCATCGAACGCCATTTCTCGCGGTCCGGTAGCAGCAACTTCAAGCTGAAGAACGAGAATGGCCGTCTCATATCTAACAAGAAAGGCGATGTTGAGGATATCATCGAATATTATCAGCTGCAGGTTGACAATCCGATGAATGTGCTCACTCAAGATGCTGCCAAGACGTTCATTACGTCCTCGACGCCTGCAGATAAATACCGATTCTTTTTCGAGGGTGTCCAGCTCAAGGCCCTGGATGACGATTACAGGCTCGTATCCGATACGTGTGACCAGATCCAGGCGAAACTCGACGAGTCGAAGGACGACATTCTAGCACTGAAGAAGATAGCAAAGGATGCCCAGACAAAGGCCGAAATGGTGCAGCGGCGCGAGGGAATGCGAAAGGAGGCCAAACGGCTAAGCAGGCAAATGGCTTGGGCTCAAGTAGAAGAGCAAGAAAGCGTTTTGGCCGAGAAAGAGCAGTCCATTGTCGCGACTCAAGATGAGATTGAGAAGGCTGAAACCGTTGCCGCCGAAAAGGACCAGATATTTCAAGAAGCAGATGCGCAGCTGGAGCGTGACAGACAGAAAGAAAGTCAACTCGAGGAAGGGCTTGCTCCGCTCAAAGGCGAGGAAGAGAAGGCTAAGGCTGATTACGATGCTGCCACAGGAAAAGTGCAAGACGCCCATACTGAGCAAAAGGTGACGGCAAAGAGTCTGGCCGCATCGATGAAGAAGGTCGAAAAATTTCAACAAGACATTGAGGAAGAACAAAAGCGTTTGGAAGCAGCAAATGGCGGTGCCCATGCTCGCACTCTCGAGGAAATCAAGGAAGCCGAACGTGTAGTTTCGGAAGCCCATGCGGCCCTTGAGCAATTCAATAGAGAGACGACGCGCCTCGAGGAGGCTCGCCAACAAGGAAAGGAAAAGGAGAACGGCATGAAAGGTCCGCTGGCTGCTAGACGCAAAGCGGTCGATGAGGCCCGTGAACGGCTAAGTACCTTGAACCTTGATCACGGGAATGTCATGGCAGGTTTTGACAACAGGATGCCAAGGGTCCTTCAACAGATCCGCAACGACGCTGGCTTTCGAGAGAAGCCTATTGGACCTCTTGGTATGCATATCAAATTATTGAAGCCCGAGTGGTCGCATATTTTGGAGTCCACAATGAGTGGGATATTGAGCGCATTTATTGTCACCAATAAGCCTGACCAGATGAGGCTGTCTAGTACGTATTGATATTTCCTTACAATTTTCTTCTGCTCAAGACATTGTGTGCCTATGCTGACTTGTGCAAATTTAGACATCCTGCGTCAAAACAATATGAACTGGTGTCAGGTTGCGATTGTCAACAATGAGCCGTTGGATCCCACAGGCCATGAACCAGACCCTCGGTATGATACCATCTTGAGGGTTTTGGACATCGAAAATGATCTCATAAAGAAGCACCTCATCATTTCCCAGTCGATTGAACAGTCCATCCTCGTCCCCGATCGGAGTGATGGCATAAGGATCATGTTCGATGGGCCAAGGCCCCAAAATGTCAAGCAATGTTTCTGTATCAACCAACAAAACAGAGGCTGGGGTATCCGTCTGGGATATCTCGGCGGTCGCCAAAGTAACAATCGCGAGCAAAGTCCCATCAAGCCATCGCAGGGTAAATCCAGAATGAAGACCGAGATTCAAAGCCAAATCTCTTTCCAGACCGAAACTGTACATCAACTTGAGCGAGAACGGGATGCCCTCGAGAATGAACTGCGTCAAGTTCAGGAAAGCTTGACGAAAACCAGTCGGACAATTACCTCCCGTAGACAAGAGCATGGTAAACTCAAAATAGCACTCCAACGAGCCGAAGACAGATCTGCAACTCTCAAGTCCGACCTTGAGTCTTTGAATGTTGAAGACGGACGACTCGAGGGTTTAAAGCAGAACTTGGCCGAGGCCGAGCGACAAAAATCGATCGACGAAGATGCCTATGGAACTATGGGCTTGGAAAAGGACAGACTCAACAAAATGTCTGCCGAAGAAAAGAAGACTTTGACGGCTGTCAAGAAACGGATCGAGGAGCACGAAGCCAAGCTCCAGAAAATCAAGCAGAAATGCAGGAACCTGGAACAAGTTCGCAGATATGCGCTCCAAGAAAAAAATCTTGCTATCGCGCGGATCGAAGAGTCCCGGCAGGAGAAAGAGAGAGCCCAAAGAAAGCATGAACAACAGGCTGCGTGTGTTGCGGCATTTATTACCGAGGCAACCAAAGTCTGCGAAAGGATACCGGTCGAACCTGGCCAGACAACGGACTCTTTGGACGCCAGACTGAAGGTTTTAGATGAGCAACTTAAAGCGTACCGAAGAAAACAAGGCGCTTCAGACGAAGAGATCAACGATGCAGCAGTCGACGCCGAAGGATCCTACAGACGTGCCAAAACTAACCATCAAGGACTCGTAGAACTTTTGGCGTTATTGAAGCAGTCTTTCCTGAACCGGATCGAAATGTATCGTCGCTTTCAGAGATCCATTACCGCCAGGTCCCGAATCAATTTCGGTTACCTGCTCAGTGAGCGAGCTTTCCGTGGCAAGCTTACAATTGACCACATCCACAAGAAGCTCGATGTCCATGTTCAGCCTGACGATACTGTCAAAGGCAGCAAGGGACGGCAGACCAAAACGCTTTCTGGAGGAGAAAAGTCCTTCTCATCTATCTGCCTGCTCTTATCCCTCTGGGAGGCAATGGGTGCACCTTTGCGTTGTTTGGACGAGTATGACGTTTTCATGGACGATGTCAACCGGGACGTGACCACGAAGATGATCGTAAGTTGCCCCTCCAACAGGAGGTGTCTTCCCACACTGACGATCTATAGATCAGCGCTGCCCGACGCTCTGTCGGTAGGCAATTCATCTTGATCACTCCAAAGGGACTTGGAAATGGTACTTCTGACATTGCCGAAGAAGACGTGAAAATAACAAGGTAAGCTCATTGTTCTTTTCTGTACACAGAATATGACTTACCACCCATAGGTTGACGGATCCCCGCAAAAGACGCATAGATGACATGCTCCAAGCCCAATAGACTCTACGCTGTTGATTTTCCGAATTTGGGCTCGACAACTCGATTTGTATATTGCTAAGGGGGCCTTCTGTATTTTACACGGGCGTTTGACAGTTTGGTTGGCTCACTGCTATTTGCGCTCGGGCGGCATCATTCTTCCAAAATTAGAGCACACATGTAGACGTAATAACACACTTGGCTTTCGCCATACACTTGAGTCTCTCACTCATATTCTGACGCCTTTAGATCTCAAAACATTTAACCCGGCATGGGCCGTAAATCCAGCCCATTGAGCTACATTCCCCATCGTTCCTCCCACAATTTGTACATCCTTAAATCTCCTGTTTAGAAACTCTCTCGTATCAATGAAATCAGGTGATTTATCAGTCGTCATGAAAAGCTCGGTGGCTGCATAGATTGCAGAGAGTGAAGCTCGCTTCATGTACCAGGAGGTATCGACCGACGTGTCACCGGAGAGAAACCAGATCTCGTCTGAGAGCGATGACAGTTCGGAAATGGCTGTTGGCATGTGTGATGGTTGTGCCATGAATGCTAGTGCCTACAATGATTTCTCGTCAACCACATATCTCCATTATATGACTGGGTTGAGGCTGGTTGAGAAATGAAGACATACTTCCTGCCACCGATGTATAATCTCTCTATTTGCCATCAACCGCTCCCACGTCAGCGCCTTCACCTTCCATCCCACTCCAGGGACCTTCTCTCTTTCTTTTAATGCGGGTGAAAGGATATGCTCATGTTTCGCGAGAGCGAGACGTTGTGTATAGAGGTGGTAATGCACGAGACTGAAGGTGCCATTAGGAAAGAGGTTTGTCGATGCATCGATATAGCCAGCATCTTTTGTGCCTAGGGAGAGTGTCGTGTGAGTGAAGCCATGGCTGGGGATGTGTGGGATGGCCGCTGAGAGGATCGAGGATTCGGTGGGCGTAAAGGGTCCGGGTGGCGGTGGATGGTCGTAAGAATGGTATGGGCGGAGGATAGGGAGCGCAATTCGTTTTGAGAGCGGTCGCAGCCGAGGAAGATGAGTTCTGATTGCCATCGTGGTGTGGTTGGTGATAAATGAGGTGAAGTTTGGGTTGATTGATTGCTTTGACCAGGCGAGGCTCGCAAGGCTGACGATTCGACCAAAATCTTGAGATGACTTAAGAATCTCAGACTCGGTTTAGAATGGTGCTATCAGGGATTGGTTTAGGTTGATCTGTCTATTTGGTACATTAGCACTTCGTAATTGTCAAAATCAAAGGTATCGAGATTTCAGTAAGAAGGGCTTGGTTCAAGATGAATTAACAAGTCATCTAATTGCAAATCAAGCTAGTGTTGCTGAAGTATCGATATGGACATTACTCGTTTATCTCCTCTCATTCAATTCTTCCCATTGAACGCCAGCCCACTCCTCCACATATCCTATCTCACCATTCTGTACACCGTTCTGCTGGCAATCTCTCTCGCAAACACCAACAATGATGGTTCCCCACTCCATCCCATCAATACTTATCTCTTCCCTCTCCAACTCCATAATAGCATGCGGTGTCAGCTGCACCTCAAAGACTCTCCCGGCGCCACAGTTCCCACACCTCGGGATTCTACCCCCGTTCACAGATGTCGTTGTAACTTTCACATCATCCTTCCCCGAACTCCCTAATAACTTCCCAACATCATCATGCTTCGAGTACAACAATGGCTCCCCCTTAAATTCATACCGAATAACCTGTTCCGGATTCTGAGCTAACCTGTCAGCGAATTTCTGGAACGTCATGTCAATCGTGCTCTCAAAGACATCTTTATCTTCCTTCTGATTGCTTCCTCCTTGGCCTTCGTCTAAATCCATAGTCTGGGTGGGAATAGGCGGATCTTCAATTTTGTCCAAGATCTCGTAGTTTGCGTCTACGAGATAATACAGTGGGTATGCAGGTGGAAGTTCTGACTCTTGTGGCCAGGGATCGGGGGGTAGGGGACGTCCAAATTGAGGCTGGTCGATGTTGAGAGAAAGGGCAGAGGCGAAGGTCTTGAGGAAGTCGGTGGTCTCCGATGGGCGCTGAGGTGGTTTTGCTGCAAGCTCTGAGACTGGAAGGCGAGCAGCTGCAAAGGGGTTATTTGGAGCTGACGAAGATGGGGTGGAAAACGGATTCGATGGTGCTGCACTCTTCGGATTGGTGGAGAATGGGTTCGCGGAAGTTGAGGTCGAAGATGGTTTCGTGCCGAATAACGTCTCCCCCAAATTCACATCTGATGTTGAGATCGGGGTATCCCCTTCCAATTGTGATTTGGCATTCCCCTTCCGCTTGTCTTTCGCCGCAACTTCAGTTACCCTAATGCCCCTCAGAGCCTTCACACTCCCCTCTTTGCGCCTGCACGTCTTTCGCCGGCATGTCATCACGTACAAGCGTCTCTCATGTCCGGAGAAGAACTCTGGTAGATCTCCATTCAACTGTAGAAGCAAGACCATGAAATCATCGCACACTTTGCACTTCGCCAACGTCGCAGAAGGTGGGGCCGTGGGGTCAAGCCAGGTCTGGCAAGAAGAACGTTAGCTCATCTAATACAGTGGCTACCGACCGAGCCTAAAATCCGATACACGTATCTGTCCATGTCTTCAGACTTACTGGTTTTCCACCTAGCTGACTGATGGTATCGTCCGAGGGCATACTCGAGGCATATCCTAAAAGAACATTGGTCTCGGTGTATTCGTTATTCTCGCCACCTGAAGAGTCACTATCGTAAGGCGCCATTTCAATATATCTTTGTCAACCTCTTCCATGGCCAAGGGAAGAAAGGCGTCAAGTTGGAGGAATGCGAGTATTTAAAGGCTGAGCTGCGTATGTTGAGTAACCATTTCCCAAAGGGATATTTTAAGCGATCGCGAGGCTGAGAAAATGGACCATCCAATCACGCAGTCATATGCAAAAAACTCCCTGTTTTAGCGCATTTTGGCGAAACCATACTTTTTTAAATCTGTAAATTGAATTTTACTAAAACTACAAATTTCTTAATAGAATTAAATAATTAGAAAAGCCTTCTTTTAAATAGGCTTAAATATCTTAAATCTCTATTAGACTAAGAGTCCCAAATGTAGTATTATAGTAATTTTAAGGGTTAAAAGAAAAGGAATTTTGGTGTTCCTCGTTCTCGCCTAAATTTTGTCCGTGGAGGCCCGCCAGACTCAAGCCGGAGTAAATTTTGAGAGAACAAGGACTAAAAACCCAATTAGAAAAGTAGCTTAAGAGAAGAACTTAAGATCTCTTTGAAAGTTAATAAAAGATCCTAATAAAGGACTATTAATTCTAATAGAGTACTTAAAGAAAAAAAATCCTATAATAAGAACATGAAATTAAAAGTAAAAATATATGATTTTCGGGTACTTTTTACTCGACTTTCGAGCCTTATATAAATAAAATTTAAACGAGAATGAGAAATACTAAAATTCCTTTCCTTAAGTCCTATAAAATTAATTAAGAACCAACTTAGAACCCTATTAAAGTATATATTTAGAGTCCATAAAGTAATGCGAATCTTTATATATATACTTTTTATTAATAAAAGTCTTAAAATAGTGAAGTTTTATTAATTAGGAAAACGTTTACGAGAAAGATTGACTGAAGTCATTCAATGGTCATCCAAGTCTTCATAAAGACATCTAATTATACATCTGATACACAGAGGAAGTCTCAAGGAAGAGGACGCGCCAACGCCTTCGCTATTTGTCAACCTGAGAAAAGGCGTCTGGTTAAAAACGTAAAATTTTACACATCCAACACGTCTTCATGACTTCGTAAAAGCAGCTTTGCGCCGAAGAATCCTGCACCTGCAGGAAATTAGTATGCACCGCGAATCTTTGCATAGAGTTCCGTATCCAGGAAGTTGTAGTTGGGGTCCAGCTCGCAGAACGGATGTTGAGATAAAAGCGTGTCGGCAGTGGGACGCTCAGGGGGATTGCTAAATCCAAGTTAGTGCATGCAGAGTCGTGGGAATCCATTCCGGTTACTCACATCGTGAAACAGTCAAACATGAACGCCACAGCTACTGGGCTGATAGTGGTTGCAACATCATCCGGGATTGGGGGGGCTTCGTTTAGACTGCCAAGTTTGTAAATGGCTCCCACCGTTTCTTCCTTGCTCCACGGTCTCCTTCCAGCGAACATCTCGAGAACAACGCATCCAAGGGACCAGATATCCACTTTCGCCGAGTAGCCCTGACCTTGAGATCGGACGACCTCGGGAGCCATCCAGAAAACGGAACCCTGCATGGAATTTGACGCATCGTTTCCGTAAATGTTGTCCGTTTTCTTCGAAATGCCAAAATCGGAAATCTTGCAGGTTCCGTCAAGATCCAATAGAATATTGTCGGCCTTCAGATCACGGTGAAGGATACCTTCTCGATGCAGGTATGCAAGCCCTGAAAGTGTCTGCCGCGTCAACGAACTCACTACGCCCTCCTCAAACTTGCCGTGCTTCCGCAAACAGCTTCCCACACTGCCACCAGAAATATACTCGAGGAAGATACTGATGGACATTTCTTTTCGTTCGCAGCCAAGATATTGGACAATATTGACGTGATCCAGATGTTGCATAGTATCAATCTCTTGATCAAGGGCGGCTACCATTTCTCGCATCTTATCTTTGTCGTTCCCAGCGGCTTTTGCGCTGACTTCAACTTGTTTGACAGCTAAGAATTCGCCCGTAGTGGCGTTCATTCCGAGATAAACACGACCGTAGGTTCCTTTGCCGATCAATTGGCCTTTAAACCATCGGAAAGTTGCTTGTCTTTTCGGAATCGTGTCTTGTGGGATCTGGGGTAGAATCATGCTACCGCGCTGAGGTTTGATCTGGACAATATTGGCCCCGAACATCTTAGTACTTTTACGACGAAGAATTGTGCTGGAAGCGCCTTGCTGTATAGGCGCAGTAAATCGTTTGTTCGCTTCATGCGCGCCCCTGGCGACTTCACGGATAGACTTCATGCGTCCTAGCCCACCAGAACGGCGGATATTTCTTTGCGCCATACTTTGCATGGAGCCTCGGCTCTCAAGTGCTTTCAAAGTTGATTCATCCGAGCCTAGCGTATCCCCGTCATTATAGGACAAGCTGGATCTGGCAGTATTTGCTGCTGGCGTTTCACCGATTGTCATCCCGGCCTGGGCTGCTGCCAGCTGTTCTAGAGATTCATTTGATTCCGCTATAGGCGAAACCGGGGGAGAACCTCCGGAGCTTGCTTCTAGGACTGGTTGATCAAGGTCAAGGTTGGGGAAGAAGTCGTCTAGATGGTTGATAAGGGCTTCCGCAGGGGGTCTGCTTGCCCACAGGTCCTCTCTGGCAAATGACTCCCGGCGGAGTAGTTTTGCACTCATATCTTCCGACGACTCCGCAGACCACCCCTCAGAGTTTGAAGCAGCAGAACCAGGTATACGTCGTTGTGGTCTTTTGCCAGAACTGCGAGAGCCGTCGTCATCCGCATCGGGAGTCCTCGAGGCGTTGGCCGTCGATGCACTATATTGTGGGGACGAGAATGAAACGGAGAGACCCTTTTTCGATCTCGACGTTCTGATGGTCAAGCTTGGTCGTTTCCCCATATTGTCGGACCCGAGAGTGCCAGACTCGGCGGAACGATCCCTTCTCAAGCTCGACTTCTTCGCAAGTATACGAGATGCTATCGGCACAGCGAAAAGACCATCATCTGAATCGTCGTCCGAATCAACCTGCGCGGCTTGCTTTGGTGCATTCTTGAAGTCGATGTTGGATTCTGTGAAGTCAAGATTTGGGCCATAAGACTTGCGGTTTCCGGGAATATTCATGCCAGGGTGCGCATGTGCACTGCTGGGACTGAGCTCGGACGGAGAGGGAACTCTGCGTACTTCTTCTTCTCGAATCTTGGAGACAGCAGAATTTCTGGGTATCTCCAATGACAATGAGCGGTCACGAGCAGTATTGACATTGCCGTCCTCTCCATAGTCGGGGACAATGAAAGAGGTGTCTCCTCTACCCCAAGTCGTACTGCCCGGGGTGCCGCTTGCTGATCTAGGGCTACTCCGGCCGGAGCCAGAGGCTCCAAAATCAACAGTTGACATAGCACTTCGTCCTCGATCATATTGGTCACTGCTTCCCGGCGGTGAACTCATGTTCGGCGAGGGGCCGGGATTAGAATTACTTTGGCTGGGTTGACCCACCCCTCCCAGGCGGGTTCCCATGCCGATCAGAGCGGCAGCAATCCCACCAGTAGCTTGTGGAGAGGCAGGCACGGGCTTTCGTTTAGCTTCAGACATCTCGGAAAGGGGCTCGCCACCAGACATACGTTTCCCGTCACCACTGTCCGTACTCGTTAAGGACAGACGTGCTTGCTGACCTGTTCTCTTGCTCAAGGAATTGGCTTTAATCAGTGTTGCTGATTCCGCGGGCGGTGGAGGCGGTTTTCTTTGAGGAAGGAGACCTTCCATCTTCTTGTCTTCAAATGGGGAGTTTCGAGGCTGATCAAAATCAACGTTGCGCCCAACAATGCCAAATGAACCGTCAACGGAGGAAGTCTCCTTGCTTGCCTTCTTTTTTGCCAAATATGCTTTCTGCTTCTGTTCAACCTTTGACCGGTGCTCACTGGCAGCCAACTCGATGAAAGCTTGTCTGTCAGCTTCAGAAAGCTGGCTTTCTCCACCCTCGTGGGAGAAGCCAGACTGCATGAGACGGTCGCGAAGGCTCTCTGATTGTGCTGATTGTGGATCATATGTTGGCAAACTGGGTGAATCTCGATTTGATGGTAAGCCAGCCGCCTTTATCGTATTTTGTCGAGAGCTTGGCGGTGATGAGTTTGAGCGCCTCCTCGCACCGTTCAGGGCCGCATATGCCTCTTCGTCTAAAGGCGCCGTTGGAGGTAAGACAGGGGACAGACCGAGTTTGTTCACAAAATTCATCCCTAGACCAGCCGTCAGCGACGCGGGCAGCGTTGCAGCTGAGTGGGGAGGAGCCCGGATATAAAATTTGAGGCTCCCAGATTGATCCGCTTTAGTCCGTCTATATAACAACAACTTTTGATCGTCCAACGGCTCGTCGTGCTCAGCTCTCCCAAGATCAGTGAGAAAGATCTGAACAAACTCCGCGTCCTTTAAGCCCAGATTTGAATAAATTACGGACCGAAGCTCGCCGGCTGAATCTATATCAGTGACTTCACACATGCGATAATTCCAGCCATCTAGAGTAACAAGGATAAAATTCCGTCCAGGCGCGTTGCGTCTGCCACGGTAACCAGTGGTGTGAGCAAAGCGGTCGTACTCCGATGCAGAAAAGGTCGAAGCAGGTCGGTCAAGAGAAGTCTCGCTGGAGTTACTGATCTTCCCATTGCCCAAGAAAGAAGCAGGCTTGAAACTTAAGGATGGACTTGTGGGCGATTCGAGATTTGGTTCTTCTGGGGAAGGGGCAGCGCCATCGTCCTTCTTTTTCTTTCTGAAATGTTTGAGAAAACCTTTAGACTCTTTTGCAGAACTTGGCTGATCTGAACTAGGTGGCCGGTCATCCAATGGAGAAGGTCGCGTTCCGTCAACGCCATGTCGGCGGCTGTCCTGATTCCGAACTAGATTCAACTCCCCAACAGCACCTCCCATTCCACCACGCAGAATCTGGTTAGCACCTGGTGGGACACCAGAGCCATATATGGCTGTGCTTGACGAAATGGAATCGGTACTGTTGGTGGATCGATGCCCAAATTTCGCGCTATGAGGCGATGCTGATAAGTTTCCTGCAGAAGATGCCTGCAGATTAGAAAATGCTCCGCCAGGGCTGTCACTCTTTGGACTGCCATCAATACGGAGTGCGGGACCCCTGAAAGGTCCTTCTCCTGTTTCACTACTAGCACTAGGACTGTGGCGACGGCTACCATCACCATCAATGTTTCTAAGAGCATTCCGATAAACCGCTCGGTTCTGAGAGCTGTATGTATCTGAATCTCCCGCTTGCCCATTATTGCTTAGGATTGGCATGGTGGTACTTCGGCCAGAAATCCTCTGAGCCGCAAAACCCGGGCCTGGACCTTTGAACATTGATTTTCCAGGACTATCATCTTCTCCATTCGCGGTGCTGGGGGTTGAAACGTGAAACTCACGACCTAGACTCGGTGACCCTTCTAATGTTCCCTCGGTGCCTGCACTGGGGATGTTGGCCGTTGAAGATTCTCTCCGGACGTGAGATCCTTTCGTCACGTCAGGTGCCCTGCCAGTGACGATACCCCTGATCAACCGGCGCATTCGTTTGCCTTCTTCTCGCTCCCTAGCCTGGTCCCAGCCGGTACCACTACTCGAGCACTCCTTTGCAAGCCGAGGGTATACTTGCTGGTGCATCATGCCAAAATTTCCTCTCCCTCCGTGACCACTACCCAATTCAAGGAAAACAGAACCACATATATTAAGGTATTTAAAAGTTTCTTGCCAATCATTCGAGAATTGGTTGTTGGCGAGCCAAAGCAAAACGCGGTCTATGGTCCACTCCTTGCCAGCATCACTTGGGGAAATTGGAGTATTTGAATTGTTGCTAGCGGAGTGTTGATGGTTGCTATTTTGGTTTGCGTTCAAGCCTCGATTTGACATTTGCGTGTTGAGAATAGTTGCTGTTGGGGGTCCAGGAGAATTGTACTCGGGCAAATGAATATTATTAAAGCGATTTACCGGCGTTTGTGACTGGTATGATCGCTCACGATCGTAGTAGCTGCCACCGTCATCTAATGGAGTAGTCAGGCCAGTATCCCCGGTATTTCTAGAGGCCCTGGAGCTACTGTCAGACGTTGCCGAAAACTCTGCACTATCACCACGATTGAAACTTGGCTCTTGTCTGCCAAATCCTGGGATGCCAACCCCTGGACCAAATGAATCACCGTGTGGTATATAAGTCGCCGACATCTGATGTTCGCTCGCAGGCGGCGGAGGTATAGCCAAAGGCGGAGGCTGGTGGCTAACATAGCTCTGTCCAGGATTGTATGCTTGGTGCTGAGTATTGGTAGGCGGGTTGGGAGGTGGGAGAGGAAAGCCTCTAGCATCATAGGATCGTACCCAACCTGCTTGCCAATTTGATACTGGTGGTGGGCCAGGCGGTGGAGGAATCATCACCCCGGGGTGCTGATGCGACTGAGGGGCTACATTTCGAGGAGGTGGTGGAGGGATTGACATCATGTGTTGCTGAGCCGGGGGAGACATCGGTGGAGGTGGTGGAATAACATATTGTCTCGGCGGATCCGGCCCACCTGGGTGCCGCTGTCCTGGTTGATACATGACAGGAGCACCTGGACCGGAGCGCGTTGAGGGTCGATAGGAATTATTCGCAGGGTATGAAGGAGACGGGAGGGGTTCTGCGGCAGCTGAACGCGCTCTTGGCCTCGATGTCGAGCTCGCCGAGGAAAGAATCGGGTACGGCGAGCCTATGCCATACAAAGGAATCAAGAGGTTCGATGAGCTACTGACGTTGTATTGTGGGACGTCGTTCAGGACCAGGTCTTCTGGCACTTGGAGGTCGGAGTGTGAGGTGTTTCTTAGTGATGCTGCGGGTGCTCTGTTTGCTGAGGAGGAGCGTGGCCGCGAGGTCATCGTAATGTGTGCATCTCGTCATGTAAGCTCGGATTGGAGGACTGCGATAAGTACCGCCTCCTTGCGCCCTTGAAGACAAAGACAGTCACCTGGCGAGGCTTGTTGAAACGGGGTGTCGCAGGTCGGAATCGAGAGGTCTACCGGTCCAGCAACAAACTCTGTCCCGATGGTAGGGCGATGTGGTAGAGAAGGGGATGGATCTGAGGGCATTCACAAGAAGTGTGCGGATTTCCGTGAGGTGGAAGGGCTGCTCGTCCGCCAGTGAGAGCTCGTTTCGAGAGCAGAAACCAACGTTGCACCAGCCACTCTCGTCCATGTCAGGGCCCTCTACGTGGCCAATGAAACAGCCTGCCTTAGCCGCCCTACACTAGTTTCGAATTATCAGTAGGCACAAGCCACAATTCAGCATTTCGTCTAGTCTCGTGCTTCACTGCATTCTTTGAAGCATTTCTCCCCACCAAAGTTTCTTCCCTTCTTCATCCACGAAGCCGCCTCAATATCCAGCAAGCACTTGGACACCCAATCGGTCCGTCGCGCCTAGATGCTTTGAAAACAGCTGCACAAGCATATGAGAAATGGTGTGTCGTCTTAGGTGGGCGGATATCAGAGCTTGAATCTGGAAAATAGTAACCGCCAAAAGTATTTGTGCTATTGGGGGTCCTCTTTCTTACATTGGTTTTCACAAGCACCAAGAGCTCTCAATTCACAAATTCCTCTTCAAACTGTTCCTATCATAGCTGACATCAGAACCTCGGCTCTGAATATCCCCGGCTCAAGAGCTCTCAACAATGATTCGCCTAGGGCTGAATCCGATCATGTAAGTCTTAAACTCCAAAGCATCTCCTAGATCTAAACATTGACATGCTACAGTTTTGTCATCAATAACGAGGGTTACACCATTGAAAGATTAATCCACGGCATATATGAGGTATACAACGACATTCAACTTTGGCACTTAAGGAACTTGTCAATGTTTTCGGTGCTAAGGAGGGAGAATCTAGAACTTACCAAGTCAAGGCGAAGGAGCAAACCAAGAAGCTGTTCGATGACAAGGAGTTCAACTTTGCGAATGATCTTCAATTTGTCGAGCTCTATGCCAAAGCAGGATATGCGAAGAGCGTTGATGTTGATCGCGGTTGCGAGTGCGAGGATCAATGCCAAACAATGATAATTGGAATCGAAGTTTGGAGTATGTGGAGGCTCCTAGATTAGAAAATTGGTAGAATCGTAATAGATATCAAGATCATGAAGAAAAATCCAAAAAGTTCCAGAGTCAAGCCCCCACGTAGTCTCGGAACCGTCAGCCTGGTAGCTAGAAAACGCTAGCGCTTCTAATTGGCCACAACAGAGTCCTCGCTTATTTCGCACCTTCTATTTTCTCGGACTCGATTTCGATATGAAGACTCATGATCATCCAGCATAAGTGGCCACCATGGCAGATTCGAATAAGCGCAAAGAAAGACCGGGCGGAAGTGGTCAAGACAAGAGAGGACTGAAGAGGAGTAAGGTGCGTTTTGTCCTCTTAATATTTCTCAACGAATTCCAGTGCTGGACGGCCCACAGATGTGGCCCGCGGCTTGAGATCCAGCCCGAAGTACAGTCGACACAGTTCAATGGGCAGCGCAATGAGTTTAAATGTTCCTCCTTGGACTCACTTTCATTTCAATTCCTTTTCTGTTTTGTGCGTCACGCTTGACTCAAATTAAATTTATTTTTCATGCGGCTGGGGATGATCAAAAGATGTGTTTGATATTATTATCTATGAAATCTACGAAAGTGAAACGATAGAGACGAGTCTGACCTCCGATTAGGGTGGATCAGGAGGCAAGTGGCAGACACCACACCAGAAAGTAAAAGAAGCTTCTCGTGGAAACGGCAAGATTGAGCCTGGTGATGCCGGTATATGGGCGACATGCGCAAGAAATCAAGAGGGAAAGGCGACTGGGGAGCTCAAGATTATGCTTGAGGAAGTAGGTTACTTCTCCTACAGGCCTTCTGCACAAGACTAATATCGTTCAGTGCGCGGAGAGGTTCTATGGTATTGTGTCGAGGTCAGAGGAGCAAGAAGATGAGGAGGATGAGTCGATGGACGACATTGAGTCCTCAATTCAAAGGGAAGTGGCTTCCCTGGGCAAGAAGCAAAACCACGCCAAGCTCATTGCTCCAGTTCGCCTAGACCTGCAATGCGTCTTATTCTTCAAAATCAGACCACCAATTGAACCAGTTGATTTTGTGCATAGGATATGCAAGGAGGTAGTATCTACACCGAGCATCAGACGGATGAAGTACATCAACCGATTGACACCGATGACCTTGATGGGCAAAGCGACGGAGAAAGGGCTCGAAGAAGTAGGGAGAGTTGTCCTCGGTCAGCACTTCAATCTTCGAGAGGACCAAGAAAATACTATGGAGGATGAGGGCCATGAAGGAAGAAAAGTGGAATTACAGAAGATCCCCAATCATTCTGTAAGTGTGGTGACTTTCAGGTTGACCGCGCCTCTCGCCTCGTTTTGTTGGCAGGTGGCAGGCCCCAAGATCGAAATGGGAAAGTATTGACGATTCAGGACTGATATTTGTCACAGTACGCAATTCGGCCGACTACTCGCAATCACACTGCCCCCCTGAAAAGAGACGGTATAATCAAGCAAATTGCGAATCTAATATCAGATGAGCATAAAGTTGATCTCACCAGCCCTGAAAAAGTCATCATTGTCGAAATATATCAGGTATGATATCCCTCACCGAGATTTGCATAGCCAGCGACGGATCTTCACAGATTATAAGACGTGGCATGTGAAAAGCTCGCCTACTGATACTCAATATAGACTGTCTGTGGAGTGAGCGTTGTAGAAAGCGATTGGGAGTCGCTGAAGCGTTTCAACCTCGCCGAATTGTATTCGAGTCAACGTACACCGAAAGCCGCGGCAGCGTTAGCGTCAGCGTCAGACGGTGCTAAACTATAAAACGTAATGGTAGACGAGGCTGCTGCCGTTGCTGCGCCTTCTGTCGCTTCCTGAAACGTGGAATCGTGAAGGGCAAAGACATTGCCGTCTAGAATTTGCTTTTTCTATGACCTGAAGAATCATGCGTGCAGATTTAAGCGGGAACAAGCGCATGGACAGCCTCACTTCTGGTTCAAACTTTACCTTGAAGAATGACAGTGCGCCACAAATACTGTTGAGATTTCCCACCGATCTTCGCATTGGTTTGGAGAAGTAAAGAGCAGAGTAATAGTGATCCAAAAGGGACCAGGTGTTCCAGCCTGAATGCTCAACCAACACATGATATACGGCGAAATGTGTATTGCTGCAGAAAGGTGTTATCAAATACCTACGACAGACCGCAAGCTTTTCAACCCTGTGGAGGTGGAGGGGCGACCGTCCTGGCTTTCCTACTCTCCGAGGCGCCAATGCAGCCGTGCCTGACAGTTCGTATAGACATTGTGAGACAGATATCCAATCGAGATTATTGGCCGGAAGGAAAAACCACTCTTTGGGGTCCGCAATACTGAGGACCGAAGAATCATCTCGGTGACTGCTGAAAGTGTAGCCTACGTCTTGTGCGAACACGCAATCTTTCCAAAAGCTCCAACCCCAAAATTTGATCCAATGATCAGTCCAGGCCTGACCCGCCCAGCGTCTCATGCGGCATGCCCACTTTTCAAAGGAGATGTTGCAGCTTTCTCGTGAAATTACCTGTTTCCACTGCTTCGAATGTTACATGAGGCTTCATCCGAGTATGTAGCCTCGCTAAAAGGCTTCCTTCGTCCCAATCGGGGATTTTTGGTGATCGGTGCGTCTAACCATATCGGCCCAAAATTAACGAACCCATCCCTTATCCCGGGTTCCAGGGAGTCCAGACGAGGGGCAGATCCGGGGGTACCGGATTGATTGCTTGTGCTTGGTACTTATGGTAGGCGTGTACGTGAGTATCACCCTGCACCAAGACATGGAAGGAAAGGGCTGATTAGATTAAATGTGAATATGCTGTTGAATGCTCTTCCACATCCAAGCTACGACGAACCGGAGTCCTGTATGCGGCTTATCTGGTGTTGTATAATTTGCTGTATTGACGCGGTGATTTGCGGTGAAGCTTCCAGCTCCAATGGCCGAGCGGTTCTTACTCTCCAGCGTGCTATGTAGACGAGCTTTTGATGGACGACTGCAAAGAACAAGCACGAATTATTGCATCTCCGCGGGGCATATTGAGATCCATCTGCATACGGTACAGCGTTGTGCTACTCGCTCGGGCTTGTACGAATCTATTAACCAACCAAAGTACCTACCATGCCGTAACCTTATTCGATGGAGGCTGAGACGAAGCCCTGAAGAGAAGCCACTTTCCCGACTCCACGCAACTCTGTGCAATCACTCTTCAGGGACGCAGAAGCTGCTGTGCGAAGGATTGGCATGCTATTTCGAAGCCCTCCAGCTCGTCCGCATTGCCATTCTGGTCACCTCGCTCATCTCGGCCCACCGCGTCCAGACCTCGCCAACTGACACACCCGCTCCTTTTGATGGTCCCGCACGAACTTCCACCGCCATTCCATGCATGACGGAGGCGCCTCCCATGCACGTTCGCTTAGTACCGTCCACTAGGAGATTTCTCGACTCGCTTCACCATGTTTCCTCCAACCCAGCCCGTCCAGCATCTACGCAACTGCATGTCTTCATCCCACCAAAACAGCCACCGGAAGCATTCTTCCAATACCCTCATGCACAAAATGCATGCCAAATCGCTTTACTCCCCTCACCCCCCCAAAAGAGGTAGTCTCGGCAACTCGTCGCCGACTCAAACCTCTGTCAAGCGCCCACGCGCCTCGGGAAGTCGCCAAACCAATATTACAAGCAGAAGAGGAAATATAATTCTTATGACCTAGGTGGCTTTTCACCTGGCTGAAGACTTCTCCAGCTCCCGTTCCACCTGGCCAATCGGTCTTACTTTTTCACTGCAATAAATAATGGCACCGAGTCTTCCTGGAACTGCGCACCAACTCGGCCGCGTTGCATCTATTCGTATGTTCCCTCACATGTGCCGGGGTTGCAGCCTTACAGCTTCTGGCATCGTTGATAGGGCGCCTGTCTCCCTCCTTTTCAAGGTATCCAGCTCCTTCTACATGTGTTCCCTTCATGAAGGCGCGCACCATCCTTTCCTCAGGCACTTGTTCAGCACCAACGTGACCACAATTATGCCCACTCTATTCTGTCCTATTGCCAGGATCCTTGCATCATCCACTGCTCGGGGATAACCCATGACCCAGGAAATGAGGGAATCTTTCAGTCTTCGGGGATACAATAAAAGCAACCAAGTGAACTGACACCCAAGATTTGCCCAGGAAATATTCTTCCACAGATATTGAACAGTTTCGTTATATCTCACAGCTCGCTATCAAGCCTCTATTTAGACTTTGGACTTTCACCTTCCATTCTCACGCCTGCGGCGCGTTACTGTCCCGTCCGCCATGTCGTCCTCCAGAACTGCAATTCCGCCACACCAGCATCTGACATCTCTTATGTATGCTTTACCTGTTCGCCGGCTCAAAGAGATCCTCAGCCATGTTTTCCCAGACGAAACACTGGGCCCAGTCGAAGAGCTGAAAACCACCCAGCTTTCAAGACTATACTCTCTCACAATGTCTGACGATCGAAAGCTGATGTTGTCGTTTGCACCGAGCCTTTCCGTCCATCTCCTACGGCATGAGGCCGCCATTTTGTCTTCAGAGGCAAAACTAGCTTACTTTGTAACGGAATCAGACCAAAGACTTGAATCGCAGGAGCCGAATTTAACAGAGGCCGACCAAGTACCAAAACATGCAGGACTCTCTGCATTGATCCCCAAGTTATTGAAGCACTCGCCGAATAATCGGGAAATGGCATACCCGTACAGCATCTTCGAACTCACAACAGGCGTCCCTCTTTCCACGGTTGCAATTTATCTCAGTCTTCCTGAGCGCCGCCTCATCGATAAGCAAATTGGCCTCATGGCTCGAGCACTTGCTTCTTTCATATCTCCTTCTGGTGGATTTGGCAGTGTGAACCGTGTCCTTCCAGTTCCTTTTATGAAGCCTGCGCCGACTTCAACAGCTCTCGAAACAATGGGCTCGATGTCATGGTCCGACGCATTTCATGGTCTCTTAGAAGGGGTTCTAAGAGATGGGGAAGATAAGGCCGTCTTATTGCCTTATGAAGTTATCAGAGCCCACTATAAGCGCTTGTCGTATCATCTAGACTCTGTCTTGGTACCCCGGCTACTTGTTCTCGATATTGGTAATGACAGGAATGTCATGGTGGAACGAGGCTTGGATGAAGAGGGTTCACTGCAGCCTTCAGCAGAAGGTGTGAGGTTGGCAGGACTTAGAAGTTGGAGCCAAGGTATCTTCGGGGATGCCTTGTTGGCGGATTGCTTTGATGATCCCAGTGAGGTTTGTCTGGAAGGTTGGCGAGAAGGCGGAGAGGATATCATCGAGGACGAAGACAACGCGCGAGTCAGAATGCTTTTATATCGATGCTTCAGAGCCGTGGTCACCATTGTGACGGAGTATTATCGGCCTCAAAGCGACAGTAGTCGGAGAGAGCTCGAAGGCCGAAGGAAGTTGACAAGTGCCTTGGGAGAGATAGAGAAACTTGGAACCACAGTCAGCGACACTCCGAAGAGGCGAAGAAGCGTTGCCGACGATGTTGGTCCCAAAAGGCAAAGGCCGAGACTTGAGAGTATGTCCATATCATCATAGCGTGGCGTTTGGAATCGACCAATAGACTAGATATCCCAGAAGCATTGAGTGACATAATTCCTTTCATCTTCCCAACCTTTATTTATACTGCGTGGTGGACTCCGAGTCGCCTTCGTCTCGGGGAAGCCGCATTCCCATCAATCCTAGAAGGTTGCTGCCAGGTCCAGCCGCACCCGCCTGGGCTTTAAAGCTTTCAAGCAGATTCTTCGCCAAGTTGAAGTCTATGTCAATCTCCTCACCATCACTCTCGTCATCCAAGTCCCCATCCTTCGAAGATTTCTCTGCTTTGGCTTTGCCCTTGAGTGCTGAGAGCTTGCTAGGTGTGGGGTCAAGATTCAGGGCACCGGCTTCATTTAGCTCAGCCTCCAGTTTTTCCATGACTTCTCTCATCTCGCTGGCCCCGTCAGCCCCATCTCCCTCGTCGCTACTTTTAATCTCTTCTATCCTGTGCCCTTTGCTGGTTGGTGCAGTTGCACTTGCTGAGGGGCTATCAACCACTTCGTCTGGTTCTTCAGAAGGCATCCCCATCATCTCCCTCATCATCCTGGCAAACTCCTTCTCATCGAAACTGACATCTTTATCTTCATCCTCACTGTCGTCGTCTATGTCTTCGCTGTCGTCGTCGTCATCATCATCGATGTCCATATCATCCATCTCTGCTCCATCAATACCAGCATCTTCGTCGTTGAGGAAGGACTCAAAACGCTCCACCATCTTTCTGAGATCGGCTTGCGTTTTGGCGTCGCCAAAACCAGAAGGCGGTTCCGGTCCAAAGACAGCGGGTGTACTCGACTTTTGTTTTCCTTCACCGTCAAGTTCGCGCTCGAAATCTACAAAGTTGATATCCATCCAAGATTCGTCATCCTCTCTGCTTCCTTCTTTCCATCCTGCAATCTCTTCGTCTGTTGGTAGAGCCAAAGAGTCATCAGTAGCCAAGTCTTCCAACAAGATTTTCGCTTCGCGGACAGTTCGGTTGTCTCCATACTTAGGGTCTGCAAACAGCATCTCGAATCCTGAAGTGACTTTCATGCCCATTTCTAACATATCATACCTCTTTGGACCAAGAGTACCAGTACCCTCAACAGTATCGACCTTTGATAGTGTGTCTACCCAGGCGATTGGGGTCGAGAACTGTTGCGATTTAAGTTGTGCATACAGGACTTTCGTGAATCGTGTCGAAACCGCAACTAGGTCCCGAATAGGAAAAATCAGGTCCGAGTCTTTCCTTTGAAGTGTTTTGAGTGCAATTGGGTCGCGAAGATAGAAAGCTTCTACAGCTGGTGCTATGGAGACCGGGCGAGCATGTAGGACATATGCAAGTTTTCTTGGCATCAGAATGACAGCATGGTGCAGTGTGGTGTTGATCTGAGCTGGGTAGTTTCGAAGCCTGTAAAACGCTTCTTCTTCAATAAGGGGGGAACGGATAAGGCTGTCTGGCGTCGACGTAATGGCGTCATGGGCTTCTTCGAGTTTTAGTGCTCGGGGGGCTGGAGCAGTCTTAGGACCAGAGTGTGAATCTGCACTGAGAGGTATAATGCGGAGTGCATTATTGTGAATCCAAATCTACCATGGTCAGCCATCTTTATTTTTATGGCCAAATAGATCGTACTTACTCTGTTGTCCGCAATTTCCGGGGTCAGCCATCGAGGCAAGGCATTTGCAGCCTCAACTAACAAGAATTCGCCGTCTGTGTCCACAACTTTGATCCACAACTGTGGAAATCGGTTGCTTAACTCTCTGAGGATATATACAATGAGCCACTCGTCCTCGACCGAGTCTCCATAATTTGTAAGACCATAAAGGTACATCTTCCCTAGAGAGCAGTCAGTGCTTGCCAATATGGCTTTGGTGGTATTAACGTGCCCTTTCCACTTTTGAGATCTAATTTAAAGCTCTCCCGCTGCCATATATACTCCTTCAAAAGACTATCTGTTAGTTTCAAGGCCTCCTTCTTTACGGCTTCCAATTGTCCAAGAATATCCTTCGGCGACTTCAACTTCGAGCTGATGACATAGAGACAATATTCGACGCAGTCATCAGGTAAATGTTTCGGGAATCCAGTAAAACCATCTTCGAATCCCTTGAAATCTTCGTTTGGACCTTCCATTTTGACAAGCGTTAAGGTTTGGTGAGAAAGAGGAATGGTGGGGGGAAGGCTGAGATCATTTTTCGTTTGGAGGCTCGACTTTGGGAGCTTGGGCCACTTTTGCAAGGGTATTTGCGCTACTCTCGAAATGGAAGGAACGTCAACACAACTTCGAAAATCGCGTCCCAAAGCCTAGCCACGACCGCGACCAACGATCAATATTGCATTTGCTTTGGAGTTAATGGCTACCATTGGGCTTTTTGCATATTCTCGACATTGATCCATTGCTATTTTCATTTTTTCATTTGAGCTGTAAAGGCTCAGCCAGCTTTCAAGATGGTAGAAGCAGGAGTTGGTCTCGACACTCCCCGAACCAACGTTGGGGATGTGACATACCTTTCTCGAGGACTTGACTTCGATATCACACAAGAACCGTCTTTCCAGTCACCTTCGAAAGACAACAACAACCTCGTTCAGCAGTTACAAAATGGCCGACGCGGTCCCATCCGAACGCCTCGAAGTCGCGTTGCCCTCACCGACAGACGAAACCTTCCAGCAGGACTGAGCAGTGGAGAATTCACGCCATTGCTCAAAAGTGCCACCAGGAATAGCGCTCTGCGAAGTGGAAAGGAGAATGTGCCTCAAACGCCCGCGTTTGGTGTCCTAGACAACATCCCCGAAGACTTCAGTCCACTGCCGCAAGGCAGTTCGGTTTATGGCGATTCACGAAATGGCTCTTATATGGCAGGCACTCCAATGCCACAAATAGACAGCAGTAGCACAGCTTCCACGCCAATGGCTCTTCTGTCTCGACGAAGCGACGGGCCTGGAGTTTTGCAAGATGGTAACCAGATGTCATTACGAGAGCAGGAAAATGTCATTGATAAGATTGAGAAGGAGAATTTTGGCCTGAAGCTGAAGATACATTTCTTGGAGGAAGCGTTACGGAAGGCAGGTCCAGGATTCAGTGAAGCAGCCCTGAAGGAAAATACGGAACTCAAAGTCGACAAAGTCACAATGCAGAAAGAACTTTATCGATACCGAAAAACACTTACTGCCGCTGAACGGGAGCTGGAAATTTATCGACAACAACTATTGGAGATGCAAGAAAAAGTAAAGCGGAAACACCTGGATGCAGGCCAGCGGGAGGAATTGGACCGTCTTCACCAAGCTCTCGAGGAAAAAGAAGCCGAAGTTAATGAGTTAAAAGGTCAAGAAAGCCATTTCGAAGACCTTCAAGACAAAATACAAGACTTGGAAGCGGAAATACGACAAAAGGACAGGTCACTTGACGATCGTGATGACGAAGTCGAGAATCTGAAGGAGGAGGTTGAGAAACATGCCGGGACTATCTCACATTTGGAAGAGACTGTGAAGGCTGCTCAACGCCAAGCCATCGAACTCGAGGAACAAGCTCAGGCCGGTCAAGAACTCGAGGATGCCAAGGAGACCATTGAGGTGTTAGAGCAGAGTCTGAAGCGTCTGAAGGAAGAAGTAGAAGAAGCAAAAGAGGACCGTCAAGAAGCCACGAGGGACAAAGAGCGCGCCGAGGCGGACCTCGAGGAGCTGCATGATGAGATGGCCAATAAATCAATTACGACCAAAAATCTCGCTCGCCAGATTGAAGAGAAAGCCAACCGGCTCCAGGACGAACTCGAGGATCTTCGAGAGAGGCATGGTGTTCTTGAAGATAAGCATTCTAACAAAACACGCGATATCAAGAAGCTAGAAGATAAGATCGAGGATTTCAAGCGAGATGCAGAAGTTCGAGAGCAAACGTTGAAGGACAGGCTCGAAGTCGTGCAAAACGAAAAGGATGTCTCGGTCCGTGAACGGGATTCTCTATCAAAACGATTCGAAACAATCCAGAAAGAGCTTCAACAGACCTCTGACCAGAAGAACATCCTCCAAATACGCCACGACTCACTCACAACAGAATCTGCTGGTCTCCAGAGGGAGCTTGCCAAGTCCCAGAAAGCCATCGAGGATCTTGAAGACAGGCTGGATCACGAGAAAACACTGGCCCTCAACAACGAGAGAGAGGTGAGGGACGAATACAAGGGTGAGATTGATCGTCTCAATGACGAGATTGAAGATTTTCGTGCGGAACTTCGAGAAAAAGACCGGTTGTACGAAGACGACAACGACAAATGGGACAACGAACGCCGAACTATCGAGTCTCAAAAAGACATCGCCGAAGAGAAGGCTGCGGGCTTGCAACAAACTATCGATAGACTGCAGGAGGCCGAGGGTTCCCTGTCAAGCAAGGAAACTAAACTTCAGCAAGCACTTAAGATTGAGAAAGAACGACATGAGAGCCTAGAAGCCGCGCTGACTCGACAAATCAACGAGCTCAATGACGACCTGGAAGGCCTACAAAACGCCCTTGATGAAGTGCGATCTGAATTGGCAGAGGTCAAGGAGGAACGACGCCTGAGCCAACGAGAACAAAAGTCTCTATGCGAAAAGGTTGAAGGCTTGGAGGATGAAGTGGAAATTTTACAGACGAGTCTCGATGATGAGAGCGAACAAGCCAACAGAGAGATTACCGCCGCCAAACAAGAATCCGAGAGTCTTCGCAGACAATTGCAAGTCTTGAAGCAAGATCTGGCCAAAGCAGATGCGACAATTGCTGGTGCTCAAGCTCAGATTGAGGCATTCCAATCCGATTTACACGCAGGGAAAGGCAATCAAGACCAACTCGGTACAAGACTAAGGGACGCTGAAACACAGCTTTCCAAAGTCAGAACAGAGAAGCAAAGTTTACAAGATCAGCTTGCTGCAGTCAACATCGAAGTCCACTCACTCCGAACCTCCAAGGCCAGTATTGAGGCTGAACGTGACGAAATGGATTGTCATCTTAAGGCAATGAAACAGCAAGAGGAAGAGACATTCCGCCTTGACCAAGAACGAATGGATTTGCGAACGGCAAAGATGAAGCTCGATGGGGAAGTTCGCCGGCTCCGGGAAGAAAACAAAATCTCCATTGCTCAACAACAAGCCGTCGAAAAGGAGTTGCAACAAGAGATTGACCGGGCCAGTGGGGAAGAAGCTCGTCTAAACGGCGAAATTCATGATCTACAGAAGATCCTGAGAGGCTCATCCGAGAAACGGGAACTGGTCGCAGCAAAAAAGACAATTCTACGCCTCGAAGCACGAGTTCAGGAGCTGGAAACACAAATCGCCAGTGGTGAAGACCAAATTGATTCGTCACATGAGATTTCGATCATTCGCCGTGACCTCAATGCCGCCCGCCAGAAGGAAACCGAATACCTCCAACGTGAGGCAGCCCAAAAAGACATCCTCCGCGGTCTGAAGCGCCAAATTACGGATCTTGAACGAAAGGCTCATGATGCCGAAATATCACGCTTTGTATCTAATTCACCTCATTCCTCTATCAGCGGAACTGCCCACAAATCGGAATTGATCGAAGTTCGTGCCCAACTTGCAACAGCACATCAGACGCTCAAGGGCGTTCGAAGCCAACTAAAGGATGTCGAAAAGGAAGCAGCTCGAAAGGTCAATGCCGCTAACCTTGACGTCCAGGCTCGGACAGCGACTTGGGAGTCCGAGAAAGATGAATTGGAGCGTAACCTGGACGAAGCACTCTCTGCGAAGGATGAGCTTGCTTCTAGGAATGCGGCATCTGAAGTAACAATCACTAGGCTCCGAGGAAAGATCGACCGCCTCGAAAAAGCGCTCCAAGCTGAACGCCTCAACAGTGGAGAGGACCGTACTATGGCCCTTGAACGCCGGGACCTCCATGAGATGCTCCGCGAGACACAATTACAGGCCGAATCACTTGAAATTGTCATACAAGAGCGAGAAAACAAAATTGCGGCTATCACGGCTGCAGAGGCGGAACTTCGCGCTCAGCTCAAGAGAGTGCGTAATGAACGATCTCTGCACCGATCTAAAGCTATATCTGCTCATGAACAACTTCAGGATCTGGAGCGCAGATATCGAAAGACCAGAGAGAGCTGGGAGGCGGAAAAGAAAAATCTCACTCGAGGAGTAAGATTTGTCAACACGTCTTTGTCAGTTAACGATGAGTCCGAGATGTTGGCGCTAAGGAAGGAAGCCGAAGAGCGTGAACATCATCATGCGAAAGAAATGCGAGGAATGGCATTGATGATTGAATGGCTACGGGCCAAATGCAAGAGAGAGGAGGACTTCCGGGCCGTTGCAGCTCACGGCAAGAAGTATATGCAGTTGCGGATCGACCTGTTTGAAGCTTGGTACGTTGTTTCCCCTCCGTGAATTTATCAGGTGCTAACTTTAGTCCCCCAACAGTAACAAAGCGGATCTCGAATTGTTGAAGTCAACAGGCATCAAGCTTGATCCAAAGCCTCCAAAGAAGCGCCCGAACAGATTCCGCTCTGTGGTATGGATGATCCGGGCGTCAGTGAGGATGAAGAAACGTGCTGCAGATTGGGCCGAGAGCCGCGCTATCCATGATGCGATTGAGGCACAACGTGAGCGGCAGAGACTTCAGGCAAGGAAAAGTATCACTAGCGGGTGATGATTCGTGACTTTTGTTGGAGTTTATTGTGATTTGGTCTCGTGATTAAGGAATGGTGTTGGAGTAGGGTGCGAGCATGGCATGGGATGGGCATTCAAGTCAGGCTGGGGTCACTTATCGCTTCTTGTAAAGGGGCATTAACTAGGTGGAATATATCCATTCTTTTTCGAAAGGCATCATGGAAATTACAGACATAAAGCCGTGACCCGAGTTCCCAACCATGTATCCTGGCATGAAAATTCTTGTTGTGCTTTTCCCTTTATGCACACACACTGTGACGCCGAGTGCCGTTCCCGTAAACGTGAATGGAATTTATTTACATGACAAACAGAAGGTTAGTGTCTTCAAGATGGCTGTTAGTCATGCGGTGGGACGAAGATAGGGGAGATGGCTTACTCAAGGGATGGCTGCAGCTGAGCTGTGGCTTCTGTGTATATTTCGTGGCAAGCTCGTCTCGAATGCTGTTAAGCAGCTGGACGTAGCTCTGCTGGGGGTTCTTCTTCAGGGCGTTGATGAACGCCCATGACATGGCACCAGTAGCCTGTGCCGCGATGGTTGCATCGGCCCTGTGAGACAATCGTTAGCACCTGTGACAAAGAGGAAACCATATCAGAGAGTAAGCCCCAAACATAAAGGAATGTCGTGGGTCAGGTGACCCAACGTGACTCGCAGCCCTTAGCCTACGCCTCAGCCGTACTTGGCCAACGGCATAGAGCTCAGGGCTTTGGTGTTATAATAATTACAAAAAAAGGAGCAAAAGAAGCTAGTTGTACAGAAGTCAGGGGCTTGCCCTGTAACGCAAATGGTATCCAGACGCCATCGCTAAACACCCAGAAAACGCCTATATCCATCGTTTTTTTTTGCCTGCCTGCCGTTTCCCCATATTCACAGAATCCCATATTACTATGCACGGCACGGTAGGAAAGGATATACTAACGATGTCTGATCATCTTTGCTCCCCGACCACATCACCACATCAGCGGGTGACGTCTTTGTCGCCATCGTCTTATTATAGGCGTCATCACCGCCGGTTGCTTTCTTGAAGAAACCCATCAAGTTGTTGGCAACACCCCCAAGATCACCTTGACTGTAAGATGAAATAACACCGAGGAGACCTTGTCCAGCCTCCTTGGCAAGATTGGGCTCCTTGAGGATCCCTTGCGTTGAGTAAATGTATGGCAAATCGAGAGCTGTTCCAGAATGGCAAGAATCGAAGATGGCAGTCAACCTCACACCAGGCTGGAGAGGCATGACCATGATTCTGTGCATCTCGTCGTCGACAATGTGACCAACTTGTCGAAAGTCGACAGGGTAGATGACTTCATCATACCCATCCTCCTCGTCACCATCAAGGTCTTTAGTCTGACCACCGTGACCTGCGTCCCGTCAGCAGCTTTAAGACAGACTGAGAATATACAACCCACCTGAATAATGGAAGAACAGTGAGTCGTTCGGCCGAGCGTCCTTCACCAGCCAGTGCATCGCCCGTAATATGTTTTGTTTTGTCGGCTGGCTCATCGGGTTTTGTTGATCATCGGTGAGGATAACCATGTCGTCTCGTTGGTAGCCAAAATTGTCGTGCAAGAATGCCGACATGTTCTTGACATCATTTATGCAACCACGAAGTTGTCCCCTCTGTCCGAAATAGTTTATTCCGATCAGCAGAGCCTTCCGCCGTCCCGTACAATTCGAGTATTGAAAAGCATAGCCTTGAGGTGCACCACCTCCGAAACTCTGCATCGATGATGGGGGAGGAGGAGGAGCATTCGAATTGCCATTGACATAGCCGTTCGAGTTCACCGATGGCATTCCTGGAAGAGTGGGTCAGCAGACGAACGTATATCACTGACTGAATCAACTTCTTACCGGGTCTTCCATACTGAGGCTGGTTTGGTGGCACGCCGTTGTATCCACCGTATTGCTGTGGAGGAGGCTACAAGAATAATATGAGTCGAGTCGCGGCTCGTGCGGGTTGAGAAACTCACCTGAGCGTAGCCGTAAGGCTGTTGGTGTGGGGGAGGCTGTTGGTAGCCATATCCTCCCTGTGTTGGGGGTGGGCCGTAATTCTGAGGTCTGCAAATAAGTCAACACTGATACCCGAGAAGAGAGCGCCTCGAATCCTACGGAGAGTAGTAGTTTGGCTGGGGCGGGTACTGCTGTGGTGGTGGACCTCCATATCCTCCGTGGTATCCAGATCCAGGATAGCCCGACATTTCTGCTCGTCGATGTTATCGAGGAGAAGTAACCAAGTACTTCAGGTGATTGCTTGGTGTCGGCCAAACGCCAAAAGGCGCTCCCGAACGTTAAGATTGAGTCTCGCTGTGAGGCTCGGAACTGTCTGATCCAACTCTGGTCCTGAGACGAGCCCGGAGACGTGGGACGAGGGCGGGATCTTTATAGATGGACGGGGAGGTGGAGGAGGTGATCTAACTTTCCGGGAAGACAAGACGTGGGGCAGGTCGGCTGGAAGAGGGTCCAGCAGTGTAGGGAGAGAGACGATCTAGGGCAGGGGAGGCGGGTTCGAGTTGGAGTTGGAGCCAGATAGATGTGGATGCGGATGCGGATATGGATGACGATGCGCGTGCGATTGCTTTTCCAGATAGGCGGTCAGCTGGGAGGGTGGTGGCGGGTATCCCAAAACAGCAGAGCTGAAGCTTTGAGATGGATGAGAGAGCAGGGTAGAGCAGGGCTGGACTGGGCTGGGCTGCGACGCGTACAGAGAGCAGAAAGCAGAGAGGAAGAAAGCCGCCAAGAGTTGTCTTGTTGAGGGGTGCTGGTGCTGGTGCACTGTGTTGAAAGAGGGTTTGGGTAAGGGCGGGACGAGGGGACGGGGGGGGAGCGGCTGATGGACCTCGCTTGGGCAGTTGAGAACGGGCAGCGCCACGATTCGGCCCTCGAGTCGCGTCGAGTTGAGTTTGGCCTGTTGTTATTCACCCCCAAACCGTCAACCCTGCGATGCTGCGATGCTGTGCTGCTGCCGATTCCACATGCTGCGAATCACTGGCCAGCCACGGCATTCGCCCCCGCCCAGCCCGAGTCCAGACCCGCATGCACATTCCACCGGCTCCGGCTGCCAACCCGTCCCTGGTGGTGCCCCTCCTTTCTTTGTTTTCTCAAAAGGGCCCCCCTGCCAAACATCCAGGATGGCGATCAGCTATATCAGTTCCAGGGCGCTGGGTCCGCCAAGCAGTGGCAGAAGGTTTGACGAAAGCTCATGATCTACGGCTCTGGAGCTGCAGCAAGGCCATCAAACTCTGTTCTAGTGTTCTACGCATTCCTAGCACAGTACCTCTGAGACAGCCGCAATAGCTTCAATCTCAATCCTAGACTGTCCCTCGGGGAGCTAGTGCTCGAGTCAAGGCCTCAAGGAGCATCGTCAAGCATCTCAATCGCCAAATACGCGAGTTTTCGAGCCGCTTCATCAACCCATCCGGAGCAACCGTCAACCTGAGGATACTAGCGAGCTTCTGGCCTTGTTGCATCATGTTAGGTTGGGGGCTTGGAGTATGCAGGACTAGCCGTGATCGGGAGCTTAGAAGCCCCGGCAGCTCAGATCGAAAGTCATCAATCCTTTCTAACGGCCGCAAGGAAGCCCGTGTGGCATCAGGTTTGCATTGGCGGGCCTTGTGAGTCTCAGGGTGCGAAGAGCTATCACGATATCGATGTTCCACGGGCGTCTTAACGCCACCGTCTCCGGCGCAGCTTTCCAGGTGCCCGAACTCGCTCGTCCGGACGGCTTGGGTGGACAATGGGACGGTTGCCATGCTGGCAGCAGTCCGCCATTCGCAAGTCAATCAACCCACTGGGAGAAGGACGAATTGGGGAGGTGGAACCGTAGGATGAAATGTCCGCGTCAATAATGAAGCTCGACGGACGTTGAAACACGCAGCCTTGAGGCCTCTGGGTGGAGAGGTGAAGGCTCCCCGGGGATCACCGTTCGCGTGGCGCTTCGTGGCTTGCGTGGTCGAGCGTGCAGCGAATTGCATGCGGCCGGCTAACCTCACGCACCTCACGCAAGCATATGGAACCACGAGTGCCACGCAAGGCAAGCCACAGCCGCTATTCCGTATCGGGAGTTTATGTACGACAAACCTCTCAGCACTCGTCCAGATTAACTTTCTGCACCCGTTTACTGGATGCCCTCAGCCTTCCCATGTGTCGAGCCACATCGCGACTCACCGCGTTTGCAACGCCGAGAAGCCCCTTTTGCGACCCCTCGCCGAATGGGAAGCTTCAACGGGACGGTAAGGCATGGAACTGCCCCGTTCCCGTTTCCCCACGTCAAGCACTGGCCCTCCACGGAACAACGCGTCTCGGGGACCACATCTCTGGATGAGCCCTCACCTCCCTCGCCTTGGTGGAAGATCCTGCCATGGCCCCCATGCCTCTGCCACAATTCGCGTCTTTCATCACTGCCGCGCTCCTTGAAGGCCAATGGAGGACACGCCGGTGCCTCAGCCATCTAGAGAAGCCACGAGGCTGGATCCGCTCTCCATCTTGAACCTCTGGGTTACATTAGGAGAATAGGACCGAGGACCGAGGACCAATTCTTACACTTACATGGTTGATCTGCTGTCACCCTTCTCGTCTCCAATAAAACAATGGATCCCTCCACCGCCAGATTTGCTTCGCGACACCAGAGATCTCTCACCTCGCAGCCTTGCAAGATTGTGTGGCTATGCGGGACCTCTCATCCACACAGAACTCTCTGAAATGTCAGTTACTCCGGCTACTTCCCATCAGCTCGCCTCTCGCAAGCCCAGTTTGCACCAATGGGGAGACCGATGCCACTTCGCCATGAGCCATCTGTGGCTCAAACTGGCAGCTGCACGGATCACCGAGGATCCGCATCTCCCTTCCCCTTGCAGATTCGATCACTGGGAGAAAAGCCTCTCAGCCTTATCCTTGTGCGGCTGGGTTGAAAATAACTACCAATAACCTTTTTAGGCATGGCAGGAACAGCCTCCCGAAACATTATGCTTAATTCAAGTCAAGCCTCTTGCTGTCAACAGTGCAGTCATCCTTCGGCTTGAGCCAATGATGTAATGCAGACCCACAGTCTTTAGATAATTGGGCGTACCATCAGGTATGGATGTCTCTCAATATTACTTCTCAACCTTTCATTTGCATCGAGTCCCCATTAATTCAATAATAGCATCCTCCAATGACTAGAGGCAATCGAAGAGACTATCTGTTCGATTGGCTTGGTGTGAGGGACTACCGAAGCTAGCAGCTCCATATTTCACATTGCTGCCCCTTTTTTCAGGGGCAACTTGTCACAGTCAGCTTTGAAAGATTTTCAGCCCTGTAAGCACTTTGTTAAGCTGCCAATGATCGGCATCATAAACGGTCATTTCTCCTGCGTGTCTCACCACCCATACAAGCAGACAGGGTAAAGAGAAATGATACCCCAACGCGGCGCATGAATATCCTCTTCATACATTGCGAACAGGCTTCGTGATCCTTCAATGCTCACATTCGTATTCTAAGTTTAGAGCCCAAGACGGACTGTCGGTCATTGGATCAAGTGAAAGGATCCAGTCTGTCCTTATTTCAAAAAGACTGCCGATGGAGAATCACCTATTTTCCTGTGCTGCTCATGAGCAAATTTTTTCTGCAGTACATCGCATAGAGTATCGTAAGAGCACCCCTCAATGTTTTGCGTACACCTACCTATATCAAAATCTCCTACAGAACTTCGTACATTCCGAAATCTCTAGCTCAAGGCTAAGAATTTGAATGTATAACACCACAAGGGGCATTTAAATAGCAGGCCTTGATGAATGTACCAGAACCTCTCCTACATTGATATAATCTGGAACTGTGTTGTACGCACAGTACTGGCAGCTGCTCTTACCTAGTGGTCTAGAACTTCAAGAATCGGTTATACCACTGCAATCCCTCGAGAGTCACGCACTGGGGTCATTGTGCAACCGGTAACCTACCATTTTCGTATTACCGTCAGCCATTGAACCAAAATTCTCAGGCCACAATGAGGAATCTAGATTGTATGAGCCATGGAAGTTTCTCTTGCAAAATTCTCCACTACATTGTGATTTAGGATTCATGAGTGTTTTCTCGTGTTTGGACCTTCCGAACACCGTCTCTCGTTCCAATTGTGCTGGTTGTGCTCTCGTAACAAATTGCGTGCCCTAATGCTTCAAGATGAACTACGTTCTCTATGAATGCGTAACTTTTATTGCATACTCTTGCATGACCACCTCGGATGAAAACTCAATGTTTAGCAGGCTTTTAGGACTTTGAAAGCGACAAATCACGCTCATCTTCCAGCCGCAAAACGCAAATTCATAGATTCACTCCCCAACTTCGAGGGAAAATCTCAATGTAACAGAACCTTTGAAATATTCAAGCGACATGCGACAGAAACACCCAGCTTCCAGAATTCATTCTACCATGTGAGTACAATCTCAATGTACCAAGTTTTCTGGAACATTGAAGCGATGTGGAACCAAACGTTGTATACTCGACTTCACAGATGCATTCCCCGAGCTTCGAAGAAAATCTCAATCGCCTAGAATTCTCAAGATACCGAGGCAACATGCAGCAGAGCCTTTTGCAGATAATTTGCAACCTGACATGGTCAACACCATTGATGACACACGGATTCCATGAGTCACGATGAAACCCAACGATGCAACCGAGGAGAGTTTTGTGTTGAGGAAATGGACATCGAGTTGACAACGAACAAGGTGGACATGCCGGAGAGATGTTAGGATATCGTTGTCCAAGCCATTTAAGTGCTTTATTGGAAACTCAAATGTAAGAGAACCCTTCGCCAGGTTATTTATCCATTCTATCTAAAGACCAAGCTCATCCTCTCATCTGAAATCCAATCTAGCTCAAGTCCATCTTCGCATCCTGAGCCCCGTTAGCGACTTGATCCTCAGCCTTCACCGGATCCTCAATCTTCCTCATTAGCCAAGCCATCATCCCCCATACCACACCCATAGCCTCAATCCTCTCCTCCTTCAAATACAAGTCATACCACTTACTCCTCCACATCACGACCCGCTCCCATCCTTCTCTATCGTTGCTCCCTTCAAACACACCCAGCAATTTTTCTGGCACCATAGCCCTCACAATACAAATGTGATGATTCAGCGAACTGACCATAAACACATCATCAAATCCACTCCCGGGCTTTTTGCCAATGGCACAATACCGAGCTTTGCGATCCCACGTGGGACCAGGGGGATTCATCCTGCGGTAGCTCTCGTAGATCTGCATGTTGTTTCCATCCTTTGTTTTCTTGGATCGTTTTGAAGCACTGGGACCATTGATCCCACCGATTGTCTTCCTGAATTCTCCTGCTACCTTCCTTCCTTCATTTTCAGTCCCCGCCCCGCCTACTAATTTCTCCTCTTTGCCGACAAGTAGCTCGTCAATTTTGTCGCCTTCCCGACCAATAGGTCCACCAGGTCCGCCGCCCCAGCGCGGAGTAGAGGTCCACCATTTCCCATCCCCGAAACGCTTCTCGGATTTGGCTTCTCGGGCTCGCTGTTGCGCTGTGAGGAGCACGGCGACGATTTCTCGTGCGAGGTCGAGGTGCTCTTCTGCTTCTGTAGCGAAGACGGTGCTTGCTCTTGCTGAGAGCGCGGCGACGGGCCCTTCGACGATGCCAGCACGGGCGGAGGCTCGCTCGGTCGGCGTGCGGTAGATAAAGGTTACGGATGAGTTGAAGTAGGATGGCGGAGAGGCTGATTGGGGAGGAGTGAGGTGTAAGCGAGGTTCGACACGGGGGAAAGAGACGTTGCAGCCGAAGTCGTAGGCCACGAGTTTGATGAAGGCAGTGAGAAGTTGTTGGCGTTGGTCTGGGGGAAGCTGAGATCCCGTGCCTGTACGGACATGCGTTTGTAGGTGAAGAGGCGTAGTATCGTTCTCGTCCTTCGGTGATGTCTCCGCCTCCGGGCCAAGTGATGTGTCGGGCCAGTACCCGGAGAAGAATTCTAGGTTCTTGTAGAACTCGTAGGCATTTCCTAGACGGGCTGCTGTTTCCCCTGCTGGCGCGGGGATCCGCCTGATGGTGCGGAAGGCAGCGGCATTGTCGATTAGGAGCTCTTTTTGGCGCTCTCGGTAGGTTTGCACACCCGGAGAGAGGTTGCCGTTGTTGAGAGGCTTCCTCGTAGCCTCGTTAGCTTCCAATAAGTCATCCTGGGGGACAGCATTCCACTCCTCGACTGGCGGTAGAAAGTTTCTCTCGGGGATAAGGTCTTGTGGTGATGCATCTGCAATCACGTGAAGCCTGAGGGCATCGAAGTGAGAAAGTCTGATATCAGCCGGTCTGTGGATGCTCTGCAGAAGAGAAACCAGGGAGACGCTTCCCCGCGGTGATGGAGGATGCTCTCCCGCTTGTGGCACACAGCGGGGAAACCTGACCGGCGTCGGGGGCGGAAGTTCCCTTGGCGTTCCATCTGATGGAGGCACAAAAACAGCTGTTTGAAGAACACGTGAGAATCGAGGACGGGAGACGTGTGCCAAGACGGTCAATGACAAGAGAGAAGAGCAGCCGAAACCCATCATGACCGGAAAGGGGAGAGTTGGGGTGGCATCGCTGACAGCTGTGTGATCCGCAGAGTCTAGAGTCTGGGGAAAGCCCTTCCCGCCGACGCATGGCTGCTGATGGGTCGACTGACAAGCTCAGCATGGCCATATCCAGAACCTGGTTATGCGTTCCAGGATGAGGCTCACCGCACGCGAGGCCCTGGATGATTTCGGCGGGGGACTCTGGAAGAAAGAGAGTTGTTCCTCTGCTCACCTATTTGAGAGATTCCGGCAAACATGGTGAGCGCGTCAGTCCCCTCTAATCTCCCCGCGGTGCGGCGTCTGACGCGGCGAGGAACTGGCAGACTGGAAGCGTAGCATGGGAAGCTATATCGTCGCCGATATTCTGGATCAGCTCTGTGTGAGACAGCCTCAGCGAGGCCGGATTGCAGTCTCTCGGATCGGTTCAGGTGCGGTTGAATGGTGGTGAGGGCCGCATTGAGTTCGGATAAAGATGTTCTGCGCACGGCTCGTCTCTTGCCCCAGATTTTGCCGATCATCCCAGCACCAGGTTGACACAACTCAAGCATTCATCGCAATCGGCGACTGCCACCACATAGAGGGCGCCCGGACGATGCTGCTGCCGACCTGTCACCCACACTTAGGCGACGAGCACTTGTGTCAACCTGTGCAACTATGGCGCGGATCGACGGATGGCGGCGGCGGACTAAGCCATCTCGCAGCCACGGGCTCGACGAAGATATCCGCATGAACCCCAGAGTCTGGAAAGACAATCGAAGACACCGGCCGTCATGCCGGCCACCATTGGAATGGTCGACGTCTTGCTGGCCTCGATGTCACGTAAGAGCATTTCCTATCACCGAGATGCATCTAGACGTCCCCCACATATGGTTCCTCTGGCAACAAGAGACTCGAAGAGGACTTTGAGCGGGTTTGGATCATGTCGACACTAAGATCTTGTACAGCATGCATGCCGGAAGGGACTTGATACTGTACCTGTTCGATTCCGCATTCCGTTTCACGAGGGCCCACGGGGGATCAAGGAACAAGTTAAGGTTATCAAGATGTTTGCCCCAGAGATCTTAATCCTATGAAGAGGAGCGTTTTGGCGGCCGAATCTTTTGCTCGTCAAACCGCGGAGGGCTGTTTAAGGGGAAGGTACGTCGTTGACTCGTTGGCCCACTGGCACCTCTGTGACGCGAAAGGAGAAGCGAGCTGGGCACTCAGCGTTGGCTTCTATTTCCGCTTATGACCCCTTTCCGTGCCGCGCAGACGCTGCAATCAATCTGTCTTGCAGGCGGCGGCGCAAACGGTACCGCAAACAATTTCCTATCTCATTACGAGGTGAGATCCAGCGGCTATGTGATGGCTAAAGATATCTCTTCTCAAGGCCAAGCGGAGCGTGCGCTGTGGCCTTGGCCGACACCCGTCAAGCGACGATTGAGCAGCCCAATCCCGACCCCAATGATTGCAATCCGACCGGCGAGTGGCAACTACTCGCGGCGTTCTGTCTGATGCGTGCAACCAAGGTGCAACTGACGATGTTCGAAGTCTGGCCGCCCAGTCAGCGGCGTCGAGGTGAGTGGTGTCTCGCTTATTTCGAGTCCCTGCACACTTCACTCCGCACCACACCTCAACACAACACAACACAACATAACACAACATAACACACGCCTCACGTACTTTACTTCACCTCTCTTCACTCCACAACCACAATGCAATGCTTTGTGCCAATCGTCACCATCTGCGCACTTCTGGTAAGCTGATTAGTTTCCAGGGCATTAACAGCCTCCAGCAAGCTGCTTGTCTCGCGCTGCACGACGTCAAGCGACGGAGCCCCTCGCCAATCCTCCTTCACGATCTGTGTCAGTGCAGGGGTCTGCTACAAGCGGAAACCCGTCCAAGCAGCCCCTCCAGCCGTGCCCCCTGTCCGCCATTCTCATCTCCCTCCCAACTCACACCCACTCCAGACTCACGTCTGAACGTTGGTGTTTGAGGGCCGAGGATCCGGTAGGTTTCTCCATCCATCTACACTCCACCGTTTTTCCCAAGTGGATTTCTGTTCTTCTTTCCATCTTCGAACACATCGTCGACGCCATGGTTGAAGCTGTGAATTGATGGCCTGGGCGCCTCTGATCTGTGATCTCCATATCCCTTGACGGTTGATTTATACATTCTCTACAGCGACAGGCGTCGCTTTTCGTTTTTACCATGTCGACAAATGCAAACCTGCCGGCAGGATTTTCCATTACGTCAATAAATGGCCAACGGTGCACAGCGGTCCCGAGGGCTTCGACGACGCTCACAGGCGCCGACGCAACAGCAGCTGCGGCATTCACTACTACCTCGACGACAACGGCGGCGGCAGCAGCACTAGCAACAGCGAGCGCTCAAGTTCAGCCAAATGTGGTGGTAGGGGGAGGAGCAGGGGCAGTTACTCCAGTCAGTGTGGCGTCCCTCCCGCCCGCCGCGAGCACTACCTCAATAGGTGCGACCACCTCCTCTGCCGCAGTTATCAGTACATCATCTACGACGCAAGCGGCGGTCATTAGTGCTACTGCATTTCCTGCATCGAAGGGAACGACCCCGACAACTTCATCCAGTACGGTGTTAGCCGTTGCGCAAAGCGATTTGCATGCTTCTCCCACCATCATATCTGGAAATGGCATTGGCAGTGGTTTACAGGCACCTTCAAAAACCTTTCTAAATTCTTCCCCAGCCTCGACCTCAGATCAGACACAGTCACAAGCAAGCGTTGGAACGTCCTCCGGCTCCAAACCTAGCGCAGCTCCGGTGGTCGGCGGGGTTGTTGGTGCTATGGGCCTCATTGCAGTCTTATCCCTACTAGTCTGGGCTTTCAGGAGAAGGAGGAAGATGGGGAGAGAGTCACTACTTACCCCTCTAACCACCAGTCGTCGAAGCGAGTATTATGGCGACAAAGCCTCAGTAGGTTCATCAAGCCGGAGCAAGAAATGGAGGTCGGGAGTTGGATATCAGACGGATAAGATCAAGGCAGTGATATCCGGCATGGGAGCAGGGTTAGCAGGCATTGGGGCTTCTCTGAAGTCGAAGGTTGCAGGAGATCGAAGTGACACTCCCAGTGTCAACTTGAATAGGGGCAACTCGCAGTTCCTGGATGGACCAATTCCTCAACATAGCCGAAACAATTCGGTACTTTCGAACAATACAGGGACTGTCTCTGTGAAGGATCGACTGACGGAGTGGTGGGAGCGTGTGGGCGAAAGCCTCAGTTTCAAGTGGCGTCTACGAAAACCGAAAGAACCAGCCGACCCCTTTGCTTCTCCTCGTGGCTTGACAGAGAAACAAGCCAACGTGGGCACCTCGCCTGATTTCTCCCAACTTCTCGCCATGGGTGACCGTGATCTCCAGCTTCGAGCCGAGCGTAGACGCGCATCCACGTCTGGCACTGGTTCTGTACCGCAAATTGGTAGCCTAGGACTCAACTTCAACATAGATGATCCATTTGCGGACCCAATCAAGGGTTCCAGTCAAGCATGGAAGCCAGGAAACTCCGCGGCGAACCCTTTCGCCGATCCCAAATTCAACTCGAATCCTTTTGCAGACCCAGCTCGCCCCGAGCGTTCTATCACTAAAGCTAACACCTACATCTCCGACATGAGGCGCTCAAGAGGCCAGTCCGTCGACGCAACCAGCAGAGGCAACAACGCCACTTCAACCTACCGCCCACCAAGCACCGCGGTGGGCTCCCGCTACCCCTCGACTATCGCACCCAGCAGAGACAGCTACCGAGATACCGTCTACTCGTCCTTCTCCGCGAACGCACGGAAAGGCAAAGGGCGCTCCGACCCATTCGATCTCGAGAGACCTGAACTCTGGCGCCCAAGAGTTATCACCGACCGTACCGCCATAAATCCCAACCCCCTCGGCACAGCGGGTCCACCACGTGCGTCCCGGGCTGGAAACGCCTACAACTCAAGGCAACAACAATCTGCACGCGTAACGTCCATTTCAACCTCCAGCTCCAAATACAGCTCTGGGGTCTCTTCCCTCGGTGACTGGGGAGAACCAGGTCCGGATCTCGGGCCGGGAAGTGGAAGCAGCAGTTTAAGAGCGAACGCGAGTTCGAACGGTGGGAGCACGGATTTCAGTGCCAATAAGGGGGCGCAAAGTAGTTTGGATGAGATGAAGCAGGAGTGGGATGAGAGGAGAGGAAAGGACAATATTAGTCCGCAGAGTGTGGAAAGTAAAGCGAGCAGCAAGGGTGGTGTTGGGAAGGCGATGTGATGTGTGTATCCCTCCTCGGGTTGAGGACGGTACATTTTTCAACAATCAAAACCCCTGTATAGGGAAGGCAATTCAAGATGGATGGAATTGTGGATTGGGCATGGCATCGGGTGGATTGGGGGTCATAATGAGACATTTACTAGATGGGTCAGGTTAGGAACAGTGTGGGTGAATAGGCGTTTGCATTGCGATGACTTCGATCGATGTCTGTCTGTATTTTGTTGGACAAGGGAATATATACCAAGGGGAGCGGAGCAAATCGAGTGGAGTCACTGACTGAAGAGGCCAGGAAGACACCCGAATGGTAGAATGGATAAGAGATCAGTGCAGAGCCAGAGAGCAACAGAAACGAGGAGACAAACGAGAAAGTGTCATGACTACACTACTTATTACTCATTGCACCCATGAGAGCAAAAAGGAACAGTCAATGTATATTTCTGCGCCTAAGCCTTTTCTGAATGAAACATAAGACTCTATCGTTACCTCTATATCGTAATAGCAATTTATGTATCATGCTCATCGTCTTCATCATCATCAGTCAATCAGCCATGCCTGCTCCCACCCAACTCCAATTTCTCATCAACAAGTTATGCTTGTTCTTCATGTGCTGGCTTTTCACTTGTCAATTACTGTTTTAGCATCAAGCTCTGTTCTATGAAACGAGAACGGCATATCAACGTGACGCAGGAATCTAACTCTTCACGAGGAGACTGTGTCCAGTCATCTCTTCTGGTTGCTTGAGACCCATCGCCTCTAGAATCGTTGGCGCAACGTCACCGAGGACACCGTCATCTTTCTTGAGGCTCCAGCCCTTCGGTGCGTTGGCCATGATGAAAGGAACTTTGTTGGTGGTGTGCGAAGTCTTTGGCTTGCCATCTTCGAATTTCATTTCTTCGGCGTTACTAGATTATGTTAGCACTCGCTTCGAGGCACACTTTACATTTGTGAGACTTACCCATGGTCAGAAGTAATGAAGAGGACGTAGTTCTCCTTCTTGCAAGTTTCGTAGATCTGTCCAATAGCCTTGTCGGTAGTTGCAACACCAATGATTGCTGCCTCATAGACGCCGGTATGGCCAACCATATCAGGGGGAGCAAAGTTGTTCATGATGAACTCGAACTTGCCCTCCTCGATTCGCTTGCTCATCTGCTTGGCAACCCCCATGGCGCTCATTTCCGGTGCTTTGTCGTATGTGGCAACGCTCTTGTTTGATGGGACGAGATCCTGTTTTTCATCTCTCTCCTCGAGAGGGAAGACTTTCTCGACACCTCCATTGAAGAAGAACGTAACATGCGCGTACTTCTCGGTTTCGGCAACGTGGACTTGCTTGACGCCTTGTGTGCCTAATGTTTCTGCAAGTACGTTGCCCATGTGCTGTGGCTTGAAGGCGATCGTGAACGGATAGTCGAGTTTGTACTGGGTCATAGTTGTAAGAGTGATGTTCTTGGGGTAAGGGAAGTCTTCCAATGGAGAGCGGTCAACATCTCCAAGTAATTGAGTGATCTCTCGGACACGGTCGGATCGGTAGTTGAAGAAGAATACTTGATCACCATCTGAGACTGTTAGGAGCCGTGATCAAAACCAAGAATGATTTGAGACTCACCTTTCACACGGGCCTCCTTGCCGCCAACAATGATGGGCTTTAGAAATTCATCGTTCTCTCCTTTTTCGTATCTCTCCTTGATGGTCTTGACAGGATCACTGCTTTGCTCTCCATCACCAACGCACATTGCGTTTAGTCCGACCTCAATTCGCTCCCATCGCTTATCACGGTCCATGGCGTAGTATCGGCCAACAACTGTAGCAATCTCGCCAATGCCAATCTCCTTGATCTTACCCAGAAGTTCTTGCATATATCCTGCTCCTGATTTTGGGTCGGTGTCTCGTCCGTCGCCAAAGAAGTGGATGTACACGTGGGGGATCTCGAGGTCCTTGGCGACTTTCAGAAGAGCGTAGAGATGATCTTGCTTGGAGTGCTATGATCTTGTTAGCCATAGTTTCCTTTGCTGGGCAAAACACCTGACTTACAACTCCTCCATCAGAGATCAAGCCCGCCAAATGCAAGCGTCCAGTACCATCCTTGGCGGCATTGAAAGTCTGCATAATAACGTCGTTTTTGTTGAGCTCTCCCTTCTTGATAGTCTGGTCAATGCGGACCACATCCTGCCACACAACTCTGCCAGCACCAATGTTCAAATGTCCGACCTCAGAGTTGCCCATCAATCCCTCCGGGAGTCCGACTGCCAGTGACGAAGCCTCAAGCTCCGTGTAGCAATCTGCGTTCTTCTCGAATGCATCCATCACTGGCGTCTCCGCTGCAGCAATTGCGTCTCCATCCTTGGGCGAGGACTCACTGGGGATTCCCCAGCCATCAATAACAACTACGCCAGAGCATAACAATTAGCCATGAAATCTCCAGATACATCAGACAGTATAGTAGAGCAAGGATGTAGTCGGGTTTCTTCTTTATCTTTGCTTGCTCGGGCATTGCGACTGGAGGTCTGGAGAGCAAATTGAGACGAGAAGAGCAATTGGATTCAGCATGGCAGAAAAAAGAAAGTGGGAGGTCGAACAATATATAGGGATTGAGTGAGGATACGTGGAATTCGGGGAACAACGTACTCAGCACTGCCTTATTTTCGACTTGAACCATTTTGGCGAGCGACGTCTCGTACAGCCTATATCAGTACATGTTAGTCCTATTTTAACAGGACAAAGAGATGGAGTGGAGAAGAGGAAGGCTTGCGGGAGAAGAAGATTTAAAGCCTTGAATATGGACAAGAAAAAGTTTTTGTGCAAAGGGCAAGAAATCCCGCAGAATGTTCTGAGTTGTTGAGAAGAGAACACCCCACCCGCGCTCAGAAAGTTGTTTTTTTCCACCCCTCCAAACCCCCACCTGGTTTCCACAGCCTCCTCCAAACTCTTCTGCAAACCACCACCAATCATCGACATCAATTGGAAGTGAACCCTCAGCTTCAAACCAAGACATCACAATACAGGCTCTCCTTGCGATAATCTCTGTTGCACATCCAGTCGACTATTCCCGCGTCGTTCTTGGAAAATGGCGACATCGCCCAGCCAAGCAACCCCTCCACCAGCCTCCCTTTTCAATCTCCCAGACGGGCTCACCCCTGACTCCATCGACACACTCCCCGTGCTCTCCGCGCTCCTCTCGCGACTACAAAATCCCTCCTCCAGTGCAAATACAGCTTCGACCTCTGGCTCGCCGCTCGCCGCTACTCCCTCACAACTCGCATCCAGCACAGGTCCGCTATCGATCAAAGACATTCCTGCCGCAACGGACGAGCTGAAGCACAAGTTACAGAGGGCGAGAGTGCAGGTTAAGGAGTTGCCGGATATGGATCGGAGTGTAGAGGAGCAGGAGGTCGAGATCAGGGAGCTGGAGGAGAAGATTAGGAGGCAGAGGGAGGTGTTGGTTGGATTGAGGGAGGTTGGGTTGCAGGCGAAGAGGGAGAAGGAACGGGGGGGGAAGGAAGACGGCACAGATGTGATGGAGACTTGAGAGCTGGAGCGTGGAGGAAGCCATGTTACATCTACAAAGAAGGGCTTAGGTTGGAACTCCGTATTCACGCGGCTAGTCCCAGCTCTCGAATCCTGCGGGGCGATTCGAGGCACGCAGGAAAAGCCGGCACCAGACACCTTGTGCCAGCGTAAACCTGGGACAATCAACCGATTGGAGGGAAAGTTTGATTACTGAGAGTGTTTTTGGAATTTGCCTCGGCAAAGTACCACAAAATTCCCATGACACCTATTGACATACGTTCAACACTTCAGACTAGGAACAAATAGACTCCACCGCTATGATTACAATCTGCGATCCCCGAAAGAGACCATTCCAATTTTGTCTCCATGTTCAGATGACCTCGTACGTATTGGTCTAACGAGTAACAATTCCAATCTTCCTCAGGATATCTTCAGTGCCAACACCTGGTCCGCCTGGGACAACCGTAGTCCATATCTCTTCCTGAAGACGTTTTTCTTCTGGGAGGAGGCTCCAATTCGGGCTGTGCTCTGACTTGAGCCATTTGAAATCATCGACCTGATCCCATTGATTCTGGACAGGCTCCTCTGAGGAAGTCATCTACTCAAGAGGTTAATATCAGTTCAGAGCAGGATATGGCTATGGTAACTTACATAACATTGGGGAATTGGCGAGAATCTAACATTGCTGCAGTCCTCAATAATAGGACGGCTGGCACAGTGGAGGTAGACATCTACATTGTTACAATCGTGTATACGAGCCTGCCTTGAAGCCACGGCAATAATACTGTTCTCGACACCAGTGATATGAGCAGCCCCGGCGACATGTCCAGCGATTATGAGAGATCCCTTGATGTTCTTCAACATAAGGCCGGCAAAAGGTGCATTGTTTGCTGTTGGGACAGACATATCAACAATACATCTATTGAGTTTAGTCAAAGATCCAGAAGACGTAGCCCGGGAGGCCGAGGAAGGCAAGATGATGTGAAGGCCATTATGACCTGAGATGTTAACGTTTGTTGCCTGTGAGAAACTTGGCTTCCGAATTGGTCCAGCGGACCCTCTCGTCATTTCCTCGTTGTAATTTTTAGGAAAGGATGGCAGGTCACCAAGAGTATCTTTTGCGTCAATTTCGTTAGGAGGTGACATGAGGTTGGCAGGAGTAGTTGCCATTGACGACTCATTAGAGGAGCCGGTGCCTGAGATACTAGGAGGCTCAAGACGCTGCTTTGCAGCAAGCTCCGCAGCATCGTTAATAGAAACAGCAGATGAGTTCTTCTGGGTGGTCTTGAACTTGAATCTTGATCTTGGGGCAAACTTGGAGCGGGTTTCTTCAAGTTTCTCTTCAAGGGCTTTGATTGCCTGGACAGGTTAGAGAAAGAACGGATCAGAAGTGGTATGGCCTTTACTTGTGCGTAGATCCGTTGGTCATGCGCTGGTATCAATCCTGAGGAATCCGAGACTTCTGTCGAGAGTCTGCTAATGCCGGAAAGGACATGGTTGATAGCATCTTGTTTTTCTCCGCCAACTAAACTGTAGTCCTCGAGAAGTGCTATTTGCTCCTGTATTTCCGTACATTCCTGCTGGAAGTGTCGATAGAAACGGTCCTTGATATCGGCCTGGGCCAATACCGAAGGTTGTTGGATTGGGGCTACAGGGTCCTCCATCTTGTGCAACATTCCACGGTCTCCTGTTGTATCAAAGTTCGAGGAGTTTCCGAGACAAGATTCAAAGAAGGAGTCTAGTATTTCAAGAGGGGCTCGATGTCGTCAACGGCTGTGTGGGGAAGGAGGCCGACTAGTGCAGAAGCGCATGAAGGGGGCCTTGAAAGCGAGGGCGACTGCGTGGTGGTGGGTGTCCGGGCCCCAGTATCGGCAATTCATGAGCTCGCCAAGTGGCCACTGAGCAGCAGACGATTAACAAGGCAGATCTGGGTGTACCTAGAAACCGTGAAACGGAAAAAGACTGGAATGCTTGCTTGCTGGAGTTCGAGTGCTATTTGTGCGGCCAATGAAGGCGGTTGTTCATGCGGGGTAGGTGGCCCACGTGACCGCAAATTTACTTGCCTTACTCCGTACAGCTGTTGGTTATTGCATTGCATTGAAACTTCTGGCCGACCATCCCGGGCCGTAGTAATTCATAGAGGCAGGTTGAGTAAGACCTCTTTCTTAGGTGAAACCTCGAGCTTAAGATTGAATATTGTCAATTACAAGTAACACACACCTCGGCCATCCTTTGGCCAACTTTTACTTCCAAAAATCTTTTGGAATCCGCAAACAGTATTGCCAGACTTTGACGTTATGCTGCTCACCCAAACTCACTCCAAGGGCGGCTCGCGAAGGCACGAATGTACCCTATTCCACGCAGGACTTCGAAATGAGATCAAACTACGGGGGAATAACTTAAATGAAAACACAGGGCCTCATTGAAGCCTAATAGAGCTGACTCGGTCATAAAGAAGCAAAAAGCCGGTGATGGTAGCAGTCGTATTTCCATTCGATAATTGTTCCTTCTAATCCACTACAATGAACATTTATGACTTCGCTGGCACATCGATACCATACTTTTCCTTGATTCTCTCTCTCCTTCGCTCGTCATAGCCTGGCCCATAGATACCTAGAACGAACAGGTTAGCCACGCAAAATATTTGATCATCTGGCCCATACCTCTCCCCTCTCCCAATTCTGAAATGGTTTCCTCAATGGGCCGCCGCCTATTCTTTCTCAACAGTTCTTTCCGCTCAAACTCATCCATCTCGGGATTCTTCTTGTAACCTGTCAAGCCTCCACCGGTATAATCGTATGCACCCAATATTACAGCTGTCAGAGCACCCATTCCAAGGACGGCGGGCGTTGTGCCAACTATCGCAATCAATCAGCATCCACCTCAATGCCAAAAAAACTCAACTCTACTGAGTCACTCACCTCTTAAGCCTAAGATTGAGCCCGCCAGGAACCCCCCAATTGCTTGGTTCAAGCTATCGTCCTTCTCTCGCAGGTTGGCAGACGCAAGTCGCGTGAACTCGTAGGTACCACCCACAGCAGCTGTAAATTCGTTAGAAAAGCTGGTCAGAAGCTTCACCTAATTGAATATAACCCACCAAAGACAGCAATTGTGCCTCCCGATCTGGTAAACACCCCCCATGCGCCTACGTTCCTCTTCGTCAAGGTATTTTGAATCGCCGAGACCAATCCCCCAGCAGCTCCTGTAATCATCGTGCCGTTAATGGCTGCCTTGACGGCATCCTTTGGGTGGTATTGCTCATCTCCTGATGCCATGTTGAGCCGTGCAGCAGCTGGAAGTTGAGCTGGGCTTATTATATGTTCGTCGTCGACTTTGGCGTTGATGGAACCCGCCTCAGGAGCGCCCTAAACTCTTTCGGGAAGTGAATCAATTGCTTCCGCTGAGACAGCTTGATGATGCGATGCATTCAAACAGAAGTAAATCAGTTGCGTTTGATTTTAATCAGAAGTCCTCAGAGAATATTCACGGTCAATATTAGTTCCATTCTAATCCCGATTCTAATTTATTTCTGCCTCCGTGATTCACCCATCTGCAAAACCGATGCATGCACCCTTCCACGTTCACCATTCGCACGTTACACAAGTGTCGATGCTCCAGAACAATTTGTCGTGGGTATATCAGCCTTGAAACTTCACACCAAGCCACGATCACGAAAGAAGTCAGGAAAGAGACACCTCTCACTGGCCAGCACATATCTGGAGATTGGATACAACGCCACGGTTGTTGGGCGGCAAAGGTGCTGTACGCGCGGAGCACCGCGGAACTGAAGGCAGCCCCATCGAGGGCGCTCGTAGAGCGTCATGGCTGACCGTGGGATACCTTCTGGGCCAGGTCTGCTTCCTCCTCCAGCTCCTCCTACTTCCAGATTTCTCCCTGCTATCTTTTCCAAGTCAGGCGGCATGCTAATCCGCACGGCGCCCACAGGCAAGACTGCCCCTCGACTGATCAACGACCTCCTCGACCATGACCCCAGACACGCTTTCATGCATGGGGGCAGGAACTTGCTGGCGGATCCTGCTCCAAGGTTCAGAGGACAAGGTTCGCTTGGTCCACGGAAGGACAAAATGGACTGTCGTCACAAGCTCATGAAAAAGGAGCACCAGACAAATGCCCCAAGATCAGAGGATGAGCGACCAGATGATTCCACAGAGTACAAGGTGGCCGCGTACTGCTCGGCATGTCTATATCATTTCGACGTTACAGCCAACTTCTGGAAACGGAACGACCGGAAGACTCCTTGCAATCTCTCAGATGAATCCAATCCTCTACACCATCTGCGGCTGGCAAAATCTCAGACTTCTAAAGAGTACAAGGAGAAACACGGGATGGACAAATATGACCAATCGATAGAAGCTCATAGCTTTGTGTGTTCTGGGACAGAATGTCCCCTTGTGGTTGACATAAAGATATCACCCCCCCGACTTAACCATCATATGCTCTCTTACATATTCGACACTGCGAAATTGGATGCCCGAGGGCGGAGAGAAATCAAGAACGACCCAGAGAGATATTCAGGAATGGCTCCCATAAAACCGCTTCAAGCTTTAGGATACCTTCGACAGTATTTGTCCGATGCGAAGGGCGCGAAAAGCAAGACAGAGCTTAAGAAAATCGCCAGACGAAACAAAAAGTACATGCTTACGTTCGCGGACGAATGTGATGAACTCTTTGAGTATCTGGACTTTGTTGCGATAGAGGAACCTTCTTCGGAACCTGAAGTGAGTGTTCAAAGAAATGTATCCTGTCATTTTGATTGTCCCAAATTCTAGTGCTTAAGTAGTTCACTGACATTCACTCTCAAGGATGGACCAAACTGTTTTTGGCAGCTCCCTATCATAACCGACATCAACAGGAACTTCATTGCTGACGTCTTGCACGAAATCGATCTGTTGATGGTGATGCGCCCGCAAGACGAAGGCAGCCGTACTACAGTCTACCACCTGCCAGCTTTGAAGGATATTGAGCGGAGTCTTGGATGTTTTGACTACCCCAAAAGGAACCGGACGGTCGATCTATCAAGAGACGAGCATCCCTATTACATCAGTCTAGGGGCCGTGGACGATTTTACGGATAAGTATCTTGAGTGGGCCTATGAACGGCAGTGCGAGTGTGACCCTTCGAATAAGCCTTACTACCTCGACTGCCTGGCTGATCTGGCCAACGGACGTCAGAGCGCGGATCTCCAGACGAGACTCGTAATGGCCACTTCCGCCGGTGAATTGGGCTTGAAGGCCATCGAGGATTCTTACAGATACTTCAATCTGAACCCCGACTCTGTTGAAGGCGACGGTCATATCATGGGTCTCTACAAGTCTCGCATCGAATCAGCACCTCGCCAGAAAGACGAGGCCAGGGAGTGTCTTCTGAACATCGCCAAACACCGAAACAGCGAGAAGATCGAAGCTCTCGCAAACGATAAGACCATGTCATTTGAAGAAGCGCTGGAGTTTTTGGGCATTTCAGTAGACACTGCCTCTGATAGTATCGAGGCTTCGGCTGTTGCATTGGTAAGTTTTTCGCCACTCTTTGAACGCGTTTCCCGGCGCCCTGCGCTGTCAGATGCAGGATACTGACCCTTGCACCCCGCACAGTCACTCGAATCATCAGACAAGGCCAAAATTGCACGAGCACTTCGTGTTATTGCCAGCCAACGCTCCGGTGACTTCACTCTGCAACGGGCAGCAGCGGCAATGGAGTCGGGCTCTGGCGGATCCACGCTCGACGTGGGCGATGCGTACAACCGACTTCAGATTGGCTCACGTGGCGTTCCCGACGAAATCGTTTTCACCTACTACCAGAGTCTCTCCAATGGAGCGCCGTCCGGGTCAAAGGACAGTTATACTGAAGCTCTTCGAGTGATTGCGCTTGATCGACAAAGCAATTTCTTGCTGAGGAAGCTCGAAGATCCCAATGCCGACGTGCAAGCAAGTACTTCTGAGCCTGTTGGTCTTGACAACATTGGCAATACCTGCTATCTCAATAGCTTGCTGCAGTATTACTATACCATAAATCCTGTGAGGGACATGGTGATCAACTTCCAGCAGCACCGCATGGGTCTCAACGATGAGGACATCAAAAACAAGAGAGTCGGTGGGCGCATTGTCGACAAGTCTGAGATTATCAAGGCACAGAAATGTAAGTCACAACCACCTTCACGATCACTGGAAATTAGACTAATCGTTACAGTTGTCGAAGAGTTGCATAACCTTTTTGAAAACCTGAAGACGGCGTCGTCACGCTCGGTCAAGCCAACCAGGGAATTAGCTGAACTCACCATTTTCAGCTCTGCCGCTGTAGCAGACTTCAGAAGGGCGTCGATCAGCAGCCCACACGGTCCACCCAATCTTTCCTCAATTATGGATGGCCCAGTATATGGTCCACAATGGCCTCCTCCACTGCCTCCACCACTTCCAACCACGGTAGAGGAGGACATTGAGATGATTGACCACCCCAGAAATAAAATTACAGAAAATGGCGACGACAGCAGCGAAGCGACGCTGGTTGACCTTGACCAACTTCCTCCTTCGTACGGCGAAACCACTGGCAACGAGGAATCCAGCCCGGGAGATGATGCCGTCATGGTGAATGGCGAGGATTCAAGCCCAGATAGACCTTCTGCCTTAGAAAAGCCACCACCGATTCCACCGCGGAACAAGTCTGGACTCGTCATTCAGACAAACGAAAACAAAGACCTTCTGCCCAATGATGAACTGTGGAAATTCGGATCCCAGCAAGATGTTACCGAGGTGATAGGCAATGTCATGTTTCGCTTGCAATGTGCCATAAAGCCTACAAGTATCGAGGAGACCTCAGGAGCCCAGATCGATATTATCAGAGATACCTTCTTCGGTGCTAATACAGTCTATACACAGAAAGCACAGAGTTTGGAGAGGAAGACGGAAGCTTGGCCATCGATCATCGTCTTTCCTGGAAAGGTCGGTCGAGACATATACGAAGCTCTCGACGTGGTTTACGACGAGCAACAAGTCGAAATCGACAATACGACCGTGCCTCAGTATGCTTCGCTGAGCAAACTTCCGCCCATCTTACAAATTCATATTCAGCGAACAGACTTCGACCATGAGACCCATCGAGCATTCAAGAACCGCAACCCCGTTGTGTTCCCGGAAACGATTTATCTAGACAGATATGTGGACACGGGTGATCCAAATTCGGCCATAATGCGAAGACGCCGCGAAGCTTGGGGATGGAAGGAGCTGCTTCGAACATTGGAGGCCCGGTACGCAGCTCTCAAGAATGATCAAGCGCAGATCAGTGTCCTAGACGCTTTATCGGCAACCAAAGATTTTGTTAGTAATCTTCAGGAAGAGGAAATCGAGGGCATTGAAGTCGATCCTGCTCTTCCTGAAGCACTCGAGGAACGAATTTCGGAAGTTGCTGCCGAACTCGAAGCTATTACCGGACGAATCAACGACCTCAGAAGCAGAATTCAGGGCCAGTTTATTGACATGCGCGAGTATGAATACAAATTGCAATCGGTATTCATCCATCGCGGTGAGGCCGGAGGTGGCCACTACTGGATCTACATTTATGATTTTGAGCATGATATCTGGCGCGAGTACAATGATGAATGGGTCTCGGAGGTTAAGGATCGTCGAACGATATTTGAGCATCAAGGTGGTGCTGGCGGAACACCGTACTATCTTGTGTATGTGAAGAGCAGCGACATCAAGAATTTGGTGAATGCTGTCTGCAGAGATGTCCAGGAGGTAGAGGTGACGCATACCACGGAAGAGTGGCCAGATTTGATGGAAAACGGTGTTTCGGCAGCCCTGAACGAGGACGAAGATAGCCCTGAGATGAGGCACGTTGAGCACGCCAAACCGAGGCCGCTACGACCAAAGCCTTCTGTAATAGAACAGTCAGCTTGGGAAGCTGATGCATGGAAGGAGAACGAGGGTCTCAAGGACGGGGCCAAGGTCGATGCAAACGGGAAACCATGGTAGATGGGCAGAGGCATGAGCTGTATGAGTATGGAAAATGAGACGCCCGCCTATGATATTCAAGGACTTTAGTGGAGGCATAGGCAGGGCCGGTGTAGAGTTGGCACGTGCTGGGCAGAGATGATATCCCTTTCTTGTTCTGAGTAGCGTCGCACAAACGGTGGCAGCATGGGTTGGAGTTAGCGGGTCGCCCTTGTGCATAGATGCATTTGCTTTCCATTCTAAAACAAATATTGCAGAACATTCAATTGAGGCAGGTACATTTGATTTGTGAAGTTTCTTCTTGCAAGCCTGCGGTGTTAGGGGTCTTTTCCTCAGTTTGGGTGTTAGATGCCCAACAAACTCACTTCGATATCAGCAAAAATCAACGAAGAGATGATATTCTTCTTTTCACGTCTTCTCGTTCTTCCTGAAGTACGAAGATGATAGATGTTCTGGTGCTTGGAACAGATTCTTGGTGGAGAATGAAGACGTTAGATTATTTGTACGAGACAGATCTGAAGTAATCAAGACGCCTTCCATACCTTCCCTCCCCCTTTCTGCCACAGCCAAAGAGCCTCCACGGCATATATTTTTGTACCTTGATGCCCTCCTTCAGCACTAGCAGCTTCTTCTAGAGTCTGGATAATTTTCCCTTCCTCTACACACCTCCACAACCCCTTCGTTACCTCACCATCTTCATCACCCCACTCCCCTCTACCTAATCTATACAGCAGCCTTCCCAAAGTCTGAAAAGATATGCATCTCTGCGCCGGGAACGCCGAGCGTGAAAGCCTCGCCAACTCTGGAACAGTGTAGCCAGCAGCTTCCGGAGCTTCTCCATGATGGTGGAGGCCTTTCATAGTTGGCATAGCTCTCGATATTCGTGGCGGCAGAATCCCGCCACGGAAATCGAAGCGTAAGGCTGAAGCTGGTAATGCTTCGTGGGCAGGGTAATATGGTGATTCTTGGTCTGCGACGGAGCCATGAGTTGGAATTGGTGCCATCCAGGCCAATTTTGAGGGGTCTGCAGGCAGGTTGGGGAAATATTTTGAGTGGAGGTTTTCAAGGAAGGAGGGGTCGGACGGGTCCAGTTCAGGAGCTGATGGAGCGGTTGGGAAATGGATGGTTGGGTGAGGAATATCTGCAACTGATATCGCCGAGATATTTGGCACTGGTTGGAGGCCTATGGGTTCAGTTGGCTCTGCATCGTCTTCGAATTTCACCGATTTCATGGGGACTGCTTTCCCCACTGGAGTTGGAGCGGGAACACCTGCAACTTCCTGCTTTGGAACCTCGGCCTTCGTATCCTCCTCCACTTTTGTAGACGGCGGTTCGATGCCAGTATCGCCTCGACCTTCATCCAGATTCGCCCTCTTCAAAAGCCGCTCAACCAAAGACGGATCCAACGCAGCAAGTAGCTCGCGTCTTTCTTCCTCTATTTCTTCAGTTGACATCGACTCCAGCCTCTGCTTGTTTTCCTGATCGATCCTCCGGCGCTCGCTCTCCTCAAATCTGGGATCTTTCTGCGTCAGTGAGGAGGCGTTAGTTGGCGTTGCCTGAGAAGTAGGCAGAGCAAAAGCATTATGAGTGTCTGTCGTGGCAGGCCTCGCAGATCCACCTCTTTGCTGCTTGAATGCAGAAATCCTCGTCCGCTTCTTGTGCTCCGGGAACCCAGTCGGAGTCGTCTTCAACTTCGGGGCGGCCGGGGCTGTGGTGGTGCGTTCCTTGATATCCCCAATGAACGCCGAGGAGATTGACGGAATAGCATCCGAGGGTAGTATCGAGTTCGAACTTCGCTCATCCTCGTCGTCTGAGAAGTCGACGGTGAAGCGTTGTCCTCTTAGGTCCATGATTGATCGAGGTTGTAAGGTAGTTGGTAGTTGGGGTGTGGACAGAAAAGGCTCGGAAGTTCAGTTGGAAGGACAGGGGTTATTTTTACCTCGCTGACGGAGGGCGGAAGCTAGCTTTAAGAGGCTAGCCGGAGCCTTGCATGCAAAGCCTTGCGAGTTTGATACTCGATTCAAGTAAACAGAGAACAGCTACCAGGACTTTGCGTGGAGATAGAATCATTTAATAATCATTTCGAGACCTGCGGTTCCACATAAATCGTACCCGCGGTATGTACGTCATTGACGAGGCTGAAACTGGGTTCAGTTGTGTCTGTTCTGTTGACGCAGGATGCAAAAGGGGGGTGGGGGCGGGGGGCGCGGGCGCCCAACCGAGATCGAGGAGGCTGAATGTTGAAGTTCTGCAGATGGATATCCCGATACCTGATTGGCCCCCCTCGTGCATGCACATCCTCTGGGCTGGCGGCCTTGCGTGTCACATCATTTTGTTATGCTTTCGCCTTTTGCTCCGTCCTTATATGGCCATTTGGTCGGAGAGAGTGGCAGCATGGCGCTCCAGCCCCTGGCCAGGAGCTCCTCAGTCGCTCCTCAGTCATCTCCTGGCCAAGTGTTCCTTAGTCATCTGTCCTTCTGGCCGGTCCTTGCCTCCCACGGCCAGCTCCAGCTTCAGTATGGGCACGACTCACTCTCGCTAGAACACGCTCCTGCTCCTGCTCCTGTTCCTGCTCCGTGCCAGTCTGTCCCAGTCTGTCCCTGCCTGCGCCCATGCTGCCATAGTTTCCCCAATCCCCCAATCCCCCAATCCCCCCCTCTCATAGTGAACAAAAATCGCTAGAGTGGTGAGACTCCAAATTCTGCGTTAGCCTTTTCCCGAGCTTTCCTTTAATATTTGCCCGCCCCAAACGAAACACCCTCCTCCTGGCTTCTCCCCAACTCCGCAACCTCTTCTTTTACACTCCCAACACACATTACCCCCGATACTGCAAATTGATCCCTCCATCGATATCAGATCAACTTCCATCGATCACGACCCCTAAACACCCTCATTCGATTCCGTCAATTTGACTCGCTTTCTACCATCCGTCGGAAGCTCCACGACGCCCTGGACTTGTCCAAGACGCCCAAATCTCGGTTTTCGCGTCGTCGTGCCATTTTTGAAGCTATTCACGAGTCGGCGTGAGCGACTCCGTTTGCCGTCACGTTTCGGCCCAGCTCCAGCCCCAAATCAGGCCTGCATCACCTGCGCAATTCGAAAACAGCTTCCAGATCTCCACATGACCTTCCACGCAACTGCTCCTTAAGCCTGTTTACTCATGATCAGGCGCAATATGTCGACGGAGCGGGTTCGACAGCTGGAGGACGCGGGTGTGGGCGCTCGAGGAGTTTCACCTGGGCAATTCAGTTCGGCCAGTGGTCTCTCATCGCCGCCACGGTCGAGTCCGGAGCCAGCATCGCCGTCCGCCCAATTTGCCAACGAGAGTAATTCCAACCAAATTTCAAGTATCACGGTCAATCCTCCTGGCGTTGTTGTCGAAAATTCGGCAGAGAAGCCGGCACGGCGTAAGCCCGGCAGAAAACCCGGATCCGTCAACAAGCCGAAGAATAACGCAGACAGCTCAGCGACCAATACTGACGCTCCCAAAGTCAGAAAACCTCGCAAGCCGCGAGATCCAAATGCCCCTCCTATTCAACGCCGAAAGAGAAATGCAGGCTCAGATGCTAATTCGGTTGTTGAAATCAAGACCGCTGCGGGTGTTCCGAGGCCGCCACAAGCTGTTGCTGAGGCATTGCCGGATTTTCATGTTCCCGCTTCTGTCCCCACCCAACAGGCCCAAAAAGGCAAAAATGAGGATATTCAACGACCCATTCAGTCTTTCTTCTCCAACGCTCCCCCACCCCCACCCCCGCAACAAGCTCAACCACAGCAGGCTCAACCACAGCAACCAGCTCGCACCAGCGGTCAGAATTACGATCCTATTCGGTCTAATTTCGATCCCGTCAGAGAAACCGTGGTTACTCATAATTCGTACAACAACTCTCAAGGCTCGCCGAGTCATCCTCACTCCATGAATCGCGCCAGCGCGTCACCGTCAATCTCAAGCTTGGTTGATCCCCCGAATCAAGCCTTAACGTCACCCTCTATCGCTGCACAATCCTTCTTTAATCAACAGCAGCAGCAGCAGCAGCAGCAAGCGAGGTTCCACAACGAAGGTCACACTTCAGTGCCTCCATCTCCAACAGCCAATAGGTTAGCGCCTTCCGCAATTGTTGAACCTTGCACTCAAAAGCCACCTACTCCAGTCGCAATGGCCGTAAAGAAACAGGACATCGCACCCGCCCCTGGCCCAACAACTATCTCAAAGAAAGGCAACGGTCCTGGAAGCACCGCAACTTCTTCAGCTGCCGCATCACCGAAGCCCCATAAGCTCAAAGAGCCAAAGGAATTATATCCCACGCCGCCCCCTCTTCCAGGATCCGGCCTCATGCAGCTCGGAGGCGCTGGAGCAGCCGATGGCGCAGAGTTTCGAGCCCCTACTGTCATCCTGCAAATTCCTCTTAATGGCGAGGTGAATAAGTACGTCAACTTCACTCGTCTGGCGGAGGAACGTTACGGTTGGGATGCACTCCACCCCCGACTGGCTGCTCAGAGAGACCGCCTTGCTCGAGTAGCCGCCGCTGGAGCCGCCTTGGAGCGTAACGGATCAAACAAGGATAGCGGTGACGAAATGTCACTTGACTCGGAAGCCGAAGGAAGCAACATTGAGATGGGTGGCATGAGTGATGGACGCACTGGCACTGATGGAGGAGCCAAGAGGGTTCCGAAGAAGAGAAAAATGAAGGAAGATGAGTATGACAAGGATGATGGATTTGTTGATGATTCGGAGTTACTTTGGGAGGAGCAAGCTGCTGCTGCCAATGATGGCTTCTTCGTGTACTCTGGTCCACTTGTTCCAGAGGGCGAAAAGCCTGCTTTAGATATCAGGTATGTTTTTGCATTGGTCATACTTGGGGTAGAACTGACTGTTTTGGCAGAGCTGATGGCGCCCCAAAGCGTGGTCGAGGACGTGGCAGCCGTGGAGGAGCTCGTGCTTCAAGCGGTCGTGGAGGTGCTGCTGCTCTGGCTGCATCCACTGGCTTGCGACCAAACGGCCTTCCACTTTCAGGACCTGGCTCACGAGGCGGATCTACCACTCGAAAGCCGCGTATCACCAAGGCGGATCGTGCTCGCATGGAGCAAGAAAAACTTGATAGGGAGAAGATGGGAAGCATGACTCAGATACCCGGCAACTATGGAGGCGGGATGGCTCAGTTGGCGAGTGCTCCCAACTTGGGTAACACACCTATGGTTTTCAATCAGTGAGCGAGCACAAAAAAGTTTCTCGCCGTTGATGTGTGAGAGTAGTTCTTCTGATTATTGTAAGATTTGGCGGAGTTCATTGCGGAAGACACATGCATTGGGGCCGAGGTGTTTACATATTGTTCTGTTCTGTACAAAATACTTTGCTTTCACACTGCATTGCGAGGAGGGACCTGTAGAGGGCAGCACTCGGTAGCACGTTGCTATTGAACCACGGGATAATAAAAGAAGCATTGTCATGAGTCTTCTGGCTGAGAATAATTGACAAAGGCAGACCAAGACATGGTTGACTATGAACCATGAACCCGTTGTGAAAGGGTTGTTGTAATATATTTTTGGCGAAAGACTTTGTAATCACATCAAGTATTGCCTTTCTCGACCGCTCTGAATCGCGATGGATAATTGCTGATTTCTCTGACAAGTCAGAGGAAGATGTATTCCCATCTGGCTACGTGCTTACCGCGGATTGCTTAAAGCGGCGGCCATCTCCGTCATCGCAGACAAAATTCCCACCAGCAAACAATCAACCAGGCTCCTCTGACAACAACAAAGTGTTCACAATGGCAACTGTACAGCAGGCGAGAGCGCCTGAAAAGAAGAAAGAAAGGCCAAGTGCATTACGATCAATTATTGCTGGGTCTACTGCTGGAGCTGTGGAGATTGGTGAATTGTCCAACCATCGATAAGCCTGAGCTTTGCTAACTGTAAGACAGCCATTACATACCCTGCCGAATGTATGTATCTGTTCCATTTACTACAACTGCCTCGGACTATCTCCAAGCACGCGGAAGGCTGGGCATTCTGGAGGATACATGGATGGGTGCCCGCCTGAGAAGATTCTGGCTGACTGTGCTGGGCTTAGTTGCGAAGACGAGAACACAATTGAATCGCAGATTGCCAGATGCAGCAAAGCTGCCATGGCCACCGTTTGGAAAAGCCTGGTATGCGGGGTGCACGACGTTGATTATCGGGAATTCCCTGAAGGCTGGCATTCGTAGGTCTCCCGCCCATAAGCTTCTCGTCAAAGAAAGGCGCCGACAGGAACATAGGATTCGTGGCTTTCGATCAGTACAAGGCATTACTACAAGATTCCAATGGGAATATATCAGGCCCGAGAACAGTGATTGCTGGGTTTGGAGCTGGTGTCACCGAGTCTCTGCTGGCTGTTACTCCGTTTGAGAGTATCAAGACTACCTTGTTCGTCCTCCTTATTGTCCCTTATGGAAAGTGTGGTCTAACTGCTATAGAATCGATGACCGCAAGAGTGCCAATCCGAGGATGAGAGGCTTCCTCCATGCTGTGCCTATTATTGCCCGCGAACGAGGAATTCGCGGGTTCTTCCAAGGCTTCGTACCCACCACTGCCCGACAAGCAGCGAACAGCGCGACTCGATTTGGATCATATACCTTCCTACGCCAAGTTGCACAATCATACACAGCTCCGGGCGAGAAATTGGGAGCTCTCTCGACATTTGGAATTGGTGGGATAGCGGGGCTCATCACAGTTTATGTTACGCAGCCCCTCGATACCATCAAGACGAGGATGCAAAGTATCGAGGCGAGAAGTCTGTACAAGAACAGCTTTACTTGTGCCGCTATGATCTTCAAAAATGAGGGGGTGCTGACTTTCTGGAGCGGAGCTTTGCCAAGGTTGGTGAGGCTGATGTTGAGTGGTGGGATTGTGTTTACGATGTATGAGAAGAGTATTGATCTCATGGATAAGTTGGATCCTGATAAGAAGTACGTCTAGATGGCACCCATGCAGGGCGCCGTGTTTGGATGGATCTGGAGCATGCAGCAGGGCGTTCAGGAGTTCACAGGATGGTTGAATATAGAATCGAGGTTCTGCTTTACATCAAAGCGCCAAACGCCTTTATGGGTACATAATGTACAAGTCTCATTGAAATCGTAAGAAGCCCTTCCATTTGTTCATCTGTTGGCTAAACCAACTCCTCTCAGGTGCCTCCTCTAACTCCTTCACCAAGTCTGTATAATGTGTCGGGTTGCTCACCGGCTTCATCAGAGAGCCAGTAATTGGATACTGTGCACAGAAACTGTCAGTGATGGCTCTCGTAAGACAAAAGCAGGGATCGTGCCTTCCGACTGTACCGGTTCTCTAATAGAGAATATATGGCATTGACTTGACCACATTCTACCTTCTCATCTATAGCACTATTTGCAACTGCTTGCGCGGCATCGGGAGTGTTTGGAGAGGATGCAGGGAGGAATCGTTGGTCTATTCGTCGTTGCATGACATCTTGAAATTGGCATTCGGGGCGCAGATTGTCTTTTGGCCAGCGCGAAAGAGCTCGCAGGTAGTGTTTATAGGTTATCTACAGGAAAAATTAGCAAATATGTAGAAAGAAGAGTAGTTGAAGTTTACTCACCGATTTAGACATTATGAATCATCCTTGAAAGGAAGTGAGGAATGTTTTTTGGCGATACCGACATCAATCTGAAGTCTTGACGTTCTGCATAAAAAGGCTTGGCGCTTGCGAGAATTTATAAAACCACGAAACTCTCGATAAAACCACGGAACTACGAAACCCGCCTCCGCCTCCATTGCCTTCTAATCTTGTCTCCTCATTGCACCACACTCATTCAACCACCCTACGCTTTCTCACTTCAACTACTGTAGACTCCTCGGAGTCGGAAGCGTGTGCCTTTCTTTGTCTCTACACAAGACGCACGATGAGCTCACAACGATATGAAAGAGTACGTTACCACCCGGGAAGCCTTGCCACGCAATCCATCAAGCCTGAGGAGCATAATACTAACCGCCATCTCCAGGTTTCTGCGAACGATGAAGAGTCTCCAATAAGCCCTCAGACACCCTCCTCACCTCCTCCGTCCTTTCGATCTCATGCCTCTTCGCCAACACGACGTCCCACGACCGTGGACCAAAATCTAGCGGACACATTCGATGCCAATGGTTCTGATAGTGATGAAGAGAATGATGGGGATGATAGACAGCGACTGATGCGAGGGACGCCGACCTCCTCATCGACGGAGCAGCTCAATACCGACTTGAGGACACCATCCGAGACACCCCGGCCGCCTGTGATCGAGAGGCGGCCGACTCATCTACCCGAGTTCGCTCCCCCACGACCTACTGGGAGGGTATATGGCGGAGGATCTGGCTCAGATGGTGTATTTGCGAATCTCAGCGCCAAGCCCGAAGCTGGCGAGAAGACGGAGGAACATCCACCAGTAAGTAGACCAAGTCGCTTCGGACATAGCAGCGGGGCTGACAAGATTCAATTAGACGTACGAGCAAGCGGCAGCAGATGCAGCACCTCCGTACTGGGAAACTACAATCCTCGCACCCGGACTCGGCGGCCCAGACGAAGTCTACGTCGACGGCCTTCCCGTTGGTTCCGTCTTCTCCTTCATCTGGAACGGCATGATTTCGATGTCCTTCCAACTCGTCGGTTTCCTCCTCACCTACCTTCTCCACACTACCCACGCAGCTAAAAATGGATCCCGTGCCGGCCTTGGTATTACTCTTGTTCAGTACGGATTCTACATGAAGGGATCAGGCGTTTCGTCTCCTCCTTCGAACGGCCAAGATCCCACATATGCACAACCTCCAGACCCGAACAGCCACAATTTCGATCCCAACCAAGTGAACACAGCTGCACAAGGAATGGACAGTACAGGCTCATCAGGGAGCTGGAGTAGCGTTGCTAATACCGAATGGCTTGCTTACATTTTGATGGTTGTTGGATGGTTTATCTTAATCAGGGCCGTGAGCGATTTTCTTAAGGCGAGGAGGCATGAGCAATTGGTGTTGCAGAGCCCGGAAAGAGGTCTGAACGTGCCTATAATTGCTACCGGGGAAGAGGCCGAGACAGTCGTCTGAGGGATGAGCCATGTCGGTCTGTTTGATGTAGGAGTTCATTTGCAAAGGGAGGGGTGTGCGTTGTTTGGACAGCAGGGCGTTGATTGGGGATTGAATCGCTGGTTAGAGTCTAGTAAATGAATCATCTTTGATATCCTACCAATTCTTACTCCTTGGTTTTCTGGGATTACTGTTTTCGTTTGTCTTGCTCTTCTCTCTCCTCCTGCAGTTAGATTTAGGCAAGCAAGTGTTGCAATGAAACTAGAATCCATAGCCTTTCTTTACAGTATACGCTTAGTTAAAGCATCCGCCTCGATATCAAGAACTTGAAAGCCGGACTGCAAGACTGACCGCAGACACTCTGTTCTCAAGAGAGGTTCAAGCCGAGTTCTGTGGTTGCCCGAAGGTGAGGGTTCCTTTCCTGCTAAACGAGCTTTAATGCATTTACTCAGCTACAGACTAAAGGCACAGCGAGGGGCGCCTTTTTCAACAACTTGCAAATGCGATTTTGTTTGGGGTCTATGAAATTGATTCTTCATTTTTGAGGACATTGCCAATGTGCCAAAGTTTTGGGATACTCAGTGCGAACTGGAATCGTCCAGGTATCAGATCCATTTTCCATTTTGTGGAATGGAAAACCTTTCTTCTCAGTAATATTCGTTGCAAGACGCACTTAATCGTCCAAATATCGAATGGTTAAAGTGCTTTTTTATCACATCAAACCCCTTCTATCTCATTGCGATTCGTTGCACGACGCACTTGTTCGTCCAAACATCAGATGATTAAGATTATATTTTATTACATTAAAAGTCTTTTCATGTCATACTGTCTTTCATCAGATGTTAGTAGTTATTGTGCAACAAAATGGCTCGAATTATGCCCACTGTCGACCCATACTCCCAGATAAAAGTACCTTGCATCCCGTCTAAGCCTTTATAAAGACTACATAGTAATATATAATAAAACACCTGTTCCCAGACATCCACCCTCCTCCCTATTATCAGATAAAAACCAGCTCTCTTCCCATCTTCCAAGCTCGTAATGCTGTGAACTGAAACCAGCAAGTCAAGATTCATTCGAACTCAAACTTAACCCACTCAAAATAGACCATATGTTCTCCATGTACCAAAGCTTTTGGAACATTGATGCGGGGTGCAACAAAACACTTCCAAATGCACTACCCATTCGATTTCGAGGAGACCAGGGAATCCCAATTATAAGTAATACTCAATACCGCTTTCTTAGAGGGCATCAGGCTGTTTCGAGTCGGTTCGTGTTCTTACGGAGGGGGCTGTTGAATTTGGTTTGAGGAAAGGCTCCCTAGAACGGTTTGGAGGCATGGGGCGGAAAGGGGCAAGGAGGTGGGAAAAGTTGAGTATGGCAATAGTAGCTCAAAGACGAGACGATTGAGAGGAACTGCTGGGGTTCGATTTCGAATGTATTTCCTGACTACTGCCAGCGGCAATGCAGGCATAGCTGATCATTCGTCAAGAACACATAAATAGTCCTTAATTATTAAGAGTGGGGAGCTACCAGGTTTACTTATGCTCCGTTCAACTTGATAGTTGCTCAATTGAGCATAAATATAAGTATATCATAAGAGGAACTAGTACTTGATTTTGCAATTTGGATTACTCTATTCTGCTGTGCGAAATGCTGCTGATTTTGCTGCTTGTTATAGGTCTTTGCTTGAAACCGGCATGATGGGAGAGGACTATATGCTGACTCTTTTATGGTTTAGTTAGGGAACCAAAAGAAAATCAAACAGATATGCATAAATACTATGCTTTTCTAAGTAATCATATATGCTGAGCTAAACCTGAAGCCACAACAAGGCTGTCACGCGCCACCACCCCGCATTTTCGGTTCTTGCGTCGCGTCAGCCTCATCCCATCTCTCTCGATTCAGTGGCGGACATCTTCTGATAACCACGACTTGCGGTGCTCAAGCTCGCAATGCTCAAGCATTCCCCTACAATCCTTTTCGTAACCAACATCTGAGGATTTTTCTTGTACATCAAAACAGCAAAGGAACAACAGCCAAACTGAATCGTTTACGAACTATCTTCGGCCCTCTCCGCGGGACGGCGAAGCACAGCAACATGGCGTGGCGATGCTCGGGATCTAGCAACAAAGAATTGGTGGATAATTTGTTCCGGGGTGGGTTGATTACGAGTTCGAGGGTACGAGATGCTATGATGAAGGTTTGTGCTCTTTCTCCCTTCTTCACAAACATCCTCTCTTCAACCACACGTTCCTATCAACTTCATGCGATTGCTAAGAACATGGATGGCAGGTCGACCGCGCACATTACTGTCCAGAACCGTCATATGCCTATGAAGACTCTCCCCAATCTATCGGCCATGCAGCCACGATCTCAGCACCGCACATGCACGCCTCAGCTGCCGAGTCCCTCCTCCCTTACCTCAAGCCCGGAGCCCGAGTTCTAGATATCGGTTCTGGCTCGGGATATTTAACTGCTGTATTGGCAGAACTTGTGTATCCGCAGGAAGCGGATGGGAAGGGCGAGGCGGGCAAGGCGAGAGTGGTGGGATTAGAGCATATCAAGGCGCTGAGAGATATGGGAGAGAGGAATATGATGAAGAGCGAGAGGGGAAAGAGCTTGCTTGGGGAGGGGAAGGTTAGTTTTGTTGTGGGGGATGGGAGGAAGGGGTGGAGTGAGGGTGAGGATGAGGAGAAGGGTTGGGATGCTATTCATGTCGGGGCTGCCGCCGTTGAACTCCATCAGGAGTTGGTTGATCAACTCAGAAGTCCTGGACGGTGAGTCTGGTGCCGTCTTTTGAGAGCTTGGGGGCTGATGAAGGTATCGCAGGATATTCATCCCGGTGGAGGACCCGGATGGGTATGGACAGCATATTTGGACCGTGGATAAGGATGCCAAGGGGCTAGTTACGAAGAAGAAGTTGTTTGGTGTGAGATATGTACCGTTGACCGATGCGCCGAAGTAGTCCTTGGCCTTCTTCCTCTGTTGAGATACGGTCTTATGGAACGATGGGAATGATTTTATGAAAGTATGGAGTTTGGATAATCTGCCAAATAGAACAGTAGCATTCGAACGCTCCCGGACTGAGTGGTTCGTGGACTAGGCGCAAGACTTGATTTTGAGCTGGAAGTCGCTCGTAGAATGAATGGATGGATCTCACAATGTGTTTCGTCATGCCTGCATTGGCAGCAGGGGGAGGCTTTTGGTAGACATGTGAAGACGATGGGTGAAGGGGAGCCTCTCCGCGGATGGACGAGAAAATTCGGAGTGTCACAATACTCGAATTCTTACTTCCCTATGAAGTTTTTCAAGAAGCAAGTTTCTGGAGATCTTGTGTCGTTTATCTTGTGGATGGACGGGAGATTTTGGAAAATGAAAATAGCGATAACTGTGGGCCGATTCTCGAATATGCAACTTCAAATTCAATACCTAGTGGAAAGAGTTCTTTATTGTGCCAATTATTGGAAGACTCGAAGCGGGTGGTTGGAACGTGGCGTCTGCGGCAGGTACCTCTGTGTACCAAGCATCGCAATTGATGAGGAATAACAATTCCGTATGGCAGCGACTACAAGAAAATGACAAAATGACTTCAAGGCCAGGGGATCTATCATTTCCGAAAAACCAGCCGAACAGAATTCCATATTGAAATTCCCCACAAGTGAGAATAAATTAAGTAACACAAGCTAGTTAAGGAGTCCTTAGCACCTCGATCTGAGAACCCTTGTTCTAATAGCGGAGAGCCTTACGATCAAAATCCCATGTTTCTGCACATGGGATTTTGATTTGATCAGCGCTAAACCGCCAGGGGCTGGCCAGATCGGAGCGCTTTTAGCTAACGCCATTTTTATTCGAGTGCCTTATCCGAGGCTTTTTCGTGAGGGGGCTCCAAAAAAGTCCAGTTCAGCTTCGTGTGCTAGACAACGGCGGTGCGCGGAGGAGGGTTTGGGGGAAGGCATAAGGCAGTTTGAGCAGGTTGATGAGAACAAGAACACGATCATGTGACCATTAGTCTATCTCTTGTTTACTTGAATCCAACTCCAATGAGGCGATCTGTACATCCACGAGTCCTCTTCAAAAACTGCCGTCTCGACAGATGTTTGCCCGTCCCGGAGGCGATAAACCAGTGCGGATTTTCTAGCGTTTTAGAACCCGGCACTGCGCACCCTTCTCTCTGCGCTTGAAGTCACCAGGTATTTTCCACGCTTCTTGCGTGTGGGCACAGAATCGGGGTGCTTTATTCCACATGGCTATTAATGAAAGACACATGCCAACCGCGAGAAAGCTTCATGCCAGGGCCAACTAGAGTGCCGTATAGACCAATCAGATTGACTATTCTGACCTCTTGCAAGCCATGCTCTTCAAAGTTGTTATGAGCTTTGCCAACCCGTATCGCGGTCCATCTGCTCTAGCTTCCCCAAGAAGAAGAGTCTCTTTGCTGGGCCGAAGGCAACGGCAGCGGAAATCACCCGGCGTAGCGTACAGCACGAGGTCTCGTAGCATACAGTGCAGGACAGCAGTAGACAGGGATATTTGAGGGGCTCACTGCAGATCGATTCTAGCGTCGATTGGCGACACCCGGCAGTGTGCAGGAACTCCCCTCTTCCCTCCTCCCCCAACCACTCACCTCAGAAGCACAGGAGAGGACAGAGGGCGCCGCCATCTGAGGCTTCGAGATTTGAGGTTCGAGGTTCGAGGTTCGAGGTTCGAGATTGCTAGGCCAACAAGCCGCCGTGATCCGCGGGGCAGCGCAGCGAGCCACACATCAGAGCAGCCTCCCAGTCTCCCCCACCCCCGCCCCGTGCACGATTATCGCCACCAGAGTAGTCACCCTTCCTCTCTGATTTCCAATTGCATGCCGCGCGCTGCGGGGCTAGCCTCGGACCAGCAGCTGCCCGTCGACACCGACGTCCCGTGCGATTGGACAGGAGCCTTTGAGGGCTTCCCATCTTCCTGGCACACATGGCATTCTGGCACCGCTGTGTCAGACCAGGGACGGCGAGATGCGCATGCGAATTCGAGCTTGCTCTCACCGAGGGCAACGTCAGAACTTTCAGAGGCACGCAGACGGGATAGGAAGGTGCCCGTTACCCTCCCCGAAGGACGGCGCCGGCGAGGAGACTGGAAGTGGGCGTCGGCATGGGCCATGGAGCTCGCAGTGGCTCTCTGCATTATAAGGTTTGGCTTCCCCAGACCAGACTTAATAACTTTCAATACCAACCGTAACGTCACGGTTGATTTATCTGCTACACCAACCATTCTTGACCTTTACCAATTCCTGACGGAGCAGCCTGAGACGCTGAATTCTATATTTGCGTTTTCTGTTTCAAAACACAAAGACCCGGGCTCCCATTCGCACACAGCCACCAAGCACGCACAAGCAAATCCCCTCGCCTCGCTTCTGACCTCCCTCGCCTTCCTCGATCCCCACGACCTTTTCCAACGGCCGTGGCAATCGCCGTCCACGAACGTCAATTCTGCTCCGAGTTGCGGCGCCACACAAGAATTATTGTCTTACGACGGATCTGGTATCTGTCCCATAATCAACAGGGCGCGCTGTTAGAAGCTGCCCCGTCCGTTATTCGCTTCCTTGTCAACCTCATTGTCGAAAGTCTGGTACACTTTACCTACCTACGACCGGCCTAGATCTCCAGATTCTAGACCTCTGCACAGGAACTTTGCAGCGCATCTGACGTATCTTTTATCACTTCGGCCGCATCGATCGAGCACGCACGTTTACTAAGGAACGAAAGCCCCTGGACTTGTTGATTTTAACGAGAAGACGAAGCAATTATAATGCCCCCAACCAGAACTCTCCCACCGGCGAAGGCAGTCAAGGTGCGCACTGAACCCCATTACCAGCCCACCCGCTAACTTTGAACAGACGGAACGAACACACGAGGAAAACCAAGAGCGAGCCTATATCGCTGCTTCCAGGAGAAGTGACAGAAGCTTGGAAGCCCGGGTGGAGTCCGCACGACGAGCCTCTGAAATACACAAGCGCCGGACAGGGCGCTCTTTGCGTGTGACAGAGCAAGACGTGATCAACGAAGAAATGTACGAAGAGGAGGATGACGACCTGCCAATGCAATACCGACGACTTACGGCACATCTTCAGACGGGCAATGCGGATTTCAATAGGCGGTTATCAGCGTACCTGACGAACCACGTTGCGATGAGGAGCGCCCTCGAGCAATCAATATCGAACTCCTATGCACAGCAATATCCCAATTCCCCCCAGTTCGCGAATCAGCACTCCATGTTCCCATCTCCAATGCTAGCACACCAGGGCCAGCAGCAAATGATGCAACCACCTCAAAGTCCACCCATGTACAGACAAGCACCTTACCCTTCTTCGAGACCGCAGCAACAAGTATTTCAACCTACTCCACACCAGCGGTCAGCTTCAATTGCCACACCGCAGGAGCTATCGAACTCGGCCCACAGTTCTGTTATTAAAAATGACTCTCGAAGGAAGTCAATGCCCGTCGTTCCAGCTCCAACCGGTTCTCCCGTTCAGACCCGTACTCCTGTGTCAGCCTCGAGCACCACACCCCAGCAAAAGCCTTCCTTCCCAGAGGGTAGCTTTTTTCAGCAGTATAATCCAGTGTCCTATGGCATGTCCTCATTCAATAACAACTTCAGTCCTTTCAGCACTGCCCTGCCAGCAGAGTCACAAGGCCTACTTGGCTCGACGATGAATATGAACGATCCACTCACGCAGATGATGATGCAAGGAAGTACGACCTTGCCCGGAAAGTCTTACGATTTCAGCAACCAGTCACTCCCACAGACGACCAGTATTGGAAAGCAGCAACCCTACCCCAGCCTAGACGGATTAAACTCGACTCTTGCTCCAGCATCGTCACAAGAGCCCCCACAACGTCACCAAGGTTACAACAATTCTCAAGACTGCTTCAACGAGGCACCCAATGATAGTAGCAGCGGAATAACACCATTGGGGACACCAGGAGGAACGAATGACTGGCAAAACTACATCAATGCAGACGCGTGGGACCTGCCCTCTTCTCAGACATCGCAGTGATCTCTTGATGGGGTCTTCAACATTTCACTTCACTGTCTATATTATTTTCACATGACCCTTTTAACGCATTCACCGATGATGGTGTCTTTTAAGCATCTGAGGTTTGCATGATACCATACACATCAACTCCAGGAGTGTGGCGCATTCCGGTTGGCCCCTGGTTAGAGAAGGATCCTATCAGGGAGCACCCCGTGACGATTCACGGTTACGGAGCAAGGATCATTTTTCGCGATGAAATGCTACACTCGTTTTCCTGCAGTTCCTCAAAATCTCAACCCTTGACTCAGATTGCAGGCTAGCCTCGTTATTTTGTAAGAGGCGAATGGGGTATGAGAAGTCTGTTGTTGCTTGCTCTAGAGTTGTTGCATTGGGCAGAAACGGGACTTGGAGAACGAAGATGACGACGGGGGCATTGCTTTTGGCTGACAGCAAAAAGCTGTTGGTAGAATCATAATTAGTAAGGGATGAATGCAGATAAGACAGATAAATCTCACCTTGCTCAGGCATACGAGTTGAAATCAAGAACAACTCACATGCCACACTGTTCCCTTCTGATGTGAATCCTCCTTTCTCAGCAATAAGAGATGAACTCAGAAACAATCCACATGCCAAACTCTTCTCCTGTGGGATCAAGGGTCCAGGCAAAGAGATGGAGGTTTCCGTCACTAGCATTGCATCATGTGGGGGTCTAGTAAAGGCAGTGCCGGCGCTTGAGTTCATAAATCCGCCGTTAGAGACGTTCGGTCCAGAAATTTTCATACAACGGGCTTCAGAATCCGAATTGGCATCTAGAACTTCGAAAGGTGGGGTAGTTCCAAGAGCCTTGGCGGGGTAAATGTTGGATGGAGTGCTTTTGACATCAGAGACCCTCTCTAAATCATGCCGATGCAAATGGCTTGCTCTTCCGCATTGGAATAAATATTCAAAAGTTTTCGTTTTGAGGACTCCCGAGGAATTGCTTGGCATCAAGGAACCCTGGCAGCGGTACTTCATCAAATTATCCTTGAATTATCATGTGAAGGGTCAAGAGAAGGGAGGGGAAGTAACCAAAAGCAACGTATTTTGGTAGTCGGAAGTTTCTTTACACTGCTTGAAGCGGATTCAGGGGCCACAGTTCTTGAGTTGACGTCGAGGAGCTTGAGACTGCGTGGTAAGAGCCCTACGGGAAGGGTACCTTACCTTTCCTGAGTAGTTCAGTGGACAAAAAGTTTGAGCCTTCTCGAAGAGCCATTATCTTACGATGTGGTACAGTCTACAAATTGGGCTGGAAGAAGTTGACAATGGCAAATCCCAGATCGCAAGACCGTGGCAATGACAGATATGCGAAGAGAATATGTCTCTTTACCATTTCTCACGCGAGCTGAGGTTGGTTAATAAGAATGCAAAGGTCGGGTCGGACTATCTCAGCGTTTCTTTGAAAGGAAGGACATTTTACTGTTTTACATTTCTGGGTGGGTGAGGTGGCCCAGATAGAGCCCAGAATTGCTATCCCGCAGAGGTGGTTCCAATAGAAAGAGTGCCCACAGTTTCGTGGCGAAGACTTTTGGGGTAAGTGATTCCCAACAGGAAAGGCGGTCAGACATCTTTTTTTTAGAAGCAGCCCTTCTCATTTTTATTCCGAGTAGAAGACAATATAAAAAAGACAAAAACAGAATTCTCAAACTACTGCTATGATCCCTCAACTCTCTCCCCAATACTCGACAAAGTCAGTGGACCTCCTGTGTCCTCGATTAACGACGCCCAATTACCAAAAGCCTCAAAAGCCGCCAAAAAAAAAAGAGTTCAAACCAATAACAAAATAAAAAACAATCAATTACTTCAGACGGGCAAAGCAGTTCGGCGCTGGCTAATCCATCTTCCACACGTTTTACAAATGCCTATATCTGCCCTGGATTTACAGGAAGAGGTTCAGCTCCAGGACTCTACTTCTCTTCTTAACCACTCATCCGGAGTATTCACTAACGTACCTGGGAAAGTGAGGTACCGTGCAGCCACGAAGCCAGTGAGTGATAGTGAGTGCAAAATCGCTTAAATTTGGAAACCACGTAACTTGACCTCAATTAAATATCTCAGTACCGTTACACTAATTCAAAGCATTGGGAGGTGTGCAGACGGTTGTCTTATTCTCTAACAGGACATGAAAATTGGCCGCTGCCTAATAGCCTCTTAAAAACCACAACCTCATACCAGACTGAAGGTTCAATGACAGAGGTTTGGCACCAGCACCTGGCTGAAGCAGACGGCAACATTTGCAATGCACTTCAATTGTTTCACTTCAGGAGAAATAGTAGATCAACAAATTCAAGAAGTGTCAAGTGCGATTAAATCAAAGAAGGGATGTTGCCAACGCCTTCTTAAACCTATAGTCAGTCTTTTCAATGTACAAAGAGCTCGTCGCCAACATAGATCTTATCTATATGGCGCATCTGCTCTGGCAGCCGCCGCTAGTTCCGGCTCCCATTTATCTCCATTGGCAAGTAGTTTCTCTGCGAGATCGATTAGTCTGACACAATTCTTGTTCACGGGAGATGGTACAAACCTTTATTGTAGAGTAATTCTTCTCTTGTCTCAGTGGCGTACTCAGCGTTCGGCGATTCGACAATAGCATCGACTGGACAGCTCTCCTGGCAGAATCCGCAGTAAATACACTTCGTCATGTCGATATCATAGCGGGTTGTTCTTCGGCTTCCATCTTCGCGCTCCTCGGCTTCGATAGTAATAGCTTGAGCGGGGCAAATCTATCAACACAATCAGCCATAGCACTGAAGACCGCAATCAACCCGACTCACGGCTTCACACAGCTTGCATGCAATACAGCGCTCTTCGCCGGAGGGGTATCTTCGCAGAGCATGCTCGCCTCTGAAACGTGGAGAAATTGGTCCCTATATCCACATCAGCTCCTGTCTCTCCATCTACACCAGCAGTCTTTCTATGTACCTTCTCGAACGGATAGTAGATGGTATATCTGCAATATATTAGCCTCTTCCAACGCAAAATAGAAGCTCAATGGCAAGACTCACGGAGGTCGGAAGAATTGTTCCAACACAACATACATCCCCCGCGCCATCTCGGTCAAGAGGAAATATTTTCCCGCCTTGTCCAGCGAAGATTCTTTGCTCTCATCCCATCTTTCCGGCTTTGGCAATCGGAAACCTGGGGGGGGTGGTCCAGAGGGAGTGGCGTACGCCCGAAGGGTGCTTGTCGAGAAGGCGGGCAAAGGACTTGAAGAAACTGCAAGAGGGCGCACAGCACTGGAAAGCCTGGCCGCTGGGCGACTTCGAGCCACGAGCATCGTTAAAGGCTTTGCAGATGCCATTGTGTGGTTGCTCGTGGCAAGATGGTTGAAGAGGGGTGGACTTGAGGTGTGGAAACGGGAGCGTAGATGTCGAACACGGACTAATGCGTTTGCGGTGATTGGCTAGTAGTTATGAGCTCCAATTGCCACAACAAGAATCGATACTGGTGTTCTACCTTGAGAATGAGTTAGAAGAGAGTATCAGAACACTTTATCTTTTTGTTTTCTTCTGTGAGTCTGTTTCTCGAAAAGGTATTGCTCGTAAAGAGCTTACTGCATCACGTGACCAACTCGACCTAAAAATTCCGAGCCGAAAGAGAAGCTTCGAACAGGACATCGTCAAATTTAGACATCGACCCTCTTCAGCCATTCTCTCCGAGCCCTCACAACCCTCAAAATGTTCCGAACAACTCTCCTCAGTTTAGCACGCAGTGCTACCGGCCAAGCAATCCGAACTTCAGGCGCAATTGCGCGCCCTGTTGCCCCAAGCTCATTCATCACAAAGTCCCGGTTCGCCCCTTCAGCTTTCCAAGCTGCAAGATGTTACTCTGCGGCTGCGGGCCTGTCAAAGCCAGAAGTTGAGGGGAGAATAGTTGATTTGTTAAAGAACTTTGATAAGGTAGGTTTTGGTCTGGAAGCTACAAGGCATTTGCTAATCTGATCCTTCAGGTTTCCGACCCGTCGAAGGTACGATATGCATGGAACGTATAGTTTGTGTGTATATATTGACCATAGCAGCTCTCACCTACATCACACTTTTCGAACGACCTTGGCTTGGACAGCTTGGATACCGTTGAGGTTGTGATGGCGATTGAGGAGGTGAGTCGCTTCCAGATGAAGCCCGCCCAGGTTCTGACATGTCCTTAGGAATTCAGCATTGAGATCCCTGATAAAGAGGCAGATGCCATCCACAGTGGTACGTGAAGACTGGGACGATCTAGTGTGTCCAAGCTCTGACTTCTTGCAATAGTCGACAAGGCAGTCGAGTACATTCTTGCCCAGCCAGATGGTATGTCCAGCACGGTGGAAAGTCCTTTAAAACTTGAATTCAGCTAATTGTCCCTAGCTCACTGAATATTTGCATTGTATATTAGATGTTGAAGGGAGCTCATATAGGAGACCTAAGCAAGATGGATGGGCCATTGAATGACCACTCATGGGGGGAACTTTGTACGACGAATCAATGTTGCATCAGGAGCATATTGATTCCTTCGTCTGTAAAAATGTTTAGATCATCTTACTCTTTCCTCTATGTGCGTTGCAGCTGCTGGTGTGAAAACAAGGCTAGCTTGCTAAACCCACCCGCTAAAAGTTCCAACCCACCATCCCTGTTAGGTAAATCTATCAAAATCGCATTGCCCACCGACAAAGCTTCATCCTCTCCACTTCATCCAACGTGCCCCACCGAGCGCACTCGACTGTCTGCGACAAGAGAAATTCTTCCAGCGAGCTCACCCTAATACCACCTCCGTTCTGAATTGGATCTGCGACTTCGCGTTTGTGCATGGCAGTACGGAGAGCCGTTATACCTGCATGAGGTCGAATCCCCCCCTTGTTCAATAATCCGAATCTACCACACCCATATAACACACTAAGAGGCCCCAGAATGTCTTCAGGACTCACTAGAAGAAGAGGCGGTGGTGGAGGAGGTGGAGGAGCTGACGATGAGAACGGAGAGTCGAGTCGCGTGGCTTCTCCAGTCCCCAAGGCTGGTGCCTCCCGCGACACGAGCGGGCCAGAAACCTCCTACGAAAGCGGCGAGAATGGCCACAAGATTGCGTTTGACCCAAGAGACATTAGTGAGAGTGCTGAGCGGAGCAAGCAACCCAAGTTGACGCTCATGGAGGAGGTGCTGCTGCTGGGATTGAAAGATAAGCAGGTAAGTGCACGAAGGGGCGCCTGTACAATTACATTCAAAACATCTAATATAATCTAGGGATACCTCTCGTTTTGGAACGACAATATTTCATACGCTCTGCGGGGATGCATTGTGATTGAGCTTGCGTTCAGGGGGCGCGTGAGTATGCAGAAAGACTCCTCCCGAAGGAGGTTCCCCTTGGCCGATCGAGTAATTGAGGTTATCGATGACACACTTACTGGCGAAGTTCTCCTCGACGAGACTTTGAAATTGATGAAGGGTAGTGAGAAGATGAGCGTTAGTTCATGGATTGACTTGTTGAGTGGTAAGGCAGCCTTGATATCTAAGCAAAATATTCATTCAGAAACCAAGTTCTGATTGTACATTACAGGAGAGACATGGAATCTCATGAAGATTGGATACCAATTGAAGCAAGTCCGGGAACGATTGGCAAAGGGTCTGGTCGACAAAGGAATCCTTCGAACTGAGAAGCGGAATTTCCTCCTTTTCGATATGGCCACACATCCTGTAGCCGATGGTGGAGCAAAGGAAGAAATTCGACGGAGAGTTCGAAATGTCCTGACACAGAGAACTGTTGTCCTACCAGCGAGCCAATTCCTCCCCGAAAACCTCGAATTCAAATACATTCGTACAATTGCCATGGTATGTGCAGCATACGCTGCCAATGTTCTCGAAAATGCTCTGGCTACTTTGGGACATGAGGCTAGAGAACGGGCATTTGCGCAAGTGGATGAGTTACTTGCGGAGTATAGTCAATGGCCGTTTGGAAAGAGGGCGGGAGGAGCTAGTGGTGTTGGTGCGAATTTGGGCCAAGTCGTTGCCGAAGAAGTCAGCAATGGCAAGGATAAGGAGTTGCAGCTTGAGGTAAGTCTCAACAATATAGCTCGCTTTAGCGAACAGGAGCTTACAATTTTTTAGGTGGTTGCAGCATGTCTTAGTGTCTTCACGAGACTGGATTCTCTGCTATGAATGTGGATGAGGACTTCGATTGTCCGAGGGAACTTGCGGAGTAGAAAAACACTTCTATCTTGTCTTAATAGTGGACAATCGTCCCCAAAATACCAGAGCGAATTTGCTACATCTTCTTCCGGGACGAAACCGCGTGGATTGAGTTGCCAGGTGTTCTTGACTATTTGCAAGTTGGCGTCCTCGCCGATTAGGGTTGCGCTTGGAACTGTAACATATTGTGTGCTTCGGCCGTTTAGCGGAATAACATGGCGCTTTCTGAATGATCATCATCTGTGGTGAAGAACGTAGCAATTTTCAAGGATGGGCTATGAAGAGACACATGAGGAATGAAACTGGGCTATCTTAGACAAGACCTTCCACATTTTTACAGGCCAGTCTACATGATAGCTAAAGCTAATTACAAACCGTGACTTTATTTCCGCTTCCCAGAGCCAAAGCTGCCCTCAAACCCGGGTCTGCTCTTGACTTTGGGCTTTTTGCTCTTCAAAGACTTTCCCTTCCCTTTCCCCTTCCCGCCCTTCTCATCTCGTCTCTTCTGGAGATTCTCCTCTCTTTTCTTCTGCCTCATCGCTTGACTCTTTGCAACACCGTCTTTCCTCTCGGTCCATTCCTTCTCGCTCTTCTTCTTCGCCTTTTCTTTGCGCTTCAAGGTCTTCTTCAGCAGAGATGTATCGTCCCGGACCTTTTCGCCGTGTGCCCGCTTCTTTGCATTCAGCCATAACTCTTTCTCCTCAATATCGGCACGCTTCTCCTCATCAAGACCAGCTATCCGTTGTCTCTTCTTCTCGCTAGCAAGCAATGCGGTAGCAGGATCTTGTGGACCTCTCTTCTTTGGTGCACTCAACAAGGTAGACAGATCGTCGGTAAGTTGTTGTCCATCCGCAAATGCCACGCGGCCGAAGGAAAAGTTGTGTTCTGGTGATTGAATATGTGGACTCAGCATGCTGGAAGCTGGCGAATCTCGAGCAGAGGCTAGAGCAGCTTCTCGTCTTGCATCCTCCTCGGCTCTAGCTTTGGCTTTCCGGGCTTGATGTTTTGCCCGGTCCTTTGCCTCCTTCTTTCTTCGTTCTTCGAGTAGCTCATCTCGGGTCCGTGCTTTCGGGTTTCGTTTGTTTCGGAGCTCTTCTATTCTGGCTTCCAACTTTGCTTTGTTGATGTGTTTGGGTACTTTTGCGGGAGGTATAACGGAGGATGTAGAGGTGTTGGCGCTAGGGTGGGCAGGGTCGTCGAATATAGGTGATGGTGGCGAGGGGCTGGGAGAGACGGTCTCCTCGTTAGGTTCTTTTTCTAATCCTTCGGCATCGAAATGGCCTATTTCGTCACCGGGGAGCTCCTCGTCTACTATAACGATGTCTTCCCCATCCTCGGCGTTCTCATCACCTTTGGCATCCTTCGCTTTGGCGGAAGACCTGGCAGAAACCTGTGGCTTTTGCTTTGCCTTTCCGACTAACTTTTCTTGGAGCCGCTTTGCCTTCTGTTCCCTCTTCTTCTCCAACTTGAGTTGTCGTTTCTGGTCTGCAACTGTTGTATGCGCGGAATCGGGTTCTTCTCTTGACGATTTAGGTCCTTCGTCCGACAGCTTTTGCTTCTTTGTTTTCTTCTCTTGTGGTTGCTTCAGGCCCTGCTTCGGAAGTTCCTTCTCCACCCCTTCTATATCAGACTCTTCCTTGTCCTCGTCCAACTCCTCCAATTTTCGCTTTCTCGCCCGCTCGTCCATGACGTCTTTCGCGCTCTTAGCAGATTCTGGGTCCAGCTTTGCTCGTCTGGCCGCAGCTGCCTGCTCCTTTGTCTGCTTCTTCTTCTTCCATTGGTCCTGGCGACAACACATCAGACATGTTTGTGAAAACACAGTGAAAAGTTTGGAGAACATACGCTAGTGTCCTCGCCATAGTAAAATTTTGCTGGAATGAGTGATAGCAATCCATCAAATGCTTCCGCGTGCTCACGCAATCGATCCTAGAGGAAGTGGTCAGAGGAAAGGCGAGGCGAACGAAAAGGCGGGGGACAATTTACCTGGAGCGAGCTCTCCGCCATCTTGAAGAATTGGTTCGTAAAGGAAGAAGGTGCTTATGGTGATCGAACGGCTCAAAATTCAACGGCCGTCCATGAGCAGAATCAATATGCAGACCAAATTTTGAGGTGTTGTTGTTCGATCTTGAACTTCCCTCGCTCACTTTCTTCGATAGTGCGAATTTGGCACGGTCCCGATAACTTTTTCTGTTCCACTCGCCTAACAAGTCTTAGCGGTTGCTATTCTCACACCCAATACACAATAACCCCATCCGCAGGATTGACAATGTCAACTCAGCCACATCCTCTTCGCAAGCCAGCTCACGATGGTCATTTCGGAAAAGGTCTCTTGATACAGAATGCACATACTACACGTCTTTTGTGAATGGCAACCGCCGGACTGCCGGAAATCAAAAGAGCCGACCTGCCCACGAATATCACTACTCACGCAGCATCCTTGCCATTGCTATTACCCCTGGCGGACGACTGTCACCCAGGTATGCTTCAGAAGAAGCCTGTCTTTGGATTGCATAAGGCTGATATCCACCAGTTTGGATCTTGAAATTCCTTCTGATTATTTCGACAAAGTACAGTCACTTGAGAATCTCAACAATTACTACACTACTTTGGTTACGTTGGTTCATCTTACTTGTTTGAAGGCAACTAAGCTATGGCTCCCCATGTTGAAGCAAATTCTTTGTCTGATATCACGCAACTTGCTTCGAATCCTCCGAAATATCCTCGAAATCCTACAGAACCAAGAAAATCATCCCTCACCCTCTACATAGCCCGCGTTCCCGGGAGCAAAGGTTGGTTTTCTCTCATGCGTTTGCAGTCATGATGCTGAGCTTTTTCTTAGATATCATCCTCACAACTCTTAAGCCACAGTTGAAGAATGTCACCGCGGCTGATGTAGCCTCTTCTCTCTACTATTGTCACTTGAACACTGAGGATGACGTCCGATTTCTGGAGCAAGACCAGCCAGTGGAAGTGGAGAAGACGGCAGCATCTAGAGAGAAGCCACTCCCGCGGAAACCCCTTCCCGAGTCTGCCAGATCTTCTCTTGATCTCAATCATCAGATGACTTCAGTATCATTAAGTCCCGGGGGAAACCAAGGAGTTTCAAAAAGGAAGCCTGTCACTACTGAGCCTGCTGTTCCATTATTACAGCAATCACTTGGCCAAGGGAAACAGAACATGTTGAGACGACCTTTAGGACCTCGCCCTTTAGTATCAGAGCCAGCACCCAAGAGAGACTCACTTCCCGGCGCAGAAAACCAACCTTGGCCCTCGGCATCACAGTCCCAGGATGGTGCTTCAGCTATAAGGCAGATTATCGAGACAGCCTCGAGTCGCTCATTTGAGGAGATGGCTTCCATTAGAAATGGAGTAACTACCGATGAAGCTTTTTCAATAACTTTAATTCGTCGAGATCTTTCTTCCGGAGCTCAATGGAACGTAGGCAATGTTTCTGGTCACTCGGCTCCGAACGAAACCAACCATGGAGGGGTAAGCCCAAAAAAGAAGTCCAAGAAGAGCTATTTCGACATATCAGTTCATATTTCAACTCCAGGCTACGGTGCCTTTCGAGTCCCAGTCCCTACTGGCCACACTGCCAATAGTACTGCGGATGCGGCCATCAGTTCTTTAGACAAGAGTCACATGGGACATCCGCAGTCCCCAGCGAGTCCAAATTGGAGCTTTTATCGACAGGTAAGAATGGAAGGATCCAGCTTTTGGAGTCGTCCGTCCAATCAGCATGGGAGGACTCGTTCAGATCTTTCCGGCAGGCGCACCACTACGCATCGTAGAAGTTCTAGTGGCAGCTCTGGGGGTGGACCAACAGACACATCTTTGCACAGTTATGATTCCGGTCTTGATCCTGCCGACTCAAAACCGAAGGGATACATGTTCGTCAGTCCATGGGGAGGCCGCTGCAAATTTGCAACAGGCAGTGGCGGAAGAAGCTTAACGCTCAAGCACACCTTGCTCGCACCAGTATCAGCAAGTAATACAACCAACGCTACATCTCCGCAACAAATTTCTGCATATGTGAGCGAGCTTCGTTTCAATCTGCCTTCGACAGTATTGTTCTCATCTTCGACAATCAATTCTGCCAGTAAGCGGAGTAGTTTCGATTCTAGGACCCTCACCACATCGAAGTTTAGCAACCTACGCAAGAAATTATCTCCTAATAAAACCCAACCTCCACCTCCACCCCGACCACATCCGACTTCGTATGCAGCGATGTACCCCAGTGACGAAGAAGAAGCCCCTCCTCTACCACCAAGATCATTCCATGTGACAGACTCAAGCGAAGAAGAAGCATCTCCACCGCTCCCGACCAGATTACACCCTTTCCCGTACGAGATGAATGCCACCCACGGAGAGGAGATCGATGATGATCCTCATTTGGACCTCAGCATCGGTCAAGAGAAGGCGGGAGGTGGAAATAGAGGCAAACGAGCAAAGCTTGGCAAGCTGGTCATCCATCACGAGGGTTTCAAAATGCTGGACCTCGTGGTTGCCGCGAATATTGGTGTATGGTGGAGTGTTTGGGAATCTGGCTCGCATTAGCATTGGCGTGACAAAAGATTTCTAGTCACTACAGGATCATATTTCCGACGTACTTCAACCTTCCCTGCACATAAGTCTCCTCTTGTTTGAATTCTGGTACGAATATGTTACTCGGGCATGTAGATCGGGCCCTTTTACATCAAGCGGTGCTAGGAGAGCTGATGCTGAACCTATTACTGGGTTACTAGGTGTATCCTCTCAAAGTTGAAATTTCTTCTCGTGTCACTGTTTTAGCCACAGTCCCCGGGATGCACCACCTGGTGGGTTAGTCATGTCGCACATGGTAACTTGTGAAAGAGGAACTCTGCATGCAAGGCATGTTAAATTATACAGAGAACTCGGTTGGGCTACAATGTGGAGCGAAGATTATTGATTCGCCTGTTTAAGGCTGATCAAAGACAGAACGATGCACTCACAAACTGGCTTACGGTCATACAGTCATTTCTTCAACGCACGTTTTCAAGGAACAGCTCCACATTCCAAGAGAACCTGAGAAACCCACACAAGTGTTTGTTCCATGATCCACGTGCTCATGAACAACGACCATGATCGGGACGAGTTTTCGAAGTATGACACATGATACTCTCTTTACAATACCCGTCAATCACAATATACCACTGATCTTGACCGAGGGACTCTGTTCGGCGACGAACTTCTATAAAGATCTCTCAGAATCCACTCTCAGTCTCGTTCACCACACGTACTTCTCTTCAGCTACTTTCAACCCAGACTCTTCTGTTAACTTTTATAACTAATTACTCTCCATCCATCAAAATGCATTTCAGCAAAGTCTTCGCCTTGCTCTCTCTCGCCGCAGTCTCTACTGCGCTTCCGAACTCCAATCCATATAACCCCTCGTCTCAACCAGTGTTTAATTGCAATACCAACGTCGCGCAACAGGCCTGTTGCCAAAACGAGCAGGATTTTAACAAAGACCACGCAGGCGTCGCTCCGAAGCTTAAATCCGCCCTGAACGCCCCTACTAGTAACAATGGCGGTGGACTTCTTGGTGGCCTTCTTGGTGGAATTTTTCCTAATTTACTGGCGGGGTCTTTGGACAACCTCGTCGCTAATATTCCTACCAATATTCCGATTGGACTCGAATGTGTGTCCACCTTGCACCTTACTATTTCTTCCCGTTGCTAACCAATCTTTCCAAGGCTCCCTCGAATTCGACAATTGCAATGCACGCCCCACCTGTTGCAATTTTGGCACGCAGGCCGACACTCAGGAGAACGCGGGTCTCGTAAGTTTCCCCAAACCCTAGCCGAAGGTAGCACTGTAACTAATTAAACTATGAATAGCTCAGCGGCCTTCTCAAATTAGGCAATGTCAATATCTGCAGTGTCGACCTTTTGTGATCGAGCACCTCCTACGATTTCCTGGCCACCGCTCGATTCTAGATCAACCACAATCATTTCTCTCGCCATTTGCTTATTAGCTGTGGAATTGTGTATTCAATGCGGTTGGGCCGCGAAAGGGTGCCTTTGGGCGTGACACGATAGAGAGGCTACGGATGGATACTCAATTGTTTTGATTTCTCAGGTAATTTTGTTGATTGCCTGCTGCTGTGATCTCTCAGCTGCTTGTATTTGTGTTCATTCAACATTGGACTAATAGATATTGTAATACATCACTCTCGCTACTCTTTCGTTGATTCATTTGGTGAATTTGCTGAGAGGTTGAATTCATGCAGAGAGGTAAGGTCAATGGGCTTGGATACCACGACGAACATTAAACAACCTATCTTGGGCCAGTATCTCTATGAACGGGCCCTTCCGGAAGGCGCTCCTGTACCCTCGTTGTTTAGCAAATCATGGTGTCACACAGTGTGGGCAAAAACTACTCAAGCTACTCAAGCTACTCTATAGTAGTCTTGAGTAGAGTAGAGTAGAGTACTACTCTAGAGTAACTCAAGAGTAGTCACGTGCAAGTCACGTAAATATAATAAATCGATATTTATTTAATTATTAATAAATAAATAAGGTACATATTAAGTAGCACTATATAATTTAAGCTAGAGCTTATATAAGGCTACTTAAATACCACTTTTCTTCTATAAAAACCAGATTTCCCTCTTCGAAATCTTTCTTTTCCTGCTTGCTGGGCAAGCTCTGGAATCTTGAGTGTGTTGTGAAGCTTGATGAATTCTGTCTAGCGAGAAGTTGCTATCTGAGTAAGGCTAAGCGAGAACGTGATTCCCTAGCACTGCTTTTTTTCTTCTCCTTTTACTTCTTCTAATTCGTCTTTAAATAACCCCCAGCTTTTTAAGTAAGATATTATCTTAATAGTACTCTTATTAAGTCTATTATATAATTTAAATAATAAGAGTACCTTGAGAGAAGAGTTTGCCCTTAATAGCTAAGAAAGCCTATGAATATATTAAGGTTCTAGCTTGCTTACTAAGCCTTGCCACTACTTAATTGGGCAGTGCAGTGGCGCTAGACTCGGGCTACCCCGGAGCCTTACCTAATTAGGCTAGTGTGTCACGTGTAACATCACGTGTAGTATCACGTGCATACTACTCAACTACTCTAGAATATTCTAGAGTAGTTGAGTAGAGTATTGAGTAGAGTATGAGTAGTGAGAAATTTATTTGAGTAGAATATGAGTAGGGCCCACTACTCTACTCTACTCTACTCATTTCCCACACTGGTGTCACAGCATTTTGTGAAGCATGTGCAAGTCCCTGCGGACGTCCTACACAGCTACGGCGATGGACTGGCTAGATCTTCATCAGCCATCAGTGTCACAAGCATCATGATTTGCCCTGAGAGGTCTAGCAAGACATATTATATTCCGTTGTTGTAAATACTACCACACAAAAACTAGGTCTAGCATTTCAATTCCGTTCCGTGAAATGTACTTTGATCTTACCAAACGCCGATTTCTTCTTGTCCTCTCCCAAGCGCCGAAACAAATATCGAATGCCATGCAGCAATGCAATGTCTAATGGGATATATACTGGAACACAGCAGATACCTCGTTCTCACCACATTCTTGTCTCAGCAATAAGTCTTGGATCGGCTTCAAACCCTCGTTGACGAAATGATTCCATGTACTCGTGTCACCGTACATCATTGCTGGGGCTTTGATGTTCTGCTTCCCGTCCGGCTTGCACCGCTTGCACTTGAAGGTGTCGTGGGTGTCGCTCGTCGTCTTACCATGGTACTGGAAAAGTTCCCTGAGACTGTCTAGGGTAAAATGACGCTCGACATCTTCGGCGGAGTCCACAACGCACGAGGATAGAGATTGCTTGTGCGATTGTCGTTGGAAGATCTTCTCTTCGATGGTGCCGGTAGCAATGAAGCGGTACACGAAACAGTCTTTCTTCTGTCCATCTCTCCATACTCGGGCAAGAGCCTGTTGATCGGCTGCTGGGTTCCAGTCAGGATCGAAGAGGACAAGTCGATTCGCACCAATCAAGTTGAGACCGCATCCACCGGCTTTGCTACTGAGAAGGAAAATGAATTCGTTCCCTTCAGGATCGTTGAATTTGTCAACAAGTTTCTGACGTTTGGTTACGTTCATGGTTCCATCAAGACGAAGGCTGCCATACCCACGGTGTCGACATAGTTTGTCGAACATATCAAGGGTTTGGGTGTAATTGCTGATCAATACAATCTTGTCATTGGTATCCTGACGAATCCGGGCGAGCATGCGGTCAAGTACTTGCATCTTGCCCGAATACCAGGGTTTCACATCCCGATCCCGACCACGAGCGTCCTTTGGAACATAATCTTCAGGCCAGAATTGCTCACATCCAGGCAAGTCGTCAGGAAGGTTGAGTAGGTCTGGATGGTTGCAGAGCTTCTTCAGCATACCAATGGCCTTCAGTGGTTGACTCCCTTTGCCTCGGAGCAAAGCTTTGATATCGGGACTGCTGATGAAGTGATTGTACAGATCAAGCTGGAAGGGTGCAAGATTGCAGAACACAACATGCTCGTACTTGACAGGTAAATATTTGGAAAGAATATCGTTCGTTCGCCGAATGATGAACTTGTTGACAACGTTTAATAGATCCCGGATACACTCGTCGCCTCGTCCTCGATCTTTGTCGCTGCCTGCAGCGTCTCGTCCCCTAAGAATTGGCAACTCGTACTTCTTTCTGAATTCAAGTCGCGTGCCTAGCAAGCCAGGGTTGGCGAAGCTGATGAGAGAGAAATATTCAGACAGATCATTCTGAATTGGCGTGCCGGATAAAATAACTCTTCTCGACACATTGAGACTATTCAATGCCGTGAACGTCTGGCTATCTCCATTTTTCAAACGATGACCTTCATCACACAGCATGAGCCCTATCTTCGTATTTTTGAGCTCCTCCACGTTCAGTCGGAGAGTTTCGTATGAGACGATAATGACTGGGCGCGTGATTGATCGCCCGCTCGCAATGGCCCATTGTCGCAGTTGCTGAGTGAGCTCTTCCTTCGTAGCTTTGCCATCAATGGCAAAGGGCTGGATGGCATCTGGTCCAAGCCACTTCACCAACTCGTTCGCCCAATTCTTGACCAGACTGGAAGGGCAAGCAATGACAGCTTTTTGAATTGTTGACTTTCCGGCATCTGGAGATTGCTTTAACAGTGTCCACATGAGAGTGATACACTGGAGTGTCTTTCCCAAGCCCATCTCGTCTGCCATAATGCAACCGTTCGCCTTCGGCTCTATCATCCCGGTGACGCACTTGTACATGAATTTCACACCTTCAATCTGATGAGGCCGCAGAACTTTGGCAAGTTTCGGATCGATGACCACTGGAACTTTTGGGCGGTCGCTCTCCACAACTTTCTTGATTCCCAAAATTTCGGCAAGACTTTTGTGGACCAAAGGAGCATCAATCTTCGGAGGCTCTGCTTCGTCGCCCTTCTTTGCCTCCTCAATAGTCCTCGGCTTCTCATCAATGGTCGGATCGTAGAGTACAATAGCAAACTCTCCGCTGGGATCATGCAACGGCTTTGCAACGAAGACTGCTCCTTGTCGGAGTCCAAGGGTCGGAGGAGGTCGATTTGGATTGTATGTGCCCGCGTTTTTGTTGATCAATGGGACAGAAAACCGCTGCCGGAACATTGTCTCCTTGTCTTTGACTTGAAAGACTGGAAACTTGTTGGCATCTCTGTTGGCAAGAGCAAGTCGATCCTCGTTTGTCCACGACTTGTCTTCGTCATCCCTATCACCATCAGCTCCTCCATAGTCCACCTTCCTTCTTTTCCGGGTAGGTTTGTCTGAAGTTCGAGTAATTGTTGCAGATCCAGGGCATTTGAAAGGCTTTACTAGTTGGTCGACAGATTGAGGAGTTCCTCCATAGAGCCGCTGAGAGCCTTGTGTAGGCCTAGCTGACGAGGTCGGAGTGTTCTCTTTGTCATCGCTCAAGGTAATCCTAAAGGGCTTCTTCAAGCGATCAGCGGTCTGGGGAGTTCCTGCGGTTGTTCCCATGCGCTTCTTGATGAGGGCTGGAGTACTCGTCGGCCCGTCGGGCGGAGTAATCATCATCTTGGGCAAGCAGGTGGCACCTAAATCCTACTCAAACACAAACATCCCCCAGCTGCGGCGTCGCAGTTCGTCGTCGTCGTCGATAGGATTGTTATCGCAGCAAGGGAGACGCGTGGCAAGAAGTCGCGACATCACTCTGCGAGCGACGCGTCCGGACGGAGGTCAATAACACGGTCGCTCTTGCCGAGCACGTGACCGTGACAAAGCCACAGGCGTCACCCGAAAAAGCCCGAGATTATTGAGCAAGAAAATTTTCTCCTTTTCTCGTAGATGCACGATTCTCATAAATGCACGCTCTTTTCACGCAAAACTTAGACTAGATTTCATCTTCTTCATATTTCTTGCTTCAAGCGTTTGATCACGCCGTTTCCCCCAGCCCCACGCTAATAATCTGACCATGGCCCCACCGCCTCGACCTTCCTCTCTCGACAACTTCTTTGCCCGCTATCAAAATCCCATTCTCATGGGCACGTTCGCAGGCCAAGTCGCCCATCACCAGTACATCCGTCATTCGTCTCCGGCTTTTGAGACTGTGTCCAGTTCCGTCAAAGGCCCTGCCATTCCGAGGACTCTGAGAGCAGGTCTGGGCTGGGCAGTAGTTTTCATCGGTCTCTTGACTAAAATCACACTAGCGAAGAAGACTGTCAGAGATTATTCTGATCCTGTGGTCGCGCTTGCATCCCAGCGGAAAGAGTGGAGACGTCCTGTTCAAGAGGGATTGTGATTTTGAAGCTTGGGGAGAAAGATTGAAAGTCGCCTTGTTTTGAGTTCCGTACCATGATCCTGCGGTAAAGACGCAATCTTCTCAAACCCAAAGAAGAAGATGTCTGCCGACTTCTGGGCCGGATACATCAGTGGAGCAGCCGGAATTCTAATAGGCAACCCGCTGGACCTCTTGAAGGTGAGATTGCAAGCCGGAACACCATCCCTAACTTCAACACCCACGAGCTACACCTCCCAATTCTCCTCAGCAGGAAGCTTGATCCGTGGAGCCACTGCCCCCATCCTCGGTTACGGAGCACTCAATGCCCTCCTCTTCGTTACTTACAACCGGACCTCTACGCTTCTGAACTCAAGTACAAAAGGCGCGCCACCCAACCTCTGGACAACCTGGCTAGCAGGTGCAATCGGCGGTCTTGCAACCTGGGTCGTCAGCACTCCCACCGAACTCGTGAAATGCCGAGCCCAGATCTCATCTTCTCCAACAGCTGCATCAAGCTGGGGCATCACCAAGGAGATTCTCCGGAGCAAAGGAATCAGAGGGCTGTATTTCGGTGGTGTGGTCACTGCGTTGAGGGATAGCATCGGCTATGGATTTTACTTCTGGTCGTATGAATTGAGTACTCGGCTAATGATGTCGAGAATGAGAGAACGGGGAAGCGACACCAAGGAAGCGGCGAAGGTCTTGCTCTGTGGTGGATTTGCAGGCGTGGTGACCTGGGCTAGTATTTTCCCTCTGGATGTCATCAAGACGCGGGTCCAGACACAGATTCTTGCAGATAGTGCGAGTTCGCCGTTACTTGGGGCTGCAGTGGTTGCGGAGGGTGCTGAGAGAAGGAGACTTGGAGCGGTGGAGGTTGCGAGGAATGCGTATAGAAGTGAAGGTCCAGGTGTGTTTTTCAGAGGCCTGACGGTGTGTAGTATTAGGGCTTTCATTGTGAATGCTGCGCAATGGGCTGTGTATGAGTGGATTATGAACGAATTAGATCCCGGGAGGAAGATTAGAGGATAAAGATGGAAAGACGTAGAATAGAACATAGAATAATAGACTTCATGAGCTTTCCGATGTTTTGGCATCGTTTATAGATGAATTTGAAACGAAAAGTGAGATCTTGTCACTTGACAGCTAGAAGATCTGATGGGACTATCTTGATGTTGAGAAGTCTGTTCTTTATTCTTGTTAGAAGACAACTAACCCCACAGAAAAGCGCCCACGCCAGCCATCCCCATACGCAATGCTGGCAGCCAACATATGACAATATCCCTCAGCGCCATCAATGCAAACAACTTACGCCCATGCCGCAAGTAATTCTACAATTCATACCAACAATGTCCTGCAAGTCCAATATCATCGACCTTAGAAGTACTGCAATTCTCCAGTGCCACCCTGCTTCCCTGCATTACCACCTTTGGCTTGAATCTGCTGCTGGTACTGTTGATACTGCTCAAACTGTTGCTGAACAAGCTGCTGAGGGGTTTGATACTGCTTCTGCAATGGTGGGAAATCCTCATAAGCAACAGCAGCGTTGTAAGTTGGTGGAGTATTGTTGGATTTCTCCCCAACATCATCAAGTGATCGATAGTGTTGGCCGCCTCCGCCTCCACCTCGGCCTCTTCCACCACGCCCACCTCCATTTCCTCTGTTGCCGCCCCCACGATAGCCCCGTTGCGAGCCACTGCCTCTATAATTGCCTCTTCCGCCTCGTTGCTGGTAACCGCCGCCTCTGCCACCGCTTGAACCCGAGCCATTTCCATAGGACCCACTCTCTCGTCTAGACGACTCATCGTCAGGAGCATGCTTCCTCTTAAAAGCCTTGTTGGGGAAGAGGCTCTCATACTCATTCTCTCGAGGATCTTCATCTTCGATACGAAGCAAGACTTTCTCACCAACGGTGGACTCGAAAACATACTGCTTCTCTGGGGGAACAGGTTGCCAATTCTGGATCTTACCCGCGTCAATAGGCTTGGCGCCTTTGCGCAGAGCAAGTACCACAATCGGGACTGGGTTTTCCGTGTAATATTTTTTGGTCATAGGAACGGGTTGTACGCAGGCAGCCCAGATCTTATTTTCGAAGACTGCGGTTCCTGTGACTTCCCAGGTAACCTTGCTGCCCATTCCACCAACTTTCTCTAAGATGCTTCCAGGGGCAGGCCGGGGTGTAATGAGAACGTTGTTAGCCAGGAATTTCATCTCCGTGTCCGGCATGGTCGGAGGAAGGTTAGCTAGGGTAAGCAATCGCTGAGTGTCAGTGTTGCTGATGAGGTAACCAGTATAGTAAACTGTCTTCTTGATCTGAAGACGCCTGCCACGTGCTCCTTGGCTGATGGCGAGGTTGTGATCATTGATCAACCGCTGTACTTCAGCAGTTTCTTTGACGGGATCCAGCTGCGTGACTCCGTCAGCCACTTGAACTACTTCGGCGGTGATAGGGCCTCGGGTCGGTGTGACATTCTGACGCCTGTTGTAGTCCATGAAGTAGTCCCTGAAGCCTTTAACATGCTTCTGCCTGTCTTCATAGACTTTGATCTCTTCGGCGCCTTTGTATGTCTCCACCATAGTCTCGAGGAACACTTGCTTGAAGTGTATAGTGCTTGAGAACCGTTGGTTGTTGGGGCCTGCTGCTGGCTTCAAGATTATGAGATCAAAATCAAGGCCTTTGCTCCCAACAATCTTTCTTAGGAGCTCGGCAAAATTTGCCTCCCCTCTTCCAGTCAATAATACCGTCAAGGCATCCTTTTGCTTCATGCTCAATTGGATGAGCTCGACGATTCGCTCATTCCACCATCCCTCCCACGCGCGGGGCTCTTCTCTTTCGACGCCTTCACCCGTAGCAGCAAGTATTCTAGAGTCGTGCCACCAGCCGCCTTTGATTAACGTGTCTTGCGACTGCAAAAAGCCAATGGTCGGACCGTTCCATAGCTTTGGGTTGGGTAAGGGGCTGTTGAAGACTGGGAGCGAAGTCAGTGGATGCAGAGGTTCTTTGGGCAGGGCTGAACTTACGTGTATTGTCGAAGTCGTAGACGTGCAGTACCTTGACCTTATCGACAGCTGTATTGATCAGTTTACGTTCGCAGATGCTAGTGCAAGACTTACGTGGAAGTTGCTTGTTTGCAATGGACCAACGATTCAGAGCAGTCACCGTGAAGGGGAGTCCATTCGAGGAGCCGTTGCTACCTGAGTAGCCGGCCATGGTGGTACGCAGTACTGCGCTGAAGACGCGCACCTTTCTGATAAATCCAGACACCGTAGATAGACTGGAAGACAACCAGTCGATCGACGTGGTTGAGAGAAAAGGAAGGCGTGGATGGTTGATGTTGCGACTCGCGGCTGCGGAAGGTTTTGGATTTCACAGCCTTCTCTTGATCTCGCTTGCCGAGTCTTGAAGGCAGTCACCTCGAATCGGAATTTGGCGCTAGCAAATTCACCACCTGCTGCAATCTACCTCGCAGCAAAACCTACCAAATCTGCAATCGGATATATCCACTTGCAATGTCACGGTAAGCAAGGTGCAAGTAAACAACGAGAAGGAGTAGTCTCCGTCTCTGATACGTTATCGAGATTTGCGTCTCCGCTCGCCCATCGCCCAAGGACAGTGAGGCGAACTTGAGTGTGAGAACAGTGTTCAGTGATGTATATTTCTCTCAAGAATTGGTAATGCCCAGCTCTCATTTCACTAGATTTTCAAGCGCCGCAAGTCCGACGTAGAAATCGTACGGGGTCTGAAGTCACTAGAGAAGATTGTCGTTATTTCCGGTATTGACATTCAGGGAGACGAAGACAAGTGCACATCAAGAATTAGGGAACAGTTGGAGAGTGCCATTGAATAATAACTGCTCCTCGAAGGTTCATCTGGCAAGCTATTCAACCAAAAACTGCTTCAATGGTCTTATTCTCATGCAATGGCTTTTGTGTCAAAAAATAAAGAGCGCAAGGCTACTCTTCCACAAGTTTGGGTTTTGGTCTGGTTTGAATACTACGGGAAAGAAAGGAGAGGAAGTCGACAAAACATTTAAGTCTGCATGTAGAATCAGATGAATCATGATCCATCAAAGGAGTAACTCTGGTTCAGAAATACTATCACCGGAAAAGATGCCTTCTTAGACGCTCATGATGGTGTCTTCGATCGACACAGCGGGTGCTCAATCTTATCGTTGCACAAACATTGCTTTTGAAGCCTGAGGGGAGGAGGTGCTCCGCAAAACCCACCAAAAAAGAAGCAACGGCGAGACCCTGTTTCAGCCACTTCCTATCGTATACAAATCCTTGTTGAATATTTGCTATTTGTGGGAGTTTTCGTTTTTGTTTCGATACTGAAGTTACGTGAAGCGGGTAGCTGTGGCACATGCATCCGATAACATATTTTCTCCAAGGCCCCTTTCGTCCAGTAAAAAGGAATCCGTGTTTAATCAACGCTTCATCCGACACGTTAAGCGTTCCTAGTTGTCGCCACGTTCGGATCCAGGCACTCTAACTTCTGACAGGCGACCGAGGCACACGACTGGGACCGGAGACGCCTCTCCTCTCCCGACTCCATGTGTACCGTAGTATCAGGCTCCCGTCCCGTGGGCTGTTCTATTCTTGAACCCCTTGCCAATTGCACAAGGCTCAACGCTCATGAATAGGCTCGAGTGAACTCTACGGGCCGGTGCAACTTGACTGGTCATCATGCAGTTTACATCACTGGACTTGAGGCGCGCAAGCCAATGTCGACGCGTAAATGACGAGCATCCAGGGCATTCGTCCTGTCCTGGGCACCTGGAGACAGCAAGGGATCGCAGATGAAGGTGCTGATCGAAGGATCTTAAGCGTGTGAAGTCTCCAGCATGGCGAAGATCACCCCGAACCTGCACGGAAGACACACCATTGGAGCGGGCCAAGAATGTCAAGAATGTGGGCGATCTGTCAGATGATACAGTACGGAGAATACCAGCAGCGGTTCAGCGGTCTGCGTCGACTGGATGGCTGGCCACATTGTTGTTTTCGTGAACGAAGAATTCGAATGGCATGATACTGCATCAGTCGAAGGCTGCTGCTGCTGCTGCTGCTGCGGGGCTGCCTTTGCTGGTGCGGACTATTGAGGTACGGTGTTGGCTTGACGGGGGACGCGAGCCTGCAATATGGAGCTGCCTCAGCTGCCTCCACAATGACGCACCTCATTCCCAGAGACTTGGGATCCTCAGATCCTGTGGTGGCGGTCGGCAAGCATGTCGTTGCATTGTGAACCTTGGCCGGCGGGGCCATCTGCAGTGCGCAGGACTTTGCCCTTTGCTCACTGGAATCCTGGATTTGCAGCACAACTTCACAACTTCACAACTTCTCGGCGGCTGCCATCTAGGATCTGATACGAAGCACTGTAAGTCTGTATGGCGATTGATGCGGCCGGCGCGCCCATAGCAATTTGGAGGCAGCGTTGCTTTTCTCGACGGCGGTGGGGTTTGTGACAAAATATCCTGTACCATGCCCCGGCGCGACGATCTTGCCGCTTCCGGGTCGCTTGCGAGCAGCGATCATTTTGATACGGCATGCTCTGCCTCCCGCTGCACACCGTCCCCTCGCTCGCCAATAGGAGCACGTAGGAGCCTCTCGCTCGCCACCGCCAGTGGGAACCACTGAGAACCACTGAGATGCGCGATACCCTGACGGTCCTGGCCGAAGGCGATCAATTGGGTGAGTCTGTTAATATCACACCCGCCTCTTGCCTCCTCCGCGTCGTGGCGACGGCCGGCTCTCGCCCCCTGGCCGCCCTGTGCTGCGCTGCTTTGTTCTTCCGTCCGCCTCTGATTCGGCCACCTCCCCAGTCGATATCCTTGGCCACACCCGAGTCCCGACCTCCCCTCGATCTCAAGCCTTGGATCCACTGAACCAGCTTTAGCAGCGCGGTGCGACCACTCCGCTCCGCCTGCCCTCCCACTCCCAGCACGACTCCTCCAAGCTAGCAAGCTTGCTCAAGCCACCCTGGCACCCCCCCCGTTGTACCTACCTGCACTACCTCCACTACCTCCACTACCTCCAGAAATCTAATGTCACCGACCCAGCAGCGTCTTCCCGAGCCGCATCTCCTCTTCTCTGTCCCTTCTCGCCATGTCTAGATCGCCAATCCAGCAGTAGGGAATCTCTGACAGAGTGCTGTCTGTCGCCCGGATCCCCCGCCCATTGCGCCCCATCGGATGAGCGGTTGATAGTGATCGCCAAGGCCGTGCACGAGAAGGCGCTGCTTTCCGTATTTGAGCAATCCACCGCGAGCATCTCGCCAGAGTTCGCATTGGGCCTCGAAGCATCTCAAGGGGCCTTTTCAGCGGAGATACTGGCAGAGCAGAGGCGATGGAGAAGGGAGGTGATATGGGGGGCTCGGCCGCCAACAATTCCAGCGATTTTGTAAGTCCTCCGTGGTGGCTGGACCCAGACTTCTGAGATTAACCCCTCCACAGGTTCGCAAGTTGTACAAGTAAGCAATCAATCTCCGGTTATGAGGACATTTTGGTTGGTATTGATACGCAAGACGGCTAATCCCCCAAATTTAGAATGCTTGAGGACCCTTCCTATGAGTCTATCGTCAGATGGGGCGAGGGAGGTGAGAGTTTTGTGGTTCTGGAAGTATGTCATCATGTCAACCATTTTCCCTCGTGGCAGTAATAACCTTCTTCACAGAACGAAAAGTTCACCAAGTCCATCTTACCAAAACATTTCAAGCATAGCAATTTTGCCAGCTTCGTTCGGCAACTCAATAAGTATGACTTCCACAAGGTCAGACAGAACAACGAAGACAACACTCCATCCCCATACGGTCCCAATGTCAGTACTCCAGCTCGTCGACGCAACAATTACAGACTAATTGTCCCAATAGGCGTGGGAATTCAAGCATCCAGAATTCAAAGCGAATAACAAAGATTCTCTTGATAACATCAGACGAAAGGCACCCGCCCCAAGGAAGCCCGCGCAGAGCATGGACGATCCCTATCCTGCGCAACAGATGGATCTTGTCAATAGCCAATTAGTGGCAACACAGCAACAGCTACAGCACTTATCTGAAAGATACCAAGATCTTGCGCAAGGACATGTTGTCTTGCTGCAGCAAGTTGTTCAGTTACAGAAGTTTGTTAAGAACCACGATGGGGTTATGCACAGGGTGATGGGGTTTCTGCATACCGTTGATGCTCAACGGCGAAACAGTCGAATCGGGGGTCCATTCGGAAACGGAACAGGTGCTGGAATGGGCGGCGGAGATCCTATGTCGAATGATGGACTAATCGATGATCATCCAGCCTCACCACTACAGCAAGCCTCTCAACTACTCGACGAATTTTCAGCTGAGAACTTACCGAACAAGGAACTCGAACAGATGACTCATGAATATCACCTACGAAATGATTTCTCAACCCCACCAAACGACCATGCAGGCTCGTCTATGGCACCGCGCTCTGACAACCCAAGCACACATCTCGGCTATCCGGTAGGCAATGACTTAGACAACATGGTATACCCAGTAGGACACACGAACGGTATCGACCCTATCAACAGCGAACACATCCACAATATCCCCTATGCATTGCCTACGAACGGAATGCTTCCCGGTGATTCTATGCCAGAAATGTTGCCTGAAGGTGGCTCAACCAGCAGCCGGAAGAAAGGTTCGGTCGAGTCAGTATGGGGGATGACCAAACCGCGAATATTACTCGTCGAAGATGATAAAGTGTGCGCACGGATAGGATCGAAGTTCTTGCAAGCATTTGAATGCGGTGTCGAGACTGCTGTAAGGATTTTTGGCTGCTCTTTCAGTGCCGCGTGGCTTCTACTAACAGTTGATAGCGGGATGGTCTTGAGGCCGTGAACAAGATCAATAACGGCGTCCTTCAGTTTGACCTTATTTTAATGGATATTATTATGCCTCACCTCGATGGCGTCTCGGCTACGGTTTGCATTCGAGAAATACGGCCGAACATTCCCGTCATTGCCATGACTTCGAACATAAGAGCCGACGACATTGATATGTATTTTCGATATGGTAAGGTCTCTTTAGGTGATTCCTTCCGACGATTATTAACTTTTTGATAGGCATGAATGACGTTCTACCGAAACCGTTCACAAAGGAGGGCATGTTACGAGCTCTGGAAAAGCACCTGCCACAATTTAAGAAGAACGCGCAATTTCCTCCTTCGTCGATGCCCCATGGTGGAGGTTTCGTAACGCCAAGTGCTACTCATCCCCCTCTCGGCTTGAATGTAGGGCAGCTTTCTGCCACTCAATCTCTCAAGGAGTCATCTCCGGGTAAGTCACCTGCAACAGCAACATCGTGGCACTCGCCAATTCAGCTGCCAGGGGAATCACCTATAGGAGCTCCTTCCAATTATATGCAGCAAGCTATGGGAGATAATCGGCCATATACTATGACACCTACGCATCCTCACCCGCAATCTGGTTTCCCAGCACCGTCGCCCCAAGGCGGCTTGGGAGGGCCGAGAACAGCACCACATCGAAGAGTCATGTCCGACATGACCGGAGGACCCCCAGAAGATCACCCAGAGAAGAGGCAAAGGATGTACCCCCCGCCTCAAAGTGCCTTCCCCCAATGATTCATCCATATTTGCAAATTTGACTGCGATTTTTATTGAGGGATAGTCCCAACAACATGTCCCGTCCTGTAATGTATATTTATAGTGTTGACTATCGCGAGATGCTTGAAGGGCAATAGTGCCCCATGAAGTTCGGAATTGCTTGAAGAATATGATTGATTTCGGCGCAGGCGGAAGATTGCCAATTCCAAGTCCTCAGCGGCATTTGAGGCCAGTGGGTAGGAGGTATTTTCAGCATCGCATGGGCGCGGGAAACCCTTTACTGCATTTGGCGTTGGTGGTAGAGATCTATCTATGATAACGAGGTCGACTTGTCTGCGAGAGTCTGATCGAAGAAAGAAGAATATGAGCTGATTTACACTTACCCAAACAAATCGCCTAGATAGGTCGAAAAATCTCTCCTTTCTTGTATCTTCTGCCGGCAAGCTTCTCAGCGAGATCTAAGCCGAGGAGTTCAGCCAAGTGTCTGTCCGGAATTATTGACTAGACATGGCAACAGACAAACAGTGTTGACGTTGCGATAAAGTATTTGCTATGAACCACCCCCCCCCCCCTGGGTGAAATGGGTCGATTTCATGAGTCTAGACTGCTGTCGACCCCGTTAAATCGTATGATGATTCGTGCGAGGCTGCCCCCCTGGCAGCGCTTCAAGCCCCTCGGGAGGATCCTTGTCCCGGCGCAGGCACGCTAGCATGCAACTCTATTTTCGGTGACTCAAAATACGGCGAGGGGCTTAAATTTTGAAGACTTGAACTTGAAGTATACCCCACCACGAACGACTTTCCGAGTTCGAGTTGAGAGTACAGATTGAGGAGCCTATTCTGAACCTGCACACCTTTTGGATTGGAGCGTTGGACGTTGGGAACGCACTGCAGCAGCCATGTCGCAAAAGAATCCGAAAAATGCTCCTGGTGGGGGGAAGGGAGCTCCAAAGGGAAAGAAAAGCGCTGCAGCGGGGAAGAAAGCTGAGGACGAGAGAGAGGAGACTCTGCAGGCTGTGGTATGAACTTCCTCTCTACGTAGGATGTGCCAGTCTAGGGAAATACTAAATCTCACGCAGGTACTTGCGGACTCGTTTGAGACACGATTCAACCCGTTTACCTTAGAGACACCAAGAGTGGGTTAAGCCATCTATCTTCCTGAATGAACGGGGCTGATCCTTGGCACAGTGTCTGCTTCCATTAGCCAATACCCCTCTCATCGAATACACGCTCGAGTTCCTAGCCATGTCAGGCGTCGCTGACATCTATGTCTACTGCGGAGCACACACCGAAGAAGTTGAACGCTACATCCAAGCCTCTAAATGGCATCCGTCAGCTCCAGCTTCTCCTTTCAATTCCCTCGAAATCGTCAAGACAACAGCTCGTTCTGTCGGCGATGCGCTCCGTGACCTAGATGCGCGGGATCTGATTACTGGGGATTTCCTCCTTGTGCATGGAGACTTGGTTTCAAATCTGCCAATAGATGCTGCATTGGCAGCCCATCGAGCGAGAAGAATTGCAGACAAGAATGCCATCATGACCTTGATCTTGCGAGCTGGAGGTTTAGGGTCACATCGCACGAAATCAAAAGGGATCACACCAGTTTTCGTTGTTGACCCTACAAAGAATCGATGTCTGCATTACGAGGAAATGCACCCATTACAGGCAAACAAGTATGTCAACATCGACCCAGAGTTGCTTTCAACACACACGGAAATGGAAATTCGGACGGACTTGATCGATTGTGGGATTGATATTTGCACACCTGATGTTTTGGCACTTTGGGCAGAGTCATTTGATTACGAAGTCCCAAGACGGCATTTCTTGCATGGCGTGCTGAAGGATTATGAGTTGAATGGAAAGACGATCCATACCGAAATTGTGGATGAACACTATGCGGCTCGTGTCTTCAATTTACAGTCTTATGAAGCGGTTAGCAAGGATGTGTTGGGCAGATGGACATATCCTCTCGTGCCCGATAGCAATTTGGTTGCCGGCCAAACTTATAAGTTTGAGCGGGGTGGATTGTGCAAGGAGAATGGAGTCATTCTGGCAAGAACGTGCAAAGCTGGCAAGAGAACTGTGCTTGGGAAGGATACAAGTATTGGGGATGGGAGCATGGTGTCAAACAGCATCATCGGACGGAGATGTCACATTGGTAAGAACGTGATGATCCAGAATGCTTATATTTGGGACGATGTTGTGGTTGGAGATGGATCAACGATCGATAGAGCCATTGTTGCCAGCGAGGCAGTTATTGGGAAGAGATGCAAGATCCAACCAGGGTCTCTTCTTTCGTATGGCATTCAAATAGCGGACAACCAGGAAACCAAAGAAGGATCACGCATCACTCGAGCAAAACGAGGGGAGCCTCCAGTGGCCGTAGCAACAGACACAACAATCGTAGGGGAGGGAGGGGAAGGGTACTCTTTCGACGACGAAGAAGATTCCGACGACGAAGGCATAGCCTTCCACAGCAACCTAATCTACAGCACCTCGCATCTCAATCTCTCCAGTGAATCCATCTCAACACTCAACTCCAATTTCAGCTCCGCCACCCCAACACAATCGCGATCCCGCCTTTCTTCCTTTGCTGGATCCATCTCCGACGACGGAGATCCAAGTTCTTCAAACGAGATGTTCCACCACGACGCCGTGAACGGCCTTCTCGACGCCCTGAAAGAGGGTGACGACTTCGACTCAGCCAAACTAGAATTCATGGGCTTGAGACTCAGCAACAATGCATCAGACCACCAAGTCCGCCGCGCCATCGCAGTTGCTTTCACCAAGCGAATAGCACAGCTGGTAGAGGGCGAGAAAATGGAGGCCAGTAAAGCTGCCGCGAAAACTTTCGGAGCGCCTGGCGCGGAGAAGTTCTTGAGGGAGGTTGCGGTTGGTACTAAGAACTTGGAGGACGATCAGGTTGATTTCATTACTTGCTTGCAGAAGGACCTTGTGCATAGGGGTAGTGGGGCGATCATTCTGGCGGCTGTTCTTAAGGAGTTGTATCAGACGGATATTCTTGAAGAAGAGGCGATGTTCAGGTGGTGGGATGAGAATGAAGCGCTTGGGGAGGCGGAGAACAAGGAGATGAAGAGGGTGAGGGAGAAGACGGCGCCGCTTATTCAGTGGTTTAGAGATAATGAGTCTGAGGAGAGTGAGGAAGAGGAAGAGGAAGATGATAGCGAGTAGAAGAGAGGTCATGAAAGAGAAATGGCATGTTGCGAAATCGCTCAAGCAATCACGGGCATCTGGCCTTCGAATCCAATAAATAGAGCATCTGCTATTTGGAAGTGAAGCGTGAGTGGGTGAATAGTACTTTGAAAATTTGGAAGGAATCTGCACCGACAATTCTGTATTTTATTCTAGTGATTCAGAACCAGTGAAAAAGGATGGTCGAACACAAACATCACACACCAAAGCCACGCCATGTGTTTCGAAAATGGCTCGAATGCGGCTTCTGCTCTTTAATGGTCATCATTCTCACTTCCACCTCCTATCTCACCGCTACCACCAATCATGAAAATCTCGTTTTAACAACTCCAAGTTATCGAATTTACTGAGGTGCTGGTGCTGGCTTGATCTCATCTGCAACATCTTCTGCAGTAGGGGCAGGCGCGGCGGCTGGCTTAGCTCCTGAGTCAGGAATTGTGCCTGGGTTGACATTCTCATTGTCAATGGTCGTCTCCCCTTCCGCCTGTCCTTCATCCTTTTTAGCCCACTTCGGGGTCCTAGTCCACTACAACAAATTAGCAAAATATGTCTTTGGGGCGAAGAGAGCCGGGAGAGAGCCGGGAGCATGTCTCATCCTCTCGGCCAGTGAGGTAAGAAGTCCGCAATAGATGACAAAGAAATAGGTTGTTTACTTGAGGATCTGTCCATGGCCCCTCATCACTGAAAGCACAACCACCAGGACAGTCGCAAGTGCCTCCGAAAATTGTTGGGAGATTCTCAGCTGGGACCTGTTCAAGGAGCTCCTTCTGATATCCGCTGCCTAGAATATGGATCTTCTGGACGGTGACGGGATCCAACCAGCCCTTGACGATACTCCAAACTCCTGAAAACCCCCATGGTGCATTGATTAGGTAGAGACGGCCAAGTCGTTCGGGGTAGTAGTTTTGCGAAATTGCGGAGGCTTGCTTGACGTATGAGTAGACGGAGCTGACTTTGCTGATTCCCACGCCCTTCAGGTCCATTATTGTGCAACATGTCTCGAGTAGTTGTCCAGCTTTACGTGAGCAAGCGGGGAGTCGTGGGTCGCCAACCTTCTCGTATTCAACAGCAAGGTTTGCGAGCATTCGTTCAGAGGTGGTGATCTTGTACATGGCCGCTAAGTCAATGTTACCCAATTGCTCAATATATACTGGTCGTCCATCCTGGAGTTCTGTCAGTAATTTGTTTGTGCAGGTCGTTGATCCTGTCTTACTTTATCGGTCTTGTGGTAGTACTGCGGGTAGTACTCGAAGACTTGGGGCTTCTCATGGTAGTCGAAGTTGCGGGTGAGGTTGTCGAGATCTGTTTCTTTGCGCCACTTCTCGCAATCAACGAACCTGATTATTCATTAGAATGTACAATGTAACGGGAGGCGGAGGGGCCTACATCTTCTCTGAAAGGGCCACATCGAACTTTCGTGCTCGCAAGAATCGTAGCTAGGACATCCGTCAGCCCGGTACAGCGAGAGGATATGGCTTTGCGCACGCACAAGAGTCAAAGTATCGAGACGCTCAGTATAACCATCTGCCTCCAGCTTCATTCGCAATTGGTAGACCTGGGCATCCTGTTCTGGTGTTGTGTGTCCAGGGTGACCGCTTTGTTTGTTCGGGGACGTTGTTGGGTAGTCGTAATGATCGTACTTGGGATCAAGCTTCATGGAGGGGTTTTCTGAAGCCATCATGAAGATATGTGAATGAGATCGGGGTTTGATGTTGGTTTCTCGAGGGCCGCACAGGGAGTTCCACGTCAACAAAATGTCTCTTGGTCCCTGAACTTGAGGGGCGGTCTTTTCGTCATTGCCTTCACAGCTTTAATTAAGCGAGCACAGCTGCCAAATCACGGAGAGGCAGCGGCAAGGCAGGCAGGCAGGCACAAACAATCTTCTAAGGGGGGCTGGTCACGCTTTTTCTCAAGAGTCTTCAGTGGTTGACATTTCTTAAGAAACTTGTACTACCACAAGTGAGGCGTCCTTTTGATTCAGGTGCTTTATTTCGTCATTAACCAGTCATCTATCCATTTGGGGTCCCATCCTTCGCCACATCTTCCAGTGCACCATGTTCATTCTTTTCTTTCCGTTTCATCGTGACATCCCAGTTGTAGACTCGTGCCGTGGCAACTTCCATGGTCTAGTCGCTCGTCAGTCCCGTCAAGAAATCTCGACCCGTCTCGCGGATACTGTTCGGAAGAACATACCGTAATTTGCTCTCTTAAAAAGTCAAGATCCTCCTCACAATTTTCTAGACTTTGCTTCGCAGCGGCAAGTTTCGAGGAAAGCAGTTCCTCTGCTTCGTCAATAGGATATGACAGCATAACGTTGGCCTAATCCCCCGTCAGCAAAACCCTCCAACCCCCGATTCCATGAAACATTTACTCCTAGCCACAGGTATACTTCATCAGTCGGTGGGATATGTGCCTTGGCATAAAGGGTGTCGTTAAGCTCAAAGGTAGCTTCTATTGGATCCGAACCAGGCTGTAGCAAGCACTTAGCACATCATCTTTGGAACCCTTGGGAGCGAAACAGGTGCGGCCGTACTTTTCTCGACTTCAAAAACCGCACAGTGTCCAAGGTCTTTTGGATGTCCGGCATCTTGTCCTTCAGGCCTGCAGCTCGCCGTTGTTGGTTGGCTTCCATGAACTGATATTTCCTGACAACGCTTTCAGCGTCTTCCTCTTGTTCCAACAAGCAGAACATACGATATCATTTCTTGAAAGTTCTTCAAGGTCGCCTCGACGTCTGCGCGTGAAGTGACATAGTCCTCGACCTTGTCGACGAAAGGTGCATAGGGAATGCCTCTGGGATTCGTAGGAGCTACGTCTTTTCTGTTGACTTTGTTAGAGCTGACGCGATTTGATCAGAGGGATAAGAGCGAGGGCTGAAGTTTTGTTGCTTACTTTGGTTCTTTGTCCGCCATTTTGAAGCTGTGAAAAGCTTCGCAGTGAAGCGGCTGTCGTGTGTTTGGTCCGATCAGTTTTCAGAAATGTGCATGGACAAGATCAAACCTCAGGTGCACGGACCATTTGTCAATATCCTAGCGCGATCTTCAACCTCCTTCATTTCCATCTTGTATTCCTCTGTATCACAAGCCTGTGTATCGAGGTCGTTCCGAGGTGCCATGTAACACTAGCCATTAGCATTAGGGCCATGGAGTCACAGTGGCTCCAAGATGCGATTCGATTGTCACTGAAAGCCACAGATGGAGAGAAAGGACCACCTGAACAACGAGATCCACGGTTTCGCAAATTGGTCGAGGGGATCCTTTTCTCTAGGAAATTCGTCCCGACATACAATCTTGTCGTTCTTGGCTTTGTTTGTCTCCTCTCAGCAATTCATTGGACCGAGAAAGCAATTCGATGGAGGAGAAGACGGGCCTCCAGGTTACAAGTGTTACGGGACGAAATTGCGTTCGGTGATGCTATCAAACCCACCTCCCGTATACCAGACGACGGGCAAGATCGCGACGGTATATACTCATCCAACAGTAGTACAATGGAAGGCACAGCCAGCCATCCCCGGAAAGATCTTGATGAGGAGATACCGCTTCTGCACACTGAGCAAGCCCTTCGCCCTCTCCACCGATGGTCCGTTCATGGCACCGCAAAAGGAATTTTGATTTATCAACCGAGGCCAATCCCAATTGTGAACAAGATCCTGCCTTCCAATGGAACCTCAATTGTCCTCTCGGCTTTTATGGCTCTGAATATCTTTTACATATTCTTCCACATCAATCTCAATATCTTCGAACTTTTTGTCCTGGCCGACAGATTTGGGATGATCTTCGTAGCCAACCTTCCACTACTGTATCTTTTAGCAGCAAAGAACCAACCCTTGAAGTTCCTGACGGGCCGGTCATATGAATCATTGAATATATTTCATCGTCGGCTGGGGGAGCTTCTGTGTTTAGCAGCATTGCTCCATTCTACGGGAATGATTGTTGTCGGGTACACAATTATTACGCCCAATGGCTCTGGACTTACTCAGTTTTTGCTAATCAAAATGGTCTTACTTGGTGTTGGTGCATTTATTTCGTATGAATTGCTTTACTTGACTTCACTGGCTAGCTTCCGCCAGCGCTGGTACGAATTGTTTCTTGGATTACATGCAATCTTACAAGCTGCTGCTTTGGTTTTCATTTTCTTTCATCACCAAACGGCAAGACCCTATGTTGGCATCGCCCTGGGCATATTTCTGTTGGATCGACTGGTATATCGGGTCGGCATTAAGAGCACCACCATCGGGGCATACACCAAAATCCTAGAAGATGAGGACACTGTCAGGTTGTCCAGTATCGTTTTCATACAACCCGAGCCTCGTTGGGCAGGTTTATTCGGGGGTTCCATTATGTCTGGCTGGAAAGCTACGGATCACGTCTTCATAACGGTGCCCTCTTTGTCAAGCAAACATATTACCCAGGCACATCCGTTCACAATTGCCTCAAAGGGGCCTCTAGGAGGAGAGGACGAAGCGCGTTTAGAGCTTCTGATCCGTGCCCAAGACGGATTCTCCCGCGATCTCCTCAACGCAGCCAGACTTCACAAGCATCTAAGCATTCGCCTTGATGGCCCTTACGGCAACTCTCACGCACGAACGATGCTCGAGGAGTCAGATCTAGCAATTGTAGTAGCCGGTGGTAGCGGAATCGCGGTTGGCTTCCCTTTGATTCATCACTTGCTCGATATCCCTCGTTCCACAGACATGGAAATTGCACCAACCTACTTTCTGCTGAGACAGAAAATCGTCTTGATCTGGGTGATCCATGAGGAGGCACATCTCTCGTGGGTAGGAAGGCCAGCGTTGGCGGATGCCGAGAACAGGGGCGCTGAAATCATAATCCCTCAGGCGACAGAGGAGATTGGGAGACCTGATTTACGAGAAATGATTTGCAAGATTGTGGAGAAATTCGGCAATGGCAAAAAAACTCGGGTAGTTGCAAGCGGGCCGGATTCCATGGGTCGGGCGGTTAGGAATACTTGTTCAGGGCTAGTGCGAGATGGAAGGAATGTCGATGTGGCAGTTGAGAAATTCGGATGGTGATGAGAGCGGGGGTGCATAGAAGTAAGTGAAAGCATTTTTAAGTAATATGCCGGGTATCTGGGACGATATAGAAGTATCTTGGTGCTGCAATGACTGGTACAAATGATTGGGACGATTTTATTGGTATTGCCGATATATATACACAAAATAGAAATATAGATCTTCAGATAGTTTTATTATAGTCCTTATTAGGTCTTCGCTTGCGAGGTGGGCAAACACAGCTTGCTCGATAAGCAAAGGTACATATCCTCAGCCTTGTGCTCACTCGCAGCTCGGCTTATGAAAACTTGCAAAAAAAGAACTCTCCATCTAAGCCAAGAATCAAAGTGGCAAAAGCTCACACGAAGCCGCAGGCAAGAGTCGCCGGTCACCTGGAGGTTGTGCTACGAAAATCCTTGGAGGATTTTCTCCGTTCGAAATTATCAAACTGGCTTCCTTTTTACCATATAATCCTTCTCGCCAGAACTCAAGGTTTTTGCCATCGTACTAGCCACCGTTTCGGGTCACCGTACCGACTAATGGCGGTCTCTATTTGAAGCCCTGTTAAGATTCTGGATTGTTTGTGATTGCGTTAGTGACATCAAGTTAGAGTCGAATGGGAAATACTTACCCTTGAGGATCGTTTGTGTAAAAATACTTATTTTAGTATATAAGACTAGAGCAAAGAGATGGCAGAAAAAGGCGGAAAATACCGACGAGGAGAGCAGGGTCCTGCTCACCTCCAGCACAAAAGGGGAGAAGTTGAGCCTAAGCATCGTAATAGTCCTCATAATATTTACTTCAGCTTCATCCCAAGTCAGGGAATCCATCCAGTCATTTTACTAACAGAGCGAGGTAAAGGGTACGCATATTGATGTTTACTGTTCTCCTCACATTGGGAGTGGCATCTACAACTTGGAACTTATGCTCATAAGGAGTTCTCTTGATTATGATTTACACTTTTCACATTATATATAAGAAGTTCTTCATCTCAGTGGCCGTAATGCCTCCTCCCACTCCCATTCAGTCGTTTCCCATTTACTTTCAGGTTGTCATACAGCCCTGACTTCTTAGCAGGGGTTTGGGCAGTCAACGCATGCCACATATCCATGATCCCCGCGCGACGAGCAGGCAGCATGCTGTATTGAAGACTGTACAAGTTCTTACGGTGGATAGGCGGCACGAATTTGCCAGTTGCGAGACAGAGGAGCACACGGGGTGAGAGGTAGTGTTTGCGGATGCGGTGGCCGAGTTGGAAGTATTGATGAAACATCGCACGGAAGGTGAGGGGTACAGACTGAAGAAGGTTAGAATGGCCAAATTAGAAAGTGGCAGGCTGGCTTACTTTGAGAAATATGTACGAAGTTGGCGGTGGAGTGGGAACATTAGGGAAAAGTCCAGAAAATTGTTGGGTATCTCGAAGTTCAAAGCAAATGCCACCTTATCTCCATTAGTCATGGAACTTAAAAGTGGTAGAACGATATACCTGGCAGTCTCTGTGAGTCTTTAATTCGTAACATGAGAGCAAAAAGCGGAAAATGGTTCAGACATGCAAGCAAAGTATCTAGCGCCGCCTTCAGCGAGATGATCGCCATTCGTGAACATGCAAACGTAAGGTAAAATACAACTACTGTTGGTAGGAGGAAGAAGAGCAGGGTAAACAAGATGGTGCCTAGAAGGAGTTGATCGAGATCGTAGTCGCAGGAGTCAATTCGTTTCCTGAGAACGTTGTGCTTTTTGCCACGAAAGAGTTGAAAGAGGGAGAGAAGTATGGTATACTGCCAGTTGAAGATTCTGGCTGAAGCCAAGTAAAAGGAGTAGATATGAAGAGTCCTAGAACGAATTAGCACGATGTTTCTTCTAGGATGGGAGAACCGGAAGCGAGCTGAAACACCCTTCAGGCCAATGAAAATAGGGAGCTCAGTGCCATGGACAAAGGTACTCTTACAGGATTGACAGCATATCCGAGAAGAGCGCAATTGGCATACTAGCACCGGCAAAACTTGAAAATCCGATGAACAAAATGATATGAGGTAGCACCGGTCGCAGAGCTTCTATACAATCTGCAAGAGTCAGCTGGGATGATCAAATTCCGGAGGAGCTACTCACTCGACCAATGATCAATGACCCAAAGAAAGAGGTCGCCGAGAAAAGCAGCCAGTTCATTGTTGAGTTTCAGCCCGGCTGGCCAATCCATAAGCCAGTCAATTGTACGTTGCAGTGCTGCAATCGAATACAAGCTGAGTATCTCGCTGATCCGTTCAGCTAGAAATTCATGATGATCGATAATATAAGAACCCAGGGCAATGCCGATGATCTGGATAACGGGAGAGTCAGCATCTTTCTTATTTCAGAATGTCTAAGGAGTACGATAGTGCAAAATGAGTAAAACTAAACTTTGTTGGGGTGTGTTGGGAGTGCATGAGATGAAGGGGAGTATTCAGAAAACGAGAACAAAGAATTTAAGAAACTCCGTTGCCCTTACGATGTCATTGAGAACTAGCCAGAGACTCTGGTAGAATCTAATGTATTCTGGGTGGCTATCTGTAACACTCTGCCAATCGTCTTTACGCTTCCGCAACGTAACATACTAATCAACCTGTTAGAAAATGGCCCTCACAAATATCACAAAACGCAAAGCAAGATGCTAGGCTTCAGAAAGGTCCACCACTAAACAGATCTAGGATAATGATGTTGTGCTGCTAGAGCGGTCTAGCAGAGCAGGCCGTAAGGGCGTGAGAGCAGTCTCGAAAAGCACTTTTCCGTGGTGTGGTGCCAGAATAATCCGGCAGAACAGTCCGGCAGAGCAGTCCGTGGGGGTGCCAGAGCAGTCTAGCAGAACACGCAGAACACGCAGAACAGTGTGTTGCCTTCTTGACGCCTGGCAAATCCATAGCTCTGGTGTATTCTGAGAGCTTACCAAGACACAGTATGAGAAATTGACTCCAAGCTGTCAGAGATCTTAACCTTCTATGCCGGTTTCTCAATGTACGACCTGGAGAGTACAGCAGTCACACAAATCGACGCCCGCGATTCTATGCACACTAGCAATTGAATCCCGAATAAGGGAGGATCTTGAACTTACATCCTCTAACTTGCGAAGGCAGACAGCCAAATACACCACAGTATTTGTTGGCAAGCTCTCCAGGGAAGCAAAGGCAGATGTTGTTGTAGCTTCGAGAGTGTTGAGAAGAAGACGGAGAGGAGAACCCGAGACATCATGAGTCAAGCCCAGTCAGACCAGTCCAGAGATAGATCCATTTTGGGGGTACCGGCATCCAGACCAGTCCAGAGGTAGGCCAATTCTGAGGGGGGGAAAGAATACTACAACTTACTTGATGAGGCCTAACAACGAATTAGCAACGTATTCGGGATAAAGGACAATGAAATTTTACCAGAAGCAGAACTGCTGAAGACGAATCTCCACCTGTTGAGCTGTTGCTGATATATCTTTCAATGCTGCGTAGTCTGGCTTCGCTCTCCACTCCAGAACAAGGAGCAGAGCCTCGGCAGCCACCCGGTGACAGAGCAAACCGATGACAAACCCCCGTCGTAGAATTGGGTAGATATAGACTGTTATGATCTGCCAAATCGCAACAAGAACAAAATCTCTCATCGTTGTCGCTGATTCCACAACCCTCTCTGACACGCTTAAACTCCGCCGTGAACGTCTCCCAACTAGTGATATGTTCTTCTGAAGAAGTTTATGCAGCTCCCACGAGCAATTGATCTGGTTGACGATTCTCCGCAGGGCAAGCTCCTTCTGCGAGGGACGGTGATTTGTGACGGTATGGAACTTCAACTTCTCGACCAACTTTTTTGTTCTTTGCCTGTCCTTCATCTCTTCTCGTTCCTCTTCGGCATCTACACTTCCTGGCTCATGGATTGCCATTTCAGATTTGTCGCCCAAGGCCAGTGATATTGAACTCAGAGAGATGTATTGCATCCTGGTTGGGAGGGGGCGGTCAAACATGATAATCTGGATCGTAGCTGCTCGAGCACAAGATATCTGGGGTGTTTTGAGATTCGGCCGGGTTGTTGCGTGCATTTGTAGATTCTCGATCTCAACCCCTGGGCTGTTCGCGAGTCCTAGAACATGCATTGCAGACTGCCCGCATAAAGCATAGATTCGTTCGATCGGATGGCTCGCATTTCGAAATAGGGTTCCCACCTTCAAAGCGTTCTCCACGCTACGTGCCTGGTCAAAGTCAGCAGCCAGTCCTCCACTGACGGCAGTCCTACTAACATCGACATCCTCCAATATCGCCACCACGAAGACATCGAGTCCCGAGTTCCTCCAACCAACTATTATCCCTGGTGAATTGGATCTTGGAACGTCCACCGGCCAAAATATTCTCATGAGGCCATCATGCTCGGGCATGACAGAACTTCGACGGCTCGTCCTTCCCTAGAAGGATCCTCGTCGTCGCAGCTGTTCCCTAGCAGATATGCCAGCACTCCCAGACCTTGGGTGCTGCAAGGACATTAGCAGCGTTCTATGCCCAGGAATATTCACCCACCAATTGCGTCTCCCTCGAAGCAAGCCTTTCCACTGGGATGATGAACAGAAAGAAGAAAAGTGACAGAATCGCAAATCCTTTCGCAGTGCGAGCCTGGATAAATAAGATTAGAAGCTACTCTTCCTACACTAGAACCTCAGGCGGACTTACGACTACTCCGTGATCCCAGGCGAAGATTGCAAGATCATAAAGTCGAGTGACCAGATCCCACCTCGCGGTAATGTAGCCGGCTACGAAGATCGCAAGGGCAAGAATAGAAAACGGGTGCATTAATTCTTTTCTACTGCTGGTACATCACTGGTTTGTGTGAGTGTGTGTGGTGGAGTTGGACGACGCGACCGAGAGAACAGTTTGTTGTCTTCTTGGGGATGTTGGTACTTTGTATTTTGGTGTGTGGGAAGAGGGAACGTGAGAGCAGGCCGCGAACTTGACTCTCCCGTGTTATCGAAGGGCGAGCAAGGCTATCTTCATGATCTCGACCACTGCGCGACTGTGAAGAGGCTGCCTCAATTTCACTTCTATCTCTCGCGACTAGGATCAGAAATTAAGCTTCACTGCCTTCAATCACGTGTCAGGCTAACCCCAGATCTCCTATTTTTATACTTCGGTACTTCCCCTCTGGACATATATGCCGAGTATAGATTGCCATGACAGTCGACAAACAATGTACATTTGTTGCAAAGTCTTCTTCATTGTTGGTTTTCGATTTGGCAGTCAATGGGCTCTCGTCAAAATCGTCTTATCTGGCGTATCAACCCCTTTCCGAGACTATTCCTGTACCAAGGTCACCGGGGTTGTTCTCTGCACGTTGAGATCCATTGAGTGCATCTGTAATTATCTTACAAGCCAGGAAGAAAAAAGGATATGTTTTCTGAGAAGAGAAGCCTTCTGAGCCAGAGCAGAGTTTCTTAAAATGCTTCACGCCGAGCGCCGTCCACGCCAATATACTGTACAATCATCGCAAGAAATCCCATTTCTATCAGCTGATCAGCCAAAACTCTCATGATTTCATCAACTTTGAGGAGCCGCTTACACTTTCGCCGCAGATTTGCAGCGTCATTCTCCTTGTGATCCTCCCGGGCCTCCTCGAGCATCTGGTCAATGCCGCGATCTTTGAGTGCATTCTATTGATGATCAGAGCCGGTCGAGCCGCTGGCTCGAGGAGAACTGACCGTCAAGCAATGCTTGTAATCCTTAAACAGAGCTGCACATTCATCTGTTGTGCCCTTTCCCCGGAGATATTCTTGAGGTCTGTTAGCTTTGCGCTCTCTCTCGGGAGGCGAGTGACGGACTTTCGCTGTACCACTTCAGGAAGCAAGAATCGTAACGTCTAAAAGTGAATTAATACCGGTTCCGACTATTACTCAAGGAGACTTACTCCTTCACCTCATTACATTCGGGAGCAAGAGACGACGACATCTTGGGCAGTGAATGTTAAGATGTGTGGAAGCTCGTGGCTCTATGAAAATACATGAACGCGGCCGCCTTAACAGGGGGGGGAGTATGCTAGAAACCGGGGCTGCAGCAAACGCCGACAAAAAGTTGCATTTTCGAGATCTTCGAGCTTGAACCTCAACCAACACCTTTCATAAGCTCAGAGTACCGATAATGGATCAAACGCAAGACTTTAAGTCCTTGCAGGACCAGATCCAGGCTGCGCTTATAGCTACGACTCGAACGACCGGCCAAATATCCTCCGAAGATCTCGGATTCCAACGATCGTTCAATCCTGAGATGGGTACTGCTCTTGATGAGCAAAGTGAGCGCCTGCTTTCCTTGGCCAGCGCATTGCTCAAGTCTGCGGTTTCTATCTCGGAATTACGTGCGCCAATCCTCCAGGATGCGGATGATGTGGATAATAACTGGCGGGGCGTTGTGGATGTTATCGATTCCTTATTGGAGAAGTCTGACACTTGCCTCGACGAATATACTGGTGTAATCAAGCGCAAAGAGCCTGCAACTGGTGAACAATCGAGCCAGGTAACTCTTGATCCCCTTCCTCCCGGATTATTTGAGGCTCACTCCTGATAGTCCGCTTCAAAGTCCAAGAAACACGGTCCCTTAGGGAATGCATTCCGAACCCAAAATCTCGTCAAACCGCAACTTGCTTTCGAAAACAGACCCAATAACGACGATAATACACCTTGGAGACCTCTCCTCGCCTCAAAACCCCATGCCACAGTATCCCTCGAAGAAAGCCTAGGCACTGTTGCCAATGGCTCAGAGCAACACCAGTATGACTACACCACTTTCCTACCACTGCTCACTCTTCCGCCCATACCCACTAAACCTGAGGGCTTAAGCAAGCCACAGAGAAAAAGACACAATCAGCGCGTCACCCAATTGAAGACGATGGGCAGCACGAGAACAGCCTTAATCATTGACAATACTGACAACTACTTTAGATATAAACATCCATACGAGAGCGAAATCCTCGAATTGAAATACTCAGACGCCGTTTACCATAAAGCTGATCCCATTCCATATCTTCCAGTTGAAAGTACATCCGCAATATTCGTGGATACTGCAGAGGGAGTACTTGAAATGCTCAATGAGCTAAAGACTGCCACTGAAATTGCTGTCGATCTTGAGCATCACGATACACGATCGTATGTGGGGCTGGTATCATTGATGCAGATTAGCACACGAAATAAGGACTGGATCGTGGATACTCTAAAGCCTTGGAGACAGGATCTGCAAATTCTCAATGAAGTATTTGTGGATCCAAAGATAGTCAAGGTAAAGTAGATCATTGACTTCTGCAATTGCTATCAGACAACTAATGGCGCCAGGTTTTCCATGGAGCATATATGGATATAGTTTGGCTCCAGCGTGACCTTGGTCTTTATGTTGTTGGGCTTTTTGACACACATTGGGCGAGCCGGACTCTTGGATATGCAGGAGGGAGTCTTGCCTTTTTGCTCAAGAAGTTCATCGACTTTGACGCCGATAAAAAGTACCAGATGGCCGACTGGAGAATACGGTAAAGAGAATTATATGGCTGATTTTCGAATCTTGCTAATTTTCTCCCAGACCTCTACCAGAAGAGATGTTCTTCTACGCTCGGGCTGACACGCACTTCCTGCTTTACATTTATGACCACATGCGCAACGAATTAATCGACAAGACAAATCCCGAAATCCCGGAGGAGAATCGAATTGAACTTGTTTTACAGAAATCCAAGGAGACTTCACTCCTGAGATATGAACGGACCATCTACAATGCAGAAAGCGGACGAGGCCCTGGCGGTTGGTACTCATTACTGGTTAAAACACCCGCACTGTTGAGCAACGAGCAGTTTGCAGTCTTTAGAGCTGTTCATGAATGGCGAGACCAAATTGCAAGGGCGGACGATGACAGCCCATCCTTCGTGATGCCACAGCATGTCCTTTTCAGTATGGCGAAATTGATGCCTCTAGACATGGTGGCTCTCCTAAGTATCGCCCACCCTGTATCTCACGGCGTGAAGTCGCGAGCTGGGGAGTTGCTCGCTCTGATTAAATCAGCAAAAGCTCGGGGGAAGAGTGGTCCAAGTATGATTGATGTGCTTCGTCCGGACTCGGTAGGTGGTGTTGCGAAGGCAAACCTGCCCACCGTCGCAGCAAGCACTGCACCGAAGACGTTGGTAGCTATATTTGATGGGACGGAACTTCGAAGCGAGAGTTCGACTTTTTGGGGAGGAGCTTTCGGAAGTAGTATATGGGATAGCCCGACCGTAACACACAGTGAGACGTTGAGACTTGCCGTTCCCTTACCTGTGTTGTCATCAGAGATATTTGCCCTCTCCAATGGCTTAGCAGATCGACCAATAGCCCGAGAGGCTTCCGGTGAGCCAGAGGAACCCACCACATTATCAAAGAAGGAAGACGAAGCTTTTGTCATCAAGCGTGGAGCAAAACAAAAGAATGATGCATTATCAGACGAAGAAAAGTCAGACGAAGAAGTTTCGAATGATTCTGGTAAACCTCACATTCCAACCCTCAGCAGAATCACCGTTGAAGACATAGCAGCGGCGCGAGAAGGACGGGCAAAGGCCGCCGAAAAAGTGGCACGCAAAGCAGAGAAACGAGCCAAGAGAGCCGCAAAGAAGGCAGCAGCAGCCGCAGCTATAGGTGGCGATACGGAAGATGCAGGAGAAGTTGATGAGGAGGAGGCATTTGATTACAGCAAAGCTGATTCGGTCCTTCGTGGGAAACGACATGATGGCGAAAAGGGAGGCAGAAAGAAAGAAAAGCCATTCGACCCCTATCGGAAGAGTGAGGATGCTCCGAAAGGTATGCGAAGGCTGCAGACGGAGAGTGCAGGGAAAAGCCATACTTTCAAGGGCTGAAGGGCAAATATTATGACGATGTATGATTATGAATACCCATCGAGGAAAGGGCAACAGCCCCGACCACGATCAGTGAAGAATCCGCGAACGTTAATGGGTATTTGCAACTTGGCCTTGCAGAGAATGGTTAAGCTTTATTAGCTCGCTTGACATATCAAGATGCATCAGAGTTGTTTGTGATCGATGATGGTAGCTCCCAAGGCGGGAGCAGACTTGCTTCAAAAGGTTAGGGGAAGGCGCTCTGAAGTCAGGAGAACAGACCTTCTTTTGTCTATACAAGTGCAAAGCGAATTCCATCATGCCTTTGGGTTTTCTTTCTCTACCTCGTGCCATATCAAGACTAGTTGCAGCTTCCAGGATGTTCTTTGTCTGATACCGAAGCCGATCGGGGTTTCCAGAAGTCCTGGCATCAGATGGGAAGCCATGGAAAACTTAATAATAAACTGTTGAATATTCTCCAATGTTCTTCACATCTGCCTTGGAATTTTCATGCTGGCGGAAGAGTCTTTAAGAAAAGGGATTCTGGCCGAAAGTTGAATCAATTTGTAGAGAGTTAATGCCCTACTTCTTACAAGGTTAAAAAAAAGGGTCTGATTCACCTCTCAGAGAGCGCACTATTCCTATCTAAATTTCCAGTAGATCAGGTCCAACTCTGGGAAATATCCTTCTAAGTTTCCTCTTGGTAAATAGCCGCTCAAGATTGACAACCCCGCCTCACAGGATTTGTCTGGTGCCACCACACCATCACAAGCATGGCTTTCACAAGTTATTTTGCATGTTGTTGACATCTTTGTCGGCCCGAAGAAGGAGCGCTGTGTGGTCCATACACAACACCTTACTTCGTAGTCAGAATACTTCCACAAGCTTTGAATGGGATACCTCAACGAGGGGATAGCACCATCGAGCTTCTTTAGAACCACAAATTTGCAGAATGCCGCTACAGCCCCAGCCCAACACTGCTAGCAAGTTGAGAGCTTCACAACCCTTGCAAAGTTCATCTATTCTTTCGCAACTCACAATACCGTCGCACGATTGCAGAGAATACTTCCGCTTTTAGATCCGCTTTATCAGGTGGTTTATTTGGACCATTAAGCAACAGTAATTCACATCAGAGCAATAGCGTATTGGCACCTCGCCAATCTCAAAGCTCGTTCCCAGTAGGCTCTCTTTTGGGAACTGCTCCCCCCTCTTCGCTCGACGTTTCCAGTACCGGACAGAGTCTTACCCGAAACAATCCGGCTAGCTCAGGCAATCTTTTTGGATGACTCCTTCCTACGGCCCCCTCCAGTCCCGTCCCCAACGCAGGTACCCTGCTTGGGAACATCAGCGTCCCGTTTTCCATTTCCCACACAATTTGCTGGCTGGAAATCCTGCCGCAGCAGCATCGAAACGCTCTTATCCATCTTCTTCTCATATCCGAGAAGTTTCGCTTCTCAGCACTCTTCAATGCCGCGATCAGACCCCAACATTCTGGGTCGAAGTCGGTTCAGCATGCCTTTCCCAGTTGAACACACAAAGCTTATCTACATGCGCACGAGCAACTCGTCCACTCTTCGCCAAATGCCAATGGTCTACATCTTTCGCACTTCGGGTCTCGATCGGCGCTCTAATCCCGAGTGTACCTTAATTTGGAAAGGTGATTTGGACTGGCTGGAGGACTAGGAGAAAGTTGGTGTTGGGGAACCTTCAACTCACGAAAGTGAAGGCCACTGGATTGGGTGCATGCTGAGTTAATTGTCTTTGAGATCACGGAGAAGCCGTGGGACAAAGAGATTGTGCTGAAAAATCCTGGGTATTATGATTTCGCACAGGCAAGGGTATCGCGTTAGTGTTTTGAGTTGATCGTTCGATCATGGGAGAAGCAGTAAAAATACACAATCACATATTTTTGGTTCAAGCTCAGTCGGCTGACTAATTGCTTCTCCGTATCGTTGTTGGAAATTGGCAGATCAAAATTAGCATTAGCGTACGTTTACGGAAATACGGAATCAATTAGTAGATGCTCTTTGTGGTCTCTTCAGAAGCGATCTTTAAACTGGTTGCTCGAGATATCTTTTGGCTTGGACCTAGTCTCACCATCATAGGGCCTCACATGGACAAGAAAGTGTCACTATATTCAATGTCTAACTAGGCCATTGTAGAACGCCCCCTAACAAATGTTCCTTCGAGATATGGTACACCTAGATCTACCTTCTTCGAACATCTTGGGATTTTCAAACGATAAATCTCAACCATCTCCAAGTTCAGCAAAATGTCCTCCAACTTCAATCTGGAATATTGGAGAACATTGCCCCCTTTTCTGATGACGGCGAGAGAGGCTCACATCTCAACTCTTGTCATGTTTGATATGCGCCAAATCTTTCCAGAGCCTTAAATTCAGGGGCTCGCTAACCACACAGCCGAGAGGTGAGTGGCCGCTTTTGACTTTAATCAGCCTCCACCAAGGCCAGAATCTACATCCATCATTTGCTTTTCTCAAGCACAAAATAAATTAACCAAAAGAAGGAATGTTGTATGTGAAGTTTATCATATCCAACCATATCCACAGGAAGTGATACAAATGGAATTGCTGGCCTTGATAACAGACAGATGACAAGGCCTAAAAGCGGCCACTTCCACTGAACGCGCTAACTCTACGCGTCGGAACGCGTCGTCCTTATCAACCTCTCCCAAACCCTCAGTTGTTGATTTTGTCTAGAAATCAATTCGTTCATATCGCAATCACAATGCCCCACTCCGTATCGCCAGAGCAGCCCGCATCCCCTGATCAGGTTGCAAATATCGAAGAGCCCAAGACAGATAATGTTGAAACCCAAGAGAGCGAAGGTACCGCTGTTGCAGACAACCTTGGTCCCATCGGGGAGAGCCAAACCAGCTATGATCAAGACATGACTATGACTGATGCCGGAGCTGCTGGAGAGAAGCCTCTAGTCAAGGTAGAGACTACTGCGGAAGTCAAGCTCGAAGATCTTTTTGCAGATATGGATTCCGACGAGGAATTCCCGAGCTCAACGGGTCAGGGTGTGAAGATATCAAGTTCGCCGGAGGCACCAGCATCTCCTGTGTAAGTTCTTTTACTCGGTTCACGTTCTTTCGCTGATTTTTTAGGCACATTGGACCTACTTCGAATGCCTCTGATCCAGAAGTGATGAGATCGTTCTATCAGCGGTTGTTTCCGTGGCGTTATCTCTTCCAATGGCTGAATCATTCCCCAACGCCTTCGACAGACTTTGGCCACAGAGAATTCGCGTTTACCCTGCAGAATGATGCGTATTTGAGATACCAATCGTTTCCTACACACGACCTGTGAGTTGCGGATGAATAAGACACTATGACATATGCTAATGAGTAAAGTCTACGCAAAGACGTCCTCCGCCTTATGCCTTCCAGATTCGAAATTGGACCAGTCTACAGTACAAATCCTCGCGATCGAAAAACACTCCGAAAATCGACCGCCTTCAAGCCGATTGCGAAAGAGCTATGCTTCGATATCGATTTAACAGATTACGATGATATCCGCACATGTTGTGACAAAGCAAACATCTGCAATAAGTGCTGGCAGTTCATTACAATGGCCATCAAGGTTATTGACGTTGCTTTACGGGATGATTTTGGCTTCAAGCACATTATGTGGGTGTACTCGGGAAGGCGAGGAGCCCATGCGTGGGTGTGTGACAAGAAGGCCCGGCAAATGGATGACCAGAAGCGGAGGGCACTTGCAGGGTACCTAGAAGTCATCAAGGGTGGTGCGCAGGGCGGCAAGAGGGTCAATATCAAAAGACCGTTACACCCCCATGTTGCGTCAGTTATCCTCTTCTAATAGCTTGAGTCAGTTACTGATATATACTTGCAGGCGAAGTCTCGACATACTCAAATCACATTTCCAAACCGACATCCTTCATGACCAAGATCCTTGGGAGACAGATGAGAAGTTCGACCGCCTCCTACAGCTCCTACCCGACAAAACTTTGAACGAAGCCTTACGGAAAAAGTGGAACTCTGCTCCAGGTCGAGCTTCTACAGCCAAGTGGACTGATATCGATGCTTTGGCAAAGAGCGGCATGAGTAAATCTCTGGATGCAAAGGCTCTGCTTGACGCAAAGCAGGATATTGTTCTCGAGTACACGTACCCACGGTTGGATATTGAAGTCAGCAAACACCTCAACCATTTGCTGAAAAGCCCATTTGTTGTCCATCCTGGCACAGGCAGAGTTTGTGTGCCGATCAACACCAAACACTGCGAAGACTTCGATCCCCTTAGTGTCCCTACTGTGACTGATCTCCTTCGGGAAATTGATGAATGGACGGCTCCGGAAGAGGAGAACGACGGAAAAGCCATCCAGGATTGGGAGAAGACGAGCCTGAAACCTTACGTTGAGTATTTCAGGTCATTTGTGCTTGGAATAATGAAAGACGAGAAGGACGTCAAAATTAAGCGTGAGCGTGAGGAGAATGGAGATGTTATGGAATTCTGAGAGGGGTCTTTGGAGTCCGGCGTGTACGGAGTACTGTGTGTATGTTAGACACGACTGTTATGATTGGAAGAATGGAATGCTAGGGCGATGACTACATTACTCATAGTACTTTCGTACTTTGCTATTGTGTAAATCGTCCAGTAGGCAACAGCAAATAATTACTGAGGGAGATTGCCTAGAATCTTCTTCGCCCTTTGCTTCCTGGTCACGTGTACACCTGCTACTAGCGTGAATCGCTAAAGTTCAAATTCGAGAGCCTTCAACTGCTCAACCTCAGCTTGAGATTTCCCCCACACAACCAATTTCAGTCTCGATCAACCACAAATTATCGCACGACCTCGAAGCCTGCCCATCAATTCGAACCCCGCGCAAAAGCCTGCGGTCAAAGCTAGTTCACCGAAACTCCATCGACGACGCTACCGTGACGAGATAAACACTGTTCTTCTGCCCCTCTATCGACTGAGGCTCCGCTCGCCTTCCCCAAGACAGCGCCCCTCGATCTTCCAAAATCTTGCGATACGTCTATGTTAGCTTCGATACTCATTAACGATCAATAAAACCGTATCGACCACGTCGTCGATTCTTGACCTCGAATCTCGCACTCTCTGATCACCACACATCTGCGCATACCGACTACTACCACGTCCACAACAATGGCTGACGCTTTAGCACAGCAACTAGATTCCACAAAGTTGAGGTGAATACCTATAGCGTCAAGGTACACTTGCGAGCTCTAGCTGACCTGAAAACAGTGATGGGCCGACATCAGAAGACTGGAAGCAAGGACTCAACATCCCCGCAAAGGATACTAGACAACAGACTGAGGTATGTACGGAAACCGAGGCTCGCATGAGCTCTCTTCTAAAAGAGGCAAACAGGATGTCACTGCCACTAAAGGCCTTGATTTCGAAGATTTCAGTCTGAAACGAGAGCTGTTGATGGGCATCTTCGAGGCTGGATTCGAAAAACCATCACCTATTCAAGAGGAGGCAATCCCAGTAGCTCTCACTGGACGTGATATCCTGGCACGCGCGAAGAACGGTACCGGCAAGACCGCAGCCTTCGTCATCCCGGCGCTTCAACGAATAAACCCCAAAAGCAACAAAGTTCAATGCCTCATCTTGGTCCCCACCCGAGAACTGGCAATGCAGACATCTCAAGTTTGCAAGACTCTCGGCAAGAACCTCGGCATCAATGTCATGGTCACGACTGGTGGTACCCTCTTACGAGATGATATTGTCCGTTTACAAGATCCTATTCATGTCATCGTTGGCACTCCAGGACGAATTCTCGACCTGGCTGGCAAGGGTGTAGCTGATCTCAGCGAATGTCCAACGTTCATTATGGACGAAGCCGACAAACTTCTCTCTCCCGAATTCACGCCCGTTATTGAACAACTTCTCCAATTCCACCCAAAAGACCGCCAGGTCATGCTTTTCAGCGCAACGTTCCCCATCACTGTCAAGGCCTTTTCAGACAAGAATATGGACAATCCATATGAAATCAACCTTATGGACGAACTCACTCTGCGCGGTATTACGCAATATTATGCGTTCGTCGAAGAGAGTCAGAAGGTCCACTGCCTCAACACCCTCTTCTCCAAACTCCAAATAAACCAATCGATCATATTCTGTAATTCTACTAATCGTGTCGAACTTCTTGCCAAGAAGATCACCGAACTCGGTTACTCGTGCTTCTACAGCCATGCTCGCATGCTCCAGACGAACCGCAATCGGGTCTTCCACGACTTCCGAAGTGGGGTCTGCCGCAATCTTGTCTGCTCAGATCTCCTTACTCGTGGTATTGATATCCAAGCCGTCAATGTTGTGATTAACTTTGACTTCCCCAAGAATGCCGAAACTTACCTCCATCGTATTGGTCGATCAGGGCGTTTCGGACATCTTGGCCTTGCAATCAATCTCATCAACTGGGATGACCGTTTCAACCTTTACAACATCGAGCGTGATCTAGGCACCGAAATTCAGCCTATTCCGCAAAACATTGACAAGAAGCTCTACGTCTACGATACACCAGAGAACATTCCCCGCCCTGTATCAAACTTCCAAACAATCCGCCCAACAGCAAGCCGTGAGTCGTCGGGGCGCGATTCCACTCCTCGTGATCAACCGTCTCAACAATCCGGCAACCAACGAACTGGAAGCTCGGGCAATTATAATGGTGGACGCCAGAATGGCTCAGGGTCGATCCAAGGCCAGAGGCAACCACAAAACCAACGTCAAGGCCAAAGCTTCTCACGTGGCACCGGCAGATATGAACAGACGAACCGACGAGGTGGTGGTCAGGGTGGTCAAGGCCAACGATCGAATGGTTACGAAGGTCAGAGAGGTGGTCGTGCTCAAGGCACCCCAACTCAATAGCCTTCCTCCACCACCACTTTCAGGATTATGGGGAGGGCGGTGTTTGATATTGTACATATTCATTTCTTTTCCATCTTTTGCGATAGACTCGAGACGAAGTCGTCATGAGATCTCTCGTGCCTGGCATATTAGGTAACGTCTGGATTCGTTCCATAGTTGCCCTCGTGCTTTAGATGCAGGGACGTCTTCTGCGCGGCGGTGGTTATCGTGCTTGTAACATACGACTTTCTTTTTCTTCACGGACCTTATGGGATGGCCCCTCTCGTCAGATGGGTATCGACGAACAGCAAAAGTTCAGCGACCTCGACCTGATATTATGACTTGGGTGGCGTATGTGGGCGTTTGGGCGAGGTCGCTCGCACGAGTGATCTCTGGAGTCTGGGTTGTTCTTGCAAGAAGGGCATGACTGGCTGGCGTCGGCAGATAGCTCTGTTTACTTTGGTTTTGAGCTCATAATTTATGAGCGAATGGCGGAAGATTTGATGATGCTGGATCGGGGGCATGTTTTAGCGGGGCGGTGCTATGATACCCGATCATTATGAGGGCGTGGTGGATGGGGAAAGGGGCGCTGGTGGGTGTGGTTCAGCAGGACAATAATGGTTACTCGTCGTACGCTCAGAAACGATGAGCTTGACATCTGGGATGAAGGAATGAGAAAACAAAAAACAACCAAAAACAACTTTGGGGAGTGCTGGAAAGGGTTCATGGCTCGTATCGAATTGGCTCGATGGTTATGTATCAGGTCTAGCAAATGCAACTTTTAACCCCCCAAGTCCGCTGGCTGAATCCGCGTGATACTCTTGGGGACTGTTCATTTCAGTGCTACCCCTTTCGAACCAGATGTGGACGCCTTCATCCGAGGTGTTCTGCAGCAACACCCGACTGTCCGGGCCATTCCGAGGAGCTTTTCCGGGACCGATGAATGGCTGGGTGTGAGGAGGAAGGAGGATGATTGTCCGAGGCCGAATGAGACGAGCAAGGGTGAACGTGCAACCGGGACACGGATTTCATTTTGGTTGTTGTGATACTCGGGGCTGAAATTCAAGGACTCTCCGTTGACTCGAAATGAGATCTGACGGCGCCTTGATTGGCTGGTGGCCATTATGTCGTGTGCACAGCAGGGTGTGCCAGTCCAATGCACGGCGATAAGCAAAGTGGAGGAACGCCTGGAACCGTTGCACCAACAACTACAGTATTTTCGTCTGATCTCGAAGCCGGGCCATAACCTCCCGGAGCCCGAGCTCGAGTTGCAGATCCTCAGAGATCCTCAGAGATCCTCAGAGATCCTCAGAAAGGGGGATTCTTGCAGATGGCCGCCCAGGCCTGCAAAGCAGCTTGATTGAGTGCTGACCGTGGCATTCCACAATGTCACTGCTCAGATCCTCCTGCGCGCAACAGTTCCAGAGTCGCAATCCGGGTCGTTCCGGCTCCCGAGCATCCTTTCAGCATCCAGCATTACCCTGTGGCTGGAATGGCACATGGCATGCCATGTACTTTGGCTAAATGGAGCGCGACGGGGATCCTCCTCCACGTGAAAGGGAAAGGGGGTTGATTATGTGTGTGGTACATAGCGGTGAAGGACGGGGGACACCAGTTGGCTGCCATATAGTTGCTAATAGACCCCTCGAAGCTTCCTTCCATCCATACTTCATTTTGTTTCCTGCCCTTCTAGCAATTGTTATTCTTCGGGCTTTGAGACATTTGATTCAGTGCTGCCCAAAGTGACGTTCGGCCGCCATTTACCGGACTAACTTCCTGCGAGCTACCGGCCAGAATTTCATGATTTCCAACTCCTCTGGCCCTGACAACATCACAACTCTCTTCGAGCAGTGCGTAGTGCTGTGAAACCCCACGCAAGCATCCGCAGCTTCGCAGGCCTTATTGAGGGAACTAGAGAACTGGGAGGAAAGATCCAATTATGTCGTCGATTGTAAGATATATCTATCCGCTTTGGTCCAACTTTGTTGCGCTCCCTTTGCCCCACCGTGCCCGGCCCTGCTTCTGCGTTTGCCTGATGGCGCAACAATCGCAGACATGGGCGCATTATTGCTGCGCCCTCTGCTATCATAAGACCTTGTGCTAATCTCTATATCTTCTGCAGTTATGTCTGGCGCATTATTGCGACACACATGGTCCCACCCCACTGATGGTGACCGAGGGTTTGGCAGTGAGCTGCACGTCTTGTTTTGAAGACGAGAGTTTGAGCACAAGACGACCAAGCACGAGTTCACGGTCGGTCAATCCTACAGATGGGTCGGCAGGTATATCGCGGGGCGCAAGTAGGACCAATTCGTCGTCGTCGGACAAGGAGAATGCAGCATACTCAGCATTTCGCTACCAAGCATCCAAGGCTCAAGCGTCGACTTCTGCCATTGAGACCCCACCAGAGAGTCCTCGAGTTGCAGCATTGCAGATGGCACAGAATCCCAATAATTATCGACGCGACTCGAGCTTCCGGAAGACCTACGATGAGAACGACAGGAAGAGGGCCATACCCTGCGAGAATTGCGCGCTCACTCTGCCCAAGAAGACGAAGGAAGGGTCATCTGCAAGTAAGATGGATAACAGCGGACCAATCCTTCGAACCAGGAAAGTTTGTGAGCGAATCTCTGTCCCTGCGGAACAACCTTCACCTCCCAAATCCGACTCTTGCAACTCCTCCGATTCCGAGAACGCCATTGTATCCAAGCCTACACACCGAAGAACCCGCTCACGCACTCTAATCCGCGCCGGTACATCCTCTAGTAACTCGTCCTTCAACTCTACTATCTCCCATGACCATTACCTAGACTACACTTCGACCCACGAACCACTCGCTCCCACCTCTTTCTCTATCATCCGACAATCCTGCCTCCGTACTCTCTCATGCGAGACCCTACCTCCTTCGTCGACACAATTCACTTCTTCCCCAGCATCGCCTTTCATGAACAACCCCTTTTCAACCGGTCCTTCATCCGCCTCAACTTCTGGTGGTCCTATCTTCTTCGGTGACCCTCTCGCAGGATACACAACGGCCTACATATTTCGAATACCAGACCCCAATGCCCGTGGCCGGAGACGCGTCTATGCACTAATGGCACTCAGCACGCACCGCGAACGAGCAGCCATGCAGACCTTCTCCTACCTCTCATCCGCATTCCGAGACCTAGCTGCATGGATCCAGTCCCTCGCCGAAGCAGAACTCGAGCGCGCTGAAAATGCAAATAGTCCTCGTCTTAGTGGAAGCGATGACAGAAATGGTAGCAGTAGCAGCACCCACAACACTCCTACTAGCGCCTTCTTGAGTGGCAGGAAATGGGGCCCTGATGGCAAGTTTGCAGGCATGAGTTTGAAGGCCCGAGGGCTAGCGGAGATCGTTGGGTTACCGGATTTCTTCATCGAGTTGCACGCGAAGTTTGTGCGGCTGCTTATTGAGCTGAGTATTATGCTCGGTGCATAACGCCTTGGTCCAGCGTTAGCATACGTTTCTGAATGTTGTCGGCGAGCCAGGAAATTCCATCCTATGGTACTTCAAGACTTCGGAGGAATGATTTATGATTGTTTGAGCGAGAGTGAGAGCAAGCGTGGAGTCAAGGGAAATGCATTTTACGGCGTTTAGATGGGTATGGGAGTCATTTGGATATGTGCTCTTTTAGGAGTAACAGCAACATCAACATGGAGTTTGGGCGGAAACTACTTCGTCTGGTTGTTTTGATAGCGTTTAGCGATGCTTTTGCTTTTCAGCCGGTTTGGTCTGTTATTTTAGTACTGTATGTTGAGAGCGAGATACCATGCAGCGAGCACTAGGTCTGCTAGTAGAGGCGCATCTGCTGAAATAGAAGAAAGATATTGAGATTTAGAGGTCCTTCTTCTGCTGCTAATTATCGATGAAGTGAAGAAAGGAAGTTTAATATTGCCATCACGCTGAGGAGAAAGAGGCAATGTACTGGACAAAACTGAAACATCCGATAAAAATGTACCGGGGAGCACTCAACATTTAAACGCTCACGAGACATATTATCCAGCTTCTTGTAGGTATATTATATGAAGTGGTCTTACCATTTCCTTCAAGTGTTCGAGAAGTGTAAGACATAGTCAGGACCTCTCTTGAATGTCCTTGCAAGCTGGGCACATTGACATTATTATTAAACAGTCGTCTTCCCCCGAGTCCCGAAAACCCAGACTATCGAAATATTCCTGGGATTCTGGTTCATGGAGGCTGTGGGGAAATGGTGGATGCCAAATTTAAAATTCAAGAATCATTGCACCATACAAGAATACATAAACACGTGTTATGTAGAAGGCAGAATCTATTGGATTACAGACTGGTTATGTTTTTGGTATTATTGGTACAGCTGAATCTAATGCGAAGCGTTGAGCCATCACTGTAGTTCAGATCTCCTTTCTTATAATCCCATCCTCCCATTTCTCTCGTCTGAATGGCCAGGTTGTGAGACTCAATGTTCCGATTTTTGTTGACACATTCAAGCCTCTCACCCACCCATGTCCCTGATCCACCCAACAAACACTCTCAAACTGCCCTCTATTTGTAGAAATCGTACGACTTCGCTTCCTGAGATGTCTTCACCTGAGCGGAGTAAGCATCCTCCAAATCACTCTGAATGATGTTGTATCGGTTCTTTCTCACGGCTCTGAGACCAGCCTCCTGCATGATCGCCGCAATGATCGCACCACTCAGAGGATCGTTTCGTACAATCAGACTGTCGAGGTCCACCTCAGGAGCCAAGGACATCTTGGATGCGATGGTAGTGAAAATCAATCTACGTTCTCGTCTATCTCGGAGATTGGGGAACTCGATCTTTCTGTCGAGACGGCCAGGGCGGAGGAGAGCGGGATCCAAAGTGTCAGCACGATTGGTGGCCATAATGACCTTGACATTTGATGTCTGATCAAATCCGTCCATCTGGTTAAGTAGCTCGAGCAGGATACGCTGGACTTCTCGATCAGCGCCAGTCTGGGCATCGAATCGCTTTGTGGCGATGGCGTCTATTTCATCGATGAAGATTATCGCTGGTGAATTTTCTCTTGCCATTCGAAACACATCTCGGACCATTCGTGGGCCTTCGCCGAGGTACTTCTGCACGAATTCGGAGCCGACGACCCGAATGAAGTTGGCTGTGGTGGAGTTGGCAACAGCTTTCACTAACATTGTCTTGCCTGTTCCGGGGGGGCCGTAAAGGAGGACGCCGCGAGGTGGATCAATTCCAATTTGAGCATAGAGGTGGTGTTGAGTGAGCGGGAGTTCCACCGCTTCACGAATTTCTTGCTTCTGCATATCAAGTCCACCAACATCTGCATATGTAACATCTGGTTTCTCATCTTGACCAAGCATTGCAATGGAGGAATCGGCCTCGGGGGGAAGGATATCGACTAGAGAGTTTGAGTGGCGGTGGAGGGCGACAGAGGATGAAGGCTTGAGTTTTTCGCGATCGAGTGTAGAGAGGATTCGTACGACATAGTTAGATCCTGTTGATGATTGCACGATGCCGGTGCTGATTTGGTCAGCATTTCCCGGAGCCATTTAAGTGTTGTTCTTACTTCTGATCGATGGCTTCCATAAATTGCCCAATCACCAAGGGCACGCTCTGAATTCGCTTGATCTCTTCTTGTGCCCGGACCAGCTCTCTCTTCAAGCTCCTGTAGGATATCAGCTTCAGTTGGGAGTTAGAGCGGCTCGGATTCCATACCGTTGTTCGTCCTTAATATACTCTTCTTGGAGCTGGATATATCTGCAAGAGTTAGGCCACGGTCCGTTTGCGCCATCTCAAGTCAACTCACTCCATATGCCGCTCCAGCTTCTTCAGAGTAGAATATTCATCACTTCCATCCGTTCCTAAACCTTCCAGGGAGTCGATGTTTGGTATCGAGGATTGCATGTGTTTTCGGTGCGGCAGCACCTGAGTTGCAGGATTTTCGACCATAGCATCCCCCATCGTGAAGACCGTAGGATAAGTGCGTTGAGAGATCGGGATATGCGTTGATGAAGATTCTCGTGGAAAGGTGAAATTCGTAGGAGGTTGTGATGAATACTGGTTGACGAGGCGAGTTGAAGGCAGCTTCCCTTACGAATTGGGAACAGCGCTTGCCAATTTTGAGCTAATATTAAAGCGGCCCTAGCGCCATCGGCATCCGGAGGTGAGCAATCACGCCGGACAGGCTCACTTGCTGGCTGTCTCTCTCTTGAGTCAGGCTTTCCTTTCTTAACACGAAACTTTCAACACGACAACATCGACCTGCTCATTGTACGGAGCTTTTCTGGTGCTTATAATTTATTGCTGTCAGTACCTGCTTCCAACTAGGCACCATGTCAACTTCGATCACCATTCCGATGCGAACAACTTATGGTGAGAGCAGCAAGGCTGCTGTAGCAGCCAGCTCCAGCTCCTCATCCTCCTACTCATCTTCACCTCGAACACCACAGCAACCACAAACAACACAAACATCGACGCCTACCTCTTCGAAAGTCAAATATGGTCATGATCGGAGACCAAGTTTATTGAGTTAGTTTCCCTGTTCTACCTCTTGCACTCTACGATCCTGGTGAGCCGAGCTGTCCAGCTAGGCAGGAAGTCGGCAGAGCATTTGGCAGCACAATATCGTAGAATTATCTTCGCGAATCGTCAGGCTGACAAGAATTAATTAGGCTCCTCATTCTCGAAGCAAGAACATACTGTCATCAACATTGGAGATCCTGACGGGGTACCGCGCTTGGTGAGCCTATCCCTAGACGCCGAGGAGCTCAAGCGTCTCGAGTATGGCTAACATTCTTATTCGCAGATTACTTGCGTCCGATCATCTCAAGGCTACGAATGGAACCCAGGTTAGTCGATTCCATGAGCCTTAATCATTCGGAGAAATACTGACAATCCGGTCCAGAGATCTTCTTACCCTCATACGTCGAATGCGACTTCGAATCCCTTGAACGAAAGCGTGACCCGGTCCACGAGATCCGCCTGAGCGACGAGGAGATCAAGCAGATGTTCCCTCAATAGTTTGCTATCTTATCGGAATGCTTCAGGATAGATAGCCTGTGGTCCCGGGCTTGGAAATATGGGACTTGCACATGAACGGCGTTGGGACTTGAACATATGATTCCCTCGATATTTGGATACAGGAGTATTTTACTGGGAGCCGTTTCTACGGCTAAGTACGACTAGATGACATGATGGGATGGGAATTGGGTCGTGGAGTCAGGCATTTGCTGGGGATTGCAAGTTGTGGAGGTTCGGATGGGCGTCTCAACTCTTTGATTCGTTCATTGCAATGAACTTTGATTCATTTTCATTTCATCGCAATACATCCGAATTTGAGAGTGACTGTTATGCCTCTGTCCATTTCCCCCAGAGTCGAGGCAGGGGAACTGCTTTGCAGACAGGCAGACTTGAGCACTTGTAGCCTGATTGAGGCGTTGTGTGACTCTACCGATGTGATCAATCATTTGTAACAATGTCTTTACCTTACAAGATACAGAACACTATTGGACGAACTAGTGTGCATGTTTCGTTGATCATGGTATTTCATGGAGGTTAGGACTAGAACCACCCATCATGTCCCCATAATCGAATAGCTTACGAAGGCCAGTAAACATTTTGAGTCTCATTAAATTAGAATAGGGTGGCATGCGGGATTCTGGAAGCCTGAGATCCCTTGTTGAGTCTTACTCACTCGCCGAGAATTGGTCATCAGCAACAGGACTCGCTTCACATACAGCAACTACAGATTCCGCTTTCATCCGAAATCTTGCCGGGCAGCTCAACGTAGGAAGAATACAGTCGACCTCGATATCATTGAAGTTCGGGTCAAGAATCACCTCGCGGGCATCAGACTTTTCTCTTTGCGTCCCAACAGGTCAGAATCGTGTCTCATGGTGACAGGTGGAGCTGTCTTCTGCAGGCACAGTTGAGTCGTTGTGCATGAGCCTGCAGGCTCCTCCTGCAGGGTCACATGTAACAGTTATATAGTAGAACTAAATACCACGAACCTACCATTGCATATGTGAAGTCCGACTCCTATGGTGTTGATATAATTGTTCCAAGCTCAGCACACTACCTTAGAGATCTCGGCAGCTGAAGGCATGTGATGGAATTGCACTATGACCCCCACCAAGCTCCACCCCGCATTCCGATAACGAAAGCCCGGAATGAAATAAGGTTTAGCGCGCGGCCGCTTGTTCCGATATGCTGACCTCAGTGTAAAGTAAACAACCGCGAAAAGCTTCAACCCAACATCAATTTCTCAACATCATCTTCTCCTCCAAACGGAACAGAACAGCACAAGTCTTTGGGTCACGAGAACAGCAGTTGGGTAGATATTGCAATGGCAGAATTCCACAGAAAAATAGAACTCCAGTCACCAGATGATCTCCAATACCTGGTCTCGAACATCCGACGCGCCGCGAACCAGAAGATAGACAAAGACTGGCCACCAATAGAAGGAGAGGATAAAATACGAGAACGCGTTGAAGAGCTCGTACACAGCGTATGTCTACTATTTTCCTGAGGTTGTCTGCTTTTTACAATCATAATGCACTTGGGGAGCAGGCGCTGACATCAAAATTACTAGTACATCAACGACGTTTTCCACAAAACGGCTGCAAATATATCTATTAATGGCCTCGAACCCTCGGAAGAACTCATCAACAATATCCTCGTGAATAGCACGTCTCCAGCACATCACGAAATCGAAGAACACGAGCCTTTTAACACGAGACTTTTTGAGAAAGCGAAGGAGCGCGCGAGAGAGGAAGAGGAACTGATTGAGGCGATTGCGGCGTTGAGGAGGAAGGTTCCTAATTCAGTAGCGGAGAACACGAAGAAAATGTACAAGGAGGGTATTGAGGGTGACGAGGAACAGTTGCGTAAGAGGGAAGAGCTGGTTAAGGAACAGGGAGGGGCGCAGATGAGCTTGGAGGCCCTTGAGAGGCAAGAAGGTGTGGAGGCCAATTGGGACAAAGGTATTAAGGGGCTGGAGAGGTTGATGAAGACGATGCCTGAGATGGTGGCGAGGAAGGAGAGAGCAGAAAAGGCTGAAGCAGTAGCAACTGGATAAGCAATGGGAACGAGTCAACATATGTGCACCTGTCCAGGCTTTGCGTGCCGAGACAAGGATTTCTTGCATTTTGCTAAGTGCTCGCAGCTACGGACTTTCTTATGGTGTCATTTGCGTCGGAACCCGCCAACCGCCCCCTTTCATCAAGTTCCTTCACATCAACTGCCTCGATAGCGTTGTTTTCGAGAATCGACGCCCCGCCCTCTTCGTCCTCACTTTCCTCCCCCTCTTCCTCTTCCTCTCCTTGATTCTCACTCTGATTTTCTGCGCCCTTCTTCACTTTCAGCTTCGCCTCTTTTCTCTTAGGAATGACACTCAAAAATGCCTCTCCCCAATCTCCAGTCACTAACCATTTCAGCATAATTTCCACAACATGATTGACTGCCAAAACACTTCGGCTTTGCATGGTCATGTATTCGCCAATCGGGAGTTTGGCCGTTGGAATACCCCTTTCGCAGGCTCGCTTGTAGCACAGTCCTTTGTGTCTATTCTTATCCACGATGCCGCCAATGATGTAGCATGTATTTGGCGAAAGGTACTCTAGGGTGTGTGGTGAGTCTGCGGTAAGATAGACAATTGATGGGGTAGCTTTTGAAGGCGAAGAGTCTGCGGTTTCTGGTGGTGGAGCTTCTTGTTTGGGTTCCAGTTCGACTGTTGATTGAAGCGAAGATGCCGTTTCCGTTATTATGTCACCATTTGTGCTCTGTGATGCTTCGTGGACCTTGGAAGTGACAGCTTCCGTGGCGACATTTGTCTCTTTGAGATCTTCGGAACTTCCATCTGGGATCGGAGAGTGGCCCATATCTGTCTTTTTTTCCATAGCCTCAACCGTGTTCTTCAAAAAAGCACCAGCAAGTGTTCCTCCAGAACTACTTCTCATAACCTCATCCAAACTCTCTGCTGCGACCACAAAGTCTTCCTCGAAGAACTTCACACCCTTCCAACTAAGATGATTGTTCGTGAGCACAGTCTCAAATCTTGACTTGAGTGTTCCACCCCAAGAGCTGAGGGCGAGGTGAGATCTATATGGATTCTTCCTGTTTTCTGAATAGCATCTCGTGAGCTGGGCCCCAAGGGATTTGAGTTCCTTCTCGAACATAAGCTCATTGAAATCGCAGTCCAGGATCAAAGATACTGGGACTTGAATTGGTCTCCTTGGGTACTTTGGCTTCTCTTCAACTTCCTTCTTCGGAAGTTCGATTGCTTCTCCACTAGCGATCTTTGCCTGCAATTCTTGACGCTGCTCCTTCTTCCGAGCTTGTTTTTCGTGGTGCTTTTCTCGTCGCTTGGCTTTCCGGTATTCTCTCCCGGCTTCCCACTGCTCTTTTTTCTTCATCTTCTTCATCTGGCTTTTGGATAGTTTGGGCTGGTCATCCCTCTCTTCCTGACCATCTTGGGATGGTGCTCCTCCTTCATCTTCTAATTGGTCACTGGTTGCATCTGAAAATCCCATCTCAGGAGCTTCCTGGGCTGCTGTATTGCTTTGTGGCGACTCATTTGACTCTTTCGTTATATCAAGCTTCCGAATCTTTGTTGGACGCTCTTCAAGCTCAGCCATTGTGAACTTGAATTTGGGAACTTTGAAGTTGTCGAAATTCTCGTGACTTCAAAATAATTTGACTAAAAAAAATCCCGCCTTGGGCAGAATCGCCGAATGCGGTTTAGGGCAATCACGTCGCGTCCTCCCTAAGCTTCCGCGACTGTTCGTGGAATATAGACATCCCAGGAAAGTCAACAATTTCAAGGGTGCAAAGGGACCTTCCGCTTCACTAATCTTCAGAGTTTTACTCAAGAGTATCTGGAAATGACTTCACGTCCTGAATTAAAGGTATCTCCATTTCAATGGACTCCCCAATTCAACGCCACACTAACTCTTTCCAGGTCGACGATGAGGGTGGATTCATCAAATTCTTCAAATCACTACCCGATAATGGAGAGGATACAGTGAGGATCTTTGATCGGGGAGACTTCTATACTGCTCACGGGGACAGTGCATCATTCATTGCCCGAACGGTAATATATTCTTTCTGCCCCCAAAAGAAGTGAACTGACAAGTCTTATAGATCTATAAAACGACTTCCGTCCTGCGACAATTAGGCAAGCATGACTCCACCGGTCTCCCCTCAGTTACCATGTCCACCACTGTCTTCAGAAACTTTCTTCGAGAAGCTCTCTTCCGTCTTGGCAAGAGAATCGAGGTTTGGGAGAACACGGGTCGAACTAATTGGAAAATCACAAAGCAAGCCTCACCCGGGAATCTGCAGGATATTGAAGAGGAACTGGGGGGACAATTTGATGCTGCTCCAATCATACTGGCTGTCAAAGTCTCGGCAAAAGCTTCGGAGGCCAGAAACGTTGGTGTTTGCTTCGCAGATGCCAGTGTTCGAGAATTGGGAGTGTCGGAATTTCTGGACAACGATCTGTATTCGAATTTCGAATCGCTTCTAATTCAGCTCGGGGTGAAAGAATGCCTCATCCAGGTCGACAAGTCAGAAAAGGATGTGGAGATGGCTAAGCTCAAGGCGATTGTCGATAATTGCGGAATTGCTATATCAGAGCGGCCTGGAACCGATTTCGGCACTAAGGATATCGATCAAGACTTGGCGAGACTTCTGAAGGACGAAAAGGCTGCCGGTACTCTTCCACAGACAGATCTCAAGCTTGCAATGGGATCAGCGGCCGCTTTGATCAAGTATCTTGGAGCATTGCACAATCCTTCGAATTTCGGTCAATACCAGCTTTATCAGCATGATCTGTCACAGTTCATGAAGCTAGATGCATCGGCATTAAAGGCCTTGAACCTCATGCCTGGGCCCCGAGATGGCGCCAAGACAATGTCAGTGTACGGATTACTAAATCACTGCAAGACCCCAGTAGGAAGTCGGTTGCTTGCACAATGGCTGAAGCAACCGCTGATGAGCAAAACGGAGATCGAGAAAAGGCAGCAACTCGTCGAGGCATTTGTCGAGGACACCGAATTACGCCAAACAATGCAAGAGTCACATCTTCGATCAATTCCCGACCTGTATAGGTTGGCCAAGAGATTTCAACGGAAACTGGCAACTCTTGAAGATGTGGTTAGAGCTTGGCAAGTGGTTATCGCACTACCAGGCTTTATTGGTACTCTCGAGGGCGTTATGGACGAACAGTATCGCGATCCACTGGATGAAGCGTACACATCGAAGCTTCGGGAGTACTCTGAGAGTCTTGATAAGCTAGCAGAAATGGTTGAAACCACGGTGGACCTTGCTGCTGCTGAAAATCATGACTACATCATCAAGCCCGAGTTTGACGAAGGCCTGCGAATAATCAGGAAGAAACTCGACAAGTTAAGGCATGAGTTGGATCAAGAGCACCGCGCTGCTAGTCTGGACCTTTCGCAGGAGATGGACAAAAAGCTGTTCCTCGAGAACCACAAAGTCCATGGCTGGTGCATGCGTCTTACGAGGAACGAAGCGTCTTGCATTCGGAACAACAAGAAATACCAGGAATGCTCCACACAAAAGAATGGTGTTTACTTCACAACTCAGAAGTTGCAAAGCATCCGACGAGAGTTTGATCAGCTATCCGAGAACTACAACCGGACCCAGAAGAGCTTGGTCAACGAGGTCGTCAGTGTTGCCGCTTCATACTGCCCAGTCATAGAACTGTTAGCCGGCGTGCTTGCTCATATGGATGTTATTGTGAGCTTTGCACATTCTTCCGTCCATGCACCTACATCCTATGTCAGACCCAAGATGCATCCCCGTGGTGAGGGTGACACCATCTTGAAGGAGGCCCGGCACCCTTGTATGGAGATGCAGGACGACATTCAATTCATCACCAACGATGTTACTCTCAGACGTGGAGGTTAGTAAATGTTTTCTATTGATGTTCGACCCCTGGTCCGCCCCCGCCTGAAGGTTTGTGAGATGCAAGAGCACCTGGGCCATGCTCCTTCCGCAGCCATGGATTCTTCTTCTGCAGCCATGGATTCTCCTTCCGTCTGCGCATCGAGGACAGACTTCCTCAAACAACTCCTGTCTGCAACTTCATTCGTCTTTGCTCCTGGCCTCTTGGACGTCCTCCAATCGTCTACTCTGCCTGCGATCACTTTCTTCAAAAGCCTCCCTACCGACCATAAGAAAGTGTGGGGAGTATATCTCCTTGTGCTTGAGAAACGGGACCCCCGATCAAAGATATATATCGGCTCAGGTACTTCTGTTACTGGTGGTGTGTCCTCTCGTCTTTGCCAGTACGACAAGCAGCAACTTCTGCTTAGAGACGTTAAGAATCATGGCTCTCGACGCCAAGTCCCTCCCTCAGCTCATGATGCTGCTTCTCTGGAGATGTCTCAACATGTTTGCTGTAAACTATAAGCACTCATTCTTTGTCAAAATCCTCTCGAGCGAGGACTTCCTCGAGGAACTCCTGTCTGCAACTTCATTGGTCTTTGCTCCTGGTCTCTTGGACATCCTCCAATCGTCTGCTCCGCCAACTATCGCTTTCTTCAAAAGCCTCCCTACCGACTGTGAGAATGTGTGGGGAGTATATCTCCTTGTGCTTGAGAAACGGGACTCCCGATCGAAGATTTATATCGGCTCAGGTACTTCTGTTGCTGGTGGTGTGTCCTCTCGTCTTATCCAATACGACAAGAAGCAACTTCTGCCCAAATACGTCGCACCCGCTCTCGATGAAGGATATACTATCACTCACAAGGGCCTTCTATGCTCTGCACCCATCCCTTCTGCTGGCAAAGTACCAATTACACGGCTGTTCTTCGTTGCATTAGAAGCTGTCTTCACATTTGTCTTCTGGGCTCTTAACTGCAAGACTAAACATGGGTTTGGCTTTGCGGATCTGTGCCCCTGGGATCGAGATACGCTTGAATATGGCGGTTTATGCTCCCACAACCCCATGTCCGAGAATATTAGAGGAGACTTGGGCCTTTCAGCTGAGCAATTGGAGACTATGGCAGCAGAATACGCTATAAAGCGGGCGGGAGACAAACGCAAGAGAAGAGCCGATGCAAAGGAGAAGGACCCTGAAGCTTTCAATGCCAAAAACAACCAGGACAGGAGGGATTGGTATTACCAGAACAAAGAGTCCTGCAGAGAAGCAGAACGAAGACTTGCAGCCAAGGATGTCAAGGCGAAGAAGTACTACTGTGAAGTCTGCGATCATGCCTGTCGGACCAGCAAGGACTTGCGTGCTCACAACTCCACCGAGAGGCATCTTCACTATGTCGCCACTCAGCACTTACCAGAGGACCAAAAGTACTCTTGCGAGCTCTGCGATTGCAATCCTGGCAGCTGTCACGCTTTGAAGAGACACAAGGCTAGCAAGATGCATCTCAAGAATGTTGCCCTTCAGCACTTACCAGAGGGCCAAAAGTACTCTTGCGAGCTCTGCGGTCGCAATCCTGGCAGCTCCTACGCTTTGAAGAGACACAAGGCTGGCAAGAAGCATCTCAAGAAAGCTGCTGCTGCTGCTGCTCAGCAGCACTAGCATCACCAGGCCACGCTTTTTGGAGGTTTTTTGGTCCATATCACTAACTATTTCAAAGGTTTATCGTTGATTACAGGAGCGAATATGGGCGGCAAGAGTACTTACATTCGGCAAATCGGTGTCATAGCACTGATGGCTCAGATCGGTTGCTTCGTTCCTTGTTCAGAAGCCGAATTGACCATTTTTGACTGCATCCTTGCTCGAGTCGGTGCCAGCGATTCGCAGCTGAAGGGCGTCTCGACCTTCATGGCCGAAATGCTCGAAACGGCTAACATTCTCAAATCTGCTACCTCGGAATCTCTCATCATCATCGACGAGCTTGGTCGCGGTACTAGTACTTATGATGGATTTGGACTTGCCTGGGCAATTTCAGAACACATCATCAAGGAGATCGGCTGTTTCTCCATGTTCGCCACCCATTTCCACGAGCTCACTGCCTTGGTAGACCAGTACTCTCAAGTGCAGAACCTGCATGTCGTGGCACACATCGATGACAACGGAAAGGGTAAGAGAGAGGTTACACTTCTTTACAAGGTGGAAGAAGGAGTCTGCGATCAGAGTTTCGGTATTCATGTTGCGGAGCTTGTGAGGTTTCCTGAAAAAGTGGTTAGTATGGCGAAGAGGAAGGCGGACGAGTTGGAAGATTTCACCAGTAAGCACGATGGACATGCGATCCAATATGGGAAGGAAGATGTGGAGGTAGGAAGTGCGATGTTAAAGGATGTTCTGGTGAAATGGAAAGAAGCTTGTGACGGCAAGGACTTTAGTAGGCAGGAGATGGTGAGTAGGTTGAGGGAGCTGGTAAAGGGGGATGAGAAACTCCTTGCGAATCCCTTCTTCCAGAGTGTGAAAGGTCTATGATTTTATGGCTCTAGGGAGGTCTACTGGTATTGCTACATAGTTGGGAGGCACTAATTGCTTTATAAGGGGCGGCCTAATTGTACAACACATAGGATTACATGGAATGAAAATATCAACGTCAAAACCGCTGCGATAGTCTGTCAACCATGATGAACTTGGAGAGATATCTCTGTCATTGGTAAAGGGAAGAACTTCAACAATCTGTATGATTCTGAATCCTCTACTTCTAGCAGGTAGGCCACTCTTGGGAGCTCGTTGGGTTCAAATCATGATCGGATCAATCACCTCCATCGCCAGTCCTACCCAGATCTCTCCTCACCCTCCAAACACGGGCCCCTGTTCCCCGTCCCTGAGATCCTTCAAGTCTGTCCACCCACGGAGCGTTCTGGAATCCATCACCCAGACTCTGATTCCCAGTCTCATCCATACCTTTAGAGGCTTCGGCTTCAAACTCCGGGGATCCTTCATCGTCAAGGTCCAGTTCTCTACCTCCTTGTTTCCTCGCCGCTTTATCCAAAGCAGTCTTTCGTGTAAGCTCCTCGATGTATGCCCAGCCAGGCGTGTCAAGTTTTCCACTAATTAGAACGATTGACTTCCCGGCCTGGCTGACATCCTCGATCACTTTTGATGGAATTGGAGTTAGGACTTGCAGTCGACGCCGAGCCACGTCGATGCCTCTGACTAGTGCAAGACCAATACTGTGAGAGTATTTAGGATCAAGCGAAATATTATTTGAGGGGTTGAAGTAGGGTATTTCTTCATCAGGGGTGGATACTATTAGTGGCCTTTCCAAATGTTGAAGCTGGAGGGAATCTTGATCAAATGCACGGATTTCTGTATCGTCCGTCTTGTCAAAGACGTGCGTGGGAGGCTCCATGTTGTCTCCTTCTGAGGTCCAGCCAGGAATCGCTGCCATATCATCGATGACGACGACAGCTACCAGAGAGCCATTGATCGTATCCGCAAGAAGGTTTACAGGCGGTTGCTCTCCATAGCACATAACGCCAAGCAGTCCAGGATTCTCTCCTGAATAATTTATTTCCCAAGGTGGTATGGAAGTCAAAGGTAGACTGTTCCATGCCAATGTTGACTTTGTGGCTGAATCTAAGTGAAAGTATGACATCGACTGCATCGCTCTGAGATGAGCTGCCGTTCTTGTTGTATACTCACTGACCTGGGATGGTAGTGTGAGCACAAGAGTCGATTTAGCTGCTTCTCGCAGGCTATCAACGACGTCTGGTGGTCCATCCTGAGACATATAAATAATCTCACTCGGCCGAAGTTGAGTGATTATTTCTACCAGGATTTCCAATCCCGTGCCTAACACCCATCCAGGAGTATTTATGACTAAGGGGCAGCTTGCCTCCGTCGAAAGGAGATTGCGGTAATGTGCAAAGAGGTCCGAAACGCAGGCCATGTACAAACTGGGATCTAGGGATGGCGATATTGCTGCAATTGAGTGGGACCTGATTATTTTGCTCTTGGCATCCGGAATGGGATGAGCAAACGGCGGACCAAAATTGGGTTCGGAAACATGGACAAGTGAAAGCTGTCCTGGTGGTGAGTATTCAGGTTGACCCGGATCGAGGTCTAAGAGCGCTACACCTAGTTTCTTGGTTGGCCTCTCCGGTTGTGAAGCATCAGTTAATGTGGATAGGAGTCTGTTGGCAAGGAATTTGACAAATGTTGATTTTCCAGAAGATTTGGGACCGCACACCATGAAGGCTGGGGGGCTTTGTTCAGACGGCATCGAGCATTTCGCCAACATTTCGTTCCACTCTGGAGGGGAGATCAGAGGTTGAAGGTAGGCCTTTGGAGGACCACTATTTGAGGAGAAAAGCTGCTTGATTTTAGTTGAGTTCGAATACGATGTCTAATATGTACTTACTACTTGGAAAGTGCTTCTCTTAGTCTTTTGGACCAGTTTTGTATACTCCAGACCCAGTGGACCTGAGTTGTCATTCCATAACTTACCAAAGAGTGGCGAGAGTGACTCCAGTGACCCCAAACCAACTTTACAAGGGTGCAGACGAAGTTCAGCAGGCTCGGAATCAGTTGCCAAGCACCTCATTACGGGCAAAGAATGTGAAGATGAGGCAAATACTCGGTACAATTTTTTGGATGGCAGTAAAATCGATCCCATAAGTGTTATTTGGCCCTTCTGAACGGAGACCTCAAACTGGCCAAGGACAACTAGTCGCTGACTATGTCAGTTCTGGGGCATTCCAGATCAAGGAAATCACTCACTTCACCTGGAGCCAGTCTAATGGTGAGTATTCCATCCCCAAGCTCTCTGACATTATCTTTGCCAGGTTTGAAGGAAGTAAGATTTATTGAAGGCGGCTCCAGTGGCATCTCAGGAGACTCGACACGTGATCCATATCTTCACAATTGTTAGTATTTGAAGGAGAACAACCTTGGGGCTCAGATTAGACATACGAAGACAGCTGTGTATTTTCATCGAGGTCCATGAAAGTCGGGTTGGGGGCAGACTCCTCAGCCATGATTGCCAGGCTTGACATTCCATTCCCAGTTTGAAGTCTAGAGTCTGCCAGTCCCGATGATACGGATTTCGATTTTTCTGGAGTGTCTCCAAGACAGGCCCTTCCATTCTGGTCTCTTGCAGCTTTGGACGGGCTGCTTGCCAGAGCTTTCCTCGCCGCGAAGGCACTCAAGTCTAAAGTAAATTAGCAATTGTTTGGATTTTCTCCTGGTTTAGACTTGCAAGGCGAAGCTAATGAAGCATTTAGTTTCCTCCTCTTGTTCGAAGACATATCTGTACATTGGCCGAATTGTTGTTCCCAAGACGAGGCTGAAGATTGCCGAGTCGACGATTTTGCCGGGAAAAAAAAGTTTCCCGAGAACGAATTCTTGTCGACAAAAAATCACCACATCAAGCATATTCTCGAGAGAACCTGTGCAAACAATGCCCCCCTTAAAGTTTCAAAGTCAAAGCAGCAAGAGCAAGAAAAAGTCTGCTCCATCAAAGAAGTCCCCGAAATCAGCACCACCACCTGCAAGCTTCAAAAGCGCGGAATATGTCCAGGAGAGCGACGAAGAGGAGCCAGTGAATTCCGAGAAGGAGAGCGAGTCTGACAGCGATGGCGAATCATTGCCCTCGAATCCCGTCGACATTATGATCACACCCAATGGCAAGTTGCAGCGTCCAGCAGGAAGTAGCAGCTCGAGCGAAAATGAGAGTGAGAGCGACGAGAATGGCAGCGAGGCGGACGACGAGGAAGAGGAAGAGCCTAGTGTCGCTGCTAAACAGACTGCTGCGGGTCCTGACAAGTAAGTTGGAACGTATATACCTCTTGCAGCATCAGCTTACAATTACAGAATGGCTTCGAAGCCCCCCCGCGGCAGCGTGGTGACCTTCCAGAAGCCGCCTCTTTACAAACCGCCTGTTGGATTTGAAAAGGCGTCATTAGAGGGCACACCGAAAGCAGAACATATGTTTAAAAGGTCGAGTCTGGGAGAGAAGCAGATCTGGTACTTCACTGCACCGGCCTCGCTGCCCGTTTCTGCTATTGAGCAAATGTCATGGAAGGATGCTACAGATGGCAAGCCAATAGTCAATCATAACGGTAACGAGTATGGGTTCATGCGGGACTCGGCCGAGGACAAAACATATACCAAGATCATGGTGCCAGATGGTTCTGATGATGGGTATCGGACGGGTAAGATCTCTACAAAGAGGACTGATGCATTCGTGAAACTGACACCATCCAGTTAAGAAACCCATTGATCAGATATTTCACCTTCAGCAGATTCTGCAATTGCCAGGCGCACACGCCTCTAGCAGCATTACAGCAAGCTCTAGTAAAGCAACAGTCCCAGCTAAGAAACCAATTAGACAACAGCCACAGGGTCTAAAAATGCGATTTCGACCGATAGGATTTGGTGGTGGGGAGACGGGAAAGATAGGTTCAAGTTCATCATCAGTGGATAGTAGTTCAGACGAGGAAGTGGAACAACCGCCTGCCGCATTCCGTCCACCAGTGCCCATTGCATCGGAGAGCTCGGAGGAAGAAGAGTCTCCCGAGGACTCTGAAAGTGATGGGCAGTCTTCCGAGGACTCCGGAAGTGATGAGGAGTCTTCCAGTTCAGACGTGGAAATGACCGAGGCGCCGCCACTTCTAAGAAAGCCAATTGCGGAAGAGAGAAATAACAAAATCTCTGCCACAGTTTCATCTTCGCAAGAGGTTACCAACGGCTCGTTGAAGAGAAAGCATGGCGAAAAAGAAGAAAGGAAATCAAAGCACAGTTCGTCCCGATCATTGAGTATTGATGATAGAGAGCTAAAGCGATTGAAGGAAAAGCAGACCGAATCTCAGAGAGGCTTGGGAGGCAGAGCATCAGTGTCAATTGAGCCTCGGAAGAGCTCAACGCAAGGATCATCAGCAAAATCAGGAATCACCTCGTCCAAAGCGGATACTCCAATTCGTCCGCCAAAATCTGCCATTTTACCTCACTCGTCACCAGCTCCTCGAGCACAGCCCAGTCCCGGGAAGGGTGATCAGCGACCTTCCGAGAAACCAAAATCGAAGAAGCGTGACCGTTCTGAGTCTGCGACCCCATTAACCAAGAGTGGAGTTTCTCTGCACGATCTTACAAAAGCAACAGATCCAAGCCTCACTGGGGAGGAGCGAAGGAAGAAAATAAAATGGTTGAAGAACAAGGAGTGAGCGGGCGTGTTTCTGGGCTGCTTTGGTGTTCAGTGACTAGAGAAGGGAGAATACGATTACTGTCTGCTGGCAAGCTTTGTGAGTGAGTGATGGAGTTAGTTCTGCTGGGTTGGACTCTTGTCTGGTTTTAGCTCGCAATGATACCCAGAGTGGTTACAAACAATGATATGCTCTCTTGCTCACTTACTGTATCCCCGTGTTAGAGAGATACTGCTCTCTGGGGCTCGTGCAGGTGAGGATACAAAAGGGAATACGAGCCCCTGTCAAAATCGAGCGATCTCGCTTGGTCCCCAGAGCCTTTTTCAATGGTGCCAAATGAAGATTGAATTTGGCCGCTCAAAGGAACCCGTCGGCGCCAAGGTATAATATACATGGAACAATATGGCAACATTAAAAAATGTATGACTTTCTACGGTGACTTTGAGCTACCTTATGTAGAGATTTCTAGGGTGCTGGAGGATTTTCAAGGAGATGATGCAGGTGGACTGACCCCGCCTAGAGCGGTGCCATCCCGGTTCAAAACCCCGCGCTACGGAGGATACACCAAAAAAAAATTTGAACCCCTTCGCACTCTTCAATAAGCACAACCATTCTACAATCGCTTCTAGCATACCAACCCCAATTACACCTCCTACCTGTAATCATGGTTTCGAACGGCGAAAACGGTGTCAAGCACACCTATGCTCTCTCAGAGGAGCACAAGGATGTAAGCTATTTATGGTCGACCACCCCACCTGGCGCATACTGACTCACCGACTCCAGATGTTGGAGAAGTCCCTGGTTGAGACGGACCCTGAAATTGCTGAGATTATGGTAAGCACGTGGTGCTACTCCGGCACTGCTGCGTGTTCTAACAAGATCCAGAAACTTGAGATTCAGCGTCAACGAGAATCCATCATCCTCATCGCCTCCGAGAATGTTACCTCGCGTGCCGTCTTCGATGCATTGGGATCGCCCATGTCCAACAAATACTCCGAGGGCTACCCCGGTGCAAGATATTATGGTGGAAATCAACACATCGACTCAATTGAGTTGACTTGCCAGACTCGTGCTCTCAAGGCTTTCCATTTGGATTCCGAGAAATGGGGTGTCAATGTTCAGTGTTTGAGTGGCAGCCCTGCCAACCTCCAGGTCTATCAAGCAATCATGAAACCCCATGAGAGACTCATGGGTCTTGATCTGCCCCATGGTGGACATTTGAGTCACGGTTACCAGACTCCTCAGAGAAAGTAAGCTGATTTTCTCCCCAGCAAAGAGTTAAAGAGTTAACCCGGCCAAGAATTTCTGCGGTCTCGACCTACTTCGAAACTTTCCCATATCGAGTAAACTTGGAGACTGGCATCATTGACTACGATAAGCTGGAGGAGAATGCATTGATGTACAGACCCAAGGTTCTTGTTGCTGGAACATCTGCCTACTGCCGTCTGATCGACTATGCCCGCATGAGAAAAATCGCTGATCTGGTTGGCGCATACTTGGTGGTTGATATGGCCCACATCTCTGGTCTTATTGCTGCTGGTGTTATTCCGAGCCCCTTCGAGCATGCCGATATTGTCACCACGACTACACACAAGTCTCTCCGTGGTCCTCGAGGTGCCATGATCTTCTTCCGCAAGGGTGTCCGCAAGACCGATGCCAAAACTGGCAAGGAGACATTGTACGATCTGGAGGGCCCCATCAACTTCTCTGTTTTCCCAGGTCATCAGGGTGGACCCCACAACCATACCATTACCGCTCTCGCCGTCGCTCTTAAGCAAGCAACTACTCCCGAGTTCAAGCAATACCAGGAGCAAGTCGTTAAGAACGCCAAAGCTCTCGAGGTTGAATTCCAGAGGCTCGGTTACAAGCTTGTAGCTGATGGAACTGATTCCCACATGGTACTCCTCGACCTTCGCCCCCAAGCTCTTGATGGTGCACGCGTTGAGGCGGTCTTAGAGCAAGTCAACATCGCTTGCAATAAGAACTCGATCCCAGGTGATAAGTCAGCCCTCACACCATGCGGTCTCCGAATTGGTACCCCAGCCATGACCTCGCGTGGTTTTGGCGAGGAAGATTTTAAGCGTGTTGTTTCATACATCGACCAAAGCATCAAGATCTGCAAGGAAGTCCAAGGTGCTCTGCCAAAGAGCGATAACAAGCTCAAGGACTTCAAGGCTAAGGTTGCCGGTGGCGAAGTCTCGAAGATCAATGAGATGAAGAAGGAGATCGCTACCTGGGCTGGTAGTTTCCCTCTTCCTGTTGAGGGCTGGCGTGCATAGATTTTTCTTGAGTCTCGCTTATGGGTGGGTGTTTGGGCGTATTCAACAAAAGCACACGGTTACGGTCGGTTTTATCTTGGCTACTTCAACGCAGTCACTAGATATTAATGGAGTAGAATGGGTTCTACATGGCTAGTTACTTTAAACTGGAATGAATGCAATTTCAATTTCAGCACGCATCAAGTGAGTATTCGTGCAGTCGAGTCTGGTCAGATAGCCTGGCAAGAATAGCATGTCTTGCGCCATCGATGTTCTGTGGAACCATGGTATAATCATTCTGACCACCAAATAGTCTCTTGCACTTGGAGAGAAGTTTGACAGTTTCCTCATGATACCCGTTCGTACCTTCCACAAGTTACCACTCGTGGTTCGTGAAAGCGACTGAGCCATACTAGCGACTAGGCCAAGTATTTCACATGGTAAATTTGTATAGGAGGTACTTCGAGCTAGCTAGTCTATACTGGTCTGTGCAACAAATTTAGCGAGGAACACCAAATTTGCGGGTGGCCCAGTCGCTTTCACGTCCACCAGTGGTAACTTGTGGAAGGTACGAACGGGTACAAGCCCCGCTCAAACTTTCTTCGCGCCCATTCCATGCCAAGCTGAATTTATTGAGTGTGTCACATGACAACCTGGCAACTCTCTCATTTTTGTACAACATTTGGTTTCGTTCGCGATTCATGAATATCAAATAGATCGACCCAGGCCCACGAGAACGACGACCTTGCTGTACGGAACTGGTTGGTCCTTCAACTCGTAGATTCGTGATGCTGTTTTAAGATCCACGAACACTGCTCTAATGCGAACGCTCGTGCACTTCGGATTGGCACTTGCGCTCAACGATGCAGTCGCAAAGATGCAGAAGTAAACAAACCGACTGAGATCTGGAGCGCTTATGATGTCACCTGGAACACTGGAACAATAAAGGTTGTGATTCAGAAGACAGCTGGAAGGCGGTAGCCGATGTCAGGTGAGAATTGGTGATCACGTGCCTGTCTGGATACCCCAGTATGCTGGTTGCCCGGGACAACCAAGTTTGGCGCCACGGGGCAAGTCAATAAGGAGATGGCTGGTGACCTAAGAAAGCCGAAAGGTTGGGAACAGCAAAGTCATACCCAGCCCCTTCAATATTGCTCGACCTACTCCTACTAGCTGAGGAACGATTTTCTTGTGAGCTGGAAACTGCAAACTGCAAACTACAAACTGCTACGAATTCAATCCTCCCCTTCTATCACCTGCTGTTGCGTTGAGATTCTAACAGGTCGTTCATCGAAGGAAACTCGTGCATCACATCCGCTACATTTTCCCCGTACATACGCATTTCGACTCACGGTCACATTCCTCCGTATACGCCATCTGCATTCCTCGATCAGCCCTCGAACATTTCGATACAGCTGCCAGCTTTGCTGAGCATCCCACGGCCTGCGACTCCAACGTCGCTCCGAACCCCGGAGGACGGGAGTGGCAGTTTCGACAATATATCTGAAGGTGTTTCATAGGAGGAATCAAAATGGCGTCAGGCTCATCAGTCAGTCGGGTGGCAAGATTTCAGACGGGCTGGATAAGATTTCTACCGTTCTTGGGATACCATCATGTACTCATGATACTGATTGCAATTGCCATCATATTGCTCTGTAAGTTCCAATTGAACCCCATGCAGGTGGACATTATTCTGACATTCCTGCAGCCCTGTTATTAGCAGGATGCTCGTCATCATCCCCCCTCATACCAGACATCTTCCTCATATCACTGTACTACAAATCATACTCGCCAGTACCGTCAACCGCACAGGTCGACTTCAACGTCCATAATGCAATAGCAAACATAGCCGGCCCTGCGATATTAGCAGCAAGAGTCGGCTACTTTGGTATCTGCATCAATCCAGATGGCGGATCATGGCTGTGTAGCAACAACGCAACGGCATTGGCGAACGAGATCTCCCTAAACCAAGATCCCCTGAATTTGATCTGGCTCGCAAGTCAATTCAAGGATATGATCGTGTTCCCATACTTAATGTAAGCACCCTCAGAATCTTCAATTTCGGCATTCTCTAACTAGATTTAGCATCATCGCCATCATATTCGCATTCATATGCCTCCTGCTCCTCGCAACTTTCCCAGGGTGGCATGAGGAAGAAGATGCCGAGGGCAGTGAACGAGAAGTCAAACCATTCCCATCTCGACCTGTCTCGCAAATCGCGCTCGCCATCATATTCATCGCATCAATATTCGTGCTTGTCTCCGTCCTCTGGCAGCACACGGCGTCGGTGGCAGCCTCGATCATCGCTCAAGACTTCGGCAATGGCAGCGTCCTAAGTGGGGTCGGAACAACAGCGATGGTACTTGGTTGGTTCAGCTTCGCATTGTTGATCGTCGTTACCATCGGCCTCTTGGTTATGATATTAAGTATCCGGGTTCTGAGCGAGACATTTGGATAGAGAAAAGGTTCGGGTGGACGACTTTGGACAATTTGATACCTTTTCAGCGTGCATTATGATTAATGGACGCCACGACAAACGTGGTGGATCATCGCAAAATAAATCGATCAGCAATGAATCGATTGTGTATAAAGGGAAGAAAGAGCATTTGGGACGGAGTTTTGCGACAGACTTGGGTTTGGGAATTTCTCGAAACTTGTTCATTGAATCCCTTTCTGTGAAGACACATAGGGGATGGAAGATGACCTACATGGATGGATGATGGGATGTAATAATGAACTTGGTGGTCGAGAAGTTGAGACGCTCGATCTGAAAATAGCTCACGAGTTGAGGAGAATGAAGAGAATGAAACATGAGCATCATCAAACCAATACTTGTTCCCATGAAAGTGACTTGTGCAATTACCATATTTCTCGTGACAGGCATCAAACACGTTACCTCTTTCTTCTAAACCGACTATTGTGACCCGGCCCCCCTTTCGCCCCGGAATTCCGCAATTTCAATCTCTTGAAATTTTGGTGTGCCATTGCATTAACTTTCCTCGCCGCAGTCTTAATCTTCCCATCCTTATTGGCGCTCTTGCTTTTCTTGGCTTGATTCGGTCTTCTATATCGAGTCCCTCCTTCTGATGCTGTGTACTCAGACTGCGAGTCTGAATCGAAATTTCTTGCGTCAACAAATCCGGTAGTCTCGTCGACTTGTGTCTCAGGGACAGCTTCACCATTTCCAGCCAGCTCGTCATCACTATCCTCAGGTACTGCTTCTGGCATAGTCTGAGGTTTCGATCGTGTGGGCTTCATGTTGACTTTCCTCGTTGTCCGCTTCTGGCCTTTCTTCTTGTACGCTTTCAAGGGCTGTCCCTCGCGTCCTAGGGTCAGATTCTTCGGCTCTTCTGGCTCGCTATCAAATTGGGCTTCGTCGTCGAACCCTCCGAGTGGGAAGCCTGGCTGGCTGTCTTCTACTAGAACAATAGAAGGCACTGTTATTGGTTTTGGTTTCGGTGCTGGCTTGCCCCCACCCTCCATCTCCATCTCCATTTCGCGGAGAGCTTCTAGGTCTTCATCTGCTGCCTCATCTTCCATCTTCCGCAGGCCGGCAAGCATACTGCTTAAACCTCTCACCAGTGGTTTCCTTGGCACTCTGACCATCTCCGGGGAAAGGAAGAGATTCTCTTCATTCTCGTTAAGCACGGGCAGTTTGGTCCTATGGCTATCTCGGCGAAGAAAGGAGGGCGTGGAGAAATGGAGTTTCGAGACTGAAGACGGAGTGTTTCCTCCTTGGGAACTTGGGTCCCGATTCTTCAGTGGAGTAGCAAAGGCATCCAGCAAGAACCGTTTTGAAGCTGAAGCCGGTGTACGACTATGCTTTACTGTGACGAATTGGTCTGTCTTGGGCTTGCCAGGGGTAGCTAGAACAGAGGGTTTCGGGACCTTTCCGTCGTTCTCCACGTTTGAAGGCGAGTTTCCAGTCCCATTTTGCTCCAGAAGGTCAAATAACCCCAAAACCTGCCCATCTTTCTGCGGGGTTGGTCCAAGAATCTTCTTCGAGGGCGTGAACAGATTTCGAATTAAGGAAGGAGACTCATATGGATCCACTTCCCACGGCTGCATTGAGCCTTTGGAAGGCGTCTTCGCAACCTGTGGTCGTTTAGAAACGCCATATTTGTCCTTGTCCTCACGTTTCCGCTTTCGAGGCGTTTGTCCCTTGCTGGCTGGGGATGTCGGCGGTCCTTTTCCGGAGAGTCGGTCTCGTATCTTATTATATTCTTTGTATTTCCCTGCTATGAAAATTGTCAATAACTGCTTTCGCAGATTGAGTGAAGGGGAGGTAATGTACCAATTTCGGGATTCTTTTTAATGTCATCTCGTGAAGCTTTCTTGCCCTCGTTGACAGACGCAAATTCCTTTTCCCATATCTTCAGTTCTATTCGGAGAGCATTTGACTTTTCTGTGAGTGCTTCCCGCTCCTGGACCTCCATCTTCAATTCCCCCTCCCTTCATATGAGTCCTGAGGGGATTTGTCGTGTTGATGCAACACTGAAAGGGAGACTTATGTTGCGAATTCGTTCTGGACTCAATTCCTAAAGGTCGTGGGTTGTAGTCATGAATTATTCACAGTCCTTCGTAATATTCCAGGAAATGCTTTCAGCGGCGCGTATGTCAAATTCTGGGACGCGTTCGCGCTCACGGAAGCCGATAAGAAAAGAAGCTAAGATAAGCAGGGGTGAACGCCACCAGGAAAAACACACCCTCTTCCAACGCCATCTCCACGACCTCATGGTAGACATCCTCTCTCTTCATGGACCCTGAAGATTTGAATGCACGGTCCAAGATCCTCCAGACCACCCTCGCCGAGATCTCTTCTCGACAAGAACCCACAAATGCGGAAGAGAGCTGCTGCGTCATCTGCCTCGAGCGCATCTCAGAGCAAGCTGCCGCTCAGCCGTGCAAGCACGACAGCTTCGACTTCTTATGCCTGATAAGTTGGCTAGAAGAGCAGCCGTCTTGTCCGCTATGCAAAGCCGAAGTCAAGACTGTTCGATACGAGATCAACGACGATCAAACGTTCAAGACTTATGATGTCCCCGCTCCGAAGAGTACAACACAGCCTGCGTCGAATGCTTCGAGATTGCAGCACTTCGACCATCGAGGGAGAAGGCCATTTCGCCCAAGAAGAGAACATGAAGCAAGACCTCTGGTAACAGCAGACGAAGCCCTCCTCCGCCGCAGACATATCTACAGGAACAAACTCTACTCTTTACACGTTGGAACAAACCGAGTCTCTCGGTTTAGAGATCTGACGCCTGCGCTCTTCACTAGCGACACCGAACTCGTTTCCCGAGCGCGCAAATGGATACGTCGAGAGCTTCAAGTCTTTGAGTTTTTAAATCCTGATAATGCGTCCGGATCGGACAGGCGGGCGAATAACGTCGAGTTTCTGCTGGAGTATATTGTGGCGATATTGAAGACGGTGGATATTCAAGGGAGTGGTGGCCAGGCAGAAGAGATGCTGAAGGACTTTCTGGGGAGGGAGAATACAGTCTTGTTCTTGCATGAGTTGAGGGCTTGGTTGAGAAGTCCGTATGTGAACTTGGAGGACTGGGATAGGCATGTGCAATATGGCGAGCCTGAGGTGAGGAAAGGAGAGTCTAGTACTCATACCGAATCTACCCCGGAACGGCGGAGAGTGCCCAGCCATCGTGGAGCATATAGAGGAAGGGAACGACGATCACATTCGACGCCGCGAGGTGGACACCGATATTCGCCATATCATCGAGGCCAACGGAGAGCTGATGGATGAAGTGAGCCGATTATATTGGAAGATAACTTGGAGTGAGCGTAGATCATGGCTCAGTCTATGAAGAGAGATCCAAAGCACGGCGGGGAGCAGGCAGAATCTTATAAGATGGCTGGCGGGTATGCCTACGTCAGGAGAGACACAAATACAAGGCGATCAAGTTGATTTGAGTCAGGGTAATATGGCCTAAAAGGACGTCAAAACCTGCGAATATCGAAATCTACGAGAAGCACACCTCAAACGACTAAAGTCCATATCCAGGGGAATGAACATGTTCAAGTTCAGGAAGTAGATCAAGAGATGAATAAAATTATATCAAAAGCTTGAAAAGGTCAAATTCAACCTAGAAGTCGCTCAAATTCTCGAAGATTCACGTACACGACCCCGCCAGGCCCTTCATTCAGAACAGGATAACATGTGATTGTGCGATCCACAGTGAGTGTCTCGTCCGTTGATCACATCAAAGGCTACAAATACTGCCCTTTGTCCTTGCTATTCCGGTTCCTTAACTTGCACTACCTCTTCGAAGAGCCACAGACAAGAAACCGAAATCAACAAATACAAGCGCGGACCTCGAGCATAAAGTATCTTTAACGAAACACACACAGCCGCAAGGTATTTTCTCAGAATGGTCTGCTCCCCACTCCGCGCTTCGTCTCACTCCCCAGGCGACCACACCGCGCTCCCCATCACTTCCCCTTCCTCCAAGCCATCACCGCCCCTGTCCACCTTCCCCGCAGAAATCAAAAGCAGCCAACAATGGCAAGCCAAAATCTACAGACTCGAAGACCAGGCAGAGGCAGAACAGAGAGGGAAGCAAGCGAGGAGGAATAGGAGAAAATATGGGGCAGAGAGAAGACCTAACATGGGAGAGAGACGGCAGTTTGGCGCGAATGGTGGAGGTGCATGGGAGCTTTGGGAGGAGTGGGATGGAGAGGGTGAAGGCGAGGATGACGATGATGGAGTTGTGGGGAGGTACTGGTAGAGAGGTGTGAGGAACTTTTAAACGTTCTTGACGAGAAAGTAGCCGTGAAACTTGATACATTCGATAGAGAGGAATTTCGGGTTGAGTGAGTGATTACCGTGAACATGTAGTGATTCGCATAGATATGTTGCTGAGTATAACAAAATAGAAGGAATGATGAGAATGATGAACGGAGATGGTTCGTAGATCCTTGGTCTTAAAATAGTGATTCTCACTCCATCGCAGTTAAACTCCGTATTTGTAAATCTGTCTCGAGACGGCTCCAAATAGAATGTGTCGACTCGCACCAAAGAAATACCTACATGGCGAATTTGTCATGAAGATTGTAACGAGTTAACCCTTGGGCTGAGCCGTCAAGGTCCACGAATCCAGGAGAAAATTACCAAGACGACATGCGGGGACATCCAAGGCCAGACCAGAGCCTCGAAAGGAGGTAAAACAAGGGCTTTCTTGAAAGAGCAAAGAACTCCAAGCTAGACGAGCATATGCTGTATTACGACGACACAGGAAATCCATCCCTAGCACAGGGTCGTTGATAGTGGTGGCTGTGTAGCAGAAGGCATGAATGTCCACTGTAGGTAGGACGACGTTACTATGAGCATCTCATATTGTTTTTGAAACCGTCTTGGCACCTGTGGTCGTCGACGCCAAAATCCGAGCCCTTGATCTGTGTCTGCGTGCTTTGAAACAGAAGATCAGCCGCACCCGAACATTCACAGGTTATCCAAGGCTTTCTGCCGTCCATGATTTTCAACAAATCAGCCGACATCTTCATGCGGTACTTGGACTTGCGGAAGACCAATGCGAAGAATGAAAGCACGTGAGCGTGGTGACAGTATGGTCTGTCGAGCGGTGAGGGCTTCTCGAGTTCGTGACCAATCCAGAGAACACAGCAATGCATGTGAGAGGTAGCAAAGTATTTCGCCGAGCCAATTGTCCTTGAGACTTTCTCAGAGCAAAAATAGAGTTCGTATCTGCGAAGGATTGATTTTGTCTTACCCTCGCACGCCCGAGAAAAGCCCTTTTTCGTTCCGAAACTTCGGAGGACATTCCACATTGTTTGAGGCTGTGCTGGTAGATGAGACGAGTCACTGCCTGGGCGACTTGGATGCTTGATGACTTGTGCAACGTGGGCATCGTAGAGGAGAGTGATCCTCGAGGGGGGCTGCAAACACGGGATGATTTTGGATCACCTCCATCATCTTTCAGGCTCTCACCGAGTCGCCGTGAGAGGTCCTTGGTGACTCGCTCATGCTCGTCGGTGGCCCTTGATTTTGGATGGCCAACACATGCGTGCATTCGTATTGGGGATTGAGTTGCTGCAGCGCACCCGAACAAGGAACTCCCGTTCGTTGTCGCGTCTTCTTACTTACAGTAGCTTTGCGGGGTTTGCGAGGACTCGGATTTCTCCTCAGTGCTCACGCGTCTGAATTATTGAGTTCAACAAAGCATAAGGCCAGCAGCCAGCTGGGATCTCGAGGCTCTTGTTGAAGTACTGCGCCCTCTGGCAGGGGCATGCCCGTTTGCTCTGCCAACAGAGAGAGCGGGAAGTCGCGTGTGCCTTGCCAAGTTGCCAGACATGGTGAGGCAGCACCCTGCAAGATCGACGAAAGCGGCTAGGTCGCCTTGCATAAGTAAGAAGTGACATAATTCATCCAATTCTGGCAGTTTGTGCGGAGCAGAGTTTGTTGATGGGGGGCATCGACGATCGTCGCCTCTCGTTTCGGGAGGGCGGACTCGGCAGCCCAGCAACTGCGCTGATCCGCGAAAATCTCGGCAGGAAAGTGGTTTGAGCTTTGCAGCAACTTGCCAAAGCAGGTTATTTATGGTTATCTCAGTCTCAGCACAGTACCAGTAGTTCTGTATCTGCAAGCAATCGCCAGGCTCGGCACTCGACAGAACAGTTTTGGAACTATTGGCGGAACAATGAAGCATCAGGAGTCAGGACAAGCACCGGTGAGCGGCCATGGATGAAGCCTGCCTGCCTGCCCTCCTGCTTGTCGGCCCTGCTTGCGTGCCCTCTGCCCTGAGTCCTGACTGCCTGCCCTGCCTGAGAAGAGAATAGATCCGAGATCAGACGGCCGGGACGTGATTCGTCGGGGTCGTTTGGGCCAGCTTTTGCCTGAATTTCTCCAATGCCCCCCTTTCGTCCCCTCTCAGCTAGCCCGGCCGCGAGTCGTCATGGCCTGGCCAATCAAACCACTGTTCCTGGTCCCCTCGCAAGGGGACACTCATCACCGCAATTTCCCAGGACCCACTGCCGTCAATCGCGCGGGTCTCCTGTCCCACTCCCACCGACCAACCACCGTTGACAATTTGACCACCACAACCACAACCACCACCGACCCACCCACCCAACACCACACCCGTTGTGTCTTCTCCTCCCTCCCTTCCCGCCTGCAAGCCCACCTCGTTCTCTCTCTCTGGCTGCATTCCACCTCCACCGCCATCACACCACCTACCTCCCCCCCCCCATTGCTTGGTCATTGTATCATCGCTTTCGATGACTTCCATTCTCTTTCTATAACCCATTCTTCAGACACAGGCACACTCGTTAAGGCCGAACATTTTCACCCCCTATCCCAACCTTCATTCCTGTCGAACCGCCCGTGAATTCCAAACACCTCCATCAACAACCAGGGTTTGCGTTTCGACCAAACGAACAAACGAAACTCGAAACGAAGGGCCCCATCGATCATCCAAGCAGAATCGTCACCGGCCACTACAAGTCAAAGGATCCCTTGATCCTCTAACATTCGTTCAGTTCAAAGTACTGTTGAGGATCTGCGTGGAGAAGAGAGGATACATCGACCGCGTTTTCACCTGAACGACCCGACAAGACCGAATCTCGAACCCCTTCGGACCCTAGAGCGTCCCTTTCTTCGACCTCGAGGCCACGGCCACAATTTTCCCCGGCCATATATACACGATGAAGTCGATATCTTCCCTCGCCCTCGTTGCGGCCACTCTTTTTGTCGCTGTGTCGAATGCCACTGACGACAATCTGCCAGCTCAAGGATGTTTCTCGTCAACTCTCGGCTTGAAAGTCGCAGGCACCACAGACATTTACACTTCCAAAGGTTCTTGCAGTAAGCTGTGTCTTGCTAATGGCTCCACGGTCTTCGGATTGACCAATTCGACGTGGTGTTACTGTGGCACAACAATACCGCCTGTCGATACCCAGGTTGCCAATTCATCCTGCAACACAGGATGCCCGGGCTTCCCTGCTGACAAGTGTATGAGTGTCCCGATTCCATAATACTGTCCAGTCAGTTAATTTGATTACAGGTGGTGGTGGTTCAAAATACACTTCTGTGTATCTCCTAAGTGACAGCCTTCAAGGCACTGTCTCTAACATCAATGACGACGGAACCACACCTTCAAGTACCACCGTAACAACCCCTTCACATACAGCGTCGACGACCCAATCAGTTGTTACTGTTGTGAACGGACAAACCGTCTACGTCACCCCAACCGCTACCGCCACGGGTAAATCGTCGTCAGGCGGTCCGAGCAAGGCTGGAATTGCTGCAGGTGTTGTTGTTGGACTCATCGCTATTGCAGCAATCGCTGGAGGGGTGTTCCTTTTCCTCCGAAACAAGAAGAGGCGTGAGGTCGAGGAGGAGTATAGACGGAACGCCGCCATAAACCAGTTCACACAAGGTGGGAAGCACCCAAGCAGCAGCGCTGGTGCCTCTACTTTATCCGACATGCGTCTCGACCCGGCCGTCATGGCTCAGCGAAGGATGAGCGACGGCAGCATTGCCGATAACCAAGACTACTCGAGGAGAATCCTCAAGGTAGTTCATACCGATCCCGCTTGAGTTCGGTTACTAACAGAAGCTCTCTAGGTTACCAACGCCTAAGAAGCAAGCACCGACAACGAGTTCCTATATCCCTTAGCATCTCTTCCATCATTACGGCGTTCACGGATGTTGGTCCTCGACTGGTCTGATTTGGGCTCCCTCTGTGTTTATGGCCCTCGGTGTTCTGTGTATAGGTGTGGCGTAGATGAAGATATGACTCCCATACTCTTTGTCTCAAGGGTTATTTTTTCCTCAACATCAAAAATGATACGCTTTACACCGTCCTGTCCTTTCAGAGAATTTTGCTTTTCGGGCATCGCTGCCATCGCGCTGGAACCATCATCGTTATCGAACTCTCTTGAACCCAGGCTTCTGGGTCGACTCCGACACCGATTGACGATTGGAGGTGGAAGCCAGCGACCACCACAACCTCAACCTCTTGGTATTCTTCGAAGTCTTTTGGCTGGCTTGGAGACTCGTGTACTCTAGACTTATCTGTGGCAGGCAGATAATGGAATGGGAGTGATCTACTGAGGGTTATATTGAAATAGTATCAATCCGATGTAATGAGGAAATATGGAAATCAATTGTATCATATAGACCAAGAAATTTTCTTGATTGTACCTGCACTCGCGCGATGGGCCTTGTGTGTGCTTGTAGCTGGCTCAAGGAGCTCTTTTCTTTTCGCATGGAGGAGGACCTTGTCCCATCTTCTTAATTCTTGACACGGTCGGTTTATTCGTTTACTCTTCGTCGAAGGCTCTTGGCATAGCGATCGTTCAAACCAATACTTGACCTCCATTCCATGCAGAGAGATAAACAAGGGGGGGTGAATGACTCCTCATAAGCAGAATTCTGCCGAGATGCCCTCTCAGCTGCAGGAGACAAGGTCGTGAGGTCAGGGTTTGTGTTCTGATGACACGGGGAAAGTGGAACGAGGCCTCTGCGGCTCGCACTGAACAAGAAAATACCTTAGTCCTCTCAATGCAGACTTCTACTCCCAAATCCTACTCCCAAATCCAGCTCCCTGAGCGTTCGATGACGAAGTTTTGAAGACGGTCGACGGTTGTAGAAGAAACACGCGAAAGTGAACGACGTCTCCAGAGCACGTCCACTTCCTAAGGTCGAGCTTGACCGGCTATCTTCTTCTTCGACGAATCGACGTGAGTGATTGCTGAATAGAAGAGAGGATTATCGATAATTGTCGCTCTGTGGTCGGGGGCTGGACATAACGCAAGATCTGGAGGGTGGGATTCGGAAATGCTTTTGTGTTGTGGGACGAGAGGAAGAGGAAGGAACGGGTTAAGTAGCCCTACCGCCTCACGTCATGCTTCATGTAAACTCGAACATGCGGCGCGTAAAGCGGCGCGGCTGTCAACAAGCAGACTTTTGTTGTTTCATGAGTGAATAAATCAAGGCTGTGAAACTGTTCAGAGTTTGCTTGGAGCGGGGATTCAGACCGAGGCGTATGACGTTGTTATTTTGGTTATTGTAAAGCCAGTACTGCTAGTTTTCTATCTATCTTTGATGCACCCCCCTCGAGCTATGAGGTGCTGGTGACCTGTCCTCTCTTGCCCCGACGCCAGGTACATGCCTCCATTTCTTTCACGTCTGGATATCAGCTTGCCTTGTTCAACACAAGATCTATGGATCAATGGACGGCTGCCGATGTGGCAAAATATATCCAACGCCATGGCCAGTTCTCTTCGAAAGTCTCCGGGAATTCTCTTCGAGTCCAATCTACGGATCCCCAGCTACAATTCGCCAGCTTTCGTCCGAAGAAGAATTCTAGCCCAGAGGCCAACTCAAAAAAAATTATATTGAACATCCAAGTCGACTGTCAAGGCCGCGTGCATTCGTGCATGAACATTCAATCACCCCACCACTTGCCAAATCGCCCCACGAGCGTCGAATACGCATCTCCAGGAGACTGCCACTGCCTCGTCATGATACCACCAGTCATTAGATAGCGTTTGAATGCATGTTCATCGTGAACGACGAGAACGAACACCCAATGAAATGCGTGCTCTTACTCAGCACCAAGAAATCAATAAGAGCTTGCTGATCCCAGCTCAATGCCTGAAACCTCTTGAGATCGTCCCCTTTCAACAAATCCAGCTTGGAGGCAACGCTTAAGTGGAGCTGACTCCAGGCCTCCTCTGCGAATCTGTGGCTTTCGGTAGCGTTCCCACACGCAAGATATGCATGCTTGAGATTTGTGTTATTCGCGGCTTCCAGGTATCCACTAGTTTGTGAATGGAAGTCCAGCCAAAAATCGAGAGCGTCGCTTTCGGAGCGGAGGTGCACCCCAAGATAGGGGGCTTTCAGCGTTGGAACCTCCTCCACAGAGTGATCAAAATCAGCAAATTTGGATATCTCCGTCAATGCCACAGCAGCGAGGTCAGCAATATCCTTCCGCATCCTCAAGATATCGCCAAAGGCAGCTGCAAACTCTGGTCCATCAGGGTAGGCTGGCCATTCGATGGACGTCGCCCATTTAAATCAAATAGTCACCGGCTTTTCTACTCGCGGAGCACGGTTCGTGCCGCTGAGCCATCTGTCGAACTTCGTTCTGTACATGTCCAGATGTCTGTTCCTGCCTCGGGTATCGCCTCCGTCCGGATTGTTCAACTCCTTTGGGTAGAACTCCTTGATCGCCGTCTTGTTCTGCGAGTTTGGGATATCTTCCGTTGTATTTTATATAGTTAATCGCGGACAATGCGTTCCTAAAGCATAACGGAAGTGTTGTTCATCGAAGAAGTAGTCGAAGGGCTGAAGCGAAGTGGTGAAGATGTTTGCCAAGTTGGCTACTGAATGTCGCTGGATTTTGGGGGGATGATGTCAGTAGCTCCAGCATCGAATTCGTATCGAACACATGTGAAGATAAAGTTGCGAATGTTGCCAATTCCCCCAAAATTGTTGTCACACATGAAGACCAGTCCCGGCTGGTGCTTGTCTCGTTGCGGACCCTTTTGAGTGACCATCCGACGTAATTCCCAATGAAGTACAAGTCGTTCATTTTGAATAATGCGAGACCACTAGAGGCCCTGACTCCATTATAGGCAATGGAGGTTTCGAGGGTTTCGAGAGCTGGTCGGCTTTTGAAGGTGGATGTGAAGGTTGCGAGATAAAAGACCCGGAAGATTGTGGAGATGGGGACTTTCGATTGAAGACTTCGGAGCCATGGTTGTTGGGAGTGTCCCCAAAAGCACTCAATCTCGAGGCTGAGGTATCAAAGAAAAGATATCAATGAGAAAGACATTGACTAGCAGACTCGCCGCCACCAGATAACGGTACTTAGGCTATTTAATGCGCGGGATCACGGCAAAAATATCCATCGCCATCTTGACTATCGGGGCCAAGATGCTGGTTTTGAACTCTTTGAAATAGAGTTCTAATCCCAAGGGCCGTTTTACCAGATGGTTTGTGGTAGCGGTCATTAACACGAGGTTAAACCTGCTAGAGTACGCAGTCGTTCTATGGCGGTAGAAAAATAGTGAAGCCGGGTTCCGACGTATGATATGCAGAAAGAGATATTAAAAGTCAGATAGATATGGGAACTTGATCACACCAACAAACCACATTAGAAAATTCATTTATCCACATGGCTCAAGATAGGCTGTATATGAGAGGTTTGCCAAAGCTCGTCTACAACAATTCCATTGAGGTCGAGAGCTTGGCACGTGCATTGGCGATGGCTCGGCTGGCGCCGATCCTTGCGGCCCGCAGGCCGCTGAAAGAAGCCCTGGTGACCTAGCCTGGGATCACAGTTCCATACGGGGAATTTTGACAACTGCCAGACCCACTCCACGATGATCGCTAAGAATAAGCAAAAGGGGGGGGGGGGGGGGTACGTTTCACTCGGCTAATATAAAGGGTCCTTCAAAGCCGAAGGATCGCAGATGTTGATCTGCTCTAAGCAGAGCTTTGGACGACGGGGGCGGGAATCGTCTGTATGGACTCTCATCATTCTGAAAGACTTACATGCTCTTACTCTAAAGTACGGAATGTGCGGGGCCTATTTTCAATTTCGAAATTCCAGAATTCAAATCTGGCCGAAAATTGTGGGGAGATGAAGTGTGTCTTTACCTCAAATATCTAACTGAAGACTGGAGTATTTGTCAGAGTTTCCCTCCAGGCTCGATGAGGCTGCAGGACTTATTGCCATGTTTCCTGCAAAGAAAAGCACATCTCAAGATAACACAGATCTCATTGTTTCAGCAATTCAATGAACATCAAGTATCAGTACAGAAATCTTCAATCTTAATACCAAATCCCGGGCACAAAGCGCCATCGCTGTCTTCATGATCATCAGCTCCCAGCCGCCCAAAAATTCAAGACCTCGAGAGCTCCAAAACTCCAAGAGCTCCAAGAACTCCATGCAAGGCATTCAATGCAACTGAAAAGCCTGCTTATGCGCCTTAATGGCCCTCCGATTCCTCTCCACAATAGCAAGAATCGACATGATCGCCAAAGTCTCGAACTCTCCCCCAAGACCTGCCGTTCCCTCCCCCGTTAGGAATCTAAACATCCCCATGACCCTACTTGGATTACTCGCCCTCGAACTCGGTCCCAGCCCCGCATAAACAGCGACCACATCCCCCGTACTCGACCGTATTAACTTCAATCCCCCACTCTCCCTCGTACTCTCAACAGTCCTCACGAACGGTCCACTCGTGTACTTCCACTCAAACCGCTCCTTTTCCTGGGTCCTCGGCAGCGTATGACAAAAACTATACTTCTCCGTGGTAAGAATCCCCCCAGACAGAGTCAAGACTTCGAACTTGAACGTCGGGCGATCTTTGGTCGGCGAATGGACTTCGAGTCCGCTTCCGCTTCGACCTGTTTGAATGGGCAACGAGAAACTCGTTCGTGAGAAGTTGGCGGAGGTCGGTTCTGGGGCCGGCGGGCAGAGGGTGATGTCTGTGGCTTGAGTGACGGAGTGGAATTTTGCGAGGGAGAGGATGGTCGAGGATTTTTCGGGCCCAGAGTGCAGGATTATGTCGGGTCGGGAGGTGCTTATCGGGGATGTGGGGTTGTCTTTTTGGATGGTGATATAGAAGAGGTGGGGAGGTGGTGGGAGCGGCTTTAAGTCGTTCTTTGAAGGGGCGGGAGCGGAGGGGCTGAGAAGGATATCACTTTTCGAGCGGAAGAAGGTGATGTCTTTGGGGAATCGGGGATAAGAGGGGTAGTTGGTTTGTGTGGGTGAGGTGCAATGACGGCTTTGGGAAGTGCCTGGACGGAAGGTTTCTCGAGTGGCCTTTCGGGCGTGTGTTCGCGACCAGAATGACTCTCGACTTTGAGTCGATTCTGCTGTTATTCGACTCGCGTTTGTGTGTGATCGGGTATGCGATCGAGACCAAAACGACTCTCTACTGGGTGGACGATGAGTTGTCTCTCGACTCTTTGATGTGCTGGGTCGAAGCTTCTCTCGAAATCCCGAATATATAGATGAAGCAGGAGGGGAACTCGGAGGACTTGGATTGGCAAAAGTGGCGTCCCCGTCATCGAAACCCAAAACATCCTTCCATTTACTCCTCGAGGAGTTTGACCAATTCATTGAGACACTGAACAATTGTGGTAATTCCTGGGCTCGAAAACACCGTAGATCTCTATGACGAAGTGAAAGAAAGAAAGAGACACGACCCTAGAACCTAGGGCTGACGGTATAGAAAATATAGAGTGCAAAGTTTCAATATGCACAAGGGGTCGACCTCGGACTTGACAAGGAATGGCTATAATCCCTGCCGCATATTGTGCTCGGGCTGAAACCATTAGGCTCTTCCGAGAAACATTCAAAGGCAAATCCCTATTGGATGTGTGACATGTATCCGAGGCATGCACGATGCAGGTAAGACACAGACCACCCCTTAGCGAACTTTTGACAGGTGACAAAGCGCTAACCCCACACACCCGGTTTTGTGACGAACTGATTTTGGAGGATCATCTGCAGGGGTCATCGAAAAGGGGAAGGACGGAAAGGATGAAGCCGCAGGGCTTTCTTAAAGCGCATTGACCTTCACCAACCTTACGCTTTGACTTCGAGGGCCAACTCTCTCACCTCACAATTTGGGCGAAGAGAGTAATGTAGCAGACCGGAGGATCAGTGATCTTCAAACATCATCGACCGTCTCAGAAGAAATGGCTTCCAGAAAACCCAGTTGAAACAGTCAAGCAATATTTTGGGTGAGATCAAACGCTCAAGAATTGGCTGTCGTGTGTCATCCGAAATACGTCTTTGGAGATTGTCCTCCCGGACTTGGTACAAAAGGATTTTCATGCAGCACGCAGCAATTGCGGTAAGATTATTTGTAATAAATGGCGTGTCCAGCCAATACACCAGCACCAAATAAGGACCTTCTCGATAAAGATTCATGGGGACAGCGGTATGCCCAATAATATATCCTCGAAGTTGAAAGATGATCAAAAGCCGTTCAACTTGAAAGCCCAGATCTTGCCAGCGAGATCTGAATACGACGCTGTTCTGCATCAGAAATTAGTACACATATCGCCTTCCCCTTGGTCATGTCCGACTGACTGACCGCAAATTTCTCACCTTGCCGCTTACCTCGAGATTCACGGCGATAGGTGGCGGGAGGCGCCGATCAGAGGTTCAAGCAGATCGACGAAGCTTTTCACTCCAGACTGTATGTACTTCGTGAACAGTGCGAGCGTTGCGGGCACGGTCTCTCTTCTCCGTTCCCAATATATCTGTGTCAGGTGAGTTGTGGCCGCCAAGGTGTTGAAGATCCTAGGTTCTGCAGTCCTTATCTCATGTCTTGCATGAGCTGGAAATGTGGGGTAGTTCTTTGATTCGGCGGTGGGGATGGGGCAAAGCCGGCGCTTGGTAAACAGACTAAAGGGTACCATGATCTTGTGGACAATTAAGAAGAGTGAAGTTGAAGAAGCCGTTGAGTTGAATATTGTATGGAGATTAGAGTAACCGTTATGAATAGAGCTAGTTGAGTGTGCTCTTCACCCGCGTCTACCCAAACAAAGTTGCACAAATTGGAATTCCAGAACATCTTGATGTTTCTCAGATCATCTCACGGCATCTGTCTCACTGTCCCAAAGTTTGCAAGATTGAATTATTAATTATTGCATGCTCGTAAGATTTCTGAAGATGGTTGCCGCTTCTATCCTAAACAAAATACCCCAGCATCAAGGTCAATTCCGAGAGCGCTTTAAGAACCTTTCCATGCATTGGGAACCCAAGGTGGAGCACCATACTGTGGTTGGCCGCTAGGATGCATAGGAGCTGTACCCCATTGCCAGCCTTGAGTACCTTGGAATTGCTGCAGAGGAGCTTGGGTAGGTTGACTTATGCCTGGTTGATAAGCAGAAATTTGTGCAGAAGCCCGTGCAAAAGGACGACTAAAATAGTCTTTTACTTGTGACAGTGGCCTCGCCACTGCATCAGGTGGTGGTGGTGGCGCAAAGTACGGTGCCGGTTGAGGAGAAGACATAGGGGAAATCGAGCTATACGAGACGCTATGTCTGAGACTATGTCCCGTTGTTTGCGGAGAGAGCAAAGAAGGCCCAGTTGATTGAGGCGATAACATTGACTGAGGGCTTGAGCATGTCGATATAGTTGCTGTAGAGAAAGCTGAAGAGTGCCGACTAGGAGGATTTGAATAGTATCCGCTATCTTGTCTCTGGATTTGTGGTTGCTGTTGAGGCCGAGGTGGTAGTGGAGGAGATGCGTAGATTTGTTGCTGCTGGGCACTGCCGGGAGAAGTAATGGAGTGAGGAGGCGGAGGTTGGTACTCAGGAATGTGAGCTGAGTGAGGCCGAGGAGGTGGTGGGGGTGGAAAGTACGAGGTCGTTGAGTCAGAATTCCCTGGAGGATATTGCAGGGCGGGGGTAATGGGAGAAACAACACTTGGAGCTGGAGATAGAGGTGGCGGCGGGAATTGGTACCCAGTGATGTGGGCCAAGTGAGATCGAGGAAGTTGTGGGAATGGAGAAGGGGATATCGTTGGAGGTTGATTGTCTGAAGGGATTTGCAGTGACGGGGTTGAGGGAGAGGTAATATCTGGCGCTGGAGATGAAGGAGGTACATATTGGTACCCAGGAATGTGAGCTGAGTGACGTCGAATCCGCAATGGGGATGGACATAAGGAAGTCGTTGGGGTTTGGTTCTCTGAAGAATATTGCAGTGACGGAGTAACCTCCGAAGCGACAGCTGGAGCGGGAGATGCAGAGGGCCGAGGGGCTGGATTGTACGAAGTCGTTGGAGTTGAATTCTCTGTAGGATGTTGAATTGACAGGGTAAGAGTGGAAGCGACGCCGGGAGCCGGTGATGATAGAGGTTGAGGGAAATTCTGGTGCTCAACCAAACTTGCTAAAGCAGGAGTTATACGAAGCTCGGGCTCGAAGGGTCCCAGCTGGACTTGAGAAACATCGTTCTCTCCAAGCGAGGATTGAATCGGTGGTTGGTCAGTGCTAGGCGGGGCTTTGTTCGCTCCTTCTCGTCTCTCAATTTCCATTTCCAAGATTCTCGCCTTCAAGAATGCTATCTCTTGTTCCATGGTCAGCTGAGGGGGGGAGGTATCCCCGTCAACAGCAGCAACAACAGGCTGTGAATCTAATTCGTACACAGTTCTGTAGACTACAGGTTAGTAAAGGCTCATAGTTTAAGGAAATATACACTTACGTATGGAGGGGCCCATCAGATTTTGGACCAAGCTTATCTGAGGTTGGTTGCAATTGTACCTCAACAGGTGCGTACTGAGCTTGACCCGAAGAATATTGTGTATCTCTGCTGGGTAAAATAGGGGTATTTTGTATATTGGGCACACTGATTCCTACGGAAGGGGACTCCGATTCGCTCAGCATAGACACAGAAGAGAAGCCGCTATCTGAACGCTGTGCCGGAATGTAGGTGGCCGGCTGGTACATTGGAATCTGAGGCTCTCCTGCTACCTGAGCAAAGTTCTGTTGATGTGATGCTGGCTGATAGGAGACTGGTGCATTTTGCGGAGTTGAGAGAGGAACAAAATCGTACTTCTGGTGAGGGAATGGATATTGATAGACAGGGGGTGCGTCTGACTGAGATACTATTGAAGCTGGGGGCATCTGAGACGCAGGGAGCGGCGTTTGCAGTCCCGGTTGATAAAGGCTGGGGTGTAATTGTGAGGCTCCTGGCTGCTGGAAAATCTGAGTTTGTGTTTGTATTTTCTGGTGGGCCTTTTTGTGTGCATGCTTGTCATGTTTGTGCTCAGCGACAGCACCTGTGGCATCCAGCGCGACATGAGCGGCTGCATACTCCATGCCATGGCCAACAACTTGCCCAGCTATCATATCAGCTCCTGGACCAGCGAGGCCCAGGGTCAGGCCACCCAGAGTTCCGGCAACCGTCATAGGAGCAATCACATCACGCTTCCTCGTGTGGTGCGTCTCCCCACGTGCTTGCAATCCAGCCTCGATGATTTCTCTCTTCTTTCGGGCATTGTGGACACGAGGAGCTGAGAGCCCGAGCCCGACAAGAGATATTCCTGCCGTGAAGGGCGAGAAAAGAACAGATGTAGCGGTTGAGGTCGCTCCTCCAGCCAATTGCCGAGTGTAATTCTCGTACTCGGCCTGAAGTTGCTCACTTGTCAAGCTATCGCATTTCTTTTGGTACTCTTTATAGTCGAAAGGCATCGTGAGGGTCAGGAAGTTCTCATCACGCGTGGAACAATTACTGTGAAGAACAAGGAGGAGAAACGCGGGCTGAACAGCAGATAAGGAATGGCGGTGGGTGGCTTTTGTGTTTTAGGAGACGCCAAAACGCGGCTGAGAGTCTCTCATGAATGGAGGATCAAAAGCGCCAAAAATAGATAGCCTTGCGGTGACTTCAGTGAATCACTGGCCTTGGGCCATTTCGCTCAATCGAGACACTCTTTTCTTCATCGCGTTTCCTCCTGTCCTTGAAATGTATAGACGATTTCCAAGTTCGAGGTTGGCAAGGAAGATCTGGGGAGGGCGAGCCAGCCACAGCTGAAGCTTTCTCCAACGCCGCCAAGGCATCTAGCCCCCGTGGCCCCTGAAAATCTTCCAGGGGAAGGGCAAGGGGAGGGGCAGGAGCAGGGAGCCTGGCACGGCATGAAGTCCGCTCCTCGCCTCTGCGATGAGTTAAATCTCCCAAAACCGTCAAACCGTCAGCTGCGTGTTAGGAGAGAAACTCTAAAGCAAGAGCTTCGTTCGCCGCTTAATGCGAGTGCATCGTCATGTCGAGAAACTTGCGATAAGACTTTGCACTGTGCCCATTACTGTGTCGGTGGCTTCAGGCAGGCTTCAGCTGACAAAATAAAAATGAGTCGGTGACGAATTGTTGAATTGCCCTCCAATGGACGTTCTGGCGGACGGCTTGTAAACTGTGGCTTTCTGAACTCTGCGTATCGTGATCAGAATTCCAGGCAAGTCATCCTTGAGATACTAATGTTTCAATCAAGGACGATGAAGGGCGATTGCGTGCAGGTCCCTAAGGCTGATCCCCGAGAGCTTTAAGTACCAAATAAACAGCACCGGGGAAATACAGAGTGATTCAGCACGTTTACAACTCAAAGCACTACGCACCCGCCACAAGCACTTGCAGTGGCACTGGGACTCGCTTGTCTTCGCCTACATAATCCTCTATGCCAGCCAAGTCGCACCTGGTGAAAAATGGCGAAGCTTATCCTCTTTCCATAATGCTGAGTAGAGATAATACGACCACCGTTCCAAACTCATCGCTCTGTTCTTCAGTATGAATGATTCTGAGCTTCCCGGTAATCTTCATTGGATTGTAGACCCGATGGTGTTTCCCACCAGCGAAGACGGCGATGAGTTCTCTCGTCCTGACATTCACAAGCTTCAGGCTCCCTATCGTCTCGGCCGTAGTCTTCTTTACCCACATTGCCAGTTGAGAGAGCTTTTAATTTGGGGCTTCCGCTGTGTCGCCATTCGAAGCTTCCTCGTAGTGTCCCTTCTAATGGGGGAACATACAAAAAGAAGGAATGGATATCGCTCGTTAAGGCCCCCTTCTTGGCCAGCTCTACATGCAAGTAGTTGGTTGCTACTTCGTTTGGACTTCGATAACGGGCTTCCTTGGCTAGTCTGCGGGATCTTTATGTCTGAGGTCTTTAAGGCTCGAAATCGCACGTTGCCGCTGACAGGATATGTTTCCTTTGGACCATTGTGAAGCTGAATTTGGGGACTTTCGCTCGTTTTTGTAATCTGGTTTTCCATATGACTTGAAATATAGAATATAAGAGGAGGTTGAGGTTTTCTTCTCCTGAGATTGATGCCCAATTACCAGTGATAGGGGAGAAGTGCCTCGATAGATGACGATTTCCCTATTGCAGGCCAGTGGGGATTTCCAAATATATATTATCATGTTGAGATGTTAACGGAACTACTTTGGCAATATGAAGTCTTCTAAAGGAGACTTTAGCTCCGTTGTCCGATGCATCTTTCCATATACATATGGCTTTAGGTCATGATAAGCGAGGATAGATGGAGTCTGCGTCCCATCCCCCTACTCTTAGCAGATTTCTTCTCAATTTCTATGCTGATTTTTTGAAATGAGCGAGTCTGGCAGAATTCTTTCTTTAGGTTGAAAAGTCCAAGTTCGCGGATGCTACTACATACTCAATATATCATCAACCAAAACAAGGCTGAGTCTGAAAGGCCCTGCACCAAGGTGTATGGATCTTTCTGATCCACTATTACCGCAGTACGAGTTGCAGTAAAATACTCTCCTCATTCAGATCAACAAGTTTGCAGATTTTGGAATTACTGATGCTACTGGCACAGTCTTGGGTAACTTTGTCCCATTGAGGTTATACTCGCCGCAAGCTCACATTTTACCCGGATGGCTGTGGTTTGAGATTGCGACTCTCGCACTGACAATTCGATCAGACGCTGCAATGTAACTATTGCACAGCCTCCTCGCTGTGCCTGATTTTCGTGCTCGTGAAATCTGAGATGATCATCTATTCTTGGAGAAGAAAGGGAACCGAAACTCAATGAGGCTAAAAAATGCGCCCAACTTGATCATAAAATACTCGTCCATTACGTTTGACCTATATAAGAGTCGTCAAAACTATTCACACGCTCATCCAGGACCCATTGTCGCAGGCTCCTTATTATTGCCACCACCACTTCCTCCCGCATTCTCTGCCATCCACTTCTTAATTCCCGTCACAGCCTCCTCAACACCACTTACGATGATAGTAGGCCCACCACTAGCCAAAGTTCCCAACTGGTCCGTCCACCCCCCATTCCCAGAATGGCCACTACCTCGGTCAACCCAAGCCGCCTGGATTCCTGCTGCTCTGGCACCAACAATGTCAAATGGATTTCCACTCACAAGCCAGACGCTCGCCATATCTTCATTGCTGAAGGACTTGCCAGCCTTTTTGCACAAATGATGGTAGACCGTTGGATCAGGCTTGAAAACTTCAATCTCTTGAACAGTGACGAGACTTTTGAAGACTGAAGCGTGAGCTGATAGGGAAGGAGATTGATTCACGGATGCGGAGACCATGTCGTCACTTCCATTGGAGAAGACATATGCGTCGATTGATGGATCTGATGCTATGGCTTCGAGGCCTGGCTGAACGTCTGGGAAAGTGCCAAGATTGTCATATGCCTTCATCAGTTTGCTGATATTTTCATCAGAGAGGCTGACCGAGGACTCTGCTAGAGCGTGCTTGAGAGCTGCACTCGTGATCTCTGAGAACGGCTTGTACAATGCTTTATTCCTGGATGAGCGATGGTCTAGGCATATATGAACGAGAGCACGTACTCATGCTATTCATTCTCCAGGTATACTCTAACTGATATCTGCATGAATCAACATTTATTTTCAGCCAAGAGGGTAGAGAGACAAACCTGCGCCACAATGTAGCAATTTTATTTGCTTGCTCCTGCCCGAAATGGGTAGCAAGGTCCTTTGCAATGCTTTCAGTAGAAAGGAGCGTTCCATAGAGATCAAAAGCAATCACAATCTTGTCTTTGGAAGACATTTTGAGGAACAGAATGTCAGGAAATGTTAGCAGTGGGGATGCATGGATGTTGTTGCTCCTGAAGCGAAGAGCTTCTCCAAGGTTCTCTTGGCCGGTGACGCAGGCGGGGTAGTGGGGTTTCGGTTCGTGCCGAAGAGCCTGCATGATTCAACATACTTCAGCTTTAAAACTCTCGTCGATTCTCTCCTCTATGGGACAAGAACATCTCTGGGCCCCAGAATGGAGGCCTCCGAAGAATCGAATTTCCAAATCTTCCGAGATTGCCTCTCAACTCCCCTGATCGAGAAATCTGCTGAGCAGCCAGTGAAGAGTGCTCGAAAAGCTCGAGGAAGAAAGACAGCTATCAAACCTATAAAACATGAGATTGAAGAACCCAACGATACTGAGGAGCTTGCAGAATTCATCGACGTATGTCCATACTCAATCAACCACTCGGTCTCATCAATTGACACTCAAGCAGTATCTCGCCCACGAAATCTTCACCAACCTCCCCACCTCTCTCTGCACACTCTCATACTCCACCTGGCTCAACACACACTCTCTACAATCACTGTATAGTGAGACTCTCCCTCCGGCACGAATGGCCAGCATCCTCGACCCTCTCCCACCAACAATCACCGACTCTCTCCTAACATACTCCTTCCTCGCACCTCATCAAACAACCAACGAATTCCTCACCCCAATTCTAACAACCTACCTCAGCACCGTACTCACGCCCCCACCGCCTCCCTCTCAACAACGCCCCTTCGTCACCGAATGTGAGATCTGCCAACGCAGCTGGATACCTCTTACCTTCCACCATCTAATACCCAAGGGCGTGCATGAGAAGGCCTTGAAAAGGGGATGGCATACTGAGGATCAGTTGAATAATGTGGCGTGGTTGTGTAGGGCCTGTCATAGTTTTGTGCATAGAGTGACGAGTCTGGAAGATTTGGCAAAGCAGTGGTATACTGTTGAGAGGTTGATGGAGAGGGAGGATGTTAGGAGGTTTGGGGAGTGGGTCGGGAGGGTTAGGTGGAAGGCTACGTAGTTGGGAGGGGTTGCTTGCTGAATGGATAAGGGAGTTGAGAGTAATGGCCACTTGACGGCGTAATTTCGATGGTGTCAATCACCAATGAAGATGATACGGGAAGGAACTGAGGGAATGAGTGCCATTTTCTCTAATTCTTCGTTTCTCATGCCATTGTTCGCAACTTTGGATCAACTTCCGCCATTTCATTTCAACCAAGAACCTTCTCCGCAGCTGAGACTAAAGGGATATCAGCGATGATCGATGCGGAGATGGCTGAAATGGATTACCATTAAGTCCGGTGTTGTCAGGTTCAACATGTATTGCCTTGACCTTGCCGTCTTCAATCTCAAGAGCGTATCTCTTACTTCTTGGGCCACCAAAGATGGCAGTACCGTCAAAAGCTAGGTCCCTAGGTGACGATGGAGTCAGCAATCACTCAATTGGGATTGTTTCGGGAGAGGACATTAACTTAAGAAAATCTCATGAAACAGTCGCAAATAGGAAAAGGTTTCTCCCCCAACACCTACAATGCTTCAGTAAACTTGGCGGTTGGATCTCCGAGGAAGCGGATCTGTGAAGTGTGAGTATGGTATTTAGACTAGCTTTTGGTAGTAAGGTTCAAGTGAGTGCCTCACGCCTGAGCTGCCCGTAGGGTCGAGAGCTTCCGCCCATGCTTTTGTACTTCGAGAGGTCAGATGCAATTGACCCAATTGAGTTGGATGACCTCACACGAAAGGATCATTGACGGCAACAACAAACACGTCACCAGCACTCTTCAAGTTTTTGTGGTTGATGTAACCAGGGATGTGGCTGTTTGAACACGATGGGCCTGTCATAACATTAGCAGCTCGAAATCAGAACGGCGGCAGGGACTGTCAAGTGCCATTGATCGATCATCAATGTCGAATGCGAACAAGACTTACTGAAGGCAGCTGGGACACCAATGATCAAAGCTTTTCCCGTAATAGCTTCACTCAAGTTGACTTTATTGCCAGGTGAGCTCTCAACCAAGACATCGAGGTTAGGAATCTTGTCCCCAACTTTGATGAAAACTCGAGAGGAGCTGTGAAAGGCACGAGAGGTTCGGGAGGCATTGAGAGCCAAGCGGCGGAGTACAGCGGTGGGAGTCATCTTCAAATTGACTCAATTGAGGTTGGTAGGTTGATTGAAGGTGTTCATGAAGGATGTTGTCAACAAAAGGTTTCCCCACCTTGCGGCCGGCTCAATGTGATTGGCCACTCGCTTGGGTGAAGATCGCCATCTTTGTTCTTTTTCCTTCCGACGACGACGCTTCAACAAGAGTTACTCTTCACACCAAACCCACTCGTCACCGCCTCCAAAGATTGAGGGTCTTTTCCGTTGTCAAAAAACCTCCCCTCCGCATTGAATCACGTGAGCAGAATTTGACGAATGCCGAGGGGCCCGTCGGGAGCAGAGCGGACTTTTTCCTCATTGGAGCGCATCAATGTAAACCTAACTTTCGCCGGGGACAGGGTTGAAGCGGAGATGATCATTGTTTTTCCACTGTCATCGCCCCAAATTTGCGGGAAATTGGAGCGCTTCCGGATGTTCTCCAGGGACCAGGGGCGATCTTGCGGGGTAGCAAGCAGTTTCTCCGTCTGTACGTTGTTGCTTGGACGGAGGAGACTACTTGATGGGAAGGGAAATCATTGTACCGTGTTCATTCGGCGCATTGGTGCGTGGTACTTAGGGGCTATTGAGCCTTGGAGTTTCTAGGAGGCGATATGGCTGAGTATATAGTCCATACCTTCCTGCTAATTTCCACTCAATTTTCGTTAATGTCAACGTCAAAGTTTCCTTTTCAAAATGCGTGTTCTATTTGCTCCCTTGCTTCCCCTGCTTTTGGGTTCGGCCTTTGCTGCTCCTCACATAGCACCATTTTCTACTTTCTCCAACGTTACTGTGTTTATTCCTCCTTCCAACTACACGGATGTAAGCCCGAATCCTTTACATATTTCCTGGTGTTTTCTGGGGTTCGATAGCCAGGGAGCTGGGTCAACTCCGGTATTCCAGTCTCCAAGGAACAGGCCTTGAAGCTCTCAGCCCTCTTAACCACTCTGAATATTACATTTCTGATTCTGCTTGGCAGCCTAGGGTTCTGTACGCCCGCACCGTTGAACTGGAGGATGGAGTACTTTTAGCAACATGGGAAAATTACTCTCCAGAGCCGCCATTGGTTTATTTTCCAATTTTCAGAAGCATTGATGGTGGGGAGACATGGAAGCAGATTTCCAAAGTCACAGACCAGGTCAATGGATGGGGACTTCGTTACCAGCCATTCCTCTACAAAATGCCTGTCTCAGTCGGAAAATATCCTGCAGGAACGATTCTCTGCTCTGGGAATTCCATCCCGACTGATTTGAGTAAAACCAAAATCGATGTATATGCGAGCGTTGACAAAGGATACTCCTGGGAATTCGTCTCTCATGTTGCCTCAGGTGGGGCAGCAATCCCAGACAATGGTGTTCCGGCAATTTGGGAGCCTTTCATCATGTGGTATGATGGTCAAATTGTACTATATTACTCCGATCAAAGAGATCCAGCTCATGGGCAGAAGCTCGTCCACCAAGTAGGTTCTCTTTCCTGTTTTTTTTGATCTGGGCAGGTTCTTGCCTAAGAAAATACTACTTCTTCCGGAACAATATTATCGAGCTATTGCTGACGCTGGTTACTCAAAGACTTCGAAGGACCTGCTCACTTGGGATTCTCCAGTCGACGATGTATCATATTTGACCTACACAGCTAGACCTGGAATGACGACTGTCACACATCTTCCTAACAAGAACTACATGATGACCTACGAATATGGAGGGGGACCTACCAAATCTGGATCTGGATATGCGTTCCCTGTTTACTATCGTATCAACAAGAATCCACTCCACTTTAATAGCTCTGTTGGACACCCTCTAATCACGAATAACGGCATCCAACCCAACGGTTCTCCCTACGTTACTTGGTCTCCTGTTGGTGGTGACAATGGGACAATTGTCGTCAGCTCAGGAAGCAATAGCCAGATCTTCACCAATCAAGTTTTGGGTGATGAGAAGTCCTGGAAGACCGTAGCAACGCCAGAAGGGGTGTCTTATACAAGACATCTAAGGGTTTTGAACAACCCGGATCATTTACTCATAATGGGCGGTGGGCACTTGCCTCCGAGCACAACGAATAAGATCACTGTCAGTGTTATTGACTTGGAGCAGGGCTTGAAGAAAGCCAGTTGAGCTTCCCACAATGGCCTCAGCAGGAGGCTGCATAGCTAGCAGCACAATATAAAATAATTTCAATGTGAGGCTACGCCGGTTTGAAATGGGAAGTGACCAGGCGATAGGCTGAACAATAATTCAGAAATCTCTATACCATGCACATTATGATTTAGCTTTTCGATAAATATCGAGAATGAAATACTCTCACATCCACCTCGACACGACTTGCAAGCATGCTCAGAAGTTGAAGATATGGACCTAGAACCTTGGCACAAGCTGTGAAAAATGACAATTGAAGTTTGATAGTTAAACTAGAAACATACTTATGAAGTAAAAGGAATAAGTGCAAGCACTTTATACTCATAACATATCATCTATGACAGGCCCTCAAAATCGAAGGGCGACCGCTTCCGCATTTCCTATTTGGGTAGGCAAGCAGGAGGTACCAAAAGCTGCAACTTATATTAAATCAGCTTTCAGGTACTCAAGCTATATGAAACATTGGAAAGTTGCTATAAATAGCCAACTCATTCAGGCCTCTTAATTCACTCCTTTACAAAAGAGGCAAAGAAGTGAATATCCTAGTCAGCTCACTAATAGTGGCGCACTCGGCACACGCCGCGAACATCGCCTCGCCTCGCCTGTCCCGAGCTGACTTGATCTGCACTTCATCATCCACTTCCGCTCCTCAAGACAACCTGGCGACGACACTCAGCACCACGCCCTTTATTGCGACGCGACACCGACTTCACAACACCGTGAGGCCTCTCGTTGTTGCTCGCCACTCCACCCGGCACACCCCAATCTCTAGCGGCCTGAGACACTTGCCCTCGTGTCACCCCGGCCTGCAGCCTTGTGTGCCTGCAATCCTGTCCTCCTGACAATTCTACCCCCGGTATCCTCAACCGTCGACACCATTTCTTCCCAACTCAAGAAAAGAAAGGCGGCTGAGGCGATAGATCCTTCCTCTAAAACCACAACAAGGTCGAGCAAGAGGATCGCCTCAGCTGTCTCGGACGCTCCCCCAACGCCACTTACCACAAATAGCCCAATGGATTCCGATGACGATTTCATGTCTGGCGTGTCCAGCGAGGAGGATGACGTTCTGCAAGATGGCAGCGACAATGAGGATGGCTCTGCAGATGGTATGCCCCTCTTTCACTTTCTCCAGAGAACGATCCATTCCCCTAATTCCCTCAGTGCTAACATAACCCGCGAATGTATAGACTTCGGATTTGACGAACCTGAACCCGATCTAGGATACTCGCAGAAGGAGGCCGTACAGAAGAAGAAGAGATCTTTCGACACCACCTTTACAGTTTACCACCCTGAAGACATTCAGGGTCAGCAAGATGACCTCATTGACGAAGTCAATATGATCCTCGACCTCCGAAAAGAAGATGTAGCTATCTTGTTACGACACTTCCGATGGAACAAGGAGAGGTTGATAGAGGACTATATGGATCGCCCAAAGAAGGTTCTCGAGGACGCCGGCTTAGGGCCAAGCACGTCGGGACCACCAAAACTCGAGGCCATTCCCGGTTTCATGTGCGATATCTGCTGCGAGGATGAAGCGGGTCTTTTGTCATTTGCCATGAAATGTGGCCACCGATACTGCATTAATTGTTACCGACACTATCTGGCCCAGAAGATCAAAGAGGAAGGCGAGGCTGCCCGCATTCAATGTCCACAAGACGGGTGCAAAAGAATTATGGACGCAAAATCATTAGATCTGCTTGTTACCACCGATCTTCAAGCTCGATACCATGAACTCCTTACAAGAACCTATGTCGAAGATAAGGATCAGCTGAAGTGGTGCCCCGCTCCGGATTGTGTTAACGCTGTCGAATGCGGTATTAAGAAGAAAGACTTAGATAAGGTCGTGCCAACTGTGGTCTGTGACTGTAAGCACCGCTTCTGCTTTGGCTGCATCTTGGCAGATCATCAACCCGCGCCCTGTGATCTGGTTAAGAAATGGCTCAAGAAGTGTGCGGACGACTCTGAGACTGCCAACTGGATTTCAGCCAACACGAAAGAATGCCCTAAGTGCAACTCCACGATTGAGAAGAATGGCGGGTGCAACCACATGACCTGCCGGAAGTGCAAGCACGAGTTCTGTTGGATGTGCATGGGTCTATGGTCTGAACACGGCACGAGTTGGTACAACTGCAACAGATTCGAAGAGAAGAGCGGATCAGAAGCCCGTGATGCTCAAGCCAAGTCTCGCGTCTCCCTCGAGCGCTACTTGCATTACTACAATAGATACGCCAATCACGAACAATCGGCCAAGCTGGATAAGGATATCTACCAGAAAACCGAGAAGAAAATGATCCAATTGCAGTCTGCGTCTGGAATGTCCTGGATTGAGGTGCAATACTTGAACTCCGCTTCGCAAGCACTCCAAACTTGTCGTCAAACTTTGAAGTGGACCTATGCCTTTGCCTTCTACCTGGCCCGCAACAACTTGACGGAGATGTTCGAGGATAACCAAAAAGACCTCGAGATGGCCGTTGAAGCTCTGTCCGAAATGTTCGAGAAGCCCGTCACTGAGCTCGCAGACTCGAAGTTAAAGGTCGAGATCATGGACAAGACTTCATACTGCAACAAACGTCGGGTCATCTTGCTTGCAGATACAGCAGAAAATCTTGCAAACGGTGTGTGGACATTTGGTTCCATCAACTTTTGATCTCCCCTGATCTTTACACGATTGTTCCTTGCCCCCACACCTCCAGCATGTTCTGATTAGAGGAGACTGATGACTGATCTTCGTTTTCTCCTGCAGGAGACTGGGATTTCAACATCGACATCTCCTCAGCTGCCAATGGCCGGGCGTGTGGCCCGACACGAACAGAATAACTCGCAACGTTATCCACAGCTCTTAGTTTGTGTTCAGAGAATATATTTCCGCGCTCCTCTATCACACTGGCAGTTTAGATTTCCTTTTCAAAGTCTGTTTATTGCATCACTCGGCGTCTCCTGCTAACCGTGGCCGGCCTACAACCACTCTTTCCTTCCACTTAGCGGACTATCTGGCTCTCCCGTGCATCACGAATTTGGCGCGGCGGATCCGCGGGCGCATAATCTTCCTCTCAACACGGCGTCAATTGGGGTTGGCACGATGGGAACTGGCAACTGAGGGAGCTTTGGGACCGGGAGGGATGCTCGTACATAGGGCGAAGCAATGCATTATGAAAGATTGTTGTAGAATTTTACTCGTTACTTCAGACCACCTTCATTGCATTGAGTGAACGTATTTCATTGTGAAATTTGGTTTTTATTGTAGTAGTCTTAGTGAAGTGTGTGACTCGCCACTGATGTCTCTCTTGCTTGCTACTGTAAAAGGCTAGCCATCTCAGAATGAACGGATGACAAGCTCAACAGCAACCACAAGAGTCAGACAGCGGCTGCCCAAAGGATGCATGAATAAACCTTCAATTTCTACTCTTTGGAACTCCAAACACCGATCCGTAACTCCCTTCACTATGCTTTATAAAAAGAAACATCATTCGTCAAGAACCAACACAACAGAAGAACTGCCAACGCCATCCGTAGCCATGAGTCTCATATCCATCAAGCCTTTGCTACGAATGCGAAACGTCCGAGATCGATTTGGGGGAGTTCGTAGTCGTATTCAGGGCTGGGCGACAAGGCTTCGTCCTCTTCACTGTCATGGATGATCATGTCTTCACTGCCGCCTTGCCTGCTCAGTGCAACATTCTCTGCCTCGTCGGGAGCGGGGAGGAGAACTGCTGCTGGCTCAATCTTCTTCGACTTGGTATTTCTCTCGACCTCTGGGAATGGTACACTATTCTTGCTGAGCAAGGAGCGACGAGGAGATTTGGGCTTAACCGAACGGGCAGGCGTCAAAGGCGGAGTCATGGGAAATTTCAATCGATTTGCTGCAGTGGCACCTAATCGTTGGAGGGGTGTAAGGTTTGCCTTCGTAGACGTCTTCGAAGCCGGAACATTGTTCTTGACCGCCAAAGGGATTCTGGAGGGTCTAGGAGACGTCGACGATGGTGCAGGGAAAGCTTGTCCGCCGCCATAGGATTTCGGGGTGGAGGTACCAGCTGCACCGAACGCAAATCTCGACTTAAACATTCCCACCGAAGCAGGACCTGATGTAGGGACGGGACTGTCTTCCTTCGGGGTCGGTGGCTGTTCAGCTGAACTGGTCACAGAAATGGAGGTTGTCAAGCTAGGAGTGGTGTCTTGAGATTCAGCTTGATCGTCGGTTCCTTGGCTCTGGAGACATTCTGGGCTTGCTTCATCATCACAACTGCGAACCTGCTCATCAAAAATGTGAATCTTGCTGCTCGATTTCGGTCCCGTATTTCCGAAACAGTCCACATCAGGCAAACTCAGCATGGCCTCCTCGATCGAGTCATCAGAAAAGATGTTGATCTCTTGCTTCTTCGACCGCTTGCTTCTTGTATTTCTGCCTACGGTTGGACTAGGTTCTGGGGCTGCCGAAGTGAAGAAAGGGCTTTGACCGAGCGCGGGCTTCTGACTTGGGGACGCGACGCTGTCAATGTCTGCACACAGCCGAGCTCGCTTTGGAGGTCGAGGTTCAGAAATGGTTGGTGCTCGAACTGTACGTACGGTTTGGCGTTGGGCAGCTTGTGGTGCGGATCGAGATAATTGAGGTGATTGCTCGGTTTCCGGAGCAGAGCGATGGAGATATGGTCGAGGAGCAGGATTAGCAGCCCAAACCGCACCAGAATTCCGGCGTAGAGCCTCTTGCTGGGTGGGTGACGGGGTGAAGCAGTTAATGTCGAGTTCAGCAAGAGGAGTCCGCTTTGGCTTGAAGAAGTTCTCGACTGGCTTTCCTTTCTTGGGATCGACGGAGCTGGCTGACCTCTGGTGGTTCGGACGAGAAGACCAAGGTGTGGTTGAAGTGACCATCTTCTTCGCCGAAGACCAAGGGACCACGATTGGTAGCTTGGTCATTGGATTGAGATCTCCTCGTGCGACGCCCTGAGCAATCTCTGGCTTCACGTCTGCTCCAATGAAAGGCATCTTGTCATCATCAATGGGGTGGTCAGGTTCTGTGTGCAAGACCAAGGTTTGGGCAATCGGACAAAACACTCTTTGGTGAAGAAAGGTGAGCTCGGCCCGATAGAAAGCCTTGAGGTAGCCATTCGGAACAAGAAATTTTCCGTCGAACTGCAACATCCGAATAACTTTCTCGATTGTCTTGTGTTTCCGCACCATTCGGTAAGCTGTCTTCAGCCCCATGTTATTAATACTGGCGAGATAATCGCAACCACTCAATATTGCCATCTGTCGAAATTCCGTGTCGGACCAGCCCGTCAAGCTGATCTCTCTACAAGCACAAAAGTCTGCCTGGTTGATTTCGATACAGTTTCCATACTTATCCAGCTTTGTCAACAGACACTTGGCACCGAAGACAAGCAGATCAGAGTCCTCGGAAAGAATTCCGTCTATAATGCCTTTTCTCTCGAGATAGACCATCTGAGCGTCGGCCTCGTATGGTGCTACGATATATTGGACTCCGGACTTCTTCAATTCTTCGATCAGCTGACGGGCCATCTCTGGCGTAACGTCGACGGCTTTCTGGAACTCGAGATAAGCCTGTGAGGCCTTTCCGGCACCCAGCAGCTCTAAGCCTGCCTTTTTGCTCTCCTCTCGTCGCTTCGCTCGGTCTGCCTCAGTCGCGGCCTTGCTGGGAAGGTAATCTCCATCGAAGATAATGTAGGGAATTACATGGAAATGCTGCAACATTCGAACTCGATGCATGGCGAAATCGACGAATCTAGGAAGTTTTTAGATAGTTCTTTTTGGGAGTGAGTTCTGGACTTACTTTCTGGTCTGCTTGCCCTGTGCAAGTTCCATGGCACAAGCCACAGTCCCACGGTGAAGCCAGCCATACGCGTCTACCCCAATGGTTTTACCCTCAAACTTCTTGAGATTGCAAGGTTTATGAATAGATTTCAACAAAGGGAGTAAGCCTGGAAAGTCAGCATAGTCCCGTAGATTTAGTGTTGGATTTTGTACCATTAATTCCCATTTTTGTTAGCGATGTGCACAAAGAAACAAGCAAACTTCAGCAGCCAAACACTTATTTACAGCTCCATGAAGTATTCGTCACAGGTCTGCTTTAGAGACAAGAGATTTTGGTGGGTGACCAGCTCAGGATGAGCATCGAAACGACGAGAATGGCTGTTGGATTCGTTAGCGGGGAATGTCGTTGTCGGGAATAGAGTATGTGCCAGGGAAGAAGAGGGAAGTCGCGTTGAGCCACTGACCGCGTCGCGCTGCGCTTTCCCTGGTGAACCCGGCAACCGGCGCTCCTGCACACCCGACTTGGATCGGCCGCTAGCTCATACTCGACTGGAAAAGCGGCACTGAATTCATATCCCAAGTCGACATTACGCATTTATCTGGATTTGAAGGATGATTCCAATTCTTTCTAGATTTTCTAAATTTCAAAATCTCAGAGACAGGGGAATAGGGGTACTTTGAGTGTCCTAGAACTCGATGGAAGATTCACCTCGAAAGTAGCTAAAGTGATCTGGCTTGCCTGGGACTTTGGGAGTTCAGTGCTGTTTCTTTTAGCCCCACTACGAGACTTGCAAGCCGAGACTTGACAACTTTGCCGATGAGCAAAATACAGACAGATGCTTGAAACTTCAACAACTTCAATCACGACAACAACATTATGCCAAAAAGCTTGGAGAAGACGCGCAAGAAGATTGCCAAGAAGAAGGGCAACATCACAGCACTCCATGAGAACTCTCGAGACTCCCAGCGCCTGCGACGAGCTCAGATGCGAGATGACAAGTTGGTGAAGGTCGCATCATTGAGAAGAAAGAATGACCAGCCTCTAAGCGAGTTGGCCCATACTGCAGGATGTTTGATAGAGACTGACGGGTTGAAGTTGAAAGAGCAGCATACTTCCAAGAGGCCATTCGAGAGAACGATGGACAACCACTAGAGATGGAGACAATCCGAGCTCTCATTCAAACGTGGGTCACTTATAGGAGGTGCGGTTATTGATTGGGAAACATCTGACTTTGTGGAAAGATTTGTTCATCAACACGACGAGGAGTTCAGCAAATTAAAGAAGGAGCGCCGTGCCGGAAGGCCTGCGAGTACCAGGGAAGATTTACTACGGATGAAGATTGCGGCGGATGAGAAGGAACACGAGAACGGATTCTGTGAGCCCCTACGATTTTACCCGAAGAGTATAAACTAATACGCTACAGATCTACCAGACCTTACAGAGGCAGATAATGTTGTTCTTCTAAACAAATGGGAAGGGGCTTGGTCATATCTGTCGACGCTGAAGTGGGTTCGGATTTCGAGCAATGGCCAGGTACAACAAGCAAAATTTCCACCAAAGGGAGAGTCATGAGAGGGAAAGAGCAATCGGAGTAATACGGCGTCGAGGATACCAAAACTGCTTGTGCATGGTATTATGTGTCCGAGATGTTGGAGTAGCTCAAACATTAGACAGCTGCTGCATGAACCCTTGACCAAACCAAAAAGATACAAAAACGCTATATGTCACTGAGTGAGTGCCATGCTTCACTTGCATTTGCATTACAATTCTCTTTGAACTTTGTGTGAATGTTGTGGTTTCCCCTAAGCGTATTGACCAGCCTCGTCTGTCGCGCTAGTCAAGCCAGCCTCGTGGTCGCTAAAACTTTTTTTCGCCAGGAAGCTCATGCATTGGAGGTAGTACATCTTTTGTTCAAGCCATCAGCACACCTCCTTAGTTCACCATCCATCCACTTCATACATCACAACCCATCTCTCCACAATGCTCTCTATTAGATCCTTCGCCCGAGCGGTACCTCGCACGGCTTCCCGATTGACTGCTTCAGCGTTCAGAACACCTTCAGCCCGCCCTGCCTCCTTATTACAATCAGCATGGATACCAGCGAGAACACAATACGCCGCAGCTTTCTCGACAACAACGATTAGGCCATCGAAATCAGGTGAGGGTGACGATGAATTGGTTGCGAAACTCGAGTCTGAGATCCAGATGGAGAATGAGATGTCCGACGAAGGAGGTATCCCAACGAGCGTGAAGGATTATCTCGAGAACGGGCCCTTTGAGATTCTTGATACGCCAGGCCAAGAGGAAGTCGTTCTGACAAGACAATTCGGCGACGAGACGTAAGCAATTAGAGTTGGGCCCTTTCTCTCATTTTCTGATGGATATGCAGTATCAAGGTGACTTTCTCCATCGCCGACCTGAACCAACTCGACCCCGAAGCCGACTTCCAGGATCCCGCTATGGGCGATGAGGAGGACAACATCAACCAAGGGGACGAGAAGAACTTCAAGGTGGCACCAGAAGACCAAATTGAGGAGCAAGACGGCGAGGGTGAAGAGGAGCAAGAACAATCCTTCCCAGCAAGACTAAACATCGTTGTTGAGAAGGCAGGGAAGGGCGCACTTGCAGTTGAGGCTGTCGTCCAGGAAGGAATGGTGGTCATCGACAATGTTTTCTACTATACCGATGCATCGCATGCATACGGTAAGACGGCGGATAAGGTGCACGAGAGACAAGACTTGTATGTGGGACCACCATTCAGCAATCTTGATGAAGACCTTCAAGTGCTTTTGGAGAGATATCTGGATGAGAGAGGTATCAACGCTGCACTGGCTTTGTTCGTACCGGACTACATCGACATGAAGGAGCAAAAGGAGTACTTGAGGTGGTTGGAGAATGTCAAGGGCTTTGTTGAGGCGTAAATGACTTGAGCGGGTTTACTTTGTCTTCAACTGTTGTCTTCATACCATTTCCACTCCCCGCCCTTACCTTGCTGTACAATATTGGGACTGTACAAGTGCTAGCAAAGCTTATGCTAAATAATGACAAAGAATTTCTCCTGAGCATCCAAGTTTGCAACAACTCGATTGCGCGGAACAAGAAGTACAGATCTGAGGAGCTTCATTTAACACGAGAACCAGAAACTCGGAAAGAAGTTGCTGAACTCCAACCCTCATCCTGTCAGTGTTTTTGGGGGGCCGTTTTAGGGAGCGGCTTTCGTTCCGCAGCTAATTTCAGGGATTCAACAAAACCTTGCGGAAGAAATTGAAATTCATGGGGAAATACAACCTTTCACTTGTCCGTTGACGACACTCAAGCCACTGATGATGTAGGACTCACAGAACAATCTGCACACCCATTCCTTGGTAAATCCGATTCCGAGCGACATCGCACTTCGCGTTGTCCGCAACGCTTCCCGAACCGCATCCAAAAGCCGTGGGGAGCCGAGGGGTAAGAGTATTTCCGCTTCCAAGTTAGAGCTTCCCAAACTCCAAGTCCAGCTCTTTATTTTACTTTCCTTTCCCTCCGTGTGAGATTGTTCCTCGAACTGTGTATTCAATTGACGGCGTCCAGGTCGTCTCCTCCAACAAGATGTCTTCGACCGCTCTCCGTTTCCGTACTGCGAGGGCGTACACAAGAAACAGTTCCAAGGTATGCGGGGAAGCTCCGTTACGTGAATTCGAACTGACTCGTTTTCAGCAATCCATTCTTTTAGCACGAACATTTGCTTCCACAACAAGACGATATGAGATCAATAAGGTCCTCCCTTCGGCAGCCGAAGCGCTCAAAGATATGAAACCGAATAGCACAGTTCTATGCGGTGGATTTGGCCTATGTGGAGTTCCAGACACCCTGATTGATGAAGTGATCAATAAGCCGGAAATCACCGGCATCACAGCTGTCTCGAACAATGCTGGGACGGACACTTCTGGCCTAGGCAAGCTCCTGAAGACGAAGCAAATTAAGAAGATGATTGCGAGTTATATTGGAGAGAATAAGACCTTTGAGAAGATGTACCTAACCGGAGAGGTCGAATTGGAGCTCACGCCCCAAGGAACCCTGGCAGAGCGTTGCGCATCTGGAGGTAAAGGAATACCCGCCTTTTACACACCAGCAGCGTTCGGCACAGTTGTGCAAACGGGAGAACTGCCATTAAAAAACAATCCTGATGGGACACCACACCAATACTCATATCCCAAAGATGTCAAGGTTTTCGACGGCAAGCAATACCTTCTAGAGGAGAGCATCAAGGGCGACTATGCGTTTGTCAAGGCGTACAAGGCAGACAAGCTTGGGAACTGCCAGTTTCGTCTCACAGCCAACAACTTCAATGGTGCAATGGGCAGGAATGCCAAGATGACTATCGTGGAGGCTGAGCATATCGTTGAGCCTGGTGAGATCTCACCAGAAGCTGTTCATTTGCCAGGTATCTATGTCAAACGAGTCATTCAGTCAACCACAACCAAGAACATTGAGAAGTATACCTTCGCAAAGGATCCAAATGACCCTGAGGCAAAGGCTGCTCTCGGAAGCGGTGAAACCGCGGCAAAGAGAGAGAAAATTGTCAGGCGAGCAGCGAAAGAATTTAAGAACGGCATGTACGCCAACCTCGGTATTGGAATGCCAATGTTAGCTCCTGCATTCGTTGGTCCAGAAGTCGAGGTACAATTGCAATCCGAAAATGGAATTCTCGGACTTGGTCCGTACCCAGTGAAGGGCAAGGAGGACGCTGATCTCATCAATGCTGGCAAGGAGACCGTCACATTGAAGCCAGGTGCGGCTGTATTTGGCAGTGAAGAGAGTTTCGGCATGATCAGAAGTGGTCGTGTCAACTTGACTATCTTGGGCGCTATGCAAGTAAGTGGAAACGGCGACTTGGCAAACTGGATGTTGCCGGGAAAGATAAAGGGGTTCGGTGGGGCTATGGATTTAGTGAGCAATCCTGAGAAGACGAAGGTTGTTGTTACGATGGAGCATACAGATAAGAAGGGGAACGCGAAGATTGTGAAGCAGTGTGCATTCCCGCTTACTGGGAGGGCTTGTGTATCGATGATTATTACGGAATTGGTGAGTCTTGAAAATGTTCTTTTATCAGCTTTTACTAACGTTATACAGGGTGTCTTTGATGTGGACATTGCAACCGGATTGACGTTGGTTGAGATTGCTGATGGTGTCACTGTGGAAGAGATCAAGAGCAAGACGGAAGCACCTTTCAAGGTGGCAGATGACCTGAAGCCGATGTTGTAGATTGTACAAAGTTGGATTCTCTCGCATTTTGGAGTTACGTAGCATTGGTCTTGGAATGGGAAAATAATTGCCATATTTATGTTGTGTGAACTCTCAGTTTTCTTCATGTTCATTTCATTTGTACGTTTGACATCCCGTGAGCAGGAGATCCTGGCGCTTGATAGGATGGAGTCTCCGGAGTCATAAAGATGAACTCGTCAACTAAGCTCGTCAAGATCCACCAGATCTGCAAATAAATGAACGTACGATTACGAGTACATCCAGACCTCACCCTAAGCCACCCACCCCCTATTCAACATCAATCTCTGAATTCATTCAAGCCTGCTCCCCACCTTTGGTCAAAATAACACACCTAACCATAACCCCTCTCTCACTCCCCTCCCTTTCCTCACACCACCCCATCTTCCCGGCACCCCCTCTGGCCCTCCCCCTCTCCTCCCCCAACTGCTCCCCTGCCCTCTCCGCAACCCACCTCAAATCCACCCTCCAATCGGGCGCCTCTAAAAATCCCAACTCCCCCTCAAAAGACCTCCCAAACTCAACCACCAGACACACCTCCTTCAGACTCCTCATCCTCGCCAATAAGCCTATAAAGCCGTTCTCACACAATATATTCCAGACGCGGAGGTCGATGGAGAGGGATTGGATGTGGTGGCGCGAAGAGGAGGTTGACAGGTTCCAGAGGAAGTCGTGCAGGTGCGTGGTGAGCAGGGGGAAGAGCGAGGAGATGTAGAGCGTGTCTGTTGCGTAGCAGATGGGGATGGGCAGGCCTGGGGTTGGGGAGGGGTTTTGGTAGCGGTGTTGGGTGCTGATAGGGGAGAGGCGGGGCCTCCAGGGGCAAGAGGGCCCAAGGAAGAGATTGGTGTAGGTTTGGAGGGTGTAGGCGCGGGATTCGGAGCTGGTTGAGAGGAGCACGGGGGGTGGGGTGTTGGAGATGTAGCGCTTTAGGGAGGGGGAGTAGGAGATCTTTAGGATTCGGGGTTGGGAGGAGAGGGTTAGGATGTGCTTGTAGATCTTGAGACGGAGCTCGGTGGGAAGGAGGGGGAAGAGGGCGAAGGTTATCAGGCTAGTGGTACTCTCCATGTTGCTACTCGTGGGAAGTATTTCAGGGCCTTCGACGCAGATTTGGCAGCAGGAGAAGTTAACAAAGAAGAGACGGACCAAAAAGTTTTATAGGAAAGTGAGGTCTCGAGGTATGTGACTTGGAAATATGATGTGAAGATTACCGGTAGTCCAAGGTCATTATGAGGCTTTATCGCGCTTGAGGGGGACCGGGCCCGCCTGCTCACTATCACCACGTGCAGCCCGCTGGAGTTCCTTGCAACTTTGCAATTGTTCTTCGGACACACGTACAATTAACAAGAAGTACAAAGAAAGCTGTACTTACTCCCTAATGTACACCCAGCGTCGGCCACAGAAGGCCATCCGAGATCGAACCGCTTCGATCACGTACAACGCACCAATTATCAAAGCAACCAAATCTCCTCGGGCGAGCTCCGTATGATTCCCGATCCACGAATCACAACATAAATCGAAACTTCGATCGATCGATTGCGAGGTTGCTCCGATGTTTGGCGAGGTGCGATTGGCTCGTCGTTGCAAGTGAACACGATTTGAGGAAGGCAGAAAGGGGACTCCCCGTGAGTCGCGACAAAAAAGGTAGGGCCGACAAATAGCCAAATCGAGATCCCGCGATTGTAGACCTGCAACAGAATGTTTGGGCATGCAGGGTGCAGTGTAAGCAGCGAGTCGGGTTTGGGAGATGGGTATGGAACGGTTATTTTGGGACAAGCCGTCCCTCCCGGATCGATACGCGAGAGCGAGGGTCACGAGGTGGGCTTGGGTAAGGAGGACTTCATGCTGAATGATTTGATGATTCGAGGCTTGGAGCGAGGGATGGTTGGAATGGGTTTGTGTAACGATAGTAGGTTGTGAAAGCGAAGTGTCTTGTAAACTTGGTATTTAATTCGTCGAAAAGATGAGATTGGAATCCAAGCATAGAATGAAAAGTCTAAGATGAAAAGTCAGGTATAGGACGAGAGTACAAGGACTCATTCGCTCGGATTTCAACAAACCCCTAAACTAACACCAAGGCAAATTTCGTCTACTTCTCATGAACCTCTTGTTTCTTGAAGCCGCTGCTCTTCTCTAACCACGTTGCAAAATCTTGCAGCTGGGGGTACTCCTGTCGACACTTCTTGATATCAACATTGTACCCATCTTTCTCAAACCACTTGAACATGGCGCCCATATCTGGCATGGCGATCTTCACAATCGAGCCTACAGCACAAAACGTCGTCGGCATATCAAAGCCCATGGTCCTCTTAAAAATCACAAGAGCCTCCTCGAAATTCAATTCGTCGCCCGCAATGCCAATACACTTCCCAGAATACTTCTCCGGCTGCAACAGAGCAACTCCAGCGAAGTGACCAATATCGCTCGCAGCAACAAGTTGAACGGGCTTCTTGCCTACTTGCCTCCACATAGCTTCAAACGCTTTGCCTTCGAAATTGGGTGACATGTTGTCCATGAAGGTCGTAGGCCGGAGAATCGTCCACGCCATCGACATCCCCTTTGTCTTCTCTTTCAGGTACAATTCAATGCGATACTTGGTCGCAATGTGGGCGACAGGGGTTGGGTTCGTATCAGAGACCACCTCGCCGCCGCGATCGGCTGATGTGAAGACAAAATGCTTAACACCATGAGCGATGCTGGCATCGATGAGACCTTCAGCTTGCGCTTCTTCTGAGCCCTTTGGACCGTGGACTGTCACGCAAAAGACGCCGTCGATCTGGGTGTTGGCGTTCTTGAAGATTTCTTCGGGCGCTGTTGGGTCTCCTGCAAGGAGAGTGACGCGTGGATCCAGGGCCGCGAGGGCTTTGGCTTTGGACGATGAGGTGTTTCGTGTCAAGGCCAGGATTTCTATGGATGGAAGCGAGGCAGTAGAGAGGATGGCTGAGACGACTGAGCTGCCTTGAGTACCCGTCGCTCCGACAATGAGAAAGGTTTTGGTGGCCATTTTGAACGAATTGGCGGATAAAAGCTTGACACTGATGAGATGCGAACGCAATCTTGAGATTGATGAGATGAAAGCTTTGAGTGGTGTGGAGAAAGTGGAATGAGATCTCAACTGAGAATGGCGAGTTGACTTAAGTAGATCGCGACCAGGCTTCACTGGAAGGCTTGCGGTGTTTGATTAGCCCATGCCTTACCCCCTACGGCCGCAGGAGAGATTAAAATGGCTCCAAAGGAAAGAGATCCATCACTCGGCGGATTGTATGAAACGCTGCGGTTGCGGCGTAGCTTTTAAGGACGTATCCTGAAGCACGGTAAAAACATTCCCCCGAGACCACGTGACAAAGGGACGTTGTGAGAGAAAAACGGGATGCCATTGGGCAAAGGATTTGATTGGGTGCGATGGCCCCCTTTCTTGTCAGAATCCAACCAGAACTTTATAACGACGTCGCTCATAGGGGTAGTACTAAAAGAGCCGAGGATTCAAAGTTGTTTTCTCGACGCTTGTACTTCGTAATGTCAACTGCCTCCCTCCCATACGTATGTGGCAGGTGAACTTGGGGGCGGAGACAGCCACGATTGGGTTGTGCGACCACACATATTTCATTAAATTGGAGAAATATTGAGATGACAATTGCCATGGCTTTGCACACTTCCTGCCCCATCTCAGGTAACATGACGTCCATTATTGTGCGAGTCAAACAGTAATGCAGCCACATGTCCCTGTTTTTAGCCTCTTTGTTCTCCCAGTTTAAGAAGTGTGGAGTTTTCAATCTACTGGTCTGGATTGGTGGGTTGCAGCTTGGGCTGAAGGAGGCAGCTTTATGAGTTCATCTTGGAGGCCCAAGTTTGTTCAGCAGAGCTCGATGTCGATGTCAAAGATGCAGAGCCAGCGAGCGATGGTTGTCACCGCGTTGATTGGTGGACGTTGGCGGTTCAAGTCGTGTTGGCGGGGGCCGGGCCAGGCCAGGCCAGGCCACCTCCGTCTGCCCCTGGTCGAAAAAGTCATCGACGATCAACGACGAGGCTGAATCGGCCGGTTTCTCCAGCCCTGCAAGTGTTCGGAGGACGAGGGACTTGCGGGCATTTCAGTTTAGCCGCTTCCACAAAAGGAAAAATGTCACCGGCTGATGACATCAGTGGCTCACAGGGCCCAAAGGAATGTCAGGGTCCAACTCCTCCCGTCTCGTCTTATTCGAAGAAACGCAATCCACGCTGTGCGAGGCTGACGACACTGTCAGGCACTTGGACGCTGCACCCGGTTTGGGCAGGTTCCATCAGATTCCATACTTGTTATGCGCGAAGGTGGCACAATTGTGAATCTGTCTTGTGACGAGCGAGGGGAGGCAGGGTAACTTCCAAGATGCCTTACGTCAGTGGGCGCCATGTTGGAGTCCGCGACGGGCTGAGCCTGTCTCCACGCTGGTTGAGCTGGGCATGCCCCGGACACCAACTTGAAAGTCGCATCTCAAGGCAGAGAGAGATAAGTGTACCTACCGTGTCTCGAGATGAATCACGTGCGGGCGCTCGGGTGGCGAGGGACCTGTTCCGGCTCCGTCGTGCCTGCGACGCCGCCTTATGGTCTCAGATCCCTGGGCTGTGGATCTCAGGGCCCCACACACCGACGGGCGCGAGTCCGGTCGAGCGATGCAAAAAAAAGCGGCAAGAAGAACTTCTCCTTCAAGCCTAGCAGCCGCGAACGCAAGACAGAGGCGCTCGAAGCGAGCCCAATCAACGTGCGCGATCCACAGACCCCCGGCAGCAAACGGCCTGGATCGATATCATCGAGCTGAGCTTCAACATCGCTCCCAACTTCTGTGGAGTGTGGACCAAGAAATTGCGCTTTTTCTCAGGGTCCTGCGCATGCTGCCGCGCCAAGATTGATGGCAGGGCCGGGCGGCTAGGAGATTGTCGGCCCATTGTACCATGGTAGAAGTCTGCAAATGTGCTCGATGCTTTTCGATTCAGATTTCACCCCAAATCTCGATCGTTGTAGCCATGCCACACTACCACTGCCACGGCCACCGCGGCCACTGCAGCATGACCCTCCGACCTGCTCCTCCTCCTCCTCCTCCTCCTGCTCTCCTTCACCTCTTGTTTTTATACTTCGTCGCTGCGAATCCAGCACTTTTCTGCCTTCACCCCGCTGTCAACTTCCCATTCCAGGGTTCTGCGACTGTAACTTGAGTCTGCGCGAACACCCCTCGATCGAGGTCCAGACACCCATGTAGACGTGTTGTGAGCTCCAAGACACACCTGCGCTTTGCCATAACGAACATCTTGTTACAACCAAGTTGAATATTTCGACATTTCGACCCGCCGCCTACCAACCTATACACCATTGATCCTGATCAACTTGTTCAAACCACTTCGGGGTATCAGATCTCTGCGATCTATCCGCATCGAACTCCGCTCTGTTCTCGAAAGCTGGGCAGATTCACAACCTTCGACGATAGGCCTTTGCAATGACTTGGGGAAACCCCCGATACTCGAAATTCCCACCACGGTGATATGATGCTCCAGTCGTCGTCATATCCTCGGGGTGCGACGTCCTCATCTCCTCATCCTCGAGGCCGTCCCGCACATCTGTCTGTCAGTCTGCGCCATGAGGGCCCTGCAGCCGGAAATGCAAGGGCGGGAGTCTCACAGGTTCAGCAGGCAGTGAAAGACAAACACGAGCCCTCCAAAGCTGACCTAGCCATGCAATCATCAGATGATAGCAACGACTCGGAAGAATCACCCGCGCCGAACCTGCAAAGGTGGTTCGACCGCTCAAACAGACGTCCAGAGACAGGGTTTCCCCAAACTTTGGAAGACAGTAAGTTGTTGCTTTGCGTGGCCGGCGATCCAAGCCATTAATTGTGTCTGGATAGATGATCCGCCCTTTTTCCTCCCGCGCTATGGCTCTGGTACCTCGAGTGCAGGCTCCGGATCGGGAGCCAAACGCTACCCCCCGCACCTCAATCCAGGGGGTTTACACGCACCGACCAATGGCAGTAGTGCGGACGATTATCGAAGCGTGATCGACGATCTTACCATTGAGAACAAAAAGTTGAAGGCCAGGCTACGGAAGTATGAAAAAGCACAAAATATACATTTAGCGAAAGATCGGCTCTTCGAGGTCAAGATACACTCCCTCTCAGCGCGGAAGCGAAGAGAACTGGAGGATTTGCTTCGAGAATTTGCCTCTAGCATTGATAGTTCTACGGAAGGAGCTTCGAGAATGCGCACCAGAGGAACATTGCCCTTTACTTCACTCACTCCTGCAATCAGCTCCCTGCTTAAGCATTCTTCTTCTTCTTCTACCTCGAATTCACGACCTATCGACTCGGCATATGCGTCCATGTCTAACTCGTGCCCCACTTCTACATCGACCTTAAATCACACGCTGGAAGGGAGACTCGTTTCACAACAACGCATTGGCAAGGAACAGAATATAAAATCATTCCTGCACAACATTCCCGAGGGATTGTTGCCCAAACACTCTCCCGTTATGACGGAGAGGCAAAAGAAGAAACTTGTCGTTCAAAGATTGGAGCAGCTCTTCACAGGTAACAGAGGAGCGAATATTGGGAACAGAAACCAACCGCTCCAGCAACAAGAAGTCTCCAAATCTGCAGCCAAGGCAGATCAATCAGCAGACTACGATCCCATGGCCCTAGAAGGTGTCCGGGAGGCACATATCGTGCCCTATAAAATGGATGTGAATGGTAGACCGGCAAAACTGTTTGACGATTCTAGCTATGAGAAGCAAGTTCTGGGATCTGGGTCATCTGAAGAATCCTCTCCAAGCCGTTCCCCAGAACAGAGACCGACGAGGCCATTGGACTTGGATCCTAACCGTGCGCAAAACCCATCGGAGAATGTTGAATACATTCGACATCTCGGCTTATCGACGCCACAACTAGCTTTTGATGAGTCTGCCGATGCACCTGATGCCGAAGGATGGATATATCTCAACCTTCTCATCAACATGGCCCAGTTGCACATCATAAATGTCACACCGGATTTCGTTCGAAAAGCTGTCTCAGATGTGAGCGCTAAATTTCAATTATCCCAAGACGGGAAGAAACTGAGATGGAGAGGAGGCTCAAGAGGGACTCAAATGAGTAGCGACAGTTGTGCTAGCAGTGACCGAAACAGCTCTCCTCATGACAACGACATCTTTGGTGAACATCAGAGAAAAAGGCGCAAGGTTGGGACGAGCAAGTTTACATCTGTCCCATGCAGCATGAACGAGGTGTCAGGTGACGTTTCTGGTCCATCCGATTCATTTCATTACAAGCCTCTTTTTCATCATGCAAGATCGTCTTCAGACGGATTTATATCCTCGGACGAAAGTGAGTCGTTGTTCGGTTATAAGGCCCCAAATGCAAGTGGCATTGGACGAAGCTCGAGGCCGAGCAAATTAAAGAGTGAGAGATCTGGGCCAAAAGGACGCATTCGAAATGACGAAGGGCCGATCGTTTTCTACAGTGGTACCAACTTCTGCACTGACCTTTCGGGCGATCGAGGAGATATCATGACACCACTCCATGTCTCCGGTGTTGGAAAAGATGGCTACAGCAATTATACCCAAACTGCTCTGGGATGTCAATCCAAAAGTAAAGCACCGCAAATTTTCCGAACAATCTCAGGCTCCCTGCTCTCCTTCAGGCCATTCCGAGATTATTCAAAGGGCCCAGCCTTTCTCCAAACGGAGGAAACTCGACCAAAAACTCCAGAGCTACTTGAAGATGACTCGGGGAACGATATTGACTTTGTGGAGGGCTCAGCAACTAGCTCCTGTCCACCCGCCCCTTTGCAGGATTTCGAAGCTAGTGGCTTGGGAGGAACTCGACCAGCAGATCATTTTACTATCAGAGTGCAAACTCGACGTACAAGAGCAGCCCACCATCTTCCAAAGAGGCCCAAGTTCTCCGTACCGGGTGCACGGTTCGGAAACTTAGGGCACAATATTTCCAAGAATTCACTGGACCTCTATCACGACTCTGAACTCGAGGAGGTTATTTCTGATCGACTGTCTTCTTTATTGAGCTTCTCCCCGACGCCGAATTCGACAGATGCTCCTCTTGTCAAAACCGACCTCATTTCTGCGCGCTTCGCTCGCCTTGCGCCTTCAGAGTTGCCAGCTCCCGCTGGCTACTTCGGGATGACTTCCAGTTCTGGGGCCGATTCTGATTCCAACACGAGTTGCGCAGGCATCTCTCATCTTCGGCGGGATAGAACATTTTTGCCGAAATCATTTGCCTCGTACAGCGACATGGACGATGTCATCGATGATTCTTCGGATGAAATAGACGAAGATGGCGATAGTGTCGACATGTTGGCGCATGCACGAGAGATCGATCCAAATGGTGTCGCAACCAGAGAGGAGGAATGCGACATGGAGTTAGATGAGGCGAGAGGACCTTCGAACGTGCCGGTTCGAAGCTCGGCTGCCACGGTGAACGATGAGACTGGGACATGCTCCTGCTCTAGTGATGATGGCGGTGACGATGATAATGATGATTGATTTGTTTGTCGGTTATGTGAGCATTGGAATTAGCGTGGCGTTCAGGAGCACATAGGGAAAGAGTCAACTCGAGTACTGTTGCGCATAGGTCACCCACCCTTTTTTGCATTGCGATCGGCGTTTAAAATTCGATACCCGATCGAACAGCTTGGTCCACCTGTGTGTACAATTGAATTCTGTAAATGACTCCAACTTGTTATAACTGATTTTAATTTCCCGTGACCCTGCACTTGTGAAATGGTATCCTGGAATATAATCATATTCAGACTCGGGGAGTCGATATCACGAATTTGTGTTTGAAGGGATGTGCGCGCCTGAGGCCGGAGAGAATCAGCTCAAGGAAATGATGTGCTGGTCTGGTTTGGGCGTGCTCCTGATCTCCGGATTGAATGAGAGCCAGATCACACTGAAGTGGTGAAAGAGCCCAATTTATAGTCCGGTGGTGAATGACAACATGGGATGAGAGTTAAAACAACATAAGAAAAGGGTGGGTATCAATGTTGAAAATTGGGAGAAAGTTGGGAGATCGCATGGAGAATACAGCGAGAGAGGATTCTGATACTTGTGAATAACCCCTTTTCTGCGAAGGAAGAGAACTTCCTGCGAGCTTCGTTGCTTCGCAATGCGCGAGTGACGAATGAATGAGAAGAAGGGAGCGAATGGAGGTTCAGGTGAAGTGTGGAGAAAATATATCTCGTCATCGGTAAATGCGGTGATCCAAACAGGCCAACTGCGCTCAACCCCACCACCGACTTACAGAGGCTCTGGTGTGGCCTTACCTACTGTAGCAAACTTGGCCCTGATTAATGCATGCAATGAATGGCCTCTTGTAGGGATTAAACTCTGAACGTGAGCTTTCATTTTGCCGATCTCAATATCTCACCCCACCCCCCCAGCGGAAGGACATCTCAAGTGAGCCATATTTCATGGCTCGCACCGCCTATGTTGGGACCATGACAGATCACATACAGTGTAACCTCAATATAAGGATACCCGAGATAAGGATATCCTCGTTTTTAAGGATACATCTGCTAGCCCCGCAGGGATTAATTTTGCTGTGTGCCACACCTCGTTGTAAGGATACCTCGCATTATCCTTAGTTTTTTGGGGCAATTTCGATATCCTTATATCGAGGTTACACTAGTAGTGCCTAGAGAAGATTGTAGCTCGATGCACAACGCTTCGCAGCATCTTCATTTCCATCGCTTCCCCATCCTGGCTGAGTGGTGAATTGCCGTGCCGTATCCTTGAAGCCGTATATCATGACCCCCCCCCAAACGCCGTTGACAGAGCCCACATACTTCCAGGAGGGCCCTTCTATCCAGATTCTCGTATACACCAGCACAGAACGTCTATGTCGTATCATTGTTCACTTCTTCGTCGTCCCTCGGAATTGCTCTTTCAACTCCTCCATATAATACCGTATAAATTTCTGCATATCCGTTCCAGCTGGCTCTGTATTCCCATCAGTTCTCGGTGCCCAGTCCATCCGTCCAGAAACCTACTGTCGATCTGCGTCCCTCCAAATTCCGAGGGATCATAGAGCTTCTCGCCTTGCCGGACTTCGTGCATCTTCTTGTGGACGCGACGGACAGCACGATGGAAAGTCGAACTCGCAAGAAGCTACAGATAGTCAGAAGTCCGCAGAGAGAAGGGTGATGTATGGGATATGGTTTTAGGAAGGAAAGAGCGCACTCTTTGGACTAGCCAAGCCTGAGAAAGATGTTAGCACGCGGACTCGGTTGGTTGTGCAATGCGTCCATACCTCAAATATCCATAGGTTCCACCGCATCTTCAAGGTGGTGTCAGCATAGCACTGTTGCTTTTCAATACGTCGACGACAAGGTGAATGTACAATTGCGGGATGGGGTTGCTGTGGAAGCGATTAGCTAAGAGAGTGCGATTAATAAAGCCTGGTCGTCTGCTCGGCTGCGGAGTTGAGAAGGCACACCCCTGTCTGGCCCCATCAGGGCTGCCTCTTCCGTCCAGTTTTATCCCAAAGACATCACCTATCTCCTCTTCCCATCTCTCTGTCGGCTTTGCAACTTCACACGCATTTGCATTCATTTTGAACCCCTTTGCCTTGCTTGCCCCCCTTTCTAAACCTCAGAGCATTCTTTCCTCGCTTTGTGCCCCACTTGTTCTTGTATGTTCATTGCTGCACGTGTTTTAGCTCCTGCGGTCTTCTGCACGATACAGTTCGCTGCGTGCTGATTGGAGAATCCCGAAGGCATTCTTGTCGAACAGGCCTTCACATCAAATTCTACTATCTGCTTTCTGAATTACTCAGCTTGACTGCAATCACGACTGCCAGCTCTCTGCTTCTCGTATCATCTGACCAAACTTCTTCGGCTTTCTTTCCGTGTCCACCACCAAGCAGAATTTGTACATAAGACTTCGGCGAGCGCCAACTCTTCCTGTACTCAAGTACCCCGGCTCCCGCTGCGAGAGTCGCGAGAACCATAAATCTGGATCGGTTACGGGCCTTCAAGAGGCGGCGGGAGTCTCCCACATCTTCCTCCGAGTCATTATCGGCAGACGAATCGAAGAAGCCAAGAGGCAGGTCACCCGGTTGGCTGAGCAAGATGCATCGCAATCGCTCTTCTTCAAAGCGCTCTTCCTCTCCTAATGTTGTCCCGGAGGACTCGTCTACTTTGCCTCAAATGGACGGATCGTGCCTTCGCAAGCCTGCAGCACCAGCAGCAGTGGAAGAGCCCAGGACTGAAGAAGCAAAGCCTCCCGAACTGCCTGCCTTCTTGATGCTCACTGATGCCGGTAAGTGTGTTCCTCACTCTGCTTAACGTACCTAATCAGGCAACAGATATGCGTGAGAAGTACAGTGAGCTCAATCGACTGGAGAGCGAGCGCGTCTCACTCTCCAAACAACAGGGCGGCGACGGCAGCGAGGGTGAGTGGGCAAGATTGGATCCAGATCCAGTCCTTGATCGATACAACAATATCCACCCGTGGGCCAACAACCGTATTAAGCTCCATGTTCCCGAAGGATTCAACGATTATATCAATGCCTCGCTAGTCACGTTAGTCTCCACCTCCGGGAAACAGAGTGCATTGAAATCCGGAGTACAGGACAAATACATTTGTATGCAAGGTCCTAAGAAGCAGACCGTCGATCACGTCTGGCACATGGTATGGCATGAGGCTGCTACACCATACAATTCTTCACCAGCAGTGATCCTCATGTTAAGTCCGACCCATGCACCAGCGTCAGATGACCCAACAAAGACATTTGAGAAATGTTTTCCGTACTACCCAGTAGACGAGAACTCGCCACCTCTCAAAATCAACGAGAAAAACGACCTCGGGGAAGACTTCAAGGCTGAAGTTCGGTTTATTTCCAGGGAGCCTAGCATAGAAGGCACAGCTATTGAAATTCGAAAGCTCGCCATGACAGTTGAGGGAAATGATGAAGAGAAGCCGATCTGGCACTACTTGTACCCAAATTGGCCCGATTTCGGTGCTCTGGAAGAAGAAAACGTAGCCAGTGTCCTGGGTCTAATGGATATCTCTCGAAAGCAGAACGGCCAGGGAGAGAACCCTCGTATCGTCCACTGCAGTGCTGGTGTTGGACGAACCGGTACTTTTATCGCTCTGGAATTTTTGATGGGAGAATTGCAAGGTGGTGCATGGGAAGGTTGGGACCAAGGCCCCATGGCTCATACCGATCCTATTTACGATACGGTCAATCAGCTTCGCACGCAGCGAAAGACCATGGTTCAAGCCTATGAGCAATATGCTTTCCTTTACGAGGTGTTACGGAAGATATGGGAGGAGAAGTACGGTACGGTATGTGGAGGAGGAGACTACACGCACCAGGAGAAGCAGACCCAAATCTGTGGGATTGACTCTCCTCAGAGGTAGTGGCTTGTGAATATCGTCTGCGGAGGAGCATTGCATGGAGTCGGGTTCGGTCAGACTACGTGTACTGATTCCCTTTCTTGTATCCATCATGTATTCGACCTGTATGCCTGGGAACTCATGAGTCTTGTTGGTCAATACGGAGAAGCGGCGCAAATAGATAGACCTTATCAGCAATGAAGTGCGACAACGGAATGCACACCAGACACAGTTGGCATTCTGTGTAACGTTTTCGCCAGGAGATACCTATTATTGGTTGGCTGAGCTTGCCTCGGGATGGCTTCTAGCGTCGCATTGAAAGAAGCAAGGGATGCAAACTTCTGAAGGATCACCCGAAGACAAAGCCCGCCACCTCGTGGGACTGTGCATCGGGTTGCACGACAGAAGGGAGGGGCCGTGAGACTGCAGGTGAAGCTATTGTAACAACACTCTGGGTCAAACCTACCTTGAACCTGGTTCCACCCCATCCTTGCAGCCCGGACACTCTGAATAGCTTCTTCGTAATCTTTCCAATTTACATGTTCTTGTATTAGAGCAGCTTAGCCTTCCCCACAAGCTACAGTACTAGCCTCGAACTTCTTCTAGTAAAAGTCGCCCAACGGGCTCTTGCTACCCACAGATCTGGCACATTTTGGCGTTCTGTTTATTGCTGAAGCTTGCTTTTGGCCAAATTCGGGACGGGCTATGGCCCGTGGCTGCATAACGAGTAAGGGCATGCGCCGCGGCCCCGCCTTTCCTTTTTTTTCTGTGCGCTCGTGCAGGTTGAGCACCTTGCTAAGAGGACAGGACAAGTCTTGCCTTGAGCGGGGAGAGTAAATAAATAATCAAGTAGTCTTACATCGCCTCCGCCAGTCCGTTTACGCTCCACCGTGCATCCTCTCTTTCTACGTGCCTTGCTGTGATCAATTAAGTTCACTAGAACTTACATAACAACAAGAGATCACAATTATGGCTTCCAAACCAGATTTCATCATTGTACCTGGGGCATGGCATAGTCCCGAGTCATTCAAGCCCACCTCCGACCTCCTCGAGAAAGCCGGCTACACAATCCATGGTGTCACTCACGCATCTTTTGGAGCCTCACCGCCGCTCCAAAACTTCGATCCCGATGTACAAGTCATTCGCGATGTCGTCAACAAGGTGCTTTCCTCCGGCAAAGACGTTGTCATGGTCTACCACTCCTATGGCAGTGTCCCAGGCTCCGAAGCCCTCGTCGAATACATGAAAGACCTTGAGACTGGAAACAAGAAGGATGGATGGGGCAAGATCCAGAGATTGGTGTTCTGCTGCTCCTTCATCTTGCCAGAGGGAGGAAGCTTGATGTCTCGTCTGCAGTTCAAAGATCTGCCTTGGTTCATCGTTAACGTCTGTCCTCCACAGCCTCCCCCAACCACCCTTCAGGAAATCTGCCTTTACTGACAAGCTTGGAAACCAGGGAGATGAAATCCTCCCAGACACACCTGGGGAAATCTTCTACAACGATCTCTCAGCCTCAGCAGCAGCACCCTATATAGCAGCTCTTAAACCGCATTCTTACAAAACATTCTCGTCTCAGCCATCCGTCGCACCGTGGAAAGTTATTCCGAGCACGTACATCGTGTGCGAGAACGACCTGGCGATTCCGCTCCCAGCACAGGAGGGTATGTTGGAGATGGCGCACCAGATGGCGCCGACGTCATTCGATGTGATTGAGCGCTGCAGCGCTAGTCACAGCCCGTTCATCAGCCAGCCCGAGTGGCTTTCCGAGAAATTGATTAAGGCTGCTGGTGGTGGGGGTTGAGCTGTTTGCTCTCCTGCCGTGTACTGAGTTTGTGATTGGGTGGCTACGAATACCTTTTGGTGTTTTGAAAAGCAAATACTGTATCACACGATCGAGATGAGGTTTTTTCAGCTAGGCGTTATTGCGTTTTGACATTCAACTCATTACTACATCGTGATATGTTACATTTCAATCCGAACTCCAAAAACAGAATTTCCGCTCCCCTTGCCCCTTCTCATTTATGCCATTCCGTTGATGTAGTCCCGATTCTCGATCGTTACCGATTTGGTCATGTGATTGACCTTGTACACTCCGACAAGTCTCGAAGCAAGTTCAAACATGTTGTTTCTCAGGGAGATAACAATGAATTGAGCGTTCTTCGTCCTCTCCTTGATGTAACTCGCAACAATCGAAACCTATCTATGTCAGTGGGTCTCTCAGCAAAAGGTAAGAGGCGTGCTTACATTTCTAAAATCCAATGCCGCATCAATCTCGTCCATCACATAAAGTGGAGTAGGTTTGTAGTGATGTAAGGCAAAAACTAGTGCCAGACTACTCAATGTCTTCTCACCACCAGACAAGTTGGAAATGTTCTTCCAAGACTTCTTCGGCGGCATGACACTGAACAGGATCCCTTCTGAGAAAGGATCCAAGGAGTCTACTAGCTCAAGTTCGGCGTTTCCTCCCATAGTGATCATTTGATACATCTCCTTCAAGCGGAGAGAAATTGTGCTGAAGCCTTCCATGAAACCTTCCAGGCGGAGGCGGCGCAGGTCGTCGCATCGTTTCTTTGCTGAGTCACGCTGGGCAACAGCGCTCTGAAGATCCGCCTTTCTGGCAGCGTGCTCCTCAACTCGTCGACGGTATTCGGCAAGAACACCAAGCTCAACATTAATGTTCTGAGTCTTTTCTTCCAGAGCAGCAATTTCACTCTTCAATGTGTCTTTGCTCATATCTGTCAGTTCATCCTTGGTGTAACTTGGAAGCTCTTGTGCCTCAATCTCTTCCCCAAGATCACTGATGTTTTGGAGAGCAAGTTTGCCGAGCTTCTCATTCCAGTACCTGAGGCGTTTCTGATTCTCTGCAAGAACCTTTTGGTTTTCTTCGAGCTTGTTTTTCATCTCGATCTCGATCGCACGAATCTCATTGAGCACTGTAGTCTTTTCGTCCAATTCGGCCTTGAGCGCATTGAGGTCTTTCTTCTTTGCCTTCAATGCCTCTTGTGCTTCGTCCACCTTGGCTTGGTACCCCTCCGCATTAGAGCTTTGGTTTTTGATGTCTTCCTCCAACGACTCGAGATCTGAAATAGCGGCTTGCAGTTCTTTCGTAGCCTTCGCGTGATCTTTCTCATGCTTCGTCTTCTGCTTCTCAGCCTTTGCTCGTGTCACTTCTGCAGTAGACACAGTCTCGTTGAGATTGTCGATCTCTTCTTTAAGGGCATCGACCGTCAATTTCTGGGCGCGGAGCTTCTCTCCACCGACTTCCATAATCTTATCTTGCAGCGCTTTGATCTCTTGCTCGACACTGGCAGTTTCACCATGGAGTTTCTCGATTTCTTTATTGAGCTTCGCGATTTCCTTCTCCAGAGAAGCCACACGGCTGTCATCGGTCTTCGATGGTTGATGCTCCTTGCTCAATTCCTTGATTCTTCGCTGAGCATCAGCCAAGTTCCGCGCAGAGCTCTCGACTTCGAGGCCGATTTTTTGCATTTTCGTATCGAGCTTGGGGATTTGGTCGTTAAGATCTCTGAGGGACGACTCAAGCTCTCGTTGACGCTCTTGGAATTTCTGGAAATCCTGCTCTAGTGCATCACGGTCGACCTCCAGTTTAGCAACTTGATCTTTCGACACCTCAGCAACGAGTTTGGCAGACATCAGGCCCTTCTTCACAGTATTACCACCTCCAGACATGGTACCCGACTTATCAATCAGCTGGCCGTCGAGCGTCACTACTCGCCACCTTTTAGCACCGTAGGCGATTCGGTTTGCTTGGGCAAGATCCGTTGCCACGAGAGTGTTCTGAAGTGAGTGATAGAATGCAGGTCGAAATCTCTCATCCGTCGCTTTGATGAGATCAAATAAGCGAGGCACATTTTCAGGAGTCTCAATCGGAGAGAGATCTTTGCTTCCGAGCTTGTCGAGACACATAAAGTTTCCTCTTCCCAGGTTCGTCTTCCTCAGATACTCGATACACTGCTGCCCGCCTTCGACAGTGTCGGTCACGAAGTTGTCAAGCGCACCACAAGCTGTTGAGATTGCAACGTCGTAATTCTGATCAATTGTTCCGAGGTTCCCAAGTCGGCCGTGAAATCCGTCAATTCGTCCAGACTCTTTTAGTCGCATCAGTCCGGTGAGTACGTTTCCCTGCGCCTGTGTATTTGAGAGACTGGCGCGAGCCTCATCGGCTTTCTGTCGAGCTCCGGAAAGCTTAGAACGAAGTTCAGGTTCCTTCTGGGACAGCTTTTGGAGTTCGGATTCAACTCGAGCAGCATCTTTTTCCAACTTAGCCCTTTCCGACTTGCACTGTTCGAGCTCAGCCAGCTTTGCTTCACGGCCCTCTTCAATGCTAGCCGCCTTTGCCTGCATTTCTTCCAGTGCCACAGCGCCAGCATTGGCTTTTTCATGGAGAATCGCAAGCTCGCTCTCTGCAACGGCGATAGATGATTGCTTCTTGTTGATCTTCTCATTCCAAGGCTCCAATGATTTCTGCTTTGCCGCAATTTGGTCAGAGAATGCTTGAGTCTTGCCTTTGAGGCTTTCCCGAATTGTTATAAGCTCTTTCTCCTCGGCCTTCATTCGTTTCTCCATGGCAGCAATCTCTCCTGCGGATCGCTCAATATTTGCAGTGCAATTCTCGATTGTAGACTGAGCGTCAGTTGCAGCAGTTTCAGAGGTACTGATGGTCTTCTCAAGCTTCTTTTGCTTGCCCGTAAGAAACTTTCTCTTTTCCTCGAATTTGACATGTTCCTGGTCAAATTTTGCCATCTCTTTGATGATTGATTGGGTGTCTTTATCCAGAGATTCGTACTCCTTCTGACCTTTCTTGTATTGCTTCTCGAGCTGCTTGATCCCATTTTCGTTTCCTTGGTGCTTTTCCAGTTCCGCATCGAGCTGTGCTTTCATCTGACCGATTGCCTCTTCAGTGACCGTGATGTTATCCCCACACTCGTCAATATAGAGTTGGTACAAGGCGGATTGCTTCATCGTCAACTCATTTTCGTCTTTGATGTAAGCCAGAGCCTTGTTCTTCTTATCCTCGAGGCCATTCTTCTCCTTTTCGACATGCTGAACGCGGCCACTCTTCTCAACACAGACTTCGTTGAGGGTCTCCACCTCCGCCGCCGATTCTTCAATCGGCGTCTTGTACTTCGATGTGCCAATGATGTCCTCTAAGTACTCAAGAAGACCATCATCATGCTCGTTTGCAGCTTTCGGCTTCATCTGAGCAATAGACTCGACTTCACCCTGAAGAATCAGAAAACGTTTGTGGTCGAGATCAACCCCTCTGTCTCGAAGCAATGTAGTGACGACAGTAAAGTTTGATTCTTTGCCATTCATGTAGTACTTGCTGGAATTGTTCTTGAAGGCGCGTCGAGATATCACAAGATCTGAATTTGGAATCACCAATGGAGTGCCATTGGCCTGCACAAAATTAGCTACGATGGTACTAACGTTCGGTCATTGAGCAACTAACCTGATCCATGACTTCCTGAAAATGGACTGCTACTTCACAAAAATCCAGGTCGGGGAATGCTGCAGAATTATGAATCAGGGCTGATATCTTTCCCTGCCTCATCTTACTAGCCCTGAAGCCGAATACGAAGAGAAGGGAGTCAATGACATTCGATTTTCCAGATCCATTAGGCCCTACAACCGAAGAGAATGATGCATGGAATGGGCCAACTTCTTGGCGACCAGCGTAGCTCTTAAAGTTCGTCAGAATCAAGTAAGTGATGACAATTCGAGCTTTGGGGCCGGTATCTTCAGTCACAGGAACAGCCATTGATCTCGACTTCAGTACGATATCCATGGGCCTCTCTAAAATGGTATCCATAGCATTTATTGGCTTCACCACCGAGTTCTGGCTGTCTGCAGTCCGCGGTCGATCATTGAGAGATTCTGTGATGTCTGCAAGAGGAATCCCGTGGAATTGGGAGGGCTCAGGAGATGCCGAGGCCTCTGGAGTAGGCAAAGAAGGCGGGAGCTCGGGTGTTGTAGAAGCACGAGGTCCTCGAACAGGAGCGCTCTTCCGTTTCCGTGGTGAAGCTTTCTTTGATGGAGATTCTGGCTCGGGAATGGCAGATTGCTCCGGATCAAATATCTCAGAGGGCTCGATCTTCTCATTTGCAAGACTCTTCTTTCCCCGGCCACCTGTTCGAGGAGTATTTGCAATAGGATTTGTAGTTTTCCGCCTCGATTGGGGTGCCTTTCGAGGACTTCGTTGTTTTGGCGCGGGTGTGAAATCTTCCTCGCTGTCTACCTCCATCTTGGATTGCATTTGTTCGTCCTCCTCATCAGACTCAACTACCACCTTCCTACGTGCAGCAGCACGTCTTGAAGGTCTAACGGGTGATTCCGACATCTTTGGGGGTTTGGCGAACCGTGGATGCTGTGGTTATTCGTTATGCTCCGAGACGCGCCGTTCGGGGCTGAAATTGACCGGAGTGCGGTCTCAAAGTTACCGTGAAGTTAATGTATTGTGGGAAATTGTTGAATGACGCGTTAAACAGTCACTGAAATCCGTGCTGGCTGGGTGTCGATGCGGTGAAGTTGTAGTGGCTAGAGTAAACAGTGTCTCGGCGGTCGTCGCCAATGTAAACAGAGAGTCGCGCTAAGATAAGCAGCTGATAAGAAAGGCTTCCTTGACCTCACCTCTTCAACCATCTCTACGCCAACAACAACACGACGAAGGGAAGATCACGATGATGTTCAACTATCAGAACTTCGATGAGATCTTTGGCTTTGATCCAGACTGCTCGTATGATGACGACGCAGTAGCAGAGATCGAGGCGAACCGGAAGCATCTCGAGGGCTTGTTCATTGAGAAGGTCATGAAGCTTCTAGGAATTAAGAGACGTGAGTTGTCGTTATTGACGACTTGTAAAACTCCTTGTTGACACGAGATTCAGCTGCAAAGTACTATCCTCCGAAGTCCAATGGCGATCTCAGAAACCTCCATAAAACTATCGTCGAAACCGGCGGAGCGGACCACCACAAGATTTCCGTCCTCTATTACATTCTGCTCGAGTTCGACTTCGCGACAGGAAGGAGAGAGTACTCAACTACCTTGGAAGAGAATGCCTTCCTGCCACAAAAATACCAGATCTACATGAAGGGACTGTGGCACTTGGACCGACAAGAATTCGAAGTCAGTTCCCCTCTGCATGACCACAGATCATAGCTAATGTCGCATAGCTGGCTCTTCAATATTTGACGCACCCATCCCTTATTCCCACCTTCGCAGATGAAATCTTAGAGGTCCTCGTCCGGCGTGCAAGTCAAAACTTGACTCTTGCTCTGTCCTACTACCATACTGTCCAGCCCACCCTAACTAGCCGAGGCGCCATTGAGTGCCTCTTCTCCGCGATAGCAAGGACTAGTGTTACGGAAGCATTCTATTTCTGCAGAGGCCAGCCGGAATATATGCAGCGACATATGTTCCAGATGCTTATTGCGCTTGTCCTCAATAATTCTTCCCCAGACTCTGTCGCGGACCGAAGTGTCGAGCTCGTGAACTTGCCATTCACCCCTGAAGAGGAAGCCTGGTTCGAGGACTATCTGTTGCACGGGGACGGGCGAGCTCTCAAGAAGGGCAGGGATACATTGATGATGCGAATGATTGGGACCGGCAATTTCACGGACTCGTTATCGCTGAAGAGCATCCATAACCGTCCAATTGTTGGATTAGACTGGGGCAAGCTTTCGGGGGCGGTCGAAGGCGGATTGGGACCTCGATTAGAATCATGAACGAGATGTGATAATTGCCATATATATATTTCCTGTACATTAGCAGATGGCGTTTGACGCGTGGTTGGGGTGCTGGCTTAACTGGCGGTACTGTCTGCTCCTCAACGTGACGGCGCCATATCATCGGGGCTGAGGTGACCTCACGAAGCAAAATGTTCTACATCTCAAGCTAGCCATAAAAGTTAGCCGGAGTTTGATAGCTACTGTGGGATACCAGCGTTGCTGTGATAAGTCTTACAAGGCAAACCATTCCCATTTACTTCTCTCTATGATGTCTATCTCTACTCGCTTTTCGGACCTCAAATTCAAGTAATCTACGCTACCCCTTTCATCTTGCCTAGCCACAGTTTGGATGCAAATGTCAAAAGTACGCTCCATTATCCTTTGCTCGATTCCGAGAATCCAACTTGATGTTCTGCGAGATCCTCTGCATTGTCCCGTTCTATGTTGGAACATTCTATCCAACAATAACAGGAAAGTGTCCCAGCGGGAGTAAATTAGTAATAAGAACTTATTTCTATAAAATTTGCGGAAAATAGAGGCCCCAATTTGGCTGACGGAACAACCCAGGCGGTGACTGGAAAAACTCAGGAAGCATTCCACCCCCCGCAACACTCTGGCCACAAAATACAGCAAACTTGCACAAAATACGAAAGGTAGGAGAAATCAGCAGAATAGCACATAGATCGGAATAGCTTTGAACACCAAACGAGACAATGACTTATTCTCACCCATGTGCAAGATCACTACGAGCTGCCTTTCAATGTACTCAGCCTCCCTTCTAATATTAAGGAACGATAGATGAATATCGAAATTTAAGATGTTTCTACTCCACTCCAGCAAGACAAGGCCTTTGCCAAATCCGCCAGCTTTATTCTTTTCATCAATCTTGTCTACTGTGAGGTTCCCGAAAATTTCCGGGTGCAGAATGCTCAGTTCTTCAAGGCCCTCAGGGGTAAGAAACAAGATAGGCAGGCAGCTTTCCGGCAGAAAACTGCATTTGCATCTCGATTGCCGAAAGCAAGACCTCCAATCTCGATGAAGAAACCTTGCTTTAATGACCACTGTCATCCATGTCAACAACCTGTGTTACAAACGGCCACAGATTGTCCCAGGAGACTTGGGACATTGAGTAAGAATTGTCTCGGGAAATTTGGGACATCGAAGCTTGAACTACCTCTAATTTCCCGTTCTTGCTGTTGCTGTCCAAATCTGGCTCCAGGTCGCCAATTTCATCTTCGATCCCAGAATCCTTCTGCCGAGTTTTACTTTCAGCCTCATTCTATTCGGGCACAGAGGCAAGCTCCTTTTGATATCCATGAGATCGCACAGCATTTGAAATCGCCTGCTTGATGCGATATGGTTCATCCTATTCTCCGGTGGCAGAACTAGCGGCGTTGTACTTCGTAACGGAAGTTACTGGACTCTCTTGCCTGACAGCAGCCCGCCTCCTCCCCTTCGCTCCTTCCTCAGATTCTTCGATACCACCCTCGCCGTCTCTCTCGCTCATACTGACTGATACCAAGCCGTAAAAGGGCCATCTCTGGGGCTAAGAACCCGATCACAAGCCACTTCCCCTTCTTTAACAGTTGTCGAAATTTGCCATTATGTTCAGGTACATTGAAATGAATAACAGTCTAAATACATAGCGAATTGTTAATTAAGCAAGATGAAAGAATCCCAAATGTTTCTCGAGTCGTTGGTTCAGGCTGCCACCTGACCGTGTCCTTGGCCATGTTATTCCCAGAGATCTCGAACTCCGTGATATCAAGGCGCTGGTGGACAAAGGGAATTTGTATCAACTTGGGTCCCTGGGAGGCGTTTCGATGAGGGAAAATAAAGGTAAGGATAAAATATGGAGGCGCCTGATGGCCAAGAGATGAAGTACGCGCAGGCTGGATGAGGCTGTGCTGTGGAAAACACCTCTTCTCAAGTCGGTCGTCAACATTTTGTGATTGGAGAAGTCTCAGCCGCACATTGAGTCTGTTGACTAACTTGGAACACATCTCAATACATTTACTATTGTTTTGAAGAAGTAATCCTTAGGCTCGACTTCTAAGCTTTATATTGTACAAAGGGCTACTTGATCAATGTTTCATACAAACCTCACGCTGCTTTGCAAGCGCCACCAACTTTGGGAAAACCTGTCAAATTTATTAGCAATTGCATGTTGATCGAAGAGAAAGATACATACCGGAGTCCCAAAACCAGTTACAGGATCCCATCCCTTAGTAACTGGGAATGCAGCCGTCCCACAATTCGAAGTGTATCCGCTGATGACATCTGTAAATCCTTTATATCCCTTGTAATACAACCAAGGGTTCAGAGGGCCAAGAGGAGGCCTGCCACAGGAAATCAACTCATCGTTGACGAGCGAGATGATGCTAGCAGCCAAAGGTGTCGATGCAGATGTCCCGGAGATGGACGAGAAAGCGTGGTTCCAGGCAAAAGCAAAGTAGAGCCCTTGAGCGGAAATATCGGAATACCCTCTTCCATCTGCGCTTCTGTCAGCAATAGTATCAAGAGGGAAACCATTGTACTTACTCTTGTTATATAAACCAGCATATAACCCCTTCAAGTTCTCAACGTACTTACCAACAACACCGTCTTGATACCAAGGCCGTTCAAAATAATAACTGAACCCACTTCCGCTTGCATAATAGCCGTAATTGTTCCCATCTGATCCAATTCCGTCTGGGATTTCGGGCAAGAAAGTTGAGTTGTTCTTGCCATTATTAGTTACGCAAGCTCCAAGATCTTCGTCGCCCAATCCACCATCACCGCTGCTGACCAGAAGAGCGGATCCGCGAGCACCTAGTTGAGCAAACGACTGGCAAACTCGCTGAGCATAAGATATTGGAACGGTCTGCTCGTCATCTCCGTAAGATTGCTGATAACCTGAGGAAGAACGCTCCGGCCGAGAATATAGTTTATGTAAACTAAGTAGGGCTCATTCGTGTCTGATGTTGTTTCTGAGACTGGGATGTATTGAAGCGAGCCGCCAGTAGAGTAAGAATATACTGGTGCTGGGTAAACCATTCCGAGGATCGTCTGCGCGTCGAGATTGGCTTCCTTGCCGATATCATCGGCAAGTTATTCAGTTGTCAAATTTGCATATGATGTTGATGGCCCACCAGCAATTTCACAGATTTGAAGGTATAAGCCTCTCCAGTGGCCTCCGGTCGATATTTTTCCAAGAACAGGCGAATGTCTGGGCGAATAGGCATTTCGTTGAGGAAGTTGTTGAAACCAATCTTGTTAATACCTAAGAATTTAGGTACATAATCGATTGTTCCATATAAAGTTCTGAAGCACTCTATCTTCACTGGGAAGAACTGACAAACTTTGGAAATCGTCTCGTTGGTTGGAGGCTTGTATCCGGGTGGTATCCATGGTGATGCAAACTGCTTGTAGTCCGTGCTCTGCGCCGGAGTGCACATGAATGCGGTGGTCGGCTGAATTGTATCGATGCGATCATGCAAATGAAGGGGCAGTGACCATTCAGGCGTTCGTATAAGTGTTGCGCCGTCCTCGTGCTCAAACACAGAGTATTCGGTATCGAGCAGACGCTCAGCAGATTCGACATCGACGTAGATATTGACCCAATCCTTTGCCGGAGAATGATCGAAAACGCTGGCTCCATTGGCAAACAGCCATTCGTGCACGAGATCGAGAGTCTCATCTGAGGGCTTGACCAGCTCATTGACTTCCTCGAAGCTGAGATGCTGGCCGTAACGGCTATTCTCTGGTGTTGAGACTGCAAACAGAAGAGTCAGCTTGAAATTTCCTACAGATTCACGGAGAGAATAATACCCTCATACAAATGATGCTCTAGCTCGTCAAAGTTGCTTTGCTTCGATCCAATCTGTAGATGGAGCATATGGCTCCTGTCTGCTCGTCCAATTTGGGTCCAATTTTTTTTGGGGTACAACATGAGCCTTTTTCACAGAATACGGCGTTCGAGTGTAAATTGGTGTCCCAAAGGTAGCTTGAGCCCCAAATATAATGACCAAGTAGATTGAGAGGCTCAGCATCTTGATTTCTAGTCAAGCGACCATAAAACGAGTGACACAAGAATTGAGAGCACAAAAGAGCTCACAAGCTTGATGGAGGGGCCGCATCGAGCTTTATATTGAAAGACCCATGCACTAACATCTTCCCCGCCGAGCAGCTTCCAAGTTGACGATTGACGGTGCCTGTCCCCTTCTTAGTGCAGAGCCAATCAAATTGCCTCATGAAGCAAGCTCCCATGATATTTAGCTTTTCTTAATTAAAGACAGGAAGCTTCAATCCACTTGACAGAAGTCTAAGGGGCCTTCCCGAAGCACTGTTGGTCGATCACAGCTGCTTGCCTCGCTTTGGCAGCCGATTTATGTTGAGATTTGAGATTGAGTACTCGGAAAAATGAGAAGAAATTATTCATGGTGTCGGTCTAGGAGGCCTTGTAAGAAAAAAAAATGAAGCCAACAAAGAGAATGAACTTAGGTGCAAGTCGTTAGCGTGCAGTGTGCACAGCGTCCTGAAAGGCTGAAACACGTCGAAGCCATCGATAGGACATTGTAAGAGCCCGAGCCCGAGCCGAGTGTAATGTTAAAAACTTCAAACCAGCCCGGTACATTTGGTACCACCTGCCATGTTCATCCAACTCCAAAGAGCGGCGTCGGTTCCTATCACGGGTCGACCGGCTGACTGGGGGTCAAAATAACAAGCACATTGGCAAGGAATCCTGGTCGAACAACTTCGGGACTCGGAAGGAAGGAAGGAAAAGATTCGCATTTAAAGATCGGATGAGCGAGATGTTTTTTCGTCGTCATGGCGGCACCACAATGTGATTCACCGACTGCAGAGTCATAATAGCATGTGAACAGAACGATGACGCTGTTGTTTCGGAGGTAGAGAGTTGCTTTGAAAGACCTTCAATTTTACTTCAGCACCGAAGAACGAGGAAACGAATGCCGTGGTATCTAAATCGCCGTCCCAATGCCTGTATCCTTTTACTGTAACTCCCGCTCAATCAACAGCCAAAGTACACAAAAATCATTCAATCCTACATCTTTGGCGCAGAGGCGCCAGCGACTATGCCTTCCTCAGATGCTCCAACGGTATTTCTATTATGCTCGGTATGACGGTGGAGGAGACAAACTTGGCGAGCGCTCTCTCCTAGGAGTCGCAAACCTCACACGAGGACTAGCTGATACCGCTCTTCCGTCGCCACGGCCTCGTGATGATTCACCGCGTTGATATGGTGTTTGTAAACGCGCGCCAGGATCAGGTGCCTGTGACTGCTGCCAGTGACTGGGCCAGCCTGTGGGAGGGAAGTTCGGATCCTGCGGCGGCGGTTGCTGTTGTTGAAGGGCAGGCTCGTCCGTCCAGCCATATTTTATATCTTGTGGCTGTTGCGGGCTCGCTGTTGGGACAGCGTTGTAAGGTGGAGGAGCTTGCATCGCCGGTTGTGCCGTCGCAGGAGGGGGAGGAGGTCGCATTGACTGCTGTGCCATCAAAGGTGGAGGAGCCTGCTGTGGCGCCTGTGGCCTCATTGCTGGCCTCGCTGGTCTCGGTCTTGGACTCTCGTGCTTGTATTCGTGTTTGCCATCGTAAGAATGCCTCCGTTCCCGAGAATGCCTTCTCCGACTTTGTGAACCATGACCATGGCGGGGGTGGCGCCTTCGATATTCCTCTTCCTCGAGAATAGCTTCTTCCTCTTCGACTCGCGCCCTGTCTTTCTTGTTCTGCTGGTGTTTGTGGATGAGGTAGCCGGCGGCAACAATTTCGAGGCCACCGAGGATGACCATCTTGATGAGTTATTCGACTCGAGTTGTCGTCAATTAAAAAGTAGATGGAAGTTGACTGCGCTATGGAGGAAGCTGCGGTGTAGCCTTGTGTGGAGAAAATTGTCAGATGGCTGGGAGAGGCAGCTGTTAAAGTACTGTCAGATATGAGGCTTAGCTGCACTCACCTGAGGACGAGAGGCGGCAAAATATATGCAGACTTCGGGGATTCCGGAGCGCGCTCGCGTCTGATTCGACTGACGTCGTTGCTGACAAGGATCTTGACCTTATGCCAAGCAGCCAATCGCCGCCCAGGAACCAACTTGAAGTGACAATTCTGGGGGCCTGGTATTTTCGGTTCTTCTTGAACCTATCGAAAGTCAAAAGGTGTCCTGGCTTAATACACTGTAATTTTTTCGATGTACTTTCGTACTATGAAGCACAACGTTCAGAAAGTGTCGTGGCTCGTGAACCCCTGAGCCGAAGCTGAGCCTAAATTAATTAAGCGAGCAAGCACCCATCCGCGCTCGGAGCGATCTAATCATGATCACAAATTTTGTGTGCTCTCTGAATACATCTTTCAATTTCTAACACCCTGCTCACAAATCTAGGTAGAGGCAAGTGCTTCACCTCTGAGGAAGAGTCAAGCTGCTTGAGGTCAGCGATCGGGGAGAGAGCGGTCTTCGGAGTGAAAGGAGGGGTAATTTCGCGATGGCGGATGCAGCAAATGATATGGAGGAGCATGGAATGGTGCGGACCTTGAAGGATCTTTTTGCTGGTGCTGCGGGTGGTATTGCTCAAGTGCTTCTGGGTGAGTTTTTGTCTCCATCTCTCTACCAACCCCCAAGTCGCTTTGCTTCAATTGCTCGATTTGGCATCGCATGCCTTCAGAAGCGGGGAGGCATCACAGAGTTCTTAGGCTGCCGTTAGCTTTCCCCTCGTCGAATTGTTGGGTTGTTCATTCACAGGCTCCCTTATTTCTCATTGGGGGCAGAAGGAGGAGGAGGATGAGAGGAAGGTGCACATTGATGGCTCTCAGCCAGCCACAACATCCAGCCAAGCTGACACGCATCTGCAGGCCAGCCATTCGATATCGTAAAAGTGAGACTTCAGACAACAACCCAATACGGCAACGCCCTAGAGGCCGCCAAAACCATCTACCAAAAAGAAGGACCCCTTGCTTTTTACAAAGGCACCCTAACCCCCCTCATCGGAATCGGCGCCTGCGTCTCCGTACAATTTGGAGCCTTCCACGAGGCTCGGAGACGCCTGGAAGCTTACAACGCATCCAAAACGCCTCTCAACCCAGGCCTCTCATACGCCCAATACTATGCCGCTGGAGCTTTTGCCGGAATTGCGAATTCCGTGATCTCGGGTCCTATTGAGCATGTCAGAATTAGGCTGCAGACGCAACCACATGGCGCTGCGAGACTGTACAGCGGACCCTTGGACTGTGTAAAAAAGCTCTCAGCTCACGAAGGTGTTTTGAAAGGTCTTTACCGCGGTGAAGCAGTGACCGTCTTACGAGAAGCGCAAGCATATGGAGTGTGGTTCCTCGCATTCGAATATATGATGAATGCAGACGCAGCACGAAATAAGATCGACCGGAAGCAAATCCCCAGTTACAAGATTGCTTTCTACGGAGGTTTAGCTGGCGAGGCGCTGTGGTTGGCAAGCTATCCGTTTGATGTGGTGAAGAGCAAGATGCAGAGTGATGGCTTTGGAGAGAATCAGAAGTTCAAGGGGATGAACGATTGTTTTAGGCAGACTTTCAAGGCCGAAGGGTTGAGGGGGTTCTGGAAGGGGATTGGTCCAACGTTGTTGAGAGCTATGCCTGTCAGTGCTGGAACTTTTGCCGTAGTTGAGATGACTATGAGAGTAATAAGCTAGAAGGAGACTGCGGGAGGGTAATTTTAGACAAGTTCGCAAGATGACAAAAGAGACTTTCACTTTGTGGCGATATGGTACTTGTGAACGGGCGTGAGGCCCTTCAGTGATTGTGATCTTGTTTAAATCGTCTACCGACGTTGGGCTTACTTGATACAAGAATCCGAATGATGCCTGGTGTTCACTAGATGATAAAAGACAACACTGGACTAGTGGCCCCTTTCGGGCATGATAAGTCTACAACGAGAAGTGGCTCCGGCCTTCAAAGCATATTTCAATACTGCTGAGTCTCAAGACGTTTTGCCAATATCGATCGAGCATCGAAGTTTGTCAAATGTGTCATGCCCAAGGTCTCTAGCGCTAGTTTCGCTTGCGCACCGCCAGCATATATTTTCTGGCAGGCTTCCATCAAGGGCATCCGGCCCTCTTCAGCCTCGACAGGCAAGTTCAGCAATGCAGCTGCTTCCTTTAATCTTGGCATGCCCAAAGGGGGCCCACTACCCCGTGGCATACAAGAGTCGACGACGTCTTGGATGGCAGTGACATCCTGCATAAAGCGGGCGGCTCCCAGTGTGCTGAAGTCTTGCCGAAGTAAGACATCATTATATAGCAAATGTTCAAGACTTTCGAGTGATTCACGACAAATGCGCTTGAATGGAGCGTTGCCTAGTGTTTTGTGGAGAAAGTTCAAGTTACGTTGGAATATCTGCTGAAATTTAGTACTGAGCTGATGGGTGGACCAAGGGACATCACACGTACCTGAAGCGGCTGGTCGAGCTCTGGCGTAACTGTAATGAGAGAAAGGCCTGTTACGAGTTAGCTGCCAGCATTGGATGCAAATGGATAACTTACTAGACAAAGGTGCATCATCAATTGTCTGCCACTCAGGCTTGGAGAGATATTGGGAGAGATTGGCCGGAAACTTATACTTGAGGGCACCCGTAATGAGTTTCTCGGCTTTATTTCTGAGGTTCTGAAAGTCGTTGATGGCAACATCGAAGACCGACCCCTCATCTTGAGAGCCAACAGCTTCTGACGTGCAATCCTTGACCTCTGTGTAGGTCATATTGCCAACGAGATTATCTTCGACGGGAGTGACTTTTGCTCTGTCTTGCAGATGGTCCCAAAGGTCCACGAAAAACTGCAGGAGTCGACGTTAATCTCAATAGGAAAGAAAATATGCTGATCTTGAAGGGAGAAAATCGCTTCTGCTCAACTTACCTCTTCGTTGCCCCACTCATTCAACGTATTAATAAGGTGCTCCGCGCTGCCAAAGACCTTACAGAGACTTTCCAAACCTCCAATGCCCTCGAGTGCAGCTAGTTGCTCTTTTGTAACGCCATGTAGTGTTCGACCTACTGTAGAGGTCACAGTTTGGTAGACATCAAGCGAGTCTCCCAGGCGACCCAGATATTGGTCCAGAATTTCAGCTTGAATGCTGACTAGAAACCGAAATTTGTGGGAGAACCTTCTCAGCTTATTGTATTGAAGGGTCACGGTCAGAATAAGATCCGTGACCTTTGTTGCTCCGTACGTAGGCTTTGTCTTGCCAGCTGCAGAGCTATCGTAGTCAATCAGTCCACTATCCGGGGCATCCATAATGTCTCGATATCTCTGTAGGGCAAATTCCTTCTCAACTTCTAGCCAGCGCCCGAACCAAGTGTCCAATACATCCCAGGTCAGGCCTTTCCAGCCGTGTTCGGGATTTCCCCCATCATAATTAAACCTTGCTCGGATTGCGTCATCGAAGTTCATCAGTTGTACCATAAATCGGCTCAAGTATTGTGGTTCGCGGGATATTTCAAAGACCAAAGCGTCAACCTTCTCCTTCAGCACCGGCAGTAAAGCAGTGATTAGAGCTGCTACCGGATCCACATACAATGTATTGCCTGCCAGGATGTTGCCTCTGAAATGGGCCGCCAGAACGGGCCCAACGTTTTCCCGAAGAAAATCCTCCCACTTCGCAATTGTTCCAAGGAACCACTGAAAGAAATAATCACCAAGCTGTAAACGGTCAGCAACTTTCTGTTAATCTTCAAGAAACCCACTAACCTGATGTGGATGATTTGTAGGTTTGTCACTGAAGAAGTGGTATCTAAATTGCAGGATGAACGGCTTTGCCAGAACGCTCACAGGGAGGAGGACAAGAGGTTCTCGTGCAGCCAGGATCTCAGGGGCTTGCAAATCTAAAAGCTTCCCAAACGAATCACTCCATTCTTGTGTTAACTCAGCCGCGGGATTAGGCCACTTCGACTTTTTGAGAACAGATTCAAACTCGTCTGACATTATTTCTTTCATTTCCACCCACAGATCAGTAGAAGTTTTCTGGACGTAGGTTGTAAGATGAATGGCTGCCCCTTCCTAAGAGAACAGAAGAGTCAACAACCACTTGATAAAAATTGTCCCGGAAAATTTGGGGACATTGCTTGACTCATGAACGAGGATACTTGATACAATTGGTGGATCGAGGTTGTTCTGGGAGAACTGGGATATTGTCTTGGGAGACTTACAGCTGGTTCTTGCAATTGCTGTAATTGAATGGCGAGCTCCTTCAACTGTATATATGGCTTGAGGGCCTCTTTTGGGTTCTGTGGTAGGCACTCCCGTGCACTGTCCTTCAAGCTCTCGATATATTCTAGCATCTCGACATATTGCTCTGCTAACTGAAGCTTTCGAAGCTTCTCCAGTGGTCCTCTCAAACGCTCCGTTGCTTCTTCAGGCGTATCAGAAGAAGTGACGATCATCAAACGTTCTTGCACACTAGTTTGTTGTTTCTCAAATTCCTGTGTTTGCTGCTGCATCAAAGATGTCCGATTTGTGGCAGTGTCTTTGGCCGTCGAGAACTTTTGTCTGGCATCTGCGAGCTGGACGGGATTTTAGCTGGGGGCTTAGAATGAAATTGCCGCTATTCACTACCTACCTGGTCTTCTAGCTGCAGTTTCTGTGCCTCCACACTGGCTATCAACCTGTCGAGGCTCTCGAAATCGGTAGCCGTTTGTATCTTGTCATTAAGATAGTCTTCTACTCTGATATCCCGCTCTCCCAGAGGGATATCAGTTTTGGGATCGAGGAGAATGGCTAACGGGCTCCGATCCCCCTTTCGCTCCTGGCGCTCTCGGGCTCTGGAAGCAGTTGCCATCGCGAAGGTAATATGAATCTGGAGATGGGCTAGATGGTGGGATGTTGAAGCAACAATGTATGTGGTTCTTTGGGTCAACCAGGATCAGGCCTAAAAAATAGGCGAGCGCGATCCGGAACGCGCCTCCCAGATGTCCATGACGGCTTGACCCTCAAACTTCTCCAGAACATGACAGCTCCCCACAACTGCAAAAGGGAGCCTCTCGTCGAGATTTCCTTGGAAAGAGGTTGGAAGAGTCTGGGTGGAGCTCTAGCAACGGAGACAATGCGATAAGATAGATTCAACATCAAAAGGACTTCACTAGAAGATGGAGACCGGCACTCCCGCGAAGAAAAGAAAGCTCAACGACTCCAAATCTCCTGCAGCAGGTCGGAGCCTCGAATACTTCTTTGGAAAGCAAAGGCAAAGTAATACCACTCAGCCATTGGTCGGCATTGAAGACACGCCTCGGCGGGGTAGCGAAGGGGAAGAATTGACGGATGAGGAGCTGGCACGGAAATTACAAGCAGAATGGAACCAAGAGGACGTACAAGAGCCGCAGAAGGTTTCCATGTCCTATATTACAGACCAGCAATCACCACCAATAAATGGAGAGGCTTCGAGGAGCACAAGCCCGGAGAAGTTTGTTCCAACCTTCGAGGATGAAGCTACTTCAGAAGCCATACCTCGGCCGTTCTTAATCCAACCAAAGAGCAAAAATACCCTGTCACTACAATCTGCTGGCTCTGCCGAAGATATAATATCCTCCAATATACCACTCGACGAGAGTCCTTTGACATTTGAACCCTCGAAATATGCTGCGGAGCTACAAGGTCACTGGGCGACTGAGGGAGGCGATGCATCTTATGCCATATTGGCGAGATGCTTCGTTTTAGTCAATAGCACACAGAGTCGGATCAAGATTGTAGATACCTTGGTCAATCTCCTCCGGGTGATTATTGAGGCCGATCCAACGAGTCTCTTACCAACTGTAGGTGCAATAACACTCTTTTCGGTACTCTCTTGTTGAAAAGGTGTGCAAGCTGCCTGCCATGATATCCTTTTATATTTTACACAAAAATCTTCTTACAAGTTTTTTTCTTTTCAACACAGCCTCATCTGATATGACTCTAGGTTTGGTTGGCTACCAACGCTATCAGTCCACCTTACATATCTTTGGAGCTCGGCTTAGGAGGTTCAGCTATATCCAAAGCTCTCAAAAATGTTTGTGGCTTAGACAATCGCTCCCTCAAAGCTCTTTACGACAGAGTTGGCGATGCTGGCGATGTCGCTTTTGAGGCCAAGAAAAAGCAGAGCTTCACTTTGCGAAAACCCAAACCTCTTTCTATAAAGGGCGTGTATTCATCATTGGTCAAGATAGCCAATACTCAAGGGGCAGGAAGTGGCGAGATCAAGCAGAGAGTAGTTGATCGACTATTACAAGATGCGAGAGGAGCAGAAGAAAGCAGATACATAGTTCGGACTCTCTGTCAGCATGTAAGCTTTCTATTCATGCCCATGTTTTGTCCTTATCGTTGATAGTATGAAGCTTCGAATAGGGGCGGTCAAAACTACTATGTTGATTGCATTGTCTCGAGCATTCCTTCTGTCACGACCGCCAGGTGCCGAGTTTCCCCTGAAGTCTCGAAAAAAATTGGCTGCTCTCAAAAAAGAGGAGCTCGCCGAAATTTGGTCAAAATCCGAGGAGATTGTAAAGAAATGCTTCGCTCAAAGACCCAACTACAATGACCTCATCCCAATACTTCTTGAAGTAGGAGTGTGTGATGAGCTACTAATCAGGTGTGGCCTTGCCTTACATATCCCTCTCCGCCCAATGTTGGGCAGTATCACTCGAGACCTCTCAGAAATGCTCACAAAGCTTCAGGGCCGTGACTTCAGCTGCGAGTACAAATACGATGGACAGCGGGCCCAGGTGCATTGTGACGACCAAGGGAAAGTCTCAATATTCTCTCGTCACCTTGAACTTATGACAGATAAATATCCAGACCTAGTGGCGTTGATACCTAAGATCAGAGGGGAGGGAGTCGGAAGCTTCATCATGGAAGGAGAAGTCGTTGCTGTCGATCAGGTCTCTGGCGAGCTCAAAACATTTCAGACTCTTGCCAATCGACCTCGAAAGGACGTAGCAATCGGGAGTGTCAAAGTGGAGGTCTGCCTCTTTGCATTCGATCTGATGTATCTCAATGGTGCGCCGTTGCTTGATAGATCATTTCGAGAGAGGCGTGAATTGCTTCGAGGTCTCTTCACGGAAGTACCGAATCAGTTCACTTGGGTCAAGAGCACTGATGCCACGTCACAAGATTCTGAGATTGTTCTTGAGTTTTTCAAGAGCGCAACGGACGTCAAGTGTGAAGGCATCATGGTCAAAATTCTGGATAACCTCAAAGACGTCAAAGTGCCAGATGAAACGGAAGATTTAAGTGTTATGGAGCCGCCTGCTCCCTCCAGGATCAAAGAAGGCATGAAGAAAGCTGGCAAGAAAGAAACAGAGAAGAAGACGCGACGGAAAGCTCTTCTCGCCACCTATGAGCCAGACAAACGCCTAGATTCGTGGCTGAAGGTCAAGAAAGATTATAGCACCAGTTTCGATACCCTTGATCTTATCCCTATTGCAGGCTGGCATGGACAAGGCCGAAAATCGAAATGGTGGTCTCCAATACTGCTTGCCGTGCGAAATGAAGAGACAGGATCATTAGAAGCTGTCTGTAAATGCATTTCAGGATTCACGGACACTTTCTATAAGGCAAATAAAGAATATTATGAGCAAGGAGGTGATCACGTCCTGTCTGGAAAGCCCTCCTACATCGACTACGAAGGTGGATATCCGGATTGTTGGTTTGAGCCTCAAGAGGTTTGGGAAATGGCTTTCGCGGACATCACCCTAAGTCCAACGTATACTGCTGCTATCGGCCTAGTGAGTGGTGAGCGCGGTCTCAGTCTAAGGTTCCCAAGGTTCCTGAGGAAGAGAGATGATAAGGGAATTGATGAGGCGAGCACGAGCGAGTTTCTGGCTGGATTGTGGAGAAAGCAGGAGAAGGCCCCAACTGTTGGAAAAGAGACGCAAGATGAAAGAGGAGAGGATGAGGATGAGGATGAGGAAGCATTGTAGTTGTGTGTAGTATTGGTACCATGGAACGATCACTCCTCACGCATTACCCTCACGGTGCTCCAGATACTATCTCCAACGTCAGTGAATTTTGCGAGCTGTAGAAGTTTCTATGGCAGTTCCGTTGGCGAAGACTCGGTGGACAAAACATGGTCGTGAAAATGAACTATTTAACCACCAGCGCCATGGGTATTCGGAGCCAAAGAAAGAGGATTATCATTGTTGGGATGCCTAGGGCGAGGAGTGGACGGAATGATTCCTCTATGCTTCTCTATGTGATAAACGTTTCAGTAAAGGAACTTGTCAGCATCATATCCGTTCCCGCTCTTTCACAAGGCTAAGGCTCCCTCCCGAGATTTCTCATTGTACTCCGGCGGAAGAGGCGCAAACAATACGCTGCATGCTCTCCTTGCATAGGTACTCCTCGCCTTGCGGAACACCACGACTCAAATCACGGAGCTTCCGAATCCATTTGTTCCAGGGAGAGGTTGCTCTCGAAGACAATTTAAAAGTCCCCGAGGCACCAAGGCTTAAAGGCAGTCATTTGACTCCAGGGCATGTTGTTCTTGGAAGGCTATGGAAAACTTCCACCTTGGTATCACCACCATAGTTCCTACATATCCTAGACCTAGCAAACGCCAACGAAATCAAGATACCTCCGATGAACATCCCTATTCAGATCAATCACTTTTTCTCCTCGAAATAAAACTTGCCCAAACCAGCTTCATCGGGGCTACCAAGTGCGGGCTTCCTAACCTCGCCCTCATCAAGCCTATCTCTCATGATCTGTTCCGCCGCCTCTACCCCAGAGCTCCGGCTACCAACTCCACCCCTAGCAGCCGTATCAACATATCCCGGCGCATCGGCCGCCAAACCATCAATCATCATAGCCTCCCTTCTCTGTTGCTCAGCCGTAGCGGTTGTGCTTGAACTGACAGGCGTGCCAGCACCACTACTCTGCAGCTGACTACCCAAACCGCTTTTTCCTACAGCAGGACTAGAAGCCAGATCCCTCCTGCTATATGTAGGTCCACTAACAGTACTTCCCGCACCTTCTCCAAATGCTACTAGGCTGATGTCATCGCTCATGCCATCCCCATCCCCATCCTCGTCCATCGCACTCGCTGAATACCTGTCCCTATCATCTATGTCCCGATAGTTCGTATCCATACTCATCTCATCATCGTCTGCGTCTGTCTGGCCCTTCTGACTGCCACTAGCCCAGGTTGTAGTGCGTCCACCAATCGAGCCTGTCGCGGAAGCTGACCCTACGGTGGACATTTTTGTGGTATAGACAGGATTTCCATTTTGGTCGAAGTAGCCCGGGATCTGACCCACGTTGTTTGCTGGTCCTGCTGGTCCTCCGCCAGCGTTGGGATTTGGTGGGCGGACGGTGGAAACTCGTTCCAGGCCTGCAAGACGGGAGATACGATCCGCGCGTTCAGCTTCGAGGGTATTGCTTGATGGAGTATGGTGGTGGCCGTGGCCAGAATGGGGGAAGGAGGATCCGCGATGGCCGTCTTTAATGGCTGTGGTTGACAGAGCAGAGAGCGAAGTTGTGGTGGAGTTAGGGGTGCCAGGGGCCTCAGTTGGTGTGTCTGGGTTGGAGGGAGGGTCGGGCATATCGATCAAGGTGGGGGTAGCCATCGCGCTATTTCTTCCTGGGAGTTGGATATCTTTAGTGTATATTTCTTAAGAAGGTGTGGTTGATGTTGAGCTCGAATGCTTTCGCCAATGGTACCAGTGAGGCTGCAATGTTGTTTTAGGGCTTGGCGATTATCAGCAGATGCTCCAAAATCAAGCAGTTGGATAAATGCAATGCTCTGTGGTGTCTGCGAATAGATTCTGTTCGTAAGTGCTGACTTCGTCGCCGCTTCGATAGTTTGGATACTTTTGCTTGCAGTGTTAGGGTGATGATTCCCCTGAGTTATCACTGATCGAAAATGACGTAGGGCCAAGCGCACTAAGTGCTCCCCACATTCCGGAAACTAAGGCATGGCTGTGGGATGGGGTAGAGTTGGGCAGTGAGTACTTGTTACTCTGCGCTTCACAATAAGGTCTTTTTTTTTTTGGTTGATATGAGTATTAAGTTGTAATTGCATTGACGGTCTACACTTTACAGGTACATTTCCCCAGTCGTGCTGGAGCATCTGAGGACTACCATTCTGATAATGTCGACGCCATGGTCAACGGCGACCCCACGACATCCCGACCCGGCTCAATAAAACGCCAATGACATCCCCATGGAGATCCCAAACATTGTGAAAATCTGTGAGCCACCCACATTATCCAGTCTATCAAAACAATTCGCTGAAATCAACTCAGAGACCAGCAACAACAGGATTGCCACCATTAACTTGAGCGGTCGATGGAGAGCCCATAGCGGCCTGAGCTGCACTTCTGGCTTGTTGCTGAGACGCCTGCTGGGCAGCCAGTTGTGCTTGTTGTGCTGCCAATTGCGCTCTCTGACGCCCAACCATGCTCTCTTGTTGTTCGGCAGTCATGAAGGTGCTGTAATTTGTAAGCCCGGTAGATTGGTGAGCAAAGGGTTGCGGAGATTGAGACGCAGATCCATTCATCATGGGGCTTTGGGATATCTGGGCTACGGCGTTCTGGACAAATGGCCGGCGTTCTTGCAAATTAGCTGGGGTCGGGTTAGAGTATGAAGGGCGGGGCTGTGTAGTCGAAGGCTGCGGGCTGTACAGTGGCTTTTGGGGAGAAGTTTGACGAGCAATGTTGATATTCGAATTCTGCCCATACGGGTAGTTGATCGCATTTGGCGTGGGAGGTCCTTGCTGTGGGTACGCAGCCTGACCTGGGTATCGACCGTTCATTGCGGCTTGAGGAGCTGATGGCGGGATGTGTTGATAGTTTTGGCCCAAGGGTCGCATGTATGGGTTTGAAGGCGTTTGAAGGTACTGTTGCTGGCCTGGTGCATAGGGTTGCTGAGCAGGTCTCGATGCCTGGTGCGGATAATTTGGTGTTCCATAATGCGTGGGACGATAAGGAGCACCAGCCGCTGGCCGTTGGGGTTGGTAGGGAACTGGTGTTGTATTCGGTGGTCGCTGCATAGGGTTCGAAGGTGTCCGGACGGGTGTTTGTGCGGAGCCATAGTACTGATTGTTCGCAACTGGAGGGCCAGATCGGGAAGGGGCGTATTGATTTCCGTACAGAGATGAGTTGCTACGGTGAAGGTTCGCAGCCGGCGCAGCTCGTGTACTGGAAGCCGCGCTCATTGCAGCAACTTTAGCTCTCGCAGATGCCTCGTCTTCCTCCATAACACCCTTATGATCGGTAAAGTGGACCTCCATTTTGGTGCTGATACTCAGATCCGCCAGGCGATCAGGGTCCAACTTTGCAACAGCGTAGGGTGGCAGTGAAGCAATCATCAAAGTCAATTGTGACTTGAGCATCTCGTAGGTGGCCTGTTCTGGTTCACTAGGCTTTGTTGGGGTTCCTAGTGAAGTTGTGTCGGGTGCGGACAGGAGCCCGGCTGGACGGCTTGACGAATTCAACGACATATGTCGGATGCGCTGATATGAGTTTAGGGTCTCCAATAGTTCTGAAATACCCTCAAGAATTTCTTCAACATCTTTCTCTTCCGCGGACTTCTCGTCTTTGGCTTCAAGAGGGACTAGACTTGTGTCTATGGCGTCCTTTTCCATTTCTTCTGCAAGTTCCTCAAACTTCTTGATCTCATCCGCATTCTCAACGCTGTCACTGACAACAAGTTGAGGATCGATAACATCCTCGAGTTTGTTGAAGTTGTCTACCACTCTCTCGAAACTCTTCTCGCCCATCTGCTGCCACCAAATGCGATCCAGAACACCAGTAGGGGCGATAGCGGCCGAGTCATCCTTCGTGGGAGCAAAACTAGAGTATGCACTCCGGAAGAGCGCGTCAAGTTTCGCTGTTGCCGGTTCGGCTGGCTCGTGATCCACTTGCGGGGCCTTCGAGCCTCCCAGGCTTAGGGCTCTCTCGCGTTGCTTTCTCTTGTTGCCTTGCGAGGAAGAAGCATTGCTGTAGTCCAGCCAATGACCTGTGGAAATTGATTGCTTGAAGTAGCTCGCGGTTCTGGGTAAAGACTCTCCTGCTGCTGGTTGATACCAACCTACGGTGGACGATCGTGTCGTTGCAATTTTAGATGGTTTGGGTGGGAGCAGTGCAGGAACATTTGACGGGGTTGGAAATAATTCTCCTAATGTTGGCACACGCTTTTTGTCATCAGTCAGGCTCGTTGGATTAATTGGGACGATCTTCGTTGTACTGATGCCGTTTGGGAGCCCAGCCTCGCGGATGGTCTGCAGAATTTCTCTTTGCTCTCCCGGAACTCTGCTAGGTATCTGAAGGCTCGAGAACAATTGCTTAGGGCCTGGTGCGTTGCCGTAAAGAGTGAGGACGATCTTGTTCTCATCGCCGCTTGCGTTAATCTGTGTAAACGCTCCGGAGCCTAGACTGCCATTTGCCGTATGGTTGGCAAATTTGGACCGAGCGTTAAGTCCTAGAGATCTCTTCTCTGCAGCCACAATTTCTCTTCTGACCAACTCATGAGCTCGTTGCTTAAAACTTTTGACCTTGATGATCAATTCAGTTTCATGCTGTGGAGCAGGACGAAATTGGTTTCGAGCAGCACCATTCGGTAGCTGCAATTTGTCCATGATACTCGATACTGCTGTGTCGATGTCCTGAAGAACCTCTTCGAGGGTTGTGTATTCGTTCGCTCCATACCGCGTCATGATGTTGGTTTCAGCGTTGTCGATTTCTTCGCCATCCTCAGCTTTTTGTCGCTTTGGCTGCGGCGAGCCTGATGAGCGGTGAAGAGGGATCGTGCGTCTGAGAATCGAAGGGGTGGTATCGTAACTGGATTTAATCGTATTAGCATCTGAGAAGGCGGTCCATTTGAGTCAAGGGTATTTAGGGGCCAGTTGACATCGCAGCAAAGGATCAATCAGGGACTGCGGGCATACCTTTTCAGAACATCGATCAGATCGCGGACGAGAGCCTGCGAATCCTCCTTCGATATTCCTGACGGAACGAGGCTCCTGGATTCGGGGTCGCCATTTTGGGTGTCAATTGCATCGTCACGCTTTCGCTTTGCTGAAAGGCTGCCGGAGGAGGATGCGGATTCCAAATGCGCTGGCGGGCTCAGAACGCCATTTGGAGAGGCCATTTGGAGGCTGGTAGTCCTAGCAGGGTGATTTTTTTGATGTCTGCTCGCGGTTTGTCGCGAACTCGCGAACCCAAGAAGAGGAAAAGGTGTGACCAAGGGCAGCGTTTGCGACTGCTGGACAGTGAATGTGCAGCAAAACACCGGCTTCGGACTTTGTAATCAAAGAGCTTCGAGTGAATGAAAATCCGGCCCTGGCCTGGCAGAATGTCTTCTTCTGCACGAAAGTTCGCGATATGCTGTGGGCGACGTAACTGGGCTCGAAAGTGAGAAGAATGCAGCAGGCGCGCTAAGATAGAAAGAGCTTAGCGCCTTCCCTTCTTACTGACCAACCCGAATTTTTAACTTCAATGAGCTCTGGTCTGGTCCTGCATTGCAAAGTTTTTACTCTTTTGCTCAGCACACCTTAAAACGCAATCGAAGTTCAGATCTACGGCGAATTTATGTTATCCACCTTTCCGGTAGCGCCACCGCCTAGCCAGGCAGTTATTTGATGTTTTGATTTCTGCAGATCAATGATCTCCGGGACAATATGAACGGATGCAATCTTGCCTGTGTTTCTCGAGACTGGGCAAGCCCTTGTTACGCAACTCTCGTCGCCCGTGCGGTTTTCGTTTTGGAGGAGCTGTATGTCAAACCCCTATGGTTCTACTCCAGGTACTGACATTAATACGAGTGTTCCCTCCCAGGCGTCTGGCCCAACAATGGCAGGTTCTCACACATCGGCCAGCCGAAATTACCAGATTATTTACAGGAGGAGAAGGTTGAGGGTGCAGACCCGCAGATATCTCGATCAACTCACAAGTTTCAACCATTTATAGCTGTTCCGTCCCAGACTGCATCCAAAACTCGAAAACGCCTTCGAATACGGAGGGTAATCGTATCTTCTAAGTTAGAGGGGGATCAACTTCGAGAACTACAACAATCTCAAGTAGTCGACCACCCAAAGCCCGCCTCGAAGACCATTCCACCGCTGGGCACAGCTTCTCATGAAGACGATGCAGTTCCACCGAGCCCCTCTCAAATTCTTGAACGTGTTGAAGACATCAGTCAGACTACCGCTCCACTTATGTTGGCAGCCAAACAGGAGGGCGATGGTCTTCCGCAATGGTCACTTCCATCTCTCGAAAGAGAGAAAGAGATTTTTGAAACCGTTGAACATTGTGAAAGGAGCCCTGGCGTTATATTGGCCAAGATTTTGGACATGAAAGATCAGTCGGAGAGGGAAAGATTCTGGCTTTATATAAGAACCAGAATTTCTCACCGCTCTCTTCCTATAATAACTATACATTATCTCCTTAGAGCGTCCATTCCGAAGGTAACCTACCGTCAAATTTTCGTAGAATATTTTTAACTTTCTTTAGACTGAATGGAAAGGTTTCGATCGAAGTTTCCACGAGAAAGCCCAGGCTCTCCTGGATTCACGAGGTATGAGTTGGCGTGACGTTTCCAAGTGGGTTTGGATCCTGTCGACGCCCTCACCCGGTGGGATGGTCGGTCGTCTTGTAGCTGACCCGCTAAATCAGCCTGTTTTCGTTTTGCTCGAGATACTTCGACGAGACATTTCTAAGGTCAAGTTTTTAAGGAGTTTGCTGGACTATTCCAGAGACCACATCTTAAAACGTATTGTGCCAACTCGGTCACCCATACCAGAAAATCGGCCTGGTACGGCGGAGGATATCGAAGAGATCACAAAACCGGATATTTCAACTTCTTCGGAGGGGAACCGCCACCAGAGTGTTGCAAAGCCACAAAGGTTTAAGTTAGAGGAGACTTCGTTCACTGTATTGATCAGCCGTCTCCTATACCAAACCCGACGCATCTGGCCTTCGGCGATGGTTGATGTAGCGCACATAGCCGCCCATTTCCTGCGCTCAGTTTCAGGCAGCAATGTTGGTAGCCCAGGATCCTTAGATTCCCGCACTTTCGTTCGCTTCTGCGAGATGAACAACTATTTTCTGCGGTTGTTGGCCTTGCCAAGTTCTTTAGAGCCATTACAATCGATGACTTACAACTGGTCGGCACAGAAAGTTCTCCTAACGCTAGCTGGGCAATTTGAGCCTCCCTTAAGGCTAAACCATGCCAGCTACAGAGCTGTCATCCAAGTCCTCACCGCTTCCAAGAAGTCAGCAAGAGAAGCCAAGTCCGCTACTTTTCGAAATAGGAGTTGGCCTCCGTGGAGAGTAGAACAAGATGGCATGGATGCTCAGCGCTCGCAGGAGGAAGACTTCAGTAGAGTAATATCAGCCGTCATGCGGTCGAAGGAATCGGGTTATACGCAGGATTCCCAGCTGTCAATTTTCGGAGGGCTTGACACTGACGGAACGCCTACCATACACACTCGGAAACTGCTCAAGTGGAGAACCCTTGGCTCCTTCACACAGGCAGGAGAGAGCCGCGACGATGAGGCAGGACTTTGGGCTGCCAGAATAGAAACTACTCGTGACGTGCATGAAGCATGGGGTGCTTTTACGGAATTCCACCGAAAGGGTGGGCAAGCAAACCTGTCAATGTATTTCGCTATGCTCAAAAAGCTCAACTACGAAAGTCGAAGATCAGGGCAAGAATCAAACATGCACGGCACGCCAGGTGATGGGCGAGAGGTTTTCCCCGTACCCGACGACAATTTCACCATTTTTTATAGGTTGCGGCTTCAACCCCCAACCCTTCAAAATTTGTACCAGGAGATGAGAGCCGCTGGGATTCGCCCTTCTGGAAGATGCTTGAGTTTCCTCCTTCGACATGCCAGGACCACCGATGAAGGCTTGCAATATCTCCTTGACAGTGGATTAGATGTTCAAGTAGTAGCATATCTTGCAAACGGTGGTGAACGCCAAGTTCCAGCCAATGCAGTTGCACAGGTGTCTAATCAGATGCTGACAGATTTCATATCTCTTGTGTGTCGGTTCGCTCCACGAGTGGTCAAGACTTGTTCCGATTCTGAATTGGAGATTGTTGAGCATGTGAGGGAGAAAGGTTTTTCTCTAGCACATTCTCACGTCAGGACAGTACGCGAGGCTGGTGCTCAAAGATTACATCACTCTCGCCTTAGAAATCCCCTCCAACATGCGGCATTCCTGTTAAAGTCATGGCTGCCGAAATTCCGCCCAGCATGGTATGCGCTCTTCAAGGGTCTTGCGCGCAGGAATCTTGTCATGATCAGACGTTTCGCTCTTGATCCTGAAAGAATGTGTGAGAATCACGAGCAAGCATGGCGAGTTACCATAGCAGCGCTTAAAGATTTCCAAGATTGTGACCTCGAGCTCGACCCTGAGGGGTTCCACCTTATTTGCCAAACTTTCGCCAAATACGCCGAAGCAGCCTTCCATAAATCCGAGGAGCATCAGCTGCTCCTGATCAAAACATCTCACATTATTAGAGCAGAATATGCAAAATTGATTGATGGAAGTGAGGAGCTTTCCTATGGGATCTCTAGGCTCTGGCACACCCTGGAAGGTCCCCATTTGCATGCATATGTGCGTGCAATGGGTTTAATCGGGGATCATGCTGCAATAATTTCACTTCTTGAATGGATGGTCAAAAATCACGAGGAATTGGAGGCTATAGCCTTGCAAACCACAAACGGACATCGGATGTTACGGCAAACTGTGGTTGCAATCAAAGCCTTCTGCAACGGCACAGACCACGCAGTCGCAACTGCTCAAACCTTAGTAGAGCAGGTCGAGAGCTGGGGTGGATGGCCAGGAGAGGAAGAGGTGAGGAATTATCTTGATCGGGGGAATACTCGGATCCGAGACACAGGCACTAGTGAAGATGGAGATGAAGATGAAGATGAAGATGAAGATGAAGATGAAGAGGATGACTGGGGAGAAGAAGACGTCGAGGGACAAATGGCTGGAGGAAGTGGCAATTGATTATGCCCTCACTAGCGTCGGTTGTGTGTATAAGTGTACAACTGTATTGTATTATATTGTATTGAATATGTAAATGAATATGAAATGAAACCCACTTTCGTCTTTGCCCCACTCCAGCTTGCAAATACGCAGCAACTATAAGCCGAGCTTGCTCCTCTATACGCATTCCTCGCCCGTGGAGCCATGGCAGCCGCCTCCCGAATGGAAGTTGCGTATGGACACTCCGAGCCATCTCAGAATAGGCCTTTGCATTTGGCAACATCTTCACAGTCAGGAAGTGATCATTCCGGCGGAGATGGAGGCGACACCTCCTTGTTTTTGGACTTCCTGTCTATCTACTCCTGACCTAACAAACATTTCAAAGACAGCCACCTCGCAAACTTAACTGACTTGACGTCAAAGAGTCTCCAGTGTATACCCAGCTGACCAAACGATAAATGGTGTTATCAAGATGCTACCCAAGAAGAATCCGCGCGGGAACTCCTGATGCCAAAGCTGGGGTTGCCGGAGTAGCGAATAGTTGTGACATGACCCATCTCCCAATCGTTTGAGGAAATGGAAAATGGACAATGTATAACCCGAACGATATATCCCCCGAAATAGTTTGCAAGTGGAACGACAAAGGGTTTTTGGAGAGGTTCGAAATTCTCCCAGAGAATAGGAGCTTGACTGTAGCGACCGAGATCTAGAAATAATGTTGAGGCAAGGCTGTGTTGCATTGTGCAGGAGTGTATTGGCAGATGTGTTGGAAGCCGGGGGGTTGGCACACTTGGTTTGCAGGCCAGGAACCGACGAAGAGAGCGAGGCGCCAGGACCGCAACCCAGAAGATGGCTGGGATCAGTCTGATGGCGTTTACGAGCGTTGAATTCCTGCGAAGTCTCTCCAAGGTGCAGGGAGAGCTCTTTCGAAGGATTTGGAGTTCAGCTAGAATGACTCCGCACACGAAGAGTAGTGGATCCCAGCGGGTGAAATGAAAGCAACCGTAGGCAGCAGACAACAGGAGGACCATCCCCACAACAGGCTTAACATTTCCAAGAGTTAAGAACAGCATGAAGAGCACCATCGACCCGCGGAACTTCATAGGCAACTTCCAGAGTTGTAGCACCATTGGAGGGTGGAATTTGCCCCACGTGAAGGGATCAAGCATCTGTACGAAGATCCTCACTGTCCCGACGAGTTGCAACTAGAGGGATGGCTCAGTACCGCTGCATGTCCCATACGAGGGCGGCCAGTGCTATAACACCCCCCGTAATACACTCCGAATGTTGTCGTTATAAGCATCACGGGCAGCACTGCCAGGAACAATCTGGGGGCATGGCGGAAGAGCCTCAATGCGAGATTATCGAACAGCAAACTGGTGTTATGTTTTCGAGAAAGTTGGAGGGGCCTGTAGGAGAGAAAGTAGCCAGAGAGGGCGAAGAATATAAAGACCATGAAGCGGCAGGAATAGAGGAGGCGGATGTAGGTAGCTGGATGAGCTAGTTGTCTTCAGGTCGGGAGTGATATCCTTGATGGATCCAGTCGCCATACTCCGTCGCGATATGTTGGAAGTAGACAAGGAACGAGGCGAGGCCTCTGATCCCGTTTAAACATGAAGTTGTTTTCGAGAGAGAAACATCAAGACGCTTTTCCCGGTTGAGGGTTGGCCGAGATACCTCAGGCTCCCTCTCCTCTTCATCTTCGTCGTCGTACATGAGAGGGGTGTCGAGATCGATACCAGCATAGTTTTGAGGAACGGCGGGCCGTAGGAGGTTTGAGAAACTTCTAAACATCTCCATCACGAAGAGACTTCAACTGCCTTGATGACAGTGAGAATGAAAATATTTTTAATATTCTAATGAGACTCGCATAAGAAGAAATCCTCTATTAATGGAGATTGAACTTGGGAGAAAGGGAGAAAATGAAATAAGAGATGCTAAGATACAAGTCCCGTTTGTTTATAGAAGGCTAAGAAGATCTTCATCTGGCTTGGTAGTGCAAGTAGAACATTCCTTACGCCGGTATTCAAGGTGCACGTCCGTACCTTCCATTTATCTGCTAGTGCTACTGCGTCGTAACACCTCAGTAAGAGAGATCGTTCGAGTATACTTACCTGGCAGAGCCGTTGTACTTAGGGTCGCGAGAGGACGATGTGCCATAGGCCGGCGGTATTGGAGCTCGAACATCGCCTGTGGCAGTGAAAGACTTGCTTCGGAGCCCTCGCGATATTCATAGAATCGCGGTTCACCCTGTCACAGTGGTCAAATCTGCCCTTGAATCTCTTGGAGGCGAATCCTTGCCTCCCACGCTGGATACCACCACAAACTGCGCTCTGCGGAAGAAAGATTACTGGAGGCTCGTAGGCATCGCGCATAGTGGCCCTCCTCATCTGGGCATGAGCAAGGGCAAGGGATGCCAGAAGTTGAAGGTAGTGAAAGTTGGCCCCGTCACGTGGTAGAATGTATTCGCCAGGATCTACCTGTTCAGCGTGAACGTTGAAGGGGACAGGCCGGATGTATCACGGTCTCCCCCTTTTGTGCCACGAGTGTACAGCCGGGTTCGACGGTGTTGGATTGCTGAAGCTGGTGATGCGTGATGCGCGTGCTCAGATCACCCCAGGAGGAGAAGAGGAGAAGGAAAAAGAGAGGAAAGGATGCCAACCTCCCGTTGTTCATCCTCATCCTGTTCGTCGCTTAAGACTCCAACAAGCTCGACGGGGCAGTTCCAGTCCCGCCAATCTGCGGGGCGCTTCTGCTGACAAGGCAACAGCGATTGAGCAACGGCGTAGCGACGGGAGCGTCATCAAGTCACTCACACCTCCTCCGTACCTCCCTCGCCTCAGCAGCTCTCTTTCCCTCTCTCTTGCGTCAACAACCCTCCATCCATCACCAACTCGGGTTGCGCATCATCACACAACACAACACAACACAACACAACCTCTCCATCTATTGCTTTGACAGTGATAGTTCTCAATCTCACGAATCGCAATCATGAAGGGCGCACTCTTCGCCGCAGCGTCGCTGCTGGGCTCAGTGAGCGCAGGCGTCCATAAGATGCCACTGAAGAAGGTCTCTCTGTCGGAGCAGCTGGCTGGTGCCAATATCGACACTCATGTCAAGCACCTTGGCCAGAAGTATATGGGCATTCGACCTCAGTCGCACATCGATGAGATGTTCAAGGATACCGCCGTCCCCGATTCCAAGGGTGATCACAGCGTTCCCGTGAGCAACTTCTTGAACGCTCAATGTCAGTATTTCCATCAATCTCAAGCTTCTACGATACTAACATGAGATGCAGACTTCTCCGAGATCACAATCGGAACTCCTCCTCAATCATTCAAGGTCGTTCTCGATACCGGAAGCTCCAACTTGTGGGTGCCGTCCTCTGAATGTGGTTCGATCGCCTGTTACCTCCACACCAAGTACGATTCTTCCTCTTCATCTACATACAAGAAGAACGGAACCTCGTTCGAGATCCGCTATGGCTCTGGTAGTCTCAGCGGTTTCGTGTCTGAAGATGTAATGACCATCGGTGATCTCAAGATCAAGGACCAAATCTTCGCCGAAGCTACTGAGGAGCCAGGTCTGGCTTTTGCCTTTGGTCGATTCGATGGCATCCTGGGTCTCGGATTTGATACGATCTCCGTTAACAAAATTCCTCCTCCATTTTACAACATGATTGAGCAAGGTCTGTTAGACGAGCCAGTCTTTGCTTTCTACCTCGGCGATACCAACAACGGCGAGGGTGATGAGTCGGAGGCTACTTTCGGTGGTATCAACAAGGACCATTATACTGGCAAGATGACCAACATCCCATTGAGACGCAAGGCCTACTGGGAAGTTGATCTTGATGCCATTACCTTCGGCGATAACACTGCCGAGCTTGAGAATACCGGTGTTATACTTGACACCGGAACTTCTCTTATCGCTCTTCCATCCACTCTTGCCGAGCTCTTGAACAAGGAGATCGGTGCTAAGAAGAGCTACAATGGACAATACACTGTCGAGTGTGAGAAGCGTGATAGTCTGCCAGACATGTCCTTCACCCTCAGCGGCTACAACTTCAGCATTACCCCATACGATTACATTCTCGAGGTCCAAGGATCTTGTATCTCCAGCTTTATGGGAATGGTAAGCTCAAAAGTTCTCACTATTAAGTGACCAGAACTAACTCAATACAGGATTTCCCCGAGCCCGTAGGCCCATTGGCAATCCTCGGTGATGCATTCCTCCGAAAATGGTACTCAGTCTACGACCTCGGCAAGGGAACCGTCGGTCTTGCTCAATCCAAACAGTAAATCATGATGAATAGGATTTGACAGTGGGATGGACACAATTTGAATATCGAACCATTCATATCGAGAGGGTTTTTCATTACATTGTACTCTAGGCACTCGGTACTCTCTGATTTTGAATTGCGTTGAGTCTCTTACTCCAGAGCCTGGACTTGTTTCCAAGGCGATAGTCGATCACGCGAGATCGCAACTTTTCTTTTGTGTTACATAAGTACAAATGAACCTCTTTCATGCCATTTGTGTTGTCTTTGAGAGTGAAAAATTGCTGTGGATTTGACTCTTATTTGAGCCTCCAAAGATGGTGGTATTACCCTCGAAATTTCCCTCCCACATTTTATCAGTACTAAACTCATAGTGAGCAGAGGATCCCACCGAGAATTGGTGGAAGGGGACAAGCAATGAAGCGAATGCAGGTGTCTCATTCTGTGCCATATTCCTACACAGTTCGATGAGATTTTGATGATTCCGCAGTTTCCGGAATCGAATGGCTCAAAGTCTATAGTTCTTTCTGATCGTGACTCCACGAGTGAACTTGGAATGTTCTCGAACTCGCAGCAATATTCAGAAGGGGAGTATTTCTGTTGGAAACAAAGGAGTGAGTCTCAAGATTCTACATTCACTAACTATAATAAGTCGGACGAAGGTATTTCTTCTCATCTCTGCAACAACTTCGTCAACAGTGCTATCGCAAACTCCGGTTCGCCTTATCATCTCATCTAAATAAGATACACTGAAAATAAACGACAATATTTCGCCTCGCCCCGTGGCCTTCGGCTGTTTTCCTCTCCTCCCCCCAGAAGTCCGCCTCAGAGTCTGGCACTTTATTCTGTCATCACCCGCATCATTCCGTTTTCGGCACAATTGCCTATTCGTCATTCACAGACGAGCACCGCTACCAACTGCAGCCTACAATCCGCATCCCCCAATCCGCATCCCCACCCACTCTCTGCTTCTCGTCGGCCATGAAGCTCGCCATGAAGCCTTCCGGCACTTCACTACCTCCCTCCAACTCCACAAAGCAATCCTAAAATCCCCATCAACCCCGACATCGACATCCTTTATTTTGCAGCTCACTGTAATTACATCACACGTTCCTCATTGAAAAACATCAAGCACTTATTAATTGATTGCTTCTACTAGGGTCAAAGGATGGACCAAGAATTTGACCAGCTTTCCTGGTCCTTCATGAGCCACAGGGCAGTAGAAGATATGGCAATTCTTCTACATAACAACCCCTTCTGCCTCCGGCCCCAAACAGCAAACCGCTTGATCTCGTTCATAGAGCCAGAGAGCGTAGAGCATGTTACAATCAAGGAAACAAGGCTCCAGCATGTACAGCAACTGTTGCAACATGTTTTGGCACGGAAACCGGACTGGCTTCCACCAGCTGTGGCGGTAAAAGTCCCGATTATCGTAGAGCAGGCTGTGCTGGAGATATTTGCCGAGTTTACCAGGCCGTTGAAGTTATCGTAGAGAAGGGAGAACATTCTTATTCTCCTCTGGAGCTTTGACGGAGGATGGTGACGACTCAACTCGGTATCTTGCGTACTCAAGTGTGAGATTCCGACTATGTTGATGGTCGGGATAGGAAGTGTAGGCCGGCTCGACGTGTCCTGAGGGACACTCGCAAAGCGCACATGCTCTGCCGACTTTATCTTAAATTTTAGCAAAGCCAGAACTCATGTCAATCCATGGCTGCTTACTTTAGAGCTTAGAAGACCTCTGTGCTTTCGATGATTTCTTCTTCCGTGGCCCATTCTAGTTCGTCTTCGAAAGGATCCTTCACTTTCAGTCCTTCCTTATAGCACAAAATGCCGTCTATCCAAAGCTCCCCACCAAAGGAATCATTCAATTCTGCTAGGAATCCACTTGGACTAGTAAGAATTAGTATCACTGGAGTGTTTAGGTGAGGAGCAAAGAGAAAGGTTCTTTACTCGAGTCTCAACCAATTATCCAACCACTCCTCTTTCTCATTCGGCGTTCGACTTGCGAAGCCAGTATTTACCACCAACTTCGTTTCCACATGCGACGGAAATCCATCAATAGAGCCACACTTCTTCAACAGATCCAAATAATCGTCGCAATCTCTGGCCGATGGGCTGCCAACGGACCTGAACTGCCTTGACATTCGCCTCAAGCCGAGGCCAATCTCAAAGGGGGTGCCAGTACCACTTTGACGAATGGCCTTGTGAGGAAACCGCAGAGTGCACCCTTTCAAGCTTCCCTTCCGGGACCATTCCACGAAAGTCTCGAGTGCTCTTTGCGTATCCAGAAAGTATCTTGGCTCGAAGAGTTCAAAATCCATCTCGATGTACTGCAAATATTGCCGCAACTGTGTTGCCAAGGTAGGCCAGGGAAGAAAGTATCTCAGCTCAGTCGGGCGCATAAATCGAATACCGTTGAGTTGCCAAAGCAGACTCTCGACCTCGGCGTGAATCTGTTTGCATACCCGATGAAGTGATAACTTGATCCTGCTATCGTCGTCCCACGGGAGATCTTTCTCTGAATCGAAAGGGACAAGTCTAAAGCAACCCACCATGTGATGTAAACCCAGCTTATCAATGCGTGGTGCTCTTCTCACTGGTAGACAAAGTAGTCCGGTCGGCGATGCCAGAACAATGGTATAGATTTGGTCACGAATCTCCCGTGGGAGGTAATCCAGAAGTTGGGAGGGCATTTTAAAGCTGGATTCTTCGGGATCTGGGATTAACTCAACCCTTCGCTCTTCGGTGAGCGCTCACGCTCATACCTAGCACTAAACTAGTGCAGAAGCACGAGAGAAAGCCAGTAGGTTACGGTAGTTGAGGTTGAAATGAGGAGATGAAGTCGGCCATCACGTGTGTGAAGCCAAAGACTAGCCCAATTTGGATCTAGCTTCTGCCGCACAGCAAAAAATAATTCGTAGAGCTTTGGGGATTCGAATTTTCAGAACCTACAAAACCACGACGAACATCGACACCACCCAATCCAAAAACGGACTCGATCCTGATCCAGAGCGGTGGAGGAAGCTCTTGTTTTGATATCAGGTCTAGAATACCGCAAAAATGTCGTCCAACATCGACTACCTGCTCCACGAGAGTTCGGTGGGGTATGCTATCTTTCACGTCGTCCACCAAGCCGATACAATTGGCAACCGATTAAAGGAAGTCCAAGATGCCGGTCAAGATCTTGCAAAGTTTGGAAAGATGGTCAAGCTTGTAAACTTTGCGCCTTATAGGTAAGCTCGGAATTTGCACTGTAAAGACGAGAGTTAATATCCTGTTCAGAGGTGCTGCTGAAGCCCTGGAGAACATCAACCTTGTGTCTGAAGGCGTCCTCTCCGAATACCTCCGATCGAACCTCGAATTGAACCTCCCAAAGCCTTCCAAAAAGAAGAAGATTGTGTTAGGAGTACAAGACAAGAACTTGGCCGGAAGCATTAAGGCATCGTTCCCTGGTGTGGAGTGTGAGACTGGCGAGACTTCTGAGGTTGTCGCAGACTTATTAAGAGGCTTGCGACTTCATGCAGGAAAGTTACTGAAGGGTCTTCAAGAGGGCGATGTCGAGCGGGCACAACTCGGTCTTGGTCACGCATACTCTCGCGCAAAAGTCAAGTTCTCAGTTCAGAAGAACGACAATCATATTATCCAAGCCATTGCTACTCTGGATCATCTCGACAAGGCTGTCAATACCTTCTCCATGCGAGTCAGGGAATGGTACGGCTGGCATTTCCCAGAACTTATTCGAATTGTATCGGACAACCATACCTACGCAAAGCTTGCGCTCGCAATTGGGGACAAAAAGTCCTTGACTGACGCAAACCTACACGATATCGCCGCCATTGTGAATGACGATGCGGATATTGCACAGGCTATCATCGACGCCGCGCGAGTTAGTATGGGTCAGGATATTTCAGTGACCGACATGGAGAACGTTTCGGCATTCGCAAACCGTGTGGTCAAGCTTGCCGAGTATAGAAGGTCATTATTCCAATACCTTGTCAACAAGATGGCAATCGTTGCGCCCAACCTGGCTTCACTGATCGGTGAGATCGTCGCAGCACGACTAATATCCCATGCTGGCTCCCTTACCAACCTCTCAAAATACCCTGCATCTACCGTCCAAATTCTTGGTGCCGAGAAAGCACTCTTCCGAGCTCTGAAGACTAAGGGAAACACACCAAAATACGGATTGATCTACCACTCAAGTTTCATTGGCCGGGCTGGTGCAAAGAATAAGGGACGGATTTCAAGATTCTTAGCCAACAAGTGCAGTATTGCCAGCAGAATTGACAACTTCTCTGAAGAACCATCGACAAAGTTTGGATTAGCATTAAGAAAACAGGTTGAGGAGAGATTAGACTTCTACGCCACCGGAGCTGCACCGACCAAGAATGAGGACGCAATGGTACGATGAGTATATTCTGATTTAGGTCAGAATTTCACTGACATTTTTGTAGAAATCAGCAATGGATGCCGTCCTAGGCGACATCAACATCGCGGACCCCACGGCTGATGCCGATATGGCAGACATCACACCTCGCGCCGTCCAGAAGCAAGAAAAGAAATCCAAGGACAAGAAGGAGAAGTCAAAAGACAAGGAGCACAAGAAGGATAAGAAGAGAAGACACAGCGAAGTAAACGGAGATGCGGGCGAAGGCGAAAAGAAGAAGAAAAAGAAGAGCAAAAGAGAGTCATCTTCCGAGTAAACGTAGCTCGCGGTCTCTGATGTGTAAACTTGGGCATGGCGCGCGGTGTTGAGGAAATACGCGGTGGCATCCTTCTGATGTTCGAGAATATCAAGAACGATGGTGGATGTCTGTATTCAATACGGCGTTGTGGATATTTCTACGTCTGGGAAGGGTAAATTACTTGCTGGGCGTATGTCACACTGCTGGTCGACAAATATTTGCAAATTGCTTCTCTTTCTGCACTTCTTATTTATGTGATAACTGTGCATGATTTATCATCTTGATAGTCCAGAATATTGCCCTAGAACTCCTATAGAAACGCCCAACTTCGCCATGCTAGCCGTGCTCCCGACGGTCTTACGCTCATCAAGAACCACTCTTACAGAAGATGTAAAATTTTGACTTATCAAGCACCTTCACTACCGAACTCATTGGTCCAGTCTTCACTGCGCTTGATATCCTCTCCTGAGACGGTTGGTCGGGCACCTTTGACTGCCTTGATGAAATCCTTGAGTTGCAAAGGAGGCTCCAGCAGTTTGTCAGAATCGACATCTGTCCATGTCATCTCCATGGCTCCAGCGTCGCCCGGCGAGCAAGGTGTTAACTTCTCAATCCCGTCATCCACAACCTCGAGAGAATTAGTCAAATCTGCCATCGTCAAGAATCGTCACGTGGCTTACCTTCTTGTAATGTGTAGCTGTCTGAATTTTCCGTACTGGCTGCATGAGTGCGTCTTGCACCGCAATACTGATATCAGATCCAGAGTATCCTTCACTTAGTTCACCCAGTTTCCTGTAATCAGCACCTGTAAGTTCACACGGTGTCGTGCCAACACTGATCTCGAACATCTTCGTCCGGGCAGGCAGATCAGGGAGAGAGATGTGTACTCGTCTTTGGAAACGACGTCGAATGGCTGCATCGAGTTGCCAGGGAATATTGGTAGCGCCGAGAACGAGAACGCCTTTGCTGTCACGGCCTACACCGTCCATTTGTACGAGCATTTCTGTTTTTATACGTCTTGAGGCTTCCGATTCCCCTTCTCCTCGAGGACCGCAAAGAGCATCGACTTCGTCGATGAAGATGATAGATGGCTTGTTTTCTCGTGCCATTGCGAATAGTTGCTTTACTAATCTGTGAGTGGGTATCAGTGTCATCGTCCCAATTTAGGGATTGCCATAGGAACCTTTCACTCTCCCCCATCCACTTGCTGACCAAGTCCGAACTGCTCACACTGAAGAACGTGCTATTTGCCTCCGTAGCGACCGCCTTCGCCAAGTAACTTTTTCCCGTCCCAGGTGGTCCATACAACAAGATGCCCTTCCAAGGTTGTCTCTTGCCCGTGAACAAATGTGGGAATTTTATTGGTAGAATAACAGCCTCCTTCAGCGCCTCCTTCGCACCTTCAAGACCTGCAACATCTTCCCACCTGATATTCGGCTTATCTTGTAAAATCGCCCCCGCCAACGCATTCCTCAGCTTCTTGCTCTCAGGATCTACATCGTCATCGCCCTCCTTCCCTTTCCCTCCTCCTCCCGTCGTACTCCCATTCGCACCCACCATCCCCGGCTTCTTATGCTTACCATCAGCGTCCGCCAGATGCTGCTTCAGCTTCTCGGCTCGCTCCATGTACTCGCCCGCCTTCGCTCTTATCATCTCCTTGGATTTGGCATTCTTCTCCCATTTCAATGCCAGCATAAACAGCTCAAGTGATTGGTAGTATAGCTGGTATGCTTTTTCGTACTCGGCGGCGGTGTCCGCTTCGATGGCCTTCTTCACCACGTCTATTGCGCGGCCGAGGAAGTCGGTGTTCGACATGATGAAGGTGGGGGGGTTGGACGCTCCCAGGACAATCGCAGGGAGAAGTACAGTTAGAAAGAGTTGCTCTGTAGAGGTTTGGAGTCGTCGCTAGATCGCCGGTATAATGTAGAATTGCGAAATTGGCGTTGGAAGTTGTCTCTGGGGCGGGGCCCAGAGTGCACAGTTCTAGACTTAGCGAATGCGGTGAGAAGGGAGGGCTTGAACTTGAGAGAGGTATCAGCCTGCGGTGCAAGTTTTTGCTGCTGTAGTCCTAGGCTCGACCCAATCTGGCGTGAGAGAAAGGGAAGCTTATTGCTGTTGCCTCGTGAGATAGGACGTTTGTTATGACGGACCAAGATCTTCGGTTGGTGAGACCCTTGTCGTGCATTTGCCCCGCGACGGCGCTAGTGCAACCTCCAGAATCTTTTGATATTTCAAGATCACCCCACAAAACTCCATCCAAGCTATTGATCGATCCTAGGCCGCTTTTGCTTTGTACTCAAAAGCTTGAGGATACCACTCAGAGGGTTTTCCCTTTTGAAAATTGTAACAATACTCCCAAGATCTCGTTCCAAACCCCTCCAACCCTAGCACTACGTGCAGCCATGGCAGACGCACAGCAGCAACTTCAGGCACTTTCTGACGAGTACCAGAAGCTGCAGCAAGGTTGGTTTGACCATGGATATGTCCTTTTGTCTCTTGGCTCTGACTGATGGTGGTAGATTTACAGAATAGCATCACCTCACGGCAAAAGCTCGAGTCGCAACAACAAGAGAATAAAGGGGTTCAGAAGGTTGTAAATCCGGATCTAGGAGCCCGAAATACTTGGCTAAGAGTTGTAGGAATTTGCCAGTCTGAAGGAGGATGCGAATATCTACAAATTGGTGGGACCAGTGCTGCTGAAACAGGACAAGACGGAAGCTGTGATGGCGGTTGATGGAAGACTGGAGTTCATTGACAAGGAGATGTGAGCTTTGAATTAGATCCGGTCAGATACAGACTGACGAATCGGTAGAAAGAGGATAGAGAAGCAGATCAAGGATGTACAAGAGAAAAGTGACCAGATACGATCACAAGTGAGTCTCTTTATTTCCCTACCATGAATGCCTGCTGACAATAACTCAGATCATCCAAATACAGTCTGAAGTCCAAGCCCCGGCTGCTACTGCGCAAGCCGTATAGGGAGTTGGGAATTAATGGGAGTGTCGGAGTTCAGGAATGCATTGCATGGCGTGACGGAAATGAAAATGTATATTGAGCAGCACACTCTCTCAAATCATCCAACCAAATTCTTCTTTGATTATTGCCCGCTCCTATCATATGAATTCATGAAGCAAGCTGCCATAATGAGCGTGGTTAGCCCCGCTTTCGCAAGTGATTCTTCTACCTTTTTTTTTGGCTTCATTATCCTGTCGTAATTGATGCCGTTCACGTTTTTTCTTCAATTCTACTTTCCCACAACTGAACAATGAGCTAGAAGGATCAAGATTGAAAGAGCCATGAAACCTCCAAGTCATTCATCGTACCAGTTGCAGCCTAGCGCTTTACAGACATTGCTGCTTTGTAGCAATGCGTGTAATCGTCTTACTCTTTTACTGTTTGCGGTTGAGCCCACTAACTAAGACCAAATCAGACAGCCTCGTGGTGGACAGGGGGGGGGGGGGGCTGCCCTCATTTTCAATACCCCAGGTCGAAGTAGCCATTCAGCTTGACGTTTGAGGTAGTAGGGGTTTAATAATTGAGATTTCTAGTCCAACCAAGTTCTGCAGAGATCCATCCATTGCAATTAGGTCTTCGAGGTATAGCATAGCATAAAATACAAAAGTAATCATGCGAAGTCGCTCTTCCCTTGTGAGACCATCCAGGCAACTCTGAATCCACTCATCTGTCAAACCCCCCTCTCACTACATAACCCCATGCAGGGCAAAAGTCTCCATTTGCCATTTCCATCATAAAATCCTCATCCCGTCCAAAGCCACAATGCAAATGAATCCGTCCGTGTCATCCCAGACCGATCCTCTGAAGGGGTTTCCAAAAACGCCGAAACGAAGCAAAGAAGTCTCTTAGTACATATTCACAATTGAAGAAATTAGCACTTCAAAACTCCAGCATCTGTCAGTGCGTCCTCCCCGGTATCTCCTTGCTCTCAATAGACAGAATGCCTCTTTCCATATGTACTTTTGAGTTATTCTTCCGCTTGATATGCATGATCATAAACGAGCGTAGACCAGGGCAACCCTGGTGATGGGCATAGAATGAGTGATATGTCCTCTAGAATCACTCATCTTATATCTGACAGGTTGTTTTTCTCTCATTACCGTTCGATGCTTTCTGGACTCATCATGCCTACGGCACTGCCATCGTCTTTTTCATTCTGGCTTGCGTTGCCTTGGCTGCTTTCTGCTCTTTCCATGGAGATAGGTCCTCCGTTGGGCAAGCCAAGCTTCAATTTTTTTGCAGAAGCCGTCAGAGGATTGGGTTTTTCCGGGCTGCTGTTGACGCCAGATTTTGCACCTGTGGCAGGATCCATTGCCGTGCCGTTGTCAAGTTTCTTCTTCTTTTTGGCGTTTCCAGACTGTTCCTTGAGGGGGCGCTTCCTTGGACTGGTGATCTTTCCAGTAGGGCCAAGACGGGGTCTCGAAGGTCTTTGCTTGGCTGGTAGCTCTTCGTCTTCGAGTAACGGCTCATCGTCATTGGCATGCAATTTGGCGAGGAAGAAGTTTCGAACCAGACCGATCTGGTCCTGAAGGTTCTCCTTGGTGACTGGCTCCAGAGGAGGCAGCGGCGCGAAGATGTCAGTCGATGGTCCTTGCGCAACGGCAGTTGTTGGATTCTGGTAGAGTCTTGTGTGGAGTAGATGCAGAGGTACCGAGAGGCTTGCCATTCCGAACTCAGCGTCCAAGCCAAGAGCCTTGAAGCCGAAGAAATCTTCTCCGAGTTCTTCGGCAAAGTCGCCACCCACGAACTGCTCGCTGCCATCATTGAAAGCTCCAGATCCATCCGCGCCTCCATCTGTAAGAGCGGGACGTAAGAGATCAGAGAGATGTGCCTTCATACGATCGTGCATGACTCCGAGTTTAGCGCCAAGACGCTCCACATCGTCCTTGACGTAGCTTTCCAAGCTCTCAACTTCAAGGCCGTTCTCGCTCAGTGTGTGGAGGACAACTTCTTCGTCGGTGAATGTCTCTTGCCATTTTGCTCCAGCTTCTGTAGCTGACCCAATCGCCGGCACCTTCGGCGTTTCGCGATAAACATTGAATGTTTGCACAAGCTTAGTAAAGAAGTCACCAGCAATGTCGGTGATGACGTCCAAAGCGCTGGGCTGAAGTTCCTCGAATCCAGCGTGATAGCAAAGTTTCGCCACCGATCGTTGCAAGGCGGCTTTGCAAACCCAAGTAGCCATGATGGGTCCATCGTCTGAGACGACATAAGGTTCAATGTCTGCTTCGATGAATGGTTCTGGTTCGTATTTGGGGAATTGATTATTGTACATCTAAGAGGGTCAGCTTTAAGGCGAAGTGATTTTCTGGGAAAGGTTTACTTGGGCTTGCAGTTGCATTTGCTTGATGACGCCAATCTTGGAACACAACTTCCTCGTTTCCTGCATCTGTCGCATATTGGCCTCCACCTTCCCCGTCAAGAAACTTTTAGGAGCGGTGAAGTGGCCACTCGGGACCATCCGAAGAAACTCATCAGATCGATCTATGAGTTGTCCGTCGGCATCTTCAACCCATTGAAGTTTGGGAGGAATATCTGGAACAGCAGACAGAGAGTCATAGTAGTCAGGCAAGACCCGCTCTTCTTCACCTTCCATACCCTCAGCCAACGTTTCGACGCCTTGGATTGCATCCTTGGCTCCTTTTGCGTTAGCATCTGAGCTAGTGGCATCAGACTGGGCTTGTTTTTGTTGGCGAAGCCACCTTCTCATGCCTGCCTTGGTACGAAGCAAAGCAGGTTCGTCAATATTAAGTTTGTCTCCCCTGAAAAGCCGATTTCGTTCTTTGGCTACGAGCGCTCGATCTTTCTTTGTAACTTGCTTCCAGATCTTGTACTCTTCGTCTTCCTGGAGGTCATCAGCTACGGCACCGAGTGCTTGCCCTAAAGACAGCCCATTTATTGATGGTCCATCAATGTCCATTCCGTCGGCTTGGCTTCCAAGTCCTGGAATTCCGTTCATGCCACTAGGAGTAATGGACCCAATGGGCGGAGTAGCAAAACCGTTCTGGCTGCCATCCATACCGGCGTCGGATCCTTCGTGGCCGAGTTTCCCGAGAAGTCCATTAAGTTGGAGTGAGGGCTTTTGATCTATCCCAGGGGTGCCTTCGTCTCTATCAGGATGGGCTTTTCTTGCCTTCGAGCCTTTGGCCCCTGCCTTTCGCCCTCTCGAAGACATGATTGGTTCATCATCGCTGTCGTCACCTCCGTCATCCTCGCCTCCGTTTTGCTTCCGGCGCTCTTCGGCTTCAACCTCAGCCCGGGGTCGGATAGTGAGATCTGGAATTAAAGGCACTAATTTTTCGGCTTCCTTCCTCATCGAGTTTGCATTTCTCCGTAATGGGTGTTGGATATCAGCGTTGTACTTTAAGCAGTTATCCCAGATTAGGTTCAGATCAGCGACAAACTCCGCCTTGGACTTGTAAGTCAATGTCTTTAGCTTTTTAGTCATTGTTCCAAGATCCATTGGATGTTTGATAACTATGCATTGTTAGCTATAGCAGTTCAAAGACGGTTGGAAACCTACTAATATAATAGTCGGGAGCCTCTCGCTTGTTGACTCTTGTTAAAAAGGGGGCGGAATATTCCGTCATGGCCTTCAGCTCACTCAGGACCTTTTCTGCAGCTTCATAAAGCTCTTCTTGGTGAACATTTTCCTCGCTAGCCCATTTGCTCCTGTTCTTGCGGACCTCGTTCATCAAGGACCGTAGCTCAGCATCAGAGGCTCGGACCTGGTCACGCTTGAGGTCTATCCGAGCAATGAGATGCTTCAAAGTCAAACTAGAAGCGCCCAAGTTGGCGCTACTTAAGGAGCCGTGGTGCTCGCCATTAGCTCCATTTGCATGGCTGGTGTTTCCTCCACTATCCATTTCCGATTCGATCTGCTTTTCGGACTCTTCCAACCTCTGTTGTTCTAGCATGGCAACCCGATCATTTTCCAAAGTATAGAACAACGTGTGGAAGCTGCGCTTAGCCGATTCTTCCGTGGCTTTTTTGGCTTCCTCCAGCTGCTTCCGTACGTCTTCGGAGGACTTGGGTTCCTCTTGTGATGTATCATCTTTGTTTTGTTCGGCTTGCTTCGTGGGTGATATGTCCGAGGATACAGGAGAACTACCCGATTTCGAGGGTGACAATAGCGCATGGGCGCCTTTGTTCTTAAGCGGGGACTCTTGGACATCGTCCTGATCCTCATCCTCATCGTCGTCATCGTAGTTGTCTTCGTCGATAGTCCGCGCAGACTTCTTGGGTGCTTGCTCTTTGGGCTCTGCGGTACTTGGCTCATCTCCCGCCAATTGGTCTATTTGCGCGGCGGAGTTCTCCCCGGGCTCTTCCTCCTCTGCATTCCTACCACCAAATAATCCAGCTATCTTTGCTTCGGTGCGCTGATAGAGTTCCTTGAACATCTGCCGCTGCTGCTCATCCTCCGCATTGTCTCCATCATATTGTACGGTGGCCGACTCGGACATTGTGGCATCTTCGAGAAGGAGACTTGGAGTATTCGTGCGCGCGGGTGTATCGTCTCGATGGAGAAAGGATTTGCTACTGAGATGCGATGATGGAGGGAGCCATGCTTGTTGTCCGGCGGATGTTGTGGGCGCTGACGATGATGGTCCAGATCTCGACATCTTCTCTGGTGCCCCCTCCCACGCGCAAACCAGCGCGGAAGATGGGTTCGCGACAGACCACGAACCTTCACAGATACGTCTTCGGTTCGCCCTGAACAGGTGTGGAGTGAGCGGCCTTCATCGGTGATTAATTTGCCGCAAATATCAAGTTGAAATTCGATGGTTTTTGATGATTTTCCGATGGCTCTGTTTCCATCGTCCTTGTCGAGAAGTCGTTAGAAGGGAGTCAGGTTCTAGCGGGTGGGTGAAGAACTTCAGCAGCGAGAAACTTGGGGAAATCGCAGCCACAACATTCATTTTTAAAAGTAGTCTCAATGTGCTCTATATGAACTACGCATATCCACACCAACAACTTCTCTATCTATTTTCTATCATTTTCAAGTATTTAAAGTTTTACGAAATAAATGCACTTCGCCGTCCGACGTCAGGGGTTGATACTGCACGTGATGATTAGCCTGCCTTTCTCAGTGAACACGGAGCTCCCTCAAAGCTATTCCCTCCGCCACGACAAAGTCTTTCAACAACTGAAGCTTTCTGGAATGAAATTCAATCTGTACAGTCCATAAAACATCCCTCAAGATGCGAATAAGGCTACCCTTTGCAGGTTTGCATCTCCCGCAGCCTCGTCCCTTGGCACTGGTGGTAGCTCCAACTCACATCACGCAGGAGCTTTCCTCTTCTTTGTCGCAACAGCGGGGTATGTCGGACTCACCTCATTGCAAGTCGACACCATAGTGGATGACAAAATCCTCCATTTCCTCACCTTCTTTATTCTCACGACCTGCTTCTACTGGATCCTCGACACCTCTAGAAGACGGAGTCTCAACTTCACGCTCCTCATTTGCACAGGCGTCCTCGGAATAGGCTCAGAGTTCCTCCAGGACATCCTTCAAAATGGAAGGAAATTTGACTTCTATGATATTGTGGCGAATATTACTGGGTCCCTGGCGGCGATTGGGTTGAGTACGTGGTACCATATGCGGATGTTGGAAAGGAAGAGGCTGGCGAAGCAGTATCAGGTTGTCCCTGGCGAGGAGGACTTGGAGCTTGGAGAGGGCGTTGGTGCGCAAGAATTGGGGACTGTAACTGCGGCGGCTGCCGCCCCTACACTGGATGAGGAAGTTGAGAATTGGGACGAGAACTTGGAAGATGGCTGGGAAGAAGACGAGCATACAGCGGATAGTGCGGAAGGAGAAGGGTTGAAAACTCCTAGTGCTAGCAGTGCCGGGGAGATCGAGGGCGAGCATAAAAGAAGAAGTGACTGATGTGTTACGATATTATGAGTTGTCTCTGGCGTTGAAACGGATTTGCTTTGGGGGCGATTCAGAGCTTGGGTTATTATCAAAGGATGATCATCTCCAAAGGTCAGAAATGAAACTAAGACATCACGTCCATGTTCTACACCCTTCTGTTTACAGTGAAACCTCGATATAAGGATACCGAAATTATCCCCAAAAACTAAGGATATACCGAGGTATCCTTATAACGAGGTGTGGCACACAGCAAAATTAATCCCTGCGGGGCCAGCAGATGTATCCTTATATCGAGGATATCCTTATATTGAGTATCCTTGTAGCGAGGTTTCTTTCATTGTACTGTGCTTCCTACTAAGTTCCGACAAGCTAGTCTGCAGTGTTGCTAAGGAGTGCTTGAATGCTCAACAATGCGAATTGCCAGACAATGTCCGAGCTATCGTTGACGTATCCACCCACTCTTACAGAAAATTTAGGAGCTACCATTGAAAAGATCTACCATCCGAAGCTCTCATCATGAAAGTAAACATCTCGACCCTTTTTCACCCATCTTCCCACCTGCTCCCTCAGCTCTCGAGCCATCTGCTTAGGTCCGCAAACTAAAACAGCAACTCTCTCTTCATTTCCGTGCCTAAACGTCCCATCCAAAATCTTCCTCAGGTCCGGTCTCTCTCGGCCACCAGTTGCCTTTACAGGTTCTTCCATCCGCTGCAATTCGTCCAGCTCCACACTTCCATCCACAGGTATTGGCTCGTCGCCGTGGTGCTGATCATCAGAGTTGCTTCTTGTCAAGAAAATCTTCACATGCTTGTCTTCCTCAATAGTGTTCCGCTTCTCGGAATCAATGGCCCAAATAGCTTCCGCTGCTGACCGCATAGACCATATCAACTTAGCACGATCGGAGCTCTTGCCTTCAGCGGTCAATTGTTCTTGCACATGAAGGTAAATTGGTAAGATAAAAGTAGAGCCTATACCACCAGCTACCAACAAAACCCTGTCATAATCTGCGGCGAGGTTTGGAAATCGTTGAGAACACCCTAAAGGACCTTCAATTTGAATTGGAGGTTTCGCCTTAGAGAGTTGGGCTAACGTGCTTAAGGCTTTTGTTGTAGGACCATGTAGAGCTCGCAGAACTAGCGTGATGTCGGTACCTGAGGCCTCTGCTACGGTGAAGGGGTTGTATAGAAAGTCGTGGATCCACGGAGCTGAGGAGAGGAGAGGTCTACTTGCTGGTGGAATTGAGAGATAGACATGCTGTCCTGGCTTAGACTGAAACCTCCGAATCTTGGACGCTGGAATAGGGATCTTCAGCTTCACCAATGTTGTGTGTGGTACGGCTGTGATCGTCGCAAAGCCAGTGACTGTATCCAGCTTCCGACAGGTGAGATCGAACAAGAAGAGAACCAGAGCCTCAATCACATAGATTCGAAGAGGTTTGGCGTGGAAGAAGATTAAGGGTAGAAGCCAGAGCCCAATCATAAGATGAAGGATGAAGAAAACCCTGTAGCTCCAGCGTCGCATTCTTTCCAGACTAGTGGCTGCGATGATGTCGATGAGCACGAGGCCAATGATGCCAACAATGACCACGGGATCTGTAAGGCGTTTCTTCACAACCCCAGCTTGCACGAAATAGTTGATGTACCAACCAGCGTGGCACAACAAAAGGAAGTGGATAATTCTTCCTGAGATTCGGTGCCAAGCATTGAGTTGCTCGTGAGAAGATCTGAAGACGAAAGCAAGAGGGGAATATTGAGATTTCATAGAAAGCATATAATGCACGGGGAACTGCGATGCTGCTACAACTCCAAATCTTTTCGTGATGTGTAGATAGTCTAGTAAACAAGATTAGTGATGCAATTAAAGCACATGAGTACTAAAAGGAGGTAAAAGTCCAGTAAGTGACCCCACGCATGATGTAGGTGTTGAAAGATAAAATATGACCACCTTGGGAAATCCCGCCTTTTGTCCAAGAATAGGCAGCAGTGCAAGATCAATGAAACCCAGAAGCTTCAAAAAGATAGTATGTCGGCCTTGCCGACCGCGAATAGAAGTTGAAATACAAAATACTTACCTTCACCAGTGTTATGGACGCATAGAAAGAGCAACCAAGATATCCAAACTCCGGCAGCAATAAGTTTTCCTCTTGATGGCCATCCTTGTGCAAATTCACCTTCCAACCACCAGATAGTCGTTCTCCAACTCCTCGCGAAATTACCAGACGTTGAAGCTCGTGACCGCTTCAAAGTCGGGGAGCTTGGAATCGCTGAATAGCTGACTTTGGATCGCTTTCGCTCTGAATACACCCAGACTGCTAGCCTGTAAAGTTGATAGGCCAGGATAGGTATGAAAGCTGAGAGTTGCGCGTAGACTCCATACCTGTCGAGGAGAAGTCGACGCTCATGTTTTTGCTCGTGGGTGAGATCAAGGAGGTGATATGGCCAGGCCATTGTGACACTATCGGACGAACTCTGGGATCAGCTTTCTGGAGAGTTATCGTCCAATTGTTCCACTGACCAGACGGATCTCTGGGGCCAAGGGTGATTCTGTCTTCGGGAGAGAGATGCTTGAGGAATGAGGGAGCATCAAGGGCGATGGCTGTCCTCAGCGCCACACAAGTCTTTCGTACCCCACCTCACAAGTCCCTGAATGCGTGCGTGTCGTGATTTCAAAAATTTGGGCCTAATAATCAGTGATTCCCTGATTGGAGATCCTTGATAGGGAGGCTGCAACGCTAAGCATGGGTCGTGCCAATCCCCTGTAGATTTTGGACGTCGCTACTGAATGTGAGATATTTTCCCCACAGCTTCTTGTACAATCACAATTCTTGCACTTTTCTTTGCTTCAACGGACACTTCGATTCATAGCCCTAATGAAATGACCACACTCACATTGCGCCATCTGCGCACCGCTTCTCGGTTTCAGTGTATCCCGCCGCAGCCACCCAGCGTGGTCAAGACACAATTTCTCTCCTTCCAAACTGCACTTCCCACCCTCCGCTTTGCATCCACCACTTCGAACGTCCCAGCGAAGACACCCCGTAGACACCCCGTCAATGGGCCATCTACAACTCTCCCCGCACCCGTCAATGTACCGGAACGCGCCGAAGAGCAGTCCTTATTCCCCTCCTACGCCCTAGCCTTGGGAAAGGCCTACCTAGGGTTCTACAAAACCGGCATCAAGAACATCTATACCAACTTCAAGCTCTCCCGAGACATTCAACACAACATCGACGCTCAGCACGCTTCATCGTTCTCCGCCGCTGTTGCCTCCGCTTCCATTACTCGTTCGGATCTCCAACTCTTAGTCAGAAATTGGCATGATATTAAGCGGGTACCAATTTTTGCCTTGGTGTTGATGATATGTGGGGAATTTACACCGGTAGTTGTCATTGCACTTTCTGGTGTTGTGCCGTGGACGTGTAGAATTCCTAAGCAAATAGAGAGTGATAGGAGAAAGCTTGAAAAACGAAGGTCCATATCCTTTCGCGAATTGGCCACAGAGCCACCGACACAGGCAGGTGTTGAGAACTTGGGAAGGGCACAGTTATTGCATATTAACAGGAGTTTGGGTTTGAGTTCTGGATTATGGGATTGGATTGGTGGGTTACCGACCGGCTTGTTGAGGAGGAAGGTTGGCAGGCGGGTGGAGTATTTGGAGTTGGATGATGATTTGATTCGGAAGGCAGGGGGTGTTTATGATATGGCTTTCGAGGAGGTTAAGATGGCGCTTGTGGAGCGAGGGGTGGATGTTCTCGGAAAAGGAGATGCACTGCTGAAGGCAAATCTGAATGCATGGCTACTTTCAAGGGAGAAGGCGCCTGCAGAAAAGTTACTTCTGACTAGGTACGAGAATTCAGATAGTCCTGGTACAATTTGCTGACCTTGTGTTAGACCCTCTATATGGCCAGTCAGATTGAAACTAACGGAAAAGGTCAAGCTGTGACAGCATCTGTCACGAGGTTCATCTCACAACGTCTAAATAGAGGGAACTGTCTAAAAGGAACGTATCTTGTTCAAGGTTTGGTGCTGCATAAAAGCGACGATTCCACGATGAATCTTCCTTTCTATGTACAATGTAGGATAGGTGACGTGTTTCCCGTCTGCATACTGCGGCGTTTAGAATTAGAAGAATCGGCAATCCTGTAGTCTAGAGATCTTCGCTCCTGTACCATACAAATCTTCACACACAAGAAAGGTGCAGAACCATAAGAGCCAAAGCTGGCAAACAGGAAACCACAAAGTGCTGGAAGGTCGTTCGCTCGATCGTTGGATATTTCAATCAGGCTCAGAGATGACTGCTGAAGAAGAGATTGTCTCATGGAATCCTAGACATTGCTCTCTGAGGACAGTAATGGGGCAGCTCGTTTTTCATCGCCTAAAACGAGCAAGTGAAGCCATGATGTTCTGTACCTGCTGATCAGATTGTTGAGGCTGTGTTTGGGCTGGCTGAGGAGGTGCTGCGTTTTGGAGCAATGCCGCAAGTGCTGGGTTGCTGGCAAGGTTGGCATAAGGATCGGGGGCAGATTGAGGTTGCTGATAGTTTTGCTGAGATGGTTGCGGTTTCAGGCCTCCAAGAAGACCAGCAAGATCGATTGCTTGATTCGCAGCAACCGCTGGAGCATTCTGTTGCTGCCGCGGAAGCTGATAAGAGCCTAGAAGCTTCTGCAGCGTAGCATTATCCATTTGACCAACAAGGCTGGCTAGGTTGGCGGCAGGGGGTGCAGCAGCAGGTGGTTGGTACGTTTGACCTGCAGCGAATTGAGGTTGAGCATATTGAGGATTTTGGACTGGGGGAGGAGTTTGGGTCTGCTTGGCTCGAAGAACGAGTTCTGCAGCGATCTTCGGATCCAGATCTTGGTACTCGTCGAATCGAACATTGTTGGCTCCACCTTGGCGATCGAAGACTTGCAATGGAGTCTTGGCGGACTGCTGGCATCTCATATCAAGTTTTGATACAGCATGAACACCTTCCAGGATCTGTCTGCGAATAACAGCTTGGAGGGGAAGTCGAGGGTTAAGAAACATGACCTCTACCTTAATACCACGACCCCGCATCTCACCTTCAACCCAAGAAACAAAGTCTCGATCCAATTGTTCCATGAGAAGGATCTGAACATCCGGGACATCTCTAGGGTCTCGACGAGGAATCTGGAGGTCTGCATCCTCAACGGCCTCACGCCCTCGAGGACTGAGACTTCTTTCCCGATATCTTCCATCATCTCTGCGACCATATGGGGATCGACTTCGACGCCTGTCACGGCTCTCGTAGGAGTCTCGACCACGAGGAAAGTACTCATCACGACCTCGGAAGTTTCCTCGAGGAGGTGTTGGCGATCTTACTGGCCGATAATCATCACGAACTCGAATAGGCCGTCCATACTCGTCGGAGCGGTAGGTCGGTGCAGCACGTCCATCGTATCGATCAACAGCAGAGTTTCGACCCCGGCCACCGCGATCAGAACCGCCTCCTCGGGCAAAATCGGGAGATCGCGATCTTCGTCCTTGGTTTGCTGCCTGTGCGTTACGAGTGTTCTTTTGTGGCTTCGAAATTTCAAGATCTACAAAATGGTTAGTCCAGTATCCCACTACAAGCTAGAAGTTCACCCACGCATTTTTCGTCCTCTCACTTCTGCCCCTTGCTCACGTTCCAAAGCTGCGTAACAGGCAGCACTGGTATGGAATTGAATGAATCCGTATGCTTGCTTGATTGATACCTGTGCAATCTTGCCGTATTTGTGAAATACATGAAATAGGTCTCGTTTTGTTACCTTCTCGCTTGGGAGATTGCCTGTTTGAACATGTCAGATTTCTGCCCTGTGAATAGCCATTTATTAGCTTACCAATGAACAAACGAGAATTCAGTGGAAATCTGTCCCACAGCCCTTCCTGGACATACATTCGCTCATCGGCAAGGAACTCGTCGTAGATTTTTTGAACATCCGGACCCCATTTTGCATCAGCTTCATCAGCTTCATCCTGAGATTCAATAGAAGTAGCTTGGCGGTCTAGGCCAGCTGATCTATTGATCTGCGTATATGAAGCTGGGCTAACAGGACTTCCAGTGGACATATGGGCTGGACGGAAGGAGGCACTTGGAGGAGGGGGTAACCCACCTCTAGGATCAGTAGACGTACCTGGGGCACCAGCAGCAATGAGAGCCGTGACACCGCCGGGCAGTCTATAAGATACAGAGGGTTGAGGGACACCTGGAGCTCCTGCGTGGTACTTCTGGATATCATCGGGATAAGGACGCTTTTGGGGGATGTTTGGGCGTGGTGGAAGACTGGCATGGGTGGGAAGGCCAGAGCTGCCTTTGGCAAGGGTTATCTTAGAAGACTGGGTAGAAGGAGTGGTGGCGGGAGAATTCGATTCATTCTTCTCGGCATTGGCAGTGATGTTGTCCAGTAACTGTTGGATATCTATCCCACCATTTGTGGCATCGTCATATGTGTGGGATTCGAGTTTCGTCTCCTCAATTGAAGTCTGAGCTGCAACTGCGTCGAAATGATCGATGTTTGCAGTATCATCGACAGTTGGGTGGGTAGGACTTGAATTGGTAGGGGTGGGCTGGGTGCCTTGGCCAGGCTGAGCTAGGTCGGTGGCAGGAGGATCGTGTGAAAGAATAGAGGAAGGTAAAGTGTGGTCTGATACGGTAGCAGGCAAAGACTTCGTGTCTGACTCAAATTTTGCCTGTGATATACCCTGACTATCTGCTTGCTCGTCCCCATCAGAGTCAACTGCCATGGCATAGTCATCGCTGACATCCGTTTCTTGGTCGACGTTGTCTGCTGGCTTTTCCTCCGTGCCTTCAGACTGCTCTTTGTACGCGTCCGAGAAGCTGGAATCCACAGATGGTGATTTCGGGTCGTCTGGTGGTGCTACGGCTGTCTGCATTGGCGATGGTAGAATTGAGACCGGCGGGGTCGGTTCTTCTAGATGTGTGGCGGTCATATTGAAAATGGGATCGATCTGGTTCCGAAGGACTGGGTTGTTGGATGGTTCGGGAGGATGTAGTGGGAGGGGAGAAACTGGTGACAATGTCTTTGTGCGGAACCCGGGGGGCTCTGGTGTCATGAAGGCCTTGTTCGGAAGTCAAGAGACATGGAAGGTAACAGGAATGGGATGCAGTGGTGGATTGATGTTCGATCAAGCAGTCCGAGTTCACTAAACGAGGAGGGAGGGGTTCAAGAAGCTCATATGACGGAGGAGGGAAGGATGGGGTGGCTTGAAGGTGAAAGGCAAGAGCGGGCTGCTGGGTGTCGGCTCTACAAATGTTGCTTGGTGGCAGATGCAGGCACACTCTATCGAGGTAGAGACATCCTCAGTCGTGCGAGAATCCTGTTGGTGACTTGACGCTGAGTGCAAGAGGAAGATGGTTTGCGCGCTTGAACTTTGTCATTGATGAGGTTACAATTAAACAATTGAGGCTGATGGAGAGTTTTTCCACAAAGGCTCGGCTTTCGAGCAAACCCGCGCTAAGCTGCACTAACCACATTAAGCGAACTGGCTGGTGAAGAATGTGACTTGTTGGTTTTGTGACAGAAAGGCATGGCTGATGCAGAACTGGCTCATCTGCCTTCCCCGAGTGCAATTGCATCCAGACAACAAAGCCACCGCGTGGATCTTAGCCCTTGCTGAGGGGGCAGGGTTGGCGAGCCCTGGGATGCTGGAAAGGGGAGATTTAAAAGCTTGAGCTCTTCCCAATTGTTCACTGCATTGTTGTTGGATCTCTACGCACGTCTTGCTTCTGTCCTTTTCACACATAAGCATCATAGTCGAACGAAGCTATTGAGGCGGCTCCGTAATTTCAGTTTTGCCATGCGTCACGTTCTAAAAGCTTGGTCCAAGTCACCTTCTCGAGGCCAGCTTACTTTGCTGCAAGACTGCAGAACGTACTCGTCACGTCCTACTAGTGATAGTGAAGCTGCCGATCTTGATGCTGCCAGAGAATGGTTCCGGAGATTCAATAAATCGACAATACCAGAGAAGATCGCCAAGACAGAATTCTCTAGGTCCAGTGGGGCTGGTGGTCAAGCAGTCAACAAGTATGTTGAGAAATCTTGTGCGGTTAACATTTTGCTGACTTTCATAAAGAACTAGTTCAAAGGCCACCACGGTATGGAAATTAGATGCCCTCTATCCTCGCGTTCCAAAAGTTCTCCACCAAGGACTACAAGATTCCAGGCACTATGTGTCTTCCTCGAACTCTATCAAGATGCAATGCGATTCATCCCGGAGCCAGTCCGACAACAGAGCAGAGAATCATCAAAAACTTTTTGACGAAATTACAAGAATATACAAGCAACGAGTTCCAGGAATCACTCCTCCAGAGCAACTGAAGAAGATTGAACAACTGTAAGCTCGTCAATTTCACGTTTCCAAATTACTTGTATTGAGTTGCAGTTTATCCTCCACACTGATTCTTCACCTCGCGCGCATAAGTGGGAATGCAAACGGAAAAGCTAGATAGTGGTGCCATCAACAAACTCAGACGTCAAGTTCTGGCTGACGTCAAGGAAAAGAAGAAGCTCAAAATGCCGTCTCTGGAGAAGCAAAGAGCCCGCCAGGCACTATATGCAACAAGGAGGAAAGATTCCAAGAGGCGCGGATCGAGCAAGGCTCGGAAGTAGTAAACTGTCCATCGCCAACTTTGGTTTTCTTGTTGGGTGTCAATTTGGGTGCGCATCACTTCTCATGCCTCGAAAATATTTGCTGAAATTTTTTGGTACCTAGGAAAGAATCGGAAAATACAGCTAGACTCCGGATGAAGAAGTTGCACGGCGACAAGAAGCGCTCTAGGAGTGGTGGTGGCGGTGGCAGGAGGGTGGACTGAAAAGACTACCTGTACATGTATCAACTTGTAAATATGGGTCCTGAGTGAGTCATTGAAGGCGTGGAATAGAACGCTTCGAGAACGCAGAAACTGTCTCATGTCAGGTACTCGGTGTCCCGGTTGGTGGAGGGTGGATGGAAGCTCTGGGAAGGTCCTGACGAAATTTGTGGGGATGCGAGTCTGTTATACAGCATTTCAAAGTGAAGACCCGGGCCAATAAATGGCTGAATCCTTTCAGCCACCAGCCTTGAGATCTCAACTTGTGATGAAGTGGTGGATCGCTGCGAGTCCTTTTTCCAGCACTATTTATAACTCATCATTCCCCAGGAATCCGTTGCTGCAGAGTCATCTTCCGTAAAGAGAATTGTATCATGATGTAGACCTCAGCCCTCGGCCTTCGACAGCTCTCGGGTCCAACATCCAAAGCAAGCATTGTGTCTTGAAGGAGATTCTACTCCCAACTCTCTCACAATCATCTTCGCTTGGTCAAACATTGGGACAGGGTTTTCAATGGTAATCAAATGGATCGAAAGAAATGAAACTGGACAATGTAAGGCCTTGAACTATGATTGACCCAAAGGATAGCTGATAAATTTCAGAACTGCAAAGAGCACAGTACTTCATCATCCCTTAGATGCACTCTTTGCACAGATTCCAGACGCTCTTAGCCCTAAGATTACAAACTCCATGTACTTTCAGCAGAAGGATGAGCTTAGCAACCCCATACCCATCGAAGACACCCAATCTCGTTCAGTGCAAGAAAAAAGGCTTGGGAGACCTTGATTAAGATCATCCATTCAACCACTTTGCCCACGATTGACATGCTCATTCCCAGGGAGTAGAAAGCTAGGGTAGCTGAATTGTAAGTTATCAAGCCTATCCAGCTATTTCCTTAATAATAAGTTAGAATGGTAGAGTAAAACTTGAGAAAGAAGGTAGGAAGATTGGTTAATGAACGATGCGGAGAGAACTATGGGAGGCGAGGATGCTGAGAAAGTGCAAGTAAAGAGGCACAGGACGAGGGCTCAATCGGATCCGGGTTATAGTAAGAAGAATAAACGAAAAAATTAGGAGACCCTTGTTTGGCAACGAACAGTAGAAAGAGTGCTGATCACTGTCCAGTGGTAAAACCATGTAAATTTGCAGGTATGCCTTATGTCGAAAAGCCCCGCATCAAATGAAGTAATTTGGATACTCTTCAAGTCCAACCATCATCATTCCGTGATGTCCGATTAGCAGCCTGTACAATGTGTCAAATGTAGCTGCATGAAATTCACCCAATTCATGCGCAGAGGCTAGAAACCACAGTTAAATCTGCTCAGCTTATTCCACTTAGGTGGTGGTGCATTTCTGCTATTCAAGTTTCTTTATCGTATGTCTGATCACCGTCTGGATGCCTGGATCTAACTCTTCCAGCCCTAAAATCTGCTCAAACCATGCTTTCATCTTCCTCGAAAGCACTGCTTTGTCGTTTGCAGTGCCCATCGACTCCTTCAGCCGGTCCAAGGTAGATCCTACCGCTATTGGAAATTCTGGAGACGTTGGTTCAATACCAAGCACCGGCTGTCTAATGTAGCAACTGCAGATACACGGATCTCGAGGGTATGATTCCATCATGCTGTCCAGAACATATTGCAAGATCTTAGGTAAACATCGCACTTGGGTGAAGGAGGCGAACATGTCGAAAAAATCTTCAGCTGCCGCAGGGCAGAAGAATGGTTGTTTGCGAGCAGCATCAAAAATGGCAAGTGGTATCGCTCCATTGAGAGCTGAGGTTGTCATCGGGTCTTTCGCTACCTCCGAGTCAACCTCAACACCTTTGATCATACTAGGTCGCAGGGTGTGCGTCTTAAAGTCGGGAATGGCGATGACATCCGCTGTAGTGGAGAAGCCTCCATCATCGGTTGCTCCCTCCGTGTTCTCCAAAGCCTCGACAGATTCACCCGCGTCTAGGCCAAGAATTCTCCTCCTCATGGCAATTTTGGCCAGGTAAATCATCTCCAGCTTGGCATACTCGATCCATAAATCCTTGCTCTGGGTACAGAACCTCGTTCCTCTCTGCATGTAACTCCGCGCACCATTCATGTCCGCCTCTAACTCCAATGCCCATCTCGCGGCATAAAGCCACAATTCTGATTTGGTAGGATGCAGTCGAATTGCCGATGTTAAGACCGACTTGAACTTCTTCGTTGCTCTTTCTTGCCTAGTATATTCGAGGTATGACATCCACAGTGCAACATCTCCCGGGTGCTTCTTTGTGCCTCGATCAAAGATTTGGAAGGTTCTAGCCTGACCAGTGTATGCGGAGCTGCCTTTAATTCGTAATCGTTTGCATCTTTTTTGCCGGAGCTTCTCTAAGCTGATTTCCCAAGCCGCATACCGAGCAAAGTCGATTGGTTGTGATCCTCTACCGAGGATCTTGTGTTCGAAATCGGATCTCTTCTTGACAAGATTTCTGATCTCGTCCTAAAGTTCTTCAATCAGCAATAATTCTTGGATCTGGTTGCCGTTCTGATCGCGCGGCTGCTCAGCTAACTCACGTCGTCGAAAATTTTCTTCTCTTTAAACTCCTGCAGTTGAGGCACCGCCTGTTCCAGGTAGAATCGTGCTTTGTCGCTAGCTCCTGACATTTTGCGTGGAATGCCCGCTGAAGTTTGGTTGTCTCCTTGGCTTGCGAGCTCGACGATATAATTTTCTGGGATTCTGCCGGGCGGTGAAGGATTGCGCCCAGTGAGCCTTCACGTTTTGATTCAGGAGGCGCTTGGACGTATTGGGAGCTGATCCATGCGCTTTATGGGGTAATTGACCGAGCAATCGCGACAAGCAACCTTGCATTTTCTCTTGCTTCACTTCGCGTTAATTTCTTGCTCTGGCACATCCCTCTCCCCCGGATACTCGGATGACACTCCTTTGGATGTGAAATCATTCGTGATTGCAATGGCACCCAAATTCAAGGACGGCGACGTTGTGTTCGCTTTCTCTGGTAAATGGGTGTCTTGGGTACATACCGCTGTTGCTTATGGTCAGTCCCGCATGCTTGAACAGCTCGACAGTTTGCTAACATATCCGCAGCTGCTTTCCTTGGCGCATTGATCGTTGGCGTTGCTCTGCATTATCATAAAATTGTTGAAAACGAATACTATGGATACCCCGAGGAGTGGTTCCCCTCCGTCTCGGCAACGATTGGCGATCGATATCCGGAACGTTCGGTTTTCATGCTTTTTATAGCTATTACTTCAGGTACGAGAGGCAAGATACTCGATAAGGGTTGGGTCAAGCTAACAGCAAAGTAGGTCCACGTTTCGTTCTGGTTGGTCTGTGGTACCTCCTAACTGCTCGTCCAAATGCGACTCTCCCGAAGTTTGTGGCGGCCATGGGCTTATTTCGAACCCTCACATGCGGTGGATGGACTTATGTCACTTCGACGGATGATCACGACTGGCACGACATATTCATGATATCGTACCTCGTGGGAACGCTGCCTTGGACCTTAGGATGCATAGCTCTAAGTCCAAGCAGCGGCAAAGCCGTCAAGTATCGGAAATATCTTGCGGGCTCCTTTTTTGGTACCCTTGTACCCCTCATTTACTTCTTCATTCAGCATAAGGTCCATAAGGTCGCTGGAGGTAAGTTTCATGAATTTGAAATATCAGCTTGCGACTGACACATCTGTCAGCTTACACTACATACGCTTTCTTCGAGTGGGCTTTGGTTTTGCTTGATGTTGCCTTTGATGCTGTTACAGCTCTCGATTTTGAGACTTTCGAGTTGGTCGTCAAGGACGTAAAGGGTTCGAGTAAGGGGTACGTTCGTTGGCTTCCGAAATGAAGCTTGTACTATATGTATTTTGCCGATAATACATGATTCTGAACTCATCTAAACAGTGTGTTCTATAGAAACAACAAGATTGTGGCCGATGCAGTTCTTGAAAAAGAGTACGTGCTCTGGAACCTCATCTGGAACCGTCGCGCTAATTCTTACCCAGAAAGGACAAGCAAGTCAACCAAGTATTTGGCCAAGCTTTCTCCTGGAGTGAAGCAATCGATGCAGTGGCAGATATATACAATGGGGTCGGTTCGTTGACTTGCTCTGTCGGCTTTCACTAACAAATCCTCAGTTTGTTTTCTGGTCTATGTTGACCTCCCTGGGAGTTCTCGTCTGGTGTGAGTCTTGCAATACGATATATCCTTAATGATACTGATTTTGCCAGACTTTCCGCTATGGCATATGGGTATTTCGGGCTACGAGGTGATGGTCATGTCAACGGTCTCGCCTTTGCTGCTCGGTATCCATTCGATACGTTCACTGGTGGTGAAGAACCTTCGGGTTTGCCATTTTCTCTCACTAGCGGGATTGCTTGCATATCAAGTAAAGAGTCCAGCGAATCGACTTTTCACTGTTGGATTTGCCGTCTGGATGTCCTGTCTCTCGTGGGCAGCAACTTGGTATTCACACGCGGCCCAGCCTGGACGCCTGGAATCAAAGATATCTGCTTGGGCCATTGGTCTTATTGCGTCCAGCGTCGTCAAGTTCGCATGGCAGACGAGTAACCCCATTTGGCCAATATCTCACGCTTCAAATGGAGGTTGGAACGCCACAGGCCTTTTACTGGCAGTTTTGGCCGTCCTTTGCTCTACTCGTAAGTCTCCTGGCAGCGGCAGCGATCTTGCGATCCAAGGACGCAAAGAAGGATCCTCGCTGTTAGCAGGACTGGGCTTGGCTGGTCTATTTTTTGGCCTGCATTCCCTTCTATCAGATTCTAGCACAATGATTCTTTGGGTATGGGAAGGGTATCCAGTACGAGGTCCAATCTCAGCACCGCATGGTGCTTGGACGATAGCTGCTATGGGTGCAGGATTGATTCTGGGTCTGTTTAACGAAGACATCGCTCGGAGCTGGACGTTATTTGGGATTGGATCCGTTGGTGCAGCGATGTTGACCTTATACAGCAACTGGAGGGGATATTATGGTGCCCTCATGTTGGCCGTATATCTCATGGCAGTGGCAGTGCCCCTTATTGGGTCAGCAGCGCGAAAAAGTCCTGCTAGAACCTTCGGCATCGGCTTTCTGGCGTATAATTTCATGGTATTGTTTCACGTCTGGGTGGTTGCGTATGCCTTCGTGCCCGGAGGCCCTCTAGTTCGGGAGCATACTGATTGGGTCATGATGACAACCATGCTTCTCATCGGCTGCGGGGTCTTCTCGTCCGCATCGTCAACTCCAGCAGCACAACGCAAGCGGTTCAACGCATACCTCAATTCCCGCAAACAGCGCTCCTATTACCTCTATGTTCTCGGGGTCTTGCAACTACTCTCTGTCTCCATCGCATACCTTCGATTCCCAACTTACGACTATGTTCCCTATCACAAGGACGACAAAATCCTCACCGCAGGCATCTGGACGATCCATTTTTCGCTCGATAATGATATGTGGTCTTCGGAGTATCGGATGCGTGATGTAATTAAAGAGCTGGAACTGGACGTTGTTGGCCTTCTTGAGTCTGATCTGCAGCGCATTATCATGGGCAACCGTGATACAACACAATTCCTAGCAGAGGACCTTGGCATGTACGTTGATTATGGACCAGGGCCCAACAAGCATACTTGGGGCGCCGCTCTCTTATCCAAATTCCCCATCGTGAACTCGACGCACCATCTTCTTCCTTCGCCTGTCGGTGAGCTGGCGCCGGCGATTGAAGCAACTCTAGATGTGTACGGTGAGACGATTGATGTATTCGTCTTCCACTCGGGCCAAGAAGAGGATCCTGAGGATCGAAGACTGCAAACGGAATACCTTTCCAAACTCATGGGTGCCACACCACGACCGGCCATTCTACTGTCGTATTTGGTTACGAAGCCACTCGAGGGTAATTACAATACCTACGTGTCAGAAACAAGCGGAATGCACGACATCGATCCCGATGACTGGGACCGGTGGTGCGAGTATATCCTCTACAAGGGGCTGAAGCGGACTGGGTATGCACGAGTGAGCAGAAGCACAGTTACAGACACTGAGATCCAAGTCGGAAAGTTCAAGATTGGCGAGAAAGAGAGTGACATTGCGGAAGTGAGGAACGCCAGGATCAATGAAGATCAAGTGCCGGAGGGCATGCGTTTCCCGCAAATGTTCCGAGGAGAGGGCGTGCGAGGACACCAATACCACGTCTTTGATGAGCCGAGGTACTATGCTTGAATATCGTGGGCCGACGTTTAGGGATTTCTTTTGTTGGAGATGGGACGATGCATGACTGAAAGGGGGAAAGGCAACTTATGGCTGAACGAACATTGGGGGATGATTATGGGGCTCTGGGGGAGACACTGTAGAATAATATTTGGAGGAGCGAAGGCGAACGATTGATTTATAGCATACGTTGCATCTTCAAGGCCTTGTGGCAAACTTCTTCAGAAGCTATCTTGACCCCTTTCATCCTTCATGGCGGCAAGTTGTGGTATTCTTTCATTTCATTTGGCAAATGATCCGACCCTGGAGGAAGTCTTGGTGCTGATGACTATTTGGCGAATGGCTCCCGAATGTCGTGCGGTTCCGGACGCGCAGTTTCATACTGGAAGATTTGTAACGAGGGGACCAAAGCGTCCTTTCAAAAGGGGGATGATATTTTCTTGATGGTTTTATCGATACCTGGAGCAGTGAATGGTTCCAAGTTTTTCTCATTTGTACAGCAGCCTTAAGGCTCAGTCCTTCCAAGCACATTTCTTGGGTCCAAAGCGGGAGCTAGGAAATGACTGGCACTCTTCATCTATATTAAAACGACGCTTCTGAAGAAAACACCCATCACACATCCCCAACCTCATAAAATTCCATCCAAAACGGCTCCACAACACTCCCGTAAAAGAGTTTGGGGGGGTATACGTCCCATTTAAACGGATCACCAGTTTCCAAAACTATAACAACTTAACAAGCCGTTTGACCTTCGCGACGTCCAATCAATATACATCCCACTAGCCTGGCGGAACCACTCTCAGCCCAAGGTCTCCGATTGGTGTGTTCGTGATAAGAGCGAAGAGGCTGTGGATGCTGTAGAGAGTATCAGGCATTTGAACGTTGAGCTGGAGTAAATGACACAACTACCCAGGATGGAGAATGGAGTGCCGAGAAAGAAAATCTAGCCACGAGCCCAAACCCAACCTTCGTCTCGTCTCGGACGTCCTATGGAAAGATGAACCGACTGATGCAAGAACTCCTCACGATCCAAACCCTGGCCGTCGAGAAAGTACACCGCGAGACGCCGCAAGTACGATGGCCTACTTCAGAGGCTTACCAGGAAACGGAGGTCCTGTTTGGTATCTTCATATTGGTTTGGTGGTCTATTAAGGGCGCATGAAGGATCGGTTTGCGGACTGAGGGGGGGCTTGAGTACGTCCAACATCTTGTATGGACTATGGAGCTGGTTCCGGGATTTATTAAATTGACGAGTCTCGACCTCACTTAAGTTGAGCGGGTGGTGGGTTTGGAACGGCTCTCTGGACTTCTTCAACAACATGGTCATGGATGCTGTGGGCAGGAGGCTTTGCGTGTTATATTACTGGGTTGTAAACGTCTGAATGGGGAAGGTTTTATGAATGTGCCCTGAAGTGGTGCTATAGTAGGTTGATGTTTGACAATGGCTTTGGTTGAAATTGGATGTGCAAGTCAACGGTCGAGGGAACTCGAGGTTCGGATTTGCGCTTCTACGAGAGCTAAAAGGGATGTCGACATTTTCAAGCAGTGGAAGAGGGAGAGGAGCTTTATTGGGACTTCATGGACGAAATTTCAAGTTGGAGGCAAGAGCAACAGGTGTAGGAGTTGCAGATACTCGATCTTTTGAAATAAAAGGATCTTTGAGCCGATCTGTATTATTCTATGGCTGTTGCTGATGATGGACTTTTGAAAAATGTGTAAAGTTAAGGGGTGCAAAAGCACCTTGTGACCTTGGTAGACCCGAAAACCGTTGCACATGGCAGGTTGAAAATGGAACATTGAGCTATGATTCATGAAGACAACATGTCGGTGGAGGTTTGCGAGTCGAAGGCAGTCTCGGTGGCCGCGGTGATTCCAATGAGAAACATTGTACAAAGACCTCCGAGAGAGAGACCTTTCTCATTCCCTCTCCAGGGTATATTCATCATGTCCTTGAGATCGAAAGACCTTCTGATACTCTTGTAGAACAGATAGAACATTAGACAGGACAGATTCCAGAAAGAACTTGTCCTTCGCTTGAGATAGGAGGGCATTTGCAGTAGCACCTGAAGTGAAGAATGAGAAGTGAGTGTGACTTCGTTTATGCACCGCCAACAGTGCCTTGGTGCATGGCCACTTGGTGACTCCACAGCCACATCCTTCGACGTCAACATAGATTGCACTTGCAGAAGTCGATCTGGCATCAAAATACCTCAAGAACCTTGTTCCCTCGAGTTTCAGCTGACGAATCAAAGACAAGCAGGCATGACATCCTTCGAAACGAAGCACTGCCGCCATCAGTCGGTTAAAGCATTACAACCTGATAACATCGAGCGTTCTCGAGCCTCCCATCCTACGGACGTATGGAATCGTAATCGGATCCGAAATCTCCGTCAAACTTCCTTTTCGCCTGTGATTCGCTCCCTCAAAACGCGATGAAAACTTCTCGTCCCAGCCAACCCCCCTGATCATGATCACGCAGCTCAGACCACCACGGCTCGACTCGCAGGCCCCTGTTCTCTCTCGTGGCAAGGCGCGACAAGTCATCTCGCTTTCGCTACTGGGTGGGATCGAATGGCAGCGGCGCAGATCCAAACGGACTCCAGCCATTGGCTCGGCAGAACCTGAATGCCGAAGCTTTGCACGCCCATGCAACCACTTCCGTCGGCCAAATCCCGTCTCTTCGGTCGAAGGAAGAAATTTGACGCTGAGATTTTTCAGCTCGCGTTTTGCAGGGGATTTTTCTGCGCTGAGTGGAGCCGAGTGGAGGTAATTTTATTCCGAGATTTGATGAGTGGTGGGTGGCGGGGACCCGAGAATGAGTTTTTATGGTTGTGATTAAGGTTGATTTAGTAGGGTGAGACATTCGCAAGGGATTGGCAATTACTCGTGTGAGCTTTGCGCTGTGGCTGGTGCCGTACTACTAAGATGGTGTTGAGTTGGCAAGTCAGTTGACAACTGCCGAAATGCACGCAGATGCAGATTGAAAAGATATGCTAATACGGTGGAGCGCTGGTGTTGGTGTTGGTGGAGGAGGTGGCATCGGGATGAACTGATGATTAGGGATCTGGCACATCCCCCGCAGGAGCATCGCACAACTGCCAAAGAGCAAGTCCTGGCGATACTGTAGGACCCCTCTTGCTCTTCGACGCTTCGTACTGTGTTTCCTCTGCAAAGTAGTGAAAAAAAAGTGCAATCTGCTTGCTGACATCAGGGGCGACATCGGCTTTCTATTTGGAGAGTCCGCCGTTTTATTAACCCGCGTTCCTTGTCGCCGCCAAGCTCGTACGGCCGTACCGAATACGCTGCTGGGAGCCTGGGAAACTGAAACTGAGATATTGATAAGATTAATAAGCGCGAGGTTGCGAATCAGCGAATTGGAGGCCTGCTCGCAATGCGGGGTGCAAAACAACTGCCAAATTTCGCATGCGGATATTGGCGCGGAGAGGAGGGAGGCATTTTTCATGAAACTGGAGATGCACAGAGGGCTCCGGCGTGCGCCCCATTTTGTTTCACAAGGCCACGGACGCATCTCCTCACCTCAGCCTCATGGGCTCGCAATGTTCCAAGACAACACAGGCTGAGTTCGCTCCGCGTCACAACCACCAGCCTCCTCCTCGAGTTGGTTACACAACGTGCAGGCCGTTGGATCTGGGGCAGTTCGATGATCCCAGGACCCCGTGTCAAAGAATCGGGGACGGCACTGGCTGAGGTCGACTGAAGCATCAGATAAGACGCCCCCGAGTCACTTCGGGGGGGAGGACGCGGCCCAGGTGTGGCTGGGGCCGCGGCAAAAGCTACATGGGGAAAACGTTTGCAGAATGACGACGTCGATTTCGAGAATTAAAACACTGCGAGTGTATCAGAGGCAGCCTCCGTGTTCTTGCCGTGCATGGCCTGGAGTTATCGATAGCGATAAAGGATCGATCTATCTGTGCCTGACGTTCCCTGGAGAGCAGCATGAGCAGCATGCTGCCCCGAATCCCAAGTGTACAGCAATCCAACTTCCCGACCCCGACTCCGAGCTACTGCCTGGCTGGTCGTCGTCGTTGGGCGCGGCTTATGTCAGAAAGCGCAAGCGCCTCGGTGGGCGCAGTGGCTCGGCCAGTGAGACGATGAGGCTGGCTTTTGTGCGGAACGCCGGAGTTTGTGCATATTTTAATGCTTGCTGGCCAGGCATTCTGTGCCGCCAGCACATGATATTTCGAGATGCAAATCGTCTCGTCTCATGTCGCTGGTGGGCTTCACGCGGTGACTGCAAAGGATGAAAGGAGGATCGCCCGCACCCTCGCAACATCCCGACCCCCTTTTGTGAACCGAGTCCTGGTGCTCTCCTCGTCTCTGGCTGTGCTGTCCTTTCCTCTGCTGTGCCCTCTGCCCTCCTCGCGCTTGCAAAGTGAATCGGCCTCCGAGCGCTGTGCTTTCTCTCCGCTGGGTCCATTTCTGATCTCGCTTGCGCGCGATCCACATCAACCCATGCCAACTGCACCTGCTGTGGCTTGCCAGGCCTGCGCCTGTTCAAATTACACTGGCCGCCAGGGTCTAGCAGCTTGAGCTCGAGAAGGCCCCAATCCACATCCACATCCCCATCCACCAAAACTCAAAGGGCGGTACCGACACATCCGCGCTCACCACCATCACCACTTCCTCTCTCCGCCGCCCATTCCGCCATTCCCCCATTCCTCGAATATCGTCACCGCAGGATCATCCAAATATCGACTTCATGTGCAGCCCATAGCATATCGAGACCCCCCCGTTACTAAAGCATCAATCCCCCCTTCCCTCTCCGCGCGGCCCATCCGCCGTCAACCCGCCATCTCTACACGGAACGGCAGGAAAGGGCGACCTTGATCCTCGACGCCATGCCAGAACCCAAATACTACGCGTCGAGCTCTCCGATCTTTACAAAAGCGAAGATCCCCTTCTCGTGGCCTTCAATACCGAATCCTATTCCTCGCAGGTATCGCCGCCGGTTACGTTCGAAGTTCCGGTCAGCCCAATCCCCAGCGTCGTCCTTCGCCTCCCTCCAAACCTCCTTCAACCCTGCGGATACGATACGAGCGCTGCGGTCACATCGATGGTCGTATTATGACGGGCACTACTTAGTGCTGATGATAGTAGCCATATTCTCGCTCTCCGTCAGTCAGGCTCCTGGGCCGTTGCTCAAGACAGGCGCTGCGTCGCTACTTATGCTCGCCTTGTTGGTGCCAATAACAAGACAATTCTTCCTGCCAGTACTGCCGATATTTACCTGGCTACTTTTCTTCTTCAATGCTCGGTAAGCGGTGGCACCTTTACTCTCTCTTGGCGAAAAAATACATGTTTGGGGGGGTTCAACCAAATGATCGACCGGCGTTTCATTGCAGATCTCAGAGGCAAAGAATCCAACACTGACTTGACGATAGTTTTATCCCGGCTGAGTACCGACCACACATCTGGGTGAAAGTATTACCTGCACTCGAGAACATATTTTACGGGGCCAACTTGAGCAACATCCTTTCCGCACATCAGTATGTTACTCTCGACGTGCTCGCATGTATACCCTACGGACTTTTGCACTATGGGGGACCATTTTTCTGGGCAGGCCTGATGTTTTTGTTTGGGCCACCTAAAATAGTGCCGGTGTTTGCTCAGACATTCGGATACCTGAATATTCTTGGTGTCGCGATCCAACTGATCTTCCCGTGCTCACCACCATGGTACGAAAACCTCTACGGGCTTGCACCAGCAAATTATTCAATACCGGGATCACCGGCCGGATTGGCCCGTGTAGACCAATTATTGGGCTTTGATATGTATACCACGAAGTTCACTGCATCGCCGCTTGTGTTTGGTGCATTCCCATCATTGCATTCTGGAAATGCAGTGTTGGAGGCACTGTTCATGAGCCATTGCTTCCCGAAATTACGGCCTCTCGTCTTTACATATGCGATGTGGATGTGGTGGGCGACAATGTACCTATCTCACCATTACGCGGTTGATTTGGTCGGGGGGGCATTCCTTGCGGCAATTGCTTTCTACATTGCAAAAAACAACTTCTTGCCGAGAATGCAAATGGACAAGGCATCGCGCTGGGAATACGACTATGTTGAGATTGGAGATACACCCAGCAAAGGCTACGAATATAAGCTCTCAGTCCTTGGAAACGACGATTTCCGCCACGACAGCAGCGACGAGTGGACCATTGGTTCCTCTTCATCAATCTCCTCGGGTTCAAGAAGTCCAGTTGACGAGAGCCAATCTTGGGAGGGGGAGACACTCGCAAGCCAGAATTCAGATGCCGAACTCAGCGAAATCGTTGTACGATGATCCCCACTCAAATCCAGAAAGAACGAAATCCAATCACCCATTCGACAACGTCCCCTGTCGATATTTCATCATGATTTTACGTTATTGTCATGTCTCGGCGTCTAGCATATGAGCGCCTTCGCAACACCTTTTAAATCCTCAACTTTCCAATTCTTCTGGACTCTCGAACACATCCGCCCTGTATATACACTCTCTTCCCACCAATTCGAGAGCTTCCAGCAAGAATTTTGGAGGCCGAGGACCCTTTCGAGATATACTTAATGCTAATAACGGCTTGGCCATCTCTATGAACACCAATTTGGTGTGAAATTGGGAGACAGCCGTCACCTTCGCTTCTCTGTTCACTTCTTTCTCTCCTCCTCGGGAGGAGAGAATTCGACATTTGCTCGATATTTGTGCATAAAATACCACGATCGCTAGAGTTACCGCCGTCTACTCTCTGGGGAGTTCTTTCTTTCTTTTTTCGATAAAGGAGAGACGTACTGGGCTCGCAATTCATATGCTTTCTAATTATTGCCATTACCGGCATGGCATGGCATGGTTACGGCTGCATAGAAGACTTTCGCTGAATATAGACTTTGGGGCGACTTTTGGGTGTTCTGGACTTGGCTCCCTCCCAGTTGCGAGGAAGCAATGGGATGCATGGCGTGGCGCGACTTGGGATGGGATAAAACTGTCGCTATAGAAGTGTATATCTGAGAGATGCGTTGATGGGGATCTAGCCTCTGAGGAAGTGAAGGAAGGTAGGACTACGCTTTTGGAGAGCATGAGAAGGAGAGAGAAGGTAGTCTTTGTAATCGAATGACGAAGATTCTTCAAAGCAAGAGAGACAAATTTCCAACCGCTTGACAAGTGTTTCACGCAAATCCAGACGTCCCGCTCATTATGGCACATTCAAAAATATCCTCCCCTCCCTCCATTGTTCAATTCGCTCCACGAACACGGGATCTTCTGAAGTGGGAAGACAAATATTGACTAACTCATTGGAAGTTGGAACACCCCCCCAGCTCCAAACCATGTCTTCGAAGCACGACCAATCGACGAAGAAAGTTGGCCCTTGGTACAGTACAAGACTCGAGAATCTCACGTCACTTCACCGACCCGCGAGTAAGCAGGCAGCCGATGGATAGCTGCAGACAGCATTTCTGTTGCATATCGAGGGGCCCACCACCTCGGTATATTGGGTTTGCCCTCCTGGCCTCCTCTCTGTCCCTTGAAGACATGCTTGCTCGCACCATTGTACCTACCTCTCTATCCACGATCCGCGCTTCCATGCGCGTCTCCCATCACCAGGACTGCAATTATGCAAGCATGCACTTGCCCACTCCTCTCTCCTCTAGCCTCCCTTAACCTTTCTTTCCCAGTACACAAGGTTATCAAAAATCCGATGATCTTGATCAAGCACGATATTTTATTCTTACCAGTTGTAAACGAGGGGGGTGGGGTGGCGAAAAATACCTTAGGTGCCGGGGTAAAACGTCTGCTTCGGGTCGAGCGGGTGCCGGGGAATGGGGGGGGGGGGAAAAAAAAATTTCGTTGCATTTCGCACTTTTGGAACTCGTGTCGGGAACGTGCCTCGCACGTGTTGGGGGGACCGCTTTGGGGATGGTCACGGTTGCATTCGCTTAAGGGGAGGTGGGGTTTGCGAGTTAGGGGGGGGGATTTTGAATTGGGAAATGTTCTGGAAGAATGGGGGAATGATTTGGAAGGAATGGGCTGCTGGGTTTGGATTAGGTGTTGTGTTTAGGGGGTTTTGGGAGGGGTTTTTTTTTGGAGTTATTGTGTTTGCTATGAGGTGATAAAGACGCATGCTGGTTGGATGGCTAAGGGCGAGAATGTGCAATGTAGATCTTCATCAGCAACGAGCTTCCAAATTTGATTTCAAATTCCATTTTCTTCACCAAGGGGCTTCCTGTACGCTACAAAATCCAATACTCCATCGTTTCCATTTTCTAAAAGCTCGTCCTTCTATCGAGGGGTAACCTGAACTCTCCATCGAGCGATCCCAATTTCTCGGCCGAAATTAAGATTGGATGTGCAACAGTAAAATTTTCAAATCAACAATCAAAATGATGGAGTAAAATCAAGTGAAGTGGCCTTAAGCCAACGATATCCATCCATTTGCATATTCTATAAGCTGTCGTCCATCATTCGATTCATCCGTCAGTGATTTCCATGATTCATAGTGCTCAAGCGCCTCCTGTCCCCTCGCCATCATCTGCATATAAAAAAGGCGTCCAAATCCCTATGGCCAGGCCCGGCCAGCCAGCAAGTCAAGAAAATGCCCTCTTTTCGGCTATTCCCGTAGAAGTAGAATTTAAAAGTGAAGGAAATGGCGCTCAAGAACATTCTCAACAAAGCAAAAGAAAATCGACAACAATCGGCTTTTGGGGTCGTTTCGTAAGGACAGTCCGTCTATTCTTCATCACCAGGTTACCGTCCGGAAATCTTCGCTGCTCCTGCACTCCATAGTCCTTTCGTCGTTTCTGCTATCTTGCGTGTTTGGGCTTCGATCTGGGCTTGTGTTTGGCCTTGGCCAGAGTTGCGCTCCACGCCGCGCATGTGCGTATCTGATCCGTTCTGTGCGCCTCCGGTTCCGTAGCCTGAGTCCGTGTCCATCTGTCCGTCCTCTCCTATTCCCATGCCTCCTACGCCAGAGTCGTCTTTGCCTTGTTGTTGCAAAGGCTTAGCACCTCCTTGTGGGTTTGTGGATACCACGCCATCCATCATACCGTGCTGTCCTTCTCGCAGTTTGTTGATTGCTCTCACCGTGTCGATGGCGGCGTGTAAAGTCCTTCTTGCGTTGAAGTTCTTCTTCACCACAGGTAGCAAATCGCTGCCCTTTCCATCCTTGCTGCCCTGTGGTTCGCCGGCGACAAACGGATGTGATAGTGCTTCGTGGGCCGTCATTCGCTGCGTAGGATCGATTGTCAGACAGCGCTTGATGAAATCTCGCGCTTGTAAACTGACACCTCGCCAGTACTCAATTGGCGTGAAACTGTAATCTGCAATCAAGATGGCCTGCATTTCTTCCAGGTTGGAATCTCTGTCGAATGGTGTGTAGCCGCACAGTAAGAAGTAGGTAATAACGCCGATAGCCCAGATGTCTACTGGCTTTCCGTGCCCAGTCTTCTTGAAGATCTCGGGTGCCATGTAGCCTGGTGTTCCGCACGTTGTAGTGAGCACATGGAATTGCTCCTCGTCCATTATCCTGCTCAGACCAAAATCGGCAATCAGTAAGTCGGCGTTGTCTTCGGGAGTTCGGAAGAGGAGGTTCTCGGGCTTCAGGTCACGGTGTACGATGCCATGATCATGTAGGTAGGCGACAGCGGATAGGGTTGCTCGGATGAGATCTGCGGCATCGGATTCATAGTAGGAGCCTTTACGGCAAATACGATCAAACAGCTCGCCGCCAAGGGCGAGGTCCGTAACGAGGTAGAGGTTGTTGAGGGTTTCGAAGTAGTCTACGAGGGTCAGGATGTTTTGGTGTCCCATGGACACTTTCTTGAGAACTGCGATTTCATTGCGAACCTTGGAGAGGGGTCAGTGCGAAGTAGATCACAGCTGAAAGAGGAACGATTTACCATATGTTCTCGACCTGCCATCAGCCTCTTGTTGATGACCTTTGCTGCATAGTATCTTCCCGTATCGATATGGACACACTCCTTAACCACGGAATAAGATCCCGCTCCGAGCGTCTTCCCGGTCTTGTATCGGCATGCCTGGACCTGGGGCTTGCCTTGCTGACCCTCCTGGGGATTGGAGTAGCTCATGCTGGCAAACGGGCTCTTAAGTTCTTGCGCGCAGTGAGAAAGGCTACCTGCTTCTGCGGCGTTGGCAAACAATGGTCGGCGCCGCGATAAGAAAGGGCTTAGTGCGGGGAGGCTGCGTCGATTCGGCTTTTTCGAGGTTGAGGCGCTTCTCGAACGTGGGATCGGTGTGAAGCTCGAACGAGAGGATTATTCGCTGGATGGGAGTCGCTTCAAGACAGCAAAAGGCTGTGTACGGCGTCTCGTTGTCAGATTTGATCAGCTCAGTGAGTTCAGCCGCTCCTCATGCTCCTCATTGCGTTCCTCCTGATTGGTGAGCATTTCGTGGGGTCGTTTGAGAGACGCTAAGACAAAAGGAGACGAGGTCCAGAACGGAAGGATTTCCTGGATTCCAACCATCAAGTTCGCCATCTCCTGTTTCATCCGTTCTTCTTGCTTGCTCTTTGGTTTTCATCTTGTCCACTTGCATTCCATGATAGGGGCTCGACCGTGGCAGGTCAATTGCACAAGCCGTTTCTAGGCGGTCCCCCTTAATACAAGACAGTAACCTGTGCCTCATGGCATTTCTACGGTTGCTTCGATACGGAGAGGCCGAGATATATACCATGGCAAATCTCGGGCCTGTGAAAACTTTGTTTCGATCATCAGCCTCCTTTTCAGCCGAAAGCACGTGAGGACCCACCAAAATGCCAAATTCTGCACGTCCGCGCGTCAATGCCGAAGAAGCACCACCACGGCTGGTCAGTTCTATTTTGACAGTTTGATCACCAAGGTTTCCATGCGAACTCTCCTGTCTACCTTGTGGCTGCCGTGGCTGAGGGCCTCACTCCACTCTAAACGGGTAAGTCATTTCTAACTTTCCAATGCATGCGTGTCGTGTAGTCGCGTCCATGTCCTTGTTAAATGTCTTGCCGGTGCCAGTTGTTGTTTTTTAATCCTCCCCTTTTGAATCCTGTCTTCGTGTACTGCTTTACATTGTTGTCTACGCGTTCTCAAAGAGAAGAGACAATCGAAGCCCTTTGCTCTGTGTAACACGGCAATATGAGTTCCCCTGGGCAGCAGCAAGGTGGCCCAGGTGGGGTTGGACCTGGAGGCCAGAGCAGTCCCAATCAACCCACGACCACAAGTTCAGCAACAGCTCATACGAGCACATCTACACACAACTCACCCACTTCGACCTCAACATCGTCTGTGACCAATAAGGGTGCCATCATCGGTGGTATCGTCGGAGGAGTTGCTGGCCTACTACTCATTTCTCTAATTGGAGTCTGGTTGCTACAACGGCGGAAACAGCGCCAGAAAAGAGCCAGGAAAACGCGACCGGTCACCTACGCTGGCCTCAATTCAGTATTCCGTGGTGTTCCATTCAACCGTTCCTCCAGCCAAAGCCCACACAACAGTCTACTTCCACAGCCACAGGTCTCGCAAGGTCCTCCCTCCGGGATGGGTCTCAGAGGAGGTGCAGCGAGTTATGGGCAACGGGAAAGTGGCAGCGAAATGGACAACTTGCCACCCAGTTATGCAGAGAGTCAGATTATGGATACAACGCACCGCACAAGCTCAGACACGATTATCTCGCCGCTAAGCGCCAGAGTTCCAGGCGATGCTCACACCATATCCCCACAGACAACGGGAGCCTCAACATTCATGTCCTTACAGCGCCTATGGGCTACGAACGAACCTCATCCAATATCGCCGCAGACGACTGGCGCTTCAGCCATAGTCCGACCATACACAACCGTTTCTGAAGAAACTCCTATATTAACACCACAACCTACCGGAGCAACAATGTCCGTCCTCCCACAACAAACACGAGATACGATGGGATTTCCCATAGAGCCAGAAGAGATTCGCCTACTACCAGCCATGCCAACCACAATCGTATCACCAGCGCCCAGATATCCTCTGGTGCACCAGGATTCTCTGGAGCATGTAATACGGCAAGGCTTGATGCCGAGCGAGAGTCCAGAACCGAGGAACTTGAATCCGGATCGATTGAGAGTGATCAGCCAGGAGATGCCCAGAGAGAGTCCTATTCTGGGTCTGAATTCTGTTAGAATGGCCCCGCAGACTGCGGCGAATGACGCTCTGAGGAGGAATGATACACAACGGACTGTGAGCTCTGTGAGCAGTATGGGAATGAGTGTGATTAGCGATGGAGAGTTGGAAAGGTTGGGTGTGGGTTTGTATCATCCACCTGCTGGGAATGGTGGGAATTAAATAGTTAGTGTATATTATAGACGGAGGCTTCCTTCATTTACGTAATCTGATACCCATTCCTTTGTCCTCTTTGACTGCGGTCTACAAACATCCCAGTGGTATTTCAACAATTACAAGCTTCTCTATCACTTTACCAAACTGGAATGAAAATCAATCACTACTATGTACAAACACCTCAACACAGGGAGATTTCGAGAATGTCTTCGCGGAAAGGCTAGGGGCTCTTTCACTATTATAGTGACTTGCAAATATAGCTCCGGTTTTTGGTACGGCCTTCCAAACATCTTCCTGATTGTCTCCAATTCCGTCCCTATCTTCCTCTTTGTCGATAGAACAATCCCGCAATTATAAGAAGAATTACTATAAGTGGACCAATGGCTGCGCCTGCTATCCAGGCATGATTGGCCGATTTGGGAGATGGAGCTTGAGAGGAGCCTGGATTTGGAGATGCGGTAGGATTTGATGTTCTTGTTGACTCGATGGATCTGTTCGAGCTCCCAGGTAAGGGGATTGATGTTGCGAGGGAACTCGAGCCACCGTTAAGTTTTGACCCAGAGGCTGTAGGTAGTGTGATTCCATTATATAAGAGGGCCTGAGGGTTCGCGGCTGTCGGAATTGCTACTATAGTGGCGGGAAAGCAAGAAGCTTGGAGTGAATACTGTTGCTGTTTGCCAGGCCAAATTCAGTGGGGCCACGCTACCGTACACTGTCCAGTTGTGCCGGACGGGCAATCAACCGTTAAGCTTCTGATCAACACTCAGAATTGATGGATCGATCATATATCTGCACATAAATGACTCACTGTGTTTTATCGCTCCTCAGCCATGTAGTTACCTCTGCAAGGAAGGCCCTGGGACCTTCAGTCATAGTGATAGGAGCAGTAAAATTGGAGTGTCCGGTGGCTGAAGCAGACGCATGACATCCGGGCAGGTATGTAATAATCCCGTTCGTGACCTACAAGTAAATCAGCGGTGTGAAAGATCAAGAAATCGCGATACTCATTCCGGCATTGTAAACAGAAACAGGAGCACCAGGATCGGGGTTGAAGAAATTGACTGAGTCTGCCAGGGCACCGCTGACAATTCCAAGTGCAAGCACGAATCCGACCGAGCGATTGAATAGCCCTCGTGGCATCTCAAAGTCTCCGGAGAGCGCCATTTTGAAATAGGCGCAGATACAGCATATAGCTTGTGCTACGAAGTATAGGGACGTTAAATCAGCTATATATAACTAATACCATGAACGCCTCCTAGACTCATTTGGAGAGTTTACAGGAGATTAGCCAACACACAACATCCGCGTCTCTTCCACGAATCGGCAACCTTATCAACTCTTGTTTGCATGCAGCGTGCATGCTAAATTCCCAATGCGGCACAATTCTCAACTGTTAATATACTTCCGTGTAACCTGGGGTATATTGGGACTGAGGAACTCGGGCCTGCACTTGCCTCGCTGGAGAAAACGGAACCTTCGATTGAAATAGACTTAAGGATAGTGTAACAGGGGGTCATTCAGAGAGAAAGAATTCTAGAAGAAATAAGTAACCTTGGTCTCAATCTCATACTAGGATCTAGTTTGCGTTGGTATTTCTTTGAATAAAGAATGACAAAGGCATGTTAAAATTAAATGACTAAACTATCGGCTCTCGGCCCGCAGTCATGTTCGGAGACCGCGCAGCAAGTCGCCTTGCATTTATCAGCAGCCTCTTTCTAAGATTGGATAGAAGTTCAGGAATCACAGGGCAAGTATTTCAAGGCATTAGATCAACTTGATCTCTTTGAATAATAAAAAAAGAGCACCAATACAGCAACAAACTGGGGCATTGATAAATCAACACTATCTAAGGCTTTCTTTCTGCTGATTAGATATGCCTAGCCAGCAATATGCACGCGAACAACCATTATATCAGACCACCCATTTTACTTCTCTCGTGCCCAGCCTGAACGCCAACCATGCACTCCTCCCTTCAGATCTTCGTTCTTCAGCCTCCCCACAAGTAGCCATCATCGCAATTTTCATATGTATGGGTCTCACCAAATAGAAGCCACTCCTCACTTCGCGACCGCAGCACTAAGCACCTGCGTCCTGAAGAATCCACCTTTCGTCCGCTCGATAACTTGCTGGTAGACGCTGCTAGGCGGGTGATTCATAACGACAGTCCCCTCCTTATAGTCGATCTTGGCATCAACCCTTGTATCCCGAATCAGATTAACAATCCACTTCTCGCCATCATCCTGATTCAGGCCTAATCTCGCGCTCAAGTCCTTGATGTCGATCCGCTGATGAATCTTGCAGTAGCTCTCTGAAATCAGATGTCTTGCAGCCTCAACAAACGAATCAGAAGCAGCGACGAGAAAGAAATCTGAGCGGAGGACTTCCTCAGCTTCGGAGAGTTTTTTCTGCGCCTCCTCAAAGTCAAAGTCGATGTAGAGGGCTTTGATGAAGTCGGTGACTGGATCGTGGTATTCGTAGTTTTCTTGCTTGACGATGCGGATCACGTCTTTGAGCTGCTTTTGGTATTGGCCAGTGTTCCGGGTGCGGCTACGGTTGGTGATGACGGCTGCGGTCAGGTAGCGGAGGATCCACGGGCAGGCGGTTTGGATAGTGTTGATGAAGGGGGCGGAGAAGAAGAGCTCGCAGATTGTGTCCCGTGCAGGCTCATAGTTGAAGAAGGGGAAGAGTGCCCAGTGGATGAGCCAGGTGCGGTGGGTGAGTTGTGCCAGGGAGTTGTTGAAGAGCTTGGTATCAATCGATTCCTTCACCTTTTGTACCTCCTCCATAGCGGACTCCCAGTTCGTGGTCAGGATTTCCGAAGCCAGCTTTCCCCATGTTGCAGCAGAGACCTTGTCGTTGTCGGTTGAGAGAACTCGGAATTGGTAGAGGAGTTCGGCTGCTGCTTGGTAGTTTCCGCAGCTGTACTGGAAGTTGCCAAAGTCATACAACACATTGACCATCTCGATGGTAACCTATTCCACATTAGCAAAATCCACCACCTCGTAGGTTCAGAAACGCACGTCATGCTCCTTCTTCAAGAACTCCAAATTTGCAACTTTGTCACTTCTCAAACTCGTAACAACGTCCTCTCTGCCCAGCAAATCCGTGATCTTCTCGCTCTCTTGTGCGTATATCTCCAATTTATCCAGGACTTCCTGCCTCTTGGTCGCAAACTCCTTCGGCGGCTCGCTCACGCCCTCCAGATCACAATACAACGTTGCCACATAGTCTGTCATATTTGTCTTCTTCAACAACTCATATTTCGCCTTCGTAGTCTCTGGCGCAGGCTCCTCCTCTTGATCAGCGACGAACTGGAGGAGAGGGAAGATTAAATGGCGGTCGAGGTGTTGGATGAGTTTGGGAAGAAGATCGTTTTCTTTGGCCACATCTTCGGGGTTTTTCGTGACTCCCGCCATGATTGCGAGTGTGTGGTGGTGGTGACAAGAATCGTTGTCTTGATCTTGGTGGGGTCGTCGCAGTCGAGAAATGTTGTGTGCGCTCGTCGAGTCGGATTTCGCGCTAGTACTTTTTAGCGTGATTTGGATCGGCTCAGATGCGACTTCATGTGTTTTCCGAGGCAGTCGACGACAACCCAAAACTTCAGCACAATGGCCTCCTCAACCCCTCTCCTCTTTCTGAGACCCATGGCCCTCCCTCGGCCATCGACTCTCCACCGCTTTCTAGGAATAGCAAAAGCCTCCACAACAGCGACGACTTCATCCTCCTCACCAGGCCCTCCAACACCAACCAAAGCAGCAGCAGCAGCAGCAGCACAGCCAAAACCCTACCGAGTAACCCTCACGCCTAGCAAGAACTACCCAATCTACACACTGGCCAAGCGAGGCGGGAATATGAAGCTCACAAGACTGAAGAGGATAGAAGGTGATGTAAACGCGCTGAGAAACGATTTACGAGAGGCATTTGGGATGGACGAGAAAGAGGTGACGATTAATCAACTGACGAGGCATATTATTGTGAAGGTATGTTATGGTTGAAGTATTGAAGCCTTGAATGGTAGGCTGACTTTAGCACAGGGACACAAGAAACCAGAGATTGAGAAGTTTTTGAAGGAGCATCACTTGTAGGATTCGGTGGAGGTTTCAAGGACACTTCACAAGTGAACAATTTCAATGGATGGATGAGGAGTATAAATCATGTGCTTATTCAAGCAATACCCTGCATTTGCCGCTCAGACGCATGCCTCTATGTACAATACCGTTTCCGTATCTCCATGGAGATTTCAATGCTACGCAACTTGTACAACCACAACCCAATCATACTCCAAACAAGGAAAGACGTTACAGGCAATCAGCCATGCTGATCAAACAGAGAACACATCGTTGAACGCCTACTCCGCACGCCACCAGACAGGTCATTCATGCGTCTATGGAATGTGGTACAATGAGGAAACATGAAAATTTAAATCCCTTTTTATGTGGCCAGCCCCGCGTATGCACACAACTGCTTCAAAACCCCTTGAAGTCTGGGTAACCTTATCTCGAGCGCCCCTAATAAAGTCTCTTTCGCCGGAAGCCCGGAAATGGGTATCATGGTATTTGGATCTTCCGGATCTCGCGACTTTTCTGCCAGACGCCGTAAAACTGCTATACCACCCATTGTGATGTGGAGTAACGCTTCGTCTTCCAATCCCTTTGGTGTAGTCTGCGTTCTCTGATGAGCAGCCTGGGGGGAGGTCTCGTGACACAAGGATAGGATAAGTCTGCAGAGGTTCTTGGAAAAGCCATCATCGGATGTCAACCAAGACTTGGCAACACCGGTTTCGTAGCCTGGCACTAAATTTGACAGAATCTCCGCTGCCAGCATCCCTTGCATCAAAAACGGCTTTCGCGCCTCCACCACTGGAACGAGGTTTCCTCGTTTGGCATCTTGTTTGTCATCTGGTACGGCTGATATCGCAAGAGCAAACGTTCTTGTAAGAAGGTCGTAAGGGGGAGACGAGGCGATATCCGAGGCGAAAATAGTCTTGTAGTGTGTCCGATTCGGCTCATCCCTCGCGAGGAGCTTTGCTAAACTATCCACAGCTGGAGGAAGATATCGGTGGATGGCAGGATCGTATGGCGAGAATGTGACGCGCTCGGAACCTATCGTGTTTGGTGGAGGGCAGGGTGCAAAGGCCAATAAGAAGTGGAGTAGGCATAACGCTTGTTCTCGTCCCGGTAACTCGATCGCTTGGGCCAAATTTGATAGAAAGATGATGACATCTTTCATAAAATCCAAGGTGTTTTGATTCGTCCGTAGGAGCATGTTTCGCGTTCCCAAGTATCTTATGACGACACACAAAAATTTGATAACGAGCTCGTCGGCAAGGAGAGGATGGTTCGTCTCGTAGAATGACAAGTTCCGCATGACGGTGGTAATACAAACCAGTCTGTCTACAGCTCGGTCGAGTTCATACTCAAGGGAGCCGAAAGCTGGAATGTCCTGGAGAACCTCTTGCTCACTCCGGCAACTGCGTACCACATCTTCATAAGAGCCGACTAGCATCACGTCTGAGACCTCCGCCGCATTCTCAGCAAGAAGCTCGACTTGCATTTCAGCACAATCCACCAATGTCTCCACAAGATCTTCGCACGCACGCAGATCCAATTGCAGTCGAGATTCCACTGAGAGGGAGACCAAAGTATCCAATGCCAAACGTACTTCTGCATGGATTCCTGATTGAAGGCTCATCGTCAAAGCATGAATATCGATAACACCTAGGTCTCCCACAGCTGGGATATCAGGTTTGTACTGCATCAAAGTTCCACCTAGCCGTAATAAAGAATCGAGTTCAACACCACCCCAGGTGTCTAATACCCTAACTTTTGGATCTAACTCGGCCGGCAAATTGAATTCTTGAGGTGGTGGAGGTGCAGCAGCCCGGGCACCCACATCTACTTGAGGCGACGGTAGGGTGAGACTGCCCGCCTTCGTTGCAGACATTGGCGAAGCCATCGTGAAGGATGTCCCGTTTTGAGGCGGAGTGGCGTCGATACTTCTTGAAAGGCTATTGCGTGCGTGACCCTGTGGGCCTATGGGTTGTGGCTGACCCTGAGGTGCTTGAGGGGTAGAAAAGCCATTGACAGATGGTTGTTGCGCGTGATGCATAGGCGGCATCTGCTTGACGGGAGTAGTTTGCGCTTGCTGTTGTTGTTGTTGTTGTTGGTGATGTTGCTGTTGGCCCATGAGTTGTGGTTGCTGGAGGAAATTCTGAGACTGCATTGCGAGCTGGGGGTTCATCGGCTTCGTAGGTGACATTTGCGGAGCCGGCATGTTGGCGTTCTGCATCATAGCCGCCCTCTGGCGCTGCTGATTCTGTTGCCACGCCTCCTCGAATAACAGTAGGTTTCGCTCATAATGGTGTTTGAGCTGTTGAGGCGCGGCTGGGATTTGCATCAGATGAAATTGCAAAGCTTGTGCAACTTGAGACCACCCATTCTGCGCCGTGACCTTCTTGTAGCCTCCAAATTTCACTACAGTCATATATAACGTTAAAAGAGCAATTTTGCGATCCCCTACGATAGGGTTCATGTCTAAAGCAAGCTGCTTCTGTTGCATGAAGGATGCTAGGCTTTTCATAAAATTTTCGGGATTCGGGCCGCCTCTGGCCTGGGCAGAAGCTTGCTGCTGAGCTCGTATTTGTGCAAGTTGACCATTAGGATTAGGCATTTGCATTGTAGGATTGGCCATTGCGTTTGCATTGGGTGGCATATTGCCCCGTTGGGCGGCCATCATGCGCTGTTGCTGCTGTTGCTGCATTTGCATCTGGTACATCATTCGTTGCTGTTGCATTTGTTGTGTCTGAGGTTGGCCTTGTTGAGCATACATCGGGCTTTGCTGCATGGGATTCTGTTGCATATGCGGCGTGGACATAGCGTTTTGAGGTGGAGCTGACGATCGACCAGTGGGAGGGGTGAAATTTTGGTTGAAGCCTTGTGCGAACTGGGGATTTTGCGCATATGGGTTGTTATTCTGCGGCGTATCGACGCGACTGCCATGTTCGGATTGGGATGGGGATGGTTGGGGGAATTGTTGTGCAGCCGGGGAGAAGGGATGTGGAGAGGCCGTAGAGACTCGTTGCGGTACGCCACCAGGACGTAGCTGGTTGCCCATGATGGGTGATGGGCTGGCATTGGCCGATCCATTTTGAAGATGGGAATACGGGGTCTGCTGGGCCGGGTGTTGTTGAGATACATTGTTTTGGGGAAATCCAGGGTAGGGACCTTGTTGGGGTGTCTGAGAGCGGGAATTTGGTAGCATACCGGGCGCTTGACGCGGCGATGTGCCTAGACTATCTTCTCTTGGTCGTGGTCTCTTCGATGGTATCACTTGGTTGGTTTGATATACGGGATTGTTGAAGGCTGGGGAGCCATTGCGCAACGCCCCATTCTGCATCCGTTGCTGGAGCTGGGCATTTTGAAACTGGGAAGGATCGAAGGACGGAGGGTTGTTCATAAAAGCGGAGGGGTCGAGCATGGCTCCGCTGGCGTTGGGGTCGAGATGGTTGAAGCCTGCGCCATTGTGGTTCTGGACAGCAGCATCATTCATCCAGGAGGTCATGACTGTGGGAAGGAGTTGAGGCAACCCATCTGCAGTTGCGACAAGAAGTCAGCGGTGCTATTTCGAGCAGAAGCCTCCATAGAAGGCTTCGAAGGTCGGACTGAGATGGCCAAGCGCAAGTCCAGACCGATCGCGATGGGAGGTCGCGACGCGGTCGCTGGCTCGATGAGGTCGACAGGCGCCAATGCCCATCAACGGCAACAGCAGCGCCAACGACGATCAGTATCGCGCTCGACGGTATCTACAGGATGTCACGAGACACCAATACAGCCGGGGACGAAGGGGGAATGGAAAGCAGGTCTTACCTAAGGACGCGCGCTGAGTGCTGTTGATGTCGCAAAGGCTCGTTTCTCTGGGTTCGTGCCGGAGCAAAACGGGAGGTGCGCTAGCCGGATTGGGTGACCTATTTTCGTCGCCAGACCGCGTGTAAATTAAAATAAAGCGCTGGACTGCAAAACACAGGCGTCAGTATTGCTGCTCTCATGCCATTTCCACAATCCCATTGGGGGGGCAGCCCGGGGGTTTGGGGCGATTGGGGCCGAGTCGTGGGTTTGATCGGGGCCAGGTCACGTTGCTGGCGGAGTCGTGAGTCGTGAGTCGTGCGTTGCGTTGTGAGTCGTGCGCCGTGAGATCGCTTGCCGACTCTGAGGTGGCAAAGTCGACCAGGCCGGGACGAGCGCAGGCAGATGCGATATGCACGAAGCGCACCGCCGGTGGGACAAACACAAGCGCACCGGGACGTACCTAGAGATGATCCAGAAGCAGGCTCAGATCAGATGAGCTCGAGATGGGGTCGTTGAGATGACTGGTGCCGAGGGCCAGGCTGCGTGTCGGAGCAGGATGGGGTGGCCGGGAGTGGGTGTGGAGTTCGTTCTGCTCTGAAATGCTGTAACACCGTCGCCGTCGCTGGAGCATGCGGCGCAAGAGAGGCGCACGGGGGGGTCAGCAAGCGACTGAGAAGGGAGAGAGAGAGAGAGGATCGAGGCTCTGGGCTCTGGTTGGCAAGGGCCCGAATTAGGCCGGACGAGCGATCGAGGGCAGCTTGGTTGTGCGGGTTCTTCCTCTGAGTTGGCTGCCACCGAAACTGCGCTCAATAAAACTTGGGATCTGTCGCTGGTGCTTGTGCTGAGAACAACACTTTCGGAGCTAGCAAACGAGCAAATCACAGCCCGTCAGCCCGGATCGTCCGCGACCTCATCCCAGCCACCGAAACCAACGCAATTTGAAGCCGCAACGCAACCTGAGCAGTGAGCGCCGTCTCGGAAGACCATCCCGACGCCGTGCTGTCCTTCTGCGACCGTCAGTTCTCCGAGGCTAGAAGTGTCAGTTGTGTATAGCAAAAGACTAGGCGGGCTGGCTTCGATGATGGGCATTCCCAGTCGAATGCGGTGAGGACGGGCGGCCGCTTTAACCCCCCCGCCAGAGCAGAAGTGCTGGGTCCGGTCCTCGTCACCCAGAGCACCAGATGTGCGACGCAGCAATCCAGGAGCTCATCGAGCCTTCTGGATGAAATGGCGATGCCCCGGGACAACGAGCTTGATGGCCACAAGCAGGCGGGAGCAGGTGTGCTGTGCTGATCCTGCCATCGAGAGGACCATTCGCTGCGTTTGAAAGGCTCTCGTTTGATACGGCGGCAGGCTGGGCCATGCAATCCAACGGGCCGGGAATGGCGATGAGGACGTGAGAGAGAAGAGAGAGGAGGGAGAGAAGGGAAAAGCAGGCAAAGCAGGCTCGGGGGAGGGGGAATGGGGGTCTTATGTAGAAATGCCGAGCACTCAATAGCAACACTGCTTTGGGCAGGGCCAGTCTTTTTTTAATCACGCTTCACGCTTCTGAGGTCGTGACAGCACGGATAAGACGGTGCATGGTTTGGCGTCATAAAACACTCCAATCTATCCATACATTGGCGATCCAAATCCGAGTATTGGCGACTGCTCCAGTCCCCCGTCACACATCACAGTAGACCAATGATGTTGTTACAGTAGGAATGGGATTATCCCTTTCCGGTCCCATGGCCTCCACATCGAGATCTGTCGTCGTGGCGGAAAAGTGCTGAAGAGGGGCAACTCGAGGCAGAGGTACCCTCTCACCCCCCTAGGCCGTTTGACCTAACTCGCACACACGTTATCCTCTGGGACTTTAATCAAGCCTCCCCAATTTCGAGGGTATTTATCAGCTCCAGGTCGTCACATGCAAAGAAGCCGGAAAAAGGCCCTGCCCTCACAAGTTCCCATCTCCCAAGTGCCTCCGTTGTGCGACCGGCTTGCTGTGAGATGCCACTTTCGAGGTGGGTGCGGCAAAGATAAATCCCTGACCAGTGCAGTGGTCCCGGGGAGCCAAGTCTGTCAACTTGTTGACTACTGGGGACGGATTTGCTCTCACGCAGGCAGTCATAAGGCCGGATGATGGGTAGCTTGACGGGAGGCGTTGCGGTCTTCTTATTGAGCAGGGATCTAATTGACGACGCATGCCTGCTCTCCTTGCATAAAGACAGCTTCAACGCCCAGTACTTTGCTTCACCACCCTCCAGCATGGATAGCACGGCTTCCATCAAATGGGAGCGAGATCCTGGGTAAAAGCAAGTGATTTCCTCTGGCGGGGATCTGTGTCAGCTCCAAATTGGTGGGTGGTAAAGAAATCCGGGACGTTGATTTGCAGAATTGCTTTTTGTCGACCGTCGACGGGAAAGGAATGGCGCTGGAGATTCCCTGGATTCCGGACCCACGAATCCACGTTCGAGGCAGAGCCTTGAGGATCTTGGCCGGGTCACGTGCGTCCAATGCAGACCCCTGCTTGATCTGGAGATGGAACGGCCCTTCGACCAGCGTGATTTGGCTCAACTTCTTCTTGCAGCACGCGTCTGAAAGGCAACAATTGGCGAACTGTTCCACAGCAAGAGCCAACATCTAGCATGCCGAAACGAAAAGTTAAAGAATTGGACCGCGGATTGGAAGCACCACGGAGGACGAGTCGGAGAATATCTACCTCCAACGATCCTCCTGAGACTGCCTCGAAGCCTGCACCCAACCCCGAGAAGTCAAAAAAGGCTGAGAAGAGCAAGAAAGTTAAAGAGACGGCAGTGAATAGCAAGCAAGGGGAGGATTCAGAAGCCGTGAGTTTCTTCTTTTAAGGCGTTCTTTCCTACCTGAGTCTCCAACCACAGTCCCATCCCCTTTACCGTAAGGTTCTTCGGGCGGGTCACGCGCAAGCTTCATTCTTTATCGCTCCTCATACATTGATACAAATTCTAGAAGCCGAAGAAAGCCCCCAGGGCTGCGAAACCTGTGTCCCAACCCGCGACCTCTGATGCTGCTCTCTCCTCGGGTCGTCAATACTGGCTCTTGAAGGCGGAACCAGAGTCTCGAATCGAGAAGGGCCACGATATCAAATTCTCGATCGATGATCTCGCAGCAAAGACGGAGCCGGAACCTTGGTAACCAACCTATTTCTTTGTCCTATATCCCGAGCTCCTTACCTCACTGATCAGAAGGATGTTTCATGCTCCCCGCTCGCTCCCCGCTCTCTCCTCCGTAAAGATATACGTTGCTAATTCACTGGTAGGGATGGTAAGCAGCCTTTTTTAATCACATGCGGATCTCGCAACTAAAAATATCTCGCAGGCATACGAGCGTACGCAGGTAACGCTAGCATTTGGAATTAACCCACAAAAAGCTCACAGTCCACAGCACGCAACAATCTCCGCGCAATGAAGAAAGGCGACCTTGCATTTTTCTATCACTCATCCTGCAAAGTCCCTGCCATTGTCGGAGTCATGGAAATCGTTGAGGAGCACTCACCTGACCGTAGGTTTCATCTCATTTGCCCAACTACACCAAACTTCTGCCCATCTTCCAGAACCGTGTTAATGCAACGCAGTCTCAGCACATGACCCATCAGCACCATACCATGACCCCTCATCCAGCCCTGATAACCCCAAATGGTCTGTCGTACACGTGACCTTTCGGCAGAAGCTCACCACTCCGGTCACGCTCAAAGAGTTAAAGGTATGGCAGGGAGAGAAGGGACATCCGCTGGAGAACATGCAGATGTTAAAGTTAGCGAGGATCAGCGTGAGTAAGGTTTCGAGTGATGAGTGGGAATTCTTGGTTGGTGAGATGGCGAAGAGGGGGGATGTTGTTAAACAGTGAGTGCTGAAGGTGAAGCTTAGGTGCATTGCATACTATGTTGTATAATTGGAGACGACTGACGCCAGTCCGGCCATTTCGTGCTGTACTCCTATTACCCATTCGATCTTACCTGTGTGAATATTTCGTGAGTCGTGGTCCATCAGGGCTTCCCAAGCGTGTCAATAACTTAGATTATCCAATCTTCACGCTGAGTCCCTGACTTCAAAGACGTATTCAGACTCCCACGAATGCACCGACATATCAGCACCTCAACTAACCTAATATTTTCCTAAAAAAAAGTTATTCCCATCACGAACCACAAACGAGAAGCCAAGATGGGCAGCCGAGAGACAAAGATGGCGCATGCGGAATACCGGAAGGTGAGGGGGCTAGTCCTCGATTTCGAAGCCGACAATGAGCGACGGGAATCGAGGGCGGCTGGGCTGACCCCAACCTTGCCCAACCATCGTCCCAGCGCGTTCTGGCGCCAATTTGAAAATATTGAGGTGTACAGGAAGAAAAATCAGTCAAAGGACGGTTTGGACGGGCTCCAAGAGCCTCTTAGGCGTGGACTTCCAAAAAGGCAAGGAATATGAGTCATGGCACTTGGCACTTGGTACCGCAAAGGGGGCTAAACTGAAAGTGGCCATCGAAATAGACCACCTGGACTATGTGGCGGGCTGCATTCTTCAGGGGGACAGGAATGGATATCTGTCAATGGAGGATTTGGCTTGGATCGAGGAGGCCCCCAGGCATGAACTTCCAAAGGGTAGCGTCGGTGAGGTATTGAGCTTCGCCTATGGTATTGTGAGGGAGGCCAAACGGAAAGTGTTCAGCGAATTAGATCGCTTGGAGTGTGTGATGGACAGTCTTAAGGCTCGCATTACTGAATTGCCCGGGGAGCACATCGACAAAAACATCTTCAAATAGGTGGTTGTTAAGGGCGAACCCTCTAACGACTCGCTCTCAGAATTGATCAACCCTTTTGAGAATCTTCGGTACGAGATTCCTAGTGACGACAGCACCGAGAGAGAGAGTTCTACCACCGCACTTGATATAAGCCGTGGCAAGGGTAAAGCTGCTCGTATGGAGAATGGCGAGTCCGAACTTCGTGTCAAGCAGAGAGCAATGCCGTGTTTTGCCATGACTCCAGAAGAGCAAGCCATCGTCAACCAGACGGCTGCCATCATGCACCGGTTAATAACGGAGGAAGACCGACCTTCTCTTAGCGCTTCTTTGTCCAATGCTTGGCGCTGTTTTCACGGTGCAATGTATAACGTCTCAGAAGAAATAATGCATCAGATATACATAAAATACTGGAATATATCCGAGTGTGAGGTTTGCAAAAGCCGCGCTGCGGAGCCTCGACTTGGAAACGGTACCGTAGGTACTCCAATGGTTACTCACCCAGCTGCTATTGTTCCAGACTGGCCGCAAATGGCTGCAGAGATATCTTTGATTGACTGCGACTAGAACGATAAGGTAGGCTTGATGTTCGAGCAATGCGTCCTTCGTAGGCGAACGATTTCTTTTGCAAAATCAATCAAAGAAAGCCTGTTCAAAGAATCGACGAATAGACAGAGAAATGAATACTCTGCAAATACGCCTTTTCTATTGTAATTGACTGATTAATACTCGTGAAGTGATAAGAAGAAGAGTTAATTTCGATTGTTCAAGCTCAAAGAACCGGAAGGAAGTCAAAAAGGGGTTCGCTTAGCGAGTCTACACCAAAAAAATTCATCCACCAAATACTCGAGATCAAGGGAACACTAAGAGCCTAGAAACTTGAATTTCGCTTAGTCCTCCTCCACTACGAATTAGAGGGACCTGCAAAACGTTTGCCTCCACGCCCTGCCTCTCAACGTGGAGTCGATTAGGCGAGGAACAAAAAATGCAAAACTCTTGCCGTCCAGCCAACCTCCGTTGATGTCGCGGGGTAGTGTGGTACGGGGTGCGAAGACCGGGGGGGGAACCGACTTTTTTCGTGAAAACTCATTATCGCCGGCATTATACGCATCTCAGAGAGCAGCGGTTTGGCACAGGTAGGAGAAAGCTTTTGCGCTTTTTTATGCGAGTTTAACCACTTCGCGGTGTCTAAAGGTGATAACCTAGCCACTTTCTAGTGGATGTGTTTTAATCTTGCAAAGAGTCTTTTGTGTTGATTGGAAGAAGTGTTCTCATATTTAGTATATGAGACTGTAGAGTTTCCTTTGCGAAATCGGCTCCGGAGAGCAAGCGAAAGTCATCTGTTTGATGAAGACATCAAGTCTATATCGAGGGGTGAGCTAGTTCACTTTGGGATTAAGGACCTGCAGATGCATCTACTTTCTTATAAACTTGCGTTGTCTTCAGAATTCTTTTATAGATTGCCCACGCATGCCTGTAATTACCTGGCTGCTTAGGATTTGTTGGCGCACAACCTTGGTCGCTAACATTGAGCTATCAATCAATTCTTCAAGGCGATATATTGGATGAGATGCATTGAAGAAGGTCAGAGAGGCAATACAGAGAATTCAGCATTTCAACATCAGTACAATAGCAAACCAAAAGGCGCGAGCAGATTCCTCGCAACCTCAATCACTTGGTCCAATGGGGTTGCGTGATGGCTGTTGATGAACGAGAACTTCAGAGCCTTGGAAGGAGCAATAAATCCCAAAAACTCGGCTAAATAATGTTCCATTGAAAAAGGTTATGTCCTATGCTTTTAAGGACTTGAACTTATCAGCAGCATCTACCAAAGCCAGCTCCACTTTCTTTTCGTGAGCACTATGTCCGACATCGTCAAGAATTATGTACTCGACATTCTTGTTGTCCTTTCCGCCCAAAGATTGGTATAAATCCCAGCTTATCTTCGCCGGGCAAACCACATCGTATCGACCTTGCACAATGATGATCGGGAGGTGCTTGATCTTGTGAGCTTCCTCGATAAGTTGCCCATCTCGCATCCATCCACCGTTCACGAAGAAATGACATTCAATTCGTGCGAATGCGAGCGCCCTAACAGAAAAGGTTAGTGGCCCAGTATCGCAAAATAGAGTACCAACTTACCACTTCGGATCATCCACCTTCTTGATATACTCTGGGTCAACCATCAGCTTGCTCGTAGCCGTTTCCCAAGTGCTCCACGCAGACGCACTTCCAACAGTCAGCAAAGTTACACCATTTTATACAACTCAACTCACCATTTCAGCCTCTCCTCCTCATTGTCCCCAGTAAGTCTCTTGTAATAAGCCTTCATCATATCGCCCCTCTCCTCCACAGGAATGATAGCCTTATACGGCTCAAAATAGTCGGGAAACAGCATATCTGCACCTTTCTGATAAAACCATTCCAATTCCTCCCTCCTCAATGTGAAGATACCTCGCAATATCAACCCAAGACATCGCTCCGGATGTTTCTGGGAATATGTAAGCGCAAGAGTTGAACCCCACGAACCGCCAAATACTATCCACTTCTCGATTTTCAAATGTTCTCTCAGAGCTTCGATGTCGGAAACAAGGTGCCAGGTAGTATTGTCTTCGAGGCAGGCGTGTGGGGTTGATTTTCCGGATCCGCGCTGGTCGAAGAGGATAGATCTATAATGAGAAGGATCGAAATACTGCCTAGACAAAATGTCAGTTCCAAATGTAGCTATTGCGTTTGCCAATTGGCCATGCTTGCCTGTCACTATCCTCAATTCCTCCTCCTGGACCACCATGTAGGTAAATGATTGGAGTACCTGTTGAGAGACCACACTCTTCTGCAACGAATTAGCAACATGTTCTTTGGAGGGGAGAGAGCCGGGAGAGAGCCGGGAGCATGTCTCATGCTTCCGACCAGTGAAAGTAGGGAGGTTGGAATATGGAACAAAGAAATAGGTTGGTTACCGTAGTATATTGCGTGGGTACTAGAGACTGGCAGATGTCCTGATTTGTTCACGGGAAAGGCAGGGTAGACTGGGGCCATAGCTATGTGAGGCGATTGCTGATCGAGAAAGTGTGGAGTGAAGGTGGTGTAGCGGTGGAGGTTGTTGTTCTTGTGGAGAAGTTCGAGATTTGGGTTCTCTCCCTCTGAGGAAATGATTGAGACCAATCGAGTAAAATATTACGTTTGGCTCCTTGAAAGGACGGAGTAACGGGAGGGAAAGTCGTTCTCGGTTGGTACGAGGCGGGGTCGGCTCGGATTAACTTTACAGCGGTCACTTTCAGGGGGTCATTCGCTAAATGAGGCCTAGCCTCCGGATTTGCTACCACATAGATCCGCTTCTCTTCTTCATCACATATTTGATTATGAGCAGTAACACTGCATTCACTTTCCGGATCCTGACTTCAAGTACCATGGCTTGTTGGACAAACTGGTAAAGCAATTCCACCACAGACACAGCTTCGATTACGTCACGAAATCCCTCTCAAATGCTGGCTTCAATCAGTCCATAGCAGATGCTTAACCTCTTCAGATCTGTACCTTATAGAGGGCCTGGCTCAATTCACGCCTTTTATTCACTTAAATTCAGACTCCGTCTGGCTTTTTCAAACTTCCATCAATTTCGCACAATGAAACGCAAAGCAGAGAGCCCAGAGCCCGCGGCAAGAAAAGCAGCAAGAGGAAATGACTACTGTAGCGTGCAACCGAAAAGGGACAGCCTTGGAAACCAAATATGGCCCGCCCCGGAAGATCAAATGATTGCTGCAAGAGCATTTTTTAGAGAATGGTAAAAGCTTCTCCATGTTGTTTGATCCTCATCACTGACCATCCAAGTGCCAAAGCTCAAAAGCCAACTCTTATTGTCCCCGATAAAGACGCTGATGGACTCAGCTCTGGGGTGATTGTCCACAGAACACTAGTTAAGCTGGGGCTTGATTCTAAGCTCCTAGATGTTCACCTAGTCCAGAAAGGATCAAATATCCATGAGGAGGATGAGCGAAAAGTCATGTTGGAGAAGAAGCCGACATTCGTCATTGTCTTGGATCAAGGAAGTCGAAGTGGGCCACCTGTAATTGATGATCCAGACGTCAAATCCCTCCTCATAGATCATCATCTGAGTGACGAGTTTCCGAAAGATGCACAAGTGAGTCAAATTGTTGAAAATGAGATTAGTAAATTGACATAATTCAGGTTGTCTCAGCTGTAAGGGCAACGAGGTTCCTTAAATTCTTTGTTCTCAACGTCTGAAATACTCCCTCCTCATCTCGTGCACTCCCAACACATCCCAAAAGGGTGTAGTTCCACCTCATTTGCTCAATCGTACTCCTTAGATATTCCGAAACAAAAAAAGATGCTGACTCACCTCTTATCCAGTGTCACTACCCTCCAGTTGCCCCAACCTCTCTCGTCACATTTGAAATCTGTAAAGATCTTGATCAAGATATAGCTCAAGAATGTGGGTATCTTTGTGCAATTGGAACTCATGGCGATCTCGGTAACACCTTGAAATGGGAGCCACCTTTTCCAGATATGACAGAGACTTTCAAAAAGCATACAAAGAAAGCGGTCAACGATTGTGTTTCATATATAAATGCTCGTACGTCCTCAAGTTCCGTTTGACCCCTGTCCACTCACGTTTCGCAGCTCGCCGGACGGGAACATACGATGTGGTTACGGCTTGGAAAGCTCTTCTAGAGGCGAAAGACCTCAAGGAAATCCTAAGCAATCGACGACTGGAAGAAGCCAGGCGTGAAATAAATTTTGAAGTGGAGAAACACACCCATACGCCACCAAAGTTCAGCAAGGATGGGAAGATTGCGGTCCTGAAGATCAATACTCAAGCACAAGTGCATCCAGTCATTGCAACAAGATGGGTATGGCTCCTTCACCAATACCAGCCCCGAAAGACATCGCTAACGAGAATTTTAAGGCTGGTCATCTGAAGTCAAAAGCCCTCGAGATCGTCATGGTGGCAAACTATGGTTATCTCCCTGGCAAGGTCAACTTCTCATGTCGAATCGCCAGATGTGCAAGAGATCGAGACCCTCCAGTCAACATCATCGAATCCTTAAAAGTTGTCGCAGATCTCGACACAACAGATCTGGTTCAACGTTTGGGAAGCAGTTTTGCCAGGGGGCATAAAGAAGCTTCTGGTGGGATTGTGAACACTGCAGAATTCGAAGAGTTGTGTCTTTTAATGAAAGTTGGCGAGAAGCCAGACAAGCCGGAAGGAGAACCACCGAAGAAGAAACCCGAGAAGTCGCCGCAGAAGAATACTTTGAATAATTATTTCAGGAAGGCTTGATACAGGAAGGCTTGATAGAGGAATTTTAAAACTATCATTCCTGCGTTTTGAAACATGCTCCCTTGCTTCAGGGACAAAAAAATAAGATTTACTACAGATAATGCAGAAGTTGTTGTTCTGCTGCTGCCTTGATTCAAGGAGTCTATCACTGTTCTTTGGCAGACGAAACAATGTCATTGTGCAGAATAAAAAGACTCCATCCGCTTCGTTGTCCACCTCCACATCGTCTTTCCCCTCAACTACACTCCAGTCCCAACAAGTCCAAAGGCAGATCCCAGCAAGAGGGTATGGCTAACTACCCATCATACTTAGGGGAGAGTTGGTTTAACGGACCCAAAGAAATCCAAAACGATTGGGTCATTATCGACCAGGAACTCACGTTTGTCGGTGATGAAGATGCAAAAGAAGGGGTGGGAAACGAGGCAGATACAGTCTTGTTGCTTCTGAAGAACAAGAAGGGTGACAAAGACGAGAAGAAGAAGTCCGAGAAACTCGGCAAGAATCCCCCACCGAAAGCTTCTACATGGACTGCCGCTAATTTCAAGGATATGGCAGCTAGCTGGATTCAAAAAGCTATTGGGAGCAGGGGGATAGACAAAGTGTTATCTGCCGAGAATGCGACATATTGTAAGGTGTGGTAAATATGAATGATCTTCAACTACCGACTCCTTGAATAATTTATGATTTCTCTTGTGAGTTCTGTGAAATTTTCGAATGACTTAAAGCTCCACTGAACTTTGACCTTTTGGAAAATATAGTGTGAAGTTAAAAGTCAGTTCCCATCGCTGTCTCTTAGCCCTGCGTCAGTCGTGTCTCGTCAGGCATTTCCTTGCTTTGGCGCAACCATCTCGTCGCTGTAGTCCATGTGTTTTACCGTGACAATGATTTCTCCCAGTTCCGATATCATTATTGCGTTCTCTTTGGTCGACGAGTTGTTTTAGAAGACGATTTTTGGGTGTGGAAGGCAAATGAAAAGAAAAATTGTTTACACACAAACCCCGCACAAGATGTGAGGAGTATGGAGAAGGAAAGAAATATTAGGTGTGGGAGGAAGGGTTTTGATGGGCGCCTGGTGTGTGTGTCATGTCGCATGTCAAAAGTGTTTTAACTTATCTACGGTAAGGAGGCTGGTGGCGCCGTGTATTACTCGCCGTGATGGAAGAATTCAACTAGGAACTGGGAATCGGATAAGCTGCCTGTATTCAATGTTTCGCCTTTGCTTGCATGCTATTTTGAGTGATAGAGGCGATGTCAACAAGCCGGGTCCGATGGGAACCGTGATTCTCGGCAGCCGCCTCTAAGATTAACTTCCTGGCGAGAATTGTAATTCTGTAACTTGCGAAATGTAACCTTAGCGCATTGAAGCGCACACTGTGAGTTTCAGCAGCTTCTGATACCATGGCAAATGACATTGCTCCTGCTTCGATCTGATGATCTATTTTCAAAGGAGTGTAGTCCACTCATTGGCTTTACAAGATGCCACTTTTCGATATCGTCCGGGATAGCATTTAAAGCAAGGTGGTAACCGTCCCAAAAGTCGGAGAGGAAAATAGGAGCTGGCATTTGATTGGTGCAGAACACGATCGAGGTTGTCCGACCCCTTTGGGCTTAGCGAGGCTGATCTGGGAAAACCGACGGTTGGCATGTTCCAAGACAACGACACCATATAAAGATGAGATAAAAATCCATGATTTTTGTGGTTTTCATCACCTACAGAAAACATTCATTAAATTCTATCATCTTTGTAAGTTTTGAGTTGGGGAACTGTCGAACGCCGACCTTGCATCAACAGATCAAAAACTGTGGCTCCAAACAGTCGACAAGTCATCCGAGATTATGTCCGACCCGCCTTCTCCAGAACTCTTGACGATACCAAGCAAACCTTCCGCTCCAATCTCACACACCTTCTTGCCAGCCATTAATCCACCATCATCGCTACAGAAACAACTCATCGTTTTCGTCAATGGCCTCGGTCTCCCGGCTTCCTCTTGGCTACCTGGCATCCAAATTCTCCACAGCACCATCAAGTCCTGCCCCCCAATCTTAACCTATGACCGCTACGGCCAAGGTCTCACCACAGCCAGAGATCCCCTCGACACCCAAAAGCCACTAGGACACGACTTCATCGACGTAGCTAAGGACCTCCATGAAATCGTCACCACTATCGCAACTACTAGGCTCGGTCTCCAAAGATCCGATCTTGAAAAAGGAAAACTTCATTTACTTCTTATAGGCGCTTCTATCGGAGCACCAATTGTTCGGCTTTACGTTCAACATCACCCCGGCATTGCGGCTGGAATCATCCTTCTCGATTCGAACATTGCTGTTGATTATAGTGCCGTTTGGCCGGATCCTGATGCGCCTGGGTTTGATCCCAGCTTAGTTGTCTCTGACGATTGCACGCTCGAGCAATATCGAGTTGAGAGGACGAAGGTGGCTATGATGTTTGATTTGAAGGTTAAGAATTCGGAGGGTTTGGATCGGAGTAACTCTGCTCTTCTGGTGCCTCATGCGGATGCTCCGAAGTTGATGGGAGTCAATGGTAAAGGCCCTTTATTGACGGTTGTTGGTCATGATCCGGAGACTTTTGCTGAGATGAGTTTCATGATGATGGGGACGCCAAGGAGCTTGAGTCGAAAGTTGACGAATCCGTGAGTCAAGCCAATTGTACTGAAATGAGATCGTTGAATCGTTAACTGAAGATAGGTATTGGGCGAGGTATAATGAGGGTCTCACCAAGATTACTGATGAAGACAAGTGTGATGGAGTTTTGATTGCAAAGGGTTGTGGCCACTTCATTCAAAAGGACGACCCGTAGGTGTTCAGATTTTTTTTAAGACAATGTCCTCTCCCGAAACAATCCCGATTGAGCAATTGCTGACTCCCCCATTACCTAGGAGGGTTGTCGCAAAGGAAATCGGGAGCATGATAGAAAAGCTTGAATGGTAAGCAGAGATGGTGACTTGTCTCAATGTTCCCTCGGTTCGAGAACAATCTAATATGTCGATATCGCTTTTAATGCCGTCCAACAAGAAAGTATGAAAGTATCACAGCTTGGCTCTTGGATCCCTCCTTGCCAACTCTCTCAAATCCTTTCTCAATATCTTTCCTGATGGACTCTTGGGAATGACGTCCAGAAACACAACACCACCTCTAAGTTGCTTGTGACTCGAAGCATGCTGTTTCACGAAATCCTTGATTTCCTGCTCCGTGATGTCGCCGCTCTTCACAACATATGCTCTGGGTGCTTCTGTTCCAGGTATCTCCACGCCAATCACTGCTGCATCCATAATCTTTGGATGAGTGAGCAAGAGGCCTTCAAGCTCAGCTGGTGCAACCTGGATGCCTTTATACTTAATGAGTTCCTTCTTTGAGTCAGCAAAATCCAATCTAGAAGCAGAAAACAAACCTTCTTCCGATCCACAATATAAGGCAAGCCATTCTTCCAAATCGCAATATCACCCGTGCAAAACCATCCATCCACAAACGAGTCCTTCGTAGCCTGCAAATTTTTATAATATCCTGTGGTGACCACAGGGCCTTTCATCCACACCTCACCCGGCTTCCCCTCTCCTACATCCTTCCCATCATCATCCACAAGCCTCAAACTCATATTCGGTAGCAACGGGCTCACGCTCCCCGTCTCATCCCTCTCTCCCCACGGCATAATCGTCGAGCTCCCCGTCGTTTCACTCAACCCCCAAGTCTGGCTAATAAACGTCTTCCCCTTCCCCAACTTACTACTCGCCGCATGCTGTAACTCTTTCCCCAGCGGAGCAGCGCCGCTGATCGCCATCTCCAACGTATCGAACTGATTCGTGACATTTGGTATCTTCGCAATCAGAAGCCAAATAGGAGGAACGGTGAACAAAAATGTGATGCGGAACTTCTTGTTGTATTCTAGGAATTGGGCGAAGTCGAAACGGGGCATCCAGTATACACTGCCGCCGAAGAAGAAGGGGTTGATCATATAACACATTACTCCTGCTATGTGTGCTGCGGGGAGATGTGCGACAGTCCTGAATTCGAAGGGGGGTTCTCCTTGTGCTATCCGCTCGGTGATCGCTTCTCTGTATAACATGGTTGGAATGAAGGATTGAGCTACGATATTCGTGTGTGAAAGCTCAACTCCTACGTTTCATCAGCGAGCTCGTCAACAACTTTAGGGTGTCACCCACCTTTCGGAACCCCAGTAGTGCCAGAAGAATAGAGCAAGCAAACTAAACTGTTGTCCAGCTTTTTTCGATCCGTAATCCTTTCCCACTCCAATATTCCTTCCCCCCCAAGACAGTTCTGCTCCCCCTCAACACTTCGAAACCCCCATTTCCCCTTCCCAGAACTTATCACCAACACCCTATTCAAAGAAACCCCACACTCCTTAGCAGATTTAATAGCAACATCCTTTGCATCCTCACTGCAAAAGATGAGGTTGCTGCTTCCCTGTATAACCTGTCTACTCAATTCTGCCGCCGTGAAAGTCGCACTCGCAGAACTGTACACCCCACCAGCTGCAACAACCCCAAAAAGCACAATCGGGAGGAGGATTTTGCCAGAGGATATGCAAACCACTACATCCTTTCCAGGACCATTGGCGCCGATGCCGAAGGTGTGTCTAAGGTTGTAGGCTACATTTTTCGTCAAGTCACGAGCTTGGGATTTGGTGATGGTGTTAGAGGGGTCGGAAGCTTCAACGTGGAGAACAGTATCTTCTTTTGCTCCGCAAAGTTGAGAATCTATGATAATTTAGTGATCGCTGATTATAGAGACATCGAAGAGACATACCGAAGAGAAATGAGAGCAGGTCTATATCGGGAACATGATAGCTTTTCGAAGCTGAATAAATCATTTCCACTTCCCTTTGTCGGAATATTGAAAGCAGAAGGAACTGGATGGAAATGTTCAGTAGATAGCACGCTTGAATAAGAAATACAGTTGCGCAGCGGGTGATTTGACGAATAGAGACGAGAACAACAAAGCAAAGCTAGAAGAGAAAGTCGGGAAAGAAAGTGACTTTGAGGGGTTTCACCACATGAAGCCTTGTCCTTTACTTATCGTGCCTCGGCAAACAGACATGGACATGGAGCTGGATCCTGATATCTCCCTACCGGTTGCTGAACGCTACTTGACCAAAAATATGGCTACGAAGACGAACGCAGCTGTTTGATTCGGGCTTCGAATCCAGCTTGTGGCGCGTGCAGGAGTGGCGTTCGACGATGGGTTCTTGATGCGGGGTAGGCTTGTCCATGCCGCCGGGAAAATCTCCCTTCTAAGTTAGCATACATCGCCATTTGGCCATTCACCATGTACAGTCAAGGCATCAGTGTCCCGATCAAGGATCTGTGCCAAAAGATAATAACTGACTCGAAGGTACTGACTCGGAGGTAAAGGATTGCATCTCGCATAGTTCAGATAATCCCACGATGATGAGAAAGCAGAAACAATTTATTCATATCTATCACTCATTCCACTAACTCCCGGCTCCCCGATATGACCATTATCTTTATAATCGTACACGCTCGACTCTGAAAGCCGAGCTGAAGAAACATACTAGAAGATCCAGCATCAAAAACGAGCAGATCAGTAAGCCTCGTGTCCTTCGTACGATGGAGCGCTCTCTCAGAAGCCCTCAATGATGCCGACGACTGTGGCAAGGTTTCCCAACAGTCGCTAAGGAAAAGACCAACAGCCCAAACCATCAAGTTAAATCCACTTGAATCCCGTGATCTTGATCTCATCCTTCGCCTTCCTCCCCTCCCGAAACTTCTCAAGTTCCTTCTGCTTGTTGAATGCCAATTCTTGTTGTTCGGCCAAGTTGGCAAGATCACGTTCTCTCACCTGCTGCCACTTCTCACCATGCAGCGTCTTGTACAATTCGTCAGTACCCTTGTTAGTCTCAGTGCTCCAAGACTTCAACGCCTTTACTTTCTGGTCCAGGATCCATTGCTTATTTCCCTCTTCATCTGCCTTGATACACTTCAACCTCTCGGTGGCTGCAGTCTCTAATTCAATCTCGCGAGCCTTGCGTTTCTTCTCGTCTGCTTCCTTGTTGCGTGATTTGTCGGCAAGGTATCGCAAACTGTGACCGAGATTTTGTACCTCTTCGGGTACTGGATTGGCATCAAGTGGAGGAGATGTGAAGAAGATGATCTTGCCGTATTCATCATGATGAAATTGGGCCCGGATATCCAGTGGAATTGACGAATTGGCGGTGTCGGCTAGGGTCCAGACTTCGGTAGGTCGAGGCGGGTTATATGTGTTGGTATGGCCACTCTGACCAGTATGCGACGTCGAAGCTTGTATCGCTGGTCGGGGTGCTACACTACCACCTTGGTAGAGATTATAATTGCCCATGGGGTTGGCGTGTTGAGCGACGGGAGTTGGGGACGGCGCGTATTGCGGGTAGGTGTTTTGAGATGGATAGAGCGGCGTTTGAGGCATAGCCGAATGGGTCGAGGAGGTATGAGAACCATAGGAGCTCTGTTGAAGTAGTGGGACAGGAGATGGGGAAGGACGAGTTTGGGCAAATTGCTGACTATAAGCACTGTGGGCTGAGGTCTGGTTTGCTGATGGGGAAGGGAGCGGAGCCGGAGCAAGGTTTCCAGCCATTGAAACATCGCCCTGACTCTCATAACGTGGTCTATCACTCACAATTGGACGGCGGACTGGCTCAGGCGAGGGCGGAGGCGGCGAGGGAGTCGGCTCGGGTGGTGGTGATTCCTTTGCCACTATCAGTAAATTTCGACATTTCCTATGTGACGGTGAAAACTTACATTGGCTTCGCGAGGGCGTCTGTGCACCGCACCCACGATCGGCGGTGCATTGGGAGCCCCCCAAGTTGGCTTCGGCAATGGATCATCCTCCTTCGCATCTTCCCGCAGGAGATGCTTGATCGGACTGGGAACTTTTCGCATCTTTCTTGGGGCGTCAAACAAGTCCATCTCGTAGTCCCTCTCTCTAACTTCGTCTGGCACACAGCTAGCCCAGGTCTTGATCTTGTTCAACTTGAACTTTTCCTCGTTGTAGCGAGCTTCGCATACGTAAACCTCCTTGTCAGGGGGAAATCCACGGGGTCGACCTTTGTTGTATCGCGTAAAGAACATCACAAAGCAACGATCGACAACCTCCTCAATCTTGTGGTCTCGATATTGACCAGTCTTGACCACCTCGTTGTCGTAGAAGTGCTTCTCGAAGCGATGGACTGTTTGTTCTGGGCGATAATACCAGCAAGCGTTAATCCATTTTTGGCCCTCAGGATCTTGCCATGTTCGGTAAATTTGGGCTACAATAGGTTTGGTGACGTCGTTGGGGTTCGATAAATGAATCCAGTCTCCAACCTTCCACAGTTCGCCGTTGTAAAGAATCTCAGGCAATGGAAGCCGACCGTCTTCATCCACAAAGTCGCTATCGGGCTTCTTCTTTTCCTGTTCTGCAAGGGCTTTAGCCTCTTTTTGCAGATCAACTGCGTCTTGGTAGACCTGGCTAGTCTCCAGGTTATATGACTTTGCGTTTTCGAACATAAGGTCCAAGTCCTTCAAGGTCTGGTCAACGGAGTGGTACTTCTTTCTCTTCGCCTTTCTCTTGATCAAGTCCATGGCGATAGGGTTCTTGATTTCCTGATAATATTCAGGCATCTGGGATTTGTCTGGCAACTTCTCGAATGGTAGAATCTTTAGGTCTCCTCCTGGGTTCTTAAATTTCCTCAACCCTTTCAAAAGTGTGTTGATACGAGCCTCCATAGGCGTGTGTACCTTCGGTGGTCGACCGCGTTTCTTCTGGGAGTCAGGATCGTCCTTGCCTCCGTCCTCGGCCTTCCCATCACGCTTAACAGTCGCAGATGAGCGTCGTATCCGCTTTCGATTTCTTCTTGGGCGATCATCATCGGTTTCATCCTCCTCCTCATCCTCCTCGTCTTCATCCTCCTCCTCTTCTGGCTCTGCTTCTTCGTCTTCGGGATCGGGAGGTGGGGAATCTTCGACTTCGGGGATTTCTCCAAGGTCTGGGAGCTCAGCATCCTCAGCAGTTATGGTATTGCTATCAACCAGCTTCTTTAACTCGGCCTTGAAGAGCTCTCGAAGGGTTATGGCATCACCGTACACAAGGGCAGAAGGTCGGTTGTAGACTTGTGCGTTATGAGAGATGAGCGCGAAGTCCCTCACGAACTCCTTGAAGGTTGCGTATTGTTTCTTGCTAATTTTTTGCTTGACCATTTTGTTAGTTTCCTGTTCTGGAGGAGCATGGAGCCTTAGTGGCTTACCCGAAGCGTGCTGAGCGCGACTGGCTCCTTTATGATATCGAAGTAGTCAGGAATCACTCGTCTGTTTACAACTCGCTGAAAGTCTTTGGAAACATCTCGGCCACTAGCAGTTCATTAGCATGGATAAGATGTAAATAGGGCTTCGATACAAGGCATACTCTTCATCGCGGTAATTACTTATGCGGTGCAAAATGCCAGTCATCATATCATACTCCTTCTTGGTGAGGCCAGCTTCCGGCAGAGTCGAAGGTGCTGGTCCATCCTCGACTGCATCTGGCGCACCGTTGTCCGCAACAATGGAGTCCTCTTCCTTGATCTCGGGGGCTAGCGCATCCGGTCCAACAGCAGGCGACGACATATTGTGAACTCTTAACCGATGACAGAGTTGTGGTGGTCGGCAATTCAGGTTTGAAGTGGTTGCCGGATCAAAAACGACGTCGCGATCTCAGGGAAAGCGCGTTCATGGCAATGCACGTGATCAATTCAAGCCTTGTTGACCAAAAGCGGAAAGCTCCAGTGGGGAAATTTCGCCAGCCTTGCCACGCCTCCGCCTTCGACGATTCATCATGAGGAATTTGACACCTCATCCATCCACAGCCCTCTTCTTAAGATTGCAACCCTAAAAGTTAGTAAATCAACTTTGAAGAGGTTGCAAACTTTGAAGATAGAACATGCCGACCTTCCATTAAACAAGGTCGTCGAACTCGAGCCCCCGAAATTCGATAACCCCACCATCTGCCACGAGGCAACCACACCAGAGCCACGATGCGGAGTCGACTGCGAGCTCCTGGCGGTGCATCTACAGTCACTTTACCAGATGATGCAACAGTTGGCGACCTAATTGCTCAGATAATGGAGAAGACGTCCCTCTCAAGCTTCGATATCAAATATGGCTACCCACCCAAACCTCTCCTTCTGGAGGAACATGAGAACTCATTACCGTTAAGCAAGCTTGAGGTCAGCTTAAACGGCGAGCAACTTACAATCAGCGCAAAAGTCGACGACACACCTCCCACACTAGAACCTACGAAGCAATCACCGAAGGAAACGCCACGAAACGAGACACCTACACCAGACTCATTTTCCTTTACAGACTTACCCGGCGCATCTCCGAAAAAGCCTCCAACCGGACCTGTATCTTTGCAGAGGAAAACTATGGAAGGAGATGTCCCCACGGTACCCTTCGCAGAACGAAATGCCACAGTTGGTCCGTATCACTGCCTCTTCTTTTTCCAAATTCAAGCTAACATTCCTTCTCAGTCCTACGAGTAATGCCCGACGACAACTCCTGCCTTTTCCGCGCCCTTTCCTACGCCGTCCTTCCTACAGACGACAAAGTAGTAGTAGAACTCCGCTCTATAATTGCCCAAGCCATCCGTTCGAACCCGGAAGTCTACAGCAAAGTTGTGCTGGAACAAGAACCAGAGAACTACTGCCAATGGATACAAACGCCTGACGCATGGGGAGGAGCTATCGAACTGGGGATACTAGCTCAGCATTTCGAAGTAGAGATTTGCTCAATCGATGTCCAAGTATTTACCTCCCTCCGTCCCCCCAAACTTCAAGCTAACACCCACCCAGTCCGGCAGAGTAGACAAATACAACGAAGGCGCCCTAACACGCTGCATCCTCGTCTACTCCGGCATCCACTACGATACCATCGCCAGCGCTCCCTCCGACTACCCCCATTTCATCGCCTCTAACCCACCCGAATTCGACACCCGGATTTGGGACTCGGACGACGCTGAGATCCTCGAGAAAGCCAAAGCGTTATGCAGGAAACTCAACGCTAAGCATTACTATACCGACACGGGGGGCATGGCTATCAAGTGTAAGATTTGTGGGATTGTGGTCTATGGGGAGGCCCAGGCTGGCACCCATGCCCAGCAGACGGGCCATTATGATATGGCGGAGGTTACGACATAACATTTGACGAGCAATGACTAGTATGGTGATGGTAGGAAAAAGTACATTTGATGGGCGAGATCTTGGTGGACATGATCTGCCCTTGGCTCATACATGAGAAGAGCCTTTCATACATACAAACTGATTTCAGAGCTTATAATACCCAGACTCCCTGATTTACAATCTGTATCCGCTCAGTCTAACCTCATGTACCTTCCACGTCTTATATATCAGCTCATAATTTGCATCTCACGCCCGCATCGCATCACATTCATCAAGTCTTTCATATTGTAAAAGCCAGCCCATCGACAGCATCATTATAAAGTATGTACAAAGAAGGTTATGTGACCAAGCGGATTCTAATTCAAATTTGAAAAAGAAACATAAAACAGCTCATCAAGGAAGAAGTATCAATCCATCCATCATCCATCCCCTCTCATGTTGCATCAGCTCTCTCAATCAATCGTCCTCCTGAAAGAAGCTCCTAATAAGACATCAAACATCAAACAATAACAAGGGCGCAATGTGCTGCCGAATTTTTCCATGATATGTACCCAGAACAAGACACCAAACAAAACCCCCTATTTTCGGTTTGTGGTGTCATGTGATGTGCAGCCAAACGCCAATACCAAGCAGAATAATGCAAGCGGCCATCCATGACCAAGATACTTCCCCAGCTGGCACATAGGTATGTACAGCGCTGGATGATTCCTCCAACTCCGACTGGCCAGAATGAGAACAGTTCCGGATATGAGGAGAAGAAAGACGGCGCGCGTATTCAGATATTTATCCGGATGGAGCTTTGGCGCCTCCAATTCCCCAGAATTGCTCGGCTCCGAAGGTGCCTGCGCTGTCGGTCTTCCATCCGTCGTCGAAAGCTGATAGTATGATTACAGCAGATGAGAACTTGCTCTTGATGGAGCTGATCGCAATAGCTTGGTTGCTGAGGGATGGCACAGCCTTGCCATTAGGGGATCCGCCATGCGGCCATCCGGTTTCAGTAATGACAATCTCCTTCGATGGATCGGCTAACTTGGCTCTGAGATTGGTCATTTGAGTCTGGATGAAGCTTCCAGCTGCATCTGGAGCAGTGTTGGGATCAAAGAATGGGTGGCAGTTGACTGCGGCGTAGTCGGAATTATCTGCGAGGGTTGGGTAACTGAGTGTAGCTGTGAGAGTGTCGACAGTGACAATCTTTCCAGTATACCCGGCAGTCTTCAAGAGTCCTCGGGCGGTTGATAGAGCGGCAACCACAGCTGATGCAGAAGCAGCTCCCGAGTTGACAAGCTCATTGCCGATGGCGATTGTATCAAAGCAGCTCCAATCACCGTCAGCAGCCGCGGCGATGGTCGAGATATCAGAGCTGAGAGTGCTCAAGTCGGAAACACCGGCGAAGAGCTTCATACCGTGTTTCTTAGCGGCTTGGAGAACAGTCGCAACCTGGTTGCATGAGGTGCCGTAGATTCTGATCATTCCGTAGCCGCTTCCAAAGGCTGCAACATCCTCGTTAACATCATCCTGGCTCTTGCAGTCACCGTTGGCCTTGTAAGCAGAGTACGAGACACCATAACCACTGCTCTCAGAGGGAGAGGAAGCAGGGCTAGCAACTGGGGCTGCAACGGATTTTACAGCTTGAACCACGGGAGCGGGAGTGTAAACAGGAACAGCGACGGCTGGACTTGAGGTGGTCGAGGAAGAAGTTGAGGTAGAGCTTGGTGCGGGTGGTGGAGTGGATGAAGAGGAAGGGAGGATAGTTAACAGTGGACCATGGCTCCAGACGGAGGGAGCACCATAAGTACCCTGAGTGGTGGTATCAATGGGTTTGCCGTCTTGGTCTACATAGACAACGACATCGGGAGCCTGGGCTACAGCATAGACAGTGTCAACGACCACGACAACATTGTCAGACTTCTTCGCGTTTTGGTGTTCGTGAACATGGCGTCGGCCTTCGAACTGTCTCAGTAACGCACTTTATAGGATGAATGGACGAGACTTACGGTGTGGTTGAGCAGACACAAGCGAGAGCAGCGACACCGTCGCGAGACCAAGTGTGGAGGTCTTCATTTCGAGTTGAAATTGCAGAGATCTATTTCTAATTTCGTGGATCGCGTGAGTATGTGCTTGACTATGACCGCCCAGCGGTGTCAGCAAACGAATAATGAGTTGCTTGTCGAAAGCGTGAAGAGAAAGCGCTGTGGAAGTCGAAATGCGGTTTGAAACTCGAGGTAAGAGAGGCGTGTTCAGAGAGCACGCATCTTAGCCGAAGTCGATTGTGCAAATGGTTGTTGTAGTGAATGTTTCTTCACAGCGTCCGGATCGCTTCCCAAGTTCTCGCATCAACAACAAAACACGAAAACTATCCACACACCTTTTTCCCTGCCGGCAAACCTGGGCAACTCTAACAAAGAATGAATGCAATCTCGGCGAAATCAGCGATTGGGCACAACGGTCGACTGAAGGAATGTATGGCGGACGCAGTCTCGGACGCGGATTGTGGAGGGAGGGATCGAAGAATGAGTGATTCGAAGCCGGGGAAACAATCGAGAGAACGTCGTGAGACTCGTGAAGAGGTCTTGAAGGAGTGAATAGACCAGTATTCAAGAGAGCGAAATGAGCAAATGGGTCTGCCGGGGAAGAAAAGTCGTCGAGACTGTGGGTCGCTGGGTTGTGTGGACAAGGAAGGAAGGGTGAGCACTGAGCTGGTGGGCGGCGACTCGCGAGGAGGTCGGACGTCGGACGTCGCTTCTCACACGGTGCCAATTTCCAGGGCGCAGATCGCTTGGCAAGGAAGACAAGGGAAGGGAAGGGTGGCTATTTTGGCCCTGCGAACCACACAGTGACACAGACACAGCAAGTCTTTTTTACACTCTGCTGCACGCTCCAAGCTGCACGCAGTCAGCCATTGCGCTGCATTTGTTCTGTGGGCACTGGACAGCTGGATCAACTGAGGTAAGAAGGGCGCAGCCGACTCTTGGATTGTTCTTGTTCAGCCCTGGAAGCACGCTTTACACAGAATGCTACGATTTCTCTTCGTCCCTTGCTGACTCGGCGTCCAGGTAAATGACATTTGATTTGATTCAACTGGAGATTCCAGGCCTCGGATATCAAGATACGGAACCTATATCCAGGGCAGTGAAGCCTGTCTGTCGCTCCCTTGTGGGGATTATCAAGGGAGGCTGTGTGCCCGCAACACAAACAATGCTTTGTAGCAGATCGGAGGAAGGGCTCACAAGACGCGACTCGCCATAGGAAAGGCACAACGGTCCCAGCATGCATTTGCCTGCTGTTGATCACTCTATTGGGCAGTTGTCGGGCTTCCACTCCACTAACACCAAGAACACCAAGATCACGATAGCATATGCCCAGCCAAAATCTCTTGTTGAGAGAGTCCAGTGACTTGGCTCGCAGTCTGGACCGGCACACGGGATGATACGGGAGGCAGTGCATCAACCCGCCCCAACACCTCACTGACGCGTGGCATGTTTTCTGCGTTGAACCGTTTCCCTCTGGTGTTATCGCGACTGCAACCTGGCGATAGGCAAATCCCGATAGCGAGTGACAGGCCGAGTGGCAGCTCTGGCTGGCTGGCTGGCTGGCTGGCTGGCTGGGAGTTGGGACTGGGAGGGGAGGGGAGGGGAGGGGACGGGCAGGCGAGCCATGATCCATGATCCATGATCCATCTTCCTCATCCACGGACCTTGATGACGTGCCGCACAGAGTTGGAGCTGGTTGTTCGGATGAAGGCAGGGGTTGTTAAATTTGGCTTGATTTGTTGTTTCAAGCCCCTGACTCTCCATCGCCGCGATCCCGGACGTGGGCGCTGGTTGGCTGAGCCAAGCCGTACCTGCAGCACTACTAGCGGATGGCGTTTCCTGTTCCTGAAGAGCAGGGGGGCCGGGGGCCGGGGCCGGGTCATCCCGCTCAACACGCCGTCGATGAACCGATTTCGATACTGGCGACATTTGCTCAGACTTGCTGACATAGTCAAAGAGAGACGAATCTGCTGCATCTCCTCAAATCTGGAGCCATCAGGTCGAGTGGTAGGTAGGTAGGTAGGTAGGTGATTTGTCTCTACTTCTGAGGTTACAAAATTCCTCCCGCCGCACTCTCGATGTTTGTTCTTCGCCGCAAGAAATTCCAACCTGGACAAACCTTGACATCCCCTGGGCGCCGAGGCCATCCTTGATTTCAGGGATTTTGAAATGAACGGGTCCAAGGTTATTTAAAATAGTTCGGCTCAAAGTCGTTGCATTCGTGGCGTCAAGCCAATCTTCTCCCATGATTGACTGTGCTGCGTTGCACTCCTTACGGTTTCCAACACCAGCATCACAAAAATCTTTGTCTGCCTCCAGGATGACCCTCAGGCTCTCGACATAAATTTGTGTTACCTCCAAAACAGCAGTTCAACCCTCGAATCCTACAAATATCACCGTCTCGCCCATCACGCAGAATAACTGCTACGGCCCAACCAACTCCAGCAAACCTCGCGGCTAAACGTCACCGGCAGAACACCATCAACAAAGCGTGGAACACACACAATGCAAGATTCTTCCCTGCCAAGAAAAATTGAGCATTTATCTTGCCAATCATGGAACTCCACTTCTGGAGACCATGGAGTCATCCTGACCAATAGCCAGAATCAAGATTGGAGCTGACGAAACGTGACTCGGATTCCTCAGTTGTCTCGGGCTAGAACTTTAGGAGAGATGAGATGCTGAAATCACATTCATCTTGAGCTCTGAGATCCAAAGCGGGCTTACGAAGTTCATGCGCGGCTGCGCCCCCCGAGCGGGGCGATGAAGTGCTTCGCCGCGTTCGTAGTAGTATTTCCGGCTCTCGGAGATCTCCCAAGGCGTAAATCTACCACAATAGTCGGTTCGTCCTTCTTCGAAGAAGGATGAACCAAATATTAGTCCAGACTGTTCCTTTTTGTTAGACTGTTCGTTCCTGCATGTAAAATGATAAGCACATGTTACTGTATGCAAGTACCGTTTTTACTTACGCAATTTTCATTGCGAGTCGGGCCACTGAAGATACACAGCAGTGGACCAACATGTGATAATTCCCAATGGCTTCAGCAGTTTTGAGGGTTCAAAGATGACTCGGGACCTGCAGGCGTCTACAAGTGTCTTTTCGCTGGATTGCAGTCTTGCAGACCAGTAGATTGAGATTTCGGGACATGAAGGAACCCACCGTCATCCCTTTGCTGAGTCGCAAGGGTGAAGGCTTGACTAAGAATGTATGGCCAAGCTTTCCACCAAGACTCATCATACGATAGATCTGGATCCTCTCGAACTCGAAGCCTAGACACAACTCGGTCGAAGGGCTCAAGTTGTCGCCAATGGAGGAGACTCCTCTGATGTCCGCATCCAATCGACAAGAGTTGTAGACGCCTGCACTGAACCTCCTGAGGTTTCCACGGGCTTGAGGGCATCCAAAAGCCGCGGAGCAATGTTCTGGCATTGGAATGCAAAACAATCCGGGAGGAGCTGTCAGGTATCAAATCACGGCTTCGCCCCCAAGAACCCCAGCTATGACGGCCACAGAGAGCGAAAGCTCAGAGCTGAAATCCTAACGGTGGTTTGTGTCCTGCCAATGAAGAGCACATGGAACACTCATGGTGCTAGATTGGGGTAGGGTTCCTTTGAGCTGAAGTCAGTCTTCGTGCCTCTTTTTCCAATGCGAGCAGCAAGTGCTATCCATCCGACCCTGAAATCGTCCAATGTCTGACTCGCTGGAATCGCCGTCCCCACAAAGCCTATGGTTTTCTTCCATACAGTAAGCCAGGCATCACTCGCACCCCGAAATGGTCGCAAAAAGAAACCTCTTGGTAATTGCCAGGAGCAGCTTGTCAGGGAATCAATGAACAACAATTCAGTTTTCATATATTATCACTTTCTATTCAGCACTCCAAACCATCCTTGTTGCTCGGCCGTACCCTTTCTGGTCTCAGCCAGAGCACCTTCTCCGTCACTGTACCGCAGAACCATCGTACATGGCACCGAAGCTCCAACCTCCCCGCCCTCTCGACTTCACTCAATGTTCTCTTTCATTGCACCTCGGACCTTAGGCGGGGGACGAAGTCCTCAGGCTAGCCGAACCTCCCCCCATTCGTCCTCCTAAACAGCTCTAGGCGAGACCTCTCGGGGCTCCCCTCTATTCCAAGAAGGTAGGGCTAAAGAAAGACGTCTTTTGAGTTGCGAAGTGCGACGAAAAGGGGGACTTCTCATTCGTTACACATGGCACTTTGGATTAGAGACGCTGCTTCGGACCAGAGAACTTCCCCCCTTCTCGTTGTTAGTCGCACTTCTAAACGGGGGCCCTCGAGGCAGCAATCTCTCCTAGAAAGGCAAGGGAGATGCTCAGTTCTACACTTGGAGAAGATTGATAAAGAGTTGGCTATCACGACATTTTTGTTCATGGAGTTCATCGGTGTCCTGGAACAGAGTCACGAGATATGAGGCATCAGGAAGGGCCAGTCCCAGCAATGTTGCTTATAGGTTGGATTCTTTCGGTGGTTTGGGGGAGGGAAAAGGAAAGGGGAAGTGGCAGATTATGGATAGCGAGGTGTCGATGTTAAAATCGGTACTCATGCTGTGTTTGAGGAAGTATTTTGGTGTTTGGCAGTTAGGGTACTGGGAAATTCACATCCTCCACATTTGAAAACAATGCTGATAAAGTCCATTGCCTTTCTATTGCTCGCTGAAAGCAAGTCATCACTGTACAGTATTACACATTAAGGATCCGCTAAAGGCCATCACTGAATCCTCCCAACTCCCAAAATGCACTGACTTATGAACCGCTCTATCCCATACTCTACAACTCCTTCCCTATCATCCTCTTTAAGCAACAGCAGGCAATGCTAACTTGCTGCTGCTCTTCCTCGTCAAAACCTTCGTAATAGCATGTCTGATCGTGACGCCCGCCTTCTCAATCTCCTTCTTCGAGAGGCCAGTAGTGATGCATACTTTCAGCGCAGGCTGGAGTTTCCAGTCCTCGTCTTTGCCGCCGGGAGAGAGGGGCATGCTCTTCAGGCGAGTGATGAGGACACCGTTCAGAAGCGTCTGCAAAAGTCAATAAATAAGAAGGGGGAAGGCGGGGAAGGAAACATACCTCATCTACACACTCCTGCAAAACCCTCTCCTGCTCCTCGACACTCAATCGTCTCGAATTAATAACATCCGGCTTGAGCACCAGCAAGATAATCGGATTCTCCGGAGAACTTGTGCAATGCACCCAGTCACTTCTCGGATCAAGCTGTTGTCGCATGGTCTTGATGTTCTCCCGACATTGAACGAGGATTTCAGGATTCGTTTGCAGCATATTGAGAGTCTCGCTCGCGGTGGTGGCGAGCATGGCTGGGAGAGCGGCGGAGTAGGTGTATGCTGCTGCAGTAATACGTTGATGAGCTACAACGTCTGTGGTGCCTGCGCAGAATCCACCACCAGCGCAGAGAGGCCCTGCGAGGGAGCCGACAATCATATCGACTTGTGAAGCATCGACGTTCTGGGCTTCTGTGAGACCACGGCCGGTTCTTCCAAGAACACCGAATGACCATGTCTCGTCGAGCATAAGGCGGAACTTGTATCGGAGTTTGAGCTCGACCTGGAATCTGTCAAAATAAGTACCAAAAGAAAGCAAGTGATACTCACAAGCTTAGGAAGATCCACGCAATCCCCCACCGTTTCAAACAGTCCCTCCGTAACAATAAATCGTCTAGTAAGCGGCTTCTTCGCCTGCTCTTTAACAACTTTCTGCAAAACCCTCTCTAAATCCTCCATATTATTATGCTCATAATACCTGATCGTGCTCCTGCAAATCTGCAATCCCTTCCTAATGGCATAATTGACCGCGCGATCCGCAACAATGATATCGCCTCTCTTGCAAAATGCCGGAATCACACTCGAGATCGTGGAGAAAGCCTGCGCATACACGATACACTTCTCCGTGCCCAGGCAAGACGCGATATCCGCCTCAGTCTTCATGTGGACATCCTGCGTGCCGTAGAATTGGGGCGGGCCACAAGGCCCAACGCCATATGTCCTGAGCGTCTGGATAGCTTTCTCCTTGACCTGCTCGTTGCCGACGAAGTTGTAGAAGTTGTAGGAAGCGAGGTTCGTCACAGTCCTGCCGTTTGAGAGCTTGACTTTCGGGCCCGTAGGTCTGCAATGCACTCAGTCAGCAAACTATCACTCAAGGAAAGGAGCAACAAACCCAACAACCACAGGTGTCTTCTCGTTCTCGGCCTCTTCAAACGCTGTCTGCGGCGCAACGAGCGGTTCTGGAGTCCACTCATCAACCAAATCATCGATTTCCTACAACCGCATCCGTCAGCCCATCCCTCTCTTTCCTCCCTCCACCCATCTCAATCGCAGGAAGAAATAACTCACCTCCTCCGTCAACTTAACAAAATTCCCATCCTTCGTGCTATAACTCGGGCTCAAAAGATACCTCACGAAGAAGATGACGAGCACCAGCTCAATGGCGCTGCGGACCGGGTCGTCCTGGTAGCTGCTCTGGATGTACCGGATGAGCATGGCCGATCCGGGCACCTTCTGGAAGCGGGCCGTGATCTCGTGGACCGAGCGGATTACGAACCTCTGCGCGTCTTGGAACTCCATGTTCTCGAGCGAGCTATTGAAGATGGACATTGCAATGGGGCGTTGTGGTGAGTCGTGCTTGAGTTGCGGTTTCCAAAAGTTTTGGGATGGTCGGCATCGGGGATTGGGGATCGAGATGGCCGATGAAATTGCTCACACATGATTGAACCGTGAGATTCAGGGGTAGCCTGGAATACTTCAACGAGTAGCTTGGCAAATAGTTCTCAAAGTCGATGTGTGAGTTGATCTATTTATAAGCCGATTTTGTTCCCTCCACCATCCATTTCTCTGATCACCACTCTCGTTTTCACTTGACTTAAAAGGTCACTTTCACTTAGCATCACTTTTGGAAACAAAACTATTATGTAAAGGCCCTTTATTATGATCATGCTGCATTAAACGCTGCAGCCTTTCATCCAGCTGCGACTGCTTCATAGTCCCGCCGACTAGAGCAGATATTCGGTCGTTACAAGACCTTATGAAGGAAAAGAGGGAAACAGATGTCTAAGCCGTGTACCATGCAACACCGAAAACGATTACTTAAAACACCGCCATGACCACCCATTGAACTAAGAAAGTCCTCATAATGTACCACTCCGTATTCATCTAATATACAGCCAGGCTGGCCTTTATACATCCCCTCTCTAGAACAATCTGACTTTCGCAGTAGCGCCTGAAGTGGCGGTACTTGCAGCACGGCCGGGAGCTCCGGTTCCTGTTTGGGTGTCGTTCAGTGTATCGTTGTTCTTCAGGCCGACTGGTTGAAGAAGTTGCATCGGCACGCTCAGACTCTTCGTCGAACTGGTGATTATTGGTGAAGCAACGATCGGACCAACAATCAAGGCGAGGAACACCACCAGCATGACGAAGTAGAGGACTGCATATCGCCAGACACGCCTCTTTCGAAGCTTGGATTGCTTCATTGAGTAGATAGGTGGTCGGATTTGTCGACTATACTAAGTTAGCAAATTGTGTATGAGGAAGGATGGGAGTTCAACGTACCTAGGACGAAGCCAGAAAAGCAGGACAGAATGAGCCTTGTCAACGTGGGGGATGGCTATAACTGGAAGCATGACAAAGAGAAGGACGTGGCCGAGGACGAAATCGCCGGCAAACATTCCGAGTTCGGTGATCTTGCAGAGGAATTCTCGAGCAGGTTGCGACATCGAGTGCCATCCCATTGAATACCACTTACCAGTCCAGAAAGCGATGTTGGACGTATCACTCTTGAATTCTCTTGTGAGAGCCAACGCGATGATGAGCTTGTAGACGAATCTTTGAATAGCTGTGGCAGCAATCATCCCGAGTAATGCCTTGGCAAAGACAAAGCCTTCCAAGAAGAACATGGCCTCCCACAGGACGAGGAGCATGACAACGGATACTCCATGAGCGATAGCTGCAAGGACGGAACCGAACTTCTTGCAACACATGCTCAAGATGGGGCCCATGCAGCAAGCCATGCCGAACATCGCAGCGAGGACACCGGCATTGATGGCAATGGGTGCCAGAGCCACGATACCAACACGGATCAAAGAATTAGTCGCGTGGAGGTCTGTGGCGTCTGGGTTTGTAACCGAAGTTACACCAACTTGGGAGTTGATGAAAAGATACGGGAGCAAGGTGACAACCACGATGAGAAGGGGGCCGACAATCTCGCCAAAGAAGAGATTCGCGAATGAGGCTCGTGGCACGTCGCCAGACATCTTTGAAGATGGGTCTCCCAAGGCCTTTCGCTTGTAACCAGTGATTCTAGTACGGGAGAGTCGGCAGAAACCAATCCACGAAGACTGATGACTACGCGAGTTACCTCTGGACAGCCATCTGAGGAAGTCACGATAGTCGATGAAGAAGTCGTTCCAGGCAAATTGGTGAGGATTGTAGATGAATGGCGACATGCACATAGCAAGAAGTGTGACCCAAAAGTAGACCAGAGCCGGCTGCCAAACGGTGAGGGTTGCAAAGAGAAGCATCATCAGCGAACGAGCACCAAGGTAGATCGACGGGCCAGCGAATCGTGAGTAGAGAACGCCAAACGGAATGCGAGCAGTTGCGAAACCACGTCCCGTACCGATATATCTGGCACCGCCGAAAGACAAATCTTGTTGCACCGAGTTTGCGTAGATCTGGCAGACGAAGACTTCGAAGAATGGCGAGAGAGAGCAGAACTGTTTCCCAAGACGAGTTGCAGCACGCCACACTCCACGTTCTGTTAACTCCTGAACCACGAGAGGCACGAAGGAGATGAAAAAAACGATGAAGATGGAGATGGTGCAACGGTAAACCCAGTCCAGAACAGGCTGGGTGTTTGCGCAACCAGTCGGGAACAGGGGATCTGTGATCGGGACATTTTTGTTGTAGGTGCAGGCAATGGTTTGGTTCCTCAATGCTCCCAGGTTGATCAAGCAAATCATGAACATCTGCACTGACAACATAATGAACATGTTGTTTAGATGGAAACCCGGATGAGCGTAGTAGAAAGACAGGAACCGATCCAGAGGAAGTTGAGTGCCAAGGTAGTAGTACTCGCGAGAGAGCATCTGTTCACCCATGCCAGTTCCAATTTTAGTGGTGAAGTTCAGAATGGAGCCAAATCCAAGATCACGACCTTTACCGCACTGATAATATTCGCAGTGCTTTATGCGACCACCTCTGAGGAGAGCAGTCATACCGGCGTAGATATCTTCGTTCAGATGGAGCCCCTTCTGAGCTTTGGAAACACCGCCTCTGGTTGTCATGAAAATACCGTTGAGGAAATCCGGATGTCCATAATGGAGTTTGCCGCCAATAGAAGCCAGAGTACGGGCGAAGAGGGTACCAAAGGTTTGTTCCTTTCCAGCTGCAACGTCACCGAGGATCCCAATGTTCTCAGAGAAAATGTATTCACGAGCTCCAAGAATAGCAACCGGGTTGGTCTTTAGGGTTTCAACGCCAGGTGTGTATGGAGAGACGTTGTCGGTGACCATCTCCTCGAATTCGGCAAGAACACTTCGAATCTTAAGACATTCTTCCAAGTAGTTATCCTGGTTGGCATCGATGAGCTGAATATACTCGCCACGGTAGAAGATGATGGCATGGTTTTGGTTGTCGGATTTGCCGTCACCAAGAATTGGGTTACCAGAGAGCTGAATACGGAACTTGGGTCGACGCATCCCGTTTTCCATGATTTCGGAATGTCCATCGATCAGAGCAGAATACAAGCGTGGCTCTTCGCCTTCGACCAATGGAGCTTCTTCATCAAGGTAGGCGATCTGGAGGTCGGGATACGCGCGAAGCAAGAACTCAGTGTTCTCCATCTCTTCCTTGTGGAATTTGGCATATCGTTGCATAGACACAACAAGCTTGAACTTGCGTCGTGCCATGCGCTCCAGTTCTCGCTCGAGCTTGTCAGAGTTACCACCGAACATCTGGACAACCTCGGGGTTCTCAACACGATACAGCAGCTTTATCGCTCGGCTGTAGTTCATGAAACCGGAAATCGTGCGATAAAGTGTCTGCGAGCGCAGAGAGGCCCAGATACGGGTGCGGAGAGTGTACTCCGGTGCAGCAGATTTGAAACCAATGCAGTAGAATGGCAGATCATCGATCTTGCTCTTAGCAGTGTCCTTCTCACTCTTCTCGTAGTCACCGTTGAATTGGGAGGTCTCATCAGCGAGAATCTTGGTGTCCTTGACGAAGCAATCCCACTCGTGAGGGTGAAGTTGCTTGAGGTACTCGAGAAGTGTGACACGGGAATATGGTTCATCTTCACGGATGATCTCACGGAGGGAGAGAAGAATCTTCTCGCTGTAGTGAGGAATCAACACGGTGAAGGTTGGCATATTGTCAACGGGAAGAGGCTCAGGAATTGGCGTTGAAAGTGACTGGGCGAAGAAGGAGATACGACGCTCCGCCTCACTCTGACTTGGGAAGAACTCGGTCTTGAACGAATGATCTTCTTGTGAGACGAAGAATGTAGGGGCTCGGAGAGTGCGCTTTCCCTCCTGTTCTGAGGGTACTTGGTGGTAGAGCAGCTTCTGCACGTGATCGATGGCGAGAAGATGTTCACGATACATAGAGATGACGATAGCGTTCCAGATTTGAGAGATCAGCACCTTTGGTTTGTACTTGATCTCCATGTCGGTCGTGGCAAGAACCTTTGAGTATATACGCTTAGGAAGACGGGAGAAGATATTTCTCCAAGGCGTCCAAATCGAAACTCCCAAATAGAACGACCGAGCAACGGAGTAGATTGTGTTCATGATGATGTACCACAAGAAAGTGTCCAGGAAGAAGAGGCACAAATCAGTGATGAACATCAAGACCAACAGAATCTTAGGCTGATACTTGCAAAGAGCGAACTTGATAAGCGCATCTCCCTGGCAAGATGTGATCTCCATCGAGGCAAGGTATCTGATTGGATCACGGAAAGAGAGTGTCAAGAAGACGTACGATTCCGCGAGCTTAGCGACGAAGACACAGAGCCAGAGACCATAAGACATCCACATGTCGTTGCCGGTAAGACGGGGATAACTCGCGGTAAAGGTCTGACTCGCAACGTATTGTCTCGAGTTCTTCGTCAAATAGCTTCCGAATAAACCTCCGAGAGGCATGATTGCAAAGAAGAAGAACGTGGCCAGAGCGATGAAGAATTGGACGATACCAAGAATGAAAGCAATTTTCGTGGCCTGAACATCCTTGAATCCAAAGATGTAGACGCTGGGTCCAACGTTGATGACGAACATGAGGATGAGGAAGAGTAATTTTCTTGTGAGATGTTGTGCTCCAGCCCATCGTCGTGGGACATAGGTCCACTCTGCGATGGTTGCCGCAATCTGAATAAGACAAGCAATTGCTCCACCCAGGGCCACAGCAGACCATTGTGCAGAAGCAGGAGGTAAATTGTTCAATTGCTGTTCATAATTCTTGACCAGAAGAGTCGGGGAGTTCTTGGCTGTGTAGAACCAGAAAGAGGTAATGTGAATGACCCAGATACGGTTGAAGTTGACCAACATGTGGAACCAGGATCGGGTTTCCTTGTAGGTCTTGAAGAAGACCTTCTTCCAGTTGACATCCTTGAGTTTCAAGAATCGCTCTGCAGGTGGGAAGTCAACGATTCGAGTCTTGTCTTCCATGACAATAAGCTCAATGCCCTCGGGGTACCAAAAGAGCTGGTTGCAATCATCGTAACCGATGACCTTGTTGTGGTCTCGCTCACGTCGGACGTATTTGCCGTCTTGAATCTCGTAGCCTTGGTCTCGGCAGTACTGGTACAGCGGAGTGATAACATTGTTCAAGTATGTGAACTCGTCGACTGGTTCGACCAGATTTTGGCAAGCGGGAGAGTTGAGGTAATCATCTGCACACTTGAAAATGAAGCAGAGACATTCCGGCATGAAGCGGACCTGATTGGCTTCGCCCCAGCAGAGAAGGTAGAGAGCGAGTTGCCGTACACGATCGTGCTGAGACATCCGATTCATGCGGGTCTTCCATCGGTATTCGGCAGCCTCAAGACTGTTGTCTCCCTCAAGTTGCTCGAGGGTTTGTTGCTCATTCTGAGGGTCCAGTTGCTGCTTCTTCTTGGCAGCACGACGAGCCTTTCTGGTTCGGCGATTGGCTTTACCAAGTTTCATGTTGGCAAATCCGACGGCATCATCGAGATCCAAGTGAGCCGCAAAATACCACTTTCGATAGTTGGCATTGTCGCCTCCAATGTAATCAGCGTGAAGGGAGAGAAGAGCTTGGTTGGGGGTCATTCGAGAGGCTCGGGAATCAAGCAGTGTCATCAGATGATCATACATGTTCCGCATGCTGTCACGCTGGAAACCGAACTTGGCTGTGAGATCCAGGAAGATATCCTCAACTTCCTCCTTTGAAAGAGGGATTTGTGCGTCTGAGGTCCAGGCCGGATACGGCTCGCGAGAGCGCTGGCCAGCGGGAAGTACATTGTTGTTGTACTCCATGCCATAGTTTGGCGTTGAGGCTCCGGATGATCTGTTGCCACCGTACGAAATTTGGGACGACGGAGGGCGATATCCCCGGCCGCCCATTTGGCTTTCATTGTAGGTGTAGCGTTCGTCGCCGCGTCCATAGTAGTCCATGTCCGTTGCTCGAGCCATATCGGATCTCATGGTGAAATCACTGAAGGTCTCCGAATCTTCCTCCGAATCTCCTCTACGCTTTGGGTAGCCTTGGCCCTGTGGGTGCTGGCCCGCAGCAGGCGCTCCTTGGTCGTAGTATTGATCATTATAGTATTCGTCCTGGTACTGGCCGCCATGCTCCTGGCCCTCGTAATATCCTCCGTCCTGGTGGTATGGGTTGTTGGCATCAGCATTGTAGTAGCCTCTGTTATTTGGTCAGTCTTCCGATCTACCTTCTTCGAGCTGCAGGAAACATACGATTCGTCATAATATCCATCACCACCTTGATGATGCCCTTGTTCGGGGTAACCACCGTGTTGGTCATAATAACCTTGACCATCGTCTTGGTAATATGAATCTGTGTTGCCTTGTTGATGGTGGCCGTAGCCGTCATCGTAATGACCCTGCTGTTGGGGATGTCCCGACATGATTGCGTTCTGAAGGAATCACCTGGAAGAGATCAGCAAGTGTTCGTAGGACCCGAGGTTGCGGACATTTTCAAGGGAAAAGATAGTAGAATAGGGGCAAAATCTCGTTGTCCGCTGCATTTGCCCAGGGGCAATGTGGAGACTCACGTTAAATGCACATTGGAAGAGTGATCGAATTCGCTGTGCACTTGGGGCAGTGTCGCAGGACCGCAACTGTGCTTGAGCTGACAGGTTGGGAATGATCGTGGAAGAATATGAAACTGGGAGTTGAAGCCGACGAAAAGAGCCGTGTGACCGAAGCCAATTGCACTATCTTCGACACTGAGATGAACGAACAGTGGGTGCCTTCCTCGCGGACGGCAGTAGCGATTGAAAAATAACGTTGACGTTCAGCGAGCGTGAGGGAAACAAAGAAAGAGTGCAGGATCCTGTTTTCGACGATTGCGTGTTGCTTGGGCGATGGGCGGGTGGTGATGTGCCCCTTCCTTCTGCCAGTCAGAAACGAGACTAAGGCGTTCCCGCGTCAACTTAAGACAGGCAAGCGATCAGCGGACAACGAACGTACTCCGTAGATTGACGAGTGAAAGGAGCACCACAGGACGGTCGGCGTCCAGAATGGATGCTGCTGCTGCTGCTGCTTGTGAGTTGGAGAGGAGAGGACAGAAGAGGAGAGGAGAGAAGAGAAGCAGAGGATTCGGGAGTTGGACTCAATTGCACTCAAATCTAGTTTCGGGAGTGACTTGGTTCTGCTGAGGAATGAAGGGGGCAGCAGTGCCTGATGCGGCTTAGGGCGGGCTAGGGTGTCGACCAGCGAGTGGAAAACGAAAAATCAGGTTGTGGGCGCTGCAAACGTTCAGGGGCCCGAGGCAGATGGGGGAGGCAAGGGCAGGGCAAGGCAAAGCAAGTAAGTGGATGGGAGGGCCACAGCTACCCATAGTACACAGTACCGGCCTCTGCTAAGCAGAAACGATTGCGTCGAGCATCCAGGATGCCTTGGAACAGGACCATGGCAGCGAGTGCTGTTTCCTTGCAAATCTCCACTGAACCCAGCACCGCCTGCATCATTCGCACTTTTATTTCCATTGCACTGACTTATGATCCATCCCCGTCACTCACGTATTTGCAGAGCAAATGTGGAGGGATGAACATCTTCGTATTTGTCTGGCCATAAGGGTACGATGTGCTGAGTGCTTGGCCCCTAAGTCGTCTAGTTTTTCCCGTCCAGGCGCCAGGCGTCCCGCGCTTGGTGTGGTGCCCACACTGTTTTGCTTCACGAAGCAGATCGTACAAGTACTCGTAAAAGGGGCAGATGCCACGGCACCTCATTTGTTGGCCAGGTGGGACGAATCTACCTGTACGGCCTATGTTTGTGAACGCATGAACGATGCGCCGCAACGGCGGGGGCATGGATGAGTCTCTGTAATTTGTTCCTTACAAGTTCCGCGCCGGTTAGACAGGTCCAACTTCGCACATAGTGCCACGTAATTGGCCTGTTTATGTGCAGTTTCATTTCAAGCCTTTTCTCACGCTTCCGTGCAGCCGGCACTGCTTATGAATCCTACGACAAAAGCTCTTGATCGGCCTTCTATTATCCATTTTTATGTATTCATCCATAGAGTATTCTGATGCCGATTCTCGCCTGACAAGCCAAAATACGGCCATGTCGTGACCGAACACCGGATGTGGCGCTCTTTACGAGTTGGCGTCAGCGTCGATGTTCCTCTGGTTCACCCGCCGCTCCATTCGAGCGCCTCCATCTCAAGTGGCGCTTCGAGTCCAAACAAAATATACGGCACTTGCTGGAGATGTGCAAAGGCGAGTTGATAGCCGGGCTGAGCAGACATCGAGATGTGCACTGATGGTCCGGGTCCGTCACCATTTGAAATGGAAAAGCTGATGGCAAAATCGAGCTAGGTTCGTTGTGGAACGAGTCTTCGTACCTGGCGGAGAGCTCCTAAAATAGAACTTTAGTTGGAGGTTATCTGCCAGTGGCAACACTTATCGACGGGTGTGGATCATCAACAGCCACTGCCCCTCCAATCATGGCTGCCAATCAGTTAACAGCCCCTTTAAATGAAGTCCATCAGCGACGAACTCTCCGCGAGAAATTCAACAGCGAACTACTTCGTAAGATCCGCCTTACCGTGTGGGTCACGGGATGCAAAAAGGGGCCGGAAGGTACTCACTCGGTATGGCTTTGATTCAACGGCGATTGGAGTGCATACCGAGAGGTGTATTTTCAAGATCACCACTCACACCTCACCACCACGATTTCACAGGATGATTTTCCGAGACGGTTTCCACAAGGCTCACCAATGGAGCAGGAGTTTCTCTTTTGCGGGACATCCGGCCACTTCCGGAATTGTTTGAAGCTACAACTGCTTGATGCTGAAGCAACCAGCCTCAAACCCCACCTCCTGGCAGAGCTGATACGCGTTCTGATACCGGAACGTGACATGCTCTTGCAGTGTCTATCCCAGAACTCGATCCGCAATGGGCAGCGACGTTTCTCTCCCACAAGCAGTTCCACGCCGAGACGGGCGTCCTCCGTTTGTGTTGTGGCAAAACATTTGGCATGCGTGCAGGTGATGATGTCCTCGACGGCTGAGCTCAGACACTGCCAACAGACTTTGCATCTGCGGACTCCGTCCAGCTCACGGAGTTCGGACGAGTGAGAGCTCCTGTCGGAATGCAAACATTTGGCCGGCCTGGCCGGGCAATTTCAGCTTCCTGGTCTCGGCTTCGTCGCCGATTCATCATTTGCGTAGGTGTCTCTGCTGCGCCTCGATGTCTTGGGGATGCCTGCATGTTACCTAAGGCCCATCAAGGGAAAATTGTATCACGTGCCTGCAGCAGAGGAGAATGGAGGTCGGTTAAGCGCCATCGGCGGCCGTGCATGGGTGCGTTTGATGTCTCGAGAGAAATTGACGATTGCGAGGATACAACCTGCACAGAGGAAGTCGAGGAGCACCCAATTTAATGAATAAAAAAAATGTGAGTGCACTTCGGATGACTTTGATGACGATTGCTGCAGAGGTCCTAGAAATAATTGCAAATCATCGTTTTCCTCTGGTGGGGGAGCGGCTCCAGTCTCCAAGTGTTACGCACGCCCCGCCCCAGCAAACCCTGGATATGGGTCCTCTCCGTGATTCAAGCCAACCATCTCCAAGCCATACCTCTTGAAACGTTTTGAGTCTGCTTCTCGAACCCGGTGAGTTATTTCTGTTCGTCTTTCTCTCTTTCTATCTCTTTTCCTCCCTTTCGTGATTTTGCGCTTTTTTCCAACGCTCATTCATCCTCACTCGTTGTTTCTCGAAGCAGCTTCGTCTGTTTGCTTGCCTCGTTTTGGGTAAGTACGATCTCAGACGACGACTGCTTTCAAAATCAGGGCTATTTGAACTTCCATCGGGAACACCAGACAACTTAATTAGAGATCAACATTTCATAGTCATTTCTCTGCCATCATGAAGTCCTCTGGAGTCGCTTCAATCGCTGCGGCTGCGCTCAGCGGGGCTCTCTTTGCTATGTCAGTTACAGCTGATCTCCCTCCAATCGTCATCAAGGTCGGTCGCAGCACCAATCCATTTTTTCACCACAGAATCCTCATAACTTCTAGGGGTCCCATTTCTTTTTCGAAAACGGCACCGAGTTCTTCATTCGGGGGGTCGCATATCAACAAGATGTCAACTCGAACGGCTCGACTTCTACGACGGGCTCATTCACAGACCCTCTGGCAGACTCAGCCGGATGTTCCCGGGATATTCCACTTCTTAAAGAATTAGGAACCAACACAATCCGTGTATATGCCATAAATGCTTCTCTCGACCACTCTGCATGCATGCAAATGCTGCAAGACGCTGGTATCTACCTTATTCAAGATCTCTCGAACCCTTCTTCCTCGATCAACCGAAACGACCCAACATGGACCACAGAGTTATTTGCCGATTATGCTGCGGTCGTTGACGCGATGGCTAATTACACCAACGTTCTGGGTTTCTTTGCTGGGAACGAAGTGTCGAACGACGTCAGCAATACCAATGCCAGTGCTTTCGTCAAGGCTGCCGTCCGAGACATGAAATCATATATCAAAACCAAGGGTTACAGGACCATCGGTGTAGGATATGCTACCAACGACAATGCTGATATTCGTATTGATCTAGCACACTACTTCAACTGTGGTGATGCAGCCGATGCAATCGATTTCTGGGGTTACAACATCTATTCGTGGTGTGGTGACTCTTCCTACACGGTATCAGGTTATGACCAGAGAACCGCGGAATTTGCCAACTACTCTGTGCCCGCTTTCTTCGCTGAGTACGGCTGCAACACTGTGCAACCCCGACAATTCACAGAGGTCCAGGCAATCTACGGTAAAAATATGACTGGAGTATGGTCTGGTGGGATTGTATACATGTACTTCCAGGAAACGAACGACTTCGGTATATTTGAGAGAATCCCCTTAGCCAACAGACTACTAATATGCCTCTAGGCCTTGTCTCGGTTTCTGGAGATACGGTTACCAAGTTGGCAGATTTCACCGCTTTATCAAAGCAGTTGGCCCTGGCTACCCCAAGCTCGACAAATTCTGCCAATTACGTAGTCACCAATACTGTTGCCCAGGCCTGTCCAGCAACTGGCACCGATTGGGCTGCTGCCAGCGCTCTTCCTCCTATTGCCAATGCCGACGTCTGCACTTGCATGGTGACTTCGCTCTCTTGTGTAGCAGAGACTGGCTTGTCGGATAACACAACTGCCTCTTTATTTTCCACCGTCTGTGGCCTTGACAAGACCGCGTGCGCAGGTATCAACACAAATGGAACCACCGGAGTGTACGGCGCCTACTCCATGTGCAATTCCTACCAAAAGCTTTCCTTCTCCCTCGACCAATACTACAAGAATCAGAACAAGGCATCAACAGCATGCAATTTCAACGGACAGGCCAAGACTCAGAGCGGATCAACAAGCAGCTCCTGCTCAAGCCTTCTCAACCAGGCAGGGAGCGCAGGAACAGGAACCGTCACCACCGCCCCAACAGGCACAGGCGCCAGCAGCTCCTCGGGCACATCAACAAAGAAGAGCGCAGCAGGCGCCGTCATCATCCCTCGACTCGACATGGGCCTCTTACAACTCGGCGCGTACCTCTTCGCAGCTGGTATCGTAGGTGGAGGCATGATTTTGTTGTAAACACAGAGTGGTTGGGTTCTTGTGTTTTATTGTATTATCTGCATCAGGCGTCGTTGACATGACTCTCTTGGATGGATGAGCGGTCATTCGGCGTGTACATAGACTCGCATTTGAGAGAATCATTATAGCCCGTTTCCTTGCCTCATTAGATTAGTCACAAAATCGCTGGTCGTAATTGTAAATGCAGCATAGAGATACTTAGAATGAATTGAATGATACCTTGAATGTTCTACTTTGCTCTCATAAATACAATCCTTAATCGTGATCGGTAAAGATATGGAATAAACGTTGTTTGAATGGTGATCGAGATTTGGATAGAGTTCCGGGCCGCACCTTGTAACGCATAATGGCTTGGCTTATATGAGACGAACGCATGTTACAGACAACACCCGGCCCTCTATCCGAGATTGTTTGTTCTTCCAACACACTCAATTTCCTTCTCGCCAATCAAAGCAGCAACAAAGCGGCCATGTTCCTCACTATGGTCGTGAAAGCGGGTCGGGTGTGGTCATTGGATCTAGAGGAGCTTTTGAGGTGAACGGTGCCGATGAGATTGTTGTTTTTCTGCACCACTGGAGTATAAATTAAACCCCAATCTCCGGTCTTTCATTAAATCATATAAATTGAAGAGATCCTTCAAAGCTTGTACATTTGATGATCGAGATGACGAAGTGACGTTCAAACCCTAGTCTGGTGACAAACCGGCGTTAGTGTGTGTGCGTTGCCACGCCAACGGTGCCAACGTCAACCTCGGAAAATTAAACTCCAGATCCAGAGACAGTCATTCCAGATATTGATTGAGCAGAACATTCGATACCAGCAATGGCGAGAATAGTGCAGGGTATCGGAAGTGAGAGTGCGAGCGATGATGATGAGTTTCCTAGTGTGCAGGAGTTGGTTGCGACGCGTGGTGAGGGGAAGAGAGCACAAGCTTCAAAATCATCGAGGGTGAGGGTGGGCGATGACGAGAAAAGAGAAACGAGAGTGAGGAGCCCGATGAAGAAAAAATTGAGGAAGGATGAGGTAATGAAGGTGGTCGAAGAGGCAAGGGAAGGTGAAGTTCCAAAGGCAAAGGCGAGGAAACGCGTCTTGAATCAGAGGTCTGATAACCCTTTGTTGAGACCGTTTGATTGCGCGTCTTCTGAGCTGCTTGGGGAGGGATCGAGGAGGAAGGGGAAAGTTCTGGGTGTGAAACCAGGGAAGGCAGTGGTTAAGAAAGTTGATGAGGTTCCGTTGGAGGAGTCTCATAATGAGGATAAAGGAAGAAAGGAACGACGAGATGAGGACGTTAAGGAAGACCAAACGATTGAACCGAGCGGTGGAAATGTTATGAAATCTATCGAAACGGACTATGATTCTATGAGTCAAGCCAGAAGGAAGAAGAATCAGCGCAGGACGGAAAAGAGCAAGCAAGTCAGACAGGCTTCAGAAAAGGAGATAAGCGAGGACAAAGTATCCGAAACGACTCTGCCGGCAGTAATGAAATCCATCGAGTCTGAGGATGAGGACGCCAACCAAGCCAGAAAGACGGCAAGAGGCAAGATAGTCAGGAAGGCTTCCGAGAAAACGCGGGCAACTCCTCCTCTAAAGGTCGAGTCCGAGAAAGAGGATTTCGGGCTTGACTCTGACGGATTATCGGATTTCATTGTTGATGACAGTACCTTTCTGGAGGAGGAAGATACAGTGATCGAAGAACCTGCTCCAAGATCTGTCAGAAGATTGGTGAAAGGAAGAAACCCCAATAGAGTTCAAGTGTCTGACGATGAGGGCTTGGATCTGCGGATGGGAAAGCTGAAGGTGGAAGACGATGCATCTAGTACCCTGGACAAAGCTTTGAAAGAGTTGAATCTTGAAGATTCCGACGACGAGGATCTTCTGGAAACTAAGACAAAAAAGTGCCCAAAGGATATTCGATTTAAAATACCCAGACAGCCCAAGAATGTTGAAGCAGCACCGGCCAGCTCTGATTTTGAAGACCCATTCACCCTGCGATAGTAAGTCGTCAGCTCTTGCAATGATCTATTGAACCAAAACTGACGGTCTCTAGCTCCCCTTCCATGAACAAACCAATAAACGTCCCCAAAGAGACTCGTTTTGCAACACCACCAGGAAGTCCTGAGCTCAAACCAAAAGGTCTGGTCTCACCCAAGAAGAAAATTCCTCGAATCCCTTCAACTCCTCATCGACCAAGCATGGATAGTTTCTGGCAGCAAGACATCGTCAACGACTGGAATGACGAGTACTCCCCACGCAAAGTTATCTGCCCTCAGCCATATTTCAATGCTGATGGCTCTATCCCCATTGATCCTGTCCTCCTCTCCCCCAGAAAATCGCCAGTCAAGCAAGATCGAATCACCAAGGAAGCCAAGAAATCCTTTGCCCAGACAAAACACGCCTTAGCAGAAGCGTTCCTGCTCGAGCTCGACACCAAGGTCACCAACGGCGAGATATCCAGACTAGCAGGAGCAACCGGAGGAGTAAAGATAATCTGGAGCAAGAAGCTCAACTCAACCGCAGGCCGAGCAAACTGGAAACGCGAAACCGTGAAATCCAACTTCAACCCCCACCTCCCACACTACCGACACCACGCCTCCATCGAACTCGCAGAGAAAGTAATTGATGAGGAAAACCGTCTGCTCAACACCATTGCTCACGAGTTCTGCCATCTCACGACTTTCATGATTGATAACATGAAGACGAATCCACATGGCAAAGAGTTCAAAGCCTGGGGTGCGAAGGTCACACGCATGTTCGCTCATCGAGGAATCGAAGTGACGACTAAGCACTCTTATGAGATCGACTACAAATACGTCTGGGAGTGTGAGAACTGTGGCATGAATTTCAAGAGACACAGTAAAAGCATTGATCCTGAGCGCCAACGCTGTGGTACTTGCAAGAGCAGGTTATTTCAGACGAAGCCGGTCCCGCGGGTGGGAAAAGAGAATGGAGGCAAGGAGAAGGGATTGGGAGAATATCAGATGTTTGTTAAGGAGAATATGAGCAGGGTCAAGCAGGAAAATCCAGGAAGCCCGCAGAAGGAGATTATGAGCTTGGTGGGCAAGAAATATCAAGAGTATAAGGCTTCTAAATTGAACGGGGCAATGACTGCGGTTGAGATGGTTGATATTGTGGCGTATGTGGAGAGCCGACAGATTACGCCTGGGCAGGAGAGAGCTGCTTTTGTTTCGAGGAAGCTTGATTTCCTGGATTTGACGAGGGAATAAGCTGATGGTTGGCATGACGTATCTGGAGTACAACATCTCAAAACTGAACGGGGGCTTGTCTGTGATGGAGATGGTTGATCTTGTGGAGGAAATAGAGCGGTTCGAGCAAGAGTGAGCCGCATTTGTTCTTGACGAAGCTTACTTCCTTGACTTGGCAAGGGAAAGAATGTGCATAGGAAGGCGTATCAAATTGAATGGCATTTCAGCCGATTTCGGAGATAAACATGTTCATAGCGATTACTGTCAAGATTCACTGTGCGGGGTAGTCACTGTGTCGAGTGTTCACCAAGAATTGTGAGATAGACCACTACCGGCTTCCTTTCGTTCGTGTGATGTGCTCAGCAGTTATTGGCATGGATCGCAATGGGAAGCATCTAATAAAGAGTATGATTTGCAATTTAAAACCCCTTCTAATCTCACCTTCATCCCATGTCTTTAGATGAAAACCATCTCTCGTCTCAATATTGATTCAAACGGTCACGATTATGTAACAAACACATGTGGTATTCGAACGACTTCTATACTGAATACTTATATCAAAATACTCATCAAAGATTGGACAGGGGATTGACGTTTTCGTTGGTGACTTAGCTTTGCCGTAAGGTCAAAAACGAGCAATTCTTCTATCAGGATACATGTTCAACCTAACATGCGAAATCACTTTCCGAGTGGGCGTCTCTAGTTTCCAAGCATGTCGTTGAGTTGGTGCACATTTCTGAATCCCGAGGATCACTTTCCACTTTCCTCTTTAACCTTTCCAACTCACCACCTCTTCATCGGAGGATGCAAACATCCTTCTACAGAGATGGCGGGTGATTCGTTGCCTTGGAAGAATGCGGTGTCGATTCGATTCCTGAGATAGTCCCGGATGAGACGCCGAGACGAATAATGGCGTAGTCGAAGGTTGAGCGATTGTGTCGACGGGTTTCCCAGCCATCCATTCATTGCCCTGTGAATATTTGTTTCTCGGAGTAGATGTGCGCTGTTGGGAGGAAGGCATTGGTTGCTGGGGCGAACTATTCGTTGGAGACGGAGACGATGGTGCCGCCGAACGGGGCGCGGATCAGGTCTGAGAGAAGTTTAGACAAGGCTTTCGATTCTCAATTATATTAAGTGTTTTAAAAACAAGATTAAGAGAGAAGTGGTAATGTCCAATTCATCCCTAAACATTGAAGCTTGAATGTCGAATCGATCAGATCTGCGTGACTTGGAGTCACCACTACATCTTCGAGTCCAGACTGTAGTCGTGGTGGTCTCATGATAATTAGCCGAAATGATCAAAATACTGAAAACCTCTCGATGGCTTCCTTGTGATTGTCACGAGGAATGATCCGGGTCTAGGTTATGAGAGGTCAAGGAAAGGCTAGCAAGAGGTTGGCTCCGGAACCGAGCCGCCCCCTTATCAAGCGAAGCTGCCTGTGCTTACGAGAAGCGAAACGTAACCATCCTTTCTAATGCATCTGACATATGCGCCAAGAGGTGGACGAGCAACTTCAATAGTCCCCTTTACCGGATAGATGGGTGTCGTTGCTAACGAGCAGTGATGTATCCTGCTGCAGGCTCCAGCTTCTCGATGGTCTCCCTCTTCGCAAACGGATGGATGATTGATATGTCAGGATCGACATGGCTCCCAACCAACAACTTGTGACTGTCAGCCTGGGCGAGTTGAAAACAGGTGAGTTAAGCAACAATTTTCTAAACGAGACCGGTTATTGATATTCAATAGGATCTGTCAGTCTTTCAACCTTTGAAGAGGCATTTGTCCGCCCACTCTGGGAATTTTGATCGTGAAAGAACTTCCCGCGAACTTTCAACCACTACACATCGAATTGCTATCAGTTGCCTCATATCTGGCTAAACTTTCACCTGAACAACTAGGTAGAGACGAAATCGGCCCCACAAGTTCGAATGTGCCTGTAGCGACGCTAACTTGCCCAGACCTCTTGATCAATCCAGTTGCTCACTACAATGTGGGCTGGAGTCACGGAAAGGAAGCCTTAAATCTGGCCAATATGATACGATGAAAGGCTCCTTCTATGCCACCATCATGCCTTCATACCTGCAATCTGTTCATCATGACACCACCGGCAGCCTATTTTTTAGTGGTCCAATATCCGGCGGCCAGAATGCTTGCTTCCTGGCTTCCGCGAGACGTTTGGAGAATTATGTACTATGATCATCGACATTACTTTGCTGGTCGCGAAAGCCTGCGATCAGTTTGCAGTTGAATTCGTCGAAGTACGCCTCTCTCCAACGAATCGTCAGAGAGAGTATGACGATTCGTGCTCGACTCTTGTACTATTTTCTCCCATCAGAACCCTCGCTCGGTGTAGACGAAGAAGGAGTTTCTTGGTATGCCTTGCACATCGACGATGGCTGCCTCACAACTGACATCAGCGTTGTTCTTCGACGACTCTCCTCCTTTGCCACCCCTCAGCAGCACCTTCGAACCTGTGCCTTTTTTTCATCAATCCCCCGATCCTCTGCCAGGTATCTATATCCGCTCCCGAACGCCAGAGGTTGTAAAAGTCAATGCCCCATCCGATTGTGTGACATTTCAGACAGGTTCTGCACTGGGAAAAATGACTGGCGGAGCGTTAAAAGATGTTCCGCGTTTTGTTGCGAGGCCCCAATGCGGGGAGGAGTACAGTGGCGAGAAATACTTTTAGCGGTGTTCACCCAACCCAACCTGGAGGAAGTCGTGGATTTGAAGACTGGAATGACATTTGGAGAACTATCAGGCTCTCTGACGAGAAGCATGCGTGAGATAGGAATGAAGGGGATGGTATGCACAAAATTTGCAATTGGAGAAAATGCAGCGAGACGACGCGAAAACCTTGGCCTACAAATGTTTAAATAAAAATAAAAATAAATAGATAAAGATTCGCTGCGATTTAAACTATCTCGCTCGTTGCACCAGGATTAAAAAAGGGGGCGTTGTGGTGGAGATCGGGAGTTGGAAATGGTCGATATGGAATGCAGGTTAATAGAACAAAATAAGAATTTTTCGCACCTGGAGTGGGACAAACTATCTCAGAATTCATTTCTTGTAAGCCTATCTCACACGCTGAATTTGGAGCCTAACTAACATCGCCTAAGGCCTTTTACCAGAGATGACCGTGGTTCATGCCCATAATACTCCATTCAACAAATCTTTGTAACCCAACTCTGGTTATCCAGAATCCAACCTTTTGCATCTTTTTTTGCATCGTAATGCTTCATGTTCACCTGGTAACAGAAGACTTTTCTTGCAATTTTTTTTTGGCTCGCTAAACCTCGCCACAAGCGATCGTTGTCCCGTCAAGTTGCAGTTGGGCCCTAATAACAAGGCTGAGACGCAACACGCAACTCGAATCCTTCCGTCAACCATCACTTGTGACCAGACATCAGGCGTGTTGTATCACCCAATCGCCAAGGCCATACGAGAGCCAACGGGGCGTAAGGCTGAGTTGTCATCGAAAGCCCATCACCTTCAGCTACCCAGGCATCCAAACCTTGGAAGCAACCACCCAACTTCATCTCCACAACGAAGCCGCAGCCACATCGAAAGAGGACCTAACTCACTTTATATTCCAAACTTTTCTATTCAGGTCAGAAATACAGGCAGGCGCAACAAAAGATGGTATCGTTCACGAGAACACCACTCTTCGGCGGAGCTCTTATCGTCGACCTGCCCAGCACCTTCGCCGACGTCAGGTGTGTGACCTCAACCCCATCCCCAAGCTCCCCACTAACACTCGAAATTAGCACAATCCGCCAAGTCCCTGATCACCAAGAAGTCTATCTCGACAAAGACGGCTTCACATCCATCATCTTCGACATCACGGAGCGGGTCGGCCTCCCAGGTACAGGTCCCGCCGTCGATGGCGCCGCTTTGACGACCCATCTGGAGGACATTGTTGCTAGTGATATCGATACCGTGAAAGTGTGGAACACATCCAACACGCAATTTTCTAAACTCCCGTACGTATTTCTCCCTCTCCGCCCTCTTCTCCCCCCGCATCTCAATCCCCATGTAAAGATCACGTGTTAACTCATCCCCTCGCAGAGACGACATCCCCGCCTACACGCTAATGGCCACACAAACCCCACCGCCCCAACCAGGCTCCAAGAGCCCTGATTTCACGGCCATAGTACTCACTTTAATCAGGCTGGAAGGCGATAGAACGGATATCCTGGTCACGATTAATGTGCCGCACATTAAGGGCGAGTATACGGAGGAGGAGGTCGACATGCAGGTTGGGAAGCAGGGAAAGTTGATTGAGAATGCGGTTGAGTATGCGGCAAGGATCTGGGAGACGTTTAAGATTAAGGATTGGGGATTGTTTAATGAGGTTTAGTTGGAGGGGTGAGGGGAGAGGGGGGGACTAGTGGAGGGAAGGGCAACGGTGCACGGTGACATGCTTTTGAATGAGTTTTCTGTGTTGGTTAGGCATTTTCATTGCGTCACTGGATCGCGATACTGAATGATGAGCCCGAGGTCTAGAAATACACACAATCTGCCAAATAGAGATCAATGCCAAAATGGGGGGAGATTAACCCCATTTCATAATTCTTGATGTATGCTTGAGACAGCGAGTGTTGTCATCAATGGTGGCAATGAGGGTATTATGTCGGAAAAAACTTAGTGAGTACTCCAAAGTCCAAAGTCGTCCTGAGACATTAGGAGTTTTGGGGTCATAAGCTCAAATGATAGTGGACTAACTGTTTTTGTTGCATGTCGCGAGCCTTTTCGTCGACGTTAAGACCGGAGATCATTTTCATCCGAAGGTATTAAATGAAAGTGAAAGTCTAGAAGGAGTATTGACTTGCAGGTTAAACTAGTTATTAGATGCTTAGCATTGCGACTCAATGGACAGTGTTATCGGGTACTAAATGTGGATGAAAAATGGGTCATTAAAGACGGACCAGCCAGCAGGGTAATCCACCATCAAGCTCTATGCACTTCCAGCTTTGACGATTATTTTAACTATGTGTAATTATACAGTGTGAATTTTGTTCATAAATGATATGGTTTTGCTGCACGTTGCACTCCACGGCCTGTACGCAACTGAAAGTAGGGCGAAATTGAAGGATCGCCAATTGAGTTGGATCATCTCTGACGCCTTCGAATGATTACCGGTAAACCCCCACACCACCAATCCTCTCTATCCCCACCAGGAGAATTTACTTTTATGTATTAAATTAAATTGCACTCAGGTAATTCAAGTAGTATTGAATAAGAAGCAAGGAGGAAGTGGTTCAAAATGGAGTAATTATAGTTTTGATTGATACTGTCGATTGGTTCGTCAACTCGTCTTCGTCAGTCAGTCGCATTCATCGACTCGATTGCACTCGTACGAACCATAAATACGTGATATTTTGAAGAGTACAGCTAGGTAAGCAGAAATATATTGTTTATTATTTAAGTGATATGTGGAGAGGAGGGGAGTCGAGAGGAGCGAGCTTGTTAAGACAAAGAGACCATAAACAAAGAAGAAAGGAAACTTAGAGGCCGAAGTACTGTTTCTGATTTTCAATGAATATGAAATAGCAAATGAGGGATTGTTGGGTTTTGAGAGTAGGTGTAGGATTGGTTGAAATAGAGTGGGATATGGTGGAGGCGATCAAGTCGTGGTCGCCTGGATTGTCGTTTCGCTCCAAACTATCGAATCGTTGATTTCGTGAGTCGACGAATCTTCAATTCGTAGAAGCCAACCCAAGTCCAAAACGCGATATGCAACAAAATAACGTGATTTTCTGCGATGGCTAAGTACCAGAGAGCTGATAAGGAGTCAGGGTAAAGTAAATATGGGCTGTGATGGACTCTTGGGCAACCGAATCAACGATTCGGTCGATTCGACATCGCCTGCTATTTGGATTCGTGGAAACAGGAAGCATAACGTGTCCCAAAAATGCTGGGTGCATTTGCTTCTACGGATCCAAAACGGAGGCGAAAGTCGAGTCAAGCCGATGATTCGACGAATCTCTTCGGTTCGACGGAACACTACCTATATCTCCTCAATTTCGGAAGCTTTATGACATTCCAAAATAGAACTTAAAAAGATACTGGGTCTTTATATAGTACTTGAATAGCAAGTCGACTATTTGCTTTGAAGCAGTTGGGTTGCTAAATGTTCTATTCGTCAATTTGGCTTCGTCGATCGTTTCCGTTTCATCGACTTGACGTTGCGTATCTTTGAACTTTGAATTCGTATGACATTTAGAATTCGATATGCAACAAAAACACGTGATAAATGCTAAAAACAGTGAATAAAGAAGCATTTCGACTCACCAAGTGTTGCGGTATAGAGGTGAGGTATTCGGGGGCTATTGCAATAGGGGCTAAGCGAGTTGGAAACCCAGGGTAACGGGGCAGATCTCGACCTCGGAAACAAAGAATGGAAGATTGAACGCTATTAGGTGATTAAAGATAGACCTCGAATTGTTGGGAAAGTCCTGATCTAAAGATATAAATTCTAGTGGAACCCCTTTCTCCAATATCACGTGTCTCAGCAACCCCTGAGCCAAAATCCCGAGCTTCAGCCGTGCCATCCATCACCCCGCAATAACCTCAAGCTCTCCCCACATCACCTCGAACCACTGCCCAACTCCCAGATTCAATTCGACACAACACCACGCAATCATGTCATCCGCAGCTTGCATCTTCTGCAAGATCGTCAAAGGTCCCTTCCTCCCCCATCTCAACCTCAATTGGCAACACGCTGACCCTAAACCAAACAGGCGACATCCCCTCCCTCAAGCTCTTCGAATCAGACAAAGTCCTCGCGTTCCTGGATATCAACCCGCTTTCTAGAGGCCATGCTGTATGCTTTTCTCCTACCCAATAACCCAAATCGAGGTATAATATGATGAGAAGGAGAGGTTGGGCGGGTAGTGAGGACAAGCTGACATAATGGATGGTAGTTAGTGATTCCTAAACACCACGGAGAGAAATTGACGGATATTCCTGATGATGCGCTGACGGAGATATTGGTACTCCTTCCAGTTCCCAATTCCAATTCCAATTCCAACTCCAGATAAGATGGCGGTCTTGACGAAGAGGCAATTGAGAAGAAGTAATGAATGCTGACGGATTTTCTTGAAAAAGCCAGTAGTAAAAAAGCTCGTCAAAGCATCAGGAGCAGAGAACTACAACGTGTTGCAAAACAATGGCCGCATCGCCCATCAGGAGGTTGATCACGTTCATTTCCACATGGTAAGCGCTCCCCACTTCTTCCCTCTCCTCTTGCCTTTATTTCCGGGAAGGAGGAAAAGTGGTAGCTCGAGGCTGATATTATCTAGATCCCAAAACCGAATGCAGAGGAGGGAATGTCGATTGGTTGGCCGCAGCAGAAGACGGATTTCGATAAGCTTAATGCTTTACTTGCTGAGATCAAGGCGAAGATGTGAACGCCTTCCTTCACTGTTTTATTATAAGGTGATTGAGTGACGGCAGGTGAGGTGAACGGGGAATGGAGAATTAGATCGAAGGCATGGGTATACTGAGATGAGGGATGAATTCAAAAGCAAATATAAAAACGAATAAATCTAGGTGAGGAAAAGCCCGCGTGGACTTGTTGGTGTTGCTTCAATGTTCCAAAGATCTGGAACATTGAGATTGTCCTTCCAACCCAGGGTGAAGGAAGTTGGGAGTTGAGAGTGAATACCGCATCGCCGAAGAATTTTTGTTGCACGTTATCTCCACAGAACTCGCAATATACTCATTGATCAGGCATGTGGAAGACCGGTAGTAGCAAAAAGGGACATTCCAGGGAAGCTGCAATCTCCCCACTACGGTCAGGCAAGTAAGGTTGGCTAAGAAGAACAACGAGGTAGTCGACGACGTTGCTAGTATCATCAAGTATGTCAGTTCAAGCCATGTAATCCTACCAAGGGAATAGATGTGGTGCTAGACACAACCACAAAAACATATCAAAAAGCCAACAACTAGCATTTCGATACCAACAACCAACATTTCGAAATCAACTTGGCAGCACCGATTCTCTTCACTTTCAAGGAACTTGAGCAGAATAAACAGAAGGCTCTGCACAAGTCGCTGAAGACCATAGAGGGGTATATGGAGGAGGCAGGCAAGCAAGATTCAAGGCGACGGCAACAGCAAATAGAAAAGGCGAGACGAAGTCTGGAAGACTATTAACGAAGAGTGCATGAGGTTTGTAGAGAAGGTTGATCTCATAAGTGCTAGAAAAGGACAAGTTGAGCAATCTACAACACACATACGAAGCTGACCGAGTTGGTGTTCCGCCCTTCAAACTTCTTCCATTGGGAACCGAGGCTTTAGATGACAACAGCAAGATCTGGAGAAAGTTCAATCGGAACCGAAATCTTCGGCAGGACATTGAGCAAGCTATCAAGAAGTTCAACATCAAAGTTGTCAGTTGACGAGAAAGATCTTATTCTCCGGTACGACGGCTTTGAGCCCACGCCTGAAAATTCCGTCACGACGTTGTACATTTAAACACAGCTCGTAGTACCCCTATTCCTGACATGTAACGACAGCTCATGGGAGAGCTACACACTTGCCTCATGATGGAACCTGGGACTTTTGGACCGTAGGTAGAACCCGCCGAGGATGTTAGGATAGGTATTTGCTGATGAAGTACATATCGAAACGTTGAAAGGAGAAAACACGAAGCTGAAAGAGAAGGAGCAGACTTTGACGATTAGCCTAAATAAGGTAGAAACCCGAATCGGGGCCATGGAAGAGGAGAGGCGAGCGTAGGTCACGGACAAAGATATGCAACTGGAGACGGCGGCCAAGGAGGCTAGATAGAAGTTTATTCGGGCTGCGGGAAGTTCTAAAGCGAAGCTGCAATTTTCCAAGAGTTCTGGTACATTGAGAAAGTCCTCAAAGTAAGAGTTTCCTAAGCACTGAAGAAGCAAGCTTATCGAGGAATGGAGAGAAGTTGGAGGACATATTTCAAACCAAAAGGGTTGCGATGTCTTGTATGCCTCAACCTGACTCTACCTCTCCAGATGCAGCATCTATCCAGCCATTTCGAACTCCAAGTCCATCCATCCTATATACACCCTTTTATTTTACAAGATTCCACCTCATTTCCAATCCATCCCATCCCATCCCATCCCATCCATCTCTCGTCAACCATGCTCATTAAATCCACCCACCGTCTAATCAAGATCCGCTTCCGAAGTCTCAACATTTGTCCCATTTGTCGTAGCAACTGGAGGTGAGATTTCCTCGGCACCAGCAGGGACTGTTTCAGTTACGGTTGCCTTCTCCTCCTTAGGAGGATAGAACTGGACTCTCCCACCAGGGTTAATCATGCCCACGCGGTCATAATAACTCCTGGCCCTAATATATGGATCCAAGCCCCAATAATCGACCTTAAGTTTCGACGCTATCTCGTTTCTGCTCTTCTTCACAGCTTCTACATCCCCGGTGCGGTGAATCCACTCTAACGTTGCTTTCTCGTACTCGTTTACGATTTCTTCTCGTGCTAAGAGGAGCTTGTCTCGGGTTGCGGTGTCTTTCATGGTGTCGTTCTCGCCGGGGACGGGTTCGATGTATTGGTAGGTCCAGTCTTCGGCCCCGCCTAGCTCGTGAATGATTTGGGGCTTGGGGACGTAGGCTTCCATTTCTTCGACGTTGTTGGTGAAGTGTACTTTGCTTGCTACTACGGGGTCGAGCCAGCCTTTGATGATTTTCCAGATTCCTGGGTATTGTTAGGGATTGCTAGATATTAGGGGGTAGGGAATTTTACCTTGGAAAACCCAGGGTGCTTTGTGGACTAGGACAACGCCCAAGGATTCGGGGTAGTTGGCTTCAAAGCATTTTATCATGAATTTCACAGGGGCGTAATCCTAGCATTGTTAGCTTTTACTTCAAACAAAAGGAGGCGAGATTAACCATATTGGCCAATGAGAATCCAGTCATATCGAAAACAACGCACTGTCATATTAGCCGAGGTCTTTTAAAGGGGGAAACAAAACTTACAGCAGTGTCCACAGGAGGCTGTAAAACCATACGAGCAGATTCTATCACAAAGACCGTATATCTTTCGAGACTCTCCTCACTCTGCTCTCCTTGTTTATGCAGTCTGACTCTCACAAAGCACATCGGTCTCCCATTCTTATCCACACCATGCAAGAAACTCTTCCCAAGTCGCATTTGAGCAAGAAAGTCCTCTCCTAACCTCCTCTTCGAGTGATCGCTCCCATTAGCAGCCTCTAATGAGGATAACTCGCCATTTTTCATTATATCATCGTCCACATGAACATCTGCAGATCTCCATCTCATCGTTGAAACCATCATTACTAAAGCCTTCTCAACGTCCCATTTTCTTGCTCTCAAGAATCTTAGAAGCAATGCATCCGGATGATCATGCTTCACCATGCTCCAGAAGGTCGCTCTCAATGTTTCTGGAGTCAGACTCGCCAAGGCTTCATGGAATTCTTTCGTCTGCCCGTACTTATCATCCGAATCTGCGACTACCGAATGTGGGCTTGATTCTGTAGAGGTAACCGAATCCGTATCATCGTCCTTGTTTTTTGACCTAAACAGAGACATTCTCTTCTTCTTCTTCTCCTTCTCTGGCTTCTTCGACGTAGCGGTATCAGCTCTTGCTCTGCCATTGCCGATTTCTGCGAGCCCATTCCCATTCACTTCCTTCGGATCCAACATCCCAAAGACTTGAAGTGTAGCAATCCAGAATTCCCTCAATTTCTCCTCTTGTTCCGGCGTCAGTGTGCCTGGTCGACCCGGAAGAGCTTCTCCCGTCATATTGCTGATATCCTGCTCGATTTCCTCTAGTATTTCAGCGGTTGTATGTTGGTGCTCGACGGCGCCGGGTGATACGGAATAGAGGATTGCGACCGCGCAGGCAATAACGACTGCAGTCCAAGATCCAACACTGCTTCGCAAGAGCTGTGGTGTGAGAATTGGCGGTTTATAAGGACCTTGATTTGAAAGCTGGGGGCGTTTCGAAATGTAGGGCTGCTTATTACTCGGACTTCGAGGAACGCCGATCTGGGAAATTGGTCTTGCGCCGGAGCGGGGGAACGACGAACACAGATTTGAAGCGTACGGAGCTCGCAAGATAGGTATTCGCAACGTGGAGGGCGTGAAGTGAGGAGGTGTACTTAGGGAAAAGGAGGATGTTGGATAGACTTCGTGGATTCGGTGGCTGGTATTTCCGAGCCGGCGCAGTGAAGTGGTGTTTAGATTGGAGGGAAGATGGATATATTTGGATCTGGACTCAAGAACTTGCGCGGCTCTTGATGTTTTCATGGAAACAGAGAGTCGAGGAGAGTAGGCAAGGGGACGACTCGCGGTGTTGATGGCGCAGCAATCTCTCAACACGGATTTTCAATGTCGGATTCGGGGCAGACGAGGACCCCTTCTGCAGGATGACGAGAAGAGCATGAATAATCCTGGTCACTCTTGCTGGCAGTGTTTGCATCTGACTCTTTGCGAGCAGTCATCAATTAAATCCGGACGAGCCGCAAGCCTTTCTTGCGCCTTCTTCCCCGTGCTATCTTCATAAAGTCGTCATCATATCTGGGGGCTTTTTTGTGCTGGCACAACCCGAATGACAGGCACACGATGAAAATGGCGGGGCTTGATAAACTTAAATCCGGTTGACAGGGGGCTATTCTTCAATGGACCTCGCGTCGCGTGGGAAAAGAGCCGCTGAAGATTCATATCAACAAACCACCTTCGCAAACCAACCAGCACATTCTTCGGGCAAGGACCAGAACATTGACTTGCAAATGTCTTCCTCTACCACCCCCCAAGCTGGAAGCAGCACAAAACGATCTGGTTCTGGTAGTCGCAGACCCCTCTCGCGCCCAACAACACCCCTGCGACCCTCGTCGAGATCTTCTCTGCGCGAGTCCGGGAAAGCAAGCATTGGTGGCGCAACAGATGCTCCTCTCGAGGCCTTTGAGCCTGCATTTGCAGAGTTGTCGGATTCGATGGCAGACTTGGAGGCCAATTTTATGCATCTCCAGTTGATGCAAGAGAGTTTGTCTAGGTTTAGTGAGAACTTTGCCAGTTTTCTGTATGGCTTGAATATGAACGCATTTTGCGTGGATTTTCCCGAGGTCAGTTGAAATGGATATACTAGTATTTCATAGCATTGATTGGACTATCAGGCTCCTATTCCAGATTCATTTCGTAGAGCTCGAGAGCAAGAGGACCAACTTGGTGAGTCTTGTATTTCCCACTTCATACCCACCGCTGACCCCTCCAAGGCCATTCAACAAATTCAGATAGATTTCACGGTGAAATTGATGGGGAAACAACATTCTTGTGATCCAATTCAATCCCCTTCAGTTGGACTATAGCTTATGATTTTTCAGGACAACTGATACATCCTTCGTCGAAAATCCTCCCACATCTTCGAAGTCAGCACCCAAATTTGCAACTCCTGCTCCAGCTTCTCGGATAGCGGGCGCTGGACGAGGGGCTGCGGGACCGGTAGGGAGAGGAGGGGCAGCTCGCGGAGGTCTTCGAGGGACTCGTGGTAGTGGTCTTGCAAGAGCTGCGAAAGGTCGTGGTGCGAAGTAGATGATACCCCAATATGATTCATGCCTCACGTCCACTGCCACAAAGCGTTGTGTGTTTGGCATCGAGTACTTCATGTCGCCACTTCCTCCATTAGTCCAGAGTTCTCCATATCCACTTCCACATCCTTGGTGTTTTCCTTCGCAGCCTGCCGAGGTCCGTTATCCGTCCGCAATCCAACAGCTGCTTCAGCTTCCTTCTGGGTATACGGTTCGTCCTTCAGTGCCTTAACTCTGTGAAACGTCAGTACTGCCAATCGTCCTGGCAGCTGTACCTCGTTACCTTCTCTTATGCGTGCTCCCCTTGCGGTGCGTGACCAAGCTGTGCTCGCTCTCGAACCATTTTGCGCACTCCACACAATAAAATTGCCCGAGGCCCGGAAGATCCTCTGCTGCCTTGGTGCTCTTGTGCTGTTCGAGATGCTTAGGCGAACGAAGATCCTCTGATATCTGGTCCAGGTCTCTGAAAGGGCGTGTATCAGTCTTCATGCCCCTCTGTAGGAAGTAAGCACCGGGGTATACCTCAGCCGCCTCCTGGTCTTCGTTCTCGTGGACTTCTGTGGGATGCCCATTGTGAATCTTTCTTCTCGTTCAGCGGTCCCTTGAGTGATAAAATCTAGACGCTGTCAGACTGGTTTCGGACGAGTGGCTGGAGGTCTGGAGACCTTAAGAAAAATTAAGCGGGAAGTACCCTGGTTTGTTTTTTTGCGGTATTATTTCACCTTCACGGTTAGTCGGCTCTTCGCTGGGACAACCTAGTCTCCATTCTGCCTCATTATTCCGGGCTTGACCGAGTCAAAGACAAGGGAGTTGACCGGCTGGCAAATAATCCTAAAAGAGCAGATTTGAAAAGTCTGCAGGCCAACTTTCTGCACACACAATTGGCTGTACTCTGGTTCTAGCTTGATGTCATCTCGTCAAACCCTGGCCGTCGAGCGTGGAGGGGAGCAGCGCGGCCAACCCCCAATCACAGGCAAGCCATTACTGGCCCCGCCTAACCGAAGCCGAGAGCTGCCGTCGTTATCTTGAGCTTCTTCTCCGACTCGTTTTCACATTCTTTCAAACAACAACCTAACCCTCCGCTCCGCAACCATGCTATCCACGAGAAAGTTGGTTCTGGGCTTGGCCCAAAAACGAGGCCTTGCCCAGCTGGGCATTCGGAGAATGGCCACGGTCAGCGATTCTCCTCTGGACAAGAAGGTCCGCCAGAACAACCAGGAGGACGGCAACTTCATCAATTACAAGAAGATGTCCGAGAATCTCGCCATTGTTCGGTCACGCCTTAATCGCCCTCTTACCTATGCTGAGAAGATCCTCTACTCTCATCTTGACGACCCTCACGGCCAGGAGATCGAACGCGGAGTGTCATACCTCAAGCTTCGACCTGATCGCGTTGCATGCCAGGATGCGACCGCTCAAATGGCAATTCTTCAATTCATGTCTGCAGGCATGCCATCGGTCGCCAATCCTACGACCGTCCACTGTGACCATCTGATCGAGGCACAAGTTGGTGGTCCAAAGGATCTTGCCCGCGCGGTATCGATCAACAAGGAGGTCTACGATTTCCTCGCTACATCTTGCGCCAAGTACAACATTGGTTTCTGGGGGCCTGGCTCCGGCATCATTCATCAAATTCTTCTGGAAAACTACGCTTTCCCCGGTGGTCTCTTGATCGGTACCGACTCGCACACTCCCAATGCTGGTGGTCTCGGAATGGTGAGTGTTCTCCAGGCTACTTTCTCTACTTTACTGACCCGAGTTCTCCCACAGTGTGCCATTGGTGTTGGTGGAGCTGATGCGGTGGATGTTATGGCCAACCTTCCTTGGGAATTGAAGGCACCAAAGGTCATTGGTGTCAAGCTCACTGGTGAGATGTCTGGCTGGACCTCAGCAAAGGGTATGTAGTTTCTTTTGCAGAGCTTTTCATGAACTGGTCACTAACTTGAATTAGACATCATCCTTAAGGTTGCGGGCATCCTTACTGTCAAGGGTGGAACTGGTGCTATTGTTGAATACTTCGGTAAGCATTATTTTCATCTACCGTCTCCTTTTTCCTTCGTAGAATGCACCCCCGTGAGATGCTCCTTTGTAGAATGTATCTGCCTCAACACGGCATCTGAGCCGCAGTTACGTCGTTTCTTCCCAGGTACCACATGGAGCAGCTCCATCCCTGGTCAGGCCCTTCCTCTCGGCTTGCAGACGCTTCGAACTATCTACACGAGCTTTGGAAGATGGGGCCACCTTCTTTCCTCTCGCTCTTCATCTTCATCACCTCAACAACTCTACTGGTCTGCTGCACCCTCAACTCTGTCTGCTGTCTTCTGCGGCTGTGATCCCTCTCTTTTCAGGTATGTCAACTCCAGATCTACAATGGCTCATGTGCTGATGTCGATGGCAGGTCTCTGCAGAGCTCTCAGACATGTCTGAACCCACAGCGGACTTAGTGTACCGATTGCCACGGCACATCTACTTGCATTTCAAAAGTACTTCCAGCAGAGCTGCTTTATACCTGTCTCGACTCGAGCACATCTGCGGCATTCTTACTCAGACCTGTCTGAACTTGGAGCACATCAACGGCATTCAAACTGGTCCAGGCCTACAGCAGTTTTCGAGGACCTCAGCCGCGCATCACTAACATGTCTTCACGTTTCATTGCAACATTCTCAGAGTTATTTATCACTAACACATTCCAAACTCAGGCGAAGGCACTAACTCCTTGAGCTCGACGGGTATGGGCACCATCTGGTAAGAACCCTCCAACTGCATGAAAGTTCACAGCACTAACAAGTAACAGCAACATGGGCGCTGAGATAGGCGCAACCGAAAGTCCCCTTTCAATTCCATAACTTCACAGTCATGCTAATCTGCGTACAGACTTCTCTGTTCCCCTTCAACGATCGCATGTACGACTATCTTGCGGCAACCAAGCGCTCGGAAATCGGAGATTTCGCTCGTGTCTTCGCCAAAGAGCTGCAGCCTGATGAAAATGCTGAGGCAAGGCTTCTCTTTTATCAAATTGTGCCCAAATGCTAACCTGCCGTTCAGTACGACCAGATCATCGAGCTCAACCTTTCGGAACTCGAGCCACATATCAACGGTCCTTTCACCCCGGATCTTGCTACACCTATCTCCAAATTCTCCGAGGCTGTCAAGGCCAACAACTGGCCCGAGGAGCTCAAGGTCGGTCTGATCGGTTCTTGCACAAACTCCTCTTATGAGGACATGTCTCGTGCCGCGTCTATTGCACGTGATGCTCTCGATCACGGTATTAAGGCCAAGTCTCTCTTCACTGTCACACCTGGTTCCGAACAAATTCGAGGTATGTACCGAAAATCTACCTGCATGAAGCAAATGCTGACTTCTAAAAAGCCACCATCGAACGAGACGGTCAACTCGCAACTCTCGAGGAGTTTGGTGGCATGATTCTAGGTTTTGATCCCCTTCTCTGAGTACTAAAGAAGTATGCTAACTACGAGTGCTTGGGAACAGCCAACGCTTGTGGGCCATGTAAGTAGCTAATTTTCATTTACTGCCAAACCGGAAGGAGACTACCTTTGGACGTGGTTGCTCTCTGGATGGACCTGCCCTTGGATGTAGCTGCCCTCTGGATGGATCTGAGCTCTCCGTGCACACGTGCACCTGAGCTCTACGAAGAGCTGCCTTCTGGATGGCGATGATCTCTGGATGGATCCGAGCTCTGTGTGTATCGGTTGCACCGATTTCTGCAGAGAGCTGCCCTCTCGGCGTCGCTGCTCTCTGGATATCGCTGCTCCCTCGATGGACCTTCCTCTGGATGGATCCGAGCTAGCATGCACCGCTGCACCTGCCTCTGGATGGACTTCCCTCCAAAAGTACTTTCCAACTTGCTCTCTCCGACTCTCTCTCTTCTCGACCTTTCAACTGCTTCAGTCCCTCTTTTACCCTCCAGAGCTCACCAATCGGACGTTGTCGATTCATACATCCTCGTGTCAGACGTAAGTAAACTCCATAGCAACATGGGAACCAATGGCTTACACCTCTCTAGGGTTGTCTAGTGCACTGGTGTAAGCTTCACTGTCCGCTGTCTAGAACGTTCTGAGGCTCTCGTGCAAGCTTCTCTGTCCGCTACCCAGAACATTCTGGTGAACGGTGCAAGATGGCCTTCGATGCGGCCGATATCCTCTCGCTGGTCTTACTGATGACCTGGAACTGCCTCATCTCCACGTCTGCCAACCGGAAGCATTCCATATTTGCCCAAGTCATTACAAGCGAGATCATCTTGACGGAAATCGCCTCTACCATTTCTCTGGTCTTTGCGCCCGGTATCTTTGACATTCTCAAAGCTGCTACACCGCCTCCTGTCACCTTCTTCAAGAGCTTGCCTACCAACGCGGTCAAGAAATGGGCTATCTACCTGTCGGTCCTTGAAAAACCAGGCTCTAAGCCCAAGATCTACATCGGGTCGGGAACCAACAGCTTGTATGGCGTCTCCAAGCGGCTCAGGGACTACGACATCCACCACGAATTGCCTCTGTACGTTGAGAAGGCTTTAGACGACGGGTACGCCATAGTCCATCGAGGGCTGCTCTGTTGGACATCAATTCCGTCTCCCGCCTTGCAGCCTAAGATCCGTGTGTTGTTCATCGCTCTCGAGGCTACATTGTCCTATGCTTTCTGGGCGATGAGAGCCTCCAAGTACGCCTATTTGACCCACATTTGTCCTTGGGCCCAGAGTGCTCTGGAATACGAGGGACTCTGCTCGCACTGCGCCTTGATTGAAAACGTCGTCGGAGATCATAATCTTACCCCTGAGCAGCTGGAAGCTCAAGCTGCTCGAAACAAGGAAAACGCTGCCATCAGAATGCACAATTACCACAAAGATCAGCTTGAAAACAATGCTGAAGCATATCGTGAGCATGGGGCACAACGTATGGCAAGATACGTCGAGAAGCACCCAGATAGAGTCACGAAATCCAGAAAGAAATGCAAGACTAAGGCTCGGGAGGAGAAGAGATACTATTGCGCGGTTTGCGATCTTGCTTGCACAAAGCCGTCCGAATTGACTAGGCACAACAAGTCAAAGTCTCACATCCTCAAAACCAATGCCGCCGCCCAGCGCTCGAGCTCTAAGCTCAGCTGAGGGCACACCATCATCACCCGTGGAACTTTTTGGACTGGTGTATTCTTACCATCACTCCGAGCTCTCAGCAGGGGGCAAAGCATCGTCACGCCAGGAGTCTTTTGGACTGGACGTGGAAAAGTACTTTCGCACCAGTGCAGCTACCCTCACGCCTGGACCATTCTGAGCATCTCTACCATCAACGGCCTGGACCATTCTGAAGCATCATCATTCCCGGACTGTTCTGGACCGGACTCGCATTTATTACCATCACTAACACATCACTTTTAGGCATCGGTCAATGGGACCGAAAGGACGTGAAGAAGGGTGAAGCCAACTCGATCGTCTCATCCTACAATCGTAACTTCACTGGACGCAATGATGCTAATCCTGCTACCCATTCTTTCGTTACTTCTCCGGACCTCGTTGTGGCGCTCACGATCGCTGGATCTCTGCACTTCAACCCTCTCACTGACAAGTTGAAGGACAAGGATGGAAACGAGTTTCTCTTGTCCCCACCAACTGGCGATGGTCTTCCATCAAGAGGATACGACCCCGGACAAAATACATACCAAGCCCCACCTAAAGATCGCGCATCTGTCAGCGTCGCCGTCTCGCCCACCAGTGACCGATTGCAACTTCTTGAGCCCTTCGCTGCTTGGGACGGAAAGGACAAGCTTGATCTTCCTATTCTGATCAAGACCAAGGGAAAGACTACCACTGATCACATTTCCATGGCCGGTCCTTGGCTCAAGTACCGTGGTCACTTGGACAACATCTCAAACAACATGTTGATCGGTGCCATCAACGCGGACAACGGCGAGGCCAACAAGATCAAGAATTTCACCACCGGCGAGTACGATGCTGTCCCAGCGACTGCCCGCGACTACAAGAAGAAGGGCATCCCGTGGGTTGTCATTGGAGACTGGAACTACGGTGAGGGATCTTCGCGAGAGCATGCTGCCCTGGAACCAAGACATCTTGGTGGCTTGGCCATCATCACCCGATCTTTCGCCCGTATCCACGAAACAAACTTGAAGAAGCAAGGCATGCTTCCCTTGACCTTCATTGACCCGGCAGACTACGACAAGATCCAGCCATCCGACAAGGTTGATTTGTTGTGCACGGAGTTGGCGGTTGGCAAGCCAATGACATTAGTTGTTCACCCCAAGGATGGAAAGTCGTTTGAGATTAAGTTGGCGCACACTTTCAATGCTCCCCAGATTGAGTGGTTTAAGAACGGAAGTGCCCTTAATACGATGGCAAAGTCAGCGTGAGGCGAGGCGGATGAGAGATTGTACAGGAAAGTTTCCTTTAGTTTGTAAGAGTCCGTTATACACATCTTGCGTTTTAGCCAGACTTGACTTCTAATGCATTTGTGATCTAACGCCGAGAAACTTCTTAATGATCCCTCCTTATGATATGTAAGCTTACAGTATAATTGCAATCATGCCTCGCGCTGGTACAAGAAAAGCGGCACTGAACTTTCAACATCCCAAGTCGAAGTCAGATCTTTATTTGAACCAGAGGGACTCAAAATTTCCGTGTTTCAGAATCTCTGAGACAGCAGAGAGGGATATTTGGAATGTCCTACAACTCGATAGAGCAATTACATAGAAAGTGTCTAAAATGATCCAGCTTGACTTGGGACATTGGCAATTCAATGCCGCTTTTTTATCTACCCTGCGCCTGGGTTAGCTCCACGTTCCGTATCACAATCACCTCTCTCCATCTTGTCCATGAGACAAAAAAAAAAAAATGCTTAGTGATTGATTGACATATGTACAGTAAATTTGCAGCCCCGATTTAGGTACACCTATTCTAGACCGAGATCTCCCTCTACTGGTTGTCAAGGACGTGCAAGTACTTCTTCTCTTCCCTCTTCTCGCGCTCTGTCGCGGGTGGTAGGTCATAGAACGCTGCGCTTCTATACCCTTGCTGTAAAGAAATTAGCCTTTCGACTCAATTTAGAAATGTAAAAGTAGCTCACCAAATAATGAAAGGTCAGGCTGCTCAACTCCGCAGGCTCAATCCCCAAATCCTTGAACGTCTTTGCAGTAGGATCAATCTTCTGATCAATGAACTCCCTCTCCACCTCATCAGCAGTCAAAACCGGCCACCAAAGCGCTTTGTTCAAAAGACCAGCAACAGGCTTCAGGATCGCTTTGGGGAAGTTGATGTGTCTACGATGCTTGATAATTTCGCGGTCTACTAACCCAGCAATCTCGGCTGTAGAGTAATTCTTAGGGCCGTACAGCTCGTAGGTTTGCGAGGCGGTAGTGTCGTCTTGCAGCATTTTCTCGAGGGCTTCACCTACATCGATTGCGTGAACGGGCCAGAAACGCTCTTGCATGTTGTTTGATGTGAAGACGTTCGTGATGCCGGCCAGTTTGTGGAGGAGGCGGTCTTCGAAGCCGAAGAGGGGGGCTGGACGGACGATGGTGGTCTCGGGGAAGATGCTGCGTGCTACGGCTTCTCCTCGTCCCTGGGGTAGTTTTAGCATGCTTGCTAAAAATATGACAAAATTGGGGATCAAACCTTTGTTCTGTAAAATTCGGACGGAGAGTTGACATCCGCATTGTACGAAGAGACGTGAATGAACCGGTCGACGTCGTACTTTGCTACGGCTTCAGCAATTCGCTCCACACCCTCCACATGCACATCCTCGAGATCAAAGTTCTTGGTGGGATATGTTCGGCCAACGAGATTATAAACCACATCTGAGTGTCGAACGCTCTCCTCGAGAGATGGTGTATTTCGGAGGTCATATTCCATGAAAATCACTCGGCCCAGGTCTCCAGAGACTTTCAGATGTCTCTTGGCCATCTCCTCCCGGAAGGGTACAATGACTGTGCATCCTTGCCTTGCTGTACCAATGTCAGCGCAGAGCTCTCCAAATATCATGTTTCCGACGGAACGCACCAAGTCTGTTCACAATATACCGTCCCAAGAACCCAGTTGCACCAAAGACCGTCACGGTGTGTCCTAATAAGCTCAGTCAGTCGGCTGTTGCGCCATGGGAATTGTCCAAGATATACCTCCAAGTGAAGACCTGTAGCACCCACAATTAGAACAAGCTCAATTCACATATTTCCAAGAGTTACTGACCTTCCTCCCTGAGTCCTTATGATTGGTTTTCCAGTCCGGGTAATGGTAATATCTTGGAGGTTCTGTCTGCGAGGGACATTGGTGAGGGTCCTCCTCGCAGTCCGGAGACTGTTCATAGTCGTCGGACCGCAGGATTTCTGCATTTTGACGGTTGCGCCGAACCCAATTGACCGTTGAGCCCGAGATGAGTCGAGAGTCGTGCTCAATATCAATTGAGAGTCCGGATCAGAGGTGTGAGGTCGTCTTTGGCACCCTTGTCAAGCCGAGCTCACTAGCGCGCTGTGCTCCAGGTACAGAATGCCGCGTTGACCAGAAGAGCATCCCAAAAATCAACAACCTCCGCAACGCCTCTACATCTTGACTTCTGAGGTGTGCCAGAGGTCCCCGAACTTTCCCCATACCTCCAAAACCACCCTTCGCCCGTCATGAACGTCGATACGATCCCCGACTTCCTCGCCGAGCAGAGAGATGCTGCCCCTGCTGAACTCCAACACCTCTTCCTCTCCTTCGAAGACTTGTGGGAACGAAAGCTATGGCATCAGTTGACGGACGCCCTGATAGAGTTCTTCAATCATAAAGAGAGCGCTCATCAACGATTACCTTTCTACAAGACCTTCATTCTCACCTTCGCCGACAAGATCAATCAACTTAAGCTTGTTACTTTAGCTTTGAGCGCCGCTTCACAATGCAGAGGTAAAATTTAAAGGTATATTCAGGGGAGCCTGTTACTAATGTATTCGCAGATAGCCAAGAACGCCTGTCTTTCCTGGAAGCTGTGGCAAAGAAAGTCAACAATCCTAACTCACAGGATGCCTATGTTTACGCCACAGTCGCCGTGGCTACTGTTAAGCTGGAGCTGAAGGATTTGGAGGGAGCGAGGAAGGATCTGGATAAGTCGGAGAAGATCTTGGATGGTTTTGACTCAGTTGAGACTATTGTTCACGCGGCTTTCTACCGGGTCAACGCAGAATACTACCAGGTTTGTCACCTCACCAAGGCTGGGGGAACGAAGCTAATACCAACAGTCGAAACTCGAGTTTGCCTCCTATTACCGAAATGCCCTGCTCTACCTCGCCTGTATCGAGCTCAACGATTTGACTCCCGCTGAGCGAAGAAGCCGGGCCTATGATCTCTCAATCGCAGCCTTGGTCTCAGACACAATTTACAACTTCGGAGAGCTCCTCTTACACCCTATTCTCGAGTCTCTAGTCAAAGACGACGCCTGGCTCCGTGATCTTCTCTTTGCGTTCAACCGTGGTGATTTGGCTGCATACGATGTCCTTGCTGGCCACATCTCCTCCAACCCCCTCCTAGCAGAACATCGAGACGGTCTCCGACAAAAGATCTATCTCGCTGCTCTCACCGAAACCGTCTTCCGAAGACCGCCCCATGACCGCGCCATGTCCTTCCGCACTATCGCTGAAGAGACCAAAGTCCGACCCGATGAGATCGAGCACTTGATTATGAAGGCGTTGAGCTTGGGACTGTTGAGAGGAAGCATCGACCAGGTTGATGAAATTGCTCGGATCAACTGGGTACAGCCTAAGGTGTTGGACATGAAGCAGATCGATAATATGCGGACGAGATTGCAGGATTGGGACTCGAGTGTCTTTGAGCTGGGCAACTGGATCGAGAAGACGGGTGGAGATGTTTGGGCCGCGTGATTTGGCATGGCATGGCGTCTAGGCTTGATACGAATGGCTTGGGATGTATTATAGATCTCTGAGAGCGGGAGATACATGGCATTTAAACGTCATGGATGAGACACCTGCGCCGTGGGTAGACCGCTGTGGCCAAAAGAATAAAAATTCAAGATCTCACTAATTTCATTTCCCAAGAATTTGCGGAGTGAAACCGAAAATCGAAGTTGAGATGAGAGTGAAGAAAGAGTGGATCGCCAAAGTCTCAAAATGAAACTCGGTAGTATAGTTTTTTCCAGTAGAAGGAAAATTCACATTTGCTGGCCTAGGATTCGCACACATCAGCAAGAAGACAGTCGGAATTCCATGGGCGAAGTGTTATGAGGTACAGAGACATTTGGCGCCTCCCGAATGTCATCCGAGCACATGTAGAACTTCTACGGCAGTTCACCAGCCAATCGATGTTTGGTCACTTGCCTGTATCTTTTCAGTCGCAACAACCCGTGTGGACTTCATGTCCGAACCCAATACATTTTAATTCCTAAATACTCCTTCTATATGCAAATTCTCCCACACCACCTAAGTCTTAACCGTCTCGATTGTGTTTCCTGCCCCCTTCACCTTCTCCTCCCTCGGATTCCCAAACAAAAGCACCATACCTACAAGCCACGCAGGCCACCAAACACACCAAACCACAACCTGCGTCGTCATCCCCCACACATCCCAGCCAAACGCCGCCTCTTTCAGCACCCTGCCAATCCCTAACTCCCACCACCAACACCCTGCCACAAGAACCGTCGTTGGCGATAACGCACTTAGCAGCACCGCCAATACACCCTTGACGATGGGCCGGTTGGGAAGGGGTTGCATATAAGTGAGAGGCGCGGAGAGGAGACCGACAAGAAAGGCAAGGGAGAAGTTCAGCGTTGCGAGGGAGGAGAGGAAGAGGCCGAGGAGGAGGAGGGAGAAGGTTTTTATGAGGGTATAGTGGTGGGCTGTTGGGGCGAAGTAGTGAGTTAGGAGGGCGGAGAGGATCAGTGGGAAGAAACCGTTGATGCTGGTGAAGGCGGTGAATATTGGGTGGAGCATCTGAGAGACGTTAATATCTCGAGGAAAGGGGGGAGGGAGGGGGTGGCTTACGGCTTCAGGTGTGTGGTTGAAGATGTACAGGGGTAAAACACCGAGGAATTGTGAGCCGGCTACTACGGCCAAGGGGAGGAAGAGCTCTCGTTCTCGAACCGCGATGGTTGCTTCGGGGGCGAGAGCTTTGGCATCTCCTTCCTTCACTATGGCTAGTGGAGTTTTCTTCTCCCCAGCTTCGACTGTCAAGGATACATTCGAGCTCTCTCCATTTGGTGATCCACTCTTCACCCAGAGGAAGATGGCCATGATCGTGAAGTTGACCGCAACTAGCATAGCACTTGGGAGATAAGTGCCAATACTCACGAAGCGATCAGCTTGCATAAGCAAGTAGAAGAAGAAACTCTGATGGAGGTGTTCCAACAGGTTGTTCAAACTTCTGAAAGTGCTTTCGATGACTCTTCCCATGGCCATTTCGTCTTGCCAGCCTTCCCCAAATGGCTGCAATGTAATGGCATCCACATGGTATGGGATGAAACTGCTATGTGGTCCGGAAGCATGACCCAAGCCTTGGTTCAACATCCCTCGAAGCATAGTCTGCAGCCTGTCTCTGTAGCTGTCTGAGTGTTGCCACATTTGCTGTAGAGAGGTCCCAATACCCATGTGCCCACTAATCGACACCACCGTATTCAAAAGATCCAAGTTTGGAAGCTGGCCATTGATCCCATCATACACAATATGTATATCCTGGAACCGGTGATCGAAAGGATAGTCAATAACCACCGCACCCTGCAAAGCACCACTTTTTAACGGCAGTGAGTCAACCATACCCGACTGATGCGTATCATGATACGCATCAACCCAAGCCTGCGGTCCCGCCTTACTATCTGCCGTAATTAGGAATATAATATCCTTCGACCAGAGCGACCACCGCTTGAAATACCGCGCCAGAGTTAAGATGAGTGCAACACCGCTGCGGTTCAGTTTCCCCTCCATGTTCCACCACGCTCCGACAAGTACAATGGCTTCCGTGGCGTCTCCTCTCGGTGCATGCAAAATGGCGTAGATGTTCTCCCCAGCATATGTTTCTCCTGCCGACTTGTACTCGTAGCTCTGCCTCGCAACCTTCAGTCCTGAAGCTTTGAAGAATTCCTCTAATTTGTCGTTCACTCTATACTCCAATTAGCATTCCATCCTCCTACGATGCAACAAGCTTGCGGACTCAATGTTGCCGCTCCCCTCCAGGGCATCAACCTCGCGCTTATACCCCCTGAACACATTCTGGTCACTCCCAGCAAAATACGTATGCACCTGGCCTGGCAGGAGGGCGTTTTCGGAGATATAGGTTCTTCGTGAGTAGTTGTCTAAGGGGAGGACGAGCAGCCAGGCGACGCCGATTACTATGCAGAGAAAGGACAAATATGGCGGGAGCTTTAGGATGAGAGGATTGCGCCGTAGAAGGACGCTGGAAGCTTTGGAATTATTAGTGACTGGTTAGGGGATGTTGAGAGGAAACTCGCATAATAGTGACACCATATTAAGGAACGTGGTGGGTGATGGGCGAGCTCAGCATTTTGGGAGCTCCGAGCTCGTTAATGTTCACGGGGACGCATTTTTGCAGTCACGAATTTGCCGACGCGACTGGTCAATCAACTCCATTCAGGGGCACAACTTTTTTTAAAGTTTACAATTCCCTAGAAGAGTGTCTTGAATCATGGGTAAATTGATAATAACATCCATGATCATATCACTCTATAAACAATATCCCTGACGCCTCCCAACAAAGCCCCTTTCAACGCCGAACGATGCTATTGTAGGTTTGTACACGGGAGCAACACATATTTGAACATATCTCTTCTTCATGGCCCTAATCTTTGTCCTGGGTCTGTGAATCTCAAAGCAATATCAGGGTTCGCGGGTGCGTTTGTGGTAGGAAGGACGCCATATCGTCCATAGGTCTTCTGGTCGACTGAGACGTAATGTGGTAATCTCCCAAGCAAATTTAACTTGCCTTCTATCCACCGTAGGATCCATTCTGGCGGTGCAAGGAATTTGAGATATCCGAGGCCCCCTTTGTCAACGTTAGCTCCCTTTCGCCAGTACTTGAGTTCGAACACCTTACAGCCATAGCCAAAAAGCAGCCCACAGCAGTGTCCCAAGAAACTAGTATTCGGAATCAGGAAAGAGACGAACAACACCACCACGAGAGGCGTGATCCAGGTTGGTATTTGGGTTGTGCCAATCACAAAGTGAGGATTCGTCCTGTATGTCTTCACTGCCTCCATTGCGATGAGTGTAAATACCCATATACTAGGTCAATAATCAGCGTCCAAATCGCATCTTAAAAAATGGTATAAGCTATACCTAGCTCCCAAGACTCTCGTGTTCAATCCGATTCCCATCTCAACAAATGTGTAAAGTAGCGCCGGAATCGTGGATAGAGCTGAGCTTCAAGTCAGCACTCTGCTACCAAGCTAGAACCCTTCCACGCAATTGGATTATACGTACGACCAAGGAACAACGCCAACGTAGTCAGCGTTCCATATTCAGCCTCGAATCTCTCCAACAACGGCGTCAAAGCAAGTATATTCATGAAAGCATGAAAAAAGTTTGCATGTACCAGAGGGAAGGTATTCGTTCTATACACTACACAAACAATTTCATTAGCCATCAATTCTCTATGCGCAAGAGATCTTACAGCTCTGGGGAAGAGAAGGAGGACGAACTCGTAGCCAAGCCAATCTCCTTCGGTATTAACGCCCCCCATTGCTGCACATCCCACGCACTCTGCAAGCTCACCAACCAAAGCAGCACAATAACGAGAATAATACAGCGGGTGAAGAGGGGGAGACGGAAGATATACGAGCGTGCGCGCGCAGCAGAGAACTGGGGGAGACTCGGAGGCATTGTCCTCGCTCTTTCGACCGGTCGGGTCGGGAATTTCGTCAGGGAGTAACTAATATTGAGAAGATGCAGGCTTCAAGTGTCTTTCATTAGATCAAATAGTCGATTGCCAGCATTGTTGTTGCGAGTTTCCCGAGCGAAGATGGGCGTGTGAGGACGATGGAGAGAAAGTTATCGAGGACAGGGTCTTTCACGCGATCATCGCTTACGGTACTCGTTACTCAGTAGGGGCGGCAGGGGTTGGACTCGAGGCTGACTGCAAGGCTGCATATTTTTTTTTCTCCATCCGAAGCACAAGACTCTTTCTTCCATTCTTTTTTGAGATAGCTCAGATGAAAGCTGCCATTCACTGAAGCAAATCCTAACTTTAAGCTTTGGGGAGCCTTGAAATACTCCCTTCAAGGACTCAACGCAGGAAGTTCTTCGATACGAAATTCCCGTGACCTTTAACATCGACAAAAATGGATGAACCAGAGGACGACATGGTTCTGTGAGCAATTTATTTCTTCTCCTTTTCCCTTAAACACTACTAATAGCACCAGAGCCCTCTCAACCTCAACGCTCGACGCCCTAAAAGAGTTCTACGCCGATCGAGATGCGCGGCTAAAGCAGTTCGAGGATCTCAAAAATATCGCTGAAGAGAATGCCTCTAGCAATATCCCATTGACTATGGATGCCTTTGCGGAAGATTGGAATGAGAGTCAGTTTTGGGTTAGCTATTTCCTGTCATGGGAGAATATGGATGTGTTTCTGACTAGGAGTAGTATTCTGATGAGACGGCTAAGACGCTGGCTGAGGAGGTGCTGAGGGGAGCGGATAGGAAGAAGAGTATTGCAGTTATGAGCGCGCCGAGTGTGTTTGTCCAGTTGAAGAATTTGTTGGTGTGTTATCTTTGGGTTTTGAAGAGATACGGAGCTAAACGGTGAATAGGCTGAGAGTGGGAAAGATGCAGACGAGAAGCCGACACTCTACTTGCTTGAATTTGATAGGAGATTTGAGGTCTTTCCGGAGTTCGTGTTCTATGATTTCAACGATCCGTTAAGTTTACCACGTAAGAACCTTTAAGCGGTGGAAAGACTGGTGTTGATGAAAATAGCTCGGATGAAGGGGACCGTTGATAATATCATTTGCGATCCACCTTTTCTCAGTGAGGATTGTCATACGAAAGGTTCAAGATCACTCTCCGCCTCTTATTCCCATCAACTAACTTGCAACAGCGGCTATGACAGTCCGATGGCTGTCAAAATCCTGGGGAGTAGCAGACGACAAACGGTCAACAGACCCGCGTCTCATCATCTGCACAGGAGAGCGAATGGAGACCCTAATCAACAAGCTCTACCGCCCACAAGGCATTCAAACAACCACCTTTGAGCCCGTCCACTCAAAGGGTCTGAGTAACGAGTTCCTTTGCTACGCGAACTTCGAGTGCGACAACTGGAAATGGAAAGAGCAAGGTGGTTCTGGGTTATGAGGTCCGATTTTGTTGAAATCATGCAGTGGCTTCTAGTAGCCGGGTATTGGTACATGTGTAAATACTAACGCCTTGAAATGCGATGCCTTTCCTATATCAAGCTGCCTTTATACTAATGACTGGATCATGAAGTCAACTTAACAAACTGGTCTGAAAATCCTGCCGCCGTCTATGCCAATATCGGATGCCGTTAAAAATAAAATAAAAAAGTCCCAATGCTAGAAGTACATTTGACTCCTTATGCCGAGATTCAAAGACGTAAAATAAGATGGCTTTTCACTAATAACAGCTTCATGCCAATGATTGAATGACGTAAAATAAGAGAAACGCTTGTTCATTAAGAACTTGCGATTTTGATGCAAGTGTGACAGTGTGGTCATTGAATTTGAGCCACTGGTTACCAACCCGGGAGTAAGAAACATAGTGGCCTATGCTGTTAGTATGCTTCCAATATTAGAAATTCAGGCTCGACTCACCAGACTCGAGATTGCCAACATGAACGACAACGCTCTGAAGATCGTACGTGCAGCCTCTTGCTAGTTCGAAGTTTTGTTGCTTGCTGTCCTGAACCCGAGCTCGATTTGTGTATGGAAACATTTCGAGCTTGAGGGGGAACGAGACTTTTGTGTCAATCTTCGATGCTGAGCCATTAAATTGCTTGAAGCGCTGTGGAGCTAAGTGTCAATATCTCAGTGTATTAAGCATGGAAGCAGTTAGCACCAACCTTCAACTGAATGCAAAGCACATTTGGTAAGCTCTTAATGCTGAGTTGTTTCTTAGCTTCCTGAGTTCCGCATGCATGGCAAGTATACTCGCAGCGTTCCGGGTTCTTATACTCCTCGTCCAGGCATTTTTGGACGCTCAAGTTGCTTACTTTGAGACTCTTCTTCTTAGAGAGCATGTCAAGACCAAGACTGAGGTCAAGGAACGACTCGACTGAAGAGTTGATATCGCCGCAGTTCTGGCAGGTGATGGTACTTTGCAATTTTCCGTAAAATGTTTGGTGGACGATACACTTGCAAGCTGTTTCATTGCCCGTCTTTAAGCGTTTTGGAGATGGGTTCTCTTGTTGTGACGAAGGCTTGCCATCTCCATTAATCTCGTGCAGTTCTTCAGTGAGAAATTGGAAGAACTCGTGTGCGTCTTGCTCCTTGTTGCTGGCTAGCTCTTCATAGCCCTTCCGTTTGGACAGCCAGAAGCTAGCAAGGATATTTGATGCGGAGTATCCGGAAGTGGATTCCTGAGCATAAAAATCTTGAAACATTTCGTCCATTGCGCAGCTCATGCAGTGATCATAGTCGCAGTTTTTGCTCTTGTGCCCGTCGCTGAGATAGAAATTTCGTAGAAGAGGGTTGTGGACGAATGATTGTAGGATAACGTTCATATAGCATGTGGCCCCCATGTTGTAGATTCCCCGTATCCCACTTGCACGGCAGGGCGCTTCAACAGTGTTTGTCAAGATAACTCCAGCATCCTCCTTGGAGGGGTCGGTGAACAGCTCGTCCTGTTTCCGTTTCTTGGCTGTTAGAAAGGTCAGTGTATCATTCATAATGGAGAAGAGAGGGTAAGAGACAAGTAATGACTTACTAGAGAATGATCCAGTACCATCCTTCCGCAATCTCAATTCTTCTAGTGTAGGGTCCCAGACGAAGTCATTGCACATCTGGCAAAATAGGCTTCCACTTTTTGACTCGACGTCTAAGTAAATTAGTAGCTATCATGTAAATGGTAAAAGACCAGTTACAAAATCTATGCGAAGTCTCGTTTCCATGCTCAAGACAATCGTGCTCAGTGGTTGTGGTTGAGCACTGCAGACACAAGTAATTCGGTGTGAGAGAAGTGAGCACTTGGCCTTTCGAAGACTTCGAGGTTTGTGGGACAATTGGCGTATGATCGAAAATTACTCGAAGGCAGTTCTTATAGTGCATTATGGTTTTCTCGAGACGTTCGGGAGGGCCCGTCAAGAATCCCTGAATGTGTTCTGCCATAGGATGTGAGCAGGCTTGCAAGGCTGCGCAATAGAGACTCAGGGAAATTCTGCTCCAACTTACCACAGCCGAACTGAGCTACACCAGGCTGTGCGGCCTTGATCTTGACCACCTTCGGCGACGCCGGCGTTACAGCTCCGGAAGAGGCCATTTCGTTCACGTCGAGAGTTGAAGTTGTAGGGTTGAGGTTCAATTTCTCGATATGAAGCTCCAGCTCCAGCTTCAGCCCGAAGTGACCACGGAGCGAGCCAAACGAAACGCCGACTGGACAGGGGGTTCACAGCCGAGGTGAACGCACGTCTTCCTCGACTTAATTTCCAACCATGCCAACAACAATCGCAAGAATCATGGCCACGCAACTAATTCCATTGCCGGAGGTCGAAAGATTGAGCTCAAGCGTCATCAGAGTATTGGGAGGGAATCCGGGCAAGGCAAGTCCCTTGGGCGTCGAATTCCTTTGGATTCAAGAATAGCAGTCATCCAAGTGAGGCTGACCGTTGCCGAGGATCAACGTTTTGGCAATTTATCTCAATATCTTCCAGTCCAGACAATTTTTATTTTGATAATGCCTGGTTGTTTTCAAATGCATTCCTAGCGAAAATATAATTACCCTCCGCTACTTCCTTCGTTTTTTACTACACCTATCTGACTCGAGTCACAGTTTACATTACAAGGTAGCATCTTTCCACTCCTTTTAGACGATATCTGATTTGACAACCTGCAAGGGACTAACACGTACATCGTCGGTACTGGACAACAGCGTCTTTTAATCGACACTGGTGAAGGCAAACCTTCCTGGATTGCAGCTTTAAAAGATACACTCTTGAAGGAGAATGCCACCATCGGCAAGGCTATCATCACTCATTGGCACCATGATCACGCCGGCGGCATAAAGCACTTATTGGAGCACTCGCCGGACGCAATCATCTACAAAAATCAGCCAAGCGATGGCCAACAGGATATCCAAGATGGGCAGAGGTTCCAAGTGGACGGAGCTTCCTTGCTTGCAGTTTTCTCCCCAGGCCACACCCAGGATCACATGTCATTAGTGCTTGAGGAAGAGGATGCCCTGTTTTCTGGCGATAATGTTTTAGGAACCGGCACAGCTGTTTTTGAGGACCTTTTGACTTATCTCCAGAGTCTGGAGAAGATGAGAGGACGGTTCCGAGGCCGCGCGTACCCTGGACATGGCGCAGTGATTGAGGACGGGCCAAGCAAGATACTGGAGTACATCCGACATAGGCAACTGCGTGAGAATCAGGTGATTCAAGTATTGAAGTCATCTAGGTCGGAGCCAGAGGTCGAGGCGAATGTCAACGAAGTCGATGACTGGACCTCCATGGAGATTGTGAAGATCATATACAAAGACGTTCCTGAGAATCTGCATATACCTGCCAATGGCGGTATTATTCAGATACTTCACAAGTTAGAAGAGGAAGAAAAGGTGGTTGAAGACGCGAAGACAGGGAGGTGGAGACTCAGAAACCGCGCGGCCCTTTGAGGTGATTGGAGGCAGAAGGCAAACATCAAAGGTCTTTGGTTCTGGCGGAGCTGCAAAAGAAAGAGCTGACTTGGCGCTATTGGGCTGGAAGCTCTCGACTATCTGAATTTGAGCACTCAACGTTGCATGAAGTAGTACACTTTCCACGCAAGATTTCCATTAATCAAGGAGTGGATGCTGAAATGGACAGAGTGATGTGTTGGGCTTGACAACTCAACCCCACCAAATGCCTAATACCCCACACAGATTACCCGCCAAGATCTTACAGAGCCAAGACCACCAGGCGGTAAATTCGGCCCAATAGTATATAATATGCATGTCCGAGAACTCTCTGTCCTACCCCAGGGCCTGGGTCTATGGATCGGCTCCTTCGTTATCCTCATTCGCATCCTGGCCCAGGTCGCAGTGCGGGGGATGCGCTGGTGATAAGACCACTAGGCGGTGAAGCGCAATGTATTTTTCGAGACACACGACTCTCGGTGCACCCTTGGCATCGATTCTGATACACAAGTCGACGATTACTCGTCCGCGCAGGCAGCCTCGTCAGTCGTGAGGGGTGTCCCGCTTCCAAGCGACATGCGATTCTGGCCGTTTGGGATGCCAACATCTTCCAATGAGATCATGCCGCCTGACGCACGGAGCGTTTGTCCGTGAGCAAACCCACCTGTCCCAGCCACATATGATAGGCGCGAGTGCCGGGCCTCTGCGGCAGTCAAATCAGAGGTCCACGTCTTTTAAAGAAGGTTTGGGGGAGCATGTGGTGGCACCACCAGATGGTTCAGGATCTGAATCATCCGCCAATGCGTCATACGTGGGTTTCAAAGACTGCGGGTAAGAGGTCAGAATCGGCATCACACATTTGACAGAGTGTGTGGTGTGTGGTGCGAGGCTCCGTGATGGGAAAGTTTCCCTCACCTGAGAAATGCCAGGGCTGGAGCGGACGAGCAGACGGATGACCATCTCAGATCTTAAGCCCGAGTCCCAAGCATCCTCGGCGACGGGGGTCACGAAGGATAGCACGGCATCCGGGAGGGGGGAATAGACAGCAAGTGCACAGCAAATCTTCGTTCTTCAATACAGATCCTAGCCATTTCCGGACCTCCTCTGGGACGTGTGACTTGTGTGCCTTGAGAAGAATGGGGAAGGGAGGGGCGGTCAGGGTGGCAGATCGGATCGAAAAGATGAGGGCATTCGTACTTTGCAGCAATTCCGCTGCTTCCGAACTTCCCGGAGGCCTTGCCGGACCCTGGTCGCCAGGTGTGGTGTGATGGGTCTCTGCACGCCAAGCCTTGCCTGCTCACCCGTCAACCACTGAGAATTGCTGCTACTTGAAGCCAAGAAAGATCCCTGCCGGTTTCGATGATTGTCGAATGTTCAGCCTTGCCCGAGCAGAGTTGAGAATTATTAATCCCGCCAGCGTTGTGCAAAACAACTCTCCGTGAGCGGATGCACCTCCTGCAGTTTCTCAGCGTCTCACAGTCTGCCTGCCCCTCTCCGGTGTGCTTACGTGAAGTTTTGCTACTTGATATGGTATAGCTGCTGCTTATGATCCTTTGCAGCGGGCGACATCTCCGGAGCTCGAGAGGAACACAGTACAGCGATTGAGTCAGACCCCCAAGCAGTCTATACCCTTTCTCTGCATGGTCTGCTCTCCATGTGCTCGCCGTGCCTGTTGCCGACAGGCAGCTGTTGTCAGAGTCCAGAGCTCGGCCACCGGCCTTTGTCTTGGGCGACGGAGGGTTCGGCGAGTATTATAAACGTCATACTGCTGGTGTCATTTTTTTCTGTTTGCGCTCCACAGCTCATATATCTACTGCTCACCATAGTAATCATCTTATTCCTCTCCTGCGATCTGACTACAAACATAACCTCTCTTGAAGCTCCATACACCGATACGGTTCCTCACTCCCCGCTTGGACCACCCTGGGAACTCCGTTTTGACATCCAGCGACCTTTCCACGACACCTATGCGACCACCATCACCAACATTCGTGACCTTTACCGGTGCTATACTGCTCGGACTTGCGTCCGTTGCAGTTGCACATGGCCACGATGAGGATATGAATATGAATATGGGCGAGTCGTCCATCACACGCCCAACCATTACCTCCGGCGCCAATGTCACTTTACCAGAGACGTACTTTCGGTATGGCGAGCACTCCGGATTACTGGCAGCGCACATTTTCCTCATGGTTGTTGCCTGGGTTTTCATTCTGCCAATAAGTATATAGCTCCTTACAGCTTAAAAACTAAAAATGTATGGCTGATCTTATTAGGTGTCATGCTGTCGATTTCCCGCTCCCGGTACAATCTGCTAGTACAATTCGTCTTCCTGGCAGTAAACGGAGCCGGGGTCTTACTTCTCACCATTTACAACGCGCCGGATTTGTACCCAAACAATGCGCATCACAAGCTAGGATGGATCTTAACGTGGATCATGGGAGCGCAGGCGGTGATGGGTGTTATAAGCGCGTATACGAGACGAAAAGACGATCGCGGGGCGTTCATCCCTGTCTCGACGCAGAATATCGAACAGCATCAGCGCATCCATAATATGAGCCAGGCGCAAATGTACCGTTTTTCAAACGACAGTGGTCAGGGCACTGAACCTAATACTGAGTCTTTGAGAAGCCAGTCGATTTCTTCGACACATTCAGATGATCCCCAGCTTCCTGATGTGCGCATGGAGCACGAGGAAGAAGACCAGGATGAGAAACTGGGCTTGATGCATGGTAGCAAGGTGGATAAATTCTTGTCTAAGAAGATCCCAGGACTGGTTTCTGGGAGACTTTTGAGAGTTTTTCAGTTCTTTTATAATGTCATCGATCGCGTAATCTTGATTCTTGGGTTCGTTGCGATGAGCACGGGGATCGTTACTTACGGTGGATTTTTTGTAAGTCGCCTTCTGAGCTTTAAACAGAATTGGATACTGATTTTGTTAGATTGGGCCTGCAGTCTTCAATGGACTTGCACACTTTATCAAAGGTGGCGTGTTCTTCTGGTATGGTATCTTAACTATTGGTCGTTGGGCCGGTTGCTTTGCGGACATAGGCTGGGCCTGGAACATCAAGCCCAACAAGGGAGGCCGAAGAATAACTGCGGAGTTTGTGGAGAGCTTCCTCATTTTCTTTTATGGGTCTACGAACGTTTTCCTGGAGCATTTGACTGCGTGGGGAGAGGAATGGAGTGCTCAGGATCTGGAGCACATTTCGATCACCGCTATGTTCTTTGGTGGTGGATTGGTAACCCCCCCTCCCCCCAAATCTCAGAGAAAACCAAAGTTGACTAAGGATGAAACAGTGCGGCATGCTCATCGAATCAACCCGCATACGCTCCCTCCTGAACGCTACCAAGTTATCCCAAATTCATCCTTCCTACGGCTCAGAGAAATCGCAGGAATTAGAAGAGCCCAAATCCTACGCCTTCCCAATGAACCCCATCCCCGCGCTAGTGATTCTGCTCCTCGGATTGATGATGTCCTCGCATCACCAAGAGTCAATGGTCGCGACGATGATCCATTCGCAATGGGGGACTTTACTCGTCGGGGCGGCATTCGCAAGAGCTGCAACTTACATTCTGTTCTACCTGAGCCCACCGGCAAGTGTTTTGCCTGGTAGGCCGCCGACGGAATTGATCACGGCGTTTTGTTTGATGGCTGGGGGAATGATCTTCATGGCTAGTGTAAGCGCTTCCTTCTCCCCTATCGCTCGTTTGTGGAGGTGCTAATGATGGGATTTTAGGCACGAGATCTCACCGAAGCAATGGAAGCCAATGGCCTGGACGCAATGTTCATCTTCACCGTCTCGATGGGCGTGATTACGTTCTTGATGGCGTGGATCATTGTTGTTGTTGCCATCAAAGGCTGGGCTGTGAGGAGGGAGAATAGGAGTGCGTTTACGTACCGCCAGGTTGCGTGATAAGCGCTGAGCGCGGCTCGCTCGCTCGCAAACAAGTGAGAGAAGGAGTGAGCAATGAGGGAGGAAGAAATGAGGGACTGTGAGAAGTCGTGGATGGACAAGGGAACGAAGAACTGACGCAGCTTTCGCGGCATTCATGGCGCACAATGATACCACTTGACTTTTAAGATATTGATGGGAGGATATGAGGATAGATTTAATGATAATACTTTCTACGTGAGATATAAAGGTTACTGACTGATCAATATTGAGAAGCCAGCGAATTGCAAAGTCTTGTTTCCCCAAACGATAAGAGTTGTTTGCAGATTGATTTCCATAATGGATTAGACTCAGGTTGGGAATAATGATCAAGTTGCAGTGAGCAAATCTCCAAGTCAGGTTTGGCACATCTGCCAACTTGCAGGTGCTCAATGTTCAAGTCAGGTTGAGGACATTGCTAGTTGAAGTATTCCAGTGTTCAAGTTATTTCGGGAACGACAGAGCTTGCATTGTTTGAACTGTTCAAGTCGTGTTGGGGACAATGAAGCTTGCTGAAATTCAATGTTCAAGTCAGGTTGGGGACATTCAATCAAATGATGGTGGAAACATACTGCTTGAGAGAGAAACAGGGTTCTAGATTCGAAAGCTGGTTTCTACATCTGAAAATATCATCTCCCACACGAAAATTTCAAGTTTTAGTCAACCCGAGTTGAATAAATGGGTTCCTTTGCCTCATATCAAAGGGAAATAAATGGGTGGGACAGCCGGACGATGATTGGTTCGCCAAGCCTGTTGGACCCAGGCTCAGCCACTTTTGTAGCGAGTCGTATAAGCTCAAATAAGGCAAATTTTCGATAATTGCCTGAGTCGCGATGCCAGAGTGGTTGTGAGTGTACTCGGCTCTGGAATACTTCAAAACTAACCCGTACAGAATGGGTAAGACTTGAATTAATTTTCGGTATCTTATGGCTTGTAATTTTCCCCACCCCGTTATGCATAATTCATGCTAATGTCTCTCAGCGGCCTCGTAGGTTCAAATCCTGCTCGCGACGTTTTTTTAAACATTTTTTTTGACTCAAGGTTATGCTGCTTTGTTGCATCGCTCCTTGTTTCAATTTTCGGATGCTTTTTCAGGTTGTGCGAGTCTCAGGGGCTTTAGCGAGGTTTGGTGGGGTTGAGGGCATCACACTGAAATTCGCGAGTGCCGAAGAGAAGCAAGAAAGGTTCCTCACAAAGTTGAAGGACACGAGGTGCGATATGCGTCATACTCATGTTGCTACCGCAATAACTCTCAATCCTTGCAAGTAATCTTCCGAAAGGTCATAGGTGGCTGGTAATTAAGTTCGTGGAACCCTAGTCCCCAAGGTTTCAGACAAGCCACTCAGTCATCGGCCTTCTTCTCCTCTTTCTCAGTCCCAGCCATCACAATCCTCTTTTGCTCCTCAATCGAGAATAGGAACGTCCCTTGCTGAAGAGCATTGATCAAGAGCGGTAAGGCATCGTCCCTGAAGTCGTCTGCTCCCCGAAGACGATCGAGGTCTTCAGAGAATTCCGTGGTGGCGCGCTGCATGTAGAATTTGGTGAACGCAGCGGTCACTTCAGCATCGCTCATGTCCTTGGACGATGCAGGTGGTGTCTGTATCTGATTAATTGAGGCTTATTTGGCTGGAAACAGATTGCTGACCGTCTTCTCGGGCTCCTTCTCAGACTTCACTTCCTTCCTCTCAGGCTCGCTGTCGCTTTCTGAAGACACTTGAATGGTCAGCACCGCGCTGAAGCGCTATTTGGGTGTCAGTCGTACCCTGAGTCCTTGGTTTTCTCTTCTTATGCCGCTTTGCTTTGATCCTGGGCTTACTCTCCATTTTGAGGATTGCTTTGCGAACAATGATGGAGTCTGGAGTTGGAAAATCGGCTTTTGCAGCAACTTTTTGGGGTCACGTGCAATACCATGAAAACACAAAAGCTCTCCCAAAGTTTATAAAATCACTGATTTATTTAGTTACAGCATTTACATGGGTCTCTAATTGTTGTTCATTCTGCTTGGACGAGTGGCTGCACCCATTTTTGGTCGAGTTTATAGGTAGTATTAGCGATATCATGATTGGGAAGAAAGGGAAGCCACGACTGCCGACCATAGAAATTTGAGTCCAAGTTCAGTTCCTTCCTTCAATCTCTCTCTCTAAATTTCTGTCTTGTCTGATCATCGCTTCCTCGATTGACCCAGTCGGCATCGACTCAATCTCTTCGCAACGTTTCTGAAACTTCATCCACAAACCATCACAAACAACACTCGATTATTGTCAGCAGAGGAACAAATACACTTCCGCTCATCCACTTGTCCATGACCTTCAAAGGATACGGCAATTCCGAATCTCCTGAGGCCGATTCTCCCAAGAAGTTCAATAATTCTCCCACAAGAAACAGCACTCCATCAGCTGCAAAGCCTACTGCTGAAGACCAAGGCAGTACGACTCACACCCGTTCCTCGACAGGCAGCTCCTCTCGATTCAGTGCACGCACAGCAGTAACTGACGGAGCCTCCGAGTCTTGTTCAACAAGGGGACCGAGCCGTGTTCAAACCAAGAACACCACACCAAGCACTTCTCCATCACCAGAGAAGCAGGAAACGAAGTAAGATCCGCTTAAACAGACCTCTTTGCTTCTGCTGACTGTTAGTAGGGAGAAGGAGAAGTATCGAACTGCAGCTTATCAACCATCCCTAGCTGCTGGTGGCCCAGTAGACCTTACCAAGAGCTTTACTCCAACCGCTCACGGGACATTCTCCTTAGGAGGAAGCAAAACGACAAACCCGTGAGAACCATATTCTGATCTACATCTTCTCAAAGATACCACAACTGCTGGGACAATGCCTTCTGCTACACGTGGCAACAACTTACCGCTAGCAAGTGGCGAGACTGCTGTATCACCAACTGCCAATGTACCAACCCAGACTGGAACAAATGAGAATGCCACTGCAACTGCTCAACTTGCACCATCTCGGGACGCCGATGAGGATGAATCAATCACCCCAAAGGCTGTAACACCAGCCGCGCCTGCAATTGCGGATCCTTTGGGAGTAGCGCCGGAGGAAGCAAGTGAGCATTCAAATGTGGGTGGACAGTTTAATAGGGGTGTGAATGGTGCCACGAACGAACTCGCGAATGGTAGAAGAGGTTCCGCCGATCCACTATTCGTTAGACGACGAGCGGGAATAGGCGTGCGTGATCCCCCCTCCTCTCTTTCCTCTTGTAGAGGCATTCTTGCACAATTGATTGTTCCCCACGTGATGAAACATTCAAGGCACTTGCGCTTTCCAATGTCCCACGCACCCTGGTGCATTCGTTGAACTAATCCTTATATAGAGCTCAAATCCTATGACAGAGAGCAGTGTTGTCGGTGCGGCTACTGTCGCGATCCCACCTGAAGTTCGTCTTCGTGCAGATTCTGCTACTCCCGTACCTCTCATGAATCCCATCAGTCAACCTTTACCGACAAGCATTGCCAGCTACCAACGCCGATTGTCCCGAGAGAATCGGGAAGAATTGGAGAAGCAGCGAGAAATGCTTGAACGAGCCAAACAAGATCGATGAATGCACCATTCCTCGCTGGGTCAATGCAAGGCACGATTGCGAAAGTTTGTTTGTGTTCAGTATTTCTATGATTCAGTATGAGGAATGGCTTTCGTCCAATTGGAAGGGATCTTCTGCCCGTGTAAATCACCATTGTACCATTGTAGAGTAGTCACCTTTAACAACGATTGAGCCAGGCGGCTTGCGGTCTCAATAACAGCGATTATGCCATTGAGTATCTTCCTTCAAAACGTGGAAGTTGTATGTGACAAATGCCATTTCTTCTCTCCCTCTATATCCATCTTTGACGCTTCAATTAAGCAGCAATCGTGACTTCAACCTCGACACCAGCCTCAATGTTGATGATGATCTGCTTGACAACTTCGGTAGGAGCATTAAGACTGCACAAATGATCAGCATTCATCCCTTATGTTCCTAGTCCGATTGCCAACTTACTCAATCAAACGCTTGTGGATTCTCATCTCGAAGGTATCCCAGGTCTTGGATCCTTCACCGCAGGGTGTCTTTCGGGTGGTGACCTTGAGGGTCTTGGTCGGGAGACGGACGGGGCCCTTGACGCGGAGTTCCTTGCCCTTGGCACGCTCGATGAGCTCCTGGCAGACCTTCTCGAGGGATTGGACTTTGCGGGAGGTCAGGGTGATGCGGATCTTGTGGGTTTTCTATCCAGAATGTTCGTTAGCAGAAATTTGGGAGGAGCGGGGCAGAAGAGGACAAACCGGGCCTTCGCCAAACTCCTTCTCTGGCTTTTGATAGGACATTTTCCCGGGGAAATTTCCTTCACGACTCGAACGTTTCAGTTACGGCAAAGTGATGAAGGTGATCGTTGTGCGTTGCGTTGTCGATAGGGAACAAGAGATCGTCGAGATTTGGATAATTTTGGGGTTGTGGGCGGAAAGTCTTGGCGAGGCGATTAAGCGAGGCTAACCTTATTGGGGTGAAGGCTACTTCAGCCTCGTTGCATTGACGAGGAAGCGAAATCCATGAGTCAAACGGCGTGGACGACGACCTAAATACTAGACTGTGAGTTGGAGGTTAGGATTTGGGGATATAAAAGCTCGAATTGCTCGGTATTCTCCCATCAAATTCAACAATAGACATCGACATCCACATCGAGATGGCCAAGGTTACCGCTTTCCCGCCTCTGGTACCCTTTCCGGAAGCGGCATGGAGAGAACATATTGTACCTGAGGAATGGGAAGCTTGCTTGGATGCTTGGTTAGCTCTCGCTGGGGCTCATCTTTCGTTGTCGAATGCAGACTTTGCCCGGGTCTCCGCCAAGGACGAATCTTTACCAGCTTTCCTAACCTCCTATGCTGAGCAAACGGGCTTGTCACATGACAAAACTCCATCGGGGAACGTTCATAAGACAAGACAACTACGCAAGCAAAGCTTCTTATTATCTCACAGACTGCTGAATACGGATCATCCACCAGGCCCACTGCTTCGTTGGGAATTTCTGGCAGACTTGAGCAAGATATATGGCAAGGATCATGGCAACAAAGTTGTCACACTGGTCTGGAAACAGCATTTGCCCTCCTTGGAACCCTCTTTGGCCGCCCTCAAGACCTCTTTGATTAAAGAACTGGACACTGGTTTGAAAGGTGATTTGAAGACAGCAGAGTCAGAACTTAAACGGCTAAACCACCTGCTTCATTCTTCCCCTGAAGTAGCTGCGTTCTTCATGGCTGGAAGCGACTTTGTGGACTCTCTCATCAGCTGCTATAAGCTCATGAACCCACCATTACGAAAGGCTATTATCTCGACGCTCTATCTCTGCTTAATTGGACTTACGGAAGGGGAGAAACCAAACTTCTCTGCTCTGGTCGATCAGCTTTACTCACTGAAAGCTGCAGCTGAAGCTCATAAGGCCGGGCCTACGAACGTCAATGACTCGCTCGTTGCTGAGCTGGTCACCGAGACTCCTATTCTAAAACAAGTTCACCAGATAATTGAAACAAGTGGTTCAGGATCTAGTAGAGCAAAGTCTGTTCTTACTTCTCTTGCAGATTTTCGAAAAGCAGGTGGTAGTTCAAGACCACAGCGTCTCATTAAGAGGAAGATCAATAAAGGAAAGGGAGTTGCTTTTGAGGTTGATGGTTATACATCAGTTCATGTGCACCGCATGAGCTTGGTTTCACAGGTTCAGGATCTCTTCCCAGATCTTGGTTCTAGCTTTGTGGTGAAGTTGTTGGATGAGTATGGCGATGATGTGGAGCAAGTGATCTCGCACCTCTTAGAAGGATCATTACCTGCGCATCTCGAGAGTGCTGATCGGTCAGCGGAACTGTAAGTCATCCAATTTCCCCTTCTAGTTCAGTACCTAATAACCGTAGGCCTTCTCCCAGTCAGCTCACAGGGGATCCCGCCCCTAACCTGGCACCACATTCAACACCACCCCAACTACCAACCCGCCACAACATCTTCGATGACGATGACTTCGACCAACTAGCAATAGACACCTCTAAGCTCCACTTCGGTCAGCGGAATCCCGAAAAGACAGCGGATGACATCCTGAGAGACCGATCCACCGCCCCAAATAAAGCAGCCATCCTCTCTGCCCTCGCAGCATTCGATTCCGACGACGACGAGAGAGACGACACCTACGACGTTGCAGACGTAGGAGGAACCGTTGACTCAGCTGCTCCGGGCAATAATCCAGAGGAAGATAAAACAAGCACTGATGTCCGTGATGCTCAAGATGAGGCCCTATTCCGAGCCTACAGAGCAACACCCAACGTATTTGATCGTGATGCCGCTACTCGCCGAGGCAAGGCTCGGATGGCACTGAAAGAAGAGATAGGCATGACAGATGAAGCTATCGAAGGATGGGGACTGATGCTCTCCCGCGACGGACGACAAATGAAGAGACTCGAAGCTAAATTCTCTACGTTCACGGGGACACAGAAGGAGTTAGCCCCCACGTCTTGGAGAGCTAGTCCTCAGGGATCTGGAACGGAGGATTCAGATGTTGATGGGAATAGAAATGACAGGGGCAGAGGAGGGAGGTTGAGGGGCGCGCCTAGGGAACGGGGAAGAGGGAGAGGCAATGTGGCAGGCCCGAGTGGGGAGAAGAACACGGAGATGGCGAGGAGGGGGAAGGAGGCTAATAAGGGGTCGAGGGCGAATCATAATCGGAGGGATCAGAGGGCTAGGAAGATGGCTAGGGGTGGATTCCCTGGTTAGAGCTCCGGGAAAGGGCTGCATAGCGGTCATGAGTTTATGAAGCATGAGAGGATAGAAGACGAAGCATATGGGGGTAGAAAAGAATCATGTTCGATGAGCAATTGGGAGACGTTCACGCTTCAAATTTGCCCTTTTTCGCATCGCTGTCCCAAAAATTCTGTCACATCAAGATTTACCTGGAATCTCAAATAAACCCCACAGCTTTGGACTGCACATCGTCGTCAATGTGCCAAAGATTCCGGTACAATGAGACCGTCCCGGAAAGCCGAGAGTGATTCTCGCAATCTTCAAAGTCAATTTTCATTTTCCCCCTCTGGACTATTCCAGGAGTACCTCCACCCTCAAAGCTCTACTGGGCAAGTCTAGAAAGTGCTGAACTTTGAGGGCAAGGGGTATATTTGTTGCACATCACTGACGCCAATGTGTGATTTGAGGATTCATATTGATTGATTATCCTATGCCAAGTTTCAGAAATCCAACCGGTGCAGAGCCCCAAACTCGAAATGATAATCAAAACATTGTATCCGACCTACATGCTACTCCAAACATCCATCGGGATTCCATGCAAACAAACGCCACTATCTCCGTGCCATTTCCTCCCAATCCATGCAAGTGGTATCTCATACAATCCATTCATATCGTACACTGTCTTAAACATAAAATAGAATAAGTCTCAGAGCTCAATCAACCTCCCAGCTCCCACCAGGAACGTTAGTGGTGGTAGTCTTCGCCCTCGTCGGAGCATTAGGCAATGAAATCCCGTAGTCATCCTCAAACCACCCCTCTTCGGAATATTCATCTTCAAGATCCCAATGGACCGATTCCCCATGGCCTGATAGCACACCTCTCCATTCGCCAGCCGCAATCTTAGAGGCGATGCTGATCATGAGATGAAAGAGGTGGCTTGGCGGACTAAGGAGAATCTCGCACGTTTTCTGGATGATTGCTGTTGGGAGGTGACGAGCGGTTTGTAGACGGCGTGAGCGGCGTCTTGGTGGTGAAAAGAGGTTTACAGCTGGGGGTAAGGGCGAGAGAGCTCGTCGGCGAGAGTTGCTGCTTGTAGTGGCTCGGTGACGGATAGTTGGCTTGACGGTTGGAGGCGTCAAGACCTCGAATTGCTCTTCATCTGATTTCTCGCCGGCGTCGGTAATTAAGGTGGGTGTTTGAGGGTGTGGTGAGGAACTCCTTGATGTTGATTCAGGGTTTGTTGAATCGTTCATGTCCCATACTCGAGGTGTTTCCGGTGTGACTGTGATCTCGGAAGCATCTCTCGTGTGGTGGGGTCGCTTCGGGAGAACGATATTGTTATGTGGATAGGGGTAGGACGACGAAGGGGAAGGAGGCCCCGAAGCTGGGGGAGAGGGAGGGTCGAGAGGAGAATGCCACGACTGTACGGTGTGAAAGGACTCGACACTCGATGAAAAGTCCGAGTCAGACTCAATGACGTTTGAATGCCTTGGTGGAGAATTCGCCCTGTGCTTAGAAGGTGGACTCGTGATCAAAGACAGGACGGGAGGTGCTGTAACCGATCTGCTGCTCTGTAGTGCCCGAGGCCAGTCATTCTTCTCCGGCTCGAACGTCAAAGATTGATAGTTAGGTTGACGGTGGCTTCTGGGAGTGAGCTGAGTATCATCTGCAGCGTCACTGAATCTATCGTTCTCGTCATCAGATCCAGTAAAATCTCTAAAAATCGGTTCCGCAACGCTAGACTCTAATAATGACGGCTCTAAGATGGCTTTCCCGGCGGTTTGTTTATATTGAGTTTCGAACGGTAGTAGCCCCTCCTCTTCTTTCGAGAATTCGGGAGTTGCAACGACAGAATCAATGGATGGAATATCAGGGTCCTGGTTTGTTGGGTCGGAGGTGATTTCTGATCCGTCCGGTGATTCTTCCTCCTCTTCGAGCTCTTCGAGTTCCAGGAGGGAGACGTTGATCCCCGCCTCCGAAGAAGCATAGTCCTTCAATGGCGAGGAAGACGATGAGTTTGTAGAAGGTGTTCTTGGAGCATTGATATGCGGAGACGCTGGCCCAGGAAAAAGTGGAGGATCATCCTTCGACCTCTCCCTTGGTTTCCAAGGCCGCTTCTTTACTGGTGTTTTCGGAGCCTCTGGTAAATCCACTACGAAATCTCTTTGAAATGGACAAGGCGTCTTTTCGAACCGCAGCACCTGATCAAGTACCCTTTTCAACTCCTCCACCCTGGCCTTCTCATCTGCACTCTTGTTCGGCACTTCGATCCTCCAATATTGGGGCGGTCTGATTGACAAAACGAACTTGCTATCTCCATCAACACACCAGCACTGTGACTTGGGTAAAATCGGTCGAAGAGCATTCGCGCAGTTCAGGAATGCTACACTTCCAGGAGCTCGATAGATACGCAGTGCACCTAGCGTCAACAGGACATATTAGCCATAATCCAATATAACATTCAGCCAATATAGCAGAAGTGGCTGGCATACCAATGGCAAGCGTTCTCTCAAATGGGGAGACCCATAATAAAGTCCCTGGCTGATCCTCTGCCACCGGACTCCCGTTGCTCGAGCTCGGCCTAGCTGTCGAGTTTGTTGTAAATGCAACTATGCGGGCTGATGGCAAGTTATATAAGATCTCTATCGTTGGATCTGGACTTGAGGAAACTCTGCTCGGTTGAATTGGCAGACTGAAAGAACGCTTGATGGGCGTTCCAGGTGTGGAGGAAGCCATTGCAGCTTCGTCCTAGTTACTGAATGATTTGGTGCCTGATGATCATGTTCGTGCAGAGCGTAAGAATGCTGATGGATCGTTTTCAGGAGGTTGGATTCCTCGTCGGATTGAAGCTGATGCAGTTCGCCGCAATTCTTGGCTTCTGGTAGGAGCTAGCAGCTTCAACGAGGGAATTATGCCACTCGCTGTGGTAGATTGTATGGATTTGTCGAACAAAGTGTTCAGGTAGCAGTTGAAAAGAATGAATCGTGTTGATTGTGTGTCGTGCGACCAACTGCAATTGTGTATTGCGACGCGTTTGTTCCAGCCACCACCTGCAGAACCCCACCAAGCCCGATGCAGCCGCGAGCTCTCCCCAAAATCCGGAGAATCCTTGAGACAGGCTCCTGCTTGCAACCTTTCTCTTAACAGCGACAATTATGGCCCAACGCAGATCACAAGCGCAGAGGCCACTTCTGACCCAGGAACAACTTAAAAAGAAGCTCGAGGTCACTAATTTCGATCCAAATGCCATCCTGCGGGGTGCACAACTCACTGTTGTTGGAGGTCCGTACCTGGATGGCCCCTCCCAACTGCAACTACTGACAACATCCCAGCGTTAAGGGCTTTGCAGAATCCTGCTTTGTTTACATCTGAGCATTACAAGCAGGCGGCTTTGGCTGTGGCTATTGGCATAGCAATACGGATTGCCATCTCTATTCCGGTGCGAATGTTTCTGATGGTTTGGTACATTGATGCTGATGTTGTGCCAGATTGTAGGAATCAAGATATCACTTTGGTTCCTCTCGTTCATATTCAATTTCGAACATGCAACCTGGGATGATAAGGTTGTCAATGGACTGGATTTCATCCAAAATTATGTCCTTCAGGTGCCTCTGTTTCTCATGACCTTGATGAGATACGTCACTCCGACCTTGGATAATATGTAAGCATAGCCCTCGAATTATTGATTATATTCTAACGTTCTCAGGTTTATGGACTCGTAAGTTACGTCTGTCTTTAGTTATCACCAACTTGCTCACATCCCTCTTGATTGGCTTGGGTCGACAAGACATATTATGCAAAGCATGAAGGTCAAGATCCAAACACTCTTCGAGAAACGTATTATCCAAACCTGCGAAGTTACCCTACACGAGATGGCAGCACACATAGCAAGAGCACTGCAGAGGCGATCACGATGTTTCTCATGAGATTCGGAAAGAAAGCAGGAATATCTCTGGCAGTATTTGCTCTCTCCTATGTCCCATACGTTGGCCGTCTGGTCCTCCCGGCCGCAAGTTTCTATACGTTCAAGTCAGTTGCGGGATGGGGCCCGGCAGGCATAGTGTTCGGAACGGGGATCTTCCTTCCTCGAAGATACCTTATCATATTTTTGCAGAGCTATTTTGCCTCCAGAAGTTTGATGAGAGAGCTGGTAAGCAAATTGATCAGTTTCCTCCATCCATTGCTTACCTGCGTGTTAGCTCGAGCCGTACTTTTCTCGTATACGGTTTACAAAGGAACAGAAAAAACATTGGTTTCACGACCGAGAAGGGCTTTTGTTTGGCTTTGGTGTCGGATTTTACATCTTCTTACGGATTCCCCTCTTGGGTGTTCTCATCTATGGAATTGCTGAAGCATCAACGGCATATCTCATTACCAAGATCTCCGACCCGCCACCAAAGCCTGCAGAGAGCGAGGGCTTCGCAGCAAGCCAACAAGAGTGGAGAAACAAGCACGAGTTTCTCAGTATGTCGCTGTTCAATCTTGACACTGACAGTTCTCCAAATGCTGCCCAAGTCACACAGACTCCTGGCACGCAGGGAACATCAACAGGAATACCAGACGAACCGCCACCACCATACACCGAATTGAGATCAAGATAATTGGAATAGGGGAGACTGCTTTTCTTCCAATCCTCTGACGTAAGCCACGAGAAACATGAAGTTATGACAGCGGGATAGAAGTTCATGTAATAATATTACCCGGACGATCCAGTCCACCACACCAATGCCGAGAATACTCCACGATTGCTCCCCATGAAATGAACCAACAAACCACGGTACAATGAATCGACCAAGAACCCCGCATCAGTTAGCTGTGGTTGGTAGCACGGTGCATATGGATCAGCGTTGCGCTAAAGAGGGGCAGTCGGGCGATAAGGAGGTCTAGCTCCTTATCATGCTTCAACGCCAAACTACCCCATTCGTTCCCTTCTTACAAGTAAATTGATGGTCAATAGATGACCAATTCTCGAAGTGCGGGGCTGATACCATTTTCGCTTTTAAATTTGCCTCTCTTTCTCATCTTTTCGACTTTGCTACAACTCAATCGTCCTTTCCAATTCCGTTTTACTACCAAGTTACCCCACCTTGATCCCATACTCACCTTCACAATGGGTCTAACTGGGATAAGAAATGTGTGTAAAGTCTCACTAGGCATTCCCGCGGAGAAGCAGCCTCAGCTCCACAACAGATGGCATCCAGATATCCCCTTTGCAGGATCAATTAAGAATGGGGAGACTGTGAAGATTGAGTGCGTATGTATAATCCCAACCCAAAGACTGACTACCTGTTTACTCCTCAAATAGGTTGATTGGACTGGCGGACAAATCGGTAAGCGCAATAGACATTCGTCAATTACCTCCTGCTCATCGGACTTTAGGAAACAATGACAGCGCAGATGACATGAAGAATGTTGACCTCACTCGGATCCATTACCTCTCCGGACCATTTGAGATTGAGACTGCGGAGCCTGGAGATGTCTTACTCGTTGAGATCATGGACGTTCAACCTTTCGAAGATTCTCCATGGGGGTTGTAAGTTCTTTGGACCCATTCATATAGCTTTCTTGCTAACATTGTTCAAGTACTGGTGCGTTGAATATATGATGTTGCTCGCAGGCGGAAACTAAGTTGACCTCTAGGGGTTTTCGACAAAAGCAATGGTGGTGGGTTTTTGGATGAGATCTACCCTACTGCGTACGTATACCGTCTTTGGTACTACATCGATACAGTGTAGTACTGAGGCCCCTCGTTCTTTTGAGCACCATCCTGATCATGTGACTGACCGCCTCACTCCTAGTGCCAAAGTAAGTCCCAACTTCTCGGGGTATTAATCCCTCTTATAGCAATGTTCAACAACTCTTGAGAACATTCTACTAGCATTGTCTGACAGCCGCTGGAACATTCTACTCCCGAAAATAGCTGAACGATGTATGCTGACTCCGAGTTTTGGCCATCTGGGACTTCGAAGGCATATATTGTACCTCTCGCCATATCCCCCACGTTAAATTCGCAGGCCTGATCCATCCCGGAATCTTGGGCTGCGCTCCATCTGCCGAGGTCAGTCACGAAGGCACTCAGCAGCCCAAGTAGAATATTGATAAGTTACGGACAGGTTCTAGCAACATGGAACAAGCGTGAAGGAGAGCTCATCGCTGCGAACAAGCTTGATCGAATTGTGGCGCAACCACCCAACGAGATTAACGTTCATGCCGGCTCTGCATCGGAGGAGGTCAAAGCAAAAGTTGGCAAGGAGGGAGCTAGAACCATCCCAGGTTTGCCATTGGATCCGTAGGAGTCTTGGACATCTTATTGACTTGCAAATAGGACGGCCCGAGCATGGTGGAAACTGTGACATCAAGAATCTGAGCCGTGGCAGTAAAGTCTACCTCCCCATCCATGTCAAAGGCGCCAAGTTCAGTGTCGGGGATCTTCACTTTTCCCAGGGAGACGGCGAGATCTCATTCTGCGGTGCCATTGAAATGGCTGGTGTGATTACCATTAACTTCAAGGTCATGAAGAACGGAATGGCTGATTTGGGGATGAAATCTCCACTCTATCTTCCGGGACCGGTTGAGCCTCATTATGGACCTGGTCGCTACTTGACTTTTGAAGGGTTCTCTGTTGATGAGCATGGGAAGCAGGTTAGTACCAAGTCAAATTTCTAGGGTATCGAATGTTCAGAACGATTTGGAACATTGAAGAAGTCTCCTTTCATCTGAATATTTTGAGATGAAAAGATGGATTCGGACTCTCGTCCGAAACGGCTGCTGACAAGATTCGCAGCACTATATGGACGTCACGGTAGCCTACCGTCAAACCACACTCCGTAAGTCTCTCGTCATGCTCTCGCACTTATCAATGCTTACAACATAGGTTGCATTGAGTACCTCCGCCGTTTTGGCTACTCAGATTACCAAGTCTATCTACTACTCTCATGTGCTCCTGTTCAAGGTCATGTCGCAGGAATCGTTGACATCCCCAAGTACCTGCCCTCTATTTCCCTATACCCCTTGACCGTAGCTAATTAGTCCAACTAGCGCCTGCACAACTCTTGGTACGTTTTCATAGCATCTCCCGGAGCCATTATTTGCCACTTCGCTTTCTGGCGAGTTAGCTACTTACTCCTTGTCTCAACGCCAATTCCATACACCATTTTTGAAGTAATAGCTGACTGATATTCTGGGTAGGCCTCCCAATGGACATCTTCGACTTCGATATTTCTCCCACGGGCGCAGCGAAGAGGCTCGACATGGGCAGTTGCGCTTTCGAGACCGGTGTCAAGGAGGGTAAAGTATCGCAGGGGGGCAAGAATAGCGAGATTAGTTGGGGTGGAGGGCTGACATTTAAGGAGAAGGATATCAACGTTGTGGAGAGTTTGAAGGAGAAGTTTTATGGTTCTAGTTCTTGAGCAATGAGTCAGACGATTAATATGCCAGATTGCCAAGGTACAATGTAGCCTTTGAAAATCATGCCAATTCATTTCAATTCATAAACACACGTCATAAAGAATGAGATGGCTTGCGAGTGAAGAAGGGACTTCAACCGTATAATTTTCACTACGTCTATTCCACGTCTCAATCATAGATTCCGACAACGCCAGTAAATGCATTTCTCCTCTCACTCCCCAACTCCTCCATGCTAAATTAGAAATCCCACTGACACCACTCCTGCTTCGGCGGGACCAACGGGATCATACCCCCTTCAAACCCACCATTACTCCTCGCGTACTCATAAGCATTCTTCACCTCATCCGTGTACTGCTCTGGCTCTGCTTCAGCCCATTTATTAGGCGGCGGCGGTCCGTTCGGAAACCAGATCTTCTGCCACGTTCCGGCGGAACTTTGAGTCCCTGGCTCGCCGTCCTTGTAGATTACGCGTTTGTCTTTCCAGGTGAGGAGACGCCCGTTGCCGTCGCGGGTGCTGTATTGCGAGAGCGATGGGTGGTCGGTGAGGGATGTGGAGCCATTGGTGAAGGGTTGTGATTGATGTTGAGCTGGGGGAGGACCGCCGAACGGGTTAGCGTTCGGTTGTGTAGGTGCACTTGGAGTCGGGTTGCCGAATGGATTCGCGGCTGGTTGAGAAACTAGCTGTGGGTTGCCAAAGGGGTTCGGCGCTGGTTGTACAGTCAATTGTGGATTGCCGAAGGGACTTGAAGCTGCCGGTGCTGCTCCCCAGGGGCTTGGCTGTGTTGTTGCAGGTCCTCCGAAGGGATTCTTCGGTGCTGGAGATGGAGCTCCAAATGGACCGGGTGTATTTCCAAACGGGTTTGGCTGAGTAGATGGGTTCTGAGGCCCAAGTGGATTTGGATTTTGAGTAGATGGTGCTCCAAACGGGTTCGCTTGAGGCTGTAAGTTGCCTCCAAAAGGAACGGGTGCTGCTGGTTGTCCTCCAAACGGATTCGGCTTTTGTCCTAAAGCTGAAGGTTGTCCGAAAGCTCCTCCTGAAGGCTGCCCAAACGCTCCTGACGGTGCTCCAAACGGATTCGGTTTCTGTCCCAATGCTGAAGGCTGGCCAAATGCTCCGCCTCCTCCAAGCCCTGTTGGAGCTCCAAATGCTGTTGGCGCCCCAAACGGATTCGGCTTCTGCCCCAAAGCTGAAGCCTGACCAAAACCCCCTCCAGAAGGCTGCCCAAATGGTCCAGAGGGTGCTCCAAATGGGCTCGGCTTTTGTCCTAAAGCTGGAGGCTGACCAAATGCCCCTCCTGGCGCTTGGCCAAAAGCGCCTGCCTGAGATCGTGCTCCAAAGGCCGGCGCTGCAGCTGGCTGACTTGATGTACTGATAGGATATTCCTGCGTGCGTTGGAAAACGCCTCGTTGTGACCCCGCGCTGGCAGCCTGACTCTCCCTGCAGATATCTGTCCGATTTGGATGCTCATTCTCAGCTTTGATTATGTAGTTGATAGCTCCATCCACATCGTTAAGTGCTGTCTGCACCTGTTGCTCCGCAGCTTGGTATATCTTGTCCGCCTCTTGCACAGCAGGTTGAGGATTTCCACTCGCAACTCCCATGTAGTGTAGCAGCCGTAGCTCTTCAAAGCTCTGCTCCCGTTGCGGCCCTCCAAACAATTGTGCCGGCGCTCCTCGCCCAGGTCCATACGCTGACAAGATCCATTGTGGCCTCTCTGCGGAAAGATCTGAGACTATGGACGGTTTATCGAGGCCATAGGGAGGCGCTACAGCCATTGAGGCTTTAGAATTGTCAGTAACAATTCACTTTTCGTGTGGTGTGTTCTTACATCCACCTCTGTAGCCATTGTTGTTCCTTGAGTTGTCTGAATTTTGAAGAGGCGCAAAACGGTTGGTACTGGGAAGATCTCGAGATGAAGAAGCTCCAGGGTGTTCAAATCTGCAGTTGTCTTGGAGATTTTATCAGTCTCGACTCGGATATTGAGACGGATCCCACTCACTTCCATTCCTGCATGTGCCTTGCTGCCAGAACTTGCATACTATTGGCGGCATCGTCCTTGTCGCAAAGAGGACCCGAATTAATTGTGGTCAAGACGCGCATCGCTGAATTTCATGGCATACTTGAAAGGATCGACCTCTAAGTTGGTGACAACGGCTGGAGGGTTTCGTGCGGTTCGTCGGAATGCGGGTCTTTGGGAGGCAGCCACAATTCAAGGTGGACGCGATCTACCTTGTACCGCGTTGCCTCGTTCGTCAAAATTTTATATCTCGTGACTTTCCAAGAATTCACAAAAAAAGGGGAGAGGATGTGTCTATCTTTTTCTATTAAAAAAATTAAGTATGGTTTATTTAATCAGTCGTATTAGGTGAATTAGATATATCATTGAAGGTGGAGAGGAAGGGGGAACTAATTCACGATATTTGGATTTCAAAGGCCGGACCGTTCCAGCAACTACATAAAGAGTGAAGAACTATTCTTCAGCTTTGATTATCCTCCGCAATGCAGGCCTAGGAGTCTTTTCATCATAGGCCTTGTTAAGCACTGCACTCAAGTCCCTGGCAGTGCCTTCTCTCTCTCTCTCTGCTCCGCCAAATCGCACAACGCGAATGCTGAAAATTTATTCTTCAGCTCTGATCATCTTCCACAATGCAGCCCTAGTTGTCTCATCATCGAATACCTTATTCAGCATCGCGTCCAACTCCTTGGCAACGCCCTCCCTCTTCTGGTCATCCTTCTCCGCCAAGCGAGCTTGCCAGTTTTTCGTGAATGCGGTAATCTGCTGAACGAGAACCTTCTCAAGCTCCTTTCTCGCATCCAAAACTCGGTCAACAACTGCCGGGAGAAGTTCACCCTTCACGAGAGGCCTGATGTACGCAAGAGGATTGAAGAGTTGTCTCCTGTTCTGAAGCTCCTGAATAGTCTCCCAAATAGGGGTGAAGTCGAATTCGGCTGACTGTCGAACGGAATCAGGGATTTCGTGCGTCATGAAGAGGTTTTCGATGAGCATGAGGTTCTTGATGAGGAAAAGTTGTGCGTCCATAATGACGCTGTTGCGCTTGATGACTGTGGCTGCCTTTTGAAGGGATTCTGTCGTCTGGTGGACAATATCGTAGAGGACGTCACCGCTTCTCTGGGCAGATAGTTAGCGAACAGACTTGATAAAATGATAATACCATGCAGTCTTACCGGTCTATCATAAGAGCCTTCGTTGTACATTACCAAAAGCTTGACCGCGGTCTGAACAGTAGGATAGGCGTTCAAGGCCGTGGGGGCTTGCAGATTAGGATCGTCGGACTTTTCAGTAGCAGTTTGGCCAGTGCTGGATTTCTTCCTCTCTCCCGCAAGTGGAATATACTTCGTGGTAAATCTGAGGTCTTCCTGCGATGGCTTGAATTGCTCGATCTCTCCCGCAGCTTTTATGAACAACAAGTCCATCGTTGGCCAAAGATACTTGCTGAGCAAAACCTGAGCTATCCACCTTCGACCGTCTGCTGGTTGGTCCGCATCTGACTCCTCATCGCCAGAAGATATGTACGTTGTTTCCAACCAGTTGACCAAATAGCAGATCCGTGGCAGATTCCCATGGCCCAAGTACGCTGAAAGGAACGTGTTGAGGGTGACTAGGTGCGACAAAGCGTTGTCATGGAGTCTCTCGGCATAATTAGCAGTCTTGTTCCAGAATACCATGCCATGATACTCTGTCAACAATGGGCCGTCATGAAAAAACTTGAACATTAGAGTCTGCTCGTTGTGGCAGGTGTCCAAGACATATTGAACTGAGCGTCTTGCGAGGGCCTCGAAATCCCCCTCAGAAATCGAATCAGCAGTTCCCAGTTTGCGAAGATTCTTCAAAACCACCGGTGGGACTTGCTCACGGCTTTTGAGGTATGCCTGTAGAATATCGTTGTACAAGTTGTGATAGTGTTGCACGTATGAGCGTCGTTCCTTCGTATCCTGTTCACGCCCAAATGCAAATTCTTGATATTGCAAGAACCTCTTCAACTGTGGTCCGCGATCCTCAAGTATCTTCTCAAACTTGCCATAGAGCAGGACGTATTCGGATGTCTCGTTATGTACCTTGAGGCGCAGCTGCTTTGCAACATCATCAGACACCTCCTTAAGAGCAGATGCAAAGTCCATTTGGATGAGATTGAGAGCTCTTTCCAGGAGTGTAGTGTATCGAGTTTTGTAGACGGTTGAGTCTCGATAGTTTGGCTGTGAAGGTTAGCTACTTCACGCTTCCTTCTCCATTCAATTATGAGATGCGTGCAGGTGTACGTGACAGCTCGTGCGCTTGGAGCCCTGCACTAACTTTGCAACAAAATTACAGGAAATTGGCGGCGGAATGGGACGGAAAACTTACATGTTGGTCCATAAAATCTATACATGTGTTTAGGTTCAGCAACATGTCCAAAAAGTCGTCACTCCTCACAAGCCTGCCAGCCCCTGGGGCATTGAGGCGCCTTGTCAAAGGCTCCAGGTACGCATAGTACTGTAGATCCGTCCCAACTTCATCTGCCAGATCACGGATACGTTTCTGGTCAGCCAGCAAGTCTTCGCACTGAGCTTGGAACGCTGTTGTCTCTGATTCAACAGTCTTGAACGACTCGGAAAGGCCCGCCAGTAAATTTAAAGCCGATGTAGTATCGCTGAGCAAACTGTCAAGATGCCTTTCAGACAAGCCTAACTGGTCCCGATAGAGTCTTCTTTGAATGAGCATGACGGCCACGTAATATGGGAAGAATGCCATACTGATACTCCTCTTGACTTGCATCCAAGAGATCATCCTCAAGCTCTTCGAACTGCAGTGCAAAAGGAACCTTTCCCACTTTGCTATCAAAGGTCTCAAGGACATCTTCTGGTTTTGAATGCCTGGCTTCTTTTTTGAGGTAGTCCATTGCAACTTCATAAAAGTCACTGTATGACTTTGCTCTCCTGGCAAGGGTAGCCTGAGGAGGGCCTTTCAGTCCGGAAGTCTCCTCAAAGAGTTCCATGATCGGATCTGAAGAGCCGGGTATTTGGCTTCCTCCCTGTTCGATCCATCAGTACAAGTTCATGTCTTCACAGCTTGGCTCGGTTGCGGACTGACATTTGTCTGTTTCAACAAGGACTCTTTCCGTCGATGCTTGGTGCCCTGTGTAGACACATCATCCTTCTTATGTGAGTCCGGCACAAAAGCGTACCAGGAATCTTCATACATGGTTGTTTGTTTTTTCACTCGATATTGAAAGGAAGGCTGATGGATTTGGAAACGCGAAGCGATTTGTGGTTGGACGCTCGGACCAAGCAAGGTTTGCGTTCAAGGATGATCTTGACCAACGTACTAGCCCCAAGTCAAGTCGTCATTGAAGACGAGGCTGAAGAAAACAACAAGGCCTTCAATGAACTGAAATTGGTCAAGATGATTGCCTCCAAAGCAATCCCTCGGTGTATCTCAATTGCTCAGCGAGCACGCCAACGGCCGGGAGGATCTGGTTTGCTCCAGAAAAGGTGCTTTCGATCGGCCAATCGATCACGGGTTGCTGTTGCAGGCAGGTCTTCTCCCAAACCCCGGACGGCTGGGCTTCTCCTCTCCCTCACTGTTGGGGGAGGATTCCTTTATGCATTGGGTTATCCCAGAAGTCTTCATGCGGAGGTGATCCCGGCACCTGCTGAGGTCAAGTTTGAGGAACCTAGACGGAAGGCAAGCTCAAGGGAGGACAACCGAGACCTGATCAGCTCCCAACACCTGCAAGTAAAGAAGTCTTGGGAAAACCCTGGAGTCTATTGTTGGGGATCGAACTCGGGGAAGCTGATATATGATTCCGACGAGCCCAATATCAAATTGCCTAGGAGACTCCCCTTTTTTGATGGAAAGCTCCTCCGGGATCTCAAATTGGATAGGAATTTTGGAGCCGCCATCACAGAAAACGGAGATTTACTCCAATGGGGAACTGGGTACTCTGCATCAACTCTGGAGCCGACGCCCACTTTAAGAGGAAAAGATCTCGTCAAGTTAGCCATTTCGAGAGACCGAATCTTAGCCCTCTCATCCCGGGGACAAGTGTACTCAATCCCTGCATCTCAAGTTGATCAAATTGAAGGTCAAAAACCTTCAGAGAATTCCTGGATTCCATTCTGGAAAGGAAGATCAAATATCAGCCATCGAAAGGTCAACCCAAGCAATCTGGCATGGGGGGAGAAAATTTCGGACATCAGCAGCGGTCTTGAACACTGCCTCCTCTTAACATCCAAAGGCCGCGTATTCTCAGCAGCTTCCGGCACGGAAGATTTCCCAACAAAAGGTCAGCTTGGCATCCCAGGACTGACTTGGACAACAAGACCCGAGGGAGCTTACGATCAACCACATGAGATTTCTACCTTGAGGGGCTTTGAGATTGTGAAAATTGTAGCCGGTGATTATCACTCTTTGGTGGTGGACAACCAAGGTCGTGTGTTCGCTTTTGGAGACAACAGTTTGGGTCAATTGGGATTCGATTGCAACCCTGAAGCGCCAACAGTCGACGCTCCCTCCCTACTTGCCATCGATCGGCTGTACAAAGGAACAAACATGGTTCCTCGTGTTACAGATGTTGCAGCTGGCGGTGTAAACAGTTTCTTTACTGTCGATGCTACACGGATAGCTGGACAAGGAGAAGAAGATCCTCGAGGTATTGGTCGTATTACGGCAGATACTTGGTCATGCGGCCAAGGAATATGGGGCGGTTTAGGTAACGGGCGGTGGACACATGTTCAAAGCACTCCAACGAAGATCAAAGCTTTATCCGGCCTTTTCGAGTACGACGAAGTCAAGAACGCCGTGGTCCCCATTCGTTTGGCACATTTATCAGTTGGATCAACACACATGTCAGCGGTTATGAGCAACATTAGCCATGTTGGAGCGAGTGATAGAAGTTCTGAGCACGACACGAATTGGGGTGCGGATGTTCTGTGGTGGGGTGGCAACGAGTACTATCAATTGGGAACCGGGAAGCGGAACAATGTCAACAATCCAGTTTACATTGCACCGTTAGATGTCGAAGCAGACAAGGAGAAGGGAAGGAGAGAGGAGCATAGGTTCCAGATCACTCCTAGGAAGAAGATCAAAATCAACGGAAGGAGTGTCAGTGTGGAGCAGAGGATCGAATGTGGAAGAGGGGTGACAGCTATATATTCTGGGACATGATTTGATGATGAGAAGTCTGCTTCTTCGTTGTACTTGTTGTTTGTATAATTTATTCGAGATTGGCTGGGTGGGTTGGCTGTACAGTACACACTACTCAATCTATAGGCCAAATCCGTGGACCTGATCCTCAACTCAAGTTCCAGTTCCTGAACATCAAGTTTCGAGATGGTAAAACCCCTGTAGTGTTCAATGAGTGGTTGGACACGTTTGAAAACCGTCATCTTTTGTGATCAATGTATTTGGCCAAGCAAGCTCATTTATTCGAGTCTAGCCTTAAAGAAGTACATCCCATTTTCCATGCAATATTGACTCCCATTCCATATTCGCCCAAATGAACCTTTATGCTTGAGTAGTCTTGGCAGCCGCCTGGTTGGGATTGACCTTCTTTCCGTCTTTGTTGTATCGGACTCTTGGCGGGGGTGCTCTGTTGCGACGACCTTCACGGGAACGGACACTGAGAGAATTGTCAGCCCTGCTGTTCTCAAGAGAGGAAGGATGTTCGACCAAGGTTCTTCTCAGTGCGTGACGTACCGGACAATCTTGCCATGGATGGCGCAGGAGACACAGTACTGCAACTTGAGGTACATCTTGGGAACTGTGTATTCTGGGAATACGGATGCGTCCGAGATATCACCTAAAAGGCGTCAGTATGATATTTCTTCAGTTTGAGTATTTTGAGGGCACAAACGAATCGCTGCCGACTCTACCATGTTTCGAATGCTAGAGACAGAGTCAGTAGGCTTTTTGGAGGTGGGGTACTGAGACGAACGTGAATCTCTTTATCGCCTTGTCCTTGGGAGTGCATCGCGAGCAGTTGGAGCATCTGATGGGCTTGACATGGCCACGGCCTTTCTTGTTACGTCCGCTATAACCAATGTATTAGCACCTGGTCGAAATATTGACGTCCAAATTTTATTGTTCATCATTGCCCGCGATCTTCGCTTTCGCTGAGACAAGGGAGAGTTGATAATGGAGGAATCGGAGAGGGTGATGGAGGGAGGAGTATCGTACTTGGACGCGCGCTTCTTGACCATGATTGCGGATTCTGAACTGGTATGTAGCTCGAATCTCCGTTGCTGGGTGATGTTGAAATTTCGAGGTTCGAGATATCGAAATCTAAGCGAGCGGAAGGAGCGACATAGGGTAGAAAGCCCTGAAACCACGCTGACTAAGCTAGTTCCACGCTAGCGCCACATTTTGTGATAAATCCATTTCAACCCCGAACTTTCTTTTCCCCGCGACAACACCTGCACCAAGCTAAGGAAGAGAATACGTTCTCTAGGCACGATGCAAATGTAAGCTCCCTGAGGCTTCCTTCTGCTACACACAGCGAAAATTCCGAATTCGAGACTGACAAACCCAGCTTCGTCAAGACCCTCACGGGCAAGACGATCACCCTTGAGGTGGAGTCTTCCGATACCATCGACAATGTCAAGTCGAAAATCCAAGACAAGGAGGGCATCCCACCCGACCAGCAACGCCTGATCTTCGCTGGCAAGCAACTCGAAGACGGTCGTACCCTCTCCGACTACAACATCCAGAAGGAATCGACCCTCCATCTCGTCCTTCGCCTCCGAGGTGGCGCCAAGAAGCGCAAGAAGAAGGTTTACACTACGCCAAAGAAGATCAAGCACAAGCGCAAGAAGACCAAGTTGGCTGTGCTCAAGTACTACAAGGTGGATGGCGATGGAAAGATCGAGCGCCTTCGCAGAGAGTGCCCAACTCCAGACGTGAGTTTTGCTCGGAAAATCGCGAATGGGGCGAGTGCTAACAAGTTACAGTGCGGTGCCGGTGTTTTCATGGCTGCTATGCACGATCGCCAATACTGCGGACGCTGCCACCTTACCTACATCTTCGATGATGCCGGAAAGTAGAGGAGTGAGGAGAGAATATGGAGTGGATAGCTTCTGAAAGGCTTTGCTGTATCTAAAGGATCGTCAAATGCATCACGGTTGCTGACAAGCAATGGGACTGTTCTGTGAAGTTGAAAGTTTGAATCGACTAGGAATGGACTTTGTGATCTGCTACGGAAGTGTTCCAAGATTCCGCCTCTATGTTTGCAAATGGAGCTCAAGTTACCCATGACTCCCTCACTGCCTCCCTTCGTTTGCTCAAGTTGAGCCATGCGCAATACTGCTGGAGGCAGGCACTGAAATGTCCGAATTTACCATCGAGATATCCGAGTCACATTTCACCTCAAATGATATTCCACAAGATTCTCCAAGCTGCTCATTCATCTCCCTGCCTTCAAGTCGAAGGCACTGTTGTAATGTACGCTACAAATCCTCGTGCTAAACAAAATTAGTGGCTGAAGACAACTTCATTACAAAGTAATCACCTATGGTCAAGACGGGTGGACGAGGGTGCATTGAAAAACAGTATACGCCTCCCCAACTTCACTGTTTGAGAAAAATCAAGTTTTGAATGGAATGAAAAGGCGCACTTATTTCTCTTTTGGTCTTCACTTTGCTCTAGTTTGCTTTTCCAAAATTTCCGCGTCATTTGATCCTTCGGCTTTCCTTGCCCTTTATTTTAAGAAATAGGCCTCGATGCCGCGGAATTCTTTGCTCTCCGATACTCCTCCTTCTCTTCGTCTCTTTGCGTTTCAGCTGCTCGGTGCTCCAGGCTCAGGTTTCTCCTAGATGCTAGTCAGACGCTGGCTCGTCTACCATTCACTGAAGCACCATAGAATCAACTCACAATGCAATAAGTTTTGTCAAATTCAGGTGGTTGGAAGCCTTGATACTCTGATTATCGAAGACTGGGAAGCCCCTTAAAAGTACAAATCCACTAGTCTCCCACTAGTCCCCCATCCCCCTGGCTGCCTTAGGCCCATAAGCTTGGCATATTTCAACAAGTTTCTCATTCAAGGTCTTGCTTACTTGTTTTTTGAATTTCGGGCCAGGATCAACGAACAGTGTAGCTTCATGGACAATCGCATTCAGCGTATCCCAAGCAAAGCTCTCTTTCTCATCAGTGGCATTCTTGTCCTCAACTGGGATACAAATTGTGGAGGCAGACTGTACGAAAACCGATTGCTTCAGCCTTGGATGAATTGTCTCCGGAACTTGATTAACAAGGCTTTGAGAGGATATTGGAAAGTCATGCTGGCTTTCGTTCTAGACTGCATTAACAACAGTGTCATGAGTCTGGTGTGGGATGTCGTACTTCATGAAATGGTCGTGTGATTTATTGATCAATGTCCTTCTAGGGTTGAGTGACTCGTACCATTCTCGAGTAACACGAATTTCTTTGTGAGATGAAGTAGTGTGCGAACTCCGAAAGGGGGGGTGGTATATGCGGACAATGCCCAAGCGAGGTGTGAAAAGTTGGGTTTGAACCCTTCAGAACATATTTTGCGATGATGGAGTAAAATTTGAATGAACGAATAGACGCTATATAAAGATTACAAATGTTGGTTCTCGCCTGTTATTTGTGGCTTCAGATTATTGGTGTGGACAAGCCAAGGGAGCTGTTGTGGACCATGATGTATCCCTCGATCTGGACTTCGCCATTCAACTTAAAACCCCGATTCCCAAGGCGACTAGAAGTACTTCATTTGCTTTTTCAGTACCAAGTAGAACAATGGAGGGACAAACCAAGTGGTGCTCATGTCAGTCCCCGGTCCAATTGAGCATTTAGGAGCCTCCTCTCCGAATGTGCCTTCACTGATTTGGACATTAAAATTCTTCCCCTTTCGAAGTCCTGGTAATCTCCGACTTGAATAAGGACAATGAATTTATGCTCGTGGCGTCCACCGAATGCTTCTGGAAACCCGCCATTGCAACCATCCGCGCAGAAGATATTGGAAAACGTTGGAGATCAACGATGTTTATTCCAGAGAATCCATCCATGTGTTACTCCCTAACGGCTTGGTAGATCGGCAACCCTAACCGTTAAACCCATTCCTCACATTCTCGAATTTCGACTGCGGATACTCTACACAATTCTTCGTGCGTTGCAACGACCCCAAAACACCCACCACATTCCCAACCAAGCTCTGCTCCCCCGCCTTATCCGCACTACTCTCCCACCACATCACACCTCCAAGCCTGTCATCGAATTAGTATGGAGTTTTGTTGAATTTCTGAAGCGAGTCCAGGAGCTGGGGAGCCAAGCTCTCGAGACATGAATGCGTATGCTGTCTCCCGCGAAGCTCCCAGGCTCTCAGCTCCTAGAGGAAAACAACAATTCGTTATGGAAATAAGCTTACCCATGCCTCTTAATCCACTCCGCCTTCTCCCTCGCCATCCGTGGCGTATCATACGTAACCAAGTGCTTTCTCGCCCCATCATAACTATACGTCGCTCTGGCCTCCTCATCATACCTCTCCTCTGCCCCCTTCAATGGCAACGCCTTATAATCAAACACACCGTTCTCCCAACTACCCTGCCCAACCCCGCTAAATGGCATCCCCAACCCATCCGTATTCTCAAACGCTCGCCCGTACAATGGCATACCCAGCACAATCTTCGAAACCACTACACCCTGTTTTCGATAATGCTCAACCGCTTCCTCGGTATTAAACGGCGTAGCTACACTATTTCCCCTTGAAGCCTTTAAATTCGCTTGATGACCCGTAATCTGGTCCCAGGAACCAGAATAATCATATGCCATTAGATTCCAGAAGTCCAGATACTTATCCATACCGGCGATATCCATGATCGTGTAGTTTTGCGGCCCGGCGGGACAGGCGACTGTGAGTTCAAAGTGGTGTGGCTTAGGGAGGGTAGAGGAGTAGGCGTCCATTGCTTCTCTGCAAGCTTGCAGCAGGAGGACGAAGTGGGCGGCCTCGGATTGGGATTTGGGATATTCCCAGTCAAGGTCTAGGCCATCGAAGCCGCAGTCTTTTATTAGGGACACAGCGGAGGAGGCAAATTGGGAACGGCCGGCGTGAGTGGATGCTGGGGCGGCGAAGTTGGAGGAAAACGTCCAACCGCCTATGCTGAGAAGGACTTTTAGTGAGCGGTTTTGCTGCTTGAGGAGGTTGAGTTGCTTGAGGCAGCCGTAGAGGTTGTCCCCGACGTCGTTCCATGAGTCGCCGTCGAAATGGATGTCTTTGTCTGCCCAAACATCTGTGAGGTATCTGTATCAGTGTCAGAAAAATTGCAATGAGACTGACTCTTGATAACAGGTAGAAATACTTCATTGCTTTAAATACAAATTTGGAGTTGAACTTACACCTCTCCACTCTCAGGCCGGACATTGGCAAAGGCATATAGAACATGCGTCAACTTGTCAGCTGGCAAGTCCTGCGGCCTGAATTTCCTCCCATAGATAGCCCAGTTCACGAAGTACGAAACAGCTCGATAGCCATCACCTCCACCCATCTTTGCGTTGGCGGGTTCAGGGTTGGTGAAGGCTGAGAGTGGTGAGGCTGAGAATTGAAAATGTGAGAAGAGAAGGGCTGTCGAGATGACAAGAGGAGCTAGGAAAAGTGCAAGTCGTTGTAAAGAGGCCACTTTGTGAGTCTTGGGCGGAGTTATTTTGAGGAGTTTTATGCGTCGAAGAGGGTGGATGGGGTTGTGCCGGACTATTTGAAACAGGAACACAGAGTTGACATTGTGGGGTCCAATCACGAGGCTTAGCGAGACAATGACGAAGCTGGCGATGTGGCTTGGCAGGCAACAATCTGTGAGATCTTTGATTTGGGGGATCTTCATTCAAAGCAAGGGTAAGGTTTCAGGGGTTGGGGTAAGTTGATGATAGGCTCTTGGTGCGCAGAAAAAGCGGCACTCTTTTTCAAAATCCCAAGTGTAAGTTGGACATTTCATTGGACTTGATGATTCCCGAGATACGGGGAGAAGTACACTCTGAAAGTACTAGAGCCTAAGGGCACATTCATGGGACAAATATCTGAAATGTTCCAGCTTGACTTGAGACATCAGTGGGCTTTTCGTCCAATATAAATGAGGTTACATTCACGTGGATGACGTCTTAAGTGTAAATCTGCTTTCATTCCAATCATTGACTCTTAAATCGTAAACCATTGATTAACTGCAGCCCCGATGACTTTGTCGGAGCTGGAAGTTACATTCCTGGGCCGTTCTCAAACCGCTCCCTGTCGACGTTAGAAGACCAGATTTCATTTTTGAGCTTCGATCCAGGAGACCCATGCGGGAATCAGGCGCGGTATGAGTGTAGAGGGTCGACCGCACCTCGAAATCAAAATATCCCTCGCTCGAGTCTGGACTTTTCTCAGATAACTCAAATTGACCTGCAACAATGGACACCCATCCTTATCCATCCTTAGGATTGTTCTTCTGATGATAGATGTCCACTGGCCGGTCTTTGATATCTTCGCTAGAGCAGATCTCAGGCGGCGGAAGAACCCTTCTGTAACTTTCTTCCTTCGGATCCGTCACACCATATCCGTATAGATCTCTTTGCTTCAAGAAGCTTTCAATCCTCTCCTCACGGCTGCCATAAGCACTCATCGCCTCCTTCCTCCTCCGCATCAAATCCTTAGAAACGGTTTTGTGAAGAGCATCCCTCTGTTCAAGAAAGCTAATAGAATAATTTCCGGCCCGTGTAGCTTGAGTCATGCCCCCAAAAGCAGCAAATGTCAAAATTAACCCCACGAAAGCAGCGTTCGAAACATGTCTTGGTTCTTGTGGTCCCTTTCCCTCACGCTGATACCACTTCTCCCAGTCTTCCCAGGTAGCGTTCTGGCTTGGACCACTAGGTCCTCCACCCCACCCTCTCCCACTGTGACCCCCCCATGTAGCTGGTTGCTCTGATGAATCTCGAGGACGGAGAACATCTGGTTGGCCATTCCATCCCGCTCCATATATGTCGTAAGCACCCCGCTTGACCGGATCTGACAATATATCGTTTGCAGCAACTACAAGCCTGTATCTCTCTAGCTTCGTAGCATACGGTAATCCGCTGCAGTCATCGGGGTCGTGTCGATCAGGGTGGTATAGCTTCACAAGCTCGTAGAATCTCTTCTTCGAATAAGGTGATCCTTTTTTCTGGTTGAAGATCTGGTATGGGGTCGGGATGGCGTTCGCAGACGTTATTTCTGGCCAACGAAGGCTTCCATGGTCATGCCTGGTATGGCCATCCGAGACGATAGCATATGAACGGCATTGCTGTTGTTTTGCTCGAGATCCCGGAGGCTGGAATGGTGACGTCTTTGATGGTGGCGCTGAGGAGTGGAAAGCATGTAGATTGGTGCTTGACAGCAGGATTCCGGATTTCTTCAACATGGCTGACGGAGAGCCAGCTCAATCACTGGCACATTTTGATCATTAGTGAGAGGGAAGAGGGTGGTATGCCTCGCTCCTTCCTCACTCAAGATATCGTGTGAGAAGGTTTACCCAAGTCCGGTCCTATTTAGTGCCTCCTCGGCTGTCGATAAGGAGACCCTCCGAAAGCTTATCGGAACGCGTCTCCAAAAGTCAATAAGAAGTCCATTCTTCTCGATCTATCTCCCGCGTCATCTTCTTCCCTCTTGCACAAAGAGCACCAACACGTCCATATGAGTGCACTTGCTCGCTCTAAAGCACAATCGTCTTCTGCATTGCGTCCCTCAAGCCTCTACCATGAAGTGGTTCCCTCTCAAACGTCGGCTTCTGCCTCGGCCGAGATCGTCCAACTCCCAACCGACCGATCTTCCCGTCAAGTCCGGTGACAAGTATGATGAAGCTTCAGGGCAAGTGTACAGAGAAACATATGTCTCCATTCCGAGCGGTAATGACCAAGACTGGGCTCGAAAGAGACACGTCGTTCGCGAGCAGCACGAGAAGGACCATCTTGGCTACGAACCAGCCTATGGCGCCGAACATCCGAAGACCAGAGCTTCCAAAGGTGGTAGATCTCTGCAAGACATCGCTATGGATACCGTGCTCGACAATATTGCTAATATCACCTTGGAGTACCTCGAGTCTCTTCCCTCTGTGTTGGTGGATCGTATCTGGTCTGAAGTAAATCAGAGGTCGGTTTCCACTAACGCTTCCTTTGCCCAAGGATTCGAATTGTGCCGTTATAGATTTGAACTGACATGCCTACTTCTAGTACTAGGATGTCTTTTGACGTGTGGAAAACTTTCTCGAAATTGCTTCAAAATCGAAACGAAACCACACTCAGAACCTTGAGATACCGTGAAGCAATCGAATCCCCGAGATCCCCTCTAGAGACATATACCTCCCCCTTGGCCTCAAACTCCTTCGAATTCATAACTATCCTCAGTATCACAACAGCATTCAACTTACGTGACCTTGTCAAGCTGTCTGAGATTCCGAATATTGGCGTTCTTGAAATCGTTAGGACATCCGGAACAGTTCAGTGCGTCATCTCAGATCGAGTGGTTCGGGCCTGGAGTCTCGCGGCTGTGAACGACGGAGCGTTCAAAGTCCTGAGAATTCTCAGACTTTGGAACCAGTTGGACGTCACAGGCAAATCGCTGAGCTACCTCAAGGACTTCCCTGCTCTCGGTGTCTATGATGTTCGAGGCTGCGGTTTTAATCTTCGTTCCCCTACCGACGCTCGTCTTCTAGGCTGGAAACCGACCGTCGATCGTAGCGTGCTCAATGTCCTGCATGCTGCTTGTGTTGAAAGAGCAATCATCTTGCGGGAAAACCTTGGCTTAGATCCTCAGCCCATCCGCAGAGCATCCGCCAAACAACTCTGGGATGGGGCCAAAGTCTGGAAGCTTCCTCGTGGAGAGGTGGCTGCTTTTCTGACTCGAGATGAGACGTCCAGTCCAGGGACCCCAAGAATCGCCGAATTCGCCCTAGACTTGAATAGGCTGAGCGCAGCTGCAGATAGGGTTGCAAGAATCAATCCAGGAATCGAGGGCAATTTTCGGGCCTACTTCTGGGAAACAATGGATGACTACACCTTTGAAGCGAGCCGGATGAAGATGACTTGGGAATTCCAGCTCTACTCAGCGTATGCTCGACTTGGAGAGCTCAGAAATGATCGTGATTTGTTGAGAGCCGGAATTGATATTGGAGATCAAGCAATGGTGGGTAAAGAGTTGATTAATTCCGTCCCTGTGGTTTCGATTCGTCTTGGTCCAACATCCCCGGAATTGCGTCCTACCTCCGCAGGCAACGGCTCCCACAAGTCAACTTACGGTAGTGCAATGGCCAGTAATAACTCCTACTCGTCGAATCGAATCGCAAGCCGCTCTGACTTCGATCCCAAGAACTTGTGCTTCATTCGAGTCGAGGTCCCCTTGGAAGCACAAGAATCAGCAGCTACAACCCTTGGACAAGGGAAGAAGACTAAAGAATCCGGACGAAAGCGAAACAGCTTCATGAGTTTGGCGGAAAGTAAAAGGATGAAACTGAGCGAGGTTTTAGAATCCTTCCTTTGAAAACAATGTTTGCGATATTGCGGGAGTTTCATTGGAGTTTGCGATGTTGCAGCAACGATACCCCCATGAGTTCTTTCTTTTCATTTGATTTGCAGGCGCGAGAACAATGATACCCAGGAGTTTGCGGATTGGAGTTGCGGTGGTTTATGAGAGATGCTTGAGCTGGGGACTTATGGTCGTACCCATTCCGAACAATGGGGAGCTTGTGAAATGCGTGAGACCTGGCTGGGGTTTGCATGTAAGACTGAATTAGCTCTCACTCGAGATAACACCTCGCCCAAGTCTAGAAAAGTAAATGAAAAACTTGGAAAAACTGGAAAACTACTTGGCCATGACTCCTCGCAGGATGAACCCCCTCCGGCTCTGGATAGCTGGATGAAGCAAACCTTCAGAACCGCTTGGCTCCGAGGGATGGACTGAAAGCTGCTGGATTTTATACAACCTACACAATTTACAATCTCCAATTTCCTCTCCCTCCTGCGGCGAAATCACAGCTCCCCTTTAACGACCTTCTGCTCGCCTTCTCCTGCTCCAAAAATATTCAAATAATCATCCACAACTAGCCGCGCAACATTCTTCCCCATCAGCGCACTCGTCTCCATCGTGCTGATGAAACTCTCCATCCCGCTTGTGTAGTAGAAACCTCGTGCTAGCTCGGGGTCTTCGAAGGTGATGCGTGGAAAGAGGTAGGGGTAGGAGAACCATTTGTGGGGGTGGAACCAGGTTACTGGGGAGTGGGAGTTGATGGTTGTGAGGTCTTCGGGGGCTATTTATAGGGAGGGAGGGTTACTGTAAGTGATTGCCAGTTTGGATGGAGGAGAAAAGGGAAGGGCTCTTACCGTGAACGTTCAGTATTTCAGAGAGGAAAGACGAAGTAACAGCTTTCGGCGAAAAGATCTTATAGAGATGTTCTTTCTCCAACGTCTCAGGGTTTACCACGGTTCGTAAAGTCGAAATGCTAAAGAAGCCCGGTGAGCCAACACTATCTTCTAGTTTCTCTGATAGTGGGGCGTCTTTCGGGAGGGTAGTCAAGATCGAGGAAGGGACTTCGTCTTTCGGTGATAGGTTGAGAAATGTTTGGTTTATTGCGTGGGGGGAGGTGAAGAGTGTTACGTGGAGCGTTACGTAGGGGATTTCGTCGGGGACGTGTTTGATGAGGCCGTCGGCGAGAGCGAGTTGCGAGAATTGGAGGGGTGCGGCGAGGATGATGGTGTCGAATGATTCTTCGTTCGTTGACAGATTACCAGTGAGAGAGTCAGTGGTGCTGGTTTTGAGCGAGTATTTCGATTTTGATTTTGAGATGGAGGTTACGGCTGTGTTGAGGAGGGTGGAGGCGTTGGAGGCGTTGAGCATGCCCGCGAAGATTTGCCAGTTGCCGCCTTGGATTTGCATTGCTCCTTCGACAGCCATGCAGACCATTGATCCAAGACCATGGATCAGGTTGAGATTTTGTCCATAGTTGACTCGAGTAGTGGCTTGGATGATGTCGGTAGCAAATTTGGACCCGATCTGAAGATAATTAGCAGTTGATCAAACTCCGCGTCTTGCAAGACTTACATTATTAGCTGCCAGGAATTGCTCTCCAGTCATTGAAGTCACAGGTGTGAGACCCAAGTCCAGAGCCCTATCGGACAAGGACCTGAAAGGAAAGAAGGGATATTCATAAAGCTTGAGGAGCTTGGCGGAAACGTCCTTCACCAAGCGCTGGGTTCGAATAGGGGCAAGTCCATACTTCCACAAAAGTTTGGTAACATCCCAGTAGTACCACCCACTTTCTTTCTGCTTGTACACAAATTCTTTGCCATCCCAGATACCAAGAAGTTCTCCACCATCTGTTTCGGGTGTTGATTCCTTGGGTTTAAGGCCAAGAGCTTCGCTTGAGTTCTTCAAAATTGGGTTGGCCTCAACGAAAAGACTTGCGCCGAGTTCGACGGGCTCCAGAAGGTTTCCATATGCATTGACGGTGGTTGAACGGCCGCCTACATAGGATGAGCGCTCAAAGACTGTGATGTTGAGTGAGAGCCCGGATTCGGAGGCGAATTGTTGCAAGTAATATGCTGTGGAGGATCCAGCCGCTCCAGCGCCTGAATATCATCAGCTTCTGCAACTGTTTGATGACGATGCTGTCCTAAAAACTAAGAAAACATTTCACAGTGCATCTCAGGACTTCCTGGCAAACTGGATGTCTGCAATGAGCTTTCATCCCCGTTTGTTCAGGTGATGAGCGAAAGACTGGGAGAAAAGGGATTTGAGACAATGAGATGGGATCTTTCCTGGGTTAATAGTAGAAGTATTGAAGGACTGAACAAAAAATAACTTGTGGAAGCAAAGATCGACACTGTACGGACAGCTTCAGCCTTCCGAGCCGGTTTCGACGCCACATTCTTCTCGAACTTGTTCTAGAGCTAGAGATCGAGCACTATACTCCGAAAATGTGCAATTATTGATTAGGAAATACTCCTGACGGGGGACTAAGCTTGATGAATCAATGAAATTTAACATACCAATAATTGCAACTCTTTTGGCGTTTGCATCTGGGTAAACAATGTCCTGCGAATCAGGAGTCGCGTGAACAGATGTGAAGGGCCAAATGCCTTTGCTCTGGCCACAAAGCAAGGCCACGATGAGCGTAAGCACAAGGTTGCAGCCTGAGTAATACATCTTCATGGGGCTGTGTATCGTTAGTTGTTTATCTCGTTTGACGCGACCTCTCAGATCGTCAGCCTCGTCTTTCAAAAGATGTCAAGCTGCATTGTCTAGGCTACCGTAGCACCGAGCACGGAAGCCGCTAGGACCACTAGCGTGGCAGGGAAGTCGCGAGCCTTCCATTCGCGTCGAACATGAAAAAAGCTTCGAGCTCTGATAATTTTCTGAATGACATATCAAGGCTCCTGAGTACTCAAACACATCCTTCCGATCATCACTCCATACCAAGATGTCTGCCGCGCAGCTTCTCAACCCGAAAGCTGAGTCCAGGGTCCGTCTTTTGCTGCTCTAGAAGAAAATATCTACTAACACTGCGTAGAGAAGAGGAGAAGCTCTACGAGTCAACATCAGTGCTGGTGAAGGTCTACAAGATGTTCTGAAATCCAATTTGGGTCCTTTAGGGACGATCAAGATGTTTGTACATGCTCTCCAACCTATTTTGATCATGACTAATAGCTCCGAGGCTTGTGGACGGTGCAGGCGCGGTACGAAAATGCTCACGTCCTCTTGATGATCCCTATTCTGATATCTGGTTTTGTGCAGATCAAACTTACAAAAGATGGAAATGTCCTGTTACGCGAGATGCAGATACAAAATCCTACTGCAGTCATGATTGCGAGAGCAGCGACAGCCCAAGACGATATTTGTGGTGATGGGACCACGTCTGTTGTGTTGCTTGTTGGTGAACTTCTGAAGCAGGCAGACAGATATATTTCAGAGGGTTTACATCCAAGAATCATCACAGATGGCTATGAGATTGCTAAGACGGAGTCTTTGAAGGTAAATTGCAGTTTGGGTTCCATCAGCTGTTGCTAAGGACCCTCTAGTTTCTGGACACATTCAAGCTGGAGAGAGAAGTAGACCGTGAACTGTTGCTATCCGTTGCTCGCACTTCCCTCTCGACAAAGCTCAACCACACCCTGGCCGAGAAGCTCACGCCTGACATCGTCGATGCTGTACTCGCCATCTACCAACCACCTGCGAAGCCCGACTTACACATGATCGAAATCATGAAGATGCAACATCGAACTGCCTCGGAGACTCAGCTCATTCGAGGACTAGCATTAGATCATGGTGCCAGACACCCGGATATGCCAAAGAGAGTGGAAAACGCATTCATCTTGAGTCTGAACGTCAGCTTAGAGTATGAGAAGTCAGAGATCAACTCCGGTTTCTACTACTCAAGCGCAGACCAACGAGACAAGCTGGTTGAGAGCGAGCGTAGATTCGTTGATGAGAAGTTACGGAAGATTGTGGAATTAAAGAAGGAGGTGTGCGGCAACGATCCGAAGAAGGGCTTTGTTATTATCAACCAGAAGGGAATCGACCCCCTCTCGCTTGATGTTTTGGTCAAGAATGGTATTTTTGCTCTGAGACGAGCAAAGAGACGGAATATGGAGAGATTACAGTTGATCTGTGGTGGCACTGCACAGAACAGCGTGGATGATTTGACTCCAGATGTTCTGGGTTGGGCAGGTCTCGTGTACGAGCATCAGCTGGGAGAGGAGAAGTACACGTTTATCGAAGACGTCAAGGAGCCAAAGTCTGTGACGATTCTCATCAAGGGCCCAAATCAGCACACCATCACGCAGATCAGTGATGCGGTCCGCGATGGCCTTCGAAGTGTCTACAACATGATTGTCGACAAGAGCGTCGTCCCAGGCGCAGGGGCTTTCCAGGTAGCTTGTGCAACGCACCTGAACAGCGAGGCTTTCCGCAAGACTGTCAAGGGAAAGGCGAAGTGGGGTGTTCAGGCATTTGCAGATGCTCTTCTGATCATTCCAAAGACGCTTGCGGCAAACGCTGGACATGATATTCAGGACGCACGTAAGCATTTCCGTTCTTATCAAATTCATACTGCTGACATTCCTGTAGTTGCAACTCTCCAAGATGCGCACAATGAGGGCAACATCGTTGGTCTTGACTTGAAGACTGGCGATCCCATGGACCCTGTTCTCGAGGGCGTATACGACTCTTTTCGTGTACTCAGGAATGCAATCGCGTCAAGTTCTGGCATTGCATCAAACCTTCTTCTTTGCGACGAGATGCTCAAGGCAAGACAGATGGGTAGACAAGGCGGACCGGGACCTGGAATGGATGAGTAGATCGGTTGATTATAACTGCGGCGCTCTCTCAATCTTCGACGGCACTTGGTGGCGTAAAAGCTACCTCTTGCGATTCTCGTTGGGACAATGTAACACAGCAAATGTACAACACTCAGCCATGGGGCAGAGGGCATGTAGCGGATGATTAGATAGCATTCAGTCACGAAATGAAAAGAACGACCAAAGGCCCTTCAAACATACTTCGTCAACTCAATATAGGTGGTGAAAGATGCTATGTACATGTCTCTAAGTCTATGGCTCTCCTTTGAGGGATTGTAGGAATGTCCTGCCGAGCTTGCCTAAAATACGTCCTAGTTACTGCAATTGCTTTTGCCAAGATGCCAAGAATTCAATAAGTCGAGCAAGTGCGAGTTTTAGAGAATCGTGATTGGCCTGTCGCACCCGTCAGCCATGTTGGCGGAATATGCTGGAGCTTGGACCGGGGTTGAGCTTGAAAGGGTGGATAAAGGGGGAGGCGACACTTCACTTACTTCTGCTTATCCGCTCTGAAGCAAATTGCAAGAGTGACCTTCCTTGCAACGCAACTCCCATGCGTTTCCTTGATGTCTTGTGAGCAGAGCGAGCGCTGAGCAGCACCGCACCGCCCCGGGAGATCTGCCAGACGTGCGCAAAAGAACCACTTTATATCCCGATTTGTGTCCATGTGTCCATGTGTCCATCTCCAAAGCCTCCCCAATGCGACATGAACACAGTCCCGCACCAGCCAGTCAGTGCACTCACTCCACGCCCAGCGGGTCAGTGCGGGATAGCCCCCTACAGTAATACTGGTATTTGTTCCAGAGAGAAGTTCAGCCGGCACGTTTCTCCATTGACTACACCAAGGCCCCTGTAGCCGGGATCCTGAGCTCCAGGCATTTCATCCTGACCCGTCCCAGATCCCGGACGCCGCCAAGAGCGACAGAGGCACGAACTGCTTCACCACTCGACATTTCATCGTGGCCAGATCCATGGCTTGCTCCGTTCACGACCAAACCCACTTCTCGATGAGTGTGCAAACCGACTAAGTTCCCAATGACCCTCTGGAAAATGCTGCTACGACCATCGAAGCATCGTTGATGACCCGGTGTCGCGTGATACGCCCGCTTTCCACCTCCCTCTCCCGCCGCCCTCTTGAGGGCAACGAAGCATCTCAAGATGCTGCGGTACCGGCGATACCGCGTATTCCTGATATTAGCGGCTATCCTCACTCTCGTCATTGTTCGATTAAGACACACAAGGGACTGGGCGCAATATCCGTTGACTGCAGGCTTCGAGAATACCCCTGCGCAGAAGGAGGGCAATTATGGCGGATCTCCTCCAGTCAAAACCACAACTCCAGCCAAAATTGAGAAGGCAAAAGAGACTCCACGGTCCAAAACCCAGCAGAAATTGGCCTCGAGTACACCAACACCCAAAAATGTCGCTTCCTCCACGCCAGTTGCAGAGGGCCTGAAGTCCACCCCTGAATCTGTGCCCCAGATCGTGCTACCAGACAGAGAGCCATTGCCACCAACCAAGGTCTCCATGGAAGAAGAGGAACTTGATTTGCATCCAGTAGCGCCGCCCGGGAGACAAGAATTACCTGCATTTTCTGCAGTGCCAACGACGATACATTGGGAGAAACAGGTGGAGCATTTCCCTGTACCTGCAGAGTCTATCATCCACCTACCAACAGGCGTGCCTGTCAAAATACCAAAGATCCAACATGCATTCAACGACGAGACCCCGACTGCGAAGATCAACCGCGAAAAACGCCAATCGAAGGTCAAGGAGGAATTCAAGAGGGCGTGGACTGGATACAAGAAGCATGCATGGCTACACGATGAATTGTCACCCGTCACTGGCAACTTTCGGGATCCGTTCTGTGGGTGGGCTGCGACTTTGGTGGATTCTTTGGATACACTGTGGATTATGGGTCTGGAGGACGAATTCGAGGAGGCTGCCAAAGCTATCGACATGATCGATTTCACGACAAGCCCACGTAGTGATATACCAATGTTTGAGACGACAATTAGATATATGGGAGGTCTTCTGGCTGCATATGATGTTAGTGGTGGGAAATATAAGAATTTACTGACTAAAGCTAAGGAATTGGGGGAGATCTTGATGGGGGCTTTTGACACTCCGAACAGGATGCCGGCTTTATATTACCGATGGAAACCAACTTTTGCATCACAGCCCCATCGAGCAGGTCAGAGGTCTAACCTCGCAGAACTAGGATCTTTATCAATGGAGTTCACGAGGTTATCACAATTGACCAATGATCCTCGATACTACGATGCCGTTGCCCGAATCACACTTGCACTGTCGGATTGGCAGGACCGCGGCACCCAGCTTCCCGGTGTCTTCCCCGATAATGTCGATGCATCTGGTTGCAACCGAACCGTGGCGGATGTCCAATTACCTAAGTCTGTGCCTGCAGAGGCATCAATAAGTCCAGCGAAAGATGCAGAGGAACCTATTGGATTTCAACCCGTCGATCCAGAAAATGTGAAGGAACCGAGACCAAGGAAGAAGAAGGTCAAGGGAGATACGAATGACCTCATGTTGGAGGTGCAGGTGTTGCCTGGAGAGCCGAGCAAAGCTCAAATCCTTGGTTGGGCCGAGGACCTACCTGTTGGGCACAAGCAAAAGCAAAAGAAGGTTTCTAAGAGAGATACAGTTGAAGAGAAACCCCCAGCCGCGGACCTCGCTAGCCCAAGCCCAAATACCCCGACCCCGACCCTAAGTCCTACTACCGACAGAATTACTGGATTGCCACTCGACATTCCGGCAGCAAAAGCTGCTGTTGGCGATACTGTTGGAAACTGGGACTGCGTTATTCAGGGCTTGGAGCCAGCGTCCCCTGGAAGAGGAAAGTTTTCTATGGGAGGTGGACAAGACTCTACTTATGAGTACTTTCCAAAGGTTTATATTTCCCTACCATTTATGAAGCAAAGACTAACTATTTTCTAGGAATATCTCCTTCTTGGGGGCCTTGACGAGACGTATCGAAAGATGTATCTCAAAACTATTGATGCAGTCCGGAAGTGGATGCTTTACCGGCCTATGGTTCCCGACAACCGTGATATCTTATTTTCTGGATCCATCACAACCATGGGCGACCCCGAACTCGATCTTAAGCTGAGTGCTGATGTAGAGCATCTCACTTGCTTCATCGGTGGCATGGTTGGGATGTCAGCCAAGATCTTTGGTATCGAAGGAGATCTAGAGATTGCCAAGAGGCTGGCTGATGGTTGTGTCTGGGCCTATGAATCAACGCTCACGGGAATTATGCCCGAAGGCGCCACGGTCATGCCCTGCAAGAGCTCTGAGCACTGTACCTGGAATGAAACGGCGTACTGGGAGTTCTTAGACCCTACGGGAGCGCAAAGAGACGAGAACTTGAGGGAATACATTGCGAATAAAGCGGCTCGTGAAGCAGAGAAAAAGGCCCAGGAGGAGGCAGCAAAGGTAGCACTCAGGGCAGAAGCAGAACTAGCCAATGCTGAAGTCAGATCTGGCAACAGCACCAGTCCTCTGGCAGAGGAAGATATATCTGATTATGAGTTGGATACCCTTCCTGATTCTCCCGGTAGTGCAGCTTTGAAGAAGGACAAACCGGTCTCACTGCACAAACGTCAGACCGTGAGCTCCCCGAAGTTCGAAGTCCCCAAGCCTATTACTCATAACTTCCAGGGCAGTGTTCCTGCAGCAAAGCTGGCGATATCACAAGACACACATGAACAGAAGGCGAACGCCAAAACCATGTACCAACAGAAATTCGAGCATACAGAATCAGAATTAGCATCTATGGCGGCAGTCGGTCGACCCGTTGCAAATATCCCTGAATCACCCACTCCTACCACCCAGAACCAAGTCTTCTACGACCCTGGCCAACCCCTCTCCCACAAAGAATACGTCGAGCAAGTAATCAACCAGCAATCTCTTCCCCCCGGATTCGCCACCATCAAATCGAGGAAATACATCCTCAGGTAAGGCCTTCCCTCCTCTCCGCCATTCCCCCTTTCTAATAGTGTATGTAGACCCGAAGCCATCGAGTCAGTCTGGTACATGTACCGCATCACCGGCGACGAGACATGGCAAGACAAAGGCTGGCGCATGTTCGAGTCGATCATCAACGCAACGTCCACCAAGCACGGCCACTCGGCCATCTACGACGTCCTAGACGGCGACCACTACCAGATCGACGAGATGGAGTCTTTCTGGTTGGCCGAAACGCTCAAGTATTTCTATCTGCTGTACTCGACGCCGGATGTCATTAGTCTGGATGAGTGGGTATTGAATACGGAAGCACATCCGCTTAAGAGGCCTGTTGCTGGGGTAAAGACTTGAAGGGAGTGAAACCTTCCTTGAATGAGGTGGGAGGCTGTATTCTAGGAAAGGGGTGTTGGGGTGTTGGGGAGTTTGGTGGCATGGTTTCTTTGAGTCGGACTGTGCTGTGTGCGGTACGAAAGGGGCATAGGTGGAAGGGTAGAAGTGATTCTGGATACATGCATTGTCGGTGTTCTTTTTCTTGGGTACTTAGATCCGTGATCGATGTGAGGGATAAAATTATAATAAGGCATTGTTGTCTTAAAGTCTTAATATCTTTTCACTCCTGAACTTGTACGATTGTTCGTTGCTGCATTGATACTGCCCAGCCCAATTAGTCTGAATCCAAGTGGATTAAATACTGGCATATTGCGGGAGCTGCAAGTGATCGTTGTGCCTTGGAAGAGCTTTTGCATATAGGATGGACTTGGATGGCTTTGTGGTGTGAGATGCCCCTGCTCGAGAGAAGTTTGCTAGTAATGACTCTTGTAGTAGAATTTTATGAATTGTGCGACTTGGATAAGAAAAGGTTGAAGTTTCTCTTGCTGCACTTTATGGAACGGCCACACTTCCAAGGTAGCTATTGCTATTGGATCCCTTGAAAGTAGGACTCTACTCCCTCATCACGCAAATTCACCTTCTACAAGCTCTCTGTTGCTTCTCCACACTCTTCCTGCTGCAAACAACTCATCATTTTAAGGAGTATTCTGCGCGCTGGTCCTTGATCATAATTCAGAGCCTTCAAATAAACCAAATCATCTCAAACGCCTGCCCCTGTTCTAGAACTCGGCGTCCCAAAGTTACCACTCACAAATACAACAAGAACCGCTGCATACCTATGATTGAATAAGCCAGCGTCTTCTCAACTTGGGGGCTACACTGAGGGCAGCAGCCGATCCATAAAGCTCTGCCCTCTTCGCAATTGCCAACACACCAAGACTCAGTGCAAATGCAGCAGTATAACCCCCGATCAGCCCCAGCCGCACGTTATTGTTCTACACCAGATACAGATTGACAACTTCAACCACAAGCAGTATTGCAGCAATAAACCTACTCAGAATAGACACCTCTCGAGCAATTTTCCATTCCAAGATATAAGCCAGATTGCTTTCGGCTTTACCTTCCTAAAACAATTGACCAATTATTCCCAAACGGTTGTTGTAGAAAGAAATGGATACAGGAAGTGATGCATACAACTACAAGAAAGAACACACGTTGATATCGTCTCACAAACCTGATCAGGTAATCTTGATCATCCGGTATTCGAAGAGCTACGAGATCCTCTTCATTACCAAGCCTCAAACTACCCTTGTCCATCAGAATAGATGTTCACTCCTGTCTAGCCTGGTATCATACGACCTCAACTACTTGCGAAGCGAACCGTCAATTTAAAGTCGACTCAAGTATTCTGGGAATGCAATGAAAACCCTGCATGCGAAGCGTTTTCCCAAATGATTCCTCACAATTCCTCGTGTACCGGTCACCTGGTGCCTCTTTTTGCAAGCAGCCTCTGAGAGACTGCAGCGTCTCTTGCGAAAGGACTATAACATTGGCTTGCAAGTCACACCAAAAGCCATCTCTACACATGCGCCTCCAGGCTTGCCTTTCGCCATTGGAGTCTCACTTCTTACGGTGTGAATTAAGTATGTGTTCGAATCAGGACAGACCGCGTTGAGCGAAGACGTGCTTAACGTCTGGTGTATATAACAATGTCCGGAACCTCGAGTCTCAACTTTTTCCACGCATCGTTTTCAGATCTAAGGATACTCTGCAGGCTCGGCTCTCTTCTATTCCCAATGACTTCATCCTCCCTCCTCTCAATACATCTTTAATCACAAAGAGTTGAGTCACTGAACCCTTGTCACAAACTCCACCTCACTAAAGATGAAGTTCTTCAGCTCCCTCACTGCAATTTTAAGCATCGGCTCTGGAGTCGCTGCCCCCCTCCGAACCAGAGATGTCTAAGTCGGAGCTCTTAGTATCATCCTCGCAACCACGAGCTCAACCCTCGCCCAAGACCAAGCTATCGCCAATACGTCTCTTCCTCCATCTTTACTCACCCACTAACACAGACCCAGCCCAAGTCCCCGCTCAAATAGGCTCGGGCATCCAATCGGGCTCTACCTAGCCAGATCGCCTCCACACTTGTTGTGTCGTCACGTGACCTCTTAGCGCGGCACCCTGTGTCTTAGTTCTCGAGCTCCCCGCTCCTTCTCTCTTTAAACGTAATACACCACACACCCGAATACAGCTGTTTTCCACGAGAACACCAACTCTAGGGTCGTAATAACACTTCAATCCGCCGCCATCACGCTCACGGCCCCGGATATTACTGTGTTGACCCAAGACCTGACATCCCCCTCCTATGCGAAGTCCGCCATTGCGACATTCGCACAGTAGGCAAATGCCGCTGGAGTAGCTTTCTCAGCACCGACGGGGGCTATACCGCGGCAGGAATACTGGCTGCAGAGGCGGCGGTGCAACCGCTCTTGTGTCCAATGATTGCTTATGCGAAGGCTGTGCAGGGAATGGGAGCACGCAGGTTGCTGCCAGGATGGCTGGGTTGGGGAGCGCTGCTACGCAATGTCTCACTCTTGTGAGAGCTTGAACCAGATTTTGGGTATCAGTCTTCTTGAGTAGAGATGATGCTTTGACAAGGATGGTAGTGCCCTGTACAATGGTGAAATTAATGTTTGGCATGATTATATTAGCAAGCTTTGGAGAAAGTTTTGTATGTAATAAAAGCTGTTGCAAAAACCTCATCTCCTTGTGGGAGCAAAGGCATGATTGTTGAAAAGACAACTCAAAATCCTTTCATCAGGATGCTTGATTCCTGGTGGGAATATATTGCAATTCGTCATCAACTTGATTGACCACGTTGGAGTGAATGGTCAATGCCTAAACTTCATCATATTAGGCAGCCCCACTTGCACTGCCCCTCTCGCTTGATTCAGGGGTAAACTCAGGGGCTTGGCCAACCACCAACCCCGTTTCACAAAAACATGAGACGAGGCTAGCACCAAGAACTCACCACCTCCAAAAACAAGTAACTCTCCTCTTCTTGCAACATCCAGCCTCTCAACAATCAATCTATTCTCGAATACCACACTCATCACAACCCCACCACCTCGTCCCTCCTCTGCTACGGAGTTTAAAATCCCCCTCTTCCCCGCAGCCAAACATCAAGCCAAAGCGAGCCGCAGATAAAAAGCCACCGCAAGTCAACCCCCAATATCCCACACCCAAACCTACATCGTCGCGAAGGACAAAGAAGCAAGCAAGACAAGCAAGATGTGTGGAATCCGCAGTTGCATGGTACTCATCCAATGGATGACGGGCGGAACAGCGACGAAGTACGAAGAAGGCAGCGGGGAGCAAGGACCGAAACCTGTGAAGATGGGCGAAAGCGGGAAGTGGGATCTCGACATGGAGAAGCAGGCCGCAAGGGCGAAGGCGCAGAGGGAGGGCTACAAGAGTTGATGTTATTGGGCGGGACTGGGATGTGTTGTGCGGGGTGGAGGCGATAAAGCAAGTAGATTGCAATGCTCGGGGAGTCGCAACCTTAGACACCGCAGATTAGATGGTGAGGGCATGGCTGGTTGGAGATGGTGGAAGGAGGTGAGGCTTGACAAGATCTCCCCAGATCCCATAGACCCTCCGCACATAACGTCGAAAATACCAAGGGGAAGTCATGGTCCTGCTAAAGTACTGTTATACACTTGGAACTGATTTCGCCCTTTGACACCTTTATTGTCCTTAACGGTCATGGCCGTTTACGAAATAGCTTTCGGAGAGGGAACGAGAGCGTGTAGCCTGATTTGAGCTAGTGCGGTGATCAGCCTTGTTTTTTAACCGACTGTACAGATTCTAATAGGTGATTTTTTCCCCGCAACTTTCGGTTGTAAGTCAACCTGATGAACGTCGATTTTCGTCCGGTTTTACTCACGTTCTCGGATTCGAGATTCCTAATCGGGCAAAGAGATAGAGTTGAAAAACTGTGTTAGTGTTTAAGGAGTGTACTAGTTACTTGGAAACTTCAACCACTTAATTCAAGTCTGTTGGTATAAGGTAGACGAGTCGCTCTTCGGCTGGCCTGAGCTACTGGAAATACCTTCTTTTGCCAATTTTTGTTTGCTTGGAATAACTATGAGAAAGGTGGTCCATGAAATTTAAGTTTTCAACGGATATCAAATCGCTATCTCCCTTTCGAAAGAAATAATGATCTTCAAAACTCAAGAGCAACAGGAGTTTATATCACCATCAGGCTGACCAGCCCCTCTTAAAACCTGTATATCTGCTCAATAGTCTTAAGAATCATTTTTCTTTAGCCCGATATCCTCATGCTCATGCTCACCTCACTGCCCTTTCTTCAACTGGCGTTTCATCCTCATCACCGTCCCTCCTCTCCATCGCCTTTCTATTTTGTCGCTACCCACTGTCTCACTCTACTATCCTTCTTTTCGGCCCTCCCCTTCTACCTCTTCTCAACGAACCTCCCCCGAAACTCTTCACCATCTCCCCGCTTCTCGCTACTTCTCTCCGCCGATCCTTTCTTGTCATGTCCCTCGTGCAATTTGTCGTCAGTTTCCGCATAGGATAGACCTCATCCGGTCCAAGTTCCAACCTGATCTCGGACTTCTCTCAACTTTAATTGTGTGCTTTGAATTTCAGGGTTTGGTGAACATGTGGACAAGCTTGTTGGGTCCGCAGGTATTGACTGCAATGAACCAAGTCCAGAGGTATCCTCGAGCTCCATTCCCAATTGCATGAAAGAATTCGTATTTCTCTCCTAATTGGTTCGAAGGTTTGGTTTCGACTATAGATCGATTCACCAGTTGCTTGACAGGCTGGTTGACTGGTCGGCACACATGAAGTTGGACTGGTGGATTGGTCGGAGGCATTGACTGAAAGCTCGCGGAGATACTGAGCACCCGAATGAAGTGATGATGCCACCTGTTCCGCTTCCGATCGCAGTTCCAGTTGGGAAAGGAGAGAAAGGACCCGTTGAACCACCTGTTGCAGCACCGCTAGGGGCGGAGCGACATCTTGCGAATCTGGATGAAAGACGGGTCAAACTTGTTGTGGGACCCTCCTTATCAAAGTGATATTCGGTGTCTCGACTTGCAGGCCCGGATACGTCGCCAGTACAGCTTCGTGCGAAATATGGCCTGAAATGGAGAGAAATGATGGGGGCTCAAATGGCATTGTAGACTCCAGAATTTGCGATTTCTCGGATGTGTTAAGTTCTTGATGACGCGAAGTAGAGTACAAGAGGATTTTGATCATGATGCCGGAAGGAAGGGCTGCGACATCCGGAGACTTGACCACCCCGCCGATGCTGGCGTGGAAAGATGGCCAGGTGGAGACTTCACATGACTCAGAGTGCTTTTCGCAAGAATGACTCTTGATGTAGGATACCCCGTGGCTTTGGGAAAGCTCGCCGCGGTGATTATGGAGCTGAGGGAGTGGAGATGCCAATATCGAACGTTGTAATGAAGTTGCCACGGAAAATACGAGACCTGAGGAACTCGCAGAGCTGGGCGCTTGTATAATGAAGACATCAAGCAGAAGTTGAAGCTGAGGAGACAGGCAACAAAGACGGCGAGTGATCATGAAGCGGTGAAATCTTTTGCCAGATGTGACTACTCAGGAGATGGGAAAGCACTGGCTGATTAGACCCTTCATTTTCTCAAAGCGCGATTTGATTTCAAGGATACAGTGATCTCAGTGATCTCTTCCTCTATGTATTTACCCAAGTGAGTACTCGCCATGCATCAAAATATGCTGGTCTCAAGTCTCCAGAAGCAATTCCACGCTAACAGCGAGACATGTCAGGGAAGGCCAAGTTTTGATTTGAAGAAACTGGCTCTAATACACGGGTTGTTTCTTCGCGCACAATACAACAGCATGTCTGTAATTATGTATGGCTTGCTGGATCTCAGAGAAGCCGCGAACTTGCGGCAACAGACGCTGAATGTCCAGTTCCACTTGGTCGGAATATTGGAACAAACGGCGATGTGTGATCATAATAAGAGACTCAGGAGGTGTGGGCAAAGGGGCAGGCTTTTGGAGAAGAGTACGAGGCCAAAGATGGCGCAGCGAACGTTCTCTTGCGGCCGACTTGATTCAACAACAGGAACTCAGTGCACATTTTACTCCAAGGGAAGGCCCAACTTGATCCGACACATTGACCGAAAATATAGGAGAAGTTGAACGATGGATTCATTCCATATGGGACTGACAATCATGGCATTCTCCAAAAAGGAACACCTGGAATGACATCAGCCACCACAATTTTCGGCCCTGCCAAGCGTTCAAGAAATGTGCGCCTTCCACTCTGTTACGAGATGGATATCCCGGGGGCCCTCAACGATGGCAAAGGCCAGAGTAAGGGCAGAAAGATAATGTATTCTCTATCGGAGGTAGCTAGCTAAAGTACCTTCCTTCCGCCCCTAGTGGATTATGTAACACACCCCGCCCTCACCCTGGCCCCTGCCAGTCGCACGAGCTGGCCGGACGCTGTAGAAAGGAATGTTTTTTTGAGACTCGACACTCGGGGCGAGTTCTTTTAAAGGGGAGGGGTAATGTGACGGTTTTGCTAACACATGGTTGAAACGCTGATGTCACGTGATAAGGCGCCGGTGTTTGTGGTTTGAGGGTATATATGGTAACTCCTATATCTAACCTCTCCTTATCTATTATTCTAAGAATGAGAGTACTGCATTGATCTGTCTTATCTGAGTGCCTTCGACACAGTATCCCACCATCTTCTTCCCACGAAGAGCGCAAAGAACGCAAGCACAACTCCCAAAATGCTGCATGCGATTGTGATCTTCTCGGTAGAACTTAGTCCACCACCACTATCGCCTTGGCGAGCTCCTGAACTCCCCGCTCCTGGCGCTGGTACTGTCAGCGTCGAATGTATAGTAACCGGCTGAATTGGTGCCTTAGAGATAGTGGAAGTTGCTTACATTTGCGTTAGCACATTCGTACTTTATGTGCAGAGCAAGTTTGCGCGGCTAAGTACCAGGGCAGCGAGCACTGGCACGACCATCATTTTTATAGGCCACTCACTCATGCTTGTTGCCAATGTCGATGAGCCTGAGGTGGATGTCGCGGTGCTGACCACAACTACAGTTGGCGTGCTTCCTGGCGAAACTGGCAGCGTAGTTGTGCCGGCGACTTGATTTGCACTGCTCGAAGTCGGGTAGTTGTTCAGCGTGGCACCATCGATGCCGCAGTATCCGTTGTATAGCGAGACGCCGGCGGATAAGTCTATCTCGTGTGTATTGCACTGCACGTTGATACACGAGGTTAGAATTGACGAGACGGAGCTCTCGAAATCTGTGCGGCAGAAGCAGGAGTCGAGATTATTGCACCCGATGAGACCCAAAACCCCCGCGCAGCATCCGCCGAATCCGTCACCGTCAATGCAATTCTGCACACAAGGCCGTACCGAGGAGAAAGCAGGCGCTAGCTGGAGGGAGACGGTGCCATCAGCGTGGGTCTTGGGAAGGGACGAGAAGTAGGAGAGGAGAAGGCGAGATATGGCCAACGATAGCCTTGTTATAGGGGCCATCTTGTAGCAAGAGGGGCAGGGTTGTTCCCCGAAAATGGGAGGTACGCTCCATAGATATGCCCGCTCCGAATAGTTTGTTTTTCTTGTGCTGCATGTTTTTGATTCTGTGAAAGCCTGGCAGGAAGCCTAGGTGGCTGAACTTTGTTGTTCAATTGGTTTTCTGTGATGTGGCTTGGGGAAGAAAGCTTCACTACTCCAAACTCTGGTGTACGGCTATCTACTGTGGTAAATTTACTAACCCCCTCCCTACATAATTGCCAGCGGCCTCCACCGCCCCAGTTTTCAATGAGGCACGATTTTTAAGTGGTTCAGGGCCTGGTCCGCCATGTTGCACAGGGCAAAATTTGGTCTGTGTATCAAACCAAGGGTGCACGTACCAGTACCTTCGTAGAAGATTCCCGAAGGCTTTCTGCCCTGCCAGCGGCTCCCAACCAGCTTGAAGACACTTTCTCACTGGTTAAATACCCTAGATTCCTACCCGCACCTATACCCAAAACATACCTGCTAGCAATTATTTAGGAGGAGGGGGGGGGACAGTAGTACCGAAAACCCGACTTGTTGTATTTCATTCGTCTTTGTCCTATCACGGTATGAAAATGGTCAGCATTTCTACTCAAAAGAGTAGAACTACTCGTCGGCTGATCCTTACTCTGTTTGGGCGAGCTGGCCCGAACACAGTGAGGAATGGCCTGCGAGTAGACGAACTTCTGAATCTTGTGGCAAATAGACTTGGGGAAAAAAAGATTAAAAAATTCAGACATAAGAACAGGAGTAAAGTGTATCCTCCACGAATTGCCTGCATGCAGAAAACATGTCTCGCGTGTTAGCAAAGTCGGGGTTCTTAAAGGAGCCGATCTAGCCTAATTAGGGTAGCAGCGTCGCTAATACGGAAGGCAAAACTTTGTCTCGCGATCTCATCGACCCCAATAACCACCCTCGGATACAAATGGCAATCTCGGCGACTAATGCGCGGCGATCTGATATTGCTTTGGGTTCGTACGTGTGCTCGCTTCGACCGCAACCTATGATAGCCTTCGTCCGGTGAGACATGTCCAGCGCTAGCAAGGGGGGTGTAGCTGCACGCAAGCCTCATCTCGTTTTACTCTCCCCCCCCTGGTTTAAAGGGCACCCGAGACATTTTGGTGAGTATTTAACAGGGTGCTTGGCGAATAGAAAGTGCTAGAATTTCGAGGCTTCTAGGGCTCAAAGCCTTCTTAGACTTGATCACAGACCAAGTCTTGCTCAGTGCGAGAGGCTGCCTAGGGTGCCCTACCAATCAGAATAAGTGCTTTATACCTTCAACCCACAAAATGGTGGGTCTGCCCTTTAAACCGGGGGGGGGGGATAGTATTACGCTTCAAGAGGCTTGCATGCAGCCACACCCCCCTTGCTAGCGCTGGACATGTCTCACCGGACGAAGGGATACTGTGATTAACAAACTTGATTCTTAGAGGCAGACGAAGGGGAGCCTACCAACAGACTCCCTAAGCGCGCTTAGTTGGTGATCCATTGTGCTCAGAAAGAAGGCGGGTTCCGATGTACAGCCATAACACAATGCAATAATTGCAACAATTCTGCGCCATATCTGATCTAAAGGTTCTGATCGAGACCATCATCTGATACGGCTTTCAACTTGTCGAAATACAGCCTGGCATGTCCAAATTGTCATCAACAAGTCACGGGGGTCCAAATCACGGGGTTCTCGAGGGGCCATGGCTTTCATATGGTCCAACCTTTTATCAACACCCATGAATACATGGAAATTCGTTTCGAACAATAGGCGATTGATCTCATCGAAAATGAACGATGCTTCGGCGGCCAAGCGTTTATCGTGGTCCTTGAAGGATGCAGATGCAAACGCAGAAAGAGTGCTGGAAAGTGGCTTGCATGTGATTGGATACTTGTAGTCTTGGAGGTCGGCTGCTTTGGAAAAGTCGTTTCGACGATTGAAAGGACTAAACTTTGAGCGTTGTTGGGGCCGACCGAAATCGACGTCGTATAGCTTCATGACCTTGTTGATTGCTGCTTCATGTGAGCATAGCCCAGAACCTTGGTATACGGATGCCGAAAAACTCTCTGACACCCATGACAGCAGCTTATCAATTTCTCTAGCTACTGTGCACTCCAGTGTGGTAGCCAGAAGAGCGGCCTGGCAATCTCTCTCGGCTCTTTCCATGGCTAACATCCGCTTTGAATGTTCCTGCAATGGTGCATTTAACATGGTATTTCGCAGCTCGTCAAGACTCTTTTCTGTATCAAGTAGGTCCCAGCGCGCTTCGTGATAGCGAAATAGGTCCTCTCTAATGGCAATCCAGTGGTCGCTAACGACAGGCGCGGGTCTTTTTATTGGCTTCTCCAGCGGCGTTCTGGTCATTTTTGGAAGTTGTTCAAAGATTTCTGACGCTCGTCTTTTGATGGCCTCATAGTAATTGCGACGCTGATAGTGTGCCAGCCACGCGGTGTCATTCGTAAGTTCCGGTATTGCCTCTCAGGCAGATCTAGGCCACACAACCAGTTCTTGTCAAGTGATCGCATTGACATCTTACCATCTAATCTCATCATTTGATGGAAGTTCGGTGTGCATGCTAAATGCAGAGCAATGAGTTCGACAGTTTCGTAACTCCTCAAGGCCGAAGGGACTGGAACTTCAGGAGGTGGGGCTTCGGAAGTACCAATTCCTTGACCTGTCGGTGTGATCGAAGTTTGGGGACCTGGGTTGTTGACTTGGTGGAGCTGGGGATCCAACCAGATCGGGTGGCTAGAACCAATGTTGGAGGTGGTGTCCAAGGACGCAGACCTCTTGCTGCTGGAAAGTAGGGTGGAAGCTCCTGGGACCTTGGGATCATGTCCTCGAACCGTTACGAACGACTTCCCTCCCCTCTGTTCGGCATTGGTTAATTCGTCGTCGGAATTCCCAAAGGTTTCGATATAGTGAGGAGCTTTGCCAGTCTTTCGAGGTTTTGGGTCTTTTGCGCTCTTGACTGGTACGACGGCGTTTCTAGGTCGTTGCTTCAGCTGCTTGATCCAATAGTCTCGCATGGCTACAATGTGTTGCTCTGTTCCTGTCTCTTGAATCAGTATGCAATTCCATAAATGAGACCAACGGTAGTTAAGTGGACTTACGAGTGTATTCGCTAGGCCTCTTCGCTTTGATGTCCTCCAGAATCTTCTTGGCCTGGATTTTGTGCTTAGGAGACACCCAATCATTTTCCAATGCCTCCCAAGGATACCTTTCGACAAATGTTACAGGAACGCCCTCCACCACGTTATGGTCTTTGACATGTTTGATCCATCCTAATCCACTCTTGTCTTCCATTGAGGTCGAACACTGCGTTTCCGTCTTCATCGAGTGCCACGATATCGTTGTTTTTGTGAAAGTCATCTTGCAGGTTAGCACGTCTTGGTGCATCTTGATGAAATTGAACTGGAAAGCCGAACACAATTTGATCCCATGACCTTTTCAAGTCTATCATCTGGTAACGCACCCAGTGCGCACGCTCAAACAGAAACCAATTTTCAACGGGCCTAGTGGAAGAAGCTTGTGGTACGTCGTGGGTTTTACTTTCTTTTGGGGACTGGAGGCAATGTGCACGAAATACGAAACATGACGTCTTGGTTTTTCTTCGGTTTAGTTTAAGCCGTGCTGCTTCGGTTGTTGTGAAATTGTGGAGTTTCAGCAAGAGCTTCGTTCATCATAGAGGCATCTCCATCTGCGTCTTTGGGAACGTTGAAAGAGTAGTTGGAAGTACCAGTATTGGGGTTGTCATCGATATTTCTATCGTTAGTCTCGAGGCTAGCCATGCTGTCGACTTCTGGGCTCGACTCGTTCTGACTTTCTGTATCATCACCTTCGCCTTCCAGGTATTCTCCTCCATACTCGTCCAGATCAGATTCTTCATCGGGCACAAACATTCCTGCTCCCTCCGAGCCAGAATCACGGTTTGCATCGCCATATTCCGCATCCCGCAACGAAGCCCACCTTGTAGATTTCCTAGATGCCACTGGGCTCCGAAGTTTCACTCATTATCATAGTTGAAGTTGAATTGGCCTCAGGGCGGCGTTCGATTCTGCCGAGAGCGTTCTTGTTCTTGTTGTATTAGGCTATGACTTTCCCGAGACGATCCTTCAAGCGTGGATGGAGCACACCGTTGTTTGCCGCCATGGCCGTGTTGATCATAGCCCGGGAGGGTATTGTGCCTGGATTTGCATGTCTCTTTCCCTGCTCAATGAATGCCAAGGCGTCGTGAATAGCTTGATACCAAGGCTGTCGAGAAGGAGGACTATTGGACTAAACCTTCCGTTTGTCAAGCTTCTCGAAGCTAGACTGAGCATCGGGGTCCTTGTCAAGTCTGCCAATGTCGCCCACCAACGAACCCACTCCGTCGTCGTTAATTTCATGTGGCGTGCCATCATTGCTTGAAGTATCACCGGTTATATCCATGTATTCTTCGGGCTGGCCTTTGTTGATGATCTGAGCTATCACGACCCGGAGCGGAAGACCTGAAGGCAATCAGCTCTATTGGGTGTGTATGTAAACGTCTAAAGAGAGAAAGGAAGAGAGGAGCGGGGAGCTCGAGCTAAGTACAGGGTGCCACGCTAGGGCCAGGTCATGTGACGCTGACGTCACAACATCCCCCCTTCAGTAGTAAGAGTTCTCCGAACTCGAGCAAACTAGCTAAAAAACCTCATATCTACCATCCTGTTCCCGTTCCTTCGCTAGCTCCAGTCTGTCCCCAACTACTAGTAGTCTCCTTTCCTTCATCCTGAACAGCTCCAGTCTCCTGTCCATCCTGAACAGCTTGTCCCCAGCCATTGCCTTGTCCTTCAACTTCTTCCTCAGCTTCAACTTCCTCAGGTTCATCCTCAATTTCGAATTCACGGGCTACATGACGGTCCTCAAATGCCTTCGCATTAGTGATTGAGCGGACGTCGAATTCAGGGACATAGGTATAGCCTCTGCTAGCCTCTTGGTTAAAAGAAGAGAACTGAGCTTGCTCAAACCAAGTGACATATTGCTTTCCGGTCTTCTTCTCTTGCTATTGAATACCTTTAATGAATATATTATCTGGAAATTCGATAATAACCTCACTACCAAAGGGAGAAGCAAAGAGACCTTCCTCGCGTGCCGGGATTATAAAGATGGCTTTAATAGAGTCCTTCTTACTATTAAAATCCTCTGTACCGCGAGGAGAGTAATAGAATGACATGTCTGTGATCTCAAGACGTTCTACCTTTTCGGGAATAGCAGGTATATCCTTATAGGATAATTGCTTGACGTAGTTGATTATTATGTCCTCTTGGAGCTTGTTTATTGGAATACCTGGCAGAGATTAAGCTATAATAAATGAGTATTTAATAGTCCTATTAATCTCATTAATACTGAAACCGTGCTCGTCGATTTCCTTGACTTCGTTAATCGTGTCTGGCTTTACAGGATAGTTCGACAAGTTTCCGCGTGTCTGGGGCTTCTTGGGGACGGTACAGTTACGATTACTGTAATTACCTCCGCAGTACTTGCAGGGCTAACGCTTGAGGCAGTACTGAGCCATGTGACCCTTTTCCTTACAGATCTTGCACTTAATAAATGGGCATGCGTCTCCTCGGTGCTCACAGGAGTTACATTTCTTGTAGCCGCTAATCTCGAATTTGAGGTGCTTTGTGGAACCGCATCGTCTATAGCTCTTTCTATTAAGAAGGTTTCCGTTAGCATCCTTCTTAACTTGTGGGCGTAAGGCTTCGTTCTTTGGATCCTTGTATTTACGGGCATTATGACCTCGTTCTAGACAGTTCCAGTATTAAGGGGGCAGGTAATCCTTGTCAGAAACGGTGCAAGTGCTCTTGGTGTGACCCTTCTGGCCGCATTGGAAACACTCCGATGTATCTGGGGCTTGGAGCTTAATATAGACTCCTTGAGTCTTAGTCATTTCTATGAGTATCTTGATATTCCTAATATGCGATCTGAATATCTCAAACTCACTATTAAGGTTATAGTTTTCATAAGCTAAAGCGCCGTCTGGGATAATAATTGCAAGACTATTGTGGTATCTAGTAATTTCAATGAGTAATCGACGGGGTTCCGTGCCAAATTCAGTCAGATAGTAAGCATTTGGCAGCATTAGGAAAACACTGTTTTGACTAATGCCTTATATAACTTTAGAGACAAGGGCATTGCAGTTCTTTAGGCCGCGGTGGTTGATTTCTGTCTGAATTATTATAGCCTCTGCCTTGTAAGGACTAATAAATGCGAAGGACATGCCCTTATTAGCGGTGTATTTGTCTAATTAAAGCATATATTAAGCTTCCTCCATAAGTTCGATTACGAAGTACTGAGTGGCCGGATTATATATGGAGTTATTACCGGATTTAATAAAACTCTTTGATTTCTTAACGACGACTACGGCGAAGTTGTGTGGAATGCCAAGCTTCTTATTAAATAATTCCTTGAAGAATAGCACGTTCGGTAAAGAAGTAACCGTCTTAATAGCATTAACTATCTGGCCATGGTAAAAGGTATAATTAATGAAGTTCGTAAGTATTAGGGTGTTTATACGGAACTGCTTATTAAGGAATATGCCGTGTAAGGTTATTTGGCCGGTTTTTATTAAGATTAGTATAGTCTCAGCCTTATAGAACATGTTCTAGTATTCGGGATTAGTAGCGGATTTAAAGAAGACTTTTATTTAAATAGGATCTCCGTTATTAATTATAAAACCGATAATTCTATAGGCACCGATAAGTGCACAGGTCATAGCAGGGGTGCGCTTTCTGCCTTTATCGAGAACTATGACTATATAGAAAGGAACTACTTGCTATGCTATAGTTCGCAAGGCTTGTCCGGATATGGCAACTACTGTATTGGCACTACCCAAGGTGTCCTTACATAGTTACTTACGACTAGCACGGACGAGAGCTCAATTAACCATATTATTATCCGGGTTCTTTCGGATATACTTTAACTTCTCTAGTAGCGCCGCATATTACTAGTTAGAGTCACGTTCCGTATTGGCCTTAAACCACATGGCCTTATAGAGAGTAAGGTTCTTGACAGATTCTGTAAAACGCTTATTACTAACCTTGCGAGTCTCATTAGTGGATTTGGTAATGTTATAGAGGTAACGTGTAGTAATAAATATCTCGGTCTCCTTATTATTATCGTGAAAGTTATTAATAAAGTATGGCTTTAATATCTTCGTATTAAACTTCGTATTCTCAGTTAGCAAAGAACCGAGACGAATAATAGTGCCTTTAATATTATAATGCTTTAGCTCCTTAGTTAGTTCCAAAGCAAGATAATTGACTCTAATATTCGTTTCCTGGATAATTAAGGCATTAAACTTCTTAGTGCGCTTCTCCTGAATATTCTTTGCAATTATTATAGCTACTAGTAGCATGCTAATTCTTGACTTCGCTAATACTACTACTCCTTGAATACGTAAGTAAGCATAATAAATATTAGATGCGCTATTAATAAGGGAGTCTTTTTGCTAATCTGAGAGCTTATTACATATCTTTTCCTAGTTCTTTGGAGCATAATTATTAAAGAAATTAATAACTAGGTATTCTAAGGTATTATTAAAAGCAAGGAAATACTTGGTAAGATGCGCGTTTGCTAGGGCCGTATTTGGATCTGACTTAAGCTAGAAGAATTTGTTTAGATTATGAATAAGATCCCGATATGTCCTATTAGAATAACTGGGCTTAATAGAGATACCGAATTTTGGTGCTTTACTAAATTTAATACGTAGATACTCAAGATTACGAAAATTAGTCTTGTGGCTTGGAATTTCGGTATCTACTCAATATTCGTAGCCTTTAGGGCCTCGGAAGCGGAAATCGGGTCTATGGAAAATAATAATGGGTAGACTATTTACTAGAGTATACTTGTTTATTTATTAAATAATTCCCATTCATGTTTATAGCTAGCGTAGCTCTTCTTTAGCTATGGCTTCTGTAGAGATCTCCCGACGGACCTCGGCTGCTTCTTGTGTATTGTTATTGAAATCCTCACGGAAGGTGCCATTATTATTGAAATCTTGAGGGAATATACGTGGGCGCTTAGTATTTTTGCCTGTGTATTCTGGGCAGTCGGGGACGTCGAATGGAATGCGGATACGAACTATGTTACCTGCCTTAGGACGATTAAGCTTTGAGTTCTTCTAATTAATATATAGTAAGTATATCTTAGGAAGATTATTATTGAAGTTATTATTCTTAAAGGAAGTTCCAGGCAAGGCTATAAAAGAGATATTAAATAACGTAGCCTTCTACTTAGTATAATGGCCCTTGGAGAGATTATGCTTGCAGGTAATAGCGTAGATTTGATATATATGAGTCTCTAGTTAGTCTTGCCAAGTAGTCTTATTTATAATAACCTAGCCTTTCTTAGAGACAGGAGGGAATTCGTGGGGACAGAGGATATTTCCGATTATTAATAACTACTTGTTCGGAGAGTTCTTTACCTAAGCCTTGAGAGGATTAAGAGCCTTATCTACGAGAATCTTATTCTTGAGCTTTCCGAATATCTTTATTCTATAAGCGGCATTATTAATAACTAGGAAGAACGTGAATATGGGTTCTTTCTGCCGCTTAGTAGAGAGGATCTCCTTAGAGAGGGATTTGAGGTATTTCGAGTAATCGCGCGTATTCATGTATGGGATATTGGTACCGGTGGCGTTTAGCTTCTTTATGTGAAATATGATATATGCCTTATCCGTAGCGTCGAAATAGTTATTAGCCTTTGGGTTAGTGGTTTGGTAGCCAAAAGCTTCTGGTAAGGGGCCGTATTTGGCGGCGTGGACGATCGTGAAAGCCTTAATATTAAGAGAGCTAATATTAATCTTGAGAGTGTGACTGTGGATACCGCGAGGATTGACCTTTTTAGAAGGCTTCGTGTTTGGCGGGTCGATAGCGCGAGTGCTGGTCTAGCTTATGGAAAGCTGACCGCGGAAATACTCCTGTTCGAATATTAGTATAATGAATGCGACCGGTGAGAGTCTGCTATTATTACTACTTAAATTGGCCTGGTATGGTTGATTAAAGGTCTTTCCGTTAAATATGATACATGTAGAGACCTTAGGGATGACCTCGTGAACTAGCGTAATACGTGCCGGTGGCTCAGGTTTGGTTATGGTAATCGGAATGATAGGAACGGTAGTGCTTTTAGCTAGAGTGGCTATAGTAGCGGGAGCGGTAGTACCTTTAGCTAGAGCTTTAATGGTATTGGCGGTAGGAGCTTTAATAACTTTGGCAGTAGGAGCTTTGATGACTTTGGCGGTGGGAGCTTCGATGACTTTGGCGGTAGGAGCTTCGATAACTTCGGCGGTAGGAGCTTCGATAACTTCGGCGGTGGGAGCTTTGATGACTTTGGTAGTAGAAGCTTCGATGACTTCGGTGGCGGGATCTTTGATAGCTTTAATGACTTCGGTAACGGGATCTTTAATAGCTTTAATGACTTCGGTGGCGTCTTTAAAGATATAGTTATCCTGAGCTTCTATAAGCGCGTTGGCGATATTAGTGGGGGATCGAGAGTCTATAGTGGAATTAATTAGATAAGGGAACTTGAATAGCTAAGTAAGGGGAAATGATTCGTTTAAATAGTTAGTGGATTAATAAGGTTACGATTATGATTATAATTACGAATATATAGTATTAAGAAAAATTTTTGGTAATGAGATATTTATGCGAGCACTTCTCAAGGTAAATCGGGAAGCGGGATAAGGTAAATTAATAGTGATTTACCTTTATAATATGACGGAAGCGATTTGTGATTACGAAAACTTCTAAAAAAGATATTAAAAAAGTAGTATAAGGAACCTAATAGTACTCTTCTAGTATTTCGAGGTTAGTTAATGTGTAGATGCCATCTCCTTGCGCTAGGTATTATTGTCGTAGTTTAATATTATTGCGGATAAAGGTTAGTTTAATATCTTTATGGACAGGTAATATTAGTAGCGGTATCTTTGCTCGGATTCGAACATATTAAGTAACTGCGGGACTTCTTACCGTAATAAGGTTTCTGGCTCCCATATCGTGTCTTAATAGTCTAGCCATTTGATCTTATAGAATGCTACTTGTTTTCTAATATCTAGGACCTTTCTTATTTCCTTATCCATAATCTTCTCGATTATATAGCGCTTCTCTCCTTTAATAGTAATATGTTCAGGCTCTGGCCATAGATACTTATACGGATTAGGTAAGGCTAGTTCGAGGAATTCGACTAATATAACTAGGTATATTCCCGTAAGCCATTCCGGAAGCTCGATTTTAAATAAGAGATCTCCCTTATAGCGCTCCAGGATTTAAAAGGGGCCTATTTTATTAAAAGAGAGCTTGGTTTAATTCTATAGATAGTAATTCTTTTCATGCTTCTTGCTAATCCTGAGGTATGCGAGCTCTCCGAATTTTGGCGGCGTGTGGTTTGCGTTATAGTAGATCTTTATTCTGGCCTGAGTAATAGCGACCGCGTCTATAGCTTTGTCCCGGATATTCTTTCGGTTCTGTAAGAAATTATCTATATTTATAGTAGTCTTGCCAAAAGCTATCTTAGCTTCCCTACTATAGAGAATGGAAAATGGCGTAATACTACTTGAGGCATTAATAGTACTATTTATGGAAAGCTATACCCATAGTATAATATTTTCCTAACCGGATTAATTATATTAATTACTAAGGGCGTATTATATGGCATGGATAAAGGTTTGGATTATATGCTTAGCTTATTTATTTACGGGAGAATAATATATAGCCGTAAATACTAGATTCGTACGGGATAGCTAGAAAAGCCTAGTCTAGAATACTAATATGAACTTGGAATCTCAATCGGAAATAATAGTATCTGGCAATCCCTAATTACGGAAAATATGCTCAAAGTACTTTTCTGCCCAGGCTTCCGCTATATCCGTTTTCTTCCTAATAAGGTAGCGGATAAATTTGGAGCATTTGTCTATAATTAGTAAGGCTTTATTATTCCCGTTCTTGAATATAGGGAGACCATTTACGAAATCGAGACATAATACTAATAGTGGTATCTTTAGATACTTGATAGGCTATAGGGATCCTCACGGTCGAATTCGAGAGGGCTTTGCTTGGGAATATACTAGATAATTCGAGGCATATTTGAGGATTTCCTTCTTTATTCTTGGGAAGAATACGTGCTATCTAAGAACCTGGAATATACGCTCTACTCTAATATATATAATAGAATCGTGTACTATCTTAAGCAAGATCTTGAGGTATTTACGTAATATATACAAGTATTCCCTATTATTATCTCGGAAAAAGAGGAGTTTTAATTTTATATCCCGGCGGAAGTTATATAAGGTTATAACCGGACCGTTTTCGTTATGGATTATATTATTATAGGTTCTATATATTTGCGAGTATATTTTCCGGAAACTAATATCTTTGGGCAAAGCCTCTGCTACTTGCTTTAAGAATCCAGGTTAAATATATAGAGTAAAGACTATGTGCTCTAGTGGTTACGGATACGAAGTCTCTTTAGCCAGAGCCTCTTGAGCCTGTGGAATTTCTTTAACTTGTGCCGTCCCTTGAGCTTATAAAGAGCCTTAAGGCTATGGAGTCACTTTGTTAAATTATATGAGATCTTCGGATTTAGTTAAATACGCCTTGGCCTCATTCTTAACTATTACTCGTGTCTGTACCGGGAAAGCATATATTAGGAACATATGCTTCTGGAGTTATATAAGTTCTTTTACGGGATATAGGACATAATCTATTACTTGAGTAGGCTTTCCTGAAATGCGAGATAGGCCGTCTGTATTTGCATGAGTCTTTCTAGGGTAATACTTAATCTCTATGCGGTCCTAGTACTTGGAGAGAAATAGTCGCTAGTTCGCTAATCTTATGGAATGCTTATTAACTAGGCCTATGTCTTTAAAAGTATTTATAATCGCCTTATAATTAGTATAGACCGTAATTTTGCTATTATCTAGGAAATGAGGAATCTTTTAGAGTATTTATATAAGAGCTATGGTCTCTAATTTAGTTAGCTAGTAGTTATATTCCGCTAGAGTCAGGTCCCTGGACAAATATAGAATCGGGTACTCTAATCCGTCCGGTCTAATTTAATATATAGTACTACCGAATTCCTATTCCTTACTACTATTTACGTATATAATCTAGTCCTTATTAAAATTAGGGTAGCCTAGCTGAGGGGCGGCATAAAGGCGTTCTTGGAGGATTACGAAAGCCTTTTTTGCGTTATTAAGTACGAGATTTTCTTTCTATTTCTTTATTATTTTATTTAGCTATTTCTTGGCCTAGTAATCTTGTCCGGGACCTTATATAGGAGCTCCCTTAAATCCTAAGGTCTTTAAAGCTTGCATTAGTCACGAAATCCCGGTATAGTAGTCGACGAACTTTCTATAATAGTTAAAGAACCCTAAGGTATTCTCTAGTTAAGCCAGGGTACCTGGAAATCGCATTTCTCTAATTACTTTAACTTTTTTGTCTAATATGCTTAGTCCGAGATAATTAACCCAGTGGCCTAAAGCTTTTAGCCCTGGCTATACGAAATGGCACTTTAATAGGTTTAGGGTAATTCCGGAGTATAATAGGATTCTGAGGATAGAGAAGAGATAATTAATATAGGTTTTAATATTCTTTGAGAAGATAATTATATTATTAATATAGACTAGGACGAACTTCCAAAGGTATTTGCTAAATAGTTTTTCTATCCGGTACTAGAAGAAGGCAGGGGATATAGATAGACCTATTATACTAACTATTAGCTACTCGTGTTCTTTGTGAGGAATTATAAAGGCTATCTTCTACTAGTCTAATACGCGGATTAGTTACTAGAAGAAACTCTTAGTCATATTAAGGTATGAGAATACTACTTCTCTGCCCATAGCTTCTAGGATATTGTCTTATTTTGGTAAAGAGTATATATCTTAGTATAATTTGGTATTTACCTTATATAGATCTATTATAAATCGGGGCTTCTCGTCTTAGTATATAATGAATCCCGGTAATATATAAGGTAAAGGCTATCCTAATAGTACTAGTTTAATAATGCTAGCTTTCCGTAATAGGTCGAGGATTATATCTATAGTATCCCGGTCGCGCTTAGAGAAACCGTATAGTATTTGCTTGAGATCTGAGATATTAGTATCTTTGCGGAAAGGGATTAGTATTTTGATTCCGTTATTGAAATAACCTAACTCTTTATGAAAAAGACGGGCATTCTCCTTAATGACTTATAGGACACGTTAATAATTATCTTCTCCCCAAGTATTAGAGATATTAGCTTGGGATAAGTCTATGCCAGGGTCTAGTAAAGGCTAAATCAAGTGTGAATAGCCGTCTGGGTACTTCCCTTCTATATCTTGCTATATTAGTAGTAGACCTTAAAAGACTTTAGCTAATCCGAGGTATACTTTAGCCTCCTTGTCTATGTTTTGCGGGGCGGTTTCCAGGCAGTCTAGTAGACCGATAATCTTGCCTGCTAGAAGCTTAATTAGGGTCTTTCCGAAATTTGCGTAAGGTAATAGCCTTGTAGTCCCGTCCGTAATACTATTAATGAGTATACCGAATATATCTAAGGCAAGGTCATATTATGGCTGAGGGTTTATAAGGTATCCGTGATTTAGATATGGCAGGATGTGGTATTATACTGCGATATTCTGGCCGTGACCTGGAGGTATAATGACCGTTTCTATTACGTAGATCTGGGCTCGGTAATACTAACTAATTCGTGTAGCACGTTATTTCTCGGTATTAGTATTAGGCAAGTACGAAATCCGGATCTTCTTTTTATTATATATAAGGTAATCGAAGTCTAGATCTGTCTTTAACTAAATAATATCTATCTTGCTTGGCTTAAGGAAAGATGTTCCAAGAAGAATATTATATTAGAGCTCGTTAATGATATATACCTTAGCTATGAACTCAACTATTTCTCTTTCTATTATAAGGAATTATATAGGAATGCGTGCGAATAGCGTAGTGGCCGGGCCGTTACTAATACCAGATAGATTAATAATATCTTTACTTATTTATTATGGAATATTAGGAAAGTGAGTGTCTATAACGTAGCGGTTAATAAGGCAGATGCCGGCACTAGTATTAGGATAACAGGATACTGGATCTCTTTCCGGATTATAAGTTGTGGCTCGTGTATTCATATAAAACTTGTGGGCTTTGCCGTTAATAAAGTATACTTCTCTAGTAATTACTACCTCCTTTGGGTTTCTTTAATCGCGTGATTAAGGGTTAGGTTTTGCAGGCTATAGCTCGCTTTCTATAGGTGGCGGCTCGGGTTCTTGTGGTAATACTACTCGTGGCTTTACTAGTAAAGGAGTAAATCTTGACCCCCGTAGAGCGGGACCGAAACTGTCTAATAGTCTAGTGATTGAGATATTACTACTAGAAGTATCGAGAATATAAGGTAATTATACGGGATTACTATTTTATAGTAAAGGAGGCGCGAGGTCGAAAAGTACTTCTAAACGGGAAATAGAACGAGAAATAGCTAGTAACTTTTGTGTAGTAAGTAGTACTAAATTCATGATTATAAGGTTAGGATTAAGGATAAGGGGCCCTCCTATTTAATTTAGGAGTAGTGGTCTACTAGTCCCGCGTGGCCGCCGTTCTCGTTTTCCTATAGGATATTAGGATCCGTGAACGTCGGTAAGAAATAGTTACTAGGTGAATTATTATTAGAAGGGCCCTAATATATAATATATGTATCGTGGAAGATCTAATAGACTACTTTGGGGACTTGAACCAAGTCTGAGTATTTGTTATTATAGTTATTATATGAATAGTAGGCTAGTACCTATAGGCTATTATTGCGGAAATTGAAATCGCTACCACGGTTATTATAGCCTCCTCGGTAGTATCCGTTTCCACGATTATAGTAGCCTCTATAATAGTTGTCTCGGTATCCATATTTACTACGATATCCTCCACGGCCATTATATCCGTCGCGATTCTCGTATTCTCCGCGGTAGTTAAACCGATTTTAATTACTATATGGGCCTCATTTACCTTCATAATTATTATATGCTCCCCGGTTATAGCCTTTACCG